CGTCGTCGTCGTCTTCCTGCCCTCGCCCCTCTCTCTCAGGCTCTTACCACCACCATCACCTAGCTTGTTCAATTGCCCGCTGCTTGTCTACTGCCCGCCTGCCGTGGCGGCCTTGCGCTTACCTGCTCACTTCTCCACCTGACTACACACTTGTCCGCCCGTTCGCCCTCCTGCCAGTGTATTGCACGTCTCATTCGCTTACGCGTCTTTCGCTCGCCCACGCATCTTTGTGACTTGCCACGCGCCTTCTTCAAGTGCCTGACCGCACACCTTCTTGCTCGCCTGGCATCCTGCCCGCATGTCTCATTCACACCTTAGCTGACTGCCCACTTGCCCGTTCGTTCCCTAACTGGTTGACTCACCCGGCGCCCGCTCACCGACCCGCTCATCCATCCGTTGGCATGATTCGCGCGAGACCCGTGAACGTCGTTGTAAGGATCGCTGGCGCGCCGAGCAACGCGATCTGCGTCCCGTAAGTGTTTGTGCACCCCTGCCCATTTCTTCGCTTGCCCATTTCTTTGTTCGCCCATCTCTCTATGCTCGCCCGCCCGTCTCTACACTCGCCCACCCATCTCTCTATGCTCACCCGCCTGTCTCTACACTCACTTACCCGTCACTACATTTGCTCACCCGTCTCTGCACTTGCTCGCCCATCTCTGCACTTGCTCGCCCGTCTGTGTTCGCCCGCCCGTTGACCCCACTGCAGAGACGATGCTGAAGATCGGCGAGCGGGCTTATCCTGTGGATCCCTCACGCGACCCGCGAAGACAGAGGGGCTGCAGCAAAATAGCCGCGCCGCTCGACGTCGGGCAAGACGACGATCCGCTCGCCCAGCAGATGGTCGCGCTCAAACAGGAAGACGCAGCACACGGCGGCAGAGTCAGTACCAGCCACAGGGCGCGTATCCGAATTCCAGCCCGTCGCCAACGAAGCGGGACGCCACGGCGAACAAGCTGTCGCCGCCGCCAGACGGATCGAGCCGGAGTGGTCGCAGGAACTCGGTCGACTATCGTCGCTCCGCGGAGATCGTCGCCGGCGCGCTGCCAGCGTCCGACTGGCGTTCGACGTCGCCAAACCCGTACCCGAAGCACATGCTCCCGCCGTCAAATGTAGGTCCATCGAAATTTGCCCGTGGAGGAGATTTCGCACGACTACGAGCAGTCGTTCCCTGGTGAGCGCAAGTCCATAAGCCGGCTGGGTAGTCGTCCTGGGAGTGTTATTGGGCTGCCAGGGCAGGTCCGAGCCCCAGCCAGAGAACATCAGCGCCCGACGAGTCACAACAGTGTTGGCATCGTGCTCGACCCCACAGGTCGTGTAGCACTCGACGAGATGGCGAACAGGTAGTACCAGCTGCCGCCGCCACACATCGCGATTCGTAAGGCGAACAAGGTGTGTGCGAGCTCGATTGAACTGAATCAGCAGGAGCCGGTCGCGTTGGTGAATCAAGGCAAGAAATCCGAGGTGAAGTGAAGCGCAACTGCCAAGACTCGGAAATGTCGGCAAGTGGCCGGCGTATGCGAGTGAGACGAAGGCGTGAAACGGGCGCGAGTGCGGTACGTAGGAAGCGGGCGGGCGTAGTATGCAGGTGGTGTGTGGGGTGGTTGGGCGGGAGCGTGTGGGCGTGGTATGCAGGCGGCGGGCGTGGTATGCGGGCGGTATGCAGGGTGTGGGCGCGCGGGCGCGGTATGCAGGGCGCAGGCGGCGCAGGATGCGGGCACGATAAATGTATTATTCTTATGGCAGCTAGTGCAATACAGGAGCATCTAGCAATATGCCCGGATCTGCTCCCAGCTGCATACGCGTAATTTTCACGCTCAGAGCAGCTCCGAGCATCTAGAAAAATGCGAAAAGTCTAAATTTCTTGCTCCAGGCTGCTCAGAGCTGCTCGCAGATGCTCTTTTGACAGCGGCCCCACCGCGCAGCTCAGAGCAGCTTGGAGCATCTCCCAGCAGGTCTGATTTCCACTGGGCTTCAACTTGGACTCCACACCGTACACGGTCACGGTATGTAGTACATACCGCTCCTCTACGCCCGGGATTGTTCAGCTCTAGATTTGCATTGCTTGCAGATTCACTACTCTCAGGCTCACCGAGTCGGAATGACACCGACTGACAGTGGCATATTAGCGGATAAGTTATGCTGGGTCAGTATCTCCACGCGCAAATAGGGTCTGGGCGGTTCAAAAACCACCGAACGAATGCTCTGCCTCGTTGCTGCGACGCTGCAGCTATCGCCTCGACCATCACATTCACTGGTTGGTAGGTACGTCCCACCCTACAATTTACTGCGATATGCTCAATCCTGTCACCTAGGTGGCAATGGAAAGTGACAGCATTCAATTTACCGAACTGCCACCTCTCAGCGGGTTGTCTGAAGGTGAAGGATCGCTTGTCCGGACCCCTTGCCCAGGGACGTTAAGGCCTCGACTTCAGCGCATATTTCTCTACACTCAGCCAGACGGAGGCTCTGAGGACGCTGGGAGCAACTGTGTCGCACACTCTCCACACGATTTCTTATCGCTGACGCTTTGTGGCCGCATCCCTCTCGATGTCTTCGTCTATATCATCGGTCACATGGATCGTTCCGCGTTGCCCACCGCGGCATTGGTCTGCTGGGCATGGCACCGCTGCGCTCTGCGCAGTCTTTATGCCACTGTCGAGCTCAATTCGCGCGCAAGCTACGATTTGCTGGTGGAACAGTTCCGTACGTCGTCTCGTGTCAAGCAACGCCTAACCGCAACACGCATACTAGTCGTGGACAGCTACGACACGAAGCAAGGAAGCGCTCCCTTTCTGGATGCCCTGCCTGCCGTCTTTGTCAACACACTACCCATGCTACGAGTACTCGACATCCGTCAAGCCCTGCGTCCTGTCATGCACCAGACTTTCTATATCGCCCTTCATCAGTTCAAGCACCTTGTGTCGTTGCGCGTGTCTGCTGTCACTCTGCGAAGCACCGACCAACTGCAACGGATCGTCAACGCGTTTCCGCAATTGGAAGCACTTGCCTTGAGCAATGTGGCCTTCATGCGCTATCATTCTACCAGTCGCAGATCGCGATACCCTCCCCAGACCAGGTCCAACCTCCATCTTAAAGAGCTTGGTCTCCATGTTGACGACTCGCAGGTTTCTACCGATCCGGTGGGCGCTCTTGAACACATATCCCACTGGCTCGAATCCTCGGGTATTCACCTTCATATACTGACCGCGGACATCTCCCCTGCGTCAGCGAATGACCACGCATTCGCATGCGAGCAAGTCGATCGACTGCTCGGCGCAAGTGGGTCGTATCTGACTACCTTCAGTAGCCGCTTTGGTGGTCGCATCCGTAAATGAACCCCATGGCCTCTGGGATCTGTCAGCTACTAATGATAGCGCACTTCACAGGTCATCCTCGGGAATTCTGCAACCTAGTTCACAACACAGCCCTGCAGACCTTGAAGTTGACGCTGGCCTTCGAGCCCAACGACGCCGACCGGTCAACATTAGCCACCGAACTGTATGCCACACTCTCTACGGTCCGAAGCTACCAGCTCAAACGTATCGTTATCGTGTTCTACGTCGGCCTCCAGCTCGACGACGGTCTGCACACGGTGAAGCTCAACCGATCGCATGCAGCGCTCGTCATGAAGTGGTATGGCCTACACGAAATCATGGGCTACCCGTACTACGCCATCTTGCGGGACGTCGATGTCCGGATGGACGTTGTGTACAATAGACGAGGACACAGCCAGGAGTGGGTGGACGACATCGCCCGAGCGCTGGTCCCCGAATTGCAGCAGCTGTTCATGCCATGGCACGCCCGCGGAATAGTCAACATCTCCTACACCCTCCGAGGCGTTGGACTAGCCAAGTGAGTGTACGCTATACCTCGACTGGGCGCCGGTGGGTGTCGTCCTCCACCTCCCGGTAGAATGTTAGCTTACGTTGCGCTTGTCATACAGCAAACAAGACCCACGCGTCATATTGAATCACTCCTGCGTACGATCGTGAACGGTGTAATGTATCATATCATCCATCCACCGGGACCCTGACGGACGACCGACGTATGTAAGTCGCGCACCCCGATCGCCAGTTGGACTGACTTGGCACGCTCCTTATTCGCCGGTCTGGAGGAATACCTTTTTCACTTGTACGCCCACGTTGCCCTTCGTCGCGTTGGCCGCACGGACATTTATTGCTATTATGGTGGCGCTTGCCGATTCTCGCATTGTATTTGTCCCAATATGCTCAACGAATGACAGGAAAACATCGCTGAGTCAACCTCGCCGGCATATCAGACCTGCGCGCCGTGTTACCTGCTACCTGTCGCAAGGCCTCCCTTGGGTGCGGCTTCCTGGCTTAAAACAAATTACTAGGTCGCCGCTTCCCAGAGGCGCGTGATGCGGGCATCGGAAAGGTTGCACATCTCTCATCTATCCCACTATATGTCGCCAAATTTGTGTGCGACTTACTGCAGACTCCGAGTCGTTCCTGGGACGACCACAAAAGGCGCCTGAAGGCATCTGTCATGTCAACGGCCCTTTTGTCCTTCCTGTCACACGTAATTCAGGTACGCGGCAGTGCTCTGTATGTCGAGCCTCATAAACACGTCGACTGAACAGCCTGACCAGGACCTGCCCCGTCTCCCGTTCTCCCAGGTTAACACGTGCGTACTAGTATATCTTCTCTAACGCTTTATTGACCATTCGGATGACTTACGCTTGCAAGTGCCAGGTGATGCAGAACATGGGCCCTCTGCCCGATGCGCCCCCTAGTCGCAGGGAAAACATTATCAACGGGTTTTCCAGATCCCTCCTACGGGCTCGTTCATTCTTCCGTGTACCAATGTCGAAGAAACATCGTACGCCGACGGACGGAAGAGGCGCTTCACACAACGAACGCGAAGACCATACTGTGCACAGTCAAGGCGAAACACTTGTCACCGACCTGTCTGAAGACGAAGGCCACGCTGCATACGACGAAGGACGGTCCCTTTCCACTGCCCTATCCAACCGCATTCCTATCGAGATATATGAAAACATCATTGAACACTCGGATCGGGTTATGCTACCTTCTGCGACATTGGTTTGCCGGGCATGGTATCCTCGTGCCAGTCAGAGTCTCTATCACACCGTCATCATCGAGTCGCGTGCAAGCTATGGTTTGTTGACGACGCAGCTCCGCACGTCGCCTCGCATCTCGCATTGGCTTGCGTATACGCACGAACTGGTCATCGGACGCTACCGACCCAGCGACTCGAATATACCCTTTCTGGACGCCCTTCCTCTTGTCTTCGCACAAGCTTTACCAGCCTTGCGGGTGCTCGAGATTCGTCGGAGCTTGCGTCCTGCTATGCATCCGAGTTTCTATCTCGCCCTCCGCCAGTTCCAACATCTCACGTCATTGCATCTATGTCTTGTCAAGCTGAGCAGCACTGCTCAGCTACGACGGATTGTCTGTGCATTTCCGAGTCTGGAAGACCTCGCCTTGGAAAATGTAACGTTCGTGCAATCGCAGTTTTCTGGTGCAACACTCCGGAACATCGCTCTCGTAACTCATCCCGAAATTCGGCTCAGGCGACTAAAGTTACGTGGGTATCACGATGGCCACATACAGTCATTCGATCCAATTGTCACCTGGCTTGTATCCTCGAAATTCTGCACTTCCCTTCTCGCTTTGGTGATGGACTTCGACGCCTCGTCTCCGTTGGATGCTATCAGGGAGCTTGCAACCAAGCAAGTCGATCGACTCCTCGGGGCAAGCGGGCCGTCTCTGGTATCCTTCCATGGTGAAATTTATTTGTGGCTTCATGGTCAGCAACCTCTCCCCGCCCCGCCTGCTCAACTTCCAGTACTCACGAATCTTCCAGATCACTCTCCTTGCAGTTTCGCGCACAACACAGCCTTACGTCACTTGGCGTTGAAGCTGAACTTCCACTTTGGCTCGTCCGTAGAGGACTCAGATTGGCCAGACGCGGCAAACGAGCTGCGCGCGGCCTTCTCCACGATCCGGAGCCACCAGCTCGAGGACATCGCAGTCCACCTCAGGTTCGAATTCTCCAGCCGTCTAAGTGAGGAAGAGCTCAGCCACTCTTACGAGAAGCTGGACTCAGACTCGCGGAGCCTACACGAGGTCCTGGTTCGGCCGTACTTCGTCGCATTGACGGACGTCGGCGTCAAGGTCGAGGTGTTCCATATGCCTGATGATTACAAGTCGGCGGACGACTTTGCCAGAGCGATCGTCCCTATATGCCGGCGATTGTTCACGCCATGGGATAATCGCGGTATAGTCAACGTCTCGTACTACACGACTCAGGCGTGACCGTGAAGAAGCGTATGCCTCGAGTCTCTGCAAGGCTTACCCGTAGTGCGTATCTCGTGCAAGCCACCCGCCGGACATTGACTGACTTAACGAATTGAAGCAGGACTCGCCGTATCTACATGCCTGTATTGACACATGCAGGGGCTCTTGCGGTGGCACATCAACTTCCGGCGCATATATCCATGCCCCGCAAGGATACGTGGCACAGCAAAGGCAACTGCAGTCATACATGTACATCGCGACCTTAGTGATGCTTTGTTGAGACGTCGCGAATAACATACACGTCGATGAAGTCAGTAATTCGCTCCTTTGTCGTAGGTGGGCCTACTCACCTCATCGAAACATACTCATTGTACTAGCCCACTGTTCCGCTCCCGTCTAGATGTCGCGTTAAGGATCGGCTTGGGGTCATTTTGGCTATACCACTTCGTGCTTCATTGGGCTGTAAGACGTAGTGCGGTCCGCTGGGCGAATGATATACGAGTTAACACCAAGATCCTCAGCACACCATGCGACGCGCGACCGCCGACGGGGTAGACTAGAGTCAGATCATACTCAGATGCGATTGATCGCGAGCAACCCACGACGCACCGTACATCCGTCAATCCGCATCCTGATAGAACAACGCTCCTCACCCAACCCACGCAGCTGAGATCAATTAGGCACTGCTAGCATGCGGTCGACGACGCGGGCAAGATCGAGGCGACTGCCACTATGGCCAGCTTTTGTTCAGTAGTGCTGCACCGCACGGCGTTCGCTCTCCCGTGCATCCTGGGCAGAGAGCTTGTCCGAGTCATGCGAACCAACTGGATGGCGACGCTGTAGGAGTAGCATATCTCCTTCCATTAACCAAGTCGTCCGATTCCGCCGCCGTTTGTCAAAGCAGCCGCGAGCAAGTCTCCGCTATTGAGCTGTCGAGAATACGCGGATGGGTCGCAGAACGAAAGCCAGAAACAATGTTGTAGGTGAGCACGAGATGACGGGAACCTGGCGAGTCGTCCTCGGTTACGACTCGTTACCTTCGCGGTGTATCATAGAACTTAGAAGCCTCCCGAGCGCGGCGAAGTGTGGAATCTTAGATGGCTAACGACGGGGATCCTACAGCGCAATGGCCAAGATATTAGACAGCGATTTCCAGCGTGCTAGAGCTGCAGCATCCACCTGTGGGCGTGCGAAGCGTAAGCGTTCGAACGATGAAGCCCAGTAGAAAACGCATCTGCTGATAGATGCTCTGAGATGCTCTGAGATGCTCGGTGGGGCCGCTGTCAAAAGAGCATCTGCGAGCAGCTCAGAGCAGCCTGGAGCAAGAAATTTAGACTTTTTGCATATTTCAAACTGCTCGGAGCTGCTCTGAGCGTGAAAATCACTCGTATGCAGCTGGGAGCAGATCCGGGCATATTACTAGATGCTCCTGTATTGCACTAGCTGCCAGAAGAATAATACATTTATTGTGCCCGCATCCTGCGCCGCCCGCGCCCTGCATACCACGCCCGCCGCCTGCATACCGCGCCCACGCGCTCCCGCCCAACCACCCCGCACACCACCTGCATACTACGCCCACCCGCGCACGCATCATTGCCTTGAAGTCGGGAACATCGAGGGCCTTCTGCCTGCCTCTCGCTGGTGTCATCGGACAGGTAATAGGTATTAGTCTCGCTATCCACGATGTACAGCCACTCCGAGACGTACCAAACGATGAGCTTCCTGCTCATACCGCTATTGTGACATTGAGCAGGAGGGCGAGAACTGGTTTGCGGGAGGCAAGCGAAGGTGTGTACGTCCGTCCACTTGGAGAGTCGGCAGCGCTGATGGGCGTGGGATCCCAGTGGAATATCGGTGCAGAACACAAACAGGCCGGGCGCTGTCCCCGGCGGAAGTTTAGTACGTGATCTCTTGCGCTGCACAGCAGAGTGAGTTGCATCCCATCTCATGCGGGTGCATCACTGACCCGCGACGAAGGGCCAGGCCGCCGCAGGAGGATGGAGGTGGGCATACACTCGGAAGCGACGAGGTCGACAGCACGTTCATCCCCGACCCCAGCTCTTCCATACATACGTACGTACACCCCGTACGTCTTCCTCCTTGCAGGTCTGCTCATGCTCCTGTGCAGCTCCCGAAGAAGAGACCGCGATACGGCATCTCACCTTCTGGCGCGACAGCTTCAGCGTCGAGGACGGGGACCTCATGCGCTACGACGACCCCACCTATCGTATGACACTGACTCGTGTTCACGCAGCCGCGCGCCGCTGCACATCCTCAACATCTCCCCCGGACAGCCGGTCGAGCTCCGCGTCGTGAAGTGGCTCAGCGACGAGTTCGTGGCGCCGCCCAAGGCGCGCAACGTGTTCTCCGGCGAGGCCGCAGGGACACCGCCTCGGCTCGCCCGTCCCATCCATCGCGGGCCTCGGCGCGGCCGCGTCTGTCGACATGCCGGGGAGCTTCCCCGTGACCGCAACCGGGAGCGTAGGAGAGCCAAGCGCACGCGGGGCGAGTGTGCGGTCGGCGGAGAGCATCAAGACGTGCTTCGAGGTCGACCAGAGCCTGCCGACGACGAGCGTGCAGGTGCGCCTCGCAGACGGGACGAGGATGGTGTGCCGGATGAACCTGACGCACACCGTGGGCGACATCCGCAAATTCATCAACGCGTGAGTGGCTCCATCTGCCCGGGGATGTGGGCACCGTCTGATCAATGTGTGTGTAGGTCGCGCCCGGATGGTCCCGCTGGCACTTGTCGTCCGCCTTGGACGGTAGCCTCAAGGCTACCGTGTGACGTGTGCTGTCCAATGCCATCGTATCAGATCAGTATCTACACATGTATAGGTAAATCAATACGAACCTTAAAGTTTCCAACGAGCTCTTCAATCTGCAGCCCTCAAGCACCTACATCGCGGGTCGACACTCAGTGCTGTTCTATCGTGTTATATACACGATATATTTCAGGTGGCTGCACAGCCGGAGAGCCGGATGAGCAAGCGGGCGGGCGGGCGAGCGAGCGCAGAGACGGGCCGCGGGCGGGCGCAGAGACGGGCGGGCGAGCGCAGATATGTGCGAGCGAAGAAATGGGCAGGCAAATGCACAAACACTTACGGGATGCAGATCGCGTCGCCCGGCGCGCTAGCGATCCTTACAGCGATGTGCATGGGTCCCGCACGAATCATGCGGACGGGTGGATGAGCGGGCGCCGAATGAGTCAGCCAGCTAGGGAACGAACGGGCGAGTGGACGGGCAGCTAAATGTGAGCGAGGTGTGCAGGGAGGGCAAACAAGGAGGCGGGCAGACGAGCAAGGTGTGCGCGCAGGCAAGAAGGCGCGTGGCAAGCGAGAAAGATACATGGGCGAGAGAAGAGACACGTAAGCAGATGAGACAGGCATACAGCAGGGTGAGCGAGCGGGCAGTAGACAAGCAGCGGGCAATTGCACACTAGGCGATGGTGGTGGTAAGAGCATGAGAGAGAGGGGCAGGAAGACGACGACGACCGCCGTCGCTGCAAAGATATTACGTCATACCAGAACGGGCGGGAACGTTAGCGATATAATGCGCACCGGCACCGCGCAGTTGGTACCGTAAGTGCTTAACGCAAGGGGGTGGACTCGACAGCGATATCGATAGGCTACAGCTCCAACTCAGAGGCAAAAGACTCTAAGCACTAAGTACTAAGGACGATGAGCTTAACTCGTTGACAAGCTGTCATTTAGTGACTTTACTACAAGCCGTCAGCAGCTCCGAGCAGATTCGGGCACATTTTGACGACGCACGCAGCTCCCAGCAGCTTGGAGCATCTCCCAGCAGATGCGTTTTTCATTGGGGATGAAGCTGAAGAACCAGGAGAGGAGGCCCAGTTCGGCGATCGAGCAGACACGATCGCGTGACCATTTTACGCGCAATCCTTTTCGGCAAACACCTCCTCCTACTGTACCGCACTGGCAGCTCCAGTCTACAGATACTATCTCGTCGCACACATCCAGCTCCTAGTAAGCCTGGTGATGTACTCTCTGGCTGACAAATGCTGATCACGAGAGGTAAGTACGTACTGAGGATTAGGACACCGTGGAAAGTATCAGGTTTGTTCCAACTAAGTCCATATCGTCACACAGGCGGAGCCCAGCGCGTTTGACACGGGATCACACCGTGCGCAGTGGAATTCGACGACCAGGCTGAGCCAGGCTACGACGGCCCAGGTTGAGCGGCAGTGTCCGGATCACCGAATACCAATGTCCGACGACCCTAGCGTCAAGTCGACCATCATCAGCAGGCCGCTCGATTGAACGCTCCCCAGGTACCTGTCTCCCCGAGTCTTGTAAGTCACATCTGTGCGGACAGCTTGTCCGGGACTTACGCTGTCTGGGTACGACAGATCATGTGGAACGAATATCGTCTCGTCGGAAGATCGATCCCGAGCTGCAGGCCAAACACTGTCGACGACGAAGAGCGGTCCCTTACCACCGACCTATCCAATCGCATACCCATGGAAGTCTATGAAAATGTCATCGAGCACATGGACCAGTGCACGCTCTACAGTTCCGCATTGGTTTGTCAGGCATGGAATCCTCGCGCCAGTTACCTTCTCTACCTCACCATCCTCATCACCTCGCGCGCGAGCTACGACTTGTTGGTGAAGCAGCTACGCACGTCGCCCCGTGTCCAGCGGTGGCTACAGTCCACACGCCAAGTAGCGCTCGGGGAACATTGGACCGACTCAGTTACCCCATTCCTGGACGCCTTCCCTCTGGTCTTCGGCCATGCATGCCCTGCCCTGCAAGGGCTCAACATCGGTTACGTTCTCCGCCCTAATATGCATCCGACTTTCCATGTTGCCCTGCGTCAGCTCCACCGCCTCGTGTCGTTACGGCTGCATCATGTCGAACTGAGCAACAGCACCCAGTTACGACGGATTGTCTGTGCGTTTCCGTGTCTGAAGGAGCTTGCTTTGGACGCCGTGCTACTCCTCCACCCACAGCTACCACAGTCTGCTGGTGGTAGACCCCAAAATGATCCTTCCCGAGGCTCCTGCAACATCCGGCCCAAGCGACTCCAAGTCGTATCGGACACCGACAAACACGTACAGACGTTCGGACGGACGGCCGATTGGCTTATATCCTCGGGGATCTGCAGCTCTCTGGCCGAACTGGTGACGGCCTTCTATGGCACGCACACAGAGCTTGCCATTGAGCATGTCAATCGGCTCCTCGAGACGGCGGGGCAGTCTCTGACCTCTTTCTACTGTCACAGCGACCTCAATCTCCTTCGTAAGTAGTCTTCTGATTCCGTATATTGTGTTGAACGTTGCTAAGACCCAATTTTTCCACCAGATCGCTCCCCTTGCAACCTAGTACATAACACGGCCTTACGTCAGTTGACGGTAAGGCTGAATGTCGACCCCTACCAGCCCACGGAGGTCTCGGAATGGGCAGACACGGCAAACGAGCTTCGTGGGGTCTTTTCCACGGTCCGGAGCTACCAGCTCGAGCACATCACAGTCCACTTCAGGTTCGTGTTACCCAGCCCCGTGAACGAGGAGAACTTCGCCCAAAGCTGCAAGCAGCTGGACTCAGACTCGCGCGGTCTGCACGACGTCATGGTGCGGCCGTACTTTCACGTGTTGGCGGAGGCCAAGATTGAGATAGAAGTCGAGTGTTGGGTTGACTCTGAGGATGATAGGAAAGATGAGATGGACCGCTTCGTCAGTGCGATGAAGCCCATATTACGGCGATTGTTCGCGCCATGGCACGATCGCGGTGTAGTCAAAGTCAACGTCACATCCACGACCACGAAGTTGTGGGCAGAGTAGACAGTTCATTCAACCTCTCCTGGCTCCGGGGACCGGATAGCGTCGTATCAACGAGTGCATTGCGGTTGACATGAATGGGTGCGATCACGTCACCTACTGGAGTCTGACGGTCGCGAGCCTCGCGCGAGCACCACCGTGGACTGCTTGCTTCAGAGCGACGTTAACAACGTTACGCAGGCTCTGGGTGAACTTGAGCGGAATACCTTGGCTTTCCCGGTATACTGCACCCGGGAAAGACGGTGGGTCCCAGTGTCGAGCTTATGCTGATAGGGCCACGGCCGCGGGCAGACCCGAATGACTTATGACACCAAACATGGAGGATGCCGGTGCTAGATGTGAGTGTAGACGCATAGTTCCTTCACGTAGCTTACAATCCCTCGATGCAGGTGTAATTCCAGATCTTTGTGTCTTCAAACTGGACGCTTCGGCCTCTAGCGTGGCATCGTCGCACCTCTGCTCGTGGTCCACGTCGATGTCGTTTTCGTGCACCGATCTCAACCTGACTTTCCTGGTGGAACTGGTACGCACATTGTCTTGTAGGATGTGTAATTTGTCAGTCACGCATGAGGGCCGTCTTCTATAGACAACTCGTTCGTGCAGATGCTGGAGGTCATCCAGTATCCGACGCACCTCCACGAAGTACTTGCCATCCCTACAAGGGTGAGAGATATCCGCATGCCGTAAGCTCGGAGCTTGAGATGATCAATGGTTGACAGCGCGACATATTCATCAGGCTATCCCCGTCATAGCGATCCCAGATGTACTGTAGCCTGTAGGCAGTCAGTCCTGAACGTGGGCTTCGCGTAGCGTTGCAATATGGTCACCATGGTGAGCTGGTCAATTGTCGCACATGGGCTATGCAGTATGGAGCAACTAATCCGACCTCCGAGCACAATAGGGTCGATCTCACCGTCTCACGATCCTGCACAAGGCGGAATGAACACAAGGCACTGACTCTTTGTATATTCCCACACAAGAGGCACGATGTCATAATCCAGCCATATGGCCATTCAGATGCGCTTCAGGAAGGTGATGTGAACGTACATGTGCGTGTGGACGGCTGATCCGAATAGAATATAGTGTGAGTCAGCACGTCAGTCGAAAACCAGTGCCGTGGTGTTATCATTGCATGTTCGCCACTCGAACTCGCAGAACAGGTTATTCTTGGGCGTTCAGCTCCCAGGACCACATGGGGAGACGTCTTTGAGCTTATGTGCAATAAAGGATTGTGGCTATCATGTCGTCGGACTGGTGACAGACAACAGTAAGCAGTGCAAGGTTACGGTAAGGAAAATCTTTGACTGAACGCTGCCTACAGAAGCTCCCTCCTTCTCTTGCAGACTCCCTCGTGCGTATAGTTTGCTGAGGAGTCCACTGGTCACCGTTTACTGACGTACATTGGGACCGGACAGATGAGACAGGAAATCAACCTTCCTGTTGGTTTGTCTCTCAGTCATGGGGCAGGCATCGCCGACGTGTCGTCCAGACTCATACCTGGGGCTCATTCATTCAATACCGCCCGTGCATTGAATGCAGGCCACGCTTACGAGACAGCGAAGACGAACTGGTTGAAGAAGGCAATGGATGGGAAGAAACGTACTTGGCAGATTATGAAGAGAGCGATAAATGGAATCAAGATGAGGATGTCGTCGAAGTCCTTGCCGTTGCACCTTTCAGATCGCATTCCTCTCGAGGTGCTTGAAGACATCATTGACTATATGCCCGTGTGTACCTTGCTGAATGCCGTGTTGGTTTGTCGCGCTTGGCACTCCCGAGCCAGTCGCTGCCTCTATTCCACCGTCGTAATCAAGTCACGCGCGCACTACGACCTGTTGGTCGAGCAGTCTCGCACGTCGCCTCGCGTCAAGCAATGGCTTGCGACTACCCGCGATCTCGTAGCCCTTGGTTCCTACCGAGCCGAGTCACAGCGAGAAGGCATCCTGTTCCTCGATACCCTGCCTCTCGTCTTCGCCCATACATTACCTGCTCTCCGAGTACTCGACATCCGTCGAATGCTGTGTTACAACCTACACCCGACGTTCTACCATGCCCTCCGTTGCTTCACCCACATCATGTCGCTGCGCTTGGATGATGCTGTGCTGGGGAATGTTGCGCAGCTACGGCGGATCGTCTGCGCGTTTCCGCACCTCGAAGACCTGGCATTGGACCGGGTGACCTTCAGGCAACCACGTTACGTCAGTTCTCGACCCCCCTATTGGACAGACACCCCGCTTCGGCCTCAGTCCAATACACGGCTCAAGGTCCTTACAATCTCTGCTCATCCAAATGCTGGCTCGGACTCCTTCATCAGCCAAGCCAACTGGCTTGTCACTTCGGCACTGTGTGTCTCTCTCCGCAATTTGGTTGTACGGTTCTTGTGTAAAGATGATCCCCATCTCAAACTTGCATGCGAGCAAGTCGATCGACTCCTCGGGGCAAGCGGGTCATCCTTGACCTCCTTCCATCGGATATATGACTTTTGGCATGGTCAGAGCTCTTTCGAGCTCTCGCGGGCAATCGCTAACACTATGACAATCCACAGGTTATCCCCCGGCCAGATTCAGCCTCATCCACAACACAGCCCTGCGTACCTTGAAACTCGACCTGAACATCCATCTCAACAGGCCAGACGCTAACTGGCGAGCGGTGGCGACCGAGCTGCACGCTACCCTCTCCACGGTCCGGAGTTCCCAGATCGAGCACATCACTATTGACACCATGATCTACTTTACGCTCGGCCGCTTGCCAGCAGACAGGGAGGACTGCATCCCATCATGCGGGGAACTCGAGGCCGACCTGCGCAGTATGCACGACGTCATGGTTACGCCGTACTTCGATGGGCTGAAGGACGTCGGTGTCAAGGTGAAGATCTGGCACGATAGGAGACGTAGTGCGGACTGGGCGGACGACATCGCGCGAGCGACCGTTCCCGTGTTTTGTCAATTCCTTAGGCCGTGGCACAAGCGCGGTTTGGTCGACATCTCATACACGACTTGGGGTGGGCTGACGACAATCGGGAGCTGGCCATAGCTCCGTAGATAAACTATGTAGACAATATAGTGTGTACCACCATCGATTTCCTCGCTATCAACTTTACTCGGATGAGACCCATCTACTACGGCATGTGAGCTCGAATGAACAGTAAATATGCACGGATCTTGGAATTCACCTTAGCAGCAAAGTAGATGGACGGAACAAGCTGAGATACCGAAGCCTAGTTCGCGAGGAAACAGTGGATACAAGGCCAGTCTGCAGAGTCCATGAATGCACCCATCGGTATAAATGTTAGCACACGCCGCGAGTCCCGCCTATCGCTACAGTTCAAAGAGTCGGTCGGTGTCCTGCAGGGAGTGATACTACAGGATATACGCACCTGAAGTATGTTCACTAGTACGCCAACGCTACCGACGCCTTTTCAGATTCTTCGTGATATTGACTATACCGCGATCGCTCCAGGGCGCGAACAGCTGGCCGAACGTGGAACAGACCGCTTCGGCGGCGGAGCGCGCCGGCTTCTCCATACTCTTCCTACGGTTCCAAGGGAGCACGTATTGAACCAGCATCTCGACGTCGACGCCCTTCAGCATGTCGAAGTACGGCTGGATCATGGCGCTATGCAGACTGCGCGACGTCGAGTCGAGCTGCTTGGAGGGTATGTCCAGCTCCTCGACCGTTTCCGGACAGCCATAGAGCGTGATGTTGAGGCGAATCGTGATGGACTCCAGCTGGGTGCTTCGGACCGTAGAAAGGGCAACGCGCAGTTCGTCTGCTGGATCTAGCCACGTTCGTTCGGACAGATTACTCCAAGGGCCAGTGAAGTAGACGTTCACTGACAACTCCAGATGACGCAAAGCGGTATTGTGCACGAAGCACGGACGTAGAAGATCTGTGAAACGGGCTGAACTCAGCGGTCGTTCGTGCGAAGAAGCGGGACGTTCCTGACCGGGAGCCTTGTCGTGGGTCTGACTAAAGGAAGTGAGCGACGGTCCACTCCCTTCCAGCATGCGATCGATGAGGCCGGACGTGAATCCACAGTCGCCATGTGCGAGGTTTCGGAATTGCACGCTCAAGTCACGAAGGGACGCGCAGAGTGCCGGACATGTAAGCCAGTCGACCATGGATCTCAGTGCCAATGGCTTGATCCCCGGGTCGCATACGAGAACAAGGCGTTTGAGCCGGGTGGTGGCTAGCGTGGCGGCGAGAGGCTGGGATGCCACATCCACAGAGTGCGCTTGTATGAAGGATACACCAGATAAGACAAGCTCTTCCAAGCGCGGGAACGCACGGATGATCCGCTGTAGCTGAGCGACGTTGGACAGCTGGACATCCACCAAATGCAAGGACACGAGTTGCTTGTGAAGACGCAGGGCAAGATAGAACGTGGAGTGCATGACGGGACGCAGAGCCCGATGGATCTTGAGCACTCGCAGAGCAGGCAATGAGTCGGCAAAGACGAGAGGCAGGGAATCCATGAATGGAAGATGATCCTGGCCCGGTTTCGTGAGAGGAAAGGACTTGCGCTGGACGACTACCGTGTGCGTTGTCGCGAGCCAATGCTTGACGCGGAGCGAGACGCGTGATTGCTTCACCAGCAAGTCAAAGGCTGTCCGATCGCCGATATAGACCGTGTGATAGAAATTGGACATCGCGCGAGGATACCAGGTTCGACTGACCAGCGCTATGTCTAGAAGCATGGGCCTGGCCATGAAATCGATGATGACTTCGAAGATCTCGGGAGGAATGCGATCATAGACTTCGATGGGTAGTGGCGGCAAGAGGTAACGTAGAGGGAATTCGGCGGAATTGTCTGCATCGGCCGCGTCAGGCACAGTTCCACCGCACAGATGTTGAGGCGTGGACGAATCTAGAATATAAGTCTGAGAAATGTCAGCGACAGTCGAGCGACTGTTGCGGGACAAATCGACATCGGAGTGGGTGCGAATCCGGCGAACGCGACGTCTGCAGCGAGGGAAGCCGAGACCAAAGAACACCGGTGACGCGCGTGTATAGCAGCATCCACGTACTAGGCCGTGGTCGACGCGGTCGGCGGAGGGAAGCGTCGTCATCGCTGCCACCTCGACCGACTGGAACTCGGGGCGATCACCCAGGGACGGCAGCGCAGCGACGGATGCAATCCGCCATGAACGGTGTGAGGTTAAATTGCGGCGAGCGTGCGTGCGTGCGGGGCGGCGGGGAAAGAGGAAACGCGGGGTGGGACGTTCTGGAACGAGAAGGTGAGCATAAGACGGGTGCAGTTAGAACGACCGCAGCCGGAGCGAACGACAGTTGAGGAGAACAGGCTATGAGACTCGCCATTTAGAAGGACACTCACCGGAGCTGGCCGCGCGGTGTCTAGTCCTAGCTTGGGAGGGATGCACCTTCTCTTCGGTCGTGGAGTCGTCCACCCTCTAATACGCACGCCGTGCCATAGTACGCCTGCCGTCCATCCGTCCAGAGCCGGCAGTGTTGTCATCGCAGCCGTTCTACGCCTTCGCCATCCACGGCAGCGGGTTTCGTTTGGCCAGGGATGTACATAGCCGTTGTGTGATCATGAACTTTGAGTAGCTCAGTAAGTAGCAAACGGAGAACGGTAATAAAGGCGCCCATGTGGCGGGGTGAAGCGCCCCAGCGCGCCGTCCTCTGTCCGCCGTCGTCCGCTGCCAAAGAGACCGCGTGCTTGCAACTCTCGCTCACTGCCTGCCGCCTGCCTGCGACGATGTGACGACGACATGAACCACTTACCGCGTCTCACACATAACCGCCCTCAGCTGGCAGGTCGTGCACCGCTGTTCCGCGATATCCGTTCCCCTGAAGGTCGTACGCCTCGCCGTTCCATGATCCTGCAGTCTGAAAGCCTCCTCGGCGACTCGAGAGCTTCATGGCCAGTTCTTATACGTGTCTGATATGGTGTGCTGACTCTTATGTACCGCTTCCACTCGCTGCGTGTTGGGCCCCATCTTCAGTACTCAGTTCCGGTGCTGGCCGCTGTCCTGACTCAATTTGCTCGACTCCCGCCTATCCTCTCTTCTCCACCTCAATGCCACTCATGAGACCTGTGTACTGACAGTGCAGGCTTGTAGGGCAAACAGGGTCGTTCCGGTGAGTCTCGACTCAGTTCTGTTGCATCGTCTTTCGTGTTCATGAATATGAGCATGCTCGTCAGACTCTACTGCAAGCAAGCCTATCATGTACCCCAAGATTGCAATCGCCCCGACGTAGAAGGCGCGAGATCGTTCGTCATCCCCGGCCACTGGACGCGTAATTCTGACGGACGCGTTTGCTTGGTAGATGGTAAGCACGCTCCTTCTCCGTCCAGTCGACCTCACCCTCAGAGGGCTCTCCGTAGGTCATCCATCGTGCACGCAACATCACTGCATATTCCAGCACTGGATACGTATCCCAAGAGGGTTTTCTATGTACCTTGGGCTGGTGGGCACTCGCTCGATTCGCGCCCCCACCACTCCCCCGTCTCAGGCGACGCGCCGGTCCTGGCATACCGCGATGCCGCCGCTTCTCTGCAACATCGCGCGCTCTCGTGTTCGCCTTCCGGGTCATCGATACCGATCAACCCATCTGCCCTTCTACTACCGTTGATTCTCGCCTCTACACGTCTCGCGCTTATCGCAGCGACGAATTCGCTCAGGCTTAATAACCTCCGCGTCCGCCGGTATCCCCGCAGTAGGAGCTGCGTGGGTCGAAAGCTTCCGTGATGCATCCTCCGAGTCTCAGCAGGCCGCATGTCGCGCGCGGTGCGGGTAGTCGTGTCTATGGCACGTCTCATGCACCACGTTACCATCTATGGCTGGAACGTGGCACCTCCCGGGATAGATTCTGAGAACCATCGAGGACGTGCGTTCGCTGCCTTCGGTGGGCGCAGCACGGGTGTCGCATCGGGTTTCTTGGTGGTTCGTCCCTGAGGCGTTCTACACGAACACAAAAGGGCGACGTACCTTCGCTCTCACCTGGCTGAACGGACCGCGACGCTGCAGCGCGGACCTTGTGCCCTACGCACCTCTGCGCATATACCCAATTCGTATGCTACGCGTGTCTCGCGGGGCCGCCGACGGTCACCTCCCGCGCAACAAGCCTCACCGCGTACGTCATGCCTGGTGGGAATCTCTTCTAGTTGAGCAGTGGACATGTCGCGCTCACTGCCTGCCGTTTTAGTACACGACCTACGGCCACCGTCCGACCCATACACAGGACGAATGGACGGAACCCGCAGTTCGTTGACCAGCAACGCTCGCCGACCGCTGGGGACCCATCGCCTGCGAGGGACGTTCCCGCTCTGGGCTGCCATTGCGCGGCTCTTCAAGTTGTCGCACAGCACAAAATTTCGCTTCCGCGATCGGCGTATGAGTGCCTCCTCTCGATACTGCGATAGACGATAGACGGTCGAGCGAACGGCAACGTCGTGCTTCTGACATCGCGTCTTAGCCCTCCCTCCGCGCGGATGGTGATTGCGTGGGTAGGGGTCTCACGTTGCGGACGATGAGCTGGCCGTATCTCCAAGCAGGAGAAGACGTTACTCCGCCATCCTCATCGTACTCTACACATATGGAACCATATCTTCCATTGGTATTCAGACGAGCGTGTCTACTGTTAGCCCTTCGTCTCCCATGTCCGATCAGACAGGCATACTCTGTGCGCGTACGCATTGTATGCTCTCGCCGTCGCCTGATCTACTGGACTGTGGCATCCTTTGTTTCTGTAAAACCTGAACCGCTTGCTATTGCATAGTATCCTCGGCGTCCTCTGGCCACTGCGACATCCCGCATGATCCCTTACTTCTATCAAGCTCAATATCAATGTCGAGGACAGCCGCACAAACGTTTCGACGAAGGTCTGCGTTGTGTAGGTACGTGAATAATTCCATCGAGTAGATAGCGACATTGACTGGCCCAGAAGCTCAGCATGCCAAGCATCCGTCCGTGACGAATACGACGAGCGGGCCCAGGAGGTTGAGTGAAGGGACGTTGGCCTTCGATACCAACATTCGAGTGCGGTTGCATTCTGGTCTTCTGCGCTTCGAACACCCCCTCGCGTATGAGAAGCTGCGTTCCGTCACTGCGAGCTGCTCACGAACCATATATGTGGTTTGCAGCTTCCAAGCCACAGTGACGCAGAACGCTGACGACGCGACGTTGGTTAGATTCCGGAGATGAACAATCCGTACCACTGGGCGAGGACGTGCGCTCGTACGACTGCGGCGTGATCACTCACAACACCTCGCAGAAACTCAGTATTCGCGACAAATATACCCAGTCTCGAGGAGCCATGCTAGAGGCCCCACGAATCGAACGCCAGCAGACGCCTCGCGATCGTAGCCTGGTAAGCCCTTGCAGCATCACTGCTGAACCCAATAATATCGAACGTATTCAAACGCCCAACCGAGCGCGCGTGAACATGCTGCAGAGGTGAATCACGGCACCATCGTAAGTAGTGCACAGCGCCGTCGACGACAAGTGGGGCCATTAGCGAGGGCGAGTGTACGGACACCCGTCGCTGTGTTCACCTGACTTGTAAGGACGTCCGATAGTATGGACGATGTAGACTGTCGGATACAGTACATGTACACACCTATTGACACGGTTTGCGTCCGACTACAGTTATGAGAGCGTGCACGAATATGCTGCGCGAATAGATATAATAAATGGCCGTGCCGCTGATCTCTAATAATCAATGGCCCAGATCATATCAAATATGTAGGGAGCCGAAGGGCGACGGGGATAGGAGGGGGACGGGAGGGGACGGGGAGGAAGTATCCGAGGCACCTCGACTGAACACCGGTGAGTGTGCGGTCGATGAATAGTATACGATTGTGTTTACGGGTTGCAAAATTGATGAAGTGAGATATACGGGCACAGATCCTGCTTCGGGTCGTCGCAGGTTGCGTCAGTGTCTGGTGGACCGAGACCGAGACCGAGTGAAACACGCACCGAGGCGTCTGTTTCAGACTAGAAGTTGACCCTTCCAAGGTCAGTACCTACTCGTCGTCAAGGCGGTATCAAAGGCTACTAGATGCCACGATCATGCCATGGGTTGAACAATCGCCGTAACAGACGGGCAATTGCACTGGCGAAGTCGTCCGCCGACTTCTTGTATAATGCCTGCGATTATATTGAACAGGCAGCACCTCAATCCTGACGTCCCTCAATGCGTCGAAGTACGGCCCGACCATGACATCGTGCAGGCTGCGGGAGTCGGCTTCGAGCTTCTTGTAAGACTGCTTGAAGTAGTCGTCGTCCATTGGGTCATGAAGCCCGAAGCTGAAGTGGACTGCGATGTACTCGAGCTGGTAACTGCGGACCGTGGAAAAGGCTCCGTGAAGCTCGCTTGCTGCATCTGCCCAATCCGAGCCCTCCGTGTATGCGCCATATCGCCAGGCACCCAATGGGACTCACCAAGTTTGCGCGGTTGGAGCCTTTGATAAGATAAATTTAACGTCAATTGACGTAAGGCCGTGTTGTGCACTAGATTGCACGGAGAATGACCTGTGAGATGTCCAAATCTTAGCGATGATTATGTAACTCAGTAAGAGAACCATGGAGAGACTACTCACCATGGAGCTCCCGAAGCTGCAACAATGGAAAGAGGTCAGAGACTGCCCCGAGGCCTCGAGGAGCCGGTTGTCATGCTCAGCCCTCTCATCGGTGGCGAAGCGCGTCTCCAGTTCGACCAGAGAGTGCAGATCCCCGACCTTGCAAGCCCATCGGCCATCCATTCGCTCGTCTCTGTACATTCTCCGTCGTTGCTAGGATTCGGAGACGCTTGAGCCGAATGCTGTCTTGGAGCCTAGAGTGCGGTAGTAGCCGCGGCTGGATAAATACCACGGTGCACAGATCAAGCTCCTCCAGACATTTCAACGCACAGACAATCTGTCGCAACTGGGACTGCTCAGTTGAACTTCATCCAGACGTAAGGACACGATGTGCTGGAGCTGATGCAGGCAAGATGGAAAGTCGGATGCATGTTACGACGCAGATCCAATTGATGTCGAGGACCTGCAGGGCAGGGCAGCAGGGCCGAAGACCATAGGGAAGGCGTCCAGGAAGGGTATACCTGGGCCTTCGCGGAACGCTACTTTGTGTGTAGACTGTAGCCATCGCTGGACACGGGGCGACGTGCGTAGCTGCTTCACCAGCAACTCGTAGCTCGCGCGCCTTCTGATGACAACGGTGTGATAGAGGCGCGAAGCGGCGCGAGGATACCATGTCCGGGAAACCAATGCCGCAATGGCCAGCGCGGGCTTCCAGGGGTATAGGTACTCGATGACATTCTCGTAGATTTCGATAGGACAGCGATCGGATATGTGGGTGGCGAGTGGTCGTGCTCCAAGTACATCGTGCGCACTGGGAGCATTACCTTCGTCCCGTGTAGCTCCATCGGCATCCTGGTCGTGCGCTGCGATCTTGATGTTGGGAAGGGACCTTGAATGAGCCGGCAGGAGGTATCTGGGGCCCGACGCCCAGCCGACGGGAAGAACGATGTTCTGCATGTCAGTGCTCTGTCACGTCCCGCATAGCGTAAGTGATCTGAAATTCCCGTACAAGACGTACGTACGTTTGACCCTGGTTTGACCTGTGGAGGGGACCGAGATACAGGTGCTTGGGGAGCGTTAGATTAAGTAGCTTGCGTACTATAAGGTTTGACTTGACCAAACCTTGTACCGTTCCCACTGTTATCTCGTGTGAGCACAGTGCCCCATGCGGGCCATCCTCCATGTGCTCTTCGCTGCGATAGAACTGAGTAAAAGGCCGGCAATCGCAGATCGGCGTGCGCCTTCTGTAGCGGCCTTCCTCGGTATTTCACAAACATGAAGCATATGGTTGGCCGGAGAGGGCCGGGATCCGAGTACCATCGCTACCAGAATCCAAGGAGTGACTGGTCGGACGTACGCGTAGGTCAGCATGCATATGATCAACCTCGCATCACCTGTAGGTTCGAGGCTCCGAACTTCGAGCATCACCCACCTGTCGAAGTGAAGCCGGCACTGGGTGCCTTCCGAGCTGCGGTCAACAAGCTCAGCTAGAGCCGCTGTCCGAACACACTCGGTGCAGTGAAGGCTCCCAGCGCATCGAAATCTCGTAGGACGGCCCGTGTATAGACTTGCCTTGTGCGGTAGGGGTTGGTCAAAGGTTGGCTCCTCCGGTTACCCTGTGCGAGTGAACAGTTGCGACGTTTGCTGCTTGCACCGGCCGGGGCACCCTGATCAGTTTCCTTTTCTACGAATTACTGCGGTACTCAAGTCGTCTTCAGTGCATGACAGATTCAAGTTCGTGATGTTCATATAACGATACAGTCGTACAAAAATAAGAAATAAGCAATAACGATACAGTATACCGAAGCGAGAATGGCCAGTTTCACTCAGCCGTTGAACTCGTAGTAGGAAGGATTCGTAGACAGCCTGAGGGGCTCGTGGGTGGTGTCGAGGGTGGACGACTGGGACATCATTTGTGGAGAACAAGCTGCCGGGATGGCGACGGCGGGGGCTGCGGCCTGGATACGCCAGCGCGATGTCTCCGAGGCATAGAGCGGCGGGGCGAAGGAGCGGAGGTTGGGGTCGCCAGCGGAGGCATTCTTCCTCAGTCGCTAGGACTCGGCGGGGTGGCTATGGCGGCTGCTAGAGCCGGAGATAGGAGCGCGTCGGATTCGTGAGCGTTACGACGCGATGGGGTATGACCGTCTTCATGTCCTCGTCAGGAACACGGCGGCGAGCACGACGGTGAGAACGACGAGGATAAGGACGGAGAGCGCGATGAGGCAGCGCTTCGCCCACTTGACCTCCGTATGGCGCATGTTCTCGATCAGCTCCTCGCGTTCCGCCTCTGTCTTCGAGAGCTCCCAGTCCTCGGGCGCGCGGAGGGGGAGATGAGTATGAGCGCGCCGGCGATCCAGAACAGAGGGAACACTGCGAGGAACAGGGAGTCAGCATGGGTGTTAACAACGAAGAAGGGAAGCAGAGGTACTCACGGAAGCCGAACTTGAAGAGATACATGGCGAGGGTGGGGTGCTCCGCGTAGCGTGTGTACGCAGGAGGCGCGGAAGAGCAGGAGTACGGCGGCGGCGCGTCGTCGTGGTGCCGGGCAAGGCTGCCGCGTCGTGGCGGCTGTCCTGCGTGCCGCGAGGCGAGCGAGAGGAGGACGCGCCGAAGAAGTCGTCAATCGCGTTCGTACCCTCTTCAAGGCTAGCAGCCTGGGTACGCGGTGCGTGAGTGAATGCGACAGGCGGGGTTGAGAGCTGCGCGTCGAAGTGCTCGCGGCTGCCGGAGATCGTTTGGGCTCGAGATCGTGCTCCTGAGCGTTGCTCCAGGTGAAGACGGAGGGTATGACGAAGGTCGAGGAGTAGAGGCCTGAGCAGACATGATAGCCAGCTTGTAATGACTCGGTCGACGAGGGGGTGGTGATGCGGGAGGCTGGGAAGTGCGAAGGCTTGGATGGCTGGCGGGGCGATGATGGGGACTTTGCGGTGATCATGGTCGGCTTTATATGCATTTCGTCCTGTGGGAGCGGGAGAAATGGGAAACCAATCCGTTGCTAACGCCGAGCGTTAGTCAACCAATCGAAACGCGCGCCCTCGATAGCAGGCGTGGACCCACAAACGCCCACATACCGCAGAATGCCCAATGTGGAAAGTGTCGCGGGAGTAAACGGGAGGCCGAAAACAACTCACACGTGGTACATTCCACTTTGGTATAGTTACTGCATATGGCATAGCGGACCCACCGGCACCGGACAGCCTACAGCAACTTGAACTCAAGGATATCACACTACTCAACCCTGGAGTCGTTTCTGAGTACAAATCAACTGCAGCGTCAGGTATTCGCACTCACGATGCAATCATCGGCACCCTGCTAGACAGCCTGATAATAACTAGATCAGCCGCCCTCTGTCCGATCCAATCTCGAACGACGGTCGTCCGGTCACAGCGAATGGGCCCGACTGCGTGCGGAATTCATGAAACCCTGCACTACCGCTAGCGCGTCATGAGATGGGAACCACAGACAGTTAGGAACAGCAGACACACCTCGATTCTTGTCCGCATCCTCCTTCCCTGCCAGCTCGGGTCCGCGACTCGGGTGTAAATGTTCCTATCCGGTGTGCGTACATGAACTTGTTCAGTTGCATTACACAGGCTGAAACGCAAGGGACTACGGAACCTTAGCCTTGGAACCGCGGAAATCAAGTAGATCTCGCGGGGCTTCGTCCAGAGCGAGGTTGGTGCGCCTGGGAATGGATCAGATCTCATTGACAGAACGGACAGCATGGTATCACACACCAATGTGCACATTAGACCTCGGAACCACCGGTGCTGTACCATACATTTCGATAGATCTGTGGGCAATCCTACACCATCCAGTCACGTGCAGTTTGTCCGTCCGTCGGTTGTACTGCGGTACCCACTTGAATATGTAGCACCGTGTTCAGGATTACTGGCTCGAGGCCTTGTCGTGCCAAAGACATAACATGACTGCAGCGTGTCATGCCCGCGGTGCATGTGTGAGATGCGAGCGATAGAAGGCCAACCACGTACAGCATAGCCTCGAGACCAGCAGGCACTACTGGCCAGGCTTAGGCCAGGCACACGGTGATAAGTCGCATAGCATAGTGGCCGGCCCATCAACAACCTGACCGTGCCTGAGAGTCTCTGAGACTTCCATCGTGATAGAGTGAGAAACAAGTGTATTCGCACGGCGAGCCGCCCACGGGCCACGGCGCCAGCGTTCGGCTGGGACTGAGATACACCTTCATTCCAACCCCCGCCATCCTCGTCAATGTCGCCCGCCATCTATGCCCACCGTCCTCACCTCCACAGCTAGCGCGACCTCCGGGGACCCGTACCTCCTCACCGGCAGCTACTCGTGGCTCGACAGCCGCGTCGCCTCGTACATCCGCATCGCATCCGTGTCCATTGCTGCGTACGAGTGCGTGTCTGAACAGTCTGGCCTGCATGCGAGCAACTGAATGGCCATTTTCACAGCTACGTGATAACGTTGCCGGCGGAATGGCGGTTCTACAAGAGCCAGAGGTCGTGGAGGCTGAGTACGGGCTGCATACTGTTCATCCTCATCCGGTGCGTCCTCTCGTGCATCTCTCTTTGGCCCGGAGTCGCTCACGGGCTTGCTACAGCTACATCAGCGTGGCCGTCCTCGCCTTGAACACCGTAGGCTTCTTCGACCGCTTCAGTCCGGATACATGCGCGCACTATTCTGGGTTGGCCCCATATTCAAAGGTGCGGTACGCCCCCCTCGCTCCTGTAGGGATACTGATGTATCCTCGGTGCTCAGTGCTTCAGACTATGCTGTCTCAAATCATCCTGGGTATACGGTGCGTCAGATCCTCTCCAACATGCCTGCTCGAGATCTCCTCGCTGGTGTGGATGTCTTCCCGCAGGGTTTGTACAACGCGTTCTATCCTAACGTCGCAGGTTGTTCCGAACTCCTTGACCGAGATTTCTCCTTCGTAGTCTATTGCGTTTCGGAAACACGAACCATACCATTGCTCCCAGTGCTTCAGTCTTCTGTGGAACGGGCTCGACACAAGGCTAAGACGCTGATTTGAACTGCGTACAGTACTATCAACATCTCTCGGCGGTCCCCATACGTGACATCCATAGTCGCCGCGCTCTTCGTCTTGGTCACAACGGTTCGTCATCTCACTACTGGCTCAAAGAAGCTCCCACTCACTTATGCTCGCAGGGTGAATGGTTCACGGACCTATTCCATCGCAACCGTGAGTCTTCTCTCGAAAGAAATAGGACTGCTCCCGCTCACGAAGTCCCCCAGACGTCCAGAACTACGTAAGTGAGCCTCATACTTTCCGGCAGTGGATGAGTGGGGCCGTTGCGTACGACCTGTTGCTTCGTCGTTGGTCGCCTACGGGATGTTGAAGTCATTAGCCCCGAAGGTCGCCCAGGGGCTTGTGTGATGATCCTCGCTGAGCGTACTCAGGGAACTCGTCGCTCATTGTCTGTTGCTTGCGACGTCTGCGGGGTGCATCGGATCGCGTCTTTGTAGTGCCTGAATGCAGCCTTTGACCGAGTTGTGATGCTGACATAACGATTGGCATACCACTAACAGCGACACAAGTACGTCCTCCTGCAATGATCCGATCTGCGCACACTGACGTCGGTTTCTGCAGTTGCACCGTTGGCGAGCACGGAATGTTCCTATCCGCGTGGCTCTACTACCTGCTGGCGATGATCTACGACGCGGTCGTGCTCTGTATATCGTCATTCTACCTCGTACGGTATGGGCCTGTGGCTGGAAGGTGAGGGAACCCGCGCCCTCAATGTTGCGAGTTGCTGACGGATCAACGATAGGCTGTCAGGTCTCGTCAAGTTGTAGGTGGCAGTCGTCTGGCGGTAGCTGGATTCGCAGCGGCTGAATCTTGACCGTTCGTCAGGATGCTGTATGACGGTCTCGGATACTTCGTGGTCCTCACAGGTGCGAGACAGACTCCCCGCCACGTACATCGTTCTGACCATCATGCGCAGCCGCGAACATCCTGAACCTTGTGCTCTACCGCACGAGCGATATTCTGACACAGGTCCGTCTGGTCACTTATCCGCCTCCAATCACTGACATCCCCCCAGTCGTCAGGGTCGGTCACATCGCCCCCAAGTCGTTACCTAAACTGATGTCTATCCTCTGACAGCGCCGCCGTGGGTGAAGCCGTGACCTGGATTATGAGCCAGAAGCTGCTCATACACCTCCGGGACGCCGCTGCGGACGCCAACCGGTCCACGCACGTCGTCTCCCTCCCGGTGCGCAGTGGGCGCGCCGTCTCGCGCGTTATGCGCTCGCACTGCTCCGCCCCTCACTCGTACTCCTTGCCGTTCTCGCCGGGCAGTCGTGGGAGCTCGCACCAGCGGAAGAGCACCGGTGAAGCATATGCGGACGGAGACGCGGATGCGGACGGGGACGTGCTCGCGTGGTCGGGCACGTCGCTGACGGACCTTGTGGGGAACTTGAGCGACATTGAGCTGGACGTGCAGGTGGAGATACAGCGCACAGTCAATGTGGAGGAGAGCTGTCGTGGTGCGGAGGAATGTGGCTGCGCGGAGCGGGTGCCGTGCGTCGTGTGGGTGGGGAATGGTGCTCGACCTGAGGGGTTCACCGAGAAGGACTTGGACCAGGAGAAGGCGGGGCCGGGGAGGTAGCATTCGTGGTTTAGGGCTTCACGTTACGGCGAGTGATTCAGAGTTGAGCGGTGTACGGGGCCTGATGCATAATGTTCGAACTCAGTCGCTTTAGTGGATCTATGTGGTATTGTTATTGCTTTGCGCATGATCGTGTCCTGCACTTTGCTCTTGCTATCTTCGCATGTACATTCGTCTATTCCTGCATCGTCATTCTATCATTTGGGTACTAGTACACGTCGTCGTAATACACGTCTACTCTCGACGGCCAACTCTGTATCAGTCGTCGCGCATCTAGCAGTTCTCCACTTCAAATGCGTCAAAAAGAACATCGGCACTGAATCCCTTCGAACAACCTGGCTAGTCGGTGAACGTTGCCGACAACATGCAAGGCCTCTGAAGTAGGTGGTGGTATGTACCATACTGGCTTCTACTACTTACGAAGGTGGGAATACGTACTACTTATGTACGGTGTGATTCAGCTGGTGCTCTCGGCGTCTCGCGCGTCCCCTCGGCTTCAACCTGAACATGCACCTTTGCACTCTGGGGTCTATATGTAGCTACGGCGGCTTGGAGGATACTCCCCAGCGCGAGCTCAATGGAAAGCAATGTCCGAGCAGACAGCCAATCCTTCCCCTACCACCCTCAGGTCATTGGCACGACAGTATCTGGTATGTGATCGAGATTGTGCGCACAGGAGAAGAAGCTGAGTCGGACCATTGGTCGTACAGCGCGAGGACAATCTGCACGTATGGCTGCCACTCTGCGTAGCAGTGCCGTTTTTCGCACTGTTCTCAGGGACTCGAGACTCGGTGGTCTGGCGTCGCCTACACCCGCCAGTCATACCTGGATCGTAACGGACCATTAAGGACACCCTGGTCGTCCCTTTGGAGACAGGTGTCGCAACTTGGGCAGTAATGTATTGGCTCGTACGCCAGAGGCAAGTGCGAGTGGAGGAGGAGACGGACGAGGCGTTCGCGACCATACGCCGTGCTCATGCAATTGCGACCCAGGCTGCGACACGGGATCGCACGCAGGCCCTTGTGAGTGTGTTCAGCAGTGGTAGTATCGGGACTGCTACGGATCTAGCAGGTACGTCGCACTGGATCATTATCGAGTGGCTGGCCGCTAACGTGAATAACGATGGGTCTTCACAGGGTCGGGTGGCCCGGAGGACTCTTCATTCAGTATATCGGAAAGGATCTGCATGGCGGTCGCCAAACTTTGGGTGTCCCCCTCGTCGGTGGCAGCGATGCGCGCAGCCTTGGAGGGGGACCTGCGCTCACCTCATGACATTGACGTGACGACGCTCTATCTCGGAGGGACGCTGGAGTGGCGTGCACACCAGGTAAGTGACGCACCTGCTGTTGGGCCCGTCCGTCATTGAACGCTCCCCGCCGTGACAGTGGATCGCAGGGTTGGGCTTCCTGTTTGCTGTCCTGGATACGACATGGCCTGCGTTCACCAGACGGGTGCGGCCGAGGTATCTTCCGGCAGGGGTCTTGGTCGGACTTATCGGCATGAACTCCCTCCTCCAGTTCCAGCACTGCTGGTTGCCCTTCCACGTCCGTAACAGGCATGCTGTTGCAGCAGTGCTGAGAGACAGGTTCCGGCTGAAAGGCGATGCCGTGTCCGTTCAAGACTGAGGCCTGAGTCAGCCTGTTTAATGGCACTTGTTGCTTTCTCGCTACCCCAGGCCAAGTTGCTGTCATGTTTCTGTATCTGCTATCGTGCTGTTCTGCTGTCCTGCTGTCCTAACCTCCCCTCACGCCTATTTATTCGTCTTGATCCTGCATAATTGTACTATTCTACCGCCCAAGTCTCGTCGTGTGCGTATGCCACTGTGGGCAACAAGGCACCTTAAGCGGCGGGAGGCGACAACCACGTCTTCCCCTTATCTTGTAAGTACTCGAAGCCATGTAAGTATGTGCGCGGTTTCGCAGGCGGCCAGGTGCCCAAGCGCTTCTTGAATTTGGACGACCATGTCGGTAGTACGAGTTGTTTTCTTTTCACGCACAGGTCTCATGTAATAGCATAGCGACCCCCCAATTGTCTCAACGTATCTTGCCTTCGGTATGATTTCGCACAGCGCGTGGTATTGTCAGCGGTATTATTAGTGACGGAAGAAACAGTACGCTATGGTCGGAGCGGGACATACGGAAGATCGTTTTGCTATTCGCTACATTGGGTCGATGTTACGGACATCCAGGGTATCACATTCACAGGTTCGTGACATCCTTGACCACGGCCATTAATGCGCCTGTGCTCATACAACCGAAGTTGTAGTCTGCCAAGGTTGTAGACCTGATGGCTTCCACAAGCGTGTTGTTGTAGTCGCTCGCGGCTTCCCACATCGCCCAGCCTCGCAGACCTGCTTCCCGTATGTACTGCCCCTTGGCCACTGTGCTCAGCATCAGTAGCTTGTTCTTGGCGGCAGCCCGAAAGGCGACTTACAGAAGGACTCCGCATTATCGTAGGAGACCATCGTTTGCGTGTTGGGGTTATACACGAACGGCTATGCCATCGAACCAGGTAAGCTACCGCCCAATCAGGATCAACACGGGTGGAGACTCACCGTAGAGCTGCACGAGTCCCAGAGGTAGTCGATCCCGTCCGCGGGGTTCCCGTCAGCGTCGAGGAAGCCCTTCTGGTACATCCCCCAATAGTTGAAGATCCCCGTCACCGCGCTCGACGTGTTCCCACACACATCCGTCGCCGTCGTCCCCGGCGCAGCCGTGTCCCAGCTGTCCCCGTTCGGCTGGCCCGCAGCGTCGAACGGCGCATACATCCTCAGCGTCTTGTTCGCCGCCGATACGTACGCGTTCGCCTTCGCCACCTTGAAGCTGTGCCCGTAGCCCGCGACGCCGAGCACGATCTTGTCTGCTTTGAACCCTGCGGCGGACCAGGCCTTCACTGCGCTCATGGCGGAGCCCTCCTGGTCTGCGGTGGGTGCACACGCGTCGGCGAGTGGTGAGTTCGGGCCGACCGACGAGGAGAAGCTACCAAACACATCGTAGTTCATGGGCTCAATGTAGTCGAGCACAGAGTAGAACCCGGAGACGTCTGACATGGGCGACCCTGAGGAGCCGAGGAAGGGCTTGAGCCCCACGGCGGCGGAGAGGGTCTTGGAAGGTAGGCGACTTCGGAGCTCTTGCAGGAACAGGAGATAGTTCGAGGCATCGTTGGGAGACTGCTCATTACAACCTACCCCAGCCTGACTCGGGTATTCCCAGCTATATTCTTCGAATCAGCGCATGTACAGAGACAGGGAAGGCGGGAAGACGCACTCAAAATCGAGGCCGTCCAAGTCGTAGTTGTTGACGAGTTGGACGGCGGCGTTGACAAAGTTTCCCCTGCTTTGCTCAGTAGCTACCGCAGACGAGAAGTGTAAAGAACCGGTCCATCCACCAACAGTGACTGATGCGTTCACGTTCTGATCCGGACATGATATTATCAGTTCCGACTCCGAAATCGAGCAGAGATAGGCTCTTACATGTGTATGTGCCTCCTGCACAAACAGCTTCAATTGGGTATCATACCCGTCAACAGGTATCGACTGATCTGTACCCGGTTCGCTAATGGGCGCTTGTCAACGTTATGAGACAACTTGCGTCGAGAAAGCACTCACAGGAAGGCATATGATACCCTGGTGTACTGCGTCCAGTTCATATTCGCAAGGCCGAACGACGGGCTATCTGTGTCCTCCCAATTCGCGAACCACCCCATCGCGACTGGCATCTGCGTGCATGACCCTCTTGGGACCACCGCCGCAGACGCCGGTGCCACAGACGCGAGTAGCGGGAGGAGAGACGCCACCAAGGCTATGCGTAATGGGTCGTACATGCCCAGCATGTTGTGAGGGCTGTACTACTAGAAAGAGGGGCAATGTAGTCGTACCAGTCAGGAAGGAAGAGAGGCGGGAGAGGACGTTCAAAGTTTCCACCCGGGCTCTTATAAAAGCCGCGTAATTGTTCTGGGTCGTCAGCCACGCGGCTGCCAGGAGGACAACAGCAGGATGGTCCTACATAGTGTCAACCTGTCCGCCAAGCCTGGACCTACAACATGACCTATCCGTTTGTTCGTCGCGGGCTTCGTGGCGGGGCTGTGTCGACATGAGTCGGAGGGCTACGAGAGGGCGTCGAATGCGTTGTGGCGCAACCCAACTTGGACCTGGTCAGTGCGATTTTCGAAGCCATATGGATCACCAGGTTGACCGTCGGTCTGTCGAGTGCATGGACTGGCATGGAACACAGTAACAGTGATGCAATAGACACGCAGGACTGAGACGTACAATTGTACAGTGACAAGATGAAAACGAAGCGTCGAAAAGTGCATCGCGGTCATTACTATTGCAATCGTAATCGCCACGTGCACGACTCAACGCAAACCAATTCGGAAATGTATAGAGAAAGACGAAAGGAATACGACTTCTCCATAACTCGAGTTCAACACTTACTGATGACGGCCATGTCAATCAACAGACCGTACTCAAGTTCCCACCAAACATCATGAATGCGAGAACTTCGAAGAGATGCTAAAATACAACGCGGCCTCTGGCGCAAATGCATATGGAAAGAGTAAGTAGTATGATTGGAACGTTAGACTACGCAGGACAGCTCTTAATTCAGTCCGTCGAGTGACCCAGTCAGGCGGCCACCGTAACTACGTGTCCATACAATTCCAGACTCGGGGACCACGGGTATCCAGATGATGGTGACTAGTAACGCGCACTATAGGGGACGATGCACTTAGCACTCCTCGCAGCTCGCGACGAGACCCGAGACCTTCTTGCCAGCACCGCTCGAGGCCGAGTCGGTGGCCGAGGCGGCAGCAGCAGAACCGGCGTCGGAAGCAGCGGCAGCAGCGTCGGTAGCAGATGCCTCACCGGAAGAGGCAGCACCGGAGGCACCAGCAGCACCGTCGGAGGCACCAGCAGCACCGTCGGAGGCACCAGCGCCAGCGTTTGACCCGGCTGCACCAGCGTTCTTCCCAGATGCACCAGCGTTCGACCCGGCTGCACCAGCAGCATCCGTAGCGGAGGCGGCGGCGGCGGCGGCGTCGGTGGCAGAGGCATCAGCAGCACCGGCACCAGCAGCACCAGCATCGGTAGCACATGCACCAGCAGCGGTCACGGTGACGGTCGTCGTAGCTGCAGCGTCGCCAGCTCCGGCGTTCGCGTTACCAGCTCCGGCATTGGCGTCGCCAGCTCCAGCGTTCGCGTTACCAGCGCCCGCGTTGCCCTTCGCTGCGCCCGCGTTGCCACTCGCCGCACCCGCACTGCCGTCGGCCGCACCCGCATTCCCGCCGGCCGCGCCAGCGCCGGCGTTCCCTTTGGCTGCACCAGCACCAGCTTCCCCGCCGGCAGCACCAGCGCCAGCGTTCCCGTCAGCAGCACCAGCACCGGCGGTAGAGTTGGCAGCGCCCGCACCAGCATTGGCGTTAGCATCACCAGCAGCAGCGTTGCCCGCACCGGCGTTACCAGCAGCGGCGTTGCCCGCGCCAGCGTTGCCGTCGGCCGCGCCAGCAGCGGCGTCGCCAGCACCTGCGTCGCCGCCAGCCGCACCAGCACCAGCGTTGCCTTTAGCCGCACCGGCGCCGGCTTTGCCGTTGGCTGCGCCAGCGCCGGCGTTCCCGCCAGCTGCGTCAGCACCAGCGTTTCCGCTCGCGGCACCGTCGCAGGCGTTCCCGCTTGCAGCGCCAGCGGTAGAGTTAGCAGCACCCGCGGCCGCGTTACCGGCAGCGTCGCCGGCATTGGCACCGGCAGCGCCCGCAGTGCTGTTTGCGGCGGCAGCACCGTCAGCTGCACCGGCGCAGGTCGCGTTTTGCGCAGCGGCGGCGGCGGCGGCGGCCTTCTTCTTGTCCTTGCCTTGGTGCCTGCGAAGGAGGCCAGTGACGCCGGCGACGTCGGACTCGACGGCGCCAAGGACACCGTTTACGAGGCTCGCGCCAGGGATAGCGTCAGCCTGGCGACGCTTGAGGCCGGTGAGGTCCGACGCGGTGGTCTCGACGGCGCCGAGGACAGCGTTGACGGCAGACTCGCCAGGTAGACCGAGGTCGGGGACGGCGATTTGACGTGCGGCCTTGGTAGAAGTAGCGGTCGCGCCTGAGATACGCGTGTCAGTTGAGTTGTAAAGACAACTTGGCAGAAGGAACACTTACTAGGTGACGACGCGAGGGGCATCGCCCAGACGGACGGAGACACCATAGCGGCGATGGCGAGGACCCTGAACGCGGACGAAAAACGTGACATCTTGGTCGTGTCGGGGACGGTGAGGCGTTCAGTGAGATGCGCGACGGTTGCTGAACGACAGGGAGGGAAGTGCTGACGAGCGTTTAGACAGTTGAGTTAAGGAAAGTACACGTTCGAGGCGACTAGGCACAGGTCAACGGTTCGAACGGAGCACCGGGCTCAGGGTGGGACAGACTGGGAGAGATGAAAGAAGCGGGGATGCAGAAAATCGACGGAAAACCTGGCATTATATACGGACTCTGAACAAAGGGAGATGAGACGATGGCCGGTTGGGAGGGACTGTCGCCGTCGACGTCCGCGACTTCTGTGCATGATGGAGGTGGAGCGAGTTGGAGCCGCTTCGGACGCTTCGTGAGTCGAAGAAGAGGCGAAGCGTCGGCGCGTTGCCCACGGAGGGCATCATGAGCTCATTCCGGGGTAGCCGACCAACTCTATCGACCGCCCCCGAGATCATTTACCCCTTTCGTCATGGCTTGTTCTGTCAGAATTGAGCAACCCGTTATTAACCGACGCGACAACGAACTATCCGCAGCAGGGAGATCACCTCAGGCTTCCCTGATCCTCGCATGGCAACAGAGTGCCTTCGACGCGGGTGCACGTTGTCCGCCCCCCCGCCGCGTTGTAGACCTCTTTCGCACACCCGTACAGCATCCGCCAGTTTCGAGGGTGAGCAACGCACCGATTGCGATAATTTTAGATGAACGCCGCCAGTTTGCGCATCACACGCAACGCGGCATTCTAAGCACGCTATTCTCGATGGATTTCCTCGCGTATTTGGCTGGGAATAACGAGGTCAGTCTGCATCGTGAGGGCATACCGGAGTCACTGAGTTGGCGTGCTAATGCATTCTGGGACGACGGATATCTTAGCGTAGCACGAGCCATCTGGGACGAGAATAAGTTTCACAGACACATCATTGAAAAGAAGAGGGTCTCACTTGAGTCTCAGAGGTTTTGGGGAGGGAGGCAACCGGAGGCAACCGGCCCGCGAGTGATGCAACGACAGGTGCCCTGGGAGAGGCCACATGACGTCGGCAATTTCCTTTCCGAGGTCGAGATACCACAAGCGCCCGAGCATCCCATCTGTGAATGTAGTCAGTGATACGCAAATGGCGGCGACGGTCTCTTCAAGTACTGATGTGCCGTACCCTCCAGGGTTCATCGAACATAGCTAACATCACACCAGACAATCGTGGGGAGACCTCCAGTCAAAAATGCATAGTGCAACGGCTACGACAGCTATATATTCAGTCCATCAAGCACGCGTGCACTAGTGGCCGACGCCCAGGTCGGCCGAGTCTGTGTCGTTAATCGTGATAGTTGATAACTTAAACAATAAATGGGCATCGCCGTCGTGTCGTAATCCGGGGGCGTTCGTCATCATGGAGCTTCGGTCAGGATCAGTGCACCCCCTCGTACATGCGGCGCAGGGGCACGCGGCGCATCTTCATGGGCGTGGGCACTGCGGCCCCAGTAGGCGAGCCAGCGACGCGTCCGTACCCGTGGAAGAGCCGTCAGTGGGCGCGGAAGAGCTTCCAGAGTCGGTGGACGAGGCAGAGCCGGTGGATGAGGCAGAGTCGGTGCTAGAGTCTGTCGCCGTGGGGGTAGACGACGCGGACGAGTCAGTGCGGACGCAGCACCCGACGTTGCAGCGGATGAAGCAGCGGAGTCGGTGGGAGAGGCGCTAGCATCGCTTGACGCTGCGGAGTCCGTGGCAGTAGGCGTAGCGCTTGAGTCCGTGACACTTGCAGATGCGCCAGACGTCGCAGCAGATGAGGCGGCAGAGTCGGTGGCAGACGCGCTGGCCCCGCTCGATGCGGCAGAATCCGTGGCAGTAGGCGTAGCGGCGCTCGAGTCCGTAGGGCTTGCAGACGCGTCAGACGTCGCGGCAGATGACGAGGCAGAGTCGGTTGCGGAGGCACCGCCGGTCGCGGACGCGGACGAGGCAGAGTCAGTTGCAGAAGCGCCTGCATCCGTGGAAGCAGTCGAGGAACCTGCGTCGCTCGTCGCAGCGGAGGCGGCCGACGCACCATCACTGGTGGCACCTGTTGATGCGGAGTCCGTTCCAGACGCGCCCGCAGATGAGGACGCATCTGTCGGGGTCGCGGCCGGGTCACTGGTCGCGCTAGACGACGACGAGTCAGTGCCAGTCGCGGAGGCGCCGCCAGTAGCATCCGCCGGATCGGACGAGTCGGTGGGTGTCGCGCCTGTACCATCTGAAGGGGACGGTGTCGCGCCCGTGCCATCGGCAGACGAAGGATCAGCCGTGGGCGTCGCACCCGCAGTCGGGGCAGAGCTATCGGGAGCACCTGAGTCCGTGGGGGCAGCTCCGGCAGAGCTGTCGCTGGCCGTCGCGCTTCCAGACCCATCCGTCGAGCTGCTCGAGCCATCCGTACCAGAAGAGCCAGTGGGCGTATCGGTGGGGACGCTACCCGGCAGACCGGAACCAGTACCGGAAGGGTCGGTGCTGCCAGCGGCGGGCGCAGTGACCGTAACGGTGACCGTGGTGGTCGCAGTCGCTTCCCAGAGCTCGAGCCATCGGACGGGGCTGCACCGCTGGTCGGGGCAGAGCCGTCAGCGGAAGTAGCACCGCCCGTCGGAGTAGCGCCATCCGTAGGCGCAGCACCATCCGTGGAACTCCCAGTGGGAGCAGCCCCATCCGTAGAACTATCGGTGGGCGTAGCGCCGTCCGACCCGCTCGAGCTCGAGGCATCTGTACCGGATGCGATACCACTGCCGGCTGGCGAGCCCAAACCACAGGCGTCGGTGGAACCGGCGCTCGAGGCGGTGCTAGTGGCGTCTCCTGGAGGCCCGGAGGTGGGGTTCATGCCGCTCAGGGGGTCGCTACCTGTGTCATCTACCTGGCGGCGGTTCCATGGCAGCTGGTGGGATCCGGTCGCGCGAGCAACGAAGCTCGTCACGGAAGAGGTAGCGACTGGAGGCGATGCCGAACGTCAGCGAAATGTTTCTCAGAAGACGTGCACGCGAGACGTACCATGAGGGCGCACAAACGGTGCACGCTCTTGGATGGGCGCAGCCACAACCGAGGACTGGATCGCCAGGATCGCAACGAGGAGGAAAGCGAAGGGGGACGTGAAGCGGGACATGATGAGTTCGTCAAGAACAGCGGGGATGAGCGATGCGACGTAAGGTGGATGGATGCCCAAGGGCGTAAACAAGGTAACCTGGAAGAAAGCGAGTGAAGACCAGCAACAGATGAAAAACCGGACTGGGCACTAGGCTCAGTGGAAGAAGAAAAGAGGAAAAGAAATGCAGCAACGCATGCGCGAGGGTGCAGCTATATATGAGCCCCGGTAATGCGAAACATGCGAGAGCGGAACAGGTTGGACAGCGATCATGATGAGTCTGATATTGTGGAGCCTTGGACTGTTACATTTGGCTACATTAGACAGGATCCCGGAGGCACCGTCGAACAGGACCGCCCAGTTTATGGGCGCCTCCCGAGCACAACCACGGTGATTTGACGATGCATACCCGCAAGATACCCGTGCCGCCAAGTGTCAGCGCTCTGGCAAGTCGGCCCCTTCACCTCTTTCGTCATGCATCAACGAAATTGCCGGCGAGGCTGTCCATGTAAATGATGTATGATTGCGCTGAAGCGGCCGGACGGCGCACGTACCTATCGAACGGTCCAGGTGCACGCGCGGCAGCACGAGAGGCACGAGAGGCCCGAGACGTCTCACCACGTCTCCGACTCGGAAGCTGTGACGATGGATCAAAGAGGGCACGATGTTAGCACTGCACGCAGCTGCGCGCTCGCCAACCATCCCATGATCCCGTGGCCCCAAACGGCGCATACCAGCCAACTACCAGATGGTGAAAACAGGGCCCCGCGCTCTGACCCTACTCCCTTGTGGTCGACAGATGATCGCAGCAACATGAGATGCAGTGATAGCGATGCGTATAAAGATCGATCATCGTTGGATGACCTTGCTTGGATCCAGAACCGAATCCCGGCTGAGGTTCAAGCAGTGACGAAACTCAACAGCTGGTAAGTTGTGCCCGATCAGTGTCATCTTCCAAACAAAATGCCACGGAGAAGGGACGTACATACGACGCACCGCCTGCTCCAACTTGTTGATGGCAGACCTTGAAGCTGCGAAAGCAATTACGACTAGGATCGATAGCACGCTAAGAATACACCTGTGGAAGGCTAGTTCTACAATACATCTACGACCGGGCGAAGTTGAACCGCCAGCGCAGGCCGGACCATGTTGAACGTCCCGCCCTTTTACACCAGAAACAATCCGCGGACCCAAGACTACTCACCACCCGCTCAATCGTCCTCCTCGATGCCCTGCGGTCTCTGGAGCGTGCTCACGTCCACGCCAGGCACCGGCCACCGCCTCGCGAACGTGTGGACCTCCCTCCGGAGCGCCTTCACGCCCTTCGCGCCCTCCTTGCCCTCCTCCTCCGTAACCGCGACGCGCACAAAGTCCTTCAGGAGCTTGCTACCCGCCTCTTTCTGGAGCACAAGCGCGAGCTGCACCGCACGGTGCAGGAAGCCCGCCACGACCTTCATGTCGCCCTCGAGCATGTTGCGTGACGTGAGCGCCGACGTGCCCAGGCGAATACCACCCGGCGTCTGCGCAGAGGCGTCGCCCGAGACCGCGTTCTCTGTTCGTGCAAGTCAGTGCGTGGTCCCGTGGGATTACAACGAGAAACGTACTGTTGATGGTGATCCCAACGAGGTCACACAGCTTCTCGAGCTTGCTCCCGGTGAGACCGAGTGGCCGCAGGTCCCAGAGGACGAGGTGGTTGTCCGTGCCCTTCGTCTGCAGCTTGTAACCGTTCCGACGAGCTCGTCACCGAGCGTCTTGGCGTTTGCGATGACCTGCTTGGCGTATGCCTTCCATGTTGGCGAGCACGCCTGCTTGAGGGCGGTGGCAATACCAGCAATGGTCTGGAATCCATGATTGTCAGCCACTGATCGCCGCATACGATGAGAGACAACTGACGTTGTTGTGCGGGCCACCCTGGCAGGCAGGGAACACCGCGTCGTTCACGCGCTTCTCGAGGTCCTTTGCCTTCTCGGAGTCTTTCCTGAAGAAGATCAGACCCGCGCGGGGACCACGGAGGGTCTTGTGCCTATTCCCGGAACACGTCGGCGATCCGTGCTCGGGACAGACGGGATAGGAGACTCACGTCGTGGTCGTGACAACGTCACAGTACTCAAACGGATCCGCGAGCTCCCCGGCAGCGACGAGGCCGCTCGTGTGTGCGATGTCCGCCATCAGGAACGCGCCATGCTCATCCGCAACGGCACGGAGCGCGGCATAGTCCCAGTCCCGCGGGTACGCCGACGCACCGCAGATGACGAGCTGCGGCTTGAAGATCTTCGCCTGCGACGCGAGCTGCTTGTAGTCGATGAGCTGTGTCGTCGAGTCTAACCCGTACGGGAACGACTGGAAGTAGATGGACGACGCCGTCATCTTCTTCTTGGCAGTCTGCAAGCGAAATGTCAGTGGAGTGGCATTATAGAGCGCAAGATGAGGATCAATGGAAAGATTAGACTGGACACGGTGGCTATGCATTGACAAAGATATCCGCATGCATGACTCCTAGTGGCTCAAGGGCTCAGGACGATCACTCCGAAAGTCTCTCAAGAGCTCGGGCGTCGTGCGCTGGGAGGCGGCGGAGGCTCGCATCCTCCAGACAACGTGCACCCCGTTCCGAACAACGTCTGCCGGCTCACAATATATTGTCGGATGCAGCCTCCCCGCATCTATTTGAGGGTGTTCGGAGAAGCGAAGGAGAATGTGTGTACGCACGTAGTAGCCGTGCGTCAGGTGACCGCCGTCCGGAAGCCCGAGACCCATGAGCCTGTCCTGGGGCTGGAGGAGCGCAGTTAGGGCGGCGAAGCTGAAGAGGACGCGTCAATAGTGCAACAGGGTATCAACGTACGATGCCTACTTAGCGGTCTGTGATGCGGATCAGATGAGCGTGGAGACAGCGACGAAGGACAGGACACATACGCTACCAGAGTATGGCTGGACGTTGACACCCCACTTGGAGGGGTCGAGGTGGAACGCCTCGAGCGCACGCTTCCTGCAGAGCAGCTCGAGCTCGTCGATCCATTCGTTGCCGCCGTAGTACCGGGCGTTTGGGAGACCCTCCGAGTACTTGTTCGTGAGGATGGACCCGTTAGCCTCCATGACGGCTTGACTCGTCAGGTTCTGGCTTGCATGTGAGTGTCGCGAGCGCAGGGCCATGTAGATTTAACACACCTCAGAAGCGATGAGCTCCAGGCCCGAAAACTGCCTCCATGTCTCCTTGTCGATAATATTCTTCACCTCCGGGTCGACCTCGGCGAGTGGGGCATAGAGCGTCTTGTTCTGCAGCACCAAGACAGTTAGTCACGATGCGAGTACAGCAAAAAATTGGAGATAAATGCGCACAAAATCGGGGATGGAGGCCATCGTTCTGCGTGCGGCGGGGGCGAGGGCGGTAGGATGGATGGGACGAATGGGACGAGTCAAGAGACGCAGCATTTTGACTTTGAATTTTGGGCGGCGGAATCTGACGCGATCAAGTCTAGTTCCCTAGCGCCCATAAATCCACGCCGCGCCCGATCACGTGCGGGTTAATTCCTCATTAGGGGCGAAACCCGACGCGTGGGGATCGCGCGCCACCTTCGACCTCCTTCGACGCTTCTCCTGCTCTTCGCGTTGTCTTCGCGTCCTGCATTTGCGGGAATTTCGAAGCCAGGTGAAGAAACAGCCTGGCCGTCTTGCACCCATCGTACCATCTTTTTTTGTAGAAGATGGTGTGCTTGCGCGGAAGCGAACGCCTAGCATCTGGTGAGCCAACAATTGTATTGGACGTGGGCTGGCACGACTCACAATTTGACTAGGCTGTGTCTTGCACGATACACGCACGAGCTGTTTTACGTCCTGTCGACAAGACCAAATCAGCTGCACAATAATGAGAGCACCATCGATGCAATGCGCTTGAGCGCCGAACCGTGCGCGTGGTCAGTAAGCGATTTGGTGCTGTTCTCCTCCTCCTGGCTCGCCTGGTCGATGCGTCTCCGTCTCCCTCGTCACCAGTAACTTTCGCGCGATGTTCGCATCGTTTGTTCGTGCGGGCACAAGTCCGCCTTAAGTGCACATACCTTTGACAGGCAAGGACCTACTTATCATAGAAACTGTCTCGGAGACAAACCGAGATGAACGGCGAGAGCAAACGGTTTACGGATTGGGAAGGTGCACTTCCATGAGAGGAAGGTGTTGTACGTCAAAACCACGTGGGTGTTCGAGTGATGTTTATTTCCGTCAAGCTGAGTGTCGTTGGATTTATTCCCCGTTATGTGTTAATTTGCCGTGAAATTGTTCGTCAAGTAACTGAACGACGACAAGATGTCACCGGACGGAAATTTATGACTGCTATTGATGGCAGTCGGTACATACGGAATCACCATGCGGGCCAAGTGAACAGTAGGAGCGGGGACTGCGCCGACGTACTGCTCGGGCTCGCCCTATCTAAACGCTACTTGCCGGCAGACGAGCGACTTCACCGGGCGTTGACGAGACGGTGAAGTTGAAGTTCTGGGTCAACCACCCCAAAGCTCATCTCTCCTCTCTCGACACAGAAAATGAATGCGGGCATTGACGTACGATCCCGAGGACCTATAGTGCGCTGTTATCAATGGCATGCTGTATCGAATGTCTATGGGATCATAGGCGACATACGCATTGATAGTGACCGGCACGCGCACGCCGTCCGCATCACCACCTAGTAACTCCAACCCTTGTAGGAGACATTGACTATCCCGCGATCGTGCCACGGCCTGAGTAGTCGCCGCAACATGGGAACGACCGCTCGGGCGACGTCGTCCGCCAGCTCCTTGCTCTGTTCCCCAGGGCTGTAATATATTCGCATCCTGACATCGACGCTCCTCAGCGCGTCGAAGTACGGCCGAACCGCGACGTCGTGTAGGCTGCGCAACTGCGAGTCGAATCTGTCGCCGGACGGATTGAACTTCTCCGGTTCCAGGCCGTCGGCGAGCCAGACGTAGAAGTCGAGCGTGATGTGCGCAAGTGCGTGGCTTCGCACAGAGGACAGGGTGGCACGTAGATTGGCTACTACTGCTGGCCAGTTCTCTTCTGGTTGTCTGAGCTCAACGTTCAGGTCCGACTTCAAGCGGTGTAAGGACGTATTGTGAGCAAACTCGTAACCAGGATGACCTGTGGGATGTGGCTACATCAGTGATTGTCCAACTCTGCGAATCGGAGATATACTTCACCGAGAGAAGTGCCATGCGTTTCACGAAAGCAGGTCAGAGACGGCCCACTTTCTCTGAGGAGTCGATCGACTTGATCGCACGCGATCCTATAGTCGGCACTCTTGACGAATCGGAGTTCAACGGCCAAGTCGCTCAGGGAGGCGTATATCGAAGAGCATACAAGCCAGTCGACGAGGTATTCGAGGCTCTGCGAGGCTTCGTAGTCACTCGCAAGAATATCCAGCCGTTTGAGCCTAATCCCCGACTCAGGCCTTAACGAAGGGTCCGCCGGATGCTGATATCTGGGACCGGCAGGAAGTGGTTGTCTGAACGAAACGCGAGACAAGGCGAGGGCTTCCAATTGCGGGAACGCAGAGATGATCCGGCGTAGCTGGAGGGTGTTATACAGCTGGACAAGCGTCAAGCACAATAACGTGAGGTGTCCAAAATGTGAGAGCGCGAGATAGAAGGTCGGGTGCATAACAGGACGCAGCACCCAGTAGACCTTGAGCGCTCGCAGGGCGGGCAACGCACTGGCAAGACGAGGGCAACGCACTGGCAAAGACGAGGGGGAGTGCGTCGAGGAAGGGGGTGTCCCCTTGCACTAGCTTCGCGTCTTTGTGAGACCGGATGACCAGCTCGTGAGTATTTGTGAGCCATCGCTTGATGCGCGTCGATGTGCGGGACTGCTCCACCAGTAGGTCGTAGCTCGTGCGCGACGCAATCTCGACACTGCAGTACAGGTTGTGCATGGCTCGGGGATGCCACGCCCAGCTAACCAGCGCCGCGATGGGCAACATGCACCTGTCGATGCGATCGATGACTCCCTCGAAAATTCGAGAGGGATACGCTCAGTGAGGAGTCGCGGCAAGGGGTAGTCTTGAAAGGGCCCAGTGCGATCGTCTTCACCATCCGCAACCGAGTTCTTCTCCCACTGTTCCTCTGAGTCGTCCAAATCACGCGCGTGACTTTCATCCGATTCGTCTTCGACGTATGGTGCTGCTTCGATGCTCAGACGCCTGGTGAAAGTACCTAGTAGTCATAATTCAGCGAGACTTGTACGGTACAACATCTGATGAATAGACCGACCTGAGAAGGGATGGCCCCGATATCACTCATGGCATCTGTGTTGACGTAAGTATCTTGCATTTTTATTTGCTGAATGGTACGTGCCAGAGAGGGGCAGGCGACTCGGAGGTCGAAGACATATACCTCGATCCAGCGCTAGTTATGCAGCCTCCCTGCGTTGTCATTGCGAGTAGGAGAATGTACCGAGACTGGTCCGCTGACACGCCAATCGGTGCTCTCCGTTGCCATGGAAGTCGGAAGACATGGTGGTGGCAATATGTGATGTGATCTTAGAGCGAAGACTACCCACCATGTGAGTGCTGTGAGAACTCAGCTCTGCGTGTGTACACACTGTCTGCCGTACGGTAGTCTGGCTTCTCCCACTCATGCAAAACAGCCGCTCTAGTAGCTGCTCAAGCCTGTCTAGGTACGTCGACCCGGACTCGGATCATGGAGCGCCTCTAGAACAGCCTGTGGTTCCCGACGAGAAACTGGCGCGGATCGGGCAGTTGGACGGTGCTTGATAGAATTAGACAGACGTCGTAGTAGAGTAGAGACTCGTTAAGGCCGTGGGATGACGGACTAAGTTACAATGCGCAAGTCGTTGCACGGTGATTGATATCAGACACACGATGATGCGATTCAATGGTGGACTTACAGCTTTAGGGTGATATTATCTGACAGCCAAGCCCTGAAGGCCTGAAGGCCTGAACCAAGTCGCGTCGTCCGGTCCGCGTCATCTTAATTACCTCGAGCTTGTATCCCAATATGGACACCCGGGGATTCACATTTGATCAGAGACGTGTTTAGGCAGATGAGTTGCATGTACATTGCGAAAGTAGATCGTGGCATGTTTCAACTGAACGCCGAGTCAGCAGAGGAATGTCGCGTCGGTCTCGGAGGATTGCGCGTAGTAAACTGGTCACGCGATCGTGTCTGCTCCGAGTCGATTGCCGATCTGAGAATGATCCTCCTCCTTCAGCAGAATCAGCTTGATGTTCAAACGTCCACGCTTTGCATGCCTATATACTGGTGGGTGCTCTAGCTCTAGAACGCTGGAAATTGCTTTGCCATCACAAGGCTGTAGGCCCACCGTCAGCTATCCACACTTCGCCCTGTTCGGGAGGCTTCATGCGCCGCGAAGGTATCAGGACGACTCGTCGTCGAATATCGCAATCGCGTGTCTCACCGGCACCAGCGACATTGTTGTTGCTTTCGTTTTGTAACACATCTGCGTATGCTTGACAGCTCAATATCGGAGGCCTGCTCGTGTTTGTTTCGACAACGGCGGATTCAGACGACTTGGTTGATGGAAGCCGGTATACCGCTCCTATAAGTTAGTATAACATCTCCGTCCAGTTGTTTTACATGGCAAACTCCCTGACCAATTTACCTAGGAATGTACGGGAGAGCGACAGCGCTGTTCTATCGGGATACGGATCGGCTACGGGTGTACGGTGCGTCGCGGGTTGCTCGCGATAAACCGCATTTGACCTAGCTGACTCTAGTCTGTTCCGTCACGCGGCGCATGTTGTGCTGAGAATTTTGTGCTCTTTTATCATGCGGACCGCACTACGTCTTATGGCCCAATCAAGCACGAAGTGGAATAGCCAAAAGGTCCCCAAGCTAATCCGATCATTTCATGGCGTGGATAGCCGGCATATGGGGACCATCGCTCTGGCAAAGTCGTGCGCCGACTTGTAATCATCGGGCATATGGAACGCCTTGACCTTGAAAGCTTGACGCCGAGGTCCATCGATGCGACGGAGCAGCGTGAGGACTTGGCGCGCGCATCAACCGGCTTTATAGTTATATGGCAGCGAAGAGCACAACTATTGGTGGCATCTGACTTAGCGCAGCTTTGATATGGACCGCACGGGGCAGTGCTTACACAGAGATAACAGTGGGAATGGAAGAAGGTTTGGTCAAGCAAACCTTGTAGTACGCAAGCTACTTAACCTAACGGCCACCCCCCGCGCTCCCCCTCCCCCAGCACCTGTATACGGGGTTCCTCTCATAGGTCAACAGGTACGTACGTCTTGCACAAGGCTTCATGTCACTTACGCCGCTACGCGGGACATGACAGGTCATGCAGAACGTTCTTCTCTCCATTGGCAGGTCGAGACGCAAGAAAGCACAACCACGCGCCACCGGCATATCCGATCGCATTCCTATCGAAATCTACGAGAAAGTCATCGAACACATGGACCGGTCTATGCTGCCCAGTGCCGCATTGATTTCCCGAGCATGGTATCCTCGCGCCGCTTTCTGCCTCTATTACACCGTCGTCATCGCATCACGCGCGAGCTACGACTTGCTGGTGAGGCAGCTACGCATGTCGTCCCGTGTCCAGCGATGGCTACAGTCCACACATATCGCAGTGATCGAGGACAGTTTGCAACACCGGGGCGGTATCCCCTTCCTGGACGCCTTCCCTCTGGTCTTCGGCCATGTATGTCTCGCCCTGCAGGTACTCGACATCACTCACATTCTGCGTCCGGATATGGATCCGACTTTCCATCGGGCGCTACGCCAGTTCAAGCACATCGTGTCGTTACGCCTGCATGAAGTCAAACTGAGCAACATTGCCCAGTTGCGACAAATTGTCTGCGCGTTTATGTCTTTGGAGGAGCTGTTTTGGAAAACGTGCTATTCGTCCAGCCACTACTACCGCACACCGCCGGTGCTAGGCTCCAAGATGACCTTTCACGTTTCCGGGATTCCTGCAACATTCGGCTCAAGCGACTCCGAGTCAAAGTGTACTCCGAGCAATACGTACAGACGTTCGGATGCATGACCGATTGGCTTGTATGCTCGGGGATCTGCAGCTCTCTGGTCGAACTGGTGGCTCTGGTGTCGATCCGCCGCAGCCGGAATATGGACCATGCCGCTAAGCACAGTTTAATCGGCTCCTCGAGATCTCGGGGCAGTCTCTGACCTCTTTCCATTGCCAATGCTTTCTGCAACTCCATGGCAAGTAGTCCCCAGGTTCTCTTACTGAGTTGATCATCGCTGAGATTTGAACATCTCCCAGATTATTCTCCTTGCAAATTAGTGCACAACACGGCCTTACGTCAATTGACGTTAGAGCTATCTTTCAACCCCTACGAGTCTCCAGAGGACTCGGACTTCGCACATGCAGCAAGCGAGCTTCGTGGAGCCTTTTCCACGGTCCGGAGTGACCAGCTCAGGCATATCACAGTCCGCTTCAAGTTCAATCTGAACAGCCCTATGCGCCCTCCTCTCAGCCGTTGGTATCGTCATTCCTATGCGCCAGGCTGCTCCCAGCCGTCTGTAGTCAATCTGGGCAGCCCTATGCGCCTTCGTTCCAGCCGTCCGTACGCCCATTCCGGTCTCCTGTACGCTCATTCTGGCATTCTGGATGATCGTCGCGACCCTCGGGACAAGGAGGACTTCAGTCAGTCTTGCAAGAAGCTCGAGGCCGACTCGCGCAGTCTGAACGATGTCTTGGTTGCGCCGTACTTCGACGCATTGAAGGACGTCAAGATCGAGATGCATGTTGTGCATGCAGCGCACGGCTTCGTCCAAGCGATGGCTCCTTTGTTACGACGCTTGTTCATGCCGTGGCATGAACGTGGTATATTATCCATTGCCACGTTTGTGAATAATGTTCCTCTAGACGGCGCGATGCACGAGCGTCGCGTAACAGCCAGTCGTGACTATGCGCGCAAGAGATTGAGCGCATATCCGAGTCGCTCTCTGCGCGAGCTCTATGCTGAGGCCGAGTCCTCGCTAGAGTAATGGAATACCATCCTCCTCCTCCTCCTCCTCCTCCTCCTCGCCGATCCTTTCTCAGCTCAGGCTCTTGACGTATGCGCAGAGTTTCAATCTCAGTTTACGGATTCCACTCGGAGACTCCTAATGTCGAAACATTCGTAGTTATGATCATCGCGAGGCGTGTAGATGCGACAGTCGACGGTAGTAGGCAAATGGATCGGTATCAACGACCCGGGGGGAACACAAGAGACCGCGAGGTTGCAGAGAGGCAGCAGACGCGATATACCAGAACCTGTGCGTCGCGTGAGATGGGGGGAGAATCAAGCACCCACCATCAGCCCGAAGCACGCATGTAGCGAACCCTCCGTAGATGCCTAGTCCTGAGATACGCAGCGATGCTTCGTACACGATGTATATCATATGGGGAACCCTGGATGTGAGGTTGACTGAACTCTGGAGAAGGAGCGTGCTTACAGTTCACCAAGCAACCATGTCCGTCAGGATTACGCCTCCGGTGGTCGGGGATGACAGACGACCTCGCACCTTCTAGTATTGTGGCGGTGGATGCAATTGCAAGCTTGGGACACAGTTGCTCGCAGTAAGACCTGATGAGCATGTCATCAAGCTCGCGAGAAGATCGAATGCACGAGAGTTGACTCGAGACTCACCGGAACGACCCTACATGCCTACACCAGCTGTCAGCGGCCTCCCCAGATGTAGTTCGCGACTATGAATAAGTACTTCGTCCATGTCGTCATTGTCGTCACAGGCAGGCGGCGGGTCAGTGAGCGAGAGTTACAAGCGCGCGGTCTCAGGCTGTTTGGGAGTGGACGACGGCGGACGGCGCGCGCCGCGCTGCCAGTGCCAGTGCCATGCCGCCACAGGCGCGCTTCTGCACCATCGCGCCCCGCCACACGGGCGCCTCTGCGCTCTCCGTTTGCTACTTACTTGCTACTTGCTCAATGCTCATGATCATGTACAACAGCTGTGGCTGCCGTGGATGGCGAAGGCCTTGCAACTTGAACGGCCGCGATGACGACCCCGCCGGGTCTGGACGGACGGACGGCAGACGCACTGTGACACAGCGTACATAGAGGTTGGATGACTCCAAGACCGAAGAGAAGGCGCATCTCTCCCACTGGGGCAAGACACGGCGGTCAGCTCTGGGGCCGAGTCTCCTCTGGTGAGTCTCATCTTGTTCTCTTCCACTCTCGCTCGCTCCCCGATGACAACGCTTCCGTTCGCTGTGACCGGACGACCGTTCGAGTTGGACTCGGACAGACGGTGACTAAATCTAGTTATTATCAGGCTGTCTGACCTCCCTCTCTGAGAAGGGTGCCGACGATTGCATCGTGGGTGCAAATACCAGCGGGTTTGAACTCAGAATAATCTCCAGGTTGAGCAGCGCGAAGTCCTTGAGTTACTGTAGGCTGTCTGGCGCAGTGGGTCCGCTGTGCCATATGCAGTAACTATATCCGAAAGTGGATTGTATCACGTGTGGGTTGTTTTCGGCCTCCCGTTTACTCCCGTCGACACTTTCCACATTGGGCATTCTGCGGTATGTGGGCGTTTGTGGGTCCACGCCTGCTATCGAGGGCGCGCGTTTCGATTGGTTGACTAACGCTCGGCGTTAGCAACGGATTGGTTTCCCATTTCTCCCGCTCCCACAGGACGAAATGCATATAAAGCCGGCCATGAGCACCGCAAAGTCCCCATCATCGCCCCGCCAGCCATCCAAGTCTCGCGCACTTCCCAGCCTCCCGCATCACCACCCATCTCGTCGACCGAGTCATCTACAAGCTGTCTATCATGTCTGCTCAGGCCTCCACCTCCTCGACCTTCGTCATCCCCTCCGTTTTCACCTGGAGCAACACCAATCAGCACGACCTCGAAGCCCAAACGATTTCCGGCCGCCGCGAGCACTTCGACGTGCAGCTATCAACCCCGCCCGTCGCATTCACTCACGCACCTCGTACCCGGGCTGCCAGCCTTGAAGAGGGCACGAACGCGGTTGACGACTTCTTCGGCGCGTCCTCCTCTCGCTCGCCTCGCGGCACGCAGGACAGCCGCCACGACGCGGCAGCCTTGCCCGTGCACCACGACGACGCGCCGCCGCCGTACTCCTGCTCTTCCGCGCCTCCTGCGTACACGCGCTACGCGGAGCACCCCACCCTCGCCATGTACCTCTTCAAGTTCGGCTTCCGTGAGTACCTCTACTTTCATTCTTCATCAATGTCACCCATGCTGATTTCCTCGTCAGTGTTCCCTCTATTCTGGATCGCCGGCGCGCTCATCCTCATCTTCCCCTCCGCGCCCCCGAGGACTGGGAGCTCTCGAAGACGGAGCCGAGCGGGAGAGCTGATCGAGAACATGCGCGGTACGGAGATCAAGTGGGCGAAGCGCTGCCTCATCGCGCTCTCCGTCCTTATCCTCGTCGTTCTCACCGTCGTGCTCGCCGCCGTGTTCCTGACGAGGACATGAAGACAGTCATGCCCCATCGCGTCGTAGCGATCACGAACCTACACACTCCTATCTCCGGCTCTAGCAGCCGTGGCCACCCCGCCAAGTCCAGCGACTCGCGGAAGATGCCTCCGCTGGCGATGCAACCTCCGCTCCTTCGCCCGCCGCTCTGCCTCGGAGACATCGCGCTGGCGCATCCGGCCACAGCCCCCGCCACCGCCATCCGGCAGCTTGTTCTCCAATAAGTCGCAGTCGTCCACCCTCGACACCAACCACGAGCCCTCAGGCTGTCCACGAATCCTTCCCGCTACGAGTTCAACGACCTCAGTGAGACTGGCCATTCTCGCTTCAGCATTCTGTATCGTTATTGCTTATTTCTTGTTTTTGTAAGTTACGACTGTATCGTTATATGTATGAACATCACGAAATTGAGTCTGTCATGCATGGAATAGAATTTGAGTACTGCAGTCGTTCGTAGAAAAGGAGACTGGCTAGGGAGCGAGGAAAAATGCGCACGTATATTCAAGCTGTGTCGACGCAGTAGCTGAACGCATGCCAGCATTGGAGGAGGAGGAGCTTGGCCCAGTGGCTGACGGCGGCGGAGCCCGGCAACCTCGGGCCGCCTGACTGAGGCGCCGTGTATCCCAAGTTTTCAGCTTGAGCCGCAACTTGCAAGTCTACGTACCGTCTAGATTTTGATGGTACTGCTGCCAGTGGGAGCCTTCACCGAGTAAGTTTGGACAGCACCACTGCCACATACTGGGCTCGCAGATCGCAGAAGGTACTTGCCAATTTAATTTTGACCGGCGGGCGGTGCGAAGTTTGATCACGCTGAATCTCTACGTCAGTATTCCTTGCGGTCCTGGTAGCGATGGTACTGGAATCCTCCGAGTCTCTGGCCATGATGCCTAATGTTTGCAAAATATCGAGAAAGGCCGCTGCAGAACGCGCGCGCATCTGATAGTGCTGGCCTTTCCAATACTTATTTCTACGGCAGTGAAGAGCAGTGACAGCTCAGGCTAGTATGGCCCGCATGGGGCAGTGCTTACACGAGATAACAGTGGGAACGGTACAAGGTTTGGTCAAGTCAAACCTTATAGTACGCAAGCTGTCTAATCTGATGCTCCCCAAGCACCTGTATTCCGGTCCCCTCTCAAATCTCACCGGTCAACACGTACGTACGTCTTGTACGGGAATTTAGATCACTTACGCTATGCGGGACATGACAGGTCATGCAGAACATCGCTCTTTCCGTCGGCAGGTCGACCTCGAGCCCCGAAACAAGCGACGCTACCGCTGTGCGGCCCAGGCACCTACGGGCTCGTTCAAGCTCCCTTCCCGGCATTAAACTCACAGCGCGTGACCCCGATGATGCCGATGAAGCTACACGCGACGAAGTTGCGCAAAGCGATGGCCTCGCTGCTCGAGGCGGAGACGATCATGTTGTGCGAGACGAAGGCCATGGTGAAGGTGTTGCTGCACACGACGAAGCACGACCACTCCCTACCGACATATCCGATCGCATTGCCATCGAAATTTACGAGAGGGTCTTCGACCACATCACGGACCAGTTCACGCTCTTCATTGCCGCATCGATTTCCCGGTCATGGTATCCTCGCGCTACTCACTGGCTCTATCACAGCATTTCCATCCCATCGCGCGCGAGCTACGACTTGTTAGTGAACCAGCTACACACATCGCCCCGTGTCCAGCGATGGTTACGGTCCACACACAAAGTAACGCTCGGGTACCGAGACGGCAGTGGATCGAATAACTCAGGTACTCCCTTCCTGGACACCTTCCCTCTCTTGTTCGGCCAGGCATGTCCTTCCCTGCAGGTGCTCGACATCGGTCGGATTCTGCGTCCTAATCCGCATCCGACTTTCCATCGTGCCCTGCGTCAGTTCCAGCACGTCGTATCGTTGCGCCTGCATGATGCCGAACTGAGCAACATTGCCCAGTTGCGACGGATTGTCTGTGCCTTAACGTGTCTAGAAGAGCTTGCTTTGGACGATCTGGTACTCATCGAGCCACAACTATCACAGCCTGGTGGTGTTATGCTCCAAGATGTCCTTTCCCGGAATCCCTGCAACATCCGGCTCAAGCGACTCCGAGTTGAAGCGCATACCTCCGATTGCATAAAGACTTTCGGCCGGATGGTCGATCAGTGGTTTGTATGCTCGCGGATATGCAGCTCTCTGGTCGAACTGGTGACGGTCTTCGAAAACGGGGAACCGGGCCCTGCCGCTCAGGCTGGGCATGTCAACCGGCTACTCCAGTTCTTGGGGCAGTCTCTGACCTCCTTCCATTGTGAAAACTACATGGAGCTCCGTGGTAAGCTGTCGCTCCCAGGTTCTCTTACTGAGTTGATCATCACTGAGGCTTAAACATCTCACAGAGTCTTGCGATCTAGCGCACAACACGGCCTTACGTCAATTGACGTTGCACTTGAATAATTTCGCCACTACTTCCCCGTAAAGTCCTCGGACTTTGCACAAGCAGCAAGGGAGCTTCGTGAGGCCTTCTCCACGGTTCGAAGCAGCCTCGAGCATATCACAATCTGCTTCAGATTCGAGCTTTCCGGCTACCTGGACGAGGAGAACTTCAGCAAGTCTTGCAAGAGGCTCGAAGCCGACTTGCCCAAGCTGAACGATGTCTTGGTCGGGCCGTACTTTGACGCATTGAGGGACGTCAAGATTGAGATCAAGGCTGCATATAATCCTGATAGTCTTGACCAGACGTCGGCACACGACTTCGCCGGAAGGGTGGCTCCTTTGTTACGACGATTGTTCATGCCGTGGCATGATCGTGGTATACTAGCCATCACCACCTCCGCGAAGAAGCGCGTATGGTACTCCTGCAGTGGTTGATTTCCAGTCTGCGACAGACGACCCCAGTGCGTATTTCACTCGGTCTCGGTCTTCCCATTAGACACTGACTTAATTTGCGATTACTAGGAACAGGAACTGTGCCTCGTACTATGTCTCACCCGTGAACGCATCGTTTACAATTCATCGACTTCACGCTCACCGGAGTTACTATTAATGGTGCCTCGGATACTTCTCCTTCCCCTCCTCATCGGTGTTTTCATTTGATGGACTCTGGGCCATTTTGGGAAGACCAGTGTATCTATGCGCGCAGTATGTTATTGCAAGCCCTCAGAGTATGATTGGACGTGGACAGTATCGATAGGCGTGTACGTTTATCGACTTCGACAATCTACATCGCCCGTGACACGCTCGGATGGGCCCTTGAGTTCGTTTGACAATGATATCATTAGGTTCAACAGTAATGATACCAAGCAGGGTTCACCAGAGTACGATCGCGAGGCGTCTCCTGTCGTCCTATTTGTGTGGGCCTTCGCATGGCTCCGCGAGACTGGGAACTCGTTGCCGCAAATGAGCGACGTGTTGCGACTCGGAGTGAGCACATCACAGTCGTGCCAGCGCACGTCCTCGCCTTATACGGATTGCCCATACGTCGCGTTGTCAGCGTACAGAGTCACTGGCTTGGAAGCCGCGCGCCGCATACACAGTCGGGCGAGACAAATTTCAACACGCACTCGGTTGCTGATGCTGAGCGAACGTCCCACCACTTTCCGGGCATGTCTGTCGTAACGGTATTCCTCACGGAAGGATGTTTGGTGTGCTGACCCTCAAAATCAGTGGATGACGTTTGATAGGATGGTTACCGCACATACCAACACAACAGACCTTGGAAACTTCCGTGCGGTTGTCCCCGACGTTGAGTTACGGTACCGTGCGGGGCGCTGTATATGCCAGAACACAAGGGACGGCGAGCGCACATATGCATGTATTGACTATGATACGTAACGCATACAAGGGCAGGTATCCATCAGAAACTACGCGCGCAAGATGGCCAGGCAGCCCTGCAATACCAGTGCGTCGGCCTAGCCGATGATGTCCAGTTGCCCGAAAGGATCAAATCGACTTGCATATGCAGCGCAATGGCCGTGAACTCCTAACTTACAATAAGCATGTCGCGGCTCTGATAGCACGGAGCCTGGTGAACGTGTCGAAGGTCAGAGAGGGGAAGTAAAATGGATCCGTCTGTCGTTCAGAAAGGAGAGTAACGATTGTGTCGAGTGAAAATGCAACGTACAATGGTCTACCTTGACACCTGCCGTGCTTTGTGAGAGCCAACGGGTTCTTCTCCGAATCACCCAACTGTGATCGCCAGCTGCTCTTCTCTGACGCATCCGCCATCGGCGCGCTAACTTTGTCCACACCTGCAGGAGCGGACGACAGAGTGCTCTGCGTAGCAGGCGCATGCACACTTGCGGCTGCACCCGCCGACACGCTCGACACTTCAGACGGCGTGGTCTACTCCTTGGACTCCGCGGGTTTTCTCGCCTGCGCCTGGCCAGCCACGCCCTTTCCGCTGCTAAACACGCCAGTCCACCTGCTCGACTTCGCGTTCATCTCGTCTTCCAGCCGCTGCGTCTCCTCCACCGCCTTCAGCCGTTCATAGAACTCCGCGCGCTCCTGCGCTGCCTTCTCAAGTACCGTCTCGTTCTCCGCCTGCGCGCGGGCCTCCTTCTGCTGCTTTGTCTGTCCGAGAGCGTATGCCCCGATCGCGAGAGCGGCGACGGTCGACGCCTGCAGGCCGACACGCGCCCGCATCCAGTAGTTCATGCTCAGCGACTCGCCCTTCCGCATCTTGATGAAGGACATGACGAGAGCGACGACAGTGGCGGTAGTCCCTATAGAATCCTCAACACGCGCTCAACCGGAGGCTTGATGATCACCACTACTATCTGCGGACGAGACGCACCGATGGGCACGAACGGGTTCTCCCTGAACTTGCGTGCGAACTTGGCGCTCCACGTCTCTTGCACTATAACGCCATCGACGATGTAGAGGCCTGGGTGGTCCGCAGTGTTCGCAAGTGGTCGAGAGCTCATCGTTGTACGAGAAGGTCGAAGAGAGCTCAAAAGTCGCAGCCTGCCACGCTTATGTATGCTGAGATGGAGCCTCCGAGCATGAAGGCGGCCGGTAGAAGCCAGGCCCTCCGACGTACGTGACGGCGTAATGCACTACAGGCCTTACTTCTGCAGTTGCGATAGCCCTAGCTAAGCCAGAAAGCCGAATTGTGAGCAGAGGAAGTACTGGTCGTAAGTTTGCCATGGGAGCACTTCCCGACTGACGATCGCAGTACGGTACAGAGGTAGCTTCCGCATATGGCAAGTACGGCGCCGCGAGTCCCGGGACTTCCCGGGCTGGGTCCGGGACCGCCGCAGCAATGCTAGGCGCTGGTAGGGGTACCTCGGTGACATCATCATGCGCGCGCCGCGTCGCTCTTCGCCACCACTTGTAGCCTAAGACGCGTCCCCAACATGGGACTCCGCAACACAGCTTGCCTTCAACGCTCACCTCGACGAGCGCACTGGTTCAAATTTTGTTCACAGACTCTAATGCCCGCGCATCCTTCAGCAATCCCGGAGACGCGAATTCAAGTCTGTTGAGACATGATGGAAAACCTACCCATCGACACCTCGCATCCGGCGGTGAGAGACTATCTCGCGCTGATACGGTGAGCAAAACACCGCACGCCTCAGCGCCGTGGGACTGACACTGAGCGGACAGGCTGCAAGTGCTCACGCCGCTCTCGCTGCTCATCAACATCGCGACGGTGATGGTATGCAGCGCGATCCTGACCCCGGGACTCAGTACGTCATGTATCAATCTGGGAAGGAGTCTTGAATGCTCATATGCGTCATTGCGATGTGCGTGCAGGCGAAATATCGAAGCTATACCCAGCGACTATCGCTCCGAACCAGAGCCTCATCTCCATCTATGTCACGCTCGTCTATGTTGGCCAACTGGGCTACTGCGTCCTGCTCGTATTTGCACGAAAACCAGAAACTAAGGTGCGCCTGTAGAAAGTGACGCGTGGGTGGTGATGCTGAAGTATATGCGGCATAGGCGGCGATGGTGAAGGGTGTGGGCATGCCGCTTGTGATCGCGAACTGGGTGATGGCTGGTTGGGCTATAGCCTGGGTGAGCACTACGTCCGATTTGTGTTGTGACGAGACGCCGAAGCTCCACAGGTTCTGCAAGCCTTCGTTGTCGCGACGTTGGCGCAAGGCATATTGTTCGTGTTGTTGCTCTACGCCAACCTCGTTCTACTCGTGTACCATAGGCCGACGTGGTCCAGGTACGCGTATTCCCCTCGTCTGCGAAACCTAACTAACCGTGTTACGTCCCCAGACCTTTTGATGTACTATTCATCCATGCGCCCGTACGGGCGTTCATGATCTGGCCGTTCATGATCATGTTCCCTTATACGCTCTTGTAAGCATTGTCATCGCGCCACCTCTTGTTACTGAATTCATGCTCTGATAATCTAGCGTGTCCCTCGGATGGACGTTCTCACCTGGCGAGCCTCAGCACTACGCACGGCATCAATGGCCAGGCTTCATAATCATGCTCAGCGTGAACCTCGTCGGTACGCTCCAGACTCGCTGCACGCCGCTCTGAACTGTCGCTAACCCCCGTCCGCAGGCCTGCTGGTCGTCGTCATCAGGCGTGACGTCGTCTGGTGCATATCCGCAGCCTGGATGTGCGCATCGGTATGGAGCCGACAGCCGAAGCCCATGCCTGTCTGGGTGCGCCGATCTCCTGGCTCGCTGCAGCTACCCCGCGCTGACCCCCGCGTCTCGATAGCTCACCTGCGTGCTCTTCACCGTCGCCCACCCGCTCGGGCTTGTGGTGTCGTGGCTATGGATGCGCCTGCGCGGACGGCGCGAGGGCCGCATTGCGCTCCCGCCGGACCAGGATGGCCAGCCGCAGGGAAACGGACAGGACCAAGGGAGACCTGGAGGCCCGAGAGAGGTTGACGCAGAGGCGCTGTGGGGATGAGTACACCAGCTACGGTGTGTGGAATGTGTATCGACAATGAGTTACCGTTTTGCTGTCTCGACTAATGTCATGCTTTTCTCATTGTGGGAAGGAATAGCTGATGTGCCAGTGCACATGCTTCTGACGGGCGCGCGTACAGCATCACTCCTTGTGGGATGCTGACCGACTTTTTGGATTGCGGCGATAGGTACACGGACTCGTGCCAGATCTTCAACTTGACACTGACGTCCTTCAGCCTGTCCAAGTACTGCAGAGACCATGACGTCGTGCATGTTGCGCAGGTTGGCCTCGAGCTCCTTGTGTATTTACTGGCACGATGTATCGGCTCCGGCCGGGCTACACGGGCTGTGAATCGGGTTCGTGTTTATGACCATGTGCATAACTATAGTACATTGAACATCTGCGGCAGAACCCTTTTGCAAATGTACCTTAGGCTAGACATTTGTTTTGGGTAATTAATATTGACGGTTCTTTGTACGACGGCTGGCTCCATCCGTCGGCCGCGGCTATGCATGGTACCGTTGCATTATAAGCCAAGTTTCTAATCGGAAGTAGCGCGGAGCTCTCACCATCGCATTCAGGGGGTTGACGGGATGCACGGAAGTCATCAAGGCAGTATTCATCAATGGGGGAGAGCATAGTTGAATCACCAGAGTCGGGACGAGCGAAGCTGGGTGTGTCTCGCAAAGTGCGAGAAAATACTTCGCCGCCGTCGCTCTCTGCGGCGGCCACCTCTCGTAGATCTAGAGAGAGTCTGGACAGCAGAATCGAAGTGAATCTGCCAACACGAAAATGCTCAGAAGAGCGATATGTATGATGGAGCCCCGAGAGGTTCTTACATGGCTGTCCACAATGTCCAGATTTCAAGGAACTGTGGAGGTGCGAACACAACCGTGGGCAAAGAACACGACATTAATCTCATGGAGCCAAACTCGTACTTAGTTGAACGTACCTCCGTTAGATGACCAGTCCCTATGCCAATCACGTTCACGCCGCAGAGAAGCCTGGGCATACGTATGAGTGTCCGCTCTTCAAAGACGATGCAAGTTGCTTTGGTTACCCAAAGCATATTGCCGCTACGTCGTGTATGTCATCACTGCAGCATCCTGCATATAGAACGTGAGGCTTACTGTCGTGTAGCAAAACATCTTTCAGTGCTCTTTCGATGCCCACTACACCATCAACGTCCGTGCGTCTCTGGCTTGTCTTCAAGCCGGTCAGGACCAGAACAAGACCGTCCGATATGAGCGCTGCCACTCTGGCAAAAATAGTCCCTGTAGAACGCTCAGTGCTTATGATTGTTTCCATGTACGCATTGTACGCACAGCTGGCACGATCAAATCAACCGTCACGAAATGCTAGCCTGAGTACGAGAAAACAGCGAATCGGTGAACAGACGCACTTCTCATAGCTCCTCTGACTTCCGGCCAAGGCCAGGGTACAAGCTCTGAAACCGTCGACGGTCCCCAATGACGGGATCGATCTAGTGAAAGGTACTATGGTAGGAATTTGAAGCACTGCGTGTCAACACAATGTATCGTCCGTAACACTGTGAATCAACGTACAATCAAAATTCCAGGATTGACCAGGCCGATGAGCAGTACGGTAGCGCAAAGCCAACGATTGCGATTGTAGATCGCAAAGACTCGCAGGGCCGCAAACACTGGTAGTAGCGCCTTCAGGACGTGCAGAAGTGATTTCGGCGTACACACTACTAGCAGCGCTGACGAGGATGACGATATCCAAGCCCATCTGGAAGCGTTGCATATCCCGCAACTAATCGATCCGTTGAGCCTACGTAGAGTCTTCAACTAACCATCGAATTTGTACGGACCTCTGTGACACAATTGAGCAAGAAGTTTGACTCATTAATCCGGCTACATCGCACTTACTTTCACAGTCTGCCAGGGAGCATCTATCCGACTGAGCACCTCGAGGACCGTGTTGGCCAATGCCGGATATCGGTAGAAGTAGAAGAGGATGGTGTAGAATGATGGTTGGGCTCCCCAAAAATATCGAACCTCGCGATCGAGCGTCAATAGGTAGTCGTAGACGTATAGCGCTTGATTCAACAAATGAGTGCGCCAGTTGGACATACTGTGGATCGCCTCACCTGTCGCTGAAAAGTACATGTAATTCACGAGGCCCACGAAGATTCTAGCCATCTGCGACGAGACTTGTGAGTGGGCGATAGCAGAAAATGGGTGAGAGACGGCTCACAAAAAGGCTCCGTGAAGTGCCATTGTATGGGGGTTGTGTTGAACGAGGTTATACTAGAGAACCCTGCATACTTATACGGTCCCTACGCGTACCGCTAAAGTACATCGTACAGGATAGCCAGGACGTGGATCAGAAGCAACTATCAGAAGAGATGATGTTCTACAGATGGAAACTAGGTTCTGCTCGCCTTGCCGTGGTTCTCGCAGAGATATCCCTCTATCTGTATTGACAGTAAGGTTTCGAGGATGTCAGCATTCTCCAGTTGGTTTTGACCTGTGCTTATCTTTGGTCGGGGGAACAAACCTAGAATAGTGCACTTCAAGCTTGTACGGCATGTGTTGCGAAGGAAGCGATATCAGTCAGTAGTCAGTCCCAAACTTGAAGACGTCTACCTCTGCCCCATGCCTGTGCACACAGTCGCTTTCGACCAACTGGCACGTCGGTGGCAAAGGGGAAGGGGGCGACAAGCCACGGGAAGTCGTCTCGGCACAGAAGGTCACCGCGAGTGGCGCCACCGAATGCACCATGTGTTCGACATGGTGTGAATGTTGGATTACCTGGCGCTCCAGCGTATGCATCTGTTAGATGTGCATGACACTGCGGACGTCTCGACTAGGAGCCCGATTGCGTCCAGCGGTCGGCGAATAGATGGTAGGACTAGTGCCACGGTGCGAACAAAGGTGCGCCGCAACTACGATACCACGAAATCTCGATGGCCGCACATGAGAACAAAATCTGTCATCTCCCTTAACGACTAAAGCTCTGGAGATAGATGAGTTCGTCGCTGGGTTCCATGAGACACGCCAAACAGTGCCATGATTGTTTCATAACTGCCCGCACAAATGCTTGTCAGGGCAGTAGGATCATCGCTCCAACGGTATCCGCGGCTTACACGATCAGCAGCTCGCACCCATCGCTTCTCGCGCGCAAGGCGATCTTTGCCTTTCCACTGCTCACGCTGCGTCGAGGCCGCTCGCGTTATCAGTGCTCAGCGGAGCGAGTGGCCGAGGTACGCACCACAACAGTTCGCGGCATTCTTCTATCCGGCCGCCCACTGGCACTTGACGGTTCAAGTTGGTCGGGTGATTTTGAGAGGTCGATGATACCGCGGTCGTGCCATGGCTTCAACGACTGGCATAATGTAGAGACAACGGCTTGCGTGACGTCGGCACTAGTGGAAACGTCCCGAGCATCGACCATGATATCGACCTCCTTCAAATTGTCGAAGCACGGCCGGTTGAGCATGTCGTGTAGATTGCGCCGCCACGAATTGAGCCGCCGCGCTGGGGCGGCCCATCTTCTGGTTCGAGTCAGCGTCGTCGGCAAGCAGAGCAAGGCATTCGATGACGATGAGTTCGAGGTTGGTGCTCCGGACCGTGTTGAAGACGGTACGCAAATTGGCTGCGATTGCCAGCGAGGCCTCTTCTGATTGGGTGGTCGCCAAGTTGAATTTCGCGCAACGCAGCGCCGTATTATTGGACAGATTATAGCTAGGATGACCTGTAGATGCCACGTCCAAGGTGCGGGTGTTAACGGTCATCGATCCGGCAAAGGAGGCACATTACTTCACCGATGGAAAAGCATGAGCCTCGCTGAAGGAAATCAGCGACGGCCCGCATGCTCTGAGGAGCCGATTACGGCCTTGCGTGCGAGTTTGTTGGATCCAGTGTCCACACTCAGAGCGTGAAGGGAATTGCAGAGCCCAGAGTGTACGAGCCAACTGATGATCGTTTCAAGACTAGATGCGGCTTCCGTGTAATGAAGCGTGATTGCAAGTCGGGTCAGTCGGACGTTGGACTGGGTCCGAGAAGGGGTACTTGTTTGTTGTTGAAATTGCGAATTAGTAGAGCGCAAATGCACCAATGTCACTCTGACCAATGAGAGCTCTGCTAGGTGAGGAATCGCGTAGGTGACTCGTTGTAACTGGGCCGTATTGCCCAGTTCGACGTCAACCAAGCATAACGACGAAAGGTGTTGGAATTGGCGGAGGGCGTGATAGAAAGTCGGGTGCATCGTGGGACGCAGCGACCGGTCGATTCTGAGCACGCGTAGTGCAGGAAACGCACGGGAGAAGACAAGAGGCAGCGTGTCGAGAAAGGGGATACTCCTCCGCAACAACGCCGAGTTGGGGTGTTCAGCGACGAGTAGTTCGCGCGTGGTTGTGAGCCAGTGCTTGACGCGACGTGCGGAACTGCTGCACCAGCATGTCGTACATCGCACGGGATGTAATTTCGATGGTCGAGTAGAGGCCATAACTGGCACGGGATACCATGCACGGCTGACCAACGCCGCGATAGGCAACATGGTCCTGTCCAGGCGGTCGATGACGTCTTCGAAGACTTCAAGAGGAATGCCATCAGTGAGGATAGGCTGCCACCGCCTGCGTATCGTGGGCCTCTTGGGAAATAGGATTCTGTTTGCTCTCTCCAGAGCTGCGCCCAATGGTGGAAGCGTCTCGGACGTCTTTGTCATTGGTCTTCCAATGCACAGACGAGGGATGAACTCGTGAACTCGTCCGGGAGTGAAATCTAAGTCAAGCTCATCAGTGATGCGCAGTACTGCGACTAAGGGACAGACCGGTGCTTACAAGACCGCTGAGCTACGAATCTGGGCTCTACGGTTTACAGATGTGCATAAACAACCTGGTCATCGGTGAATGAGACGCGCCTACATAGGGAGGCAACACTCAGTCCAGGAGCATACCGTTGATGAGTATCAAGGCAAACGTTCAACGAAACAGCAGCGTATCACCCGCCTTGTCTCAGACATTGTCTGTGTGCGGAGGCGTTGACCAACGTGACCTGCTGACATTCTAGCCAACGCTTCTTCACTGGCAGAAGCCGCCTGCAGGCATCTTCTGTGAGCGTGGTTTCCCCGGCGCGCTCAGAAGTGAGCAAAGACAAAGTCCATGCATTCGGAGCTCAGTTCTATGTAGACATTATGGCCCTTCGTTTCTGCTGTTACACCTCCCTCTCCGCTCGTTCCATTAGCATGTACAGAGCCAGGCAACCACCGTAGCGCGTTGTGTCGGAGCACCAGGGAGCGAGTTGTATATACCACAACCCTGAGATGGCTGCATCCCCGGACCATCTCGGGCCTCGTGTCGAAGAGGAGCGATCTCTAGTCACTGCCCGTGACGCCAGCGCGAGGGATCTGCTAAACACGAAATACCTGTAGTAAGTCGCACATACGAAGACGGCAGGCAGGGCATCCAGGAAGGGAGCGCTGCGTCGCTTCATGTAGCTGCCAACGACTAGCATGCGTGTGGCGGTGAGGCGTTCCTTGACGCGGGGCGACGTATTGACTCGGGCCACCAACAAATTGTAGCTTTCGCGTGGGTTGCGCTGGGTGTACAAGGCGCGGTGATGCCACGTCCAGCAGGCTGGCGTCGCAGCTCGCAACACAGAACGATCCAATTGGTCGATGGTGCAGAAGGAGACATCGAGTGGAATACGGCCAGACAGCGTCAGCGGTAACGGTCGTTGTAGAGAGGGCTTGCTCCGAGCACCACATGCGAAGCCCTCGAGGTCTTCGTCCGACTTGGAGTTGAGCAACACACCTTGAGGTCGGGGCCTGGACGGCCCAGGAGTGGAGATCCGGTCAGGCAATTCACTGAAGGATTGCAGTCCGAAACCATCAGCATCTTCCATTGCCAGCTAACTGAAAGCGTTGAGTACGTTTAAGTGATGTGCCGAGTGAGACGCACCTACGCAGAGGAGGCAGTACCCATTCTAGGAGCCTGCCTTCCTTCAAAGTTCGACCGCCCGAACCTAATTTTCGCGTGGAGATACTGACCACTGGCAGTCGGTGCGAGGCCGGTGCGCCTGAGAATGTCGCGCCATTCATCTGCGGGGATTGCAAGTCAGAAGTGCAATTGAGCAAGCTCGAGAACGCGGATACATACAGAGATGGTATCAGTCGGCCCTCAGGCTCGCTGTCCCACGCGCCAGCCCGCTGCTTCACTACAGCCGATAGAGGTCAAGCTTGTGTAAGCAGTCGGGGTACGGAAGAGGCTTGTGTCGGTGCTTGCTACTGTGTCTTGCCTGAGCTGAACGTCACGGTGCAGTTGTCCATGCGTCTTCTGACGCGGGACGATCGTGTTGAGTGACGAGAGTGGGCGGGTTGGTTGCGACCTGGCACGGGGACGATGTAGCGGGGATTTCAGGGCGTGCGACGTCGGACACGAACATGGCCGTACACCTTGTCAAGGCGCGTCGAAAAAGATCGTCAGTGGGCTGCTGGTAGCGGGTAGGATGTGCGGGGGATGGTCCCTGGCGCTCGGGGGAGGACGCAGAAAACATCGCCGCGCGTGAAATCCTTTCGGACGACTTCAGGGCGGTACATACGTGTCCTAGCTGCAGTATGGTGCCGGATTGGTGTGACCTCGGGGTCGCAAACGGGGTGCGCAGGGGCGGGAGAAAGTCGGGGTAGGATTTGACAGACAATTCGTCTTGATGAATGCGTGCGATTGAACGTACAAAAGAAAAAGAAAACACACACCGTTTACGACCCGGAAGAGGCAGAAAGGGGACATTGGGGGTGTCGACGACAGGAGAGCGCGCGGGCGGTGTGCACAGGGGAACGCGAGTGGGTGCAAGTGCGGTCGAGCGAGGTCGACAGCACAGATGCAGCGGGCGAGATGGACGTTCAAGCTTCAAGCAGCGTCGCGCGTCGGGCAGAGAGGGACGCGGGGCGCTCGAAAGAAGCGGCGTGGAGGATCTGAGTCAACCCAGTCAGGAGGATCGGTCGTCGCGCATCCTCTTAATGCTGTCACATCGGTGGCGGGCCAGTGAGCGAGAGTTGCAAGCACGCGCGTACGGTCTCTCTGAGAGCGGACGAAGGCAGACGGGGACGGCGTGTTTCCGACTCCGAGTCGCCCCCGCCACAGGCGTGCATCCCCGTGACGCATGATGCGTGACGACTGGGATGCGTGACGACTGGGATGCGTGACGACTGGACGCGTTCGTTTCTCCGAGTCGTTCTCCTCCTCCAGCAGCCTCCAGCCTCCTGTTCCTCGAGTCCCGTCTCGCCATTTGCAACATTATCTCTCTCTAATTCATGCTTTTCGATGCTCGCATTCTGTGCGAGGCTTCAAGCTCAGGTGGCATGAAGGATTGTCGGCAAGTCGCTGGCCTGGGATTCAGAACGACTTGCCAACTTGTCGGCTTGCTAGGCTCCGGCTGCGTCGCTCTGGTTGTTTCCGACGCCCATCTTCACCTGCTCTTGTGGTTATACCTAGCTACTGGACGTCTCACAAGCACGTCGTGCTCTACGGGCACCAGTCCGTCTGAACACGCCGCCTGGACCCGATTCGCAGAGTGTCTCGTTCCGAGAGCCACGTCTCGTAGCTGAATATCTACGAATGGAATCCTCGGTGGGCTAATATCCCTTCGATACTCGTCGGTCACGATATACAGACTAGCCGTTGTGGTGGATGACGGCCTCCTGTTGACCACTCCGTACTCTACCCCATGGTTTGATAGCGGCTGCGGGGACTGCGTCTGTGAGTCTCGTTCTGTTGGCCACGGTTTCCTGGGACAGTTATCAGTCAGTGACTCAGCGAATCGGCCTCGTCCTGGATTGCTCATGATGAAGTGGGCCAGCTTGGCGGACTTGAATCTATCTATGTTGCATATCTCTGGCCTAGCATGGTTACCTCTAGAACTGAGTCTCGGAATGCACCGCAGTACTAGTGCTGCGTAACCTAGAGCTTCGGCTCGGACGACGCGTTTCTCGACGTGGCGTTGATCCTAGCTTAAAGTCCCTCATCTGTGCACTGACTGTGAAGTATGTTGTGTTAGATACGGGGCCTCTTTCTCGAGGACGGTCAACTGGCCAACACAGACTGCTCCGAACGGATGCAATCGCCTGGTTACTTATTACGCCGCTCACGTTGTGCTATGTATGCGTGCGGCTTCGTCTTTCCGTCGTGCTCAGGCTCGCGGTAGTCTGTCCGGCTGACCTCCTCGCCGTGGAGGACACTTGCAGTCATAATGTTCGGGGGTACTGTTCAGGCCACGCGGCCTACTCTTATGCGCTTCACTTGTACCGATGCGTACACTCCTTAAACCGACAGTGCACGCGTATATGCTCTAGCCGTTGTTCACCGCGGTCTATGAGACGATGCCCACCTGCAAATACATGGATACTCAAGCAACCACACGCGAAATAACGTCGGCAAGCTGACACGGAGGTCCTAAACTCACAGCGTGGCACCTCGAACGTCTTGACGAGGAGCTGAATGTTGACTTTACAGGCCGAACAACTCCGCCTGTGTATCGATACCATGGCTCGCGCGTTGGGAGCTCGAAGTGCGTCTAGAATACGACTATCTGATTCTTGCGATTCGGTTGGATCCATGATTGGTACGTCGTCGCTGTCACTGGCAATGGGTCTTCGTCTGACTGTTCGCCACTGTCAGACCACAATCTCACTATGCGCCGTCACAATGCCACGAGGAAACAGTCCGTGTCGTGGTTTCGTCGGATTTCCTATCTCGGACGTCTCGCCTCTCCCTGCAACATCGATATCTGCAGGGGAAACACTAAGCATCTGTGAATACAACCGGCTGGGTTGGTGAGTCGATGTTTATCCGTGGTACCAACTGAAAAAATGCCGCGTTCACGCCACGGCTTGAACATCTGACGAAACATAGCAACGAGTCCCGAGGAAGGCCGCCGCAGAACTTGTTTACTTGGCGCGCGCATCTGACTCTGAGCGGCTCGGTATAGCCCGCATGGGGCAGTGCCTGTATACGAGATGACAGTGGGAGTCGTACAAGGTTTGGTTGAGTCAAACCTTACTGCAAAGTACGCCAGCTGCTTAACCTGACGCCCCCCTCAAGCACCTGTATCCCCGGGCGACCTCTCACGTTAGTACGTACATCTTGTCCGAGGCTTCAGTACACTTACACCACAATGCGGGCTATGGCAGGTCATGCAACACATTGTTCTTTCCGTCGGCAGGTCGACCTCGAGCCCCGAAACAAGCGAAATCGCCGCTGTGCCTAGATCCCTCCTACGGGCCTTACGGGCTCGGCTAAGTGCCCTTCTCTGCATCAAGACCACAGCGCGCGACAAGGATGCTGATGAAGCCACAAGCAACGGACGTGGTGTTGCACGAGGCGAAGACCACACTGTGCGAGGCGAAGGCGATGTTGCGCGAGACGAAGGCGAAAGTGAAATCGAATACGAAAGCTATGCTACGGACGATGGACTTGAACCACTCGCCACCGACATATCCGATCGCATTCCTATCGAGATCTACGAGAAAATTATCGAGCACATGGACCGGTCTACGCTGCCCAATGCCTCATTGGTTTCCCGAGCATGGTATCCTCGCGCCACTTTCCAGCTCTATCACACCATCGTCATCGCAAGGCGCGCGAGGTACGACTTGTTGGTGGAGCAGCTACGCACGTCGTCCCGTGTCCAGCGATGGCTACAGTCCACACACAAAGTAGTGCTCGGCTACGACACACGAGGACAGCCCTGGTTCCGTGCAGGTATCCCCTTCCTGGACGCCTTCCCTCTGGTCTTCGGCCATGCATGTCCTTCCCTGCAGGTGCTCGACATTCGTTGGATTCTGCGCCCTAATATGCATCCGACTTTCCACCGTGCCCTGCGTCAGTTCCAGCACATCACGGCATTACGTCTGCATCATATCGAACTGAGCAACATTGCCCAGTTGCGACGGATCGTCCATGCGGTTATGTCTCTGGAGGAGCTTGTTCTGGACAATCTATCACTCAGCCAGCCACAGCTACCAGACTCTGCTGGTGCTAGGTTCCAAGATGACCCTTTCCGGGGCCCCTGCAACATTCGGCTCAAGCGACTCCGGGTCGAAGCGAACGACAACAGACACATAAAGGCATTCGGACGAATAGCCTATTGGCTTGCATGCTCTGGGATCTGCAGCTCTCTGATCGAACTGGTGACGTTCTTCGACGGTGAGACGGTCCTTGCCACTGAGCCGGTCAACCGGCTCCTCGAGGTCTCGGCGCAGTCTCTGACCTCCTTCCATTGTCAAAGTCATCTGGAACTCCGTGGTAAGTAGTCTCTCCCAGATTCTCTTACTGAGTTGATCATCGCTAATATTCGAGCATCTCAAAGATCGTTCTCCTTGGACACTAGTGCACAATACGGCCTTGCGTCAATTGACGTTAGGGCTGAATTTCAACCCCTACGGGCCCACAGAAGACTCGGACTGGGCGTGTGCAGCGAGCGAACTTCGTGGAGCCTTTTCCACAGTCCGGAGTTACCAGCTCGAGCATATCGCAGTCCACTTCAAGTTCCAGCTGTTCGACCCTCCGAACGAGGACAACTTCGGCCAAGACTGGAAGCAGCTGGACTCAGAGTTGCGCAGCCTGCACGATGTCATGGTCCGGCCTTACTTCGAGGCATTGAGGGACGTCAAGGTTGAGATGGAGGTTGTGTATAATCCCGATCGCCATAGCAAGAAGTCAGTGGACGACTTCGCCAGCGCGATGGCTTCTTCGTTACGGCGATTGTTCATGCCATGGCATGATCGTGGCATACTAGCCATCATTACCACCTGATGAGTCCGTCGTGGGGCCGGCTTCAGTGCGTATTTCACTTGGTCTCGGTCTTCCCACCAGACGCTGACTCAAGATGCTCCGACTTGGAACAGGATCGATCTGTGTCTTGTATATCTCACTTCATCGACTGCTGCAACGTCGACACAATCGTATAGATTCTTCGACCTCACGCTCACCGGTGTTTAGTCCAGGTGTCTCAGATATCCTCCTCCTTCTCGTCGGCCTTTTCACGTATTCGATAGGTTGATGTCGGGCCGTTGTTGGTAAGATCAGTGTATCAATTTGCGCTGTAGCAAGCTCAAGTTTTGTTCGGACGTGGACCGTGTCGACAGGTACGTTGGTTATATCCAACAGTCTACATCGTCCAAGCTGTTGGACGCCCGTACATCCTTGCTAATGGCCCACTTGTCCTCAACACCGGAAACACTATACACTACGATGGCGCCGCGATCCACCTATGCGGCGTGTTCACGCCTGTTCACGCGCGCTCGGTTGGGCCCTTGAATGTGTTTGATATCACCAGGTTCAGCAGTAATCCGCAAGACTAAATACCTATGTCGCGAACGAGTAAGCCTCGACAAGATGTTGTGAGTGATCGTACGTCCTCGCCTGGTACGTATTGCTCATCTTCGGACCCGGGATGTCGCGTTCTCAGCGTACAGAATCACTGGCTTGGAAGCCACGCGCCGCATGCACCATCGTGGGCAACACTGTAATCAGCTCGCTCCAAGTCGTACAAGAGATGTCGACTAGACCGCGCTTGTGCCACGGCCTAAGCAACTGACGGAACACAGGAACGATCGCTCGCGCGACGTCGTCCGCCCACTCCGCGCTACGTCTCCTGTCTTGCCAGATCTTCACCTTGACACTGACATCCTTCAGCCCTCCGAAGTACGGCAGAACCATGACGTCGTGCATACCGCGTATGTCGGCCTCGAGCTCCCCGTTTGATAGGATACAGCCTCCCCGTCTGTTGGCAAGCGGCCGAGCGCAAAGTAGATCGTGGTATTGACACTGATGTGCTCGACCTGGGAACTCCGGATCGTGGAGAGGGTAGCACCCAGCTCGGCCGCCACCGCTCGCCAGTTACCGTCTGGCCTGTCGACGTGGATATTCAAGTCGAGTTTCAGGTTTTGCAGGGACGTGTTGTGGACAAGGCTGAATCTGCCCAGGGGATAACCTGTGGATTGTCTTTGTGTTAGTGATTGCCCGCGTGAGTTCGAGTGAGCTCTGACCATGCCAAAAGTCATATATCCGATGAAAGGATATCAAAGACGGCCCGCTTGCCTCGAGGAGTCGATTGACTTGCTCACAAGCGAGTTCAAGATTGAGATCGTCCTTACACAAGACGCATACAGCCAAATCGCGGAGGGACACACACGATACAGAGGACACGAGCCAGCCGGCTTGGCTTATGAAGGATTCTGGACCGGCATTTGGATGAGCAGAAATTGTAAGGGCTTTGAGTCGTACTATGTTGGATTCAGGTGGGAATGAAGTGTCTAGCCGATGGCGGGGTGGCGAGGCCACGGCGTAATGTGGCTGTCTGAAAGTCACTCGGTCTAAGGCAAGGTCTTCGAGGTGCGGAAACGCACAGACGATCCGCCGCAGCTGCGCAACGTTCCCCAGCACAGCATCGTCTAAGCGCAGCGACATGATGTGGGTGAAGTGACGGAGGGCATGATAGAACGTCGGGTGCATGTTGTAACACAGCATGCGACGGATGTCGAGTACTCGGAGAGCAGGTAATGTGTGGGCGAAGACGAGAGGCAGGGAATTGAGAAAGGAGATCCCTTCTCGTTTTGAGTTGTAGGAACAAAGTACCACGAGGTCGCGGGTGGTCGCAAGCCATTGCTTGACGCGAGGCGACGTGCGGGACTGCTCGACCAGCAGGTCGTACTGCGTGCGCGACTTGATCACGACTGTTGAATAGAGGTGGCGACTGGCTCGGGAATGCCAGGCGTGACAGACCAACACGGCATTCAGCAAGGTAGATATGGGCATATAGTCAATGATGACTTCAAACACTTCGAGAGGAATGCGATCTGAAATGTGCAACGGCAAGGACTTCGACGATATCCTCGTCTTGATTCCGTTCAGCGCTCTCTTCATAGTCTGCCAAGTATTTTTCTTCCCGTCTGTTGCCTTCTTCAACCACTTCGTCTTCGCTGTTTCGTAAGCATGACCTGCATCCAATACACGGGCGGTAATGAATGAGTGGGCACCGGCAGGTATGAGCCTGGACGACGCGTCGGCAATGCTTGCCCCATGACCAGTGACTCGGAGGGACGAACCAACGGGAAGGGCGATGATTTCCTGCCTCATCTGTCTCCGAGTCGTCCCAACGTACGTGAGCAACCAGTGACTAGTGGACTATTCGGTGAATTTACGCACAGGGGAACCCGCGAGAGGACGGGAGCTGCTGGTGAACGTTATCCTTGCTGTAAGGTTTGATCTAACCACCGCTTAGCGCTTACCAACGACCAACAAAACGGATCGGTAGTAACCAATCCGCTGACGTGTTGGCTGGATATTCAACAAGTATTCGATCTCCTGCATCTGCACGAACGGGCCGTCTATAGAAAACAGCTGTCATGCATGCTTGACAGACCACACTTCGTGCAAGACATTACGGTGCGTACTAGTTCCACCAGTAAAGACAAGTTGAAGTCGATGCGCGAATTGACATGGATGACATTGCATAAGTAGTCTCGTAAATAGGGTATGAACGGCAGATACATTGAAAGTACATAGAACAAAGCAGTCACAAAGCGATCAGAAAGCGGCAGCTCACCAGCGCGTACAGTAAGGTTACTAGAAAGTAGACATAAGTCAAGCAAGTACAGCCTGGTTTTTTGAAACAGTCCGAGTACAATCATCCTAGACCCAACGACGTTGTGAGTACCTGGACCACGTCACATCATGTTGTCTACTCACAATATTCATGCGTTAAGTTCGTCATCCCCAGTTGTGGAGATGCCTGCGCAGCGACTCCGCCCGCGTAAACCTCGTCATGCACTTCTCGCACCGCACCGTCGTCGCGACGCGCGCATGGATCTCAAACACATGCCGCCAGAGGTTGCTCATCGGCCTGCGCGTGCACCTCTCCCACTTGCAGCAGCTCTTCGCCCCGTGGTCCTTCGCCCTGGAGTATGCCGGAAAGTCGGCGTGGTGCGCCTCCTGAAGATGCGCCTTGACTGCGCCCTTCGTGGCGTCGACGTGGGCGCGACACCCGTCCCACTTACACGTCACGTATGTACACCGCCTCCGACTCGTTCCGAGGCGTCCGCGTCAGGGAGGCCGCCGGCGCGATCGAGCTTGCGCTGGCATTCGGCTGCGCTTGCTGTAACTTACCGAGATTCCCGCCAGATTGAGCTGGCGCTGGCACAGCCCGAGGATGGTACAGCGTTACCGATCGATCGAGGCTGCTCGGCCCTGGCAGTGGAGGCCAGTCACCAGCGGGAGGTTCGGGAGGACGGGTTTCTCCGTGCTGCATCCAGTGTTGGCGGCCGGCGTCGTTTTGCGCTGTGCCAAGTTGCTGCGGAAGGATCGGAAGACCCGTGTCGGGTATCCCTTGTACGCCCTGTGAGATGAACCATGCGTCACTGATGCCGCAGTGGTCTAGGTATACAGAACGAGGACTCACTGAGGTACCAGGCAGAGACATCATGATGTGGTCGAAGCAGCGTGGGTCGAAGGGAGTTGTGTAGGAAGGGTTGTCAACAGAGGGTGTGTAGAAAGAAGGTGTGTCGAAGGAGGGTGCGTCAGTCCAGACCGCATGTGTCTCTTGGGTGTTCGTCACATTTGTTGCTGGCGAGTACGAAAATGCTGACTCCCATATAGCACCAGACTCTTAACAGTCAATGTCGAATGAAAGAGGGCGCGAAGTCGTGTACTCACCGGCTCGTACCATCCTACTGCATGCTCCGGGGCTGCGGTGCTCATGTCGGGGTACAATCCCTGCCATTGTGGAAGGTCTCCGCATGCAACCCAAAGGGGTTGCTCGGAAATCGCTTCCAGAGACGGGATAAATGTGTCCTGCACGGGCCCACCTCAAGAAGACGCTCTGCAGAGATAGCGCTGTCCATCCGACGATGTATAGCTAGTGTGCTTGAGCATGGGCAGACCTTGTGAGCCGTTTCCCAAGCCGTCCGACAGAAAAAAAACATACCTGTGGTGGTACAATAATTGAATGTCGACGAGCCGAGTGAAGACGAACTGGACGGCGGGTTGGGGTGCAGCAGCGGCGCTTCATCCTCCCCATATACCTCAAAGCGAGAGACCACCTGCGGACAGATGGGTCGCTGAGTACAAACTGGGAACAAGGTGTCGACGTCGGCTAGGAGTCCAGGACGTACAGTACTTACGATCGCGATGGCACAGTGGCACACACCAATTGAGTCAACTGTCAGACTTGGCGAGCAGAGCTTCTGAGAGGAGCGGTTGCGCAGCGTCAAAACGAAGCAGGCTGAGCAGCCGAGGCGAGATCAAGGAAGGACTCGAGCGAATCGATCGCCCTACAGCGCAAACAGAACTTGACTTCCGCTGCGTCCGTCCCGTCAAATGATCCGGGGAGTTCGCAGTGTTCTTGGCTTCGTGCCCGAAGTGGATGCGCACTTTGCAGGCTTAAATGCGTGGCGTATTGGAGGAATAGAAATCAGTGAATCTTTCCGCGCCTTAAAATGACATTGGTGACTAGTAAGTTACCTCGGCTGACCTCATCCCTTGCGCGCTCCGTCTGTGAACCTCACAGTATATTCACATTCGCATCTATGATTCTGGTCATAATTTCCCGACGCTCACCGTCTCTTGTTGCGACCTGTGAAAAGAAAGTAACCTGAAAGGCGCTCAGAGCGTGACGGAACGCCACCCAAGATCAGAAATCTCAACTCCGCTTTTTATCTATTATTGCCATATATGGGCACGATCGCGGCAGTTGAACTCAATCCCGCCACGTCGTTCCTGAAGATCTGAAGATCATCAATAAGTATGTCACTAATATAATGAGCGCTACGTGAAACGACGTCAACGCCGGTGTACTGTAGTCAATTGCCGAGCAGACTTCGACAATCCACACTTATCGCGACACGAGAGAGGATTGTCAGGTGGCATGAATATGACACAGTTCACAATGTGTTTGAAAAAGGATTCGCGTTTGTACTAGTTAGTATCTTGTCAATATCAATAGCTTTACGAGGCGGAGATCGGAGTGGGCGTGAGTTGTCCGAGTCGGACTCGGAGGCACCTAGGGGCGGGCATGCTGACAAGACTTTTGTATCCAGGTATACCCTCTAGATCTGATGTGCATGGCGTAGTACATACACACTTAGGGCCAGCTATTAGTAACTAAGTATCCAGTAGCGCGCTCCGGTCGACAGTGGCTCAGAGGACCAGCGCGCTTTACTTCAATAGAAATCTACATCTCGATTATCACGTCGAGATGAGCAAATGGTCTTGAGGTGGTCCAACCCGGAGGCCGCTAGCCTCCAGCAGGCCTCCAGAGAAGCAGAGAACACAAGCGACACGCATTGGCTGGCGGCTTGACAAGCGACATTCAACAGTAAGGTACAACTGTAAGACAACAGGAGATACAGAGATTATTAGCTACATTGTGCGCGCACTGACGCTGTTCTAATGGTGCTTCAGTCTCCTCGTGATTGCATTAGTGCTACACACCTAGGCAGCATACGAATGGCTCTCGATACGTGCCTAGCGATCGCGGAGTTTTGGAGGGCCGCGAGTGCGGAACCTACACTCCGCTACGCCCGACAGCCCGCGTCACACCACCGACCAGACGAGGGAGTGTCTTCTCTGGCGACGGGTTGCTCGGCGGCGGCAGGAAACCCGCGTCAATGAGCCACGCCAGGTACTTGCCCATGAGCTCGTCGTCCACTGTGCGACTCGTGCTCCGCACATGCGGGGCGAGCAGCGCGCGCATGTTTGAATCGTTCAGCTCGGGCGCCTTCGTGCTCGTCGGGAGGTCGTCCAGCACGAAATGGAGTAACGGGAAGAGCGCGTTGTCTTGCACCTCCATGACGTGCTTCTCGAGCTGTCGCCGCCAGATCAGGTATTCGCAGCGCTGTGTCGCGAAGCCATATTTCGAAAGAGAGGACAGGAAGTCGTTGAAGGTGGGTTGGGGGTAGGCGGCGACGTGGAGCACGCTGAGCGCGTCGCGAGGAGCTGGCAGAGGGGAAAGAGTCGCCAGTGTCGTACACCGGGCTACATGGTCTACTGGCACCATATTGACGGTATTGTTCATGTCAGGAACGAGGCCAAGTTGGATGCACCCCTTGACCATTCGCCAGATGAAGTCATCGGTATTGGTCACTGTGTGATAGCACGTTAGTGACGTGGCAAAAGAAGGCCTCAAGCCTGCCTACCTGCGGATTCGGAGTCACCGACAACATAACCAGGTCGCACGATATGTCCCTTCAGGCCTCTTCGACCAGCCTCAAACAGGAGTTTCTCAGAAACCCACTTCGACTGCCCGTACCCGGTCTTGAGCGATGTCCTCGCACCTTCAAGATCGTCGCTCTCCGGTACACCTCCCAGACTATCCTCTCCCTGCGAGAGCGAGTCAGACAGCCGGACGTAGTGCTCCGTGTCGACCGCCGACGTCGACGAGACGAATACATAGAGCTTCGGCTTGCCAGTCGCAGCGAGTTCCATCGCCGTCAGCGTGCCGAGAACATTGGCAGGCCGGAGTCGCTCGTATGGGTACACCCAGTGCACCAGCGCGCCGTTGTGCACGACGGCGTCAGCCTCGCCGGCGACGCGGTTCCATGCCGCATCTCCCAGGCCGAAGAGCTCCTGATCAAGGTCGCCTTTAACGACCTCTAGCCTCGACTGCTTGACCCAGTCCTCGTCCCACACACCACGTCCACTGGCAGCGTCTCGTAGGCGCTCGAGAGCCCGATCAGCATTAGACGCCCGGACGAGGGCAATGACCTTCTTGACCCGTTCAGGCCGCGAAAGCAGGTCGCGCAGAATGAAAGCCCCCAGGAAGCCGGTGGCGCCGGTCAGGAACACAGTCAGTGGACGGCCTGAGTAGTCTTCCGACACGCTCGAGTAGGACGGGCGGAGCTTCGACAACAGGCTCTCGTAGTCCTCGCTGTAGCTGACCGCCTTCTTGGGCTGCACGGAGCGCTTCAGGGCCGCTTTGAGCGCAGACGTCTCCGCTGTCGAGGGTTTCTTGCCGCCATCAGCGTGTGCAAAGCCAAGTTCAGTGTTGCGCAGCTCGTCCACGGCAGCAGCGAGCTCGCTGATCGTTGGCTTCTCGAAGATCAACCCAAGAGGCGCCTCGACGAGGAACGCCTTGCGGACCTCGAAGATGAGACGTGTCGCGAGGATGGAGTGGCCGCCGACGTCGAAGAAGCTCTCGTCGAGAGGTATGGGGGAAGGCGGGCTCGGCAAGACGCGTGCCCATATTGCGCGAATGACCTCTTCTGTGGGAGACGCGGCAGGACCGGTCTGGGTAGTCGCAGATGCAGCCTGTGCTGTGTCGGGGAATGGGAGTGCGGGTTTGTCGATCTTGCCATTGGGGTTCAGCGGCATACGCTTCAGAGGGACGAACACTTGGATAAAGCAGTGAGAATGCGGAAACCGGCATGCAAAAGAGAACTCACGAGTGGGGACGCTGTAACTCGGGAGCTTCTTCTTGAGGTAGTCCCGGATGTCCTTAATGAGCCTCCTGTACTTCCTCATACCTGTGACTACGCCCTTCTCGTCCTCACCCTCGGGCACGTCGCTCGCGAACTCGTCCAGTGCAGGTCCGCCGACAGGTACGAAGTAGCTCACGAGTACCTTCTCCTCGTCCTTGTCTCTTCGCACGAGAGTGACGTTCTCCCGAATGAGCGGATGTTGGCTGAGATACAGGTCGATCTCGCCCAGCTCGATACGGAAGCCGCGGATCTTGACCTGGTCATCGGCGCGGCCGGTACACTCGACGATACCGTGTGGAAGGTAGCGTCCCAGGTCGCCGGAGCGGTACATTCTGTCGCGTATGCCCTTCCAGAACTGCGCCTCCGGGCCAGGCTGTCCCGAGGGGGGCTCGCTGATCGTGTCCTTCCGTGAAGGAGAGTCGGCTGCAAACCAGTTTGTCACGAACTTCTCCGCGGTCGCCTCAGGATCGGAGTACTCCTCTGCCAGACCGCCTGAGCGCACGTAGATCTCGCCGACCTCGCCGACTGCACATGGTATGTTCTTGTCATGGCGGTTCACGACGAGGAGTTGGACGTCGATCATGCCTTCTCCGGCGGGCATGACGTCCTTCTGAGTCGCGAGGAACGTGGGATCCTCGGACACGCTCGGGAGCAGGAAGTAGGACACTGCGCGCTGCGTCTCCGTCGTACCGTACATGTTAACGATACGGACGTTCGCAGCGAGTGATTGCAATCGCAGACAGTCACGCTTCGTGAGGATGTCACCGACGAAGAACGCATTCCGCAGAGAAGGAATCTGCCGCGTTGCCTGTGCGGACAGAAGCTGGCCCATAGCCGGTGTGAGGTGAGTGACCGTCACCTCGTTTTCCGCCATCCATTCGGCAAGTCTGCCAGGTGTCCCGATGTCGTCCGCCGTAGGGACATACAGTCTTGCACCGAAGAACAGAGGGGTGAACACTGGTGTGCGAGTCGGCATACGAAGGCAGGCAAAGAGTAGAAGCACGTACTGTCGCGCTGGATGGGATCATGAGCAATACCACTGAGCATCGTGAACTTAGAGTCCTCCCCGAGGCCAAATCGCTCGCCCATCCAAGGGAAGAAATGAGTCAGACTGAAATGTCTCCCACGCACGCCCTTCGGAATGCCTGTGCTGCCACTGGTGAAGGAGAGGGTACCGACACTGTCAGGTCCCAGAACGATATCCGGGTCCTTGTCGCCAAGCGGCATCTGCTGATGCAAGACGTCTGTTCCGTCAGCGTTCTGTCCACCGACAATCTGGCCATCTGCGAGCAGCTCCAGCGCGGGAACCTCCACACGGATCTGCAGTTCAGACGAGATGAAGTCGCGGACGCCAGGGCTGATCCGACCGGCGCCCTTAAGGACCACCAGAGCTCGGGGCTGGGCGACCTTCAGGTAGATAGTTTGCCTGGATGGAGGATATGCGGGATCTACGGTGCATTAATCAACACATCCGCCAAGTAAGTTCAGTTTGAAGGCCGGAGATGAGAGACAAGCACCTATCACAGAGAACGTTGCGCCTGCCTTCAGAACGGCCATAACCGCGACAACGAGCTCTACGCTGCGGTACGCATACACCATGACCACCTCCTCTCGCTGTACACCTCCCTGCAGTAGATGGTGCGCAAGAATGTTGGACGCGTGATGAATAGCCTGGTAGGTGAAGGTGCGCTTCTCCTGGGGCTGGTCAAAGCCGGCGGGAGGAAGGCATTGAATGACGCATGGGCGGTCAGGCCAACGGCGAGCGTTTCGCGAGAAGACATCCGTGATGGCGCCCTTCCAGTCGCACCAGTTGAGGTCGGCTGTTGGGTCCGGCAGAACGGCGCGTTGAGCGGGAGTGAGGATGGGGACGGACCCTACGGGTGCGACGGGGTTCCCGGAAACCTTCCGCAGAAGGACTGAGAGTTGGTCGATGATGCACGTCATGCGTGCGGGCGTAAAGAGCAGCGAGTTGTAGAGAAGTCGCAGACCGATGTGCGGTGCGACAGAGCTGCGGCTGGTCTCCTGTTGGCGAGTGACGAAGACGGTGAGGTCGGAGGTAAGGCTCGTGCTGCGTAGGAAGTGCTCTTGTGGTGTGTCAGTCTCGTCGAAGAAACGCACCCGGAAGAGAGGTCGAGCACTCTCTGCAGTGTCGGACTTGTCCTTGCCCAGTGCACGCACGATGGTCTCGTACGGCAAAGCATCTGCCTCCGCCTCCTGCTCGACTTGCTGGACCTTGCGCACGACTGCCCAGAATGGGTCATCCGGGTTCACTCCTATTCGAAGGACGAGAGGGTCCCGTGCAGATGCCGACGAGGAACCAATGACAAGATCTGTATCCCCAGTGTAGCGGTGTAGGAGCACGGCGAAGGCGGCGAGGAGGATATGAAAAGGGGACGGCGCTCTCACTTGCGTCGTGCCCTCTTCTTCCGCATCCTCGTTTTCGTTATACAGAGCAAGCTTCAGAAGTCCCTTGCACGTTGGTTCCGAGAGGTCAGCGGAAAAAGCAGCTTCGACAAGTCGATTACCTGCGAGCCGAGGATAGTCTGTGGGCAGCGAGATCGATGGGAGGTTTTGGAGGCGGGCAAGCGTCCTCGCCATCCGCGCGTCGGCCATGACAAAATGGTGCGCAACTTCGCGTTGCTTTTGATGGGAGATGAGACCAAAGAGCTGTACAGCGGACTCACTGAAGAGATTCAAGAGAACCTGCCAGTGACTCGAATTTCGAAGTAGGTCGGTCACGGTCACGTGATTTTACAATTGACTAGCGACGCGACGACGCGACGAGGTTAACTGACATAGCGGCCTCGGGATAAAACATTGCCATTGACATGATGAATTCGGAGATGGTGAACTCGATTATTAGTACAGAGACATCGAACACTTCTCTTGTTTATTTACCCTTCACCGATCAAGCACTATTGTACTCAACTAAGAGTTCCTCTTGACTGGGCGAGATATAGAACACAGGGCCCGTCGCACAGTAGGCAGAAACACCCACACGCGCTTGTGCGCCCGTAGCACCTGATAAGAAGTCGGTCAGGCCCTTTGCGATGTCTGCGCTTGACGCGCAGTGCCCCAACAACATTGGCGTGTTTCTCGGTACGCAAGCGATCCGGAATATGACTTTGAAGTCCGCGTTTCTCCGGTGGAGGTGCACGAGAACGTCATCGACCGCTGGCCAGTCTACCAGCGACCAGTTTATTGCCGTCCAGCTGATGGAGGAGACCCGGAAGCATAGTGTGAGAACGGTCAAATCACGACTTGCGAGTCGGGAGAGGAAGGTAGGGAACGCGGCGGAGAAAGGTAAATGCTTTCGCATTTCTAGGTCTCGAAAGACCAGCTTCACATCCCGCACATTTGTGCACAAATGGCTGTCAAATTCTGCCAAGGCTACGAGGCAGTTACTCAGATACGAGTCGTGTACGGGAAACAGTGATGGACTCACATGCGGCGGTGGTGATACACAATTGCTCGACATTGGGTGCAGAGTCATGCAGCAACTGTAGAACGAGGTGCCTGTGGTCTGCAAGATATGTGGTCCAGTCGAATCGTATCTCCCGAGATCGCCGCGCATCTGAGTATATGTCCACACGCATTTGGCCCCATCTTAGAGACAAAGGGTTGGAAATCGATAGGGTCTTGAGACTGTTAAACACACGGCGCGCACTCTCGCGCTCGGCCAAGCCCAGCGGGGCGCCATTGGTTTCCCGACACATCCAAAGCACCTCACCTGTAGTGAGATAGGATAATTGAGGAAACGCCGCCAGAAGCCGTATGAAATCATCCCGAGAGTCGAACACCGCTGAGAGACGTAATTCCCTGAGCTGAGGAAATGGGAAGAGGTGAGAGAAGGGACGAAGTTCCGCATCCTGTTCTGTGTTTCCCGACCGAGGGCAGTCCTTGAAATCAACTGTGCTCAGGTCCAAAGATAGGACGCGAGGCAGCCGCGTGAAGATAGCGTGCAACAGCATCGTGTTACAGTTGTCGGATTCCACACACTTTCTGCATAGTGGCAGACGGATGCCGCTGATCACGACACTTGTCACGTACTCATGAACGTTCGTCCCCACAAGTTCGGAATTCTGGAGCACATCCTGGAGGCGCAGACAGTCGCGTTTGGTGTACAAGTGAACCTTCGTAAAGAGATGATGGCGCGTCTCTGGGACCCACTCCCGACAGGTCAGGCTACACGCCCAGAGAGCTGGGGAATCATCCCACAAGTGGTCGATGACATGGTCCCAAAGCTCCTCCGGGGGCCGCGGAGCATGGGCGTCCGTAGTCGTGCCAGGCGGCAAATTCCTGGATAATTGAAGGAGAGTCTGAGTGCCTTTGCTTACAGTTCTAACTACTCACAGGTGCATCGATTGAGTCATGCTCCGAGTAGGGGGGTATCGTTTGGTGTCCCTGTAATAGAAAGTGTCGGTCAGACTAACTTGAATCATATGCAGGTATGGCCAGGCGCGGCTTACTTGATAACTATTGCTGCTACACTGCTCGGGGGGTGCTATTGTGTGCAGATTCCGTATTACATTCGTGTGCTGCCGACTTTAAGGAGATCATTAGATCGCCAGGGCCCCAGATTGTGTGCCAGTACTTACTACCCCGATGCCCTAGCAGTTATTACTGACGTCCGCGACAGGTTGTGGGACCGTATAGAACAGTCTAAGTAGCAATGAGGGCGATTTGTTGTAGGCCGGCTGCCGTGAACACTGAATACCAGGACCGAAGTTCAACGTTCAACGTTCTGTTCCTGTCAGGCTCAAGGGAGGTAGAGGCTCCTCCTCCGATTGTGGCTTGCAATACTATGATATGTAAAGCTCCCACGCTTAGTACAGACTACCGGCAGCGGGGCTTGCCGCTCCCAAGTACTTACTGCCACTACTGCGAGCTCTGCCAGTTCTGACCTCGGTTCGACCAAAAGGATCTCGCTTCGTATTGTGCAACTACCTCGCTCAATCGTGCCCTTCATTAAGACAAGGTTTGGCCAGGCGGAGTCTGACGGACTCATGGTACCTGCGGCGAAGCCTGGCGTGTCCCTTCGGCTCGATCTTGTCGGAGAAGCCATGGCCTTATTCGCAGACACACAGTACTTGTCCTCGAGTCTAAAACCTCTCATGCGAATCCTTTCGTCGTCCTGTCTCCCCTCGAGCATAGACAACCGGGTTTACTCAACAGCTGCAGGGTGAACGTACGATGCCAGACGAATGTCGATCACCGCCCGGACGACTCGGACCTACGACCTACAACCGCTTAGTAGGCCGTTATCTGGTAAGTACGCTGTTCATGACACGAGCGATGCATATGGAGCTCATCGCGCCGTCCCTCGTCCAGCGCGACGACAACAAGCACATTTGGCTGCCGCTCTGCGTAGCAGGCTCGTTCTTAGCGGTTTCTTCGCTGAGCCCGCTCGTCGCGCGTCGTATCCCGCGGTTTGCCACATCCACATTCGCTCAAGCCAAATGGAGCGTCAAAGAAAATGTCGTCGGCTCTCTTGAGGACAGTGCTTTAGTCGGGCTGCTGGCATACGCAGCTGCGCGTCAGCAACAGCATACGAGAGCGGTGCAGACGGACGAGGCATTCCGAATCATAACGCGAGCCCAAGTGCTTATTGCACATGGTTATAAATACCCAGTCATTTTGAGTGTATTCACTCGGGGCGCAAGGGAAAGCACAGGCTCAGCAGGTGCGTTGAATCAGGCAACATGAGCGGTTTGTTCGGATGCTCACTGCCACCAGGATCATGCGGCGCAGAAGAGCATGTCGGCTTCGGGGAGAGGATCGGCACTGCGGCGGCGACCTTATGGACGTCCTCAATCACCATGGAACTTATGCGTGCGAGCTTGGAGGACAGCTTGCGTCGGCGCAATGTTTCACAGTGCGACATCGACAGGACAACCGTCGCTTTTGGAGGGGCAGCGGAGCTCGTCAAACAGTCGGTACGTCCCATTTCTGCCCATAACAAACGGCATGTCCTCAGCTAACTTATAATGCGACAGTACTTCATGTGGACGGGCGCTTTTGCTACCTTCGTGGTCTTTGTCTGCCAGCCGTTGCTCTTCAAGCCGCCGCTGGCGATGTGGTCTTCAGCGGCGTGGATGGGCGTGAGTGTAGTCCTTCTGATCCACTTCCAGCAGTTGACACTGCCTATGCACATTCAAAACAAACGCGCGGTGGCTGCGGTCCTGAGGGAAAGATTCCCGGGATTGTTGGAGGACGATGGGCCGATTAGGCTTGCTGACCTCCGATGAGCTTTCACTAGCACGCTGTCGGGCTGTATCATCATGCTGTCTGAGCTTTCAGGTGTACTTCCCCCTCATGAATCTCATCCTACGAGGTACTCGGTTTTGCGTGTTACAGTACGAATCATGTCAAGACTCCGCCCACGGAAACCACACTTTGATAGAGAGTATGATATTGTTGAGGTTGACGCATGCTGGCACGATGAGCCCGACGAACGCAGACAGCGCTTCGCCCACTTCGCTTCTGTGCGGCGCATGCTCTTGGTGAGCTCCGTGCCGAAGAAGTCATCAATCGTGTTCGTGCCCTCTTCCGGATCAGCAAGGCGGGTGCGGGGTGTGTGGGCGAATATGTAAAGCGATAGGAGGGGCTACGAGCTGCACGTCGAACACTGAAATGTGTGATGCTTCGAACAACAAGAGCACTGGATCACAAGAACCACGAAGATGCATGGTACATAGTCAGTACTGAAAACATTGCGACTGGCATGTTGGATTCGTAATTCATAAACTCGATTACTACAGGTACAGAGACACCGCACACTTCTCTTGTTCCTTGACCCACAACCGTATACATATCAAATACTATGCTCATCTAAAAGTTCCCCACTTGGCGAAATGTAGAAAACAGGGCCCGTCATACTGTAGGCAGAGACACCGACGCGCACATGTGTACCCGTAGCACTTGGCAAGAAGTCGGTCAGTCCCTTTGCTACGTCTGCGCTTGACGCGCAACGCCCCAACAAGGTCGGCTGATTTCCCACTACGCAAGTGATCCGGAATATGACCTTGAAGTCCGTGTTCTGCCGGTGGAGGCGCACGAGAACGTCGTCGATTGCTGGCCAGTCTACGAGCGACCAATTTGTGTTCGTCCAGGTCATGGAGACCTGGAAGCATAGCGTGAGAACGGTCAAATCACGACTTGCGAGTCGGGAGAGGAAGGTAGGGGCCGCAGCGGAGAAAGGCAGATGTGATCGTGAATCTAGGTTTCGAAAGAGCAGCTTCACATCCCGCACACAGGTATACAGACGGCTGTCAACTTCTGCCAAGGCTACGAGGCGGTTACTCAGACACGAGTCGTGTACGAGAGACAGTGACGGACTCACAATCGGCGGTGGTGATACACAACTGCTCGACAGTGGGTGCAGTGTCATGCAGCAACTGCAGAACGAGGCGCCTGTAGTCTGCAACATACGTGGCCCAATCGGCGGTCGCGAAAGATCGCTTTATACGCTGTCCGCTCCACGATCTTCTCATAGAGGTGGAAATCCACAGTGCCTTGAGATTGATCAACATACGGGGCACGCTCTCGCGCTCAGCCGGGCCCAGCGGTGTGCCGTTGGTTCCCCGACCCTGCCAAAGCAACTCACTTGCGGTGAGACGGCACAATCGAGGAAACACCGCTAGAAGCCGCATGATATCATTCCGAGAGTTGAATATCACCGAGGAGAGACGTAGTTCCCTAAGCTCAGGGAATGGGAAGAGGTCAGAGAAGGGGAGAAGTTCCGCGTCCAGATCCGCGAATTGCGATGGAAGGCTGGCATCGATATCGACTGCGTTCAGATCCAAAGATTGGACGCGACGCAGCCGACTAAAGATGTCTCGCAGTAACATCGCGTTACCATTATCGAACGCACCGAGTCTGCATAGTGGCAGGCCGATGCCGACGATCACGACGCTTTTCACGTACTCGTGGATGCTCGTTCCCACGAGCTCGGACTTCTCGAGCGCATCCTGGAAGCGCAGGCACTTGTGTTTGGAGAGAAACAGGACCTTCGCAAAGAGATGATGGCGTGTCTCTGGGACCCACGCCCAGCAGGTCAGGCTACACGCTCGGAGAGCTGAGGGATCATCCCACAAGTGGTCGATGACATGATCCCAAAGCTCTGCCAGGAGTAGCGGAGCATGGGCGTTCGCAGCAGTGTCAGGCGGCGAGGCGACATATGATCCCTGAATGAATGAGGTAAGGTCTGAATGCTGTTGCTTACAGTAAGTCCTAACTACTCACAGGTGCATCGGTCGAGTCAGATTTCGAGTAGGGGCAAATCGCTTGGTGTCCCTGTGTTAGCAAAGTGTCGGTCAGACTAACTGGAGGCATATGCATGATCAGACACGGCTTACTTGATAGCTAATGTCGGGGCCACAATACTCGGAGGGTGCTACTGCGTATCGTACGCGGATTGGTCGCGGTTCATTTGCGCTTTGACAATTGCATTAGCGCCAGAGCGCAGCGCGTTTCCCACGCATTGTATACGGTATGTACCATCGCGAGTAGCGTAGCGACCATCTGTACTGCGACGAGTCGATATGCAAGTTCAACGGAAGAAAGATGTTCGTAACGTTGATAGGCATCCAACCAGGCTGAGCTCATCTCATTACTGTTGGCCTGCCTACTCACCGTCTCGCTAGGTTGTCCGCCTGTCCACTCTTCTCAAACTCTTCTTGCTAGCTCGCGCTGCCCGCCTCGTCTCAGGCTTGGTGCACGTGTATGTGGTTCGCCCGCCCTCTCGCGCTCGCCCATTCTTGCCAGCTTGCCCTTGCTAGCTCAAACGCCTGCGTGCTCGGTCGCCCACTCACTTTTTCCCACCCACCGTCGTTCTCGCTATCTTGCGCACTCGCCCGCGCATTGAATCTTCTGCCAGCTCCCTCGTCTGCCGGCTAACTCGCTCGCTGGCGTACCCGCCCAATTGCTCGCCTGCCAAACCCAACCTGTCCTTGCACACCACACTCGCCTTTTTGCCTTCTCGCCCACTCGTCCGCTCGCCTGTTTGCCCACACGTCAGCGCTCTCTAACTCTCGCCCCCGCTCTCTCGCCCATACTCCCGCCCAGCCGTCTGCCTGCAGGCCTGCTCGCGCTTTCTCTCGCCCGTGATGTCTCTCACCCGCACTCCCATTCGCCTGCCCAGTTATTCACCCACTTATTCCACTCCCACTCACATCCCCTCTCGCCCGCTTACTCGTGACCCCGCAACACCGCCTTTGTTTGTGCCCTGGATGGAGCAATTAGTTTTGCGGAACACCTCTCATTGCTGGTGTGGTGGGTTGGCCAACTGATGAGCAGGCGGACGAATGGGCAGGTCTTCTTCCTCGGCTTCGTCTGCTTCATGGGTCCGGGTCTCTTCAACGACCTTTGCGGCAGCGGTCAGATCAGCAGCACCATCAGCACCAACTCCAACGGTATCCTCTACGCGACCTTCCCCTTCACTGCTTTCTTTTCCGGGTGCGTGCGCCGACGCCCTGTACTCGCGTCGCTGGGTGCTTACCGCGATCCTCTAGCTCGATCAACAACGTCGTTGGTCCGCGCCTCACGCTTCTCATTGGGAGCAGCGGCTATGCCGTGTACATCGGCTCTTACCTGTGCGTCCTCCCCGCGTCACTGACCGACCGGCCAGATGAACTGTCCACAGCGCCATCAATCTTGACCCTGATGCAGGCAGCTTCATGATCGCGGCGGGCGCGATCTCCGGTGTCTGCGCCGGATTGCCCTGGACGGCCCAGGGCTCGTTCATGTTGGCGCACCCGGCCGAGGACCAGAAGGGTATCTGCTTCGGCATCTTCTGGGCGAATGGGCGGGTGGGCGAATAGACTGGCTGGCGCACAGACTGGCTAGCGAACGGGCTGGTAAAAAGACAAGCAGACTATGTCACTGACCTGGTCCATACTTTGGTTCGCTGAGGTATGCGATGTAGTTATGACATGTAAATCAATACAAGTATATCATATGCCATACATTTGCCTTGTGTGAGCGCGTTGGACAGGAAGCCAGGGTATTGAAGGGTATCCAGCAGTAGATTCTAGTGAGCATATGCATTGGCGCATGGATGTACGTGACATTCATCAGGTTGAGTCACACCTATAACACTATGTGACTTGCGCTTTGACCGTAAACACGCATGTGCAAAGTCGCAAATCAACCGCGACCAATCCGCGTAGTATAACTGCGAGGGGATGCCGTATTATCTTCATTGTCGACCGTGCGCTGCCGTTGAATCGTCAGAACCCCGGCTTGAACTGTGTACCGTATAAAGTACGTACACACTAGCTGTGGAGAGGAAACGTTGTACGCCGCCTGTGGTGAATACGAGGACCAACGTCTACTAACCGCTTTGTAGTAGAAGGCGGCGAGAGAAGGTTCAACGTTCAACGTTCAACAAGCGATTCTTACCGTGAGAAATATCGCTTACTGGTGCGCTCGCCACAATCACCGGACGACCACGACACTCACAGTGTCACACTACACTCACCCTCAACTTCGACAATGTCCTCGAAGCGCAAGTGGGACCAGGCTGCTCCGGAAGAGGATGACACCCCCACGAAGGCGGTGAAGCAGGAAGATGGCAAGACCGCCTCTGAGGCAGCCGCCGCGGCCGCCGCTATCGCTGCAAAAATCGCCGCACAGTTTGCTGGTTCGGGCAGCGGAGGACTGCCAGGCGGGAAAGACCCGCACGACGGAGATTTCATTCACGACATTGACATCAATGACGTGCGGAACCGGTACCTCTTGACGAAGGGCTCGACGCAGACGCAGGTGAGTACGCTCGCGAGGACCTGCCGTTGGCCTTTTACGACGTCTTCCTGTTAGATCAATGAGGACACCGGAGCTTCGGTCAGTACGAAGGGTGTATGGTACCCTGACCGTTCCAAGGCCACGGAAAGAGACCCTCCGTTGTACCTCCATATATCGGCGACGTCACAGGAGATGTTGCAGAAGGCCATCGACAAGGTCAACGAGCTCATTGCCATGGACATGGGTTCGCTGGTGGAGGACAAGAAGGACCGCACGAGGGAACGTGTGAGTGTTTTCATGGCAAGTAATTGGATCGGCTCCTCATATTCTTGCAGCGGAAATGGCCTGAAGAGAAGATCCCTGTCGGTATTGATAGTATACGTAACTTCAACGTCAGGGCAAAGGTGGTTGGGCCCCAGGTGAGTTGCAGCCCGAGACTCACTGCGAGCTCCTTGTGATTTGTCCTCCATAGGGTATGTTCGTGAAATACATTCAACAAGAAACAAATACTCGTGTGCAAATCAAGGGCATTGGCTCCGGCTTCGTGGATCAGGATACCGGACACGAACACGACGAGCCTATGTACATCCACGTAACGTAGGTCCTTTATGAACAACCTTTTTTTCAGCTCGCTTACTTGGATACAGTGGCCCCGACGAAGGTCAAGTGCAGCGGGCAAAGGTGCTCACCGAAGACTTGCTAGAAGTCGTTCGTGAGGAGCATGCCAAGGTCAAGACCGTCGTGCAGCAACAGCAAATGGAGCTCCATCAAGCCCAACTGCAGTACGCCGCCTACAGCTACGGAGTATGTATACTTTGCTCATTCATCTTCATCTGCCTGCGTGCGGTCTTTCAGGCACAGCGACCCTCGTTCCACTGATCTGATCTCTACTTGGATCCGGGCATGTACCATTCCTGTGTGGATTGCTAACGTCGTGATATTATAGGGATATGCTCCACCGCAACCAGGTGCCGCTCCCCCGCCTCCACCTCCCGGCGAGCAACCACCCCCTCCCCCCGGTGCGCCGCCGGAGGGCAGCGCACCTTCATCGATGAGCCAGGATGGTCATGCGGCAGCTGCAGCTGCAGCCCCGAGCGCTGGCGACATGGACGCATACAAAGCATACTGGTACGTCTGGCAGCTACATTACCCCAGCACAAATCGGTATACTGACGATTGTACGTAGGGCTGCGTATGGCTACGACGTCAACTCACCCGAGTTCATCGCATGGCAGCAGCAGCAATATGCGCAGTACTACGCACAACAAGGGTACGCGGGAGCCACGGCTGGTAGTCCGTCTGCTCCTGGCACACAACCCCCAGGCGATGGCGCACCGCCACCACCCCCTCCTGCCTGATGATTGACGTGCTAGGTATTGTATAGGTTTGGTCTATGGCATCTTGCGCGTTGATCTATCCAGGATACTACTCAATTCTGGCTCTGTTCTGTGTTGATATCGTTGTGCCTGGTATGTCAGTGCTTTCTCAAATGTATATTTAATTTCTGCATGACCGATGCCATGGCATCTCGTAAGGATGGGCTACATGAGAGGGATATCAATAAGCAGGGTATTAACGTTGTCAGTGCGAATCCGTCGAGGACATGTCTACCCGTTCTGTCCGTTGCATCTACCAAAGTCGCAACATTCTGATCTCTACAATTGCTGGCTGAGGCCGGCCTACGATAATACCTTCTTCGGGTCCACTCCGACGCCGTTTGCGACTTTCTCGATGACTTCCTCCACGCCCTTCTCAGCCCTCGCCAGGCCGAAGCCATGACCTTCCTCTTTATGACCCGCAACGACTCGCTCCCATCCTTTTCCATTATCCTTCTGATGCTCCAAGGTGACCTTGCAGACACCCTCCAAGGTAGTGATCCTCCCTTCGTAGCCCAGACCGCCTTTCTCGGGCGGCGATCGTGCGCGCGAGTCGTCGAAGATGAGGTGGATGCCGGTCAAGGCAAACATTGAAGGTTGTAAGAAGGTGATGTCACCGCTGACCCGCGGGATGAGCTTTGTGAGCGCCGCGAGTGGCGACTGCGCGAGGAAGTGTCGGAAGAGGCTGTACCGCTCCACCAAGTGCGCGATCCCGAGCATGGTCGAGCACGACAGCTTCGGGAAGACGCAGGTGCCATTAGTTAGTTGCGTGAGGGCGTCATACACGTCGCCGTACGTCGCGGGCGGCCCAGCGTCCGCGACGCAGAATGCCTGGCCGCCGACGTCTGGGTTCGTCCCGCCGTTCTGGAGCTCGATGAGCCGGGCTTCGTAGCAGAGATGGGCGAGGGAGCAGTTCTCGACGTAGATGAAAGACTGGATGATGTTCGGGATCCACGTAGGGTTCGTCCTCTTGACTAGGTACACCCCGACCAGCAGGTCGCCACCGGGACCGTAGATCCCGTTCCCCGGGCGTATGCAGCCCGTGCGTAGAACGCCCTTGCCTGAAGGCGACTTGTCCGCCGCACGGACGACGCGCTCAGCGTTGTATTTCGAGACGGCGTAGTTGGAGAAGAAGTCCTCGTGCCGTTTGGGGATGATGGCGTCGTCGTCGTTGGCAACTTGCGTAAAGTACCTTGGCTCCTTCTCCCATGGCCAGAGGAAGAATCGACTGCTGTGCACAGAGATGGAGCCGGAAGAGGTGTAAACGAAGGATGAGGCGCCGACGCGTCGCGCCGCATCCAGGACGTTCTGCGTCCCGAGCACGTTCACCCTCTCGGAAAGGTGGAGCAATTCGGGATGCCGTTCGAAAAAACGGATGGTTGCTGCGGTGTGGAACACGGTTATCTCAGGCTGCGGTTCACCGGGAACGTCAGATTGCGCGGGCGGCCATGGTTTCTCGAAGGCAGCCTGGACAGCCTTTGCATCGGACACGTCCGCCTGGACGAAGTCCACCTCCGTCGCAGCTCCCTCTAGCAGATCCTTGCGAATCGGCCGGCGAATGTCCAGGACGCGGATGCGTCGGGGATCCTCTCCGCGTGCCAGGAGGTGTAGGACAATCCATCCTCCCAGGAAGCCTGCCTGTCCCCACATCCGTATAAGATCGCAAAGGAAATGATACTAGATTGCGTCGTGCTCACCCCGCCCGTTATGATATACCGTCTCCCGGTCTTGGGTGGGAGCTTCTCGTTCAGCAGAGATGCCGGCGATGCAGCAAGCTCGTCCACGGTGCGTCGGACCTCTTCCGGCGTCCACCGCTTTGGAGACAACACGGCTGCCTCTGGGGGTATGCGGCCTAGCTTCGCGTCGTTGAGACGTATGTACAGGACGAGCAAAAGCAGGCCGCCCACGACCAGCCAGACCGTCGCACCCATATCTGCGTGCGTGGGGAGCTGAGAGATGTCGGTGAGAGAGTGGCCCGCGTCCAAGTCCGCCGCTGCTAGTCTTCTATAGCCTGCCTAACCAGGAGTAGCGTTCATTATTGTGCCACATATTCGACGTATGCATTCGATGTCGCCCATAGTCGGTTGCGTGAGCACTCGTGACGGGAACAGACTCAGAGTGCATGGAACTTATCCGGACGAACAACGAGGAGGACATGCAGTGAGTAGGGCTCCGTACAAGCGGGCGCGCAGCCGACGTGTGGCAAATCTAATTGAGTGGGGCTGGTGGAACTGATATTATTTTAATATGGCTAATAGAGAACATACATGCATGGAGTATCTGACAATGCGATGTCTATCATACTTTCTAACATTCGACGAATTGCAGTAGCACAACAAAGTCTACGCGGCCTATACATTCAACCCCAACCCAACCGTATGTGAATCGTCCATGGCATCATGACTCCTCCCGCAGAACCTTCTCCGCACCAGGAGGCGGCGTGTCGTTTTGTCGGAGCTCGTCCTCGCTGACCATCGAGCCCTCCGGATGTGGTGGACGGAAGTTCTTGAGCTGGTACTCCATCTGCTCATCCAGGACGGTCTGCCCGGAAGCAGCGGCGACGAAGCCGAGGAACGGCGGCGAAGGGTTAAGAGGGCGGGTGCAGAATTCAGGATGAGCCTGGAAGCCAACGAAGTACGGGTGATCTGTGAATCAGGCCCTCACATCAGTACGAAAGCAACGCAAAGCGATCTGTTCATGGCGCTCACCCTTGAGTTCGAGCACCTGCATTCGCTCGCCCTTCTCGTCCCGCCCGACGAAGGTCATCCCGCTCTCCGTGAGCTTCTCGATGTACGCCGGGTTGACTTCGTAGCGGTGCCGGTGCCGCTCCCAGACCTTGCCCGCGCCACCATACAGCCGACGTGCCCTCGACCATGCATCGCTGCCGTCCTGGAACATTGTCGGCCGCAGTCCGAGACGCATCGTACCGCCCATGTGTGTCCGCGAGATCTCGGGCATGAAGATGATGATCGGGTGCTTTGCGTCGGGGTCGAACTCGCCTGACGTCGCGCCTGCAATGGACGCGTAAGCCCAATGCATCAGGGTAGGGAGATGGAGGCAGACCTTCGAACCCGCAGACGTTCCGCGCCCACTCGACGACCGCCATCTGGAAGCCGAAGCAGATGCCCAGGAAGGGGATTTTCTGTTCGCGTGCCCACTTGATCGCGAGCATCATGCCCTCCGTGCCACGCTCACCGAACCCCCCGGGGACGAGGATACCACTGTCGAAGTGTCAACAGCTGACGGAAAGGCGACGAACAGAGGGACACACCCCGCAGAGACGACGGCGCGCCATGCGTCGTGATACCTCGCGGGACTTGATGTCTGCGTTTCGGGTTCCAGATCAGACGCGTCGACCCACTGCGGTCGCGTCAGCAAGCAGTCCTCGGTAAGTGCACGCTGTTCATACTTTGAGAATTAGACGGCGGTTACACCTGAAGGCAGAGTGCTCGAGCGACTTCGTGACCGACATGTACGAGTCGTGTAGGTCTGTGTACTTTCCGACGAGGACAATCGTGACATCGTCAATCACTCGTTCTTGGCTGAAATACGTTCAGACGGTCACCGGCCAAGCAACGTTAGCGGAACGCACCGTTTTGTGAGCTCCCTCCATCGGCACTCCAACTGTGTGCCCCTTTCCTTCATTTCCTGCGTCAGCTTGAGCACGCCCAGGTTGAGACGTTTGCTTAGATAGTCAACGATGCCTTGTGATTGGAGGAGAAGAGGGACATGGTAGACGGATGAGACATCGTGGACGCCGATGACCTGCTCCGGCGCGACATGGCAGAACATCGAGATCTTGGCTTTTGTTGCGGGTTCAAGAGGTTTTTGCACGATCAAACGGCAGGCAATCTGGCGGTATCCACACAGTGAGGTGTCTTGACGGGGCAGGTTGGAGATTGGAACCTACCAGGTCGGGCAGCAAACCAAGCCCTCGCAGCGCGTGCACTGTGGTTTGCGTCGGCTTCGTCTTCTGCTCGCCGTGCATATCCGGGACCAGGGAGACATGAATGAGGGCAAAGTTTTCATAGCCTACTCGGAATTGGAACTGTCGCATGGCCTCCACGAATGGTGCCGACTCGATGTCACCGACCGTGCCTCCGAGCTAGATGTTGCAATCCGTGAAAAATTGTACTGTGGCATGCGCGACCATCGTACCTCTACGATGCACACATCCGGCTCTTCGCCTGTCTCGTCTACAGGGATCTTCGAGACGCGCTCTATCCAGTCTTGGATCGCGTTCGTGATATGCGGTACGATCTGTACGGTCTTGCCGAGGTAGTCTCCCCGCCGCTGATGTCACGAACTCAATTCTGGCAGACTGCAGATGCGGGCTATTGGACGACGGACCTCTTTCTCAATGACCTCCCGATAGATTTTGCCGGTAGTGATGTTGTTGTCACGCGACAGAGTAACGTCCAGATACCGCTCGTAGTTGCCAAGGTCGAGGTCGACCTCGCCGCCGTCGTTCAGGACATACACCTCGCCTGCGGCGTCTCTCAGAAGACCATCGCGCGCTGTCGTGCAGAGGCGACCTCACCATGCTCCTGGGGCCGCATGGTGCCTGCATCTATGTTCATGTACGGGTCAATCTTGATCGCGGTGACCTTCAGACCGGTCGTCTTGAGGAGCAAGCCTGTCGAGGAGGCTACAACGGGTGCTTGAACATAACCTGAGAGAGGCGACGCGCTGGAGCGTACCGATCACGCCCTTCCCGATGCCGCTCACCACACCGCCGGATACGACAATGTACTTGGTCATGGTTCGCTCGTCGTCGTGCTCGTCGCCGTGCAGACTCTGCAGAGGAGAAGTCTGCAGCAGAAATTTGCGGTGCGGGGGCGCCAGAAAGTCCGATCCACGGGGAGAGCCGTTGCGTGCAACGCGTTGCGCGCAACGCGCAACGTCACGCAAGTCACGGTGTGGCTTGCCTCGTCGGGCGGGACAAGGGGTTACGGGACAGTTGGTGTATACATATTGGCAAAAATAACACCAGACCACTTCGCACTTCGCTCCAGCTAGATATATACAGGCCTAGAATAAGAGCTAATACGACCTCAGTCTGCAGAGCTGGGAGTGATTCGCACTGTGACTCAACGCGCCACATGTCGCTTATGTAATTTCTCGGGCAATGCATCGCGATTCGCTCGGTGGCCGCGATTGCAACTTGGCCGGGAAAACGCCATGCAAGGCCTTTCTTGCGTAGGAAATAGCACACATTCCAACCACTCAATATCTTCAAACTGAACAGGCTCACCACAAGTGGACTGTATGGGGATGTGGCCACAGCGCCTCGTCGCATGTCCTTATTTGGCAAGTCATCTGTCACCGAAGGCTACACACAAGACACATTGACAGTAGCCTGTTGTATTTAAGAGTACCATTCTATTCCTCAGTTTGTAACCGAAGCTTTATTTTCATTTCCAATGTCATAGCCACACGGAGGCGGGACTAGTTCGTAGGCAACATAAGTAGGTTACTTACCCGCAGTGGGTGCATGTCACAGCGTGACTAAGTGACTGTTGCACGTTGCACGTTGCGCGTTGCGCGCAACGCCCCTCCCAGTCGATCGAACGTTCTCGGGGGCGCGCTATAACCACTTCGTGGCACGTGACTCCAACGCGTCTGTCACACTGACTGGCCGTCACAGTGTCTGTCACACAGCCCTGGCAACGGCGGCACCGCTGGGCCCTGCCGGGCCTCTTCTGCTCGTACCTTCACGTCCGACTTTTTGGATGGAAATGCAGACAGTTCTACCCGGGCGGCCTTTGTCATCATGCTATTCATTTGCTGCTTCATTGAACGCCGACCGAGGTCCCACCAGTGATCCGCGGAGGACCACGTACGTGCAGCAGGTTGTCGTGCCGGGCTGACGCGTAGTGTTCTCGCAGCCCCGGGACTTGCGACATGGCGGGACGGACGAGTGCTGGATCCTATAAGACCTCGCGATGTGACATACTTATGCCTGCACACTTTTCCAATTCTCTGTCCCCCACAGACCGATCCAGATGAAGCTCCTTTTGACCGGTGTCACTGGTGTAGGTATGCATTGTTTTGCTTTCGGTGTCAACGCGCATCAGTGTTGACTTCATAATCCATCCAGCTGGTCTTGCAGTCTACCGCGCAGCCCTGGTCGATCCTGCTGTTAGCCATATTACCGTCCTTTCCCGCCGACCGATTCCTCCCTGGGCGGTCCTTCCGCCTAACGCCACGGCAAAAACGACCACCATCATACACGACGACTTTCTCTCGTACTCGCCGGACCTCGCCAAGCAGCTTGCGCAGAACGATGCGTGCGTCTGGGCGCTGGGCAGGAGTGTTGCAGGGATGAGCGAGAAGGAATACACGGAGATGACGCATGGGTACCTGCTGAACGCAGCTAATGCGCTGAAGGATGCAGGCGTGGGCGAGGGCAGGAAGGAAGGCGATCCGTTCAGATTCGTCTTCATCAGTGGAGAGAACGCGGATCCGACCGAGACCAGTGTACAGATGTGGGCAAGGGTCAAGGTGCGCTTATGAGTGTTCATTCTCGACTTTCACTTCTTTGACCATTCTTCTTCTAGGGTCGCGCCGAGACTGATCTCACCGAGTTGTGCGCCTCTACACCGGGTATGAAGGCACGCATCTTTCGCCCAGCGTACTTCTTCCCGCCGAAGAAGTACCCCGAAGACCGGAAGAACCAGCGTCCGGCGTGGTTCCGCGCACTCGACATTGTTATGACACCCGTGGTAAAGACTCTGCTACCCTCTATATATACGCCGACGGAGGACCTGGGCAAGTTCGCCATTGAACTCGCGAAGGGACGATGGCCTGAGAAGGTCCTGTTCCGCAATGTCGAGATGAGGGAGTTGGTCAAAGAGGTGCAATAGATATTCTCATTTGAGCGGCATTGGTCATAGTAATTGGTACCGTCTTCGGGCTTATAATGAGCTCTGAATCTAGTATATTCTCATTATGTTCCATATACGACCCCACGTGGCAAGGTGTTTAGGGCTTGCCTTGGTGATCCGTACACGAGCCAACCCCTCCGACACTCCTCGCGCCCGAAGCGCATCCTTCACGGACCCCACACCAACTTAACGACCTCCGCCGCGCATTCCTTCACCCCCCTGAATCCTCAAGATCGATCTACGCGGCAGCAACGTCCTCTCGAATACGCTCTATGTACGCTCGTGGTCCCCGAAAGCAGGCCTCGACAGCAATGTTCCCGACAACTGGTACGACCGGCACTCATCCACCCTGAGGTTCAGCGCCGTCGGGATCGAAGCAGACTTTCACCGTCATGCTGAACATCCGCTACTCTACATGTTTGGCCTGTATGATGTCAGCTTGAGCACCTCTGAGCTGACGATCAAGTCGCCAAGCACGCATAAGTGAGCCTTCACGTTGCGATTGACATTGCAAGTGGCACGCAGCAATGTACACGATGCGTGCGACAGGCGGTATACATCGCAATGGCCCCACGATCATGCTACGCCGTCCGCTCAGTCAAGCTCATCTACGTCTAAGCCGCGCTCGAACAGCCCGCCGTCGAAGACATACTCCCGGGGATGGTATCAGGAAGAGCGAGAGGGAGCGATCGCTCTGACAAAAGCATTCGTCCAATCAAATGTCTGCTTACGCGGGGTTTGGTCTCATTGCTGCCTGTGATCGCGTGACTGGTACTTGAGCTTGAGGACGCATCACCTCCTCAGTGTGTGTACCGCCGTGTTCCTCAAGAGGCACCGGAGAGCAATCATTCGGACAAAGAGGACGTACGGTGCGCCTTTACTCAGCAAGCAGATGCGCCGTCAACATCATTGATTCCTCTCCCTCTTCGATGCAGAAGGTCATCGTGTTGAAGTGTCGCGCCCAGGGTACTCCTCAAAACGGCCAGCCGAGCGGGACTTGTTTAGTGGCGGCGACCATGGGAGATGAGCACGGACCAAAACGAGGTACAGCGTGCAGTCCCCTGAGGTTATGAGTGACACGCTGCCGGAGAGGCCGTTGGTAGTACTTATACGCCTGCGAAGGCGGAGAGTGCGAGTCCGGGAGGGGGTCAAGGTCACGGTGTCGAATCGTCAGCAGTCATTGATATCACAGGCATCGTCGTGCGACGCTCTTGATCCGTCAAACGAAAGGCGGCGGCTGCGCCGAGAGCAGTGACTCGGAGAGCATGTGGCGCAACGGGTCGGTCGCTCTGACGCGTCTGTGGCTGAACTTGGCCGGCTCTTGCCGATCGGACACACTCGGACGAGTGGCACGGCGGCGGTCAGTTGCTGAGCACCACCCACTGCGCACTGTGTTTTGAGATGGACGTCAGTGAGTATGACGGCTCCGTGCTGCATTAAGTACCGGATGATTCTGAGTCGGAGCCCACGACCACCCCATGTTGACTGAGATCGATGCCTTCCACATTAGGTCACAGTCACCGCAGTCTGTGGGCGTGTGTGGGTCCACGCCTGTTATGGAGGGCCCGCGTGTTGATTGGTCGACTAATGCTTGTCGATAGCGACGGATTGGTTTCCCAATTCTCCCGCTCCTGCGGGCGGGCTGCATATAAAGCCCGCCATGATCGCTGCAAAGTCCCCACTAACGCACCGAGCATCCAAGCCTCTCGTACTTCCAGTTTTCCCGCATCACGCCGGCCCCTCTCGTCGCACCAGTCATCTACAGTCTGCCTATCATGTCTGCTCGGGCTTCCACCTCCTCGACCTTCATCATCCCCTCCATCTTTACCTCGAGCAACACCCGAGAGCGCGACCTCGAGGCACAGACAGCCTCCGACTCGGACAGCCGCGATCACTTCGACGTGCAGCTCTCAGCCCCGCCTGTCGCATTCACCCACGCGCCTCGTACCCTTGCTGCTAGTCTTCAAGAGGGAACGAACGCGATTGACGACTTCTTCGGCGCGTCCTCTTCTCGCGGTACGCAGGATAGCCGTCACGACGCGGCAGCCTTGCCTGTGCACCACGACGACGCACCGCCGCCGTACTCCTCCTCTTCCGCGCCTCCTGCGTACCCGCGCTACGCGGAGCACCCTACCCTCGCCATGTACCTCTTCAAGTTCGGTTTCGGTGAGTATTCCTGCGTGTTCCATCATCTCATGATCCACTTACTGACTTTCCTCTCACTAGTGTTCCCTCTATTCTGGATCGCCGGTGCACTCATCCTCGTCTCCCCTTTCCGTGCTCCCGAAGACTGGGAGCCATCCAAGACGGAGGCAAGGCGTCAGGAGCTCATCGAGAGCATGCGACGCACGGAAGTGAAGTGGGCGAAGCGTTGTCTCATTGCGCTCTCCATCCTTGGGCTCGCCGTACTCGTCGTCGCGCTCGCCGCCTTCTTCCTCACTCGCAATAAGTGAGCGGGAGCATCTGCATTGTCCCACGCAAGCCAGGAGTGCAGCCTTACGCTCCAGTCCTCTAGCTCTAGAAGCTATGACCTCGACGCAACTCACAGAAGGGTAATCAACTCTTCCGCAACCTTGTCACACCAAACCCCGGGGGTTAATGCCGGCGTGCTTGCGCGCCCTGAGGCCTGAGGCCTGAGCCATTGCTCCTCCCATGTAGTACTACCATCACGCTGAGAGAGCTGTTAACAGCTCCCACCTCCGATGCCATTGCCACCGGCGGCGTGACCGTGACAGTTGTTGATTTATGATTATGCTGGAAGTAGGCCAGCACGACTACACTCACGCCCATCCACGCTACCGCTGGACCCCATATCGCCTGCGGTGGCTTAGTGAACATAGGCCAGATACGGCCCAGGACGTAAGCAAACGCGCCCGCCCGTACGAAGTGCTACCAAATTAAAGCTGAGGACATCCTGTATCATAGGTGGAAAAGGTGCATACCAAGTGTTTGTCGACTCGGAGCTCCGCTGCCCCTCCAAGAGCAACGGTTGTTCTGTCGATGTCGCACTGTGAAACATCGCGCCGCTGACGCAGGCTTTCCTCTAAGCTCGCTCGCATAATTTCCATAGAGATTGAGGACGTCCATACACTCGCCGCCGCAGTGCCAATCCTCTCCCCGAAGCCGACATGCCCTTCTGCGCCGCAGGCTCCTGATGTCAGTGAGCATCCGAACAAGCCGCTCATGTCGCTTGATTCGGCGCACCTGCTGAGCCTGTGCTTACCCTTGCGCCCCGAGACAATACCCTCAAAATGACTGGGTATTTATAACCATGTGCAATAAGCACTTGGGCTCGCGTTATGATTCGGAAGGCCTCGTCCGTCTGTATCGCTCTCGTATGTTGTCGCTGACGCACAGGTACGTATACCAGCCATCCAACTAAAGCACTGTCATCAAGAGAGCCGACGACATTGTCTTTGACGCTCCATTTGGCTTGAGTGAATGCGGATGTGACAAACCGCGGGATACGACGCGCGACGAGCGGGCTCAGCGAAGAAACCGCTAAGAACGAGCCTGCTACGCAGAGTGGCAGCCAGATGTGCTTGTTGTCGTCGCGCTGGACGGGGACGGCGCGATGAGCTCCATATGCATGGCTCGTGTCATGAACAGCGTACATACTTACCAGATAACGGCCTACTAAGCGGTTGTAGGTCGTAGGTCCGAGTCGTCCGGGCGGTGATCGACATTCGTCTGGCATCGTACGTTCACCCTGCAGCTGTTGAGTAAACCCGGTCGTCTATACTCGAGGAGAGACAGGTCGATGAGAGGACTTGCATGACATGCCTCAGACTCGAGGACAAGTACTGTGTGTCTGCGAATAAGGCCATGGCTTCTCCGACAAGATCGAGCCGAAGGGCCGCCGGGACACGTCAGGCCTCAGTGCTGCCGACGGTTTCCTTTGCACCGCAGGCTGCGACTCAGTGAATATCCGAAACAGCGACTTCCAACAACTGCAATTGAGCATACCTGTTGAGCCTGTGCTTGCGCTCGCGCCCCGAAACAACAATAAGACAGATGGATAGCTATGTTGAACAAGTTCATGCGCTCGACGCATGGTTCGGAGGGCTTCATCTGTCTCTATCGCCCTCTTATACTGCAGCTGACGTACAAGTGAGTACGTCCCCAGCCCAAGTGGAGCGCCGATTCGAAGAGGGCCGATGATGTTGTCTGTGACGTTCCATTTCGCTTGGGCAAATTCGGAGGCAGCAAATCGCGGAATACAACGTGCGACGAGCGGGCGCAACGAATAAAATGCGAAGCACGGGCCTGCTGCGCCAAGCGGCACCCAGATGTGCGCGTTGTCGTCGCGCTGGGCAGCGGGACGGGAGATGAGCTCTATATGCTTCGCCCACAATCTGAATGGCATACCAGATAACGACTTATGAAGCGGCTGTAGTGTGTGGGTCGTTCGGCGGCGATTGGTGTTCATCCATCCCAGGTTTGCCCTGCAGCTGTTGAGTCAACCCGGGTGTCTATCTGCTCGAAGGGAGACAGGACGATGTGAGGTTTCGCATAACAGGCTTCAGGCTGGACACACTGTCTGCGAAGACTATGGCTTCTGCAGGATCGAGCCGAAGGGACACGCAGGCTTCGCCGTAAGTGCGGACGCCATCTGGTCAAACCCTCGAGCGCGCGTTCCTTCAAGTTGTCTTATATTTAAAGCTGTACAAAGGCGTAATCGAGCAAGGCAGCTGCATGGCACGAAGTGAGATCCTCCTAGACGGTCCAAGGACATCCGGAGAGACGAAAGTTAAATAAGATCAAGTCGGTGGAAGGAATTGTCGTCGTACCGCACTGGCAGGCGAAAGGCTCGGACCACCGGGCCAGGACGGCTGCCAGCACACCTCAGCACACTAATGCTGTACTGAGCGTGGGAGTTTCATTGTACATGCCACTCAATAAGTAGGGCTTTCAGCTTAAGTATGTAAAACCGCGGCACGTACGGTAAGTACTGTAATGCGACATTGTCACGACGCATGATACCATTCCATACGTTAGTACTGCTCTTAGGTGCCAGGAGGTTTCCGGGCTTCTATCTGAAAAAATCCAATAACAGAGCCCAGAGACGCGAACGGCGACAAACCAATAAGAAAAGAATATAACGGCGAGGAAGAAATGGGAGGAAGCGGCGATCACGTGCGACTGCTACTTAAAGCAAAAATTCGTGCTGGCTTTCAGCACCCCGCCATCCTCTTTTCAAACCAGCATGTTGGCCTCTTTATGGGTCAGGGCCGCGCGGATACCCGCGAGAGGCTCGTCGCGGGTTACGGTGGCAAGAGGTATGTCGAGTATTCCGTATCGCGATGGATTGAGCGTGACTGTTGTTGCAGGTGCCGTCGGACAGCTATCCGCCCGACGATGGACTTCAGCTACCGCTCTTGCACAGGAGTCTTCGGAGGAGCCTACAATACGACCCGAGCAGACGGCTGCGAAGGACACTGACACGCCAGACTTCTCCACTCTCAAAGACGCTATCTCTCGCGATACCCTGAATGCAATTGTCGGCGAACCATTCAAGCTTACGCGCATGACCTCGGTGCAGGCCGCCGTACTCCCTCTCCTCCCTGGTCTGTCGGAGCCGCACAGTTCGGATTCAGAAAACGCTCGCGACTTGCTCGTCAGGGCAAGAACTGGTACCGGAAAGACCCTCGCCTTCCTCGTGCCCGCTATCGAAGCTCGGATTCGCGCCGTTAAGGCAGCTGGTGATCAGGCAGTGGCAGATGCTGGTGCGGGAGCAGACCAATATACGCAGGAGCGCGCGATGCGCCGCTATGCGCGGGCCGTCCCCGGCTGTCTCGTCATCAGCCCTACGCGTGAGCTGGCAACTCAGATTGCCAACGAGGCGCTGCGCCTCAGCTCTCACCACCGCGGTTTCGAGGTCAGGCTTTTCGTCGGCGGCGCCAGCAAGGGTAAACAACTGCGGGACTGGCACAAAGGCAGGTTGGATATCGTGGTCGGGACGCCGGGTCGCATCCGGGACATGCTGGAGAATGAGCCTGATGTCAGTGAGGGTTTGGCGCAAGCCAAAGTGGTGCGTGGTCTGCTCGTATCCTCTGCTTCAATCATTGACCGTAGCGTCTGCTGCCTCTTAGCTGATCCTGGACGAGGCCGACACACTTCTGGACATGGGTTTCCGTGACGACTTGGACGGCATCGTCTCGAAGTTGCAACCGACCCCGGAGAGGCAGACGTTCATGTTCTCCGCGACGGTTTCCCCCCAAATCCGGCAGATTGCACGTACGTACCTCGACAACAGCCACAAGTACATCAACTGCGTCGACGACTCCGCGCCCCCGACCCACGCCTCCATCCCGCAGTACCACACTGTCCTGCCGACGGAGGCCGACCAGCTCCCCCATCTCCTCCGTCTCCTCGCACACGACCAGTTGTTGCACGGCTCCAAGTCCAAGACGCTCATATTCACCCCGACAACGAAGATGACCCAGCTGTTCACGACGCTCGTCCGCAGCCTGTCCTCTTCGCTGCCTGCAGGCATAGTAATCACGAAGGTCTTCGAAATCCACTCGAAGCTGAGTCAGATGCAACGCGACAAGGCCGCTGCGTCGTTCCGCGAGGTCGCGAGCAAGCCCACGATCCTCGTCACCTCGGACGTGTCTGCGCGCGGCGTCGACTACCCCGGCATCACGCGTGTCATCCAGATCGGAATCCCGTCGAGTACCGAGACGTACGTGCACCGTGCAGGTCGTACTGGCCGCGGCAAGGACATGATCGGTGGGCGCGTCGACCTTGTACTCATGCCTTGGGAGGTCGGCTACGTCAGCTGGAAGCTTGCGGATATGCCGCTGAAGCCGCAGACGACGGGCGAGCTCGAGAAGCAAGTGCGCGAGCTCGCGCAGCGCCTCGACAGCGGCGAGCACAGCGTGAGCATCAAGGGTGCGCAGAGTCCGTACTTGCCCGTGTTCGAGGCGATCCAGAAGGACATCGAGCAGCTGCAGACCAGGCTCGACGAGGATGCCGTCTCGGGGGTCATGTTCTCGCTCTTTGGGTACTATGGTACGCACGTGGGGGACCTGCGCGTGCAGCGCAACGTCGTCATCGAGGGCCTCAAGAACTGGGCCACGGAGGCGATGGGCCTCGAGGAGCCGCCGTACATCTCGCGCGACGTCCTCACCAAGACGGGCTTTGGTTCCACGCCGCAGAAGTCGATGAGGGAGAATAGGCGGAGCGAACCGCAGAACTGGCTGGGCCGTGGCCGCGTCGCCAACAGGGAATCGCGAGGCTACGACAAGGAGTCACGAGGCTACGACAAGGAGTCCCGAGGCTACGACAGGGCACCGCGAAGCTTCGACAGGCCTAAGGAGTCCCGAGGCTATGACCGACCTAGAGAGCCTCGAAGCTTCGACAAGGGGTCGCGAGGCTACGACCGTGACTCGCGCAGCAACTCCTTTGACAGGCCACGGAGGAGGTCGTTCGACTCCGAGTCGGACTGATCTCTCTCCGTCTTCTCACAAAAGGCCTTCTTGAACGGGCGCAATGGCGCATCCGTGCGGAGGTTGTGTTCGCCGCCGAGCCTGGTGGCGGCAGGATGGGTCCTGGTTAGACTGGGTATGCAGCGTTGCTAGCTGTGTTGTACTTCTAGTATAGTACGAGCGCTCTCATGCATGTAATAGGGTCATCGCGTCGATTATGCGAATAGAGAGGACCTCTGGGCTTTCCACCCCACTCATGAGTGATTTGAAGTGTGTACAGCCAGTGCTATTGTGAGACTCGAGGGTGTCTACAAGTGTAGCACTCGGCACGTATAACGCAAAAGTCTGTCCTTCGATGTCTACAGTAGTTCAACTGGACTGAAGCCAAGGCAAAGGCGTATATATGATAGCAGTGCATTAATTGGTAGCGTACAGTACATCCTATATGTCCCATATGTCCCAAAGGGCCCTAATCACGCAGCCCAGCCCCCAGGCGTTCCCCTCACCAATCCAATCCTCGCCGCCAGCTGCCTGGCGTGCATCGCCTGCAGGCGTTTCGAGCGCATGAACAGCACGGCGAGCGCAATAGCCACGATGACAGCGTTGCACGCGAGGAACTCGTAGAAGTCGCCGCGCTCCTTCTCGACGATGCGCCCGCACGCCTCCCAGGCAGGTATCTCGCCGCTGTCAGGCTTGGGCTGGCCGGTGTCGGAGTCGGCGCCGGCGAAGGGCGGGGGGCCGCGGTCGAAGTCGTGCTCGTCGCCGCGGAAGGGTGCGGGGCCGGACGGGGGATGGTATGTGGGAGAGGAAGTGCGGGCTGAGCAGTGCATGAGTCGACGGTTGCCGAATGGTTGGCAGAAGGGCTCATTCAACTGGAGGGTCGTCGTCCGAGTCAGCGGCGAAGGAGGGGGCTGAGTGCAGCTTTTACTCACCGCATCGTCTGGACATGGCTCACACGTCCCAAATGGCCTGCAGACGAGGTCGATTGTGTTATTGGCCTCCTGAGCTACGCAGACTTGAACGAGAGACGAGATGATGAGCCTGCTGGACTGTGAGCAGTGGTCGAGGAAGTCAAATGGTCCTACGCACCATAACTGCCAGGTTAGTCTCATGTGTGCCCGCTAGCGATCGTCTGGGTCGTTTGGTGTACTATCGAGCGGACAGGAATCATCGCATTGCGCGACGTGTACGGTATGTGGCAGGGTTGTATGGCGGTTCCCGCCCACGAGCCTCAGCGTAGTCCCGCATTTGACGCCGCGTAGCTGCTGGGATGTACACTCAGAAATACTACACCTGCTAGATATCTCAACGATTGATCACTGTTTGCGTCTGCATTCACGGCCATGAGCATGAGATTGCAACAATGATTTGACCAACTGCACAAGAAATTCGAATGAGAGAGGCAGCGGCGGTCGCAGAACGGTCGGGACTCGGAGAGCGTCTAGCCCAGATCGTCCGTCCTTTCGCATACCACCATCCCATCGCCCGCGACTTGCTCTCGACTGCCCACTAGTGACCCACCGCTTGACCCCCGACAATGTCTCGCAGAACAGCAGTCGTCGAGGAGTTCGACGACGACACAGAGCTCCCTCTCCCGAACCGACCTCTGCCCAACACAGGCTCGCGGGGCGCCATCCTCGAAGAGCTCTCAGACGACGCCTACTCAGACGACGATGTCCCCCCACTGCGTGCACCGACGGCTGGGCCCGCCTCGCCCTCACAGCTGCAGTTCAAGGCCCCCGTGCCAGAAAGGCCGGAGCACGGCGCCCGGGCGGTCACAGACATCACGCCCTACAAGAAGTGCGTCCGACTTCTCTTCCTCTCTCCCTTGATCTCATTTCCGTATACTTCCACCTCTTCTCTGCGTTATCTGCTGGTAGATGGACGTGCGTGTACCCAATATACATCGACGCAAAGCGACCGCACGGGACGGGCGAGCGGCGCATCGCGCGCTCGAAGAGCCTCTGGTGGCCGCTCAGCAGAGACATCGCGGAGGCTGCGGGCAGGCTCGGGCTCGGTACGCTGCACGAGATGAACAAGGCGCACCCGCGCGACTGGGAGAACCCCGGGCGCGTGCGCGTGCAGTGGAAGAAGGATGGGCGGCTCGTCGACCCCGGCATCAAAACCAGTGCGTCTCCCTGCGTGCTCGCCCTGACGCACCCACCCTTCACGCGTCCGTGCCCTTTGCAGAGAAACAGCTGCTCGAGAAGCTGGCCTACCAGATCCAGCTCGTCAAGCCCGACAATGTGCCCAAGCCGCCGTACACGACGTCTGCGACGGTGTCAGTAGAACCAGAACCAGCGCCGGTACCCACGCCCTCGAAAGGTAAACAGCCCGCGTCCGGCAAGCCCTCCAAGACGACGAGTGCATCGAACGTATCTATCAGCACGTCGAAGCCACCCTTGCAGTCGAAGAAGGGTCGCCCGAGGCCACCCAGCCCCCGCAGCCTCACCCCTTGCTGACGAGCCGAGTCTCGCCATACTCGCCTGCACTGCCCAGCGGCGTGCTGCTAGAGACGATCAAGGCCGGAATGAGCGCGCAGGAGGGCGCCCCTGCGATAGGCGGAGGCGGAGGGAAGGGCAAACGGAAGGTCGTGCGGGTGAGAGGATGAGTTACCGTGGACGCTGAGAGACGTGTGTACTGCTTATGTATTATTGCTGTAGCAGGAACGTGGATAAATGAGTGTTTACCTTGATCAAATCACCAGGCTGGATTTAACGTCGAAGACGAAGCGCGAAGATTATGCTACAAGACTAGCGATACACGAATAAGAACAAATAAGTGAGCCCGTCCCTGCAGGCAATCCTGGTATCCGACTCCCGTATATCCATGGTTCCGCATGCTTTGAGTTTCCAAACCTCGACCCGACGTCTTACTTTTGCTCTGCTGCCTGGCGCTGCATCGCTCTCTGCCTCTCCGCGATCGCCTCTTTCAGCTTCTCTATCTGCCTAATGAACAGCGTCACAGTCTGCAGGTCCAGAATGAAGCGCGGGCTTTCGGATGCAAGGTACAACTTTTGTTGCTTAACCACCGCGTTCTTGAAGGATGACGTCAGAACGAGGATATTCGCAGACAGGTGGGAAAGCACATACGGCGGTGACAAGCTGCTTGATCGTGTCCTCCGCCATCCAACAGGCATACAGCGGCAGGAGCGGCTCCATCTCCGAGATGTATCCCCAGAGCACGTTGAACACTCCCTGGTACTCCGACTCTTCCTCAGGCGGCACGTCCACGAGAGGCATATGCGACAGGCCTGCAGTCCTCGTCAGCATTCCTCGTCCTAGGTATGTGGCGGACAGCTTTGAACCGGGTACTCACGTGCCAGAACGGCTTTTCGCACCCAGTTCACGTACAGACTGCCATTTCGGAGATCCACGTCGCTGGGGCGGCCCTTGACATTCGGCTTGAGCATGGGTCCCGCGAACTCTCCCCTCTGCTGTGAAGCGGCGGTATCGCGATACTCCCTCGGACAGAAGTCGAGCACCGCGCTGGCGGACGGCGACCGCCTGTGCAGCTGATGTGGAGACAGTGTCGTCGGCTGGCAAGCAGCTAGGTCAATGGCAGCATCGTCAGTGTCTGAGCTCCAAGATGTCCCTGAGACTACGGAACGTACCAAGCGCGGCGCGCCGTTGGGCTGCCTGAACCTGGACTTGGACCTGCGTCATACTGTGCCGCGTGCGGATGCCGACGTCGGAGGCCCGAGCCTTGCCAGCGGCGCGGGTGCTGAGGGCGGGTTGCGTAGGCGTGGACAGCATCTTTGGTCAGGCTCCTTTGTCGAGGGCGGGGCGGGGGCGGGGGCGGGGTAAGTAGAGTCGCTTGGGCCCGGGAGTATCGGTGCTCGGAGATTGGGTTCCTTGGCCCTATCCCCCCTCGCCAGGCTGATTTATACGACTAGGAGCGACTCCTGGCTCGCAGCCGCCCCGAGAGCTTCTCATGTGCCGGTGGGCACGCGGTGGCACGCCCCCGCCCAAATCCGGCGTGCGGCCTTTTGTGCACGCTCCAGGGTGGCGTTCGCGCCCATTGTGAGACGCGTCCGAGGGGGCGATATGATGGGGAGCGTGCGCGGACGTCAATGTGCCAACAATGACGGGCGTCCGCGAAGGCTAATTGTCCGGCCCCGCGCGAGGGAACGGACAATTGTTGGGCGGACGCCTATTGTGTGGCCATAATTGTTTAGCGTCGATGCGCGGTGGCGCTGAGAGCGGTCGGTGGGTTTACTTATGGAAGGTAAGGCCTAGTCAGGATGAGTATATCATAGTCATAGCAACCGTATGAATACACAGTGGGAGAAGAGCGAGGAATGAGGCATCATAGTACCGTGAAGTTGGGTGTTCAGCCTGAGCCTGTACGGCACAGGTCAGCCGATGCCAGTCTTCTTTGCGGTCCGGACCATTAAAAGTACTGATGTCACATTGCGAGGACTAGCTCGAAGCTGCATAGGAGCAGAGATGCCCCGTGTACTCACGGCAATACGGATAGGCACAATTTCGGGGGCGTTCAGTAGACACGCGGCGTCTTGTCATCAGGCTCGTGCATTGAGACCTACTTCAAATTTGAGGATATCTGCCTACTGACGTACATTGTACATGGGTCTGTAACATGAGATGACGCCAGATGTTGGGGTGTAGCGTAGCTGAGGAAATGACGAGGCATCTGCATACTGCAGTATTTAAGGCTTCAAAATTCAAAGCTAGTAGGAGGTCTGTAGTCACAGTACTTTCTACGACGGAAGGGCGGCGCCCAAGCGGCGCCTCAGTTAGTTTACGGTGATCAGGTTCCCACGCTCAATAAGTAGGTGGCGTCCGAACGTACCAAATGACAGACACTGGCCAACAGTTGAGTACTATCAGTGGCCCTGCAATGCAATCGCGACAGTAATGCAATTACTCAACTCCCATTTCATCCGTCCCGTTAAATATTCTGGGATTTTTGTACAATGTTCTTTACTTCGTACTCAATGTTTATGTGCACTTTGATGAATTGAATGTGTAGCGCATTTGAGGAGAAGAAATCGATGAATGCCTTCCGCGCCTCAATAATCGCACTGGTACAGTCTCGGCTGACCGCATCCCTTGGGCGCTTCGTCTGTGGGTCTCAAAAGTGCATTGAACTACCATATAATATGTTCCTCATATTTTTCCGAAGCCTTTCGTCTCTTGTTGCGACTTCTGAGCAGGAAAGACGTCTGAGCGGTGGTCAGAGCGTGACGGAAAGCCACCCAAGATCAGCGATCTCAACTCCGCTCCTTATCAGTTACCATATGCGGTTACGATCGCAGCAGTTGCACTACTGTTGCTCGCCCGCTGGACAAGGCATTGCACGCATTACTGGCCATGCCACCCTCCATTTGACACGCGGGGGAGCTACTAACTACTGGAGAAAGATAGAACTCGTGAAATGAGGGAGGACCGGTGTATAGTATCTCCTGAGTCGAAGTAGTCGACTCGTTATGGCTTTCAACATTATGACTTACTATACTGTAAGGGATGCCGGTCCTCTGAGTATCATTACAATAATATAGATACATCCACAGCCTCTCCAGCAACTGAAAAAGGTGTTTGGGATAGCACAAGGTGGCATGAACATGTTGGTTGCATTGCTGTATCGCCGTGCAGCCACAATAGCCACAGTCGGCAACACTCGGCAACACTCGGCAGTGTGACAGGAACTGTGACGAGCCTCGGAGAAGAGTTGCATTACTGTTCCAATCCTTGCTCCCTCTCGGCATCCCTCTCATACTCCCTGGACAAGGCCTGTAAAATCATACACCATATATTCAGACCTCAGGAATCCGTCAGTGCAAACTCCGAGAGCTTCCGGTGAGCGGTTCGTCCTGCAGAGAGGAAAAAGCGCGAAAATTGCACTTCTGGTACAGTGATAGTACTGAGTACAACTGTCTCTATTTCGCGGCTCTTACTGCCAGTGCGGCGTCTTCTGAGGACACCGTTGACAAGGAGCATCGTTGCGAACCAATCCCGAACTCAATGCGGTAGGTCACCCAGAGGTCCCCTCACATCAGTGCCATCTCGTCGTTCGACCCCGAGTCGACGAAGATGCTACCATGGTATATTTCCCCTCGTGCTGGTGTATCTCCCGAGTCAGTGCTACCATGTACGTTCGCAAGGACCTGCAGTCGTCTGGTGATGCGTACCCATCGTTGTCGGTCGATATTCTCCGGGCAACACGTCCGGGATGACGGGCATGGGGTGTCGTACACGGCGGGGGAGGTGATCTTAGCAGAAGGCACGGTGAGTCTCTCGCCGACGACAATCCGTGCATCTACTCAATGCGTGTCAAGCCTCTTTCGAGTGTCGCCTCGGTCATGCGCGCATCGACGCCTGCGAGCACGCCGTAACACGCCCGCTAGGCCGGTACCTGGCACGGCCAGTCCTGTCCCGTGCATCTGTCGCTTTGAGTTGCTGCTCCGCAGTGCCACCAGAATGAAGGTTCGTCTGTCCACCCGACACGGGCTTGGCTTTTGCTAGCTGCCGCTTTTGGGACGAGGGAGCAGAGCTTCCGCGTGGGCAGAGGATGAGCGTGGGCAACGGTGGAATCCGATCGAAATGGAACACGTACGTCGCCTCTCCACCCGCAGACAGTTGAAGTACGTTGAACTTGCTGGTGGCGGTTACAGCTGTTTCCAAAACGATAGGCCCCACGTCAAACAGATGTGCTCAGGCGGAGTGTGTCGGTCTTGCTGTTCGCATCAAGATTGAACCATATCAGGTAGTGTCGAGGGCGGGCCAGACTACGGCGGGTGGCTGAGGTCGAATGGCGGAAGGCGCGGATCACCTCGAAGGCAAGATCCGACGCCCTCCGCCCGTGTACGCATTTTTATGAGGGGCCTATCGGTTTAGAAACAGTTGTAAAAACACACAGATCCATCATCATCATCACCCGCCCGCAGCGACGGATCTGCGGTTGCGATCACGACGAGGACCACGCACAAACTGCGCAAGGGGCAATCTACTATCGGGAAATTACGGTCAGCAAACGAACTAAGTATTGGATGCCTTTCCGCAGGATTTACAGTCGTTTCAAATGCATGTGCGGGGTCTGAATATCATTATGAAAAAATGATTATGTATGATACGCCTCCGCAGCTTCGCCCATGAGTCTTTATCTTATGTAAGATAAAACATTATGTAATCTAGCGGAGCTCGATTCTGATTGACCTGACCCTACCTGACCATCCAGAGCAGAGTGGGCAGCGAGATCGGGCAGGCGGGTGAGGGAGGGCAAGAGCGGACAGGCGGGCGAGAAGCTGCGTGCGAGCAGGCGAGAAGGCGAGCGCGGGTAGCCGAGCAAGAACAGGCGTACGGTCGGGCGAGCGAGGCGGCAGGCGACCACTGGCAGGAGCGAACGGGACGGCAGGCGAGCGGGACAGTGGGCAGGTGGGACGGTGGGCGAGCGTGTTGGGGTCGCAGACATTTATAGCCAACTACCCGAAGGCGAGATCTATGCTTGTGGGCCCTGATGCCGCGCTACGCGCAGGAGAAACTGGCGTCCGACGAGGTGATGGGTATCAGCGAAAAGACGAACCAGGGCACGAGATTCACATACCGTCAGACGGCTCCCGCCCGTCATGTTCCCGACTCTCGCCCTCGCAAGGCACCAAGCGTTCGGACGCTGCACAATGCGCGGTTGCATCTGAACCCTACCAATCTCGGTGAGCATGCCCGGTCAGACGATGTGTTGGACCAAGGGCAAGATAGAAACCTCACTCACCCACTCGAGACGCAAGGCGTTGGCAGCTGGTCTACTAGTACCGTCAGCTACACACGACGAAACCAAGCGTAGTGTGCTCTCACCGTGACCTCGTGATACCTGCCGTTGTCCAGTTTGACGACGCCGCCCATTGCATTGTGCGAGCTCGAGAACGGGAGCATCTACACGATGTCCACAGCCTCGTGCTTGTTCCTGTAGTCCGCTCAGCCAGGCTCCTTCAAGTTCGTGAACTTGAGCAGCGCCGTCTCCGTCTTGCTCCCGAGTCCCGACAAACACAAGCTCTTCCGTCTCCAGATCCGTGACCTCAAAGGCCGTCGAGTTATGGCGGGTAAGAACGAGCGGGCAGGCTCAAGAGGGCGGGCATGTGGGCACGATAGGGCAAGCGGGCGAGCGAGAGGGCAGGCAAGCCGAACGCGAGGGCGGACGCGCGGGTATTCGCGCAGATTGGTGGGCAAGTAAAGGCACCACGAGCTGAGTGCTGATTGCTCGTCGAGGCACCCACTCGACCAAGAACGCGGGCGCGGGTACCAGCCAGTAAGTGCGCGGGCAAGAAGCGAGCACGGGTCGCAGCACTCGACCTAGAACCTGCTGGTCAGCATGGAGGACTCGGAGTTTGTGGTCACTAAATGTAGCTTGTAGTGTGTTCAAAGGCAGTCAGACGAAAGCCAGAGCTTGATGGATGAGACAGTCGGTAGATACACGCAGCTCAAAGCCATTATTCGAGTGACTGGGCACGCCAGAATTCAGCTGTCGGCGCGCACGCGCGCCGCGCACTGTGTTCAGGTCGTACGATCCAGATCTCATTGCAGCGGAGATTCAAGATCACTGTTATGGACGAGTTTTGTATCTGGAAGGGGGGGGTTGCTGATCCGACGCAGTGGTACGCTCGCTTCGCCGATATGCCGGGGCAATTTACAGTCGAAATTTAGAATAGAAACGGTTGTAAACCTCTGCGGGAAGGCATCCATTGATACATAGATGCCCTGCACCGCCCGCACACAACAGCCTCCTCGGACAAGCTCCAAGGCCACAGCCGGCTGGTATGGTCCGAAATGGCTCGAGGGTAAGCATGAGACCGGAGTTTGAATGTAGCGTCGACTTCCTATGACAGTCGTGCGAGAGGAGAAACCGCAACTGAGGCAGCGCCAGAAGTGCTCCAGACCTCCTTCGTACGTGCCTTCGGCGGTGGCATTCTGTTTGGTGACTGGTGCTGGCTGCGCCTCCCGAGCCACCGGGCTGCTGTGTGCGCGCGGCGGAAGGGTGTATCACACAATATGATATGTCGCTGCTGGAAAAGCGATGGGCGCGAGGCAGCGACGAGGAGCGTCGGACATCCGCCCGTTGCACATCCTCGCGCGGTCATTTTCAATCTTCCCTCTGGGTTCCGTTCTCCACACTGAAGTCATCAGCCGAGAGCGCGGTTGTCCGAACGGCGGAGTGAACACTTGTGTTCAAGCTCTGCGCCTCCTGCCGACGCCGCCGATGCAGTCGGCGGGCTGGTCTGGTACCGGTACCCATCCGTGTGGACGCACCCCACTATCGCTCGATGGTGCGTCCACACGGATGACCGGTACCAGATCGTGGTGAGTGAGCGAGACTCGGATCTCAATTGATGGAATGCTGTGTCGCGGTCGCCGGCTGAGTAAAACTTCTCAGTGCTACTTCCTCCTGTGCATTAGTGCGGCTACCCCTTGCCAGGACCACTATGTATGGATTTGGTGCGCGCGCGGGATCGCTTGAGGGTGCCGTCGCCAGCGAGCGCCACCGTCACAACAGGCCACAATTGCTAGCGCGCAAGAGCGCTCCTCTCAGTGTCCTTCGATGCTGATCGGTTCGATTCGCCATCAATTGTACTTCATTCTCAGTTTTTACTCAACGACCCATAGACTCGGATGTCCGCAGGCGGTCTCTCGCCTTCATATATAACTCATGAAGCACCGTTGCTGCACCCCATTCTGCCGTCCAGTTTGTCTTCCCTCGGCCTCTCATCGACATTCTACTTCTACTGTACCACCACAGGTATTTTTTTTCGTCGTACGACAGCTTGGGAAAAGGCTCACAAGAACTGCTCATGCTCAAGCACGCTAAGTATACGTCGGTGGAATGGACAGCGCAAGCTCTGGCTGTACTGCACAGCATACTCTTGAGCCGCAGGGTGCATTCGTCACGTCTCTGGACGAGGAGGTGATCACTGAGCGACCCCTTTATGTTGCAGATGCCGGGGAGCTTCCGCAGCTACGGTGTCAGGGATTGTACCCCGACATGAGCACCGCGGCCCCGAGGCGTACAGTTGCCCTAGGATGGCACGAGCCGGTAAGTACGCATCTTCGCGCCTTATTTCACTTGACGTTGACTGTTAGGGTCTGTACTGGTATGGGTAGTCGGCATATTCGCTTTCGTCGGCCATAAATTTGACGAGCACTCGAGAGACGCATGCAGTCGGGACCGATGCACTCTTTTTTGACACCCCCTCTTTAGACACGCCCTTGGAGTTCTTCGACACACCCTCTCTCAACACACCCTCTCTCAACACACCCTCTCTCAACACACCCTCTCTCAACACACCCTCTCTCAACGCATCCTCTCTGTACACACCCTCTTTCTATGCATCTTCCTTTGGCAACCCTTCCTATGCAAGTCCCTTCGACTTCGACCACACCATGATGTCTCCGTTCGGTACCTCAGTGAGTGCTCGATCTGTATACCTAGAACAGACATCAGTGACGCATGCGGGGTCTTCCGATCCTTCCGCAGCAACTTGGCCCAGCACCGGACGAAGGCCACCAACGCTGTTTTTCCGACTCGGAGCCCTTCGGTGGCAACTGGCCTCCGTCGAGCAGCCTCCGAGTCGATCGACCGGTGAGGCCGATCCCTCAGTCTGTTACAGGCTCCTTCCCATCCGCCTTCGGGGGTAGAGGGGATGAATCCGAGTGAGCGAATACGATGCTCATTCTCGATCCTAAGTCCTGTATCCAAAAACGTACTAGTTGATCCAAGTCACATGCACCACGCGAGCCAATTCAAACTCCACAATCTTATTTCCCTCTAGGGGTAAAGGGGAATAAGATTACGGAGATTCAGGATCGGGCGGGGATGAAAACTTTTGATGGGATGTGGCTGAGGTGTGGCGGGTGAGGATAGGGACACAAAACATTGATTCGCACTCTCGGATTCATCCCCTCTACCCCCCGAAGGCGGATGGGGAGGAGCCTGAGTCTGTTACTGTTCCCGCGCCAGCTCAATCTGGCGGGAATCTCGGCAAGCCACAGGAGGCGCCGGAGCAGAATATCACTGTCAATGCAAGCAGCGCGCCCGCCGCCGCCCTGACGTCTCCGAATGATGCGGATGTGGTGTACGTGATGTGCAAGTGGGACGGCTGCCGTGCCCTTGTCGACGCCACGAAGGACGCAGTCAAGGCGCATCTCAAGGAGGCCCACCACGGGGCGAAGGGCGGCTGCAAGTGGGAGGGGTGCATGCGCAGGCCGATGAACAACCTCTGGCGGCATGTGTTTGAAATCCATGCGCGCGTCGCGACGAAGGTGCAGTGCGACAAGTGCCCAGCGACGTTTACGCGGCCGGAGTCACTGCACAGGCATCTCCACAACTTTCATGCCTGCCGTACTGGGGCTGATGGTCCTAACACACGGATATATGTGAGTGGGCAACGTGATGCCGACGTAGTCCGGGTATTCACAAAGTCGTCGGGTCTAGGAGGATCGTACTTGGGCTGGGCCCTCATGAGATACAAGCCGAACTCGCTTTGCTAATGTCTGCTTTTGGTATTCCGTACGCTGTCGCTTGTTGATCGATTTGTTTGCAACTGCTTTGTATCTGTCGTTCAAACGTTCACACCCTAGAGTCTACGAGCAAGTGTGGGCACAGTACCGCCCGAATACACATCGCAATTCGTCTATACGTCTGGTCGCCCGTATGTCTGTATTGTATGCATGTACATACGTCTGTGCGTTTGTGTGTACGTACGTCTGTATGTGGTACTCGTTACTACTATTCACGGGTCAGTACAAATTGAGATGTGGCGGGCAAATTGTTGAACGGGTGCTGACGCGGACGTCGAGGAGCATCATGATCCGTTCAAAAGCGTGCAGTTGTGAGCGCCTCAGACGGTGGTCAGGGGTTCCCACGCTCAATATGTATTTACTATCATGTTCACGTCTTCCAGTGAGTCAGACAGCGTTCAGAGTCGGATGGGAGTCTATCATGCGTACGCTCGCCTCGCTCCCTCTCCACTGTATAAGTACGCGGCTGCCTAAGGCTCGGCAGTCCCCTAGTAGGATAGTCTCCCGTGGGCAGAGTAGACAATTCTTTCAACCTGCGCGCGCTCCGGATATTCTTGTTTAACCCCTAGGACCAGCCAACGATGACCAGCGAACACACCGTTGAACATCCACTCAGGCGATCTGAGCCGACCGGCTCCAGAGGGCCCTCAGGCTTAGCATATCGGTATCTGGTACGTACCTAAAATATGCACGAAACGTTCGGAGCTCACTACGGCTCTGCACGGCGTAGCGCGACGACAACAAGCACATCTGGCTGTCATGCTGCGTGGCAGCCTCGATATCCGTCTTTCCGCTCAGTACCCTGATCGCGCGCCGCATTCCGCGGCTTGCCACCTCTGCATGGGCGCGAGAGACGTGGGCCGACAAAGGCAGCATCAGCACACTTATGCAAGCATCTACTGCGTTGGGAGCTATAACCTACTCGTTCACGCGTCAGAGGCAATATAAGAAGACGGCCGAGACAGACGAAGACATCCGGACCATCACACTCGCCACTGATGCAGTTGGATACGGCTTCCAGCGGCAATCGCCCGAGCTTCTACGACTCTTGTTGCTGCAACGAAATGGGATCGGGCCCAGCAGGTACGCTACACCGACATGTCTCTGTTCCGAATGCTTATCAGACAGCCAGAACTCGAGAAACCGACCAATAATATCATAGAGTCGGAGGAGCCGGCCAACATCATAGAAAGGAGTGTCATGGCCGCCGCAAGCTTTGGACTCCTCGACGCCCTTGTGGATGTGCGCAAGGGCTTGGAGACGACCTACGAAATCACGGCGTGCCGCGGCGTGACATCGAGAGAGTGGTAGTCCTTCTAGGAGGAGCGCCGGACTTTGAGAAGCACTTGGTAGGCATTCTTCCGCCATTCAGCAGTTGCATACTATGCTAAGCCTCCGGCAGGGTCTTTATGTATTGACAGTACTTGCGTTGACACTGGGGTATACCTGGCCTATGCTCACAAAGAGGCCACGGCCGAGTGGCTGGGTTCGGAGCGATCCCTTGGGTGGGTATGTGGGGTATGTATGGCGTTGCTCACTTTCAGCATGAATGGTTAGCTCTGCAATCGAAAATAGGTCTGCTGTTGCTACTGTTTGCGAAAGAGACGCCTCACGCAGGCATAGCGTCGGGCGATTCTACTGGCCGGACTCGATCTGTCTACTGCTACGTTCTACTCCCCACCCTACTCATACTTGAATCGAGATAGTTATGAGTGTAAAGATGGAATCACTTCTCAGTCAAAGTCTGATGAAGGCTACGTGGTTGGAGGTCTGCACTGTGCATCTCGTGGCCACTCGAGGTATTGTTATACTTGACAATGTGTGTTCTCTGTCTGACGAGGAACCATACAGGTATAGGGGGCGTACGAGGCCTCTCGTTCCTTCGAAGTTGAACCCATGCAAATGAGGGCGCATGTCCATGTGAGTGTTGTGACATGACAGTTCATTATGTTGGTGGGCGAGTATAGTGACAAAATCTGCGACGCGCGACCCATATCATCATGCTAAGTACCAGCTATCATGGCTGTGCTAGAACCATTTTAACTGGACATCACAGTCAAAATTCGCGCCGCGTCGTCGCAAGAGCTGTGAAACGACGTAGTACTATGGAACGAAGTAAAGCCGTTATACCTGCTAACTGTGTCCTGCTCGGCTGGGTTAGCCTATTGTCAGTTGAACGGATTTGTACCGAGAGGTAAGCACAGTCTAAGGCCGTCTGAACATCTGAACATGAGAACAGCGTGTCTTCGGTATAGTAGGAAGGTCACGGTGACCCAAATCCTGGGTTAATATTTTGTGACATGTGCCGCATAAAGGGCTTCCATAAAGCCTTTATAAGTCCGATATGGTGTAGTGGCTAACATTATCGCCTCTCACGCGATAGCCCGGGGTTCGATTCCCCGTGTCGGAATTTTTGCTCATCACCAGGGCCGCTTATTTTCCGACCTCTGTTTACTTGTGCCATTTTGGACTGGTTCGGTGGCCATTCGCTGCCACAACGTGCTTGACCACAAACTTTGTCTACGACCAGCTCCTTCTCACCCTAACGTCCCGATGATTCCGTCCCGAATACGTGTCCATTGATTTTGAAAATTGTCATCCTCATCTGCGTGCGTGTCGCAGTCTCTACCACCGCCGTCACTGAGTAAGTCCCATACTCCCCCGTTCTCGTCTCGGCCTCTGAGAGGAGTTTGCGTGTCCTAACATTGGATCGTAGACTCTCCCAGTAAGGATACGGTCAGAATGGACGACTTCTCGGAATGGCGTTCTATCCGGCCATGGCGTCCTACCCTGGCCCTGTCAATCCGTGAAATAACATCGGTTTCCGTGACCTTCATCTTAACCTCTCCATATAGCTCCGACTCCATCGGTTCCCTCAGTATGTCTTCCGACGAAGACGAAGATTCGGGATCAGAAGACGAGTGCGAGCCGGACAGGACGCAGATCATATCGGATGTCCTCGCAAAGGGCCTCTCGGTAAAGGTGAACGGCATCCCTTGGCAGAGAGTGCTCATCAAAGTCGACGAGGAGACGGATGAGGCGGTCATCATTCTATTCGGGCTCATGCCAGGCAGACAATACGACGTCGAGTTGGGAGTTGTGCCGGGTGAGAGAACAGTACGAGGTCAAATCACTACAGGTGAGTTAGTTCTAGGCTACGCGTTCTCTGTGGTGGTATGGTCGGCGAATGTCGACGACGTCGACACGTCGCGGGAGGTCACTCCTGCAGACAGTGTTTACGCGCAAGTACAGCTAGGCCCGTGTTCATCCAACTTGGCGGTGGCGTTTTCATCGCGTGCAATTCGTCTTGATCGGCGAGTCTACTTCCCGAAAGGTTACCCGCGCAGTCAATCAGGCATCGTCTTTCTCAGCTGATCGTGGATGCGTCTCATCTCGAAGCTGGCCTTGATCGGGAATCCCATATTCTTGCAAAGGCCCGCCCGAACACTAGTTCCGACCCATCGCGCAGTTGTATACGAACGACGACGTATAGGGCACGACGTCTCGTAGGTCCGGCCACACATGTGTTTACGTGTTGTGACATCTGTCTGTCGTCTTATCTGCTAAGTTGCGATAGAGCCGCCCCCAGATCGCTTCTATCCCTCCAGCTGCTGACTGCTCTGCGCACATAGATAGCGAACTACACTCCGATCCCTCACGGTCGGATTCCCTCGCAGAGGAGGCCATCCTGCTGAGCAGCTCCCTGCCCTCCAACACCTCCCAAGCGCTCTCCGCGTCCTCACATCAGACCTCACCATCCTCCTCCCCCTCCGCGCCCGTCCCCATGTTGACTCCCGCACCGCTCACGCTCGAGGCTCGGCGGCAGCAACTCACCCATGAGCTCGCGACGCTCAACGCGGAGCATGCGCAGTTGACGGCGGCACTCAAGACCGCGCGCAAGGAGGCGCAGAAGGCGGACGCGGGTCTGCGCGCGGAGATCGACGCGCTGAAGCGGGCGGCGGAGCGCGGCGCCGCGGGAGAGCAGCGCGCGAAGCAGAAGGTGCTCGCGCTGCGCGAGGCGAGGAAGCAGACGGAGGCGGCCGCGGAGGCGATTGAGGCGGCGCGGGAGGAGTTGGAGGCAGCATTGCCTGGACTCGAGCAACGCGTGCGCGATGTGGAGGGCTCACTGGGGCAGGTGAGGCTGCGTGCTGAAGAGAAGAGGAGGGAGCGCGAGGAGGCGGAGGCGAGGGAGCGGAGGAGGCGTGAGGGATGGTCGGCAGAGATAGGTGCGCTGGGACGGACGTTGCAGAAGCTGGCGGCGAGAAGAGAGAAGCTGGAGGGTCGAGCGAGGGTGGCGCAGGGACGATCGGAGAGTTGGAGGAGAAGCTGAGGAGGCTGGAAGAGGAGCGCGAGAGGATAGAGAGGGATCCGTTCGGGTACGAGGGCGAGGCGGGAGGAAGGGACGCAGACGGCTCGCAAGAAAACGAGGATCCGATCGTCGAGCCCGAAGGTCGTGCGACCAGCCGCTCGGACCACCAGAGCGCGTCGGGAAGCTCCTCGCAAGGCCACCATCATGCGACCCATTCGCTTCACCATTCAAATCACAACGGATTCGCGCATGCACATCATCACCATCCGCACCAGCACCCCCGCAAGCGGCACTCACATCCCCATGCTCACCAACACTCGCAGCATTCTGCGTTTCCTCCAAGAACCCCTGCCCGCGCAGACGCATCACAAACACATACCCAATCGCAAACGCTCCCCCAATCCAACGGCCTGCGCACAGCGCGCGGCTTTCCCTTCCTAATCATCGCGAGCTTAGCGCAGGGCCTGGCGTCATCCACCTTCAAGCCCCGGCGTCCATATCCCCACATGCACCCAAGTCCAGCGGCCGGTCGCATGCGAACGGCCACACAGGCCGGGCACATTCCAACTCAGGTTCAGGCTCTGCGTCGGGTTCTGGATCCTCAGCGGCTTCTTCTCCGGCGCCGGCAGCGAGTGGGTCCAACCTCTCCAGTCGTGCGCCGCCATTCGAGCCATCTGGGCTAGGGCTGAGCGCCGCGAGGAGTGCGCAAACGGTGGCGTCAGTCGCGAACAGGTCTGAGCTAAACCCTGGCAGCAGTCCGTTTGCCCCTCGGCCGAGCGTTGCCCAAGTAGCCTCGTCCCAGGCGAGACCTCGCGGCGGGTCGACATGATGGCCAATAGCCAGAGGTGAGCCGGTCATACATATTCGCTTCTTCATGACCACTATTTACGACTGTAGCGTCTACGCGTAATTTATTGTAGGCACCAGTGCACGTAATGCTAGATAGCTGCGGAATGTACTGTACTGTGAGCTATATAACTGTGTATGATGGCACGAAGAGTGGCCGCGGGAGAAAGGTGTTAGCCGTCCTCCCGCGACCACTCAAGGTGCCAGCCGTACAAGTTAGGCGAGTTCAATGCCGGGCTAAGGTTGTACCAGTTCAATCGACGAGTTGCGGAGTGCCGCAGTGCAGCGAAACCTACGATAGCGAAACCTGCATCGATGCCTCACTGAGACTTCGTAGTAAAACACTAGTGCAAAGGTACAAACCCATGTTCGCCGCTCTTGAGGCGAGCCAGAGCCACTTGATCCCGCTGTACCTCCCCCTAGAATCTTTGTGTAGCCATGTGTATCGAAAGAAACAGAACAGCTTGCTGGCCAGGCTATAGCCCCCGGAAGGTCAAGGAGGGTCGAGGATCCGCTACTCCACAGTGTAGTGCGACTGCATGTCTCGAGTGAAGTCGATCCAAAAACTCTCTGGCGGGGAGTCGAACCCCGCTTTCGCGCGCACAGCAATATATATTAACGTGCAGTGTGACAGGCGCGTGTACTAACCGATATACTACCAGAGATGAAGGAAAGTGGGTTTATGCTACGTAATACTATCGAACAGCGAATAGATGTCAGAGCAGGAGAACTCCTTTTGCGCCATGCAAAGCATGGCGAGGAAGGTCGACCCACGACCAGACAAAACCCTCAGGATCCGGGGAGCCGAAGATCCGCACGGAGCGTGTGCTGATAGTGGGAGGCAGGTGGGAAGTTGCCATTTCTGGGTTGCTGAGATGTAGGTGTATGTGGGTCCGCGCTGACTTGCTCATTTAGGTTGGCCGTAAATGGACGTGGGTCCGCGCGGGCGTGCGTCGATCTTGGTCGTCTGTCGTGGGCGAGGATTGACATGATTGGATCGAAGACCAATCCGTTGCCTTCCTTGCACTAGCCGAGGGGTCGCGTCCGGGGATATATAGCCCTCCCACCCCGCCATGTCCTCCCCATCCCCCGACTTCGCAGTCTCGCTCTCCACGTCGTTGAACCCAGTCTTCAAAGCCTCAGAGCCTCAGCCCTTCTCACCCCCCAGCCTACAATGTCTGCCCGCAGCTCGACCTCCTCCACCACCTTCCTCATCCCCGCTGTCTTCAGCACCTGGAGCGCAGCCCAGGAGCGCGACCTCGAGGCCCAAAGTCTTCGCAGCTTCGACCACGTCCACGTCGGGCTGCCCACTCCTCCTGCTGCCCTCACACACACCACTCGGGCTCGCTCCTCCCTTGAGGACGGCACGAACCCCATCGACGACTTCTTCGGCGTCGCCTCGCCGTCCTACATCCCACGCGGCACGCTGGACAGCCGTCACGACGCGGTGTCTCTGCCTGCCCACGTCGACGACGCGCCGCCGCCATACTCGTATTCGTCCGAGCCGCCTGCGTACATGCGGTACGCGGAGCACCCGACTCTCGCGATGTACCTGTTCAAGTTTGGTTTCTGTGAGTAGTTCTCTCGGCATGTGTGACTGAGCGCGTTGCTGACTGTGTTGCGTCTCTTCAGTGTTCCCGCTCTTCTGGATTGCCGGTGCCTTCATTCTCATCTCGCCTTTGCGCGCACCGGAGGATTGGGAGCTCACCAAGACCGAGGGGGAGCGGGAGGAGCTCATCCAATCCATGCGACGCACAGAGATGAAGTGGGCCAAGCGTTGCCTCATTGCCTTCTCCGTCCTCGCCCTCATCGTCACCGCTATCGTCGTGATCGCGGTCCTCGTCATGAAGTCGTGAAGACCACCAATACATCGACTTTCACAACCTCCCTGCCCCACGCTGGTGGCACGACACACATTCGTCCATCCCATCGCCTTCGCGTCGCCATCGCCAAACGCACCGCTCGCTCGCTCACTCGCACACCATCGCCCGTCAGTTCGACACTGGCGCACCGCCGACAATCCGACCACCCCGCTCCTTCGACGCGCCAAGTTCCCGCAGTCCACGCCCAGGAGGCCCACATCGACACGCTCCTGCAGCCCCGAAGCCTCACATTCGTTGGTGATATACACACCTTCTTGCTCCCACACTACCGCACTCTCATTGATTAATCGTTATTTCCCTCCATTATGATGTACAGCTCTGTATCGATAACCTCGCAGTCAGATATTTGTATCAATACAAACGGAATTGGTTCTTCTCGTATCGTGCATTGTGTGATGAAAGGAAGCGATGTCAGGAATCCGGGCAATAAGGAGCACACCTGGATGTCGATGCAGATGACTCCTATGTTGGATCTGGCATCGTTGGTTTGGCAAGCAGGACCACGAAGGAAGTCATGTTGTCCAAAGTGATGCGGCGAGCGTCGTCCAGACATCCTTGCGTTTGGCCGGGATGTTGTGTTCGTCGGATGAGTCAAGTACTGAGAGACCGGAGATATGGTTTAAAACGTTACAGAGTTAGGATAGATCGGAGAGTATCATATGAAGATTTCCATGGCAGTACAGTAGTGACGGATGCTGAAGAAGGACAAAGGCAACAGAGATGACGGTGGGGTTCAACAAGGCCGGCGCCTCCAGAGCGCGCCTGCCTCGACCTGGTCTCAGCCACAGCTTGCACTGGAACAACTTCGAGTCCTCTCTGCAACGCCTTTTCAGTGACGCCTTCTTGTACCACGGGTATCGAGCAGACAATCTGAACGCGGCCAAAAGATGATACAGACGGGCCTTATCCCGAATGCTCACAGCGACCTCATTACGGACGCGTCCTATGACTTCTACGGTCTGCGCCTCGCCACTTGCAGTCTCGACCAAAGGTGGCATCTCCGCTGCGCTCTCGGGTTGTACTTGCAGTACTGACGTGCATTATGACCGCTAGGATCAAGATTTGGAGACTTGACGAGACTAGCGGGGCTTGGAACGTAGAGGACGACTGGAAGGTGCGCGGCCTGTCCCTCAACTAAAACGCGTCTCTCATCATCGTACACACCGCTTTGGCAGGCCCACGACGCGTCCATCTCCAAAGTCAGCTGGGCGCACCCCGAATTTGGCACCGTCCTCGCGTCCGGGTCGTTCGACCGCACCGTCAAAGTATGGGAGCAAGCCAACCCCGGCGACGGCGACGCGCCACAGCTGAACGGCGCCGGGCCCTCGAGCGCGTCGCGCTGGGTAGAGCGCGCGATGCTCGTCGACGCGAAGGGCACCGTGCGCTCCGTTGAGTTCGCCCCACATCACTTTGGATTGAAGCTGGTGCGTGTCGGAGGTCGGCGGTGTTTCGCCCGTGTCGCTGATGGTGCTAGGTCTGATGCTAGGCGACGATATCGTCTGACAACTTCCTGCGCGTGTATGAATGCTTGGAGCAGCCGTCGCTCGCGACGTGGCAGCTGTCGGACGAGGTGGACGTGACGGCTCTGCCCTCGGCGTCCGCGCCGCGCTCGATAGCGCCGACTGTCACTCTCACCACGCCGACGCAGCCGTCCGCAACGCTCGATGCGGCCTCTGTCTCGCTCGCAGCGCACGCCGTACAACAGCAGCAGCAGCAAAGCCAACTGCCCAGCAGGCCAGGACTTGGCTACAGAGAAGTGAGCGCATTGACCCGTCACTCAGATCTGTCGCTGACCGCCTTGCGAGGCGGACGGAGGATGGTGCATATCGTGGTGCAAAGACCGATATTGGGGCGAGATCATAGCAGCCTCCAGCGGGATCAACGGCCTCGTCAAAGTACGTATCCATTCCCTAGCACCTCCCCTCAACAAACTGACCACCACTACCCGCAGATCATCCAACTCTCCGCGAGACCATCAACGATCCTCACACTCGACCCGACGCCCGCTCCGCGCCCACTAGGCGATGGCGCCGCGCGAGGGACAGCCTCGCCGGCTGACGGCGACGCGCCCCAGCCGTACGCGATCACGACCATCTCCTGGGCCCCGTCTTGCGGCCGCTCGTACCACCTGGTCGCCACCGGCGGCCGCGACGGCCATGTACGGATATGGCGCGTGAAGCCGCCCGCGCTGGAGGACGGCGGGGACACGGATGGGACTGAGGGGTCGGACGCGCGGTGGTCTGCTGCTGTGGTGGCCGACTTTGACGACCACAAGTGCGTGATGGTCTCGAACACTGCCTGGGGCTATTACTGATACTTTGTACACTCTCCACTTCAGGTCGAGCGTAGGGCGAGTGGAGTGGAACGTCACAGGGTGCGTATGATCTACTAGGGCTTGACCTCATGCACGGCATGCACTGACCGATCCTGGTCGTGCAGCACCGTCCTCTCGTCCTCTGGAAACGACGGGCGCGTGCGCCTATGGAAGATGACAGCGGGCAACGTGTGGAGACCCGCTGGGCACATCAGTGTCGAACAGGCGGAGGAGCAGGCAGCGGACGTCGACATGGACGAGGCTCCCGTGCAGGACTGAGCTGCACACGCGCCGTCGAAAATGTGCTCTTAGGACCCGCGCCGTTCCGTTTCGAAGCGAGGAAGCGTGCGTTTAGTGCGGGACTGCGGGGGGCTTCGAGAAGAGATTGTTCCGTGCCGCCGGTACCGGGCTGCTTCCCTGCGTCATGCTTGCGATAGCAACCAAACGATCGCCGACTTATCAGTTCAATATACTTACTACTCTCGGAGATTAGCGGAGGGCTCCAGATTTGTACGACGGGGTGCAAGGTGCACCCTACGTTCTCGTCCGTCAGGTGGCCAGCAAGAGGCTCGGCGACTGAGATTCCGAGAGGCTGACCGGAAGATTCGACCTGGGTTCGACACATGTGGTTTCGTAGACCTTCCGGACCGAGTCGTTCTAGCTGGCCTCCAGGAGCCAAGCCCGCACTATGCAGCCCGAATGCGTCTTCGTTTGTATGTACCTCCGTGACTAACCCCTATCGTTCTCTGCTCTCCGTTGGCTCTCCGTCGACGGACCGTATCGTAAGTATTCCGACCCCGTGTGAAAGAGCAATGTTGCCCAGCCGCGTCCGCCACCTTGGCCCGTTTAAAGTGATGTGGCTGGGCCTGTTTCCCGGTTGCTCGCAGATGTCGACTGTTCCGACGCCTTGACAGTCTACAGAATGCGCAGTGATGGCAAGATGACACCTTGCGGTGAGCTCGTTCGGTTCAATGATGTCGTACGATCAAAGGAGACTAATCCCGATTAGGCTGAGCCTCCTTGCGAGCCTCATCTGAGATCCCGCCAGGAGCCCTGCAATAAGAATTTGGCGATTGAGTGCACGGAACTCCCTTGACTGTCTACCACTACATATGATGCGACGCACTGCGTCCGGCATCTTTTCCCCCCTTCAGGAGTCTCAGCTGGTCCGTAGCTCGCGTCATCCCCTCCTCAGGGAGGCTCTCCCCGTACCTCGGCGGCCTATCAGCCGGCATGACATTCGTTACAACCATTCGGAGTGAGCACGGAAGGTCGTCCACTTGCGCGGGCATTTCTGACGGTGTGGGCAGTCGTGGCTACGGTCTGCGAGTGCACGGCGATAGTGACGACCACGCTACGACTGTACTACCGCGCATCCAGAAGACACATCGGCCTCGACGACGCGTGGGCAGCGTTCTCGCTCATCGCCGTCATCTTCCTGCTCGCGGGAGCATGGATTCGATCCGACGCGAGCCTGCCGCTGCACAGGCGTGTCCTAGGCTACTTCATGCTCAACTCCTGCTTTACCTGCGTGCTCTGGTACGCTCCCCATTCGGCCGTCTTATTCCGATCGCGCGAATAACACGGTTGCAGGTCTGCGCGCATGAGCATCCTATTCTCCATCATGCGGATTATCCCCCGGTTGATGCACATGCGGCGACACACGTACTTCTGCGCGGCGCTATTCCTGATTATGTGGATCGTCGTGCTGACGCAGAAGCTGTACATCTGTGTGCACAACGACGAATGGCAGCACAAGCCGAACGCGCAGTGCATCCTCGGCGAGTCCGTCGGCGGTGTCGAGCTCGCCAGTGAGCCAATCCATCGCTCAATTGGCCGTGGAATGTGCTCACATTCTACTACCATAGCGGACATCATCGCGGATACGATACTGGTTGCGCTGCCCATCCGACTGTTGTGGGACATCGGCATTTCGTCGTCCACACGGAAGCTTCTTATGGCGATCTTCTCCGCAAGCATGGTCACGACCGTCGTCAGCATCGTCCACACGGCGTTTGAGCTTGGGCCGAACCGCAACGCCGAGGCGATCGCTGCCCACGTCGAGGTGTGTACCCTACACTGCCCCTTTGCGCCGTTCCAACTGAATCACCACAGGCCACGGTGTCGCTGATCATCTGCAACCTCGCCGTGCTCGTCACCTGGCTCGTCCGCCTGCTCCGGTACGGCGAGGACCTTGATCGGGCGGGTGGTCCGACTCGTCGACGGGGACGCCGCGCCACCCCTCGCAGGGGACCTCGCTCCGCTTCGGGGACCCCACGATCATGCTCACCGCCAGCGCGCTGGGCAGTCAGGGCGGCGGCGATGAGGCGGACGATGATGCTACGAGCGGCGAGGAGCTGTCGTCGCCTGTCAAGCACAAGCGCACCTCGGACGGCCTCCCTGCCGTGTCCCAGGCGGGCCGGAGGTCTCTAGAGTGGTCTTCGCGCCCGACGCGAAAATGCGGGACGACGAGCGGCGGTCCAGCGAAACGCGTTAGCTGCGTTCGTCGTCCTTCGAAGCACCCTGGCCACCCGATAGCATGCTGCTGTTTGTAACGATTGGGCCTTTAGCTTTAGGTCTGTAACTGCTGTATATTGTTGTGACCATAGTATGTCACACGCTGGCGTATTTTGAATAGACTCATAATATTGTGTTACGTCAATGTACTGCACATCGTGGCGGAGACAAATTTCAATGTAGCAGCCTCTTCTGACGCAGTCGATTTGCAATGGCAGATGCTGTGTATAGTGAGGAATGAATCGGCGCGGATAGGTCGGGCGGTAAGTAGACATGCGACGGCGACGGACACTAGGCGCACCGCGCGAACGTCAGTCGATTGCATCCGCTGCTCGTGCTACTTACTCCAACCTTTACCTCCGCTGCCTGCCAACGCCACATTTCGCAGACCCCGCGACGCTCCGACCCGAGCGGACCACTAGCCCGCACATTCAGCTAGGCTTGACGGCGATCTTCAGCGCCCGCGGCTGTTCATCTTCGCCAGTGCCTTCTCATACTCCGCGATGGTGAACACGTCCGTGACCTACGCCCCGTCGAAGTTAACTCGGCGCACGAAGACGCACCAGCGGAGACGCACCATGCCCTTGACGCGGACCTTGCCGCTGTCGAGGTACTGCACCGCGCGGGGGAAGCAGTACGTCTGGGCGAAGGAGCCGATGATCTGGATCTCGTCGCCAAAGATCTTGGACGGCGGCCAGTGCACGCGCGCGGCGTTGTCGTACACGCCGTAGATCATCAGCTTCCCGCCGCGGCGCACGTAGTTGATCGCGTCGTTCGCGACCTGCTCCGACCCGTCGCCTCGACCTGTGCACCCGAGTGAGCGGGGTGGAGCCGTCTCCGCTGATTGGGAAGGGACTTACGACGACGTCGAAGCCGTACGGGTTGTCCTTCTTTAGCTGGGCCCATTGCTGCGCGGGGTCAGCCCGGTCGAGCTCGATGTATTCGTCCCCTGCGTCGAGCTGCTTCGCGATCTCGGTCTTGATACCCTTGTTCGCCGCAATCACGACTCTCATCGCGCCGTTAAGTTTGAGGAGTTGTGCGAGAACGAGACCGGTCGGGCCAGCGCCGATGACCAGAGCGTCGACGCCGACCGCCGTCCCGAGCTTGTCCATGCCATGCACAGCGCACGCCGCAGGCTCTATCAGGGTAGCCTCTTCGTCAGTGAGGTTGTGAATCTTGTATACCTTGTATGCAGAGCTGTGGGACGCTGTGAGGACGCCGCCGAACGGGGCGCACATGCTATACGTACAACGTGATGTACTCGCTGAAGCCCCCTGGCTGGGTCGCGCTGACACCCTTGCCTTGGAAGTTCTCGCAGAGCAATGTCTCTCCGCGCCGACAGTAGAAGCAGGCGCCGCACTGGTGCAAGGTTCAGCAATGTGGGTTCGAGCGAGCCGTATCAGTAGGACTTACAGTCACGCCAGGGTCCGCAACACACCGATCGCCCTTCGCGAAGCCCTGCACGTTCTTGCCCATGTCCGCTATGACACCAACGACTTCATGTCCCGGGATCAACTGCATGCGAACGCACCGTTCAGGATGGCACACAGCCGGAGAAGTGGACAAGGAGTTACCGGGAAGGACGCGATGAACTCTCCTTCGTGTACGTGGCCGTCCGTTCCGCACACACCTAGTAGTGTCGCACGTCAGGCGCAGGCTATTCGAGCGCATTATCATGCCCCTTTACCGCAGCATGTCACTGTTCGCCGATGCGTCTCAGATCAGCATAAGGAAACGGGGGGAATGCGCCCACGAGTGTGCACATACCTTTCAATAACACCTCGTCGTCTCCGGGCTCTGGTATGGGCACCTCCGTGAGCGCAAAATTGCGTGGCTAGTGCGTACCACGGCCAATGTCACAGTGATCCGTTATACACTGAACCCGGAGACACATACCGACTCGTATTGGACTGCCTTCATGATCGTGGACATTGCGCTTCAATCGTCGTCACTGCTCGCTGCTGTAGTGTCCCGGGTGTCGCTGCTGGTAGTCTATCAGTATAACTTCCACACGTCGGCGTGAAGATGAGGGTAAGATGAGTGCTTTGCGGGCAGTAACTCACATATGTACTACGGGCATACTTCCGCTTCGTCGGGCCGCACACCGTCGTTCTCGCGACGCCGGTTCGGCGAAAGTACCACGGGATGCTGGAAAGGCTCTCAGCTCGAGGTCTCAAGATCTCAAGGCGGCCGGAGTCGCTGATCGCGGTATTTATCAGCGTCGGTGCCCGGGGCCTTACTTATCGACGATTGTCAATGTCCGAGTCATCGGCTGGTCGTCGGCGTTCAAGACAAGTGCCAGCAACTTGGCAGGCCCTTCGGTCTTGAGCTTGAGAGACGCACGATCGCCATGTCAAACATGAAATGCACCGAGTCGCCCATTTGTACGATGTCGTGATGGTAGAAAGATGAGGAAGTTGCACTTGAGACTGCATCCGTCACATAGTACTAAGTGAACTCTTCGCACTGTACGTTAGAATTTTGAATATTGATTAGCAAGGTACTGAACCAAGAAAAGTTTATGTGTCAGTGGGGTTGGGAGCAGAGACGTAGTAGACAACACACAGTAACTGAACAGTAGCATACTCAACAATAGACTGGTTCAGTAGAGTACGTCCAGTCCTCCGACGCTAATATGCTAAGCCCCTCTCTCTCAAGACAGTAGCAACAGCAAACCTGTTCTGAATGTGCAGAGCTATCCAGAGATGCTGGAAATAACCAAGGCTAGACACATAGTGTCATAGCCAGTGCGATACCTGGGCGCAGCCACCTTGGCCGTGGCCGCATTATGAAGAAAGGCCAAGCACCACCCGCCACGCAGGCCAGTGATAGTAATCTTCCAACGAACTACCGCAGCTTTAATGCAAGATATAGACATGGCGTCAAGTAAGGTGCTCACTACATGCTTTTCACAATCTGGCGCCCCTCCGAGAAGGATTACTATCCTTTCGATGTCACTCTGCGACACACCATGTTTCCGTAGGTCGTCCTCCAAGGTCTTGCGCATCACCCATAGGCGTGTTGGGGATGTCCACAGCTTAGCAGAGTTCATGCCAATCCTCTCGATGATGTCAATCGGACTGTCCAAGTTGTCTGCAGACAGTTGGAGTCGAGACCAGTGAATAATCGTAGCAAGGATATATAAATGTGGCGCACCTGCTGGTAACGAAACTGCCTTCACCACACTCCAAGAACTCCCAGGAGATTGAAGCTTGAAGCGATCCATGCTCAAGAAATTGGCTCGGCTAATGGTCCGGAAGTCCACGTCCTTCTCTTCCATCCTTTCATATTGTCTCCAGCGCGCGTGGTAGTAGGCCACCCATCCCGAGAATGCAGATGTTTGAAGAAGCATGATGACACCGTCTTTGTCGCCCCAGGCCTCTCGCGCCCATGCAGTGGTAGCAAGCCGCGGAATACGGCGCGCGACCAGCAAGCTGAGTGGGAAGAACGCACACGACGATACTGCTACGCAGCACGACAGCCAGATGTGCCTGTTATCCTCGCGCTATGCGGTGCAAAGTTATGATGGGCTTTGGACGTCTCACGCGTATTTTCAAGACATACCAGATAGCGATGGACGAGCCGGTTATAGGCGGTCGTAGCGGTTGAGGATTGTCCACGCGGTGAATGTTCGGTGTGTTCAGGCATGATCGCTGCCAATGGGTCATGGAGTGCGTCGGGTCCACACAGCCATGTATGTGACTGTACTTATACTGGAGCAGAGAGGGTGCGAGGCGTGCATTCGTGTGTCGAACTGAGGACTCAACAATGCTGCTTCCGCTGAGACCATGACTTCTCGAGGCGCGAGCCGAAGGGACACGCCAGGTCCGGCACGAGCGAGCTCAGTCCGCGTCCGAGTATCCGTACCTTTACATAATTCCCCGATTCGGAGACTGTTGTTCCGACATGTAAGCATCTCCAGCTGTCAGCTGAGGTGGGAGACGACCAGTACAGACATAGAGATTGCGTAGAGACCATGCTATCGTGGCAATGTGATGGGTTGCTTCAAGTTGCGCGGCGTCACGGTTGTACTTGGGTATCCACTGAGCGTGGGAATTCTCGTTCATATAGGTGTAAGTTAGTCTCCCCTAGGCAGACCCTAAAGAAGACCTCTTTGAGTGAGGGAGAGGACGGTCTTCTAAGGGTCTGCTTCAAAACGCGCCCCCAACACCGGGAGAGCCCCTTTGCTACCCATTCTGTGATGGCCGAGCAATGCCGTGGCCACGGCGACTCGGCGGGTGGCAGCGGCAGATCGGCAGGTGGCAGAACTGAGATCTTTCACGATATAATCTAATACCTAAACTAATGATTTGTACTCGTCCGGCGTACACCTGCTTCGAGATCATCACTCTCGTAGCCCGTATTTTCGTTCGCTCATACACGCTTTTGGGTCTACGTGCAAGTAGGCGGGTCCACAGGGCAGTGGGTGTGTGAACGTGTGGACAATCGCATGGGCGATCGTGCAGGTGAGTGGGTGGCCGGCTGGCCGAGTAGATGAGAGCGCAGGCGAGAGGGCGCGTGCAAGAAGAACCGTGGATGAGAGGCTGTGCAGGTGTGGGTATAACAGTCACATGTATGCTTTTGAAGTTGTGGTTCTTACTCCGGGACATTGCGTGAGACAGCGAGATTGCGAGACAGCAAGTCAGCGGGCGAGTGAGACAGTCGGCGAGCAAGACAGTCGGTGAGCGAGACAGTCGGCAGAGAGCAGGCGCACGAGATAGCGAGCGAGCGAGACAGTGAGCGAGAGGGGATAGAGGGATGACAGGTGGTGGGCAGGCGAGACAGTCAGCAAGCGGAACAGGTGAGCAGTACACAGACAAGTGTGAGGCGGGCGAGGGGTACAGCGAAATAGCGGGCGAGCGAGGTAAGGAGCAAGCTGATAGTGAGCGCTGGCGAGCGAGCAGGAGGGTGAGTTTGCAGGCAGGCGTGCTGGCATGATGGGCGGATAGACAAGAGCAGGTAGGCGAGCGAGTCATCAAGAAGACGGAGGCGGGCGGACGAGAGCGGGCAAGCGGGTGGGGAGTGGGTGGGCAAGCGTGTGAGACGGGCGACGAGAGCAATCATGAGGGCGAGGGCTGCCTGGCAGGTAGAAACGGGCGAGCAGGTGAGAGTGGGCAGTCCCGTCGACGTCGAAGCCGTCCTTCGCAGACATCTTCTTGAGCTCCGAGTCGTACACGATCCTTGTAATCGCCAAACCGAACGACACACCGAGCTGCAGGACCCATTATATTAGCCATACGCACACAATACGGAGACATCACACACACCTGAGTCATGCTCTGGAAGAGCACACCGGGCCGCCGACGCTCTGGTCGTACGGAAGACACACTTTCGCAACGAAGAGCGTGCCCGCTGCAAACACAAAGTCCGCGCCGAACGCCCAGTACGTCGCCACGGGGTTGATCAGCGCAAACAACAGGTTCGCCACGCCGCCTGTCAGGGCCATACCCATCGCTGCACAGCGCACTGATCAGCACACGCTCAAGATCCGTCGACGACGAATACTCACTGACGAGGACCACGAGCAGCACCCGGCCCACGAACAGCGCCACGATAACGTTCGTGACCGTGATGAACATCGACAAGAGCCTTACCATCGTCAGGCTGGGGTTCGAGCAAAGGCGACGCGTCGAGCGCGTCGAGATTTGCGCACGCGTTTCGGAGATGAAGTGGCTTATGTAACTCCGCTAACGGGCTGTCCCAGTGTAGGGCCGTCATTTTGAAGCAGACTAGGTGTAAGTAAGGAAGTCTAATACAGTCTTACACAGATCAGCTAGTCTTCCGTAGGCAGGCCACAAACACGACTCAAGTTGACGTGAGGACTGTCGTATGTATAAGGCAGATAAGTAGTTCCCTAACTATTTTGAGCTTGCGCTCGAGACGCACTATTGCAACGTCGACTTCACAGAATCGCGGAACTGCATGACGGTGGTACGAGGAGCCTGAGGAAGTTGACGCAGGCTAGATACATTCCATGATCAGCGGTTCTGTGGTTCGTTAAGTGCCCGACGTCTGCGTCAGACTCGCGCGCACCTAAGCTAGCAATTCTTGGGGGCCACACGCTCAACATACAAAGAGAGGCAAGATGCCATCAGCGGCCTGGCAGAACCTCGATTCAAGGAGTAGGGTGGGGAGTAGAAACGGAGACAGTAGACATAGCGAGTCCAGGCCAGTAGCTATTGAACACCTCCGACGCTATGTCTGCGTGAGGCGTCTCTTTCGCAAAACAGTAGCAACAGCAGACCTATCTTCGATGTGCAAAGCTAACCATTCATGCTGAAAGTAAGTGATGCCATACATACCCCACGCACCCACCCAAGGGATCGCTCCGAAGCCCAGCCACCTCGGCCGTGGCCTCTTTGTGAGCATAGGCCAGGTATACCCCAGTGTCAACGCAAGTACTGTCAATACATATAGACCCTGCCGGAGGCTTAGCATAGTATGCAGACTGCTGAATGGCGGGACAATGCCTACCAAGTGCTTCTCGAAGTCCGGTGCTCCTCCTAGAAGGACTACCACTCTCTCGATGTCACGCTGCGGCACGCCGTGATCTCGTAGGTCGTCCTCCAAGCCCTTGCGCACGATCCACAAGGGCGTCGAGGAAGTCCAAAGCTTGGCTGCGGCCATTACACTCCTTTCTATGATGTTGCTCGGCCCCTCCGATTCCATGATATTATTGGTCGGTTTCTCGGGTTCTGCGCTGTCTGATAAGCATTCGGAACAGAGACATGTCGGTGTAGCGTACCTGCTGGGCCCAAGGTCCCATTTCGTTGCAGCAACAAGAGTTGTAGGAGCTCGGGCGATTGCCGCTGGAAGCCGTGTCCAACTGCATCAGTGGCGAGTGCGATGGTCCGGACGTCTTCGTCTGTCTCGGCCGTCTTCTTATATTGCCTCTGACGCGTGAACGAGTAGGTTATAGCTCCCAACGCAGTAGATGCTTGCAGAAGTGTGCCGATGCTGTGTTTGTCGGCCCACGTCTCTCGCGCCCATGCAGAGGTGGCAAGCCGCGGGATGCGGCGTGCGATCAGGGTGCTGAGCGGAAAGATGGATATCGAGGCTGCCACGCAGCACGACAGCCAGATATGCTTGTTGTCGTCGCGCTACGCCGTGCAGAGCCGTAGTGAGCTCCGAATGTTTCGTGCATATTTTAGGCGACGTACCAGATACCGATGTGCTAAGCCTGAGGTTCTGGAGCCGGTCGGCTCAGATCGCCCGAGTGGATGTTCGCTGTGTTCGCTGGTCATCGTTGGCTGGTCCTAGGGGACTGCCGAGCCTGAGGCAGCCGTATACTTATACAGTGGAGAGGGAGCGAGGCGAGCGTACGCATGATAGACTCCAACTATGGACGCCGTGTAAGGCTCTACATAGGATCGAGCCGTAGGGACACGCCATCCTCGGCGCGATCGAACAGGCTGAAGTTGCCAGCCCGCCGCCTCCAGCTTCTTATTACCCTTCATTACACAACCTCGCTACCCAAGACCGTTAACGCTGTTTCCGCAAAGGTCAAGGCTCGAGCCGAAGGGACGCGCCAGGTTCGGCGCCCCAACTTGGCTATTGAATGCGCCTCCGAGCCTCCGCTCCGCACCTTCAGTTACACCGATATATGTGCGCGTCCGTCTGCCACTGGGGGCGTGAACGACAGATACAAGCCTTACCTTGTCGCCCACTATAAACCATCTACACCGAAGACACGCTTCTCTTACAGTAATGTACCGGTCCTTGAAACACTCAAATCTTTCTCGGCCCACCACATCCGTTGAACGTGTCGTACCCAAGATCGGACCACATATACGTTTTGTATCACTCTGTATGAGTATATAAATTATTCTACATTCTTATGGTGTTGTAACTTAGTGAGCGCTGTCATCGTCAAGACGCTGCTGGGCGCTACCGCGCTCCCGGCCGATGACTAAATGGACCCACCCTCCTCCTCCTCCTCCTCCTCCTCCTCCGATGATTCTTATCCATGCAGAGGCTCTGTGACAGCACGGAGATCAGTTCAAAATTCTCTTATCGGTGGCGGGACCAGTCCTTGAAACACCTGCCTAAAATGGCAACTTTTGTGAGTGCATGTCAATGCTTCGGCAGCTATGCAGTCATATTCATCGCAAATAATACTGCTCAGTCGGGCCAGTGAAGACGAAGGAATGTATAGTGATTGCTCTGAACTTCCTGGTGATAGCTCACAATCGCCAGTGCAAGGGATTTCGTACAACATCTGGTTGATATAAGCGCTGCTTACCATATCGGGCAACAGAATGTCGTGAAACACGAGTTTCGGGTTTCTCGACACACTGTATGGGCTTCTGTGCTCGTACCATTGAACTGAATATCTAGGAGATGTAATAAAGTGTCATTTTATTTATCATGATTTTTTGGGGCCTCAGAGGTTCAGTGAAAATGAGTGAAGTCGATTTGTTTCAAGGACCCGTAGTGTTTCAAGGACCGGTACATTACTGTATGTTCACTCTTGGCGTCTGTTTCTCTACGCTAGTGCCTATTCCCGATTAATTGCAGAACCTAGGAATTCCCGGGCGGTCCCAATCTGCCTGGAAGTCAATAGGACAAAAAGACCTGATCGTCCTGCAGGCCTGCACACCTTCATTGAGGCTCGTGTCTAATTTCCAGGTCCTTGTGGCCGATGACGAGAGGCTGCATCGCGTACCGGGTATCACTCATATTTGAAGCGATACACATCGAACGAGTGCTGTTGCCCTTCAAGCTTCGCAGCATGAACAACCATGCATTTGAGTCGCGAGGAAGTGAACCTGCCTTGTATCAAAGGCTGCGGCTTCAATCTGAATAGTAGCAGTCTAACAGAGGACCGGACATGAATCATGCTCTGGGACATGACACAATGCCGGTGAGCGCTGTCAAAAATGAGAAGTCCAATGCACTGGTCCTGGAGTGATGATATTCGTATGATTCATTGAACCGACACGTCTATTGCATGACAGGCACTGTTTTCAACATGCGGAAGACTTACCCATACGGGCACACAATATATGCGACCGACCGTGATGTCACACCACACGGGCAGTTCATACGAGCGAATTGAAGCTTAAGTGAGCTTCTGGCAAACAAGATTTGCAGCGGTCTGTCTCCCTGCATGTAACTCTGGGCCAGGAAATCATCGTCAGCTTGAAGCGTGAACACAGATAAATGCAGCCCACCGAGACAACTACTACTAGAAAGCTCGCGGAAACGAACAAGAACCCACCATTCGTTTAGAATGTTGTACAGCGCTCCGGGGATCTAATGTGCATTGGCTTCTACGCCGGACACATTCCACCATCTTCGAAGGTCATTGAAATGCACTCTACTTGTCGAGCGGTTGGCAGCGATGCCTAGCAACATCTAATTCAAGTGCTCTAGCATCAAATTGAGTCACGCCATCAGGATACCCTACACATTGAGACATTCAGTCAACAGCTCGAGGGGATGTTGCATCTTCACTCACTCTGATGGCTGGTAGCGATCATGCAAAAGCAGTTATTCTGTCTGACAACCCTGGATCCGAGAATTATCGCCTAATATCGACGGCGACGAGATGATTGAGTAGCCCGCGGGTAGATAAGTGAGCAAATAAGTGTGAATGTTGCCAAGACCTCCGCGTCTCACCACCTGCGCGAGTCCAGAGGACCTGTGGGATACTGCCACGGCAATGTACATGATAAGGGGGTACTCAATCATTGCCTTCTGAACGTGTTCTTGCTCCCACTCCGCATGCCCTTCCGCCGTTGAGTCCTTCCCCGCCGTTCGCTCTCACTCAGCTCGCGATCCGGGTCTTCGCCGCCTCGTTCCATGCCAGCGCCGAAAGACTCCACCCCCTTCCTCTTCGCATCCTTCCCCCCTTTGGCACCCTTCGCAGTTGCGCGGCTCGAACCATCCATGTCTTCGTCAGAGTCGTACGCACCAGATGACCGCGGCACAAATGACGTTTCCATGCCACCGTCACCTGTTTGATGTACATCTGCGGTGTCCACCCGCGTCTTGCCCTTTCCAGCGACAGAAGGGCCGGAACGGCGCTGACCGAAGGTGGCATTTCTGTCCGCGGAACGACTTGCTCCCGATGCTTGTGCATGTAAGGGGACAAGGTTGACTTTTGGTTGGCGCGGCTGTGCTCGTGAGCGGTACTGCGAACGTGCCGAGTTGCGGGCGGCCAAGCGGGCGCGGATGTCGTCTGTCCAGAGCTCTATGGAAGATGAATGAGCGCATGTGTTTGACCCGGCCAAAGCAACGTACCTCCAGCGACGTCACTGTCCTGACTCTCCTCGCTCCCACTCTGACTTTCCTCGCTCTCACTGAGCCCGTCTGACGAACCTTTGTCGCTCTCCTCTTCTTCCTGCTCAACTGCTGTCTTCGTCCTTCCGCTCTTCCCTGCAACCCCACGACCCTGCCGTTGTGCAGCCGCTGAGGGGTTGAGTAGTGCGTATTCTCGGGTGTTCTCGTCCACCTCGAACTCAGGATTCTTGAAGAGGGCTGCGAAACGCGGATCGTTGAGAAGACTCGGCTTCTCCTTGGCACCTTTGTCCTCCACCTCACTGCCTTCCTCATCCACGTCCATCACATCTGCCACCCCCTCTGCCTGCGACGCCTTCTTCGCCTGCTTCCTCTCCTCCCTCTTCCTCGCCCGCTCCTCCTCCTTCCTAATTTTCTCCGCGAGAGCCTTGTTCACCTTCACGCCCGCCAGCGCGTTCTTCGGCGCGCGGATCCTGCTCTCCGCGAGCTTCTCCATCTTCTCACGGACAGCGCGTTCGCGGTGCTCCGCGTACACGTACGGGTTCGCGATGACGCGCGCGGTGTCATAGAGCGCGAGCGAGACGAAGTAGCCGTGCATGTACGGCTTCAGCGCGGGCGTACCGGCAAGGTGGTCGAGTCCGAGGCTCGTAAGCTCGTCCCGCGTGATGAACTTGTAGTCCTTGTAGGCGGTGCGCATCGTCTGGTCTTCCATTTCTTCGGTGAGGTTCTCGAGGAAGCTCGCCCAGCGCGGGGCGGGTCCGAGTTGAGGGATGAAGTACGTCGTCATTTGGATGCCTTCGTTGGCGAGGAGCAGCAGACCGCTGTTGGGTATGTGATGGACGTCGTTGATGTCCGCAGCGGGTGTTATCGAGGTGAAGTTGGTCTCCGGCTAATCGAGGAATATATATGGGCAAACTGGTTCTGAGAATAAAAACCGTATACACACCGAATTCCTGTCCCAGATCTTGATGACCTTCTTGTCCGCACTCAACACCAGTCCGTCACCTGCCATACGGCTGCCACCCTCTATCCATGCCACGTTCTTGACCGGGAGACCATAACCTTGGTCTTTGATGGCCAACGGCCGAGCGGAACGTATGTCGTAGAGCATAGTGTGTCCGGATGACGTACCAATCGCGTAGGACAGTCCATCTTGCCGTGACGAGATGGCAGTTACTGAGAGTGACTGAGCTCCGCCATCGTCTACGCCCGGTAGCGCAGGCATTGCCGCGCCTACTGGCAGCAGCCTGTCCTTTGGTAGTCTGAGGATACCCACTCGTGCCCTCGAGCGGGGGTCCCAGAATTCTACGGTGCCGTTCCCCTCCACACCGAAGCCGAATAGCTGGTGTGCTGGGTTGATGTCGATGACATTCACACCTGCGATCGTCTCGCCACCTTCGCCTTGCAGCAGCAGAGGGTTCATGAACCGGCCCTGGTCTAGATTTAGACGGAAGATCTCTGGACCAGAGGCTGCAAACAGAGCGTCACACGAGGGGAGGTGGTACGCGAGTGCCCGCCCAAAGCGAGGTATCCGTGTGCGGTAGTGGAAACCGCCTTGTGTGTGCAGCTCTACAGAGCGATCGTTTTGAAGGTGTATACTCTTGGTCCAGTCATCCGACAGCATCTACCCCGCATAAATGCGGACATTAGCACTAGCAATATCAACACTCGCAGCAAGGCAAACTGACTCACAACGAAGTCAACATTCTCCGCGTCAGTATGCCGCTCGAACTTGAGCGATAGCTGGTCAAGGTCCCACACTCGTATCTGAGGCTTGTATGTCCCAGTCGCAATAACATGGTGTCCGTCCCTGGTCGTCTTTACTCGGTTGCTCGCCTCGGGGAACTCGAAGTGCTGAATGAGTTCGATCGTCGACTCGACCTGCTCTCGAATGGCGCTACGCTTTCCCTTCCCTTGCACGGCGCGTTTTCGAGTGAGCCAGTCTGGTAGTGAAGAAGAGGATCCCGAAGCTGCGCCATTGACGGTGTAGACCTTGACTGCCGTAGGATCTGCGAGCGCAACCATGTCTTCTTCCCGACAGGAACAGATTATTGTCGTGCATGCACACAGACTGTGGCTGAAGAAATCAAGAGCAAATGAAAGTCGTCAAAAGTTTCATGGCACCGACGCAGACAGCCGGAGTTTGAGTGGATAAGCACATGTCATTGTCAAGAGGAAGTCCGATATGGTGTAGTGGCTAACATTATCGCCTCTCACGCGATAGCCCGGGGTTCGATTCCCCGTGTCGGAATATTCTTTTGGAGAAACCCTCGGACACTGTATGCCAGGCTGCATGCTAACTGACTCACGAGGAGCACAAAATAGGTATAAGTACTGTTTTTGATAGGTGAGCACACCGACTCAGCACACCTACATACTCGTTGTAGAGCCATGCGCGAACTGAAAGAGACAGTGACCAGCATCATCTGATGTGTTCGCCGCCAAAGTTACTCAGACTAAGTCTATATAGACTTACCGCGAACTCACAATCACACCAGAGGCCATATACAGCCATTGTCCCTCTGAATCAGAGGGCTGCCATGTCGTCATCGCATAAGTTAATAGTAAAAAGTAAAGGGCTGTCAAATGAAGTTTTCGGGACGTTGCATGTACAGTGAGACCCCTCCAATCCAGTATTACCACCCGCCCGCTGGCCTCGACCTACGCCCAGCGAAAGGACGCTCCTTCCTAACAGTGCTTTGTCCGTACTCTGGCGTATCGCACACGCCTGACTTAGTACGTCTTTTTCTTCTCGTCGACGGACAAGCCGCCTAGGTAAGAATAAGTAAAGGCTTGCGTGCACATAGTGGATAACGTACCAGGACCCATGTTGACTAGAAGGATCAAACCACCGACGATCGCTATAGTGAGAGCGTTTGATTAGCCCACGACTCATACAGGGGCACTTATGTCTAGTACGCACATAGTGTTTGGAAGAAGTCGTACCTGGAAAATGTCTGTCAGCAAGAGGTACGCGTAGCAAATGCGAGCCAAACTTACTTCAGGAAGTCCCTCTGGGGATGAGCGGAGTGGACGCTCCACCAGGAGTTGATGAACACATTGAAGACGGACAGGATAATCACGAGGAAAGCAGCCGACCACTTGGCCTTGAAGCCAACTGCGACCATGCCGCACGCTCCCAGTCCAACGACCGATACGATAGCGCGACCGAAGCTCCACTGTCCCCGGATGATAAATCCAAGGAACAGGAAGATCAGTAGTACACGGGCGGCGAGCAGGAAGCTGTTCCGGCGTCAGTCCTCAGCTTGGCAATGCATGACGCAGAAAAACGCACTATTTCTTGCGGTCGGTCTCGCTCATAGAAGGAAGACCAGCGAATATCTTCTTGCGCGTGTACATGGAGTCCGTAAACACCATGAGCAGACCACCGATCACGCTCAGGTTGCGGAGGAAGAAGTTGAGGTCGAAGATGAGCCCGTATCCGAACGCTTGCATAACCACGACCCCAAGGAGACCACCGACGGCATACTCTGAGTGCTTCTTGACGATGACAGCACCAGACCCGATAAGCATGGTCTGACAAGGTTCCGGCGAGTCTGCATTATATCAAAACAGAGCTGTCACGTCCACTTACGAGCACATTAATCAACAGGAAGATATGTGAGAAGCCCCAGATGAAATGGCGATGCCTGTGTGACATAGAAGGATTAGCCTCCACAATCTAAGCATATACCGCGCCTGCACACGAACTTCTGCAAGTACCACAGCTGGTCGCTCCATTGTGTTATGATTCGCAGGGAATCCTCCAGGAAAGTAATGACAATCAGAAATCGGCCTATTGCTGGCAGATGGGGCCTCAAAGGCTGCGCATAGATGTCGATGTTCTCCTCTACCGTCTGGGCGAACGCGCGTAGCTTCTCGATCGGGTCGTCAGGATTCGCGGCTCTGTAGCCATTAGAAGATCGTGAGTTGCCAAAGCCGTGGGGGTCGGGGGTGTAGCTAGCGGTGGCCTGCGCCGGGCGGGCGAGAGAAATGCGAGCAGACATGGCGTGATGGGTGCAAGTTGGAGAAGGCGAGCTAGCGGGCGAGCAAGACGCGGGGCGACGTGTCAGGCCCGTGAGAACTAACATGCCTTTCCTGGTGCACCGCCTCCGGCTTGATGGCTTTGATGTCGACGAGCTGTTACAGCCTGAGCAGCACGGTATGTCGCAAGTACAAAATAAATTGATTTATTGACTTGCGCACAGCATCATGGATTGACCGGCTTTGCCTTCCAACATCGCCCCGTAACTCCGAGCCTGCAGAACAGTAACTTGCACCAGTGTTCGACTTGCAGTTTGATCGGGCGCGCGCAAGTGGCGCGATACGCGTTGTACGTAGACGCGTTGAGCGCCTGAACTTCTGAACATCAGCCACCACCGCGAACGCGACTCGGACAACGATACCTTGAACCCGTGTCTCTACAACAAAGATGGGCAGAAAACGCGTGGTGGTGTCTGACAGCGAGTACAGCGAGGACAACAGCGATGGATATGAGCCAGAGTCTTCCAAGACATCTGCGACGCGGGCAAGTTTTACAACAAAACGTGTCCAGAACATCAAGAAGAGAAAGACGAAACGCAGAAAACTTGACGTCGGAGAGCCGGACGAAGATGTGGAAGATGTCAGCCCAACTACAACAGCACCAGGGCCGTCACACACAGCTGCTATACACGTCGTGGCCGAACCTAAAGCCATCCGGGAAGCATTGCTCAATTGGTATGAAGGAGTTCATGAGTCTCGGGGCATGCCGTGGCGGAAACCCTATGACACAAAACTGGATGCAGGAGAACGCGCTCAGAGGGCATACGAGGTTGGACTAGTCCCTCTGCGACATCATATTATGTTGAGGCTCACCAGCGTTACATTATGTTTTCCCAGGTGTGGATCTCGGAAATCATGCTTCAGCAGACGCAAGTCAGTACCGTGATACCGTACTACAACAAGTGGATGGCAAAGTACGTTGACCGCCTTTCTAGGATCATTGTGGTCTGACGCAAACTGTCAATGAATAGATTTCCGACAATCAGAGACTTGGTACGTCCCGGGAGCAGAAAGCGATGACCAACCTTTTCATTGTTTACTGTCAGGCGGCATCCGACATCGAGACTGTGAATAGCCTCTGGAAAGGCTTAGGCTACTACTCGCGCGCCGCCCGTCTACTGAGTGGCGCTCAGAAGGCCGTAGAGCAGTTCAGCGGCCGCCTACCCGATAACGCGAAAGACATGGAGGCACACATACCCGGGATCGGCAGGTATAGTGCTGGAGCCATATGTTCAATTGCTTACAATCAATGCGTCCCTGTCGTGAGTTAATCTCGTTTCAAGCTCGATGCCTATTCAGATGACAACTCCGCTGGGCGCGTCCGAACGGCTTGCTTCACTGCTTCTAGTTAGACGGGAACGTGCACAGGCTTCTCAGTCGTCTACTAGCAATCCATGCACCGCCGAAGGGAAAAGAGACCCTTGATCTCCTATGGGGTGGAGCGACAGACTTAGTGAACGGCTGCACACATCCGGGAGACCTCAACCAGGCCCTGATTGAATTGGGAGCCACTGTGTGTAAGGTTCGCGATCCACAGTGCGGTTCTTGTCCCGTCAAGCCGTGGTGCCATGCATACAAACTGCAGAGCGCTTCAGACACGAAGGTAAGACAGACAGCATGCATGACGCGCACGAGTTATGGACTGCTAACCTGTGTTCAGGCGCTGGCCAGTGAAGCGTCGAACGGTACAGGCCAGGTGGGGGATATCGAGGAGTTATGTGCGCTCTGCGAATCCCTACCGGCTCGCAGCCCGGTGACGAGTTTCCCTATGAAAGTGGTCAAGAAGAAAGTCCGGGAAGAACTGGACATCGTGAACGTTATCGAGTGGCGTCACCACGCCGATGGCGAGCGGTGGTTCTTGCTAGTTCGGCGTCCAGAAGGCGGTGAGTCAGCCGCATCTCTTCTGGTGTCTTCATCTCGAACGACTATCTGCTGCGTGGCCCACGCTGATGTCCACCGGCCTCCTATGCGTAGGACTCCTGGCCGGCCTGCACGACTTTCCCACCGCACCCAATGTCCCTGTGACTACGACGTCCGCAGAACAGATCGAGATACCACACACGCTTTTGTCTGGCATCCTCGCCGTCTCACTCCCGCAATACGCCGCAAGAACCTCGGGAGATCAGACGTATAAGGCATCTTCCAACTCAGAAGACTCGAGCGCACTGCGGATCGTGAAGATTGAACCTGCCGGCGATGTCATCCACATTTTCTCCCACATCAAGAAGACGTATCGGATACAGTGGGTCGTTTTGGAAGGTGGCGGCGCTGGGCCTCCGTGCCTAGCATCGCTAAGCCTGCCTTCACCGGTCGGCGGTCCAGCTAAGCGCACGGTCAATGCGGGCGGCAAGAAGACGACTAACGCACGGAACGCCCCGTCCAAACTCAGCCAGCCAGAGCCTCGTCAGTCCGAAACGTCCCTACGGGCGATGTGGATGCCCATGGACGACGTCATCGATGCTAAGTGAGTGTCCTGAACAGTCTAGCGTGGATCGTCGGGTTGACCTTTCCTTTCTCTCTTTGCATAGCATTGGCACTGGTGTCCTCAAGGTCTGGAACCAGACCCGGAAGCTGTGGGGAGATGTCATTTGATCCATGGTTGTGTTAACGGGCACTGCACGGACAATCCAGGAAGCGACGTGTTTTGCCCAAACAGCGAACAGCGTGTATTGATGACCCTTTCGTGAGTGGTTCGCGCAATATATGGATCGGGGAGAATCCACGCAAGTGCTAGACATCGTTGACCATCAAGATCCGGTATTGGCGGCAGTACGAATTGCCTGCGATCTGGGGCTCCCCGCATGCATCGACCCTAGCTTGGGAGCCAACAACTCGGAATCTCAGCTCATGTATCCGGAGATGGGGGACGTGGGTCTTGTGGTGAAACGATGAGTTTGCCATATGATCGTCGTGCACGTACCCCGTTTCTGTGACATCTGTCTCTGCCAAAGAGCCGACCCTATGAGCATATCTGACTGATCGCTGTGCTAGTCCCGAAGACAGACAACTGTGCTATGCGGAAGTGAAGCACAGTAATTGAATGGTGCTGAGAGCATGTCAAGCGACGCTTGGTGGGACAGCGGGGAGCCAACTGAGCCATGACCGCCAGTCAGTTATCCACGGACTCTGGGCGCTATGCATGATCTCGAAGCTTTCTGGTGTTCCTCGAATTCGTACTGAATTAGGCGCCCGGTGTGCTTCGCGGCTCACTATTATGCAACGCATCTAGGCGGAAGAGCGGATACGCTTCAGTGTTGAGTGGAGAGCATCCCATCATTCTGGACTAAATCTCTACTAACATTTCTATTGTTTCCTCGTCCAGACGGATGCCATAGACAGCTGGCGTGCAGCGCCCACTACGCCACGCCGAACAAAAGGATTGTCCGCATCTGAATCGCTAGCCTGAGGTCTAGAACGGATGCATGCGGGCAATGCGACCACCCCAAGCGGTCCTGGACGGTAAGACGCTCCCGTAAAGCGGTGCCTGTCGTCGTCACAGAATTACTGGACTCCGGGGTATCGTGAGCTGACACGCACGCATCCCAGGCTGATACGTTGGCACGTACCGGTACCACGCCCGCTTCGCGGCGAGAGGGCCCCTTACGAGGTGCGCTGTGCACACGGACCTATGTATGGAGACGACCAGAGCCGCTATGCGATCCGGGCACGCGGGTGATCGCGCGGAAGCCTGGCAATGACCGGGAGAGTTACCCGATGGACGAGCGCCGCCGGGGGATCTGGATCGCACAGAAGATCCTGACGGGAGACGATGGAAAACCTTGTCCGTCCGAGTCACGCAGTGCGGCCCTCGCGTAGGCAGGCGCCGCGCGACATACGCCGACCAACAGACTGATGGGATGCGGGCCCCTCCGGCGGACGGCGGACATCATTTCCCCAGTCTTGCCATCCGCATTGGCAGGGATCGGGGCTCGCCCGTACGTCCCACGGATACTTACTCGGCAGGGTAGCGCGAGCGGATCGCGGGCGGCGCCAGCTGGGTGCTGTCCACGAACTGAGCATCTCTGTTACCAAAAGGTGACGGGGCAGTGGAAGCGTTCTGGCTATCTCATGATCTGCCTGAGGGCGAATCAGAGTTCTACCCCGTCCACTGTATTCCATCCAATGTGACCTACTAGCACGCGCGCGACTACTGCACCCTTGGTGTCTTGCTGACGAGGAACTCTATCGCGCGACCGCACGCACCAGCAATGTATCTTTCTTCGGCGGGCGCAAACCCCGGGCGCACATGAGCACCGCCCTGTCGGCCCATCTGTTGTCGACGCTCTCTGTGAATGGCACGGCGGATCCGCACAGCAGGGCTGCAGCTGGGTGGTGCGCCCGGTGTCCAAGCAGCATTACCGCCCGACGGAAGGAAACTCTATTCAGATCACGGCAACGGCCAGGGGTGTACGTACACGCACGGAGAAGCGGTGGTGTTTCCACTGATCGTAGAATGCGATTCACCCGACCATGCGTCTCCCGGACCGGGTCAGGGTCGATCAGCCACTCGCCTCCCAGTCACATTAGGCAGGTGCGGGACGCAGTGCTGTTAGAGCTTGCAGGGCAGGGGGGCCGCGGTGAGGGCTACAAGGGGCACATGCATAGGGTGGGCGGCGGGGCACGGGGGCGAAGCGTCCTCGAAAGCGCTGCGATATCAGAGCGAGCTACAAGGCGGGTGGGCCTGCTGTGTATGTAGTACATGTACATATGCGGGGTATAGCTAGCGTTTTGGTTCAGCGTCCGTTAACCATTACGAATAGAGTATACAAGGGGGGATTTTTGAGGGTCCCGCGCGCGGCGAGGACGACAGTCGCACAGCCGCGGCCTTCACCACTCCGCTTGCAAGGTGATGCGCGGTTTTCTGTCGTCGCCGTCGAAACCTGGCGCGCCGAGCCGCTCGTGGGGCGAGCCAGCGAGCGAGCGCGGCACGTCCGCGTTGCGGATACGCGACTTGGAAAGCTTCCGTAGGAACTGCTCGTCAACCGGGTCGCGCGGTATGCGCGAGGCAGCCTGCAGCACGTCGAGCGGGACGAGGTCACGCGGTCCGCCTGAAGATCGCTCTGGGTGCGTTGCGACGGCCTTGGGGTGCGTGTTGACGGGCGGTGGTGTGAGAGGCGATGCGAAGGGGAGGCGTGGGGAGGCGTCGTAGTCCGACGAGGAAGATGCGGAGTTCGATGAGGTGAAGTTGAGTGGTGAGGGGTCTCGGTAGGATTTAAGGCCAGCGTCCTGCAACGTTGGCAGATGTGGGCGCGCGGAGGGTTGTGAGGCGCCGTACGCTTGCACGCTTGTGCCCGCGACGGGAGGGTAATCGGCGCGAGCCGTCTGTCGATGGCCGTAGGTGTAGGCAGGGTGTTGGCCTTGGCCAACTGAAGCTGGCCCGACAAACTGCATGCCTTGCGTAGCAAAGGCAGGCTCGACGGGGAACTGAGACATCCCATGGCTCGGCGAAGGCTGGAATCCGAGGCCCCACGGGTCTTGAGCGGAGACGAGCTCGTCGCCTGAACCTGTCTCCGCCCGTTTGCCCTTGCTCGCACGGGCACTTCGGAACCAACCTTCAGGTGAGGGCACATCACCCACGTTCCGAATCTCGTCAATGGTGCCGAGACTATCCAATGTGGTCTGGCTGAAGTATGCAGCTGTAGCCCACATAAGCGAGCGTTCAACAGAAGCGGATGCTGTACTGACTGAGATGCCATTTGCGGGTGACTCCTCGCGGCCTGTCCTCGGGCAAGGAGACGTGGACGCTGTATGTTTGCTTAATCAGGCGCTCAGCGTCCGAGCGGGCGAGCGTCGACTTTCCGCCGCGAGGCTCGCGGCCCCTGGAACACACAGATACCGTCCATCAGAGGCGATGTATATATCAGGCAAGAGACGACCTACTTCATCATGGTCGCCCACCGAGCCGGACCTGAATCCTCGTTTAGACCGCTCTCTCGCTGGTGATAGAACAGAAAGTCCTGGCATGTGATCGTCAGCTTGACGACGACGAAAGACAACAGTCGAGGGTACTCACGTCTCTGACACGACTGGGGCCCCAGCCCATGCCGTCAGTCCTGCACGAAGTGCCGCTTCAGTGGGACAGATGATACTAATTGCTCAGACCACTGACCATCGTTCCATACCCATACCGGTGGCTTCCGCGTTGGCGCAGCGTTCCTCCCAGACATAGACGTTGCCTGACTTGATTCTAAATGAGACTCACGGTGAATTGGGGTTTCGTCGGTAGGCAGGGACGGCTTACGCTCGGCGCTCTTCCGCATCGAGGCGGTGGGTGGTCATACGGAGGGCATTGCGTGCGACGGCGTAGAATATTTGGCATGCATCGCGCGTGGAGCGGACGCGGACGCTCTGGAGAGTGGGCTGTTGCATCGCAGCGTGTCGGGGCGGCAAGTGTGGAGGGGATGTGGCCAGGGGGGGAGAGGGAGGGGTATATATATTATGGATGTAGCGCTGAGTGTGCAACGACCGAGGGTGGCAGCCTCCAGGGCGTAACCGCAGGGGATCCCCGAATCTGAGCAGATGCGATTGAGTTTGTATAGAGTTGGCCGCACGGGCAAAATTCAAATGGGCCGCGCCGGAAGATCGGGGAATGAAATCGTACAGAAACGATCAGTCACCGTCACTCACTCACGCCCAGCCTGCAGCTCCCGCCCCTGCGCTGCCCTCGCGACGCACCCCTCGCCCGCCAGGCGCAGACGGGCAGAACAGTTGCGGGGCACGCCCGCACGCCCGGCTGCACTAGCCGCAATTGTCGAGATTGCACGTCCGCAAACACTTAGTTCCGCAGTTTCATCCGAGTTCCAGACACCGAAGCCCCCGCAGAGGCTATTTGGCAGGCACCAGCAGCATCGCCAGCCAATGTGCTCAGGCTGATTGCCGCCGTCCCCCTTTCCTGCATCTTTTCCGCTGCTCTCCAGAGCGAATTTCCGCGCTCTACCGGGAACTCTAATCACATCGCCCTGTGATGGTTGATAGCCGCTGCCCAGCAGCCCAGGCCACGGGTGCACGCCGCGTTGGCACTGAGCCCCGGTGCGACGTCTCACTAAATGAGTCTTAGCTGCAGATTGACTACTGCTAAAACGTTCCACCGGAACAATGAATCGATGTCGGCCACTCGTCCTCCGCCGAAAGGCGAATCGCGATCGCTCCCGCAATGCTCCCGCGAATTGTCGCCCATATCAGGCTCGCGGGCGTGCGGCAATGCACCCCATCTAATCGACGCCAGCAACGTTTTGATAAGATTGAGCGTGGGGTAAGTCGACAAATTGGCGGGCCATGGGCGGCGACAAGTGCGCCAGCCTCTAACTCCGCCATCCTGCACGATCAGCGCGCCCACCCATTGTGTGAGATACCCACAGTGCAAAGATACCATCATTTCTCGGGCAGAAAAGACTTCGAGAGTGCAAAGCATTCCCCATGCTTCTCCCACGATGCAGAGGCATCTTGGAAAAGATGTCGAAGGACGCCTTTTGCGACTGACAAAGGAGTTTGAAGCCTTTCCTAGGCCGCGGATGATGCTCCAAGGCCCACTTTCCCTGCCCGTGAAGCTGTGTGAAAGAGCGTTCATTTCACAGCAACCCTTGTCCGTGGAGGAAACAATGCTTTCTTTGCCGTGCCACCACTGATGCCCAGAGCATCGGAGCTAGCACGAATAGGGAAGTCGTCAGCAAGTCCACCAGGGCCAGATCAGAACAACGCCACTACTCGCGCCCGGAATCATTTAGGCCTACCGGACCTGTGCAGCGGATCGTCTTGTGCGTCTGAGGATACGCAGCATATGAAGTGGGGCGGCACGCTAGGGAGGAAGCCAGGTGGGAGAAAAAGACACATGAACTCAATCACACCGCCGACACGTATGACAGATCACGTACGATGGTTCCAGCACGCTAACGCCACGTTTGTCACCTCAAGATGCAAGTCTTTTCGACAGCCGGCGAGCATCGCGGGAGAAGTCAACCGAACGATGACTCGAACCCTCACATGCACATGGGACGCTGCATCGTTAATAATATCCACGGCGGACAGCAAACCTGACAGCGGAGCTCCTGCGAATGGGCTGGACGATTAGTGTCCAGACTCCGGGAAAGGGTCGACCCGAAGGTTCCAGTCGCGCGAAGCACGACGGCGCGCATGCGGGACATGATTGTGAGAGCAGCTCCATTGCTAGTCTTCATATTTGTAGAGCTTCAGAGAGCATCAGACTCACTTCAACGGGAGTTTCCAAAGGCAGAGTCCGCGGCGCATGACCGGTGCCCGTCCTAATGGCGCTCAACCGCCGCGGTAGTGAGAACGGGATGCGGAATATTACGGCAGCGCTCTTCCAGATCTGCGAAGGTAAGAGTGCAGTCAACGCTTACCTGCGTGATATGAGACATCTAACTACCGACCGGTGGATATACCGGTTGATTTCACTTACGTGGCTGCGTGGAGGCCCAGAGTGTTGGCTGGCAGACACACCTGGGATGAGGTCATGATCGTGGCGACCTGTTCTAGTATGCCGGGAGCATGCTGATGTTCTCAGGGGACGGCGTTCTACCTTTTTAATACCATTCTGGGAGCCATAATGGTGTTCTTGGAAGCCAAGCTCTGGAAGAGATAGAAGAACGCGAACCTTTAAGCGTCACATCGGTATGATCGTCAGCAAAAAGGAAAGATACGCACGAGAGCTATTACAGACGATCTCCGGGTGGGCGAGAACGACTGCAGACGCGGGAATGGCGACCCTCAGGGCGTATTGACACCCTCTTCAAAGGAGCTATCGAGCCATTTGTGCCAACACGTTGTCGTGTGCACATGTAGCAGCGCCCAACGTCGACGGCAATGCCTCTCTAAGGCGACTCGCGGCCAGGACCCAGGCTTAATCTTATGGAGCACGTTCCGCAGGGAAGCGTTCAAGGCAGCTGTAGCAGGACCGCCAGATACGCCCAACGACATCATTGCGGAGCGAGCCAATGCCAAGGGTTGGAAGGTTGGAAGGCCACTGTATTGCCGACGAGCTGCTTCGCATGTGACAGAGCTTCAGGGCGGGCGGTAGAGCGCATTGACATCGTCCGTCGCACACTGCATGTTGCTTTCGATGGACATCTGCGGCAGCCGAACCCGTGAGTCGAGAGAGGGGTGGAATATCGATTAGTTACTATAGGTGTGTATACGCGTCGTAGGAGTGTCGTATATTATTAGATAGAGTCGTGGGTGGGGCTTGACAGCGTATGGTTCCGCTATTGTCCGTCATGCGTTGGTCCTTTTGCCACAGACTGAGACCGGGACGGAACCGTGTTCCCGGGCATCCGGCGTCGCGTCGTGGTCAATCAACGAGATGTTCTATATGCCGCCCAGCAAGGCCGACATCCGACGAAGGTTCAAGCGTCAATTAGCCTCGCGGGTTGAGAGGCGTGCGAAGAGGAGATGCGGGGCGACGTACCTTCCAGAGGCAGTACCACCGGCATCCAATCCGATATCTCTGCATAATGCAAGGACCCTCGGAACGTATACCGAATCCGGAGCACTTTTGCCACTCCGGGGCTGGATCATAGAATCCTTGGAGGCCGGCCTGGGACGCATGGGAGATTTTAGTAATTCTATATCTTTATCAAGGAGCACAATGCATTGCGATGGCAACAGTCTTTTGCAGAAGCGTGACACCGCCGCATAACCATCGCCGAGCACTGCAGCAGACGCACGGAGACCCGGACAAGAGGAATGTTTCTGCATGCATCTTGATAAACAGCATGAACGTCGAAACATGCTTCATTGCCTGATGTAACCTTTGACGCTGAACACCACGAGACGAAAAGACCATCGAGAATTTTGTCTGGAATAGCGCGCATTGTCTTGGGACTTGCCGAGGGGCACGTCGAGCTGCGAGCGCAGTGCTTATGTGAGCGCGCTGTCACTCGACGCCACGACGCCGGGGAAGACGGATGAGGTTGCGTGGCAGCCATCAGGAGCCGATTGACCAAGAGCAGCATGACGCTGTCACTGTCAGGGAAGCTCAGACACTATCGGCAATGCGCGGTGCCTAAACGGCTAAAGAGCCGCCGAGCCTCCAAGCGTTGTCGCGTCCAAATCCGAAGAAGGTCACGGCGAGAGGAGAGTGTCTGCCTCCCGTCATATTAAGCAAAGGCTCATAATCCGGACGCCATGGTAATTGCCAATGCTCAGTGAATAGGAGCTAACCTTGCTGCGCCTGCCAGGGATGTACACTGACTTCTGTGCACCAAGGCCTGCAACGCCACGGTGACGTCCAGATCCAGGCCTTCGGCTACTTCGTCGCGCTCCAGCGGACCATAGAATGCTTCGAGGATGACGAGACCTGAGGCAACCACGTCAGTGTCAGAACTTGCTCTGCATCACAGAGTCCAGACTCGCACCATCGCATGCCTCTCAGCGTCCATGTGCCGTTTGCGACGTCCTGGAGTATGTGACGTCTCTTGGTCTCACGCTGGAGTTCAGCTTCTCCTCGTGTAAGGCACGGCGTGCGTCTCGGAAGAACCTGAGCAGCAAGATGCAGACGATCAGCACATGCGACTGCTCTCGACGGAACCGGACCCTACCGGAGACGTTCCCTTCGATGGCGTGGTCGAAGGACGAAAATGTACGTCAAAACAAGTGCCGCCGAGGGCGCTGCCGTAGTCCAGAGGCCAGCCCGGGTTCTCGGTCATGCGAGAGCACGATGGGGAGAGTGAGGCCTGCCCCAGGTAAGACACACTGTAGAGTTCAGTCGCTCTCGTTACGTTGAACGTCTGACAAACTCACTCGAGCTTGAAAGTGACGCCTCCGAGGTTGCAGGCGACACTAGAACCGATGGAGTTCCCTGCTTTGCGCCATTCGCCGCCAAAAGACCAGCTCAGCCCCGTCATTCCGAGCTGCATACCAGTTTTGACTCGTAAACCTATTTCCGCCAACACGACACCCCATTCCGCGTTGATCCCGCTCCACAGGTTGGCAAGTGAAATTGTACTTCCCAGTAAGTGCTACCCATCGCAAGACCAGACTTAGACGGCGGCCGCACGCAGGACCGGCGCCAAGGAAGGCTGGCGGAAGCTGGCCTCGGGTGTATGGTCAAACAGACGGGCCGAGGACAAGATAATCGCCAGCGCAGGTGCCACGGATGTGACTGGACATGACTGTCCCCTCCATGGGCGACTTACTAGAGAGCCGACGGGAATACGCGACGGTGACCGGTCCTGGTGCCGAGGTAAAGCCAGAGAAGAACCAATATAGTGCGCGCGGAGGGTGAATCTGGCATGTTATCGTGTTGTTATTATCCTGGTATGTCGTCTTCGTTGATAGAAGAGACATCTGCAGAGCGCTGACAGTGGCCTGTGATAGGCGTTGACGTAATGAGCAAAGGCAGAGCATCACTTGTACTGCGGTGCCGTACCTCGAAGTTGAGACGCGGCGAAAACTGATGAGAGACCGTGCCCAATAAGCGATTTGACAGGACCTGGGCGACCACTGGCAGGACGCACATTCACACGGTCAGATACAACAACAGTCGTTTTGTCGCTGAATTTTGCTGCAACCGAGCTCTACATCAACAAACAAGCCAGAATATTAAAGCACCTACCTGAATTTATGCTTGAAGGTCATTCCGGTTTGGCTGATGTCCTCGAACCTATTCCAAAACGCTCCAGCGTGCCAGGGATTGGATCAGAGTAATAGCCGATATCCTCATCAAACAATGAACTAGCGTCGAATCCAGCGATGACACGGCCTTCCGACTTGACAGAAACTCAGGTCGTCATCCTGCACTTCCCGACCTCGTTGCAGTAGGATTTGTCGAGCTGGTAGAGGTATAAGATGTGAGGGGGTGTGTCATCGCCTCCGGAACACGTACCTCGGCCTCCGGGAGGTCAGCTAAGTCAACGCTCCGAATGACTTGTAAACCTTGTGGACCTGAGCTGACAGATACTTAATCGTGCGACGCATATATGGATAACAATAGCTAACCTAGCAGGTCATAGGCACGTCTGATACAATGTCAGCGGCTCGGCACTAGAAGAAGGACAGGCAATTACCGGCTAATGGGGTCGGACAGGACTGGCCACATCAATTCCACAGCTTCTTGTGACGTACTGCCTCTCGCACCTTGATATGCCTTTTGGATTTCCAAGAACCGCTTAGTCGCCGTCGCTTTAGCGGTCTCATCCTGGTGCTTGTCCGGATGAAACAACACAGAAAGCTGGCGGTAGCGCTCTCTTATTCTTGGTCTGAGACAGTCTTTGGAAGGTTGAGAACCGTGCTTGGGGAAGTTCAGCGATGTATATGCGGCAGTCTTGAATGGTTGACATACTAGAGGTACTCTCGCTCGTCGGGGATCCTGGTATGCCGCCATCATCGAGAGTCGATCCTGACATACGACTGATGCTCCGGTCACTAATCGGTCTCTTCGACAGCGATTGCACAGGTTCTGAGTACTTGGCGGCGCGTAGACAAGTGCAAAAATGCGCGAATGAGCGCAGAGAACAAGCCGGACCAACCGAGCGCACGCGTGCCACAATGCCTTCGAGAGAGCGGGTAATTACGTAATAGACACGGTTCCATTTATGGTTAGCGCGCCATGGGATCAATATTGACCTCATTGACATTCTGGACTTGTGGTTGTACTCCCCGTCGATCGTCTCTGCTATGTCCGCCAGTCAGTCCAGCCAGAAACTCCCAGCGCAGGCGGCGCCGGAAGCTAAGGCTCGCGGTGCAAATCGCTCGACAAAGGTCGCGGGCAAGCTCAAGGTATTGCCAGACCAACCGGAGCCTGTCTTGCCAGCGAAGAAGGTCGACGTTCCCGCACCTCCGAAAGTTGACACGGTGCGGAGGAAAGCGAAGAAGAGGCAGATAGCGACGAAGATGGGGACGATGAGGAGGAGCCGGAAGACGTAGAGGTGCGAGCCGATCAACGACTTTGTGGGATGTCTGCATGCCAACGTCGCGTCGCGCATGCTTATTCGGCTAGGTCTACAATCAACTCGACCTCATACCTGCCGGTACTGCCAGACGGGATGCCCTGCGTTGACGAAGCGAAAGGCAAAGTCGCTGCCGCGTGTCACCGCATATGCCACTGCTGGGTGAGCTCACCTCTCATTGACCACAACTTGTGTTCTGAGCACTCACGGTACTAGGTCCTACCGTTTTCCTGAATTGATGAAGTTTTTCAATGCAAGACGCCCGTCTTACCATACAAATCCTCGGATCATCGACGAGGTTATCTATACGCCCTATGCTTATGATGAGCACGCCGAAGTGCCCTCAGGCTCACAGCGTCAAGTCCACTTTCAGCCTGATTCACCAGAGACCGGTGACTTGCTCGGTGTACCGGAGCTAGTACCGGACAGAGACGGGCATGCGCATACAGACGGCGAACAAGAAGTGTCGAAACGTAGGAGGAAGCACAAGTTCCTAGTGCCTGAGACTCCCAGGGAGCGGAGATATTCATGTTCAAGTATGGAACGGTTGTACTCTGGGGCATGACTGAGGCCCAGGAAAAACGGTTCCTTTCGTCAATGTCAGTCTTTGTTCGCCTGCAGGGTTTCCTTGCTGATTAAGTTCCATACAGCAAACGATTTGAAGTCGATAAGCTAGGTAGGGCAGTTGTCAGGACCGCATCCGTCGCAAAATCTCACCCTCTCGTATTAGCCCCGCACGCCGTAGAAATGGAAGATCTCAACTACTATTATGCGAATTATAGCCGGTGAGTAGCATCTCATTTTCATGTGGCGACCCTGAGCTTAAATCGTGCATCCTTCAGGATCTACAACGACGTGATCACTCTGAGGGTTGGGTCCGGATACATGCACGTCCTTCCAATTTCAATACAGTCGACCTGCTCATCTATGTTCCTAGGACAAAACTCTCATTATCGCACGCTTTGTCGCAGTCTGTCAAGATATCTCTGGTGAGTGAATCGCCGTGCGATGCAGTAGTACTCCAGAATTCTCACTCTGAGCCTTCGCATTCCGTGGCCTGACTCTGACCTTCCCATCGCAATGTATCCATTTGTAGTTTGAAGAACTCATCTCCTCGACGATCGAAGAGACCAAGGATATCCCCGAGATAATTAGTGAGACGGGGAAGATCGGGATGCCGCATAAGGGTACGTTGTTCAATACCGTGGCTGACTGAGCTCTCAATGGTTCTAGACATCATGCGAAAAATCGGGGAGCTGTTCCTGCTGAGGGCGAATATCAATTCGGTCGGATCAGTGCTCGACTCTCCGGTAGGTCACTTTCATACACTGTGTTCGTGTCCCACGGTCATTCATCAGTGTCTAGGAGGTCTTCTGGGTAAGGAGTCTTTCGACTGCCAAAGTCGTTCCTGCATAATCACGCGACGCCTTCTTTGCCGTATAGACGTATCCTGACTTGCAGCCGCTATACGACGCAGCACGCGATTATTTGGAAATTCCTCAGCGAATTGACTTGCTCAACACTCGTGTGGAGGTAAGCGCGGCAGCATGCCGTACGTCCTCCGAAGAGTCATCTCACATATTATCCTTGGACTCCCAGGTGCTACAAGATATGCTCCAGCTTCTCAAAGAGACCGTGTCAAGCCGGCACGCAGAACGTCTGGAACAAATTGTCATCGCTCTGATTGGGGTAGAGATAGGTATGCTCCTGCCAATTTGTGCAATAGCCGAACTCGCTCTCACATTCATACAGTCCTCGGCATCATAACGATTATCGTTGACCTGTTTGCATAATCTCACGGAACTAGCCTGTCAATGACAACGAGGGGCCTTGATTGCCATCACATAAGTTACCACACGTCGCACTGTATCATAAGTAGTCGTACATCCTTCCGAGGTATCGTAATGTTCTGGAGTTGTCTAGAACGCGTCCGCACGAATGCGCTCTGCGTTTAGCCCCTTTGGCAGAGCAGGCACCGAGGGACTCCGGGGAAAACCCATTCAGTCAGCGTAACCCACTGGAATGGTTAACCCCCTGCTTCCGGCTGCTTCTCCCGTCTCTTCTCCCTGCTCCTCGACCCGCCGGGAGTGCCCTCCTTTTTAGCTTTATCCTTTGTCTGCCTAAAGCACAGGAATTCAATTCCAGTAGCGCGGCGCGTATCTGCCAAAGTTTTCTTCACGCCGTCGAGGTTGGCTTGCAAATTCTCGTCACCGGGTCGGCGCGCGTATGCCTGCGAGATCTTCGTGTACAAATCCGAAAGCGTCTGGTCCGCGGAGGGAGTGACGTAACGCGAGAGCGTCTGATGAAGGAACTCAATCTCGAGCGTGGCCTGTGAGTGGGATTAGTCAAGCGTATGGGAGGCGCGCGAGCCTCTGTGTGGCCGAAGACAGGAAAGGAGTCCTTCGGAGGGGGGTTCTACGCACCCTGAGCATGCCACCCATGCCGAAGCGCTTGACCTGGCGGAAACAGCGGAGCGCCTCCTCGGCCACGTCCTCTACGAGTGCATTCAGGGTGCGTTCCAGCAGCGGGGCTGCCGCCGCGCTAACTTGGGCGTGCACACCGACAAGGAACATCAAGATCTCGAAGATGTACGGACGGATCTCTGAACGCGACAAATTGTTAGATAGAGTATAACATCTTTGATAATGCAGGCACCGACCTCGGGGTTGTGGGGTTTCGTACCAGTCCATCTGGGGATCCAGCACCCCATTCCGTACCATACCCATCAGCGCGGCGGACTTGGGCTTTACGTAACTCTGGAATAATGTGTTGTCGAGGTCTTGCACGATTCCAATAAGGGTCTGTGGTGACGCCAATTCAGTTGCATGCCAATCGCGATGACTAAACCAATTTGGGGCCCTACGCGTTTGTCTTCCTCCATGGACACACCTAGACTGTTCCCCAATTCGCTGGCCATATTTGGAATAAGAACGCGCCTAAGGTGATCGATGTTAGACACCACGAGCAGTGACCTATTGTCCTGGGAGAATCGGAGACATGAGGCCCGCGGAATCGAGAGAAGAGCGCTCAGACATTCATACCGTTTCCTGTATATCGACTAGCTCCAAAGGGTTGGTTTTCGTCGCTCCGGCGACTTCGGATATGACAGTTGGTAGTGCTGGACCGGATGGCGACTCATCAGACGCCAAATGCACGAGGCCATCGAGTACCGCGAATAGCGAGTCAACGAAAGCCTTCGTGATTTTGGAGGTGAATTCGGGGGCGACAGTCTTCCGTTTGACTAAGCGCGACGAAGACGTCGCAGCGGAAGTCGATAAATCAACTCCGCCGGCGATCTTGAACGCACACGCGGACATCTCCTTCTCGAACGCGCGCAGCTTGGAGAGGTAAAGTGTTGTGAATGGATCAACTATGGATCCTATCCAGTCTTCCAGGTAGTAGAATACGTTGGCGTCTGTAGCATATATTCAGCCTTTCGTTCACCCGATGTTTCGGCATGATCCTTACCTCTGAGCCAGCCGTGTACGACTATATCTTCGAACTTCCACCTCGCGCTCTCCAGCAGGCCCTTGAGACTAGAGCTCGCCTCGTTCGAGATTTCCATACTGTTAACGTCGTTGACACTGTCTTGTATCTCACCAAGTATCTTCATGAGCTGGTAAGCAGTCGTGAGCGAGTTAGAATCACGCGGCAGTAGCGGTGGTGTCGCTTCCACTGCGGCGTTGGGCGGCGACGACACGCGGCTGTCGGAGAACATGAAGAACTCGGACAAGAATGAGATGTACAGCTTGACGATGTCTAGAGCCATGGCGCGACACTGCGAGGGACTGCGCCGCGCACCGCCGGCGGTATTCGGGTTCTACACGAGATGTCAGTAACTGAGGGCGCATTCTAAGAGGGTACAAGCCTTCTTCAGCTTCCCATCGAGGAAACCTTTGGCGATCCTCCAGAAGTTCGGCATCGTGGTGAGCATAACCTCTGACACATTCTTCACCATCGCTAGGACGGCTGCCCAAACCTCTGTCGCCCCGGCCTGCGCTGCACGTCATAGGCAAGGCCGACATGAGAAGACAATGCCATACTTGGTCTATCAGACATACCAATGACCACGTCCCCTTGCTTGGCTTCTAATGCCGCAATACAGGTCTGCAGCTGGCCAGCCAGGATGCCGGGTAGGGTATCCGGACTTCGGATGATAGGCAGTGTGGAATCATGAACGGCTTCAACAAGAATCAGTGACGTTCGCGAAGTAGTATAAGCTCGCTTACACCGAATATGCTCAACGCAATTTATGTAGGTCCCTTGCATATGGTTGATGATATATTTGTGTTGCGCGTCCAGGTACGTCCACACCGGATCATCCGAAGGATTAAGCTCAAGCAAGATCCTGCGGAGAAGGTCAGCGGAAATGCCGATATTCTGTGTCGCAGGCTTACTCAATCGTCTTCTCTTGCTCATCCACACTCCGAGCGGGCTCTTGGAGTTTGTTGAGAAGCTGGTTCTTCATCTCGCCCATCACTTTCTCCACTGTGCCCCAGACCTTATTGAGGATCTTCTTCTGCTGGGACTCCGCGGTAGACCCTTGCGCATCTCTTGGACCGACCGGTAGTATCTGCCCAGGCCTTGTCTCGAGCAGGAACTTGCCCTTCTTGTAATCCCGCAATGCAGCCTCGTAGCGTCCCTGTCCAAGGAGACTCAGTACGTTCTAAGCGCAGACTGTCCCACGACAACGCCATACCGCTTCTATGGACTCAATCAATGTGCCAGGTAGACTGAAGAAGAATTTGGATCGCTCGAATACACCCAACGTTGTCCGTAGCTTCTGAGCTTTCATGGCATTTTCCAGGACAGGCAGGAAGACCACATCTGCCTTCTGGGCAGACTCTGTAGTAGGGTATGAGCACTGTGAGAGAACCGTTACAAACGACATACGCTTGATGTGATCTCTGAGCGGTCTTGAGCCGAAATCAGACTTCTCTGCTAGGACGCCCTCTTGCATTTCAGCATATAAGGCTGCAACATAGTGGGATGAGGTCTACACTATCGCTACACAAAGCTCTGTGGACACATACCATCCGTGGAGGCCTTCACCGCGACGAAACGGTTGAAGTGCTCCTCTACGAGGACTTTCACTGCCTCGGAACGGGCATCAATCGACGCTCGCAGCTGCTGTATACCAGCTGCCAGGTCCTGGTATGTCGCATTTGGATGTACAGCCGATAAGAATGCCTTTGGATTGAATGACTTTGAAGATATGAGGACCGCGGTCTCTAAAGCGGGGCTCAGGATTTCGCAAGAACAGAGCAGACGCTACTGACTTGTTTCCAGGTCCATATCTCGCACACTGATACAGACATGAATGAGGCATATATTCACCACATTAGATGTACGAACGCACTCGATGACGTCCTGTAGGCCCAACGGATCCGGCTCGCCCTCACCGCTACCAGTCAACATGCCCGCGAGGGAATTGTCCTTCTCATGATCGACCTCCTCCCATTTCCTACCAAGTCCTCGCCGTCAGACACTGCGCTGATACTCAACACGTTTGCTGTACTTCGGCGCAAGAGAAGATATGCCGTAGGTCTTCAAGAGTTCCGCATCATCGACTTCGAATGTAAGCCTGCCCATCGTCCGAGCTCAGGTGACGCCACTCGTACCGCCAGACAGATAGAAACAATGTACGTTGAATAAGTTAGATCAATGCGAGCAATGGACAAGTGACTGGGAACAGCATGAAGGAGGAGAGCAACCGCGACAGCGCTTATTTCTATAAGTACAACTGTATCAAGCACCGTCTATAGTGGCGCTACATACTACATTCAACTCCCGGACAATAATTAGTACTTACGCACACTGATCCGCAACGATCCTCTGTAACGCCATGATACTTACAGTTAGAACTTGACTTCGTATGTCGCTGTCTACCTGGAAAGACTCAGGCAATATCCCACGAAGGTATGCAAAATCCATTACGACGGAGGCCATTGAAAATCCCTACAAATCCAAAGCCACGCCAGCAACTAAAGCGTCAACAACGAGGGGAGGAGAAATAGTAATGTACTATCGAGCTATCATAACAACCGACAATGTCGTACAACCCGTTACATGGGAAGAACGGTGTTGAACACGTAGTCCCACATCTTGCTCGTCACACCGAAGCCGAGCTCGAAGTTCTTGTAGTGGTGCGCGAGGTGGTACTTCTTCATCTCACGGACGTACGTGGGGAGCTTCGTGTGGTGCAGCCTAGAAAGCGATCAGTCAGCCACATGAGTCAGAGGAAGGTGTAAGACCACTTACGCGTAGTGCATGCAGTCGTACAGCACGTCTGTCCGAGTACGGCATAAGCACGATGCACCGAAACCGATATAGCGGCCACTCACAGAAGACGAACGCGCCGGCAATAACACCATTGGCCATAGCCGGTGGGAACAGTGCATGCGCAAGCTGTGTCATGGGGAACGACAGCACTGAGAAGAGCACAGGAGGCATGACAAGCCGCAGGCTAAATTCGTCTGGTGAGTATTCCCGCATCCTCAGTGAAAGTTGTGCGACATACCGGTCCATGGGCAAGTAATGGTGGATGCCGTGCGTAAGGAAATGCAGCGTGATTCCGGCAGGGTTGTCGGGCAGCAACTTGTCGATGTGGAAGAGGAAGCGGTGGAACACGTACTCCAGGATGGTCCACACAAAGTTGCCGAGGAAGAAGCACATCGTAGTCTTCACGACCGCGGAGGTAGGGATATGAATCGCCATGAAAACCTTCAGCGGCGCCGCAGGGTTTTGGGTGAAGAGCGGCAGGGAGTTGCCACCGAGTGTGTACTGGACCAGCGAGCGGACGAACATGTAGCCTGCAATGGGCAGCCAGACCATGGGCACGACATACCACGACGTCCGAGTGAAGACTTCGAGGTAGCCGGGCCCGAAGAGACGCGGCGACTCCGGGTATGACGGGGCTGGTGGACCTGCTGCAGGTAGTAGGACTTGGACCAGTTGGCCTGCCAGACCTGGAGGAACAGCGGCTTGCGGAGGTCGAGGAATTCGTTCTTCTCAAAGTCGGCAGCAACGTCCGTGTCCTCCGGATGGAAGTCCTCATCCGGAACCCAGTCTGCACACGTTGGTCAGCAGCGGACGGGATGCAGATATCCTGACTACGCACCTTCGCTCACGATCATCTCGGGGGTGCCCAACCTCCCAATGAAGCACTCGTCCAACATGTCGTACGCAGAATCCGAGTGGTCATGCTCCAACGGGTCGCGCATGATCTCCTCTACGTCCTTCCCGGCATAATTGAGGATAAGGTCGTCTCCGCCAGGGTGGTCCGCAAGAAAGTTGGTCACGTCGTAGACCTTGCCGTTGCGGGTGACCCAGCAGCTCTCAGCCGTGCTGTGGGCAGCGACGTCCTCAGACGTGAGGATACGAATGCGCTTGGACATGTTGGTTCGGGACAAGGAGCGCGTCGGAGGCCGATGATGGTTGCAGGAGTTTTCCCGTTCCTCACGCTCCAGATCACGGGCGCGCAGCAGCACTGGAGCCATCTCGAGCTCGTCCGGGTCGTCGAGAACGCCCCCGCCTCGCTCGCAGCGACGAACGGGAACGACAACATACTTTGGTCATGCATTAGAGTATGTTTGGTTTCAGCAGCTTTGAATATGATGCATCGACAATGAAACTTGAATGAAACCTTATGTAGATGCAGGCGTCACCAGGGGCACATCTACAAATTGTAGTTCTGCAGGGCGCCCACCGTAGAGCTCGTTCTTATCAACTATCACTCGATATTCAGCACCCGTCGGTCGAAGTGTTCAACGACGAGCACGACGAGCACCGGGTTCTCCAATCGTATACCCGTATTTCGTCAACGCAACCGGGAAACCCCGCGCAGCTCCTGAGCCTCATGCAGCCTCTTCTCCCGCCTTCAGTCTCGCCGTGTGTCTACCGATCTTACTTCTACTTCTACGTACGCAAGCGGGTGCGTCCGTACCAAGTGAGATGAGCAGAGATGCGGGCCGAACACAGCGAGAAGCTTGAATGGCTCGGTGCCGCTCGACGTCCAGGGGTACCCCGTCGCGCCGCCCGAGCTCGAGCTCGAGCAAGTGCACGTCTACATTCGACATGGTGTGTGGTACCGTTCCCTGGCTGTAGATGATCTCGGTCTTGACGAATGTCGTGTGCTTGAATGCGGACCGCAGGTGAACGCACCCCAGTAGGCGTGCGGATGGCGGATCCCCGGCGTCGATCCCGAAGCATTGGATGTTCTGCCACACCGCGCGCGACTTCCGTGCTGCGGTCGCCAGCGCGAGTCCAGCGGTTCCGGGCGTGCGGGGTCCAGTGGATGGAGGGGAGGCACAGCACCAGGAGTCGCTAAGGACGGTGCGGGTGGTCGAGCGGCTGGATGGGTCTGCTGCGCCGGGCGAATGGTGAGTTCATCTTTGTGCTATTGCACCGGCACCGGCGCACGTAGTGTAAAGCGTTCGAAGCTAATTATGTTTTGACGGAAGTCTTCTGGGAGAGTTGACAGACGTTGGGAGACAGGTGCGTAAATCTTGCCTGTGGTACCTACACCCAACCGATCGCAGAACTCCCGCTCACGGAAGATGTGCTTTACGACTCTTTGATTACAGACGACATACGACTATGGGCGAGCGCTCAGGCAACTCTACATAGACAAGTACGTCGTCGCGTGGAGGTCCTGCGTGCTAACGAGTCAATACTTATGGCATTTCACTCCCGCGCAGACTAGGTTTCCTGCCCGACGTAGCTAGCTCACACGACGACATTTATCTACGATCCACCAACGTACCGAGAACGATCGAGTCGCTGCAGCAAGTCGTACACGGATTGTATCCCGACGCAAAAGCGCGCCCGACTTCGTGCCCCAGCTGAGGATACGGTGTGTTGCGCTCATAGCTGCATCGGTTCCTTGCCTGCCACAGTGCTAATTATGTGTTGCGACAAAGAAATGGAAGGGAAGAGAACCTTTTTGGAAACACCATGGCATGTAAACGACTCGAGGTTCTGCAAGTGGGCTTCGCCAAAGGTCAGTTTTGGTCTCCCATGTCTGTCCCTCACTCCATGATGACACATGCATGTCCTAGCTGCTGCGTCCGAATGGAACGAAACGTTGGCGTCTCTGGATAAGAAGTATCAAAGTACATCGGGGGGAATCCGATACGGCTGGACGGCCAGCCGCGGGCATCGGGCATATTGGATACTGTGCGCGCAACCTACTCTGCTGTCGTTGTATCTCTGACTGAGCGGCCGTCGGTGTAGGTTCGGGCTGCAAACGCCATGGGATTCACTGCCGCCAGAGTTCAAGACCCAGCCGTATGGACCTCATTGTACGTGTCCCGTTATGATCCTTCTGCTTTCGGTCTTTGTTCACCTTCCAAACGCAGGAGAAGGCCGTGGTTCACGAATGGTTCGCAGGGTGTGAGACGCTCGCACCGTATCGCACGCACGAGACCGCTTACTGATTACTCCTTCCCTCCCGTCCCTCCTGCGCGCCAGACCAAACGGAGGAAGTGCGCCGACTCGGGATGGGTCCCCTCCTGAGTGACCTTACGCGCAAGATGCAGGCGAAGGCGGAGAACGGCTCGCGAGACCCGCTGAAGATCCTGATACATAGCACGCACGACACCTGTCTGGCTGCGCTATGCAGCACGCTTGACGTGTTCGATAACCGGTAAGTCTGGCTGGCGTTGGACGCGGATTGCGGGGCACTGACTTGTGTGAATGTCAAGGTGGCCGGCATTCTCGTCCGCCTTTACATTCGAACTATTCCGCAGACGAACGGGGCCGGAGGCTCCGCGGAGTCAATATGGCAGGGCGTCTTCGCCCCGTTCCGACAACAACGCCCGGACACTTCTTCGGAACATTGTGCGTATAGGATAGACCGCCTCTTTTCTTGCACTGATATCTTTGCCAGATGTCCGGATGCGTTATCAAAATCGTAACCTGACGTTGTCTGTGTGCGCGGAGGAGGGCAAGCACCTACCCGGCTCGCCCGAGTTTTGCACGCTGGCGGCGTTCCGGGAACGAATCAGGGAACTTACCCCGGTGGACTGGGATGCAGAGTGTGCGCCTACGGCTCACCGCGGTAAGCATGAGGGCTAACGGTCGTTGATGGACACGGAGTTTGTGCGGCATAGAGGATACAGCACACATTACACGTATTCAGTGCTTATACTAGGTCTTCTGGAGATAATGATATGATTATATGCGAGCCGTGAGTATCGAACGCAGGTTCAATTCGCACCTTCCTTGGCTTCGGTGGTATGGAAGAGAAGTCTGTGTTCTCGTATGAAGTTTGGAAGGTGGAAATCCAAGATCTAGGCTTGAGTATAGTGAAGAAGTACTGATATTTGCCTTGCATGACAGTGGTTGATTGTAGCGGGATACACACCTCACCAAGAATGTTTCTCCGTCAGTAACCATGTCCATGGCTGCGTCTGGTCGTCATACGTCGCGCCTTTCCAGCAAGCCTCCCCTCGGAAGACCCAGCGGCAGGGCAAAACGCGTGGGCCCAGTTTGATAACTCGCACCCAACCATCCGCCCGGATGGTGTTGGCATCTGTTGCGCCTACTGCGTCCTCCCCCGCATATATCCACCTCTCTACATTCACCTCGTCGCCGACGATGAGCAAACATTGGATGAATTGGCCAATGCGTACGAGCGAGCCCCTTGCCTTGTGCAGCTCGGCGGCAGGTCCGCTAACCGCAGCAACGAGACAGAATATCGCGCTGTCCGCACCAGTCGCCTGGGCTTCGATGGTCTCCCACATCTCCTCGTAGTCGGACATCTCCCCCGTGGCAGGATTGACCATCCGCCCCTTCTCGCGGCAGAGCACGCCGTCTGGTTCGGGGAACATATCGCCCTCATCCACCGGTGGTTTGTCTCCATACGCAGAGCGCGAATCGACATGGTGCGTCCAGGTCTTGTGGCAGACGCCGTCGCGATACTCGGTTGTGGCGACACCAGAAAAAGCCCATTCGAGACGGGATGCGTCGGAAGATTGCCCGTTATCGGGAAAGGCAGTCCCAGACTGTGAATCCGCTTTGAAGATACGCACGTCGACGAACGTCTGGGAGGGCGCGGTGAGGACAAGGGTGGATGTGTCTTCGAAGGGCTCGCCGTCGCCCCAGCGGATCCAGACTCTTTTCGAGATGTCTGCGTGTCCTTGTGAGCCCCCTGTATTGTCTGTCATGATGGGCAGCAAGACGACACCTGCAAAATCAGACTAAGAGACTTTGCAACGAAGTGGACGCTTGGTGGCCGCTATAGAAAGGTTGTATAGAGTTTCACCGTCGAACGGTCACGTGATACATGGGTACTCGAGGTCGTTCTCAACGTTGTTTGTCTTCTCTTTCTTGACCAACGCACTCATGTCTTTGCAATCGAGACTGGCAGTACTACGCTGTTGCTCCTTGGTTCCTCTTCCATACCGCATCCAGGCTTGTCTCTCCTGTACTGAGATAACATCTCCAATCTAATCCTAGCTAAGTAACGGTAGTCGAAGGCCGTGACAATACCCAATCGGCATGCTTCGCAAGAGTGAAGGTCGTCAACGCTGTAAGTACATATAAAAGGGCATTGTCTGCCACAAAGAAGCAGAGGTGCTCTACCAATGGGATCGGTCATGCCGGGAATTGAAATTTTGATTGCTCGCTCTCAGGGTACGTACTCGTTCGGCCTTTTGGGTCTACGCGCGAGCCTTTTTACACTGATTGTCATTGTTGCCTGCCATGTCTAATCACCAAGACCGGCAACACCGTGACCTCCTTATTTCCTGCGAACCGACGAGCGGCCTGCAGGATGCCCCGAGGGCTGACGCGCTCCTTTCCCGTCATTCCGAGTCCGAGCCCCATGACCGCTTCCCCGAGCCATGACCCTGCCTGATTCTTTTATTGACGCAGATCTCTGACCCACCTGGCGCATCTCTTCGGACTAACCCAGTATAAATGGCGTGTATATATGGCGCTCTCAGCGGCACCGTGTTGGTTGTCTCTTGCGACAGTACCACCACTAGCATGTTGCGACCGCGTCCGCCTCCTAACGCGGCTCCCGCGAGGATCGCAAGATTCCTGCGACGTGCGATAACGCTCTCTGCTGCTGAAGGTCCCACGCACCCTCCACTCGTCCAGCAAACGTTCCCGGAGTACTTCGCGACCGAGGTCCTTGCCAAACATGCGTCTCGACCTGCTTTGATTTCGAGGAGCGAGCGGCCCCATCCTCACGGGGGCCCGTCCCTGCATAATATGCTCGTGGAGAGCCATCTTGCTTGGGATTTTGAGCAGTTTGATGCTCATATACAGGCTCTCGCGCGAGGTCTGTTGGACATGGGAGTCCAGAAGGGCGACCGCGTCGGTGTGGTGATGGGCAATAATAGGTGTGTATGCCATCAGGACGCACACTTGAATACTCACACTGTGCAGCGCGTATGGATCGCTACAATGGGCCTGTGCGAGCATAGGTGCCATCCTTGTGACGCTCAATCCCGCATACAGGCTGCCAGAACTTGTAGGTTTCCGCTCTTTCCCCCAACATGTGTCCCTTTGGCGCATGCTAAGGCTCTGATCCGGTTCTGATACTTGCCCTGGTTGAGCTCTCACTTGGCACATGACCGCATAACGAACGCTATGCTGCCAGGGAAGCGCTGACTTACATCAATTTCGGGCTGCAGCGCCTACAGCGCACGTGTAATAGCAACCTCACTGGCTGAGAGTACCATTGCCAGGAGTAGTGGTTGGTTTGGAAGGCTGATCATGTTGCTGGCTAGAAGTGGACGTGACTGGAGCACGCGAACGTCCTTTTCAGTATTTTCTGACCTTGTGACCTTGCAGACATCTGGTCCCCTCATGCACTGTGCAACAAGTTCATGTTGATCCAAGTGATGCTTCATATAGCTGACGGGGGCACATTTCCTGCAGGTCAACACACTCAATCTCGTCGGCGCCAAGCACCTCTTCCTCGTCCCGCGCCTCCGCTCCTCGACCTACGTCCGCACGCTTGCCGACGCCTTCCCCGCGCTCGCGCACTCCGCCCCAGGCGACATCCAGGAGCCGGGCCTCCCCACGCTCAAAACCTCGTCGTCGTCGACAACATCCCGGGGGCTGACGGCAAGGTCGGAGGGGACCTGAAGACGTTTGAGGAGGAGCGCGAGATCGCGCGATGTGCCGTGGACTTCCGGGAGGTGCTCGTGTGGCGGGAGGACAGCCCGCTGAAAGCGCGGGTGGCGGAGACTGCGAGGAGCTTGCATTGCGATGAGGTGATGAATCTGCAGTTTACGAGGTGGGGACTCAGGTATGGTTGCGTGAAGGGATGTTGGCTGATGTGTGGTACGACTTAGTGGGACAACGGGTGCGCCGAAGGCGGTCTCAGTAGGTGCAAGGCGCAGTGGATCGCCCCTCCGGTGACTGATGTCTGCTGTAGCTCACACACCACAACCTCCTCAACAACGCGATATCAATCGCGCGCAACATGCGCTTGACTTCATCGGATGTGCTCTGTACGTCCCGAGTCTTTTGTCATTTATGCGAGTTTGCATTGATGATACCGCGCAGGCAATCCCCCTCCACTATTCCACTGTTTTGATACGTCCTTCTCGCCTCGTTGTATGCCCCTCTGGCTGATAGAAATCCTACACGCCTCGTTCTAGGGAACCTCGCCGCATGGACGCACGGCGCGTGCATCGTCTACCCTTCGGAGATCTACTCGCCCCCTGCGATCGTCGACGCACTCGTCAACGAACGGTGCACAGCACTCCACGGCGTGCCGACACACCACCTTGGTGTCCTACACGAGGTGCAGCGACGCCGTGCGGAGGGTCAAACAGTCGATACGAGCTTGTTAAGGTACGTTCGTGTCGCACATAACGTCTCAGAAGAACACAGGCTGAATCGATATGTCATTCCTTTCAACGTGTCGTATTTATGTGTAGGACTGGGATCGCGTCGGGTGCACCGGTGCCGATCGAAATGATGAGGCGGCTTATCGAGCAGCTAAACTTGCGTGAGCTCACCGTGGCGTTTGGCATGAGTGCGTTCGTCTATCAAGTCGCTGTACGCTTATGTAACTTACATCCCGCATGTGCCTTGTAGCGGAGACGAGGTGTACAATCATCTCGAATGCTGTCCTGAGCCTTAACTCATCTCGTATCATACTTTAGTCCGGTGTCTTTCCAGGCAAATCCGGACGACCCGATCATCAAGCGCGTCGAGACAGTCGGGCGTCCGCTCCCGCACGTGAAGGCGAAGATTGTTGACGAACACCAGGAGACAGTGCCCGTCGGTACGCCGGGGGAGATCCTGGTGTCGGGCTACTTAGTCCACAAAGGGTGCGTGGATTGCTGTGTGCGCGCAAGTGATGGTTGGGGATGGACATATGTGATCGTGCAGGTACTGGGAAGATGAGGAGCAGTCCGTAAAGGCGACGGTCAGAGATCCTGATGGGACGGTGTGGATGTGCACTGGGGATGAAGGTATCATGGATGAGGAAGGATATCTGAAAGGTAACACCTCTTAACTTTTCTTTGATTCGCCAGAAGTCTAAAGATAGTGTCCTTTATTAGTGGTTGGAAGAATCAAGGTATGCACGCTCTCCACGAAGGACCATGGGAACTTACATGTCACAGGACATCATCATACGCGGCGGGGAGAACCTCTTCCCCGTACAGATCGAGAACGTGCTAACGGCACATCCCGCAGTAAGCGAAGCAGCCGCGGTGGCAGTGCCGCATTCAGTGCTGGGAGAAGTCGTCGGTGCGTGGATCGTCCGCGAAACCACCGCGGTCCAACAACCTTCACGCGAGGAAATACGCGACTTCGTCGCGCAGGGCATGAACCCGCAGGTGCGTACCTGAGCTGCGGTTCGAGCGCGGCTGACGGTGTGTGTTCTGGATATTGCTGGTGGCAGAATGCGCCTGCTTGGGTGTGGTTTGCGGGCGAAGACGGAGCACCTGAAGAGCTGCCGAAGACCGCGAGCGGAAAGGTCATGAAACACGTTCTGCGGAAGTGGGTGAAAGACTTGGCGAAGAAGGACGTTGGTAGTGTCCGGGTCGGCTCGCCGACGACAGCAACTCGTGCTTCATGACGAGCCCGGGACCGAACATTTAGTTGCACTTTTCTCGTGACGATGAAGAACCAAAACTTGACCAAGACCCCTATGTTCGTACGCAATACTCCAACATGGCGATGTCTAAAGTCTGCGTTGAAGTGTGTTAACATTGATGGTTGCAGGTAACTGTTGAGGCGCTCGACATGATCGATGTCGTTTCGTCGCGCCCAGATCAGTGCTGGAAAGCTAGCTTTATTCCCCGTGTATTGAGATACACTGCCCGGATCTATCTTCAGCCTGCACGAGGCCCCTAGAGAACCTCTGTATCGGCCTACCGACGGCAGGCACCAGGTCCGTGCTCCGCAACCAATGCCCCTGCAGATCGTGCTATTGAACGCCGTTATTCCTTCGAGGCTCCACTGGTGAAGTAAGTACATTTCTCCGTTGTTAGTGGGACTTCGGTAGGTTGGGCAAATACAACCGCCTTCTACTCGCCTCCGCGCGGTGGTGCCCTGGTGACGTTGTGCCGTCCGTACGCTGGTTCAAACTTACGCTGCGTCACCCTGAGCGAGTCGGATCTTGTAGGCTTGGTAAAAGGGGGTGCTGATTGTGCAGGCCGTGTTGGCATCGATGAGCAGCGCCGCTCTCGAAACCTGTGACGGACCGCCGTATATGGCGATCCTGCCCACCAGACGCCATCCGTCACGACGCACGGGACCGCGTCGTCACGCTCGCGCACGGCGGCCGTGGGAAAGCAAGCCCGTTATGGAGCGTTACGACGCGTCGTCTGCTTCGCTCCGGCTTCGCTTTCTGCGTGACGTCAGGCGCCGGGCCGGGTGAAGCAAGCAAATCCGGCGCTCGATGCCCGAGATAAATACGAGCCAGCGGACGGACGCGTATCTCTGCCTTTGTCTTGACCACCATCCCCTTCTTCTTGCTCGACGCATACAACACCGACCGCTGCCAACATGCCCGAGGGAACCATGCGCGCGCTCTACTATAGCGCTGTGAGCTTATACCTCAGGTCATCGCGGGATCTGTCTGATCATCGCGTGTTTGTCTAGCCCCAGAAATTCGAGATCAAGGAAGTGCCGATCCCGAAGTGCAACGACGACGATCTTCTCCTCAAAGGTGAGCTACTGCGACCAGCTTGTCGTGCAGACGATTGACAGGCGCATATAGTGACATGCTGTGGTGTCTGCGGCACGGACGGGCACATTCACGAGGGTGAATTCATTGCCAAGTTCCCCGTATGTATGCGCTATCTGCGACTCGCTCCGAGAAGCTCAATATACGTATGTGCAGCTCATCCCCGGTCACGAAGCGATCGGAAAGGTGGTGGAGAAGGGCAAGAACGTCAAGGACTTTGAGCTCGGCGACAGGGTTGTCGCGGATGTTGGCATTTCCGTATGCCTTTGACATGTATACGTGTGGGATGACGTCTGACCGCCCGTGTCTGCAGTGCGACGACTGCTTCTACTGCCGACGGGGTCAGGCGGTACTTTGCGAGAACTTCAATGCACGTGGTGTGACCATGGACGGTGGGTTTGCCGAATATATCGTTTAGTGCGTGCGCGTTCTCTTATCCTTTTCACTGCCGTCTGACGTCCTCATGCAGCCATCAAAAGAAGTGCTACAAGATCCACAACCTCACTGACGAGGAGTCAACACTGCTCGAGCCCGCGGCATGTGCTATCCACGGCCTCGACAAGCTGAACCCGCCTGTCGGCATTGACGTCCTCCTGCTCGGTGCCGGCCCAACCGGCCTTATCCTCGCCCAGCTGCTCAAGCTGAACGGCGCGCACAAGGTCGTCATTGCGGCGAATAAGGGTATCAAGATGGACATCGCCAAGCAGCTGAATGCGGGGGACGAGTACATCGAGCTCGACCGGCAGAACCCTGACCCTCAGTGGGAGCAGCTCAAGAAGGACAACCCGTACGGCTTTGACGTCGTGGTTGAGGCGACCGGCGTGGAGAAGCTCGCGCAGGAGAGCATTAACTACGTCCGGAGGGGAGGCACGATCATGATCTACGGCGTGTACGCGAACAAGGCGACGGTGCACTGGCCGCCGTCCAAGATCTTCGGGGACGAGATCAAGGTACGTCGCCTTCCTGCGAGCACAGAAGAACAGGGACGTAATCGATGCTGTTTGCTTTCACAGATTCTCGGCTCGTTCTCACAGGCGTTCTGCTTCCCCCGCGCGGTTGCGTACCTCGACGGCGGAAAGATCAACGTCAAGGGCATGGTACGTAGCTCCACCTTTGTCTTCCCCACATGTCAGGACCTCATGGCTCTGGCATAGGTTACGGATGTCTTCAAGCTTGAGGACTACCAGGGCGCTCTGGACAAGATGAACAGCCGTGGTGCTCTCAAGATTGCCATCAAGCCGTGATGGATGTATGCAACCAAGAAAGAAGAGAAGAAGTCGTGGGGGCGATGTACACCGTAGCACCGATGCATGTAATCATTTTGTAGCAATGGAACAAGTCGTGTTTGATACCCCTCACACAAGCCACTGCGGACGAACCGCGCTGTGCGAAGCGCTCACATGGTACTTACATTGTAAGGACGTGTATATTTTTACGGCTCTAAGTCGGAGCTCCTAACATAGGGAATGGGATTCCTTTGTTCGGCCTAACATTTCGAATGTTCCTAGAATCGGGAATGTAAGTGTTATGTTCTTCCTATGTTCCGAAATCGTGCCATGTTCTAGGAATGTACTTCCCATGTTAGGGAATTTCACTTGATGGCTTACTAATATACACGGTCTTGCAATGTTGGGCCCATGTAAGCGCCTCGCACAACCCGGGTTGTCCGCAGTGAGCACTTGACTTCGTACTTTTCTACGCGGCGTTTCCGAGTGGCACAAAAAGCATTCCGACACGGGGAATCGAACCCCGGGCTATCGCGTGAGAGGCGATAATGTTAGCCACTACACCATATCGGAGTGACAGATGGGTCATCTACAGCTTTCTGATGTTGTTTGACTGGGATGATAAGCACCGTCATGACATCACATATGTCGAACTTCCACGACGCTCGGGCAAACGTACTTACAGTACTCTATAGAAGGCATAGTTCACATTCATATCGCTACTGTTGCCCCTTCCCTTTCTTCAACACTCGTATCACGCTCAAGCTCTCTGAAAATGCCTTCTGCACTGATACTCATTGCTGACGGAACGGAGGAGATGGAATTGTGGGTCTCAAGCGATTGTCATGCGTCAGATTCGTGCTCATGTCTATGGCGACTGGTACGTAGCACCATCACCTACGACACCCTCGTGCGAGCGGGTGTCTCTTGCACGTCTGCATTTGTCTCTGCTGCAGATGCGGCCCCGCATAACAAGAAGAGCCCGCCGCCGTACGCGATTGGATCGCGCGGGATGAAGATCCTCACGGACCAGCACTTTACGCCCCACGTATCTACTCCAGTACGTTATATCCCGCAGTGTACTCGGAAGGCGTAGGGTTGTAATGCGCCGGCATGCAGGAGGAATATGACCTGTTCGTGATCCCCGGCGGCGCGAAGGGTGCGGAGACGATCGCGAGCCACCCGCGCGTGCAGTATTTGGTGCGGGTGTACTTGCAGGAGAAGAAGTTTGTCGGCATGATCTGCGCAGGTTTGTCACAGGGTTCTGCCTGTAGCAGTGCTTGACAGGATTGTTAGGGAGTATGGCGGCGAAGACGTCTGGTTTGCCGAAGCAACCGCTGACATCTCACCCGAGTGTGAAAAGCGAACTAGAAAATGGTCAAGGTGTCCGCGTGCACCACTACAGTTGGTTACTCACGATCTGTCTATAGATTTTGAATATTCGGAGGAACCCGTCGTCGTCTCGGGAAAGCTTGTGACTAGGTGAGCAAGCATGATTTGGCGCAATGGCTGGGTTACAGCATTGACCATGACGCAGCCGGGGACCAGGTGAATCCTGCTGTATGAGTGCGTAACCAATTTCGAATCTACTGACAAAATCGTCTTGGTAGGCACGGCATTTCCGTTCGCGTTGACCCTCGTAGAGCTCCTTTGCGGCAAGGAGAAGCGAGCAGAGGTGGCGGGCCCCATGGTCTTCCCACCTGGCACCTTTGCTTGATGTGCTCGGCTCTCGCAAGCTGTCGACGAAAGAGATGCGAGCAGATACAACAACAGTGTACAGTTCATGATGTAGCAATATGGTATGTAGCAATGAAACCATCCTCGGCGTATCAGACCCGGGAAACTTGTTACGCTCATCATACATTTGATGGTTTCATCGTCAACGCCCGTTTAGCTCAGTGGTAGAGCGCGCCACTCGTAATTGTTTACGTAATATGGTGAGGTCGGTTGTTCAATCCAGCCAGTGGGCATTTCTTTTGCTTTTCTTCATTTCCACTGTACCGGTAATGCAAACACATTTGCATTTTACTGCCCTACTCCCGCAACACGAAGGGATTCCAGATTTTAGCCTGCTAGAGTCGATCTCATATATATTGAGCACATCCTCAAATATTTCAAGACCAAACGGAGCTCGGGAGCATGCTGTCTGCACCCCTGCAAACGAGCGACTGGTCAGAACTGGTGCTGCAGAATAGGCGCCGGAAATGCACCTTATGATCTTTCCTCCGCCGGCGCACAGAGCACGTAGCTCTTAGTGTGTCTGGGAACGTGGTAAAGCTGCGTGTAGCAACCTCATGCAAGTTTCTACGTGCACAGTAATCCTACAGGTAATAAGAAACCGGCCGTTTGCACCGAATCGCGGGTCAGAGTAGATGCCAGTTACACTCGGCCCCTGCGTGCGCACCAGGCCTTGAAAGTGCCTACCTACAGTATCAATACATCATTGATTATTTCTTTTGCCACCATACATACAGTAGTTGTAAGGTCTTGCAAGCATCGCCGACTCCGTCACTGCGGTAGCACCACGATGTAACCCGGTAATGCATGTACACTCAGGCTGTGAGTAGCTCATCCAGCTGGAGGTGGTTTGTGGCGGCGTCGTGGATCTAACATTATAGAGGTTACGGCCGCCATGACACGCCTCTTCGAAGCAGTTCTGTCAACTGACAGCACTCAACGTTGTAGTTGGTACGAGTGTCTTACCGCTTCTATTTGATCATTGGAGACTACATTGGCAGTGGCTTGATCGCAGCCTCACGTCCCACCTCTTCCTGCTTGCGATAGTGTCTCGGCACTGAGAAGCTCGGTGGTAGGAAAGCTTACAGATCATTATTACGACACGACCGCGAGCTTGCTTTATCCTGGATCAGAGGTAAATTGGGTCCCTACTGCGCAAGCTCCTCGCTGCGAGCTTGAGCTTGAGTGAAACTGGTATCATCGTGATGGTGAACTACTCGCATGGGAAGCTGTACTCCCTCTGCTGGGCTAACCACTACGTAAGCTCCAGTACCTTGTCTCTATCTGACCGCGAGCTGGTACTAGAAGCGTATGAGAACATACGATCCTCCATTCGGGGATATAGGGCGTACCTATGGCCTGATCGTGCCATTATGTGTCACGGTCAGACTGAAATTTCGCTGAACTCCAACGAGTGCTGGCCCTATAAAGCTGCACAGTAAGGCTGCGCCAACACGGAGACACTGACCTCCGCTTTCACTTTCATCACCAGACGCGCAAACAATGGGTTCCTTGGCAAGTCCAAAGCGAGTCGCCGTAGTCACCGGCGCAGCTCAAGGCATCGGACGCTGCATTGCGATGCGTTTGGCGGCAGACGGCTTGGACGTAGCCGTGAACGACCTACCCACCAAGCTCGCTCAGCTGGAAGCAATCGCTACGGAGATCAAGTCGTTGACGGGCTGCCAGGCCATCGTCGTGACTGGAGATGTGTCGCGCGATGAAGACGTTGAAGCAATGGTCGCCTCCGTCGTGGAAGGGCTCGGAGGCTTGGATGTGGCAAGTCGCTGTCCTCCGCTGTTTTGGGAAATTTGTTGTTGATTTCGCTCGCAGATGGTCGCGAACGCTGGTATTACGGAGTTTCGTTCTTTGGTAGATCGTGAGTACTGTCCATCTGGTGGTCATAATCTACTAAAGCCTGTGTCAGTGGACGTGAAGGAGTGGGACCGAAACATGGCGATCAACGCCCGAGGCGTCATGCTCTGCTATAAATACGCTGCGAAGCAGATGATAGAGCAAGGCCGCGGCGGACGGATCATAGGTAGTGTTTGGAGTAAGAACTCTGAGCGTACCTAATGACAAGCATATCCACAACAGCTGCGTGCTCTCAGGCTGGAAAACAAGGTAAACTAACTCCCGTCCAATCGTCATTGACTACCATGCTTACTTGGTCCCTTGTACAAAGGCATCCCGAGCCTATCGGCGTACGCTGCGTCCAAGTTCGCGGTGCGAGGCCTGACACAATGCGCAGGTAACGCAACAGCGTCCTGTTTTCAGTGATCTACCCGAAGCTCCGACTGACTGTATACATCAACGTAGCTTTGGAGTTGGCCGCACATAAAATCACTGTCAACGCCTATGCTCCTGGCGCGATTCGCACGAACATCGGTGAGTATGCCCCAAGGCGGTGGCAGACGTGTGACTCACCATTGTCTACTCCAGTCAACAACGAGGAGGACATGCGTGAGGATGAACGTCTGGGACTGCCTCCGGGCACGACAACGATGAAGGTGTGTAAGCGATATCAGCCAAACTGTTCTCGCACTCAAGAGTATCATCGTAGAGGTTGAATATGCCGATGAACATCCCGATGGCAGACCCCGAAGTCATTGGCAGCTTGGTCTCGTACATCGCCAAACCAGAGTCGCACTTCATCACTGGTGCGTCGTGACCATCTTGAACGACATCCGGTGTGAACATATGATCCGCAGGTCAAACCATCTCAGCGAACGGCGGAACGCACTGTGACTAAGTGCCCCTGCGGGCTGGAAGGATCGCCGGTTGCTGAGCCAGCAATACTTGGGATGTAGAAGACGGGTTAGCTGGTTCGAAGAAACATGCCGCCGTAGATAGTCTCCTATTTCATGGAAATTGTATAACACTGCTAGCGAAACTCAGCAACATACACCCTTCAATCATGCAGCTCACCGATACACGAAGCTCAGCTATGTTGCCCACAACAGTGCTGTGCCTAATGACCCAACTTGTCAAGTCACTGAGATAACATAGCCGAGGGACAGCGTCGCTGGCTGAGCCTTGAGGGTGACATCCAGAGTGAGTGGAATTCTGCTGAGTAGCATGAGATTAGTGTACGACAATATCTGAACGACAGCGGTTATATGATATCCAAAGATTCTAGTGCGAAACGACTGTGGAGCATCTGCCGCACAGTGCCTCGTTTTCCTCACGAGTGTGCAACCAGCAACGAGGGCATTTATGCAGAGTAGCGGGGCGAACCGTGATATCTACTGTTCGATCGCAGCCTGCAACTACGTCAGTTGAAACCTATCATTGTCATCGTTTGACTTACCTGGTAGTTTGAGAGAGCTGGTGTACTTCCATGCTGGTGTTTCCGAGGGCTGGGGGCCAACAGAGACATTAGACACTATGGACAGCGCTTTGATGTCATTCACTAGCCATAGGGTGAGCCATGCAATATCTCTTGGTGACGAGCGTGCTTACCGTGGTTCCGTATAAGTTCAACGACATCATGAGCTTCAGACGAGACATCATCTGGCAACGTTAGGAAGACGTCTGCCTCCGGAGACCGCCGTAAAAGCCTAACAGACATTGTGAACACGAAGGGAGGGAATATGAGGCGAGATGACTGTACTTTTCCTTCCTGGCCTTTTCCAGGGCAGACAAAATCTGGGCACGAAGTCGCAGAAGGTGACCCATCTGCCACTCAACCCCAGGGTCGTCCCAATGCGCACTCTGAAAGATAAGCGTAAGATGAAGGACAGTCTGCCGGATGCTCAGGTCACGTACCAAGGGTGTCCATTTCTTGCTGAAGACAGAGGAGCTCCCGCCGTGTAGAGTCTCGTGAATTTCTTCAGCAAGGTACGGTAAAATAGGCGACACCACGGTGGTCATCGTATCGAGCACCTGTGCCAATACTGCAAGCATCGCACGGCGCTCTGGACTGTCCTTTGCTGCTGCATAGAGGCAGTCCTTGCTCGTGTCCACATAGACTGGCGAAAACATGGTGATGACGAATTGGGAAATAGAGCTGACCACTAAGAGGAAGACTTAATAGTAGAACTTCGAAGATAGCGAACGACGTACCTCTAGCGAAGTCGTAAGTTGCGTAGCTCTTCATAGCAGTGTCCTCTAGTTTGTACAATTCGTGCATAACGTATCGATCGATCTGCAGGTCGTCGTCATAAGCTTACATCAGGATGGCCACACAACCCTGCTCACCAATCCCAGACCGTCGCGTTCCACCTTCTCAGAGTAAGGTTGATCATGCAGTGAACCCAGAACGTAGCGCGCCGCATTCCGTATCTTCAGGTACATGTACTGGCAGTGCTGCAACACGCTGTGACTTATCGGCATGTCTTCCGTAAACTTGACATTGGCGGTCCACAGTCGTAGTACTTCCGGACCGTACTGTACCTGGTCTTTTTTCGACTCGCCTCCATTGATGATAGACATCGGACTGATGACGTTCCCCAACGACTTGCTCATCTTCCTGCCGCGCTCGTCGACAGTCATACCGTGAGTGATGAGGGTGGTGTACGGCGCCTGTCGCTTTCTCTCAGCATCGGGGGCAGTCGCAACAGCGGTGAGCAGCTGGCTCTGGAACCACCCGCGGTGCTGGTCCCTGCCCTCCAAGCAGACATCCGCACCAAATCGCCTGCCAGTGACGGACGTGGTCCCGTCCGCGTACAGGTCCTCCAGCATGGTCCACGAAGAACCGCTATCGAACCAGACGTCCATCGTGTCTGTACCTTTTTGCCAAGTTTCTTCGAGCTGTTGGTCGTCCATGCCGTCGCGGAGCCCTGGCGGGACGAACTCGGCCACAGGGCCTTCCCACCAGTAGCTGGTCCGCTTTTCCTGGAGGATGCGGAGGATATGCGTGAGGCTCTCCGCGTCGAGGACCGCGCGACCTGATGGTATGTGGTGCAACGCGGGGATCGGCACACCCCATGCACGCTGTCGCGAAATGCACCATTCCGAGCGGTTGCGAACGTCTATTGCTAGTCGGCTATGTGCTGCAGCGGGTTAGTAGCGGGACGAGACTAGAGAGCAACACGACATACAGCCTGCCGGATGAGGGGTGATACCCTGAACGGCCAGAAGTGCGTCGTCCTTGATATGATCCGTGTTGGCGAACCACTGCGACGTTGCACTACACGAGATATCGGCCGAGGGTCAGCAAACGCTCTCGCATGCCCATGCATCAACACTGAACACGCACATGACGATGATCGGTTGGTCGGTTCTCCAGTCATACGGGTAACTATGACGAATCCGTTGCAGCTTCCGGAGAGCACCAACTTCCTCAAGCAGCCCGACGATTGCCTTGCCACCGTCTGCCAGAACTTCCTGCCCAGCAAGACCCTTCGCAGCCTTATGCCCCACAACATCCGCGACGCCCTCCGTGAAGCGGCCAGTCACGTCCACGTGGCACAGCAAATCGCCCGACGACGCATCAGACGACGACGACAAAAGTCCGAGCGAGTGGAAGACATTGTAGTCCTCATCGCCGTGTGCCGGAGCGCAGTGCACGAGGCCTGTTCCGGTGTTGGGAGTAACATGCGAAGAAGGTACGACGGGCAACGACTTGACGGACTCAGCGTCGTTGAGGGTCAAGAACAACGGACGGTAGGTAGCACCAACGAGATCCGACCCTATGGAGATCATTAGCGGACGCAAGACTGCTACACCTAATGCCAGCATTCACCTGGGAACTCGGCCACGGGAACGTTGGAGATCGTTGTCCCGAGAATGTCAACCAGTTCAGTCTCGCGCTCAACGGCGAAGATGTCTACAGAAGCAGTCGGGTCGTCACTCTCGGCTACGGCCTCGTACATCATCTCTGGATTGACAGCAATACCCTATGTGCGAAGCTCAGTAGAGTGGTGGGCTATTCGGCTTGCCGGCACTTACCATGTTCGCTGTGAGTGTCCACGGGGTCGTTGTCCATACCAGGAGGCGCACTTTCCGCTGACCATTGACGAGAGCTTTCAGAGCCGTGCTCATATTCGGGCTATCTGGGTCCAGCTCGAATGCAACGTAGACTGTGTGAGAGGTATGTTTTTCGTTGTACGTCAATTCGCCTTCTGCCAGTGCTGTGCGCGAGGACGGTGAATAGTAAACCGGACGAAGCTGCCTGTAAATGAGTCCTAGAACAAGTTCAGCAGCAGGTGCGTATGAACGTGACTTGTAACTTACCTTTCTCCACCATGGTCTTGAAGACCTTCAATTGTCGCATTTCGTAGTCATGATCTGAGTCTACGTGAGATGTCCCGTAATGTCCTACCAATGTAACACCTACCCAGTGTGCGATATGTCGATTCTGGCGACCAATCCGCCATGATGCCAAACAGACGGAACTGATCCCGCTGCCTGGCAATCTCCTCCTTGGCGAATGCCTCTGCTTCCGTCCGTATAGTTTGCGGCGTCAGATCCTCCGCATTTTTCTACGACCGGTCAGCACAAGATGCGGCCAACCTGTGATGCGCTTACTTTCAGCTTCTTCAGCACCTTGTTTTCGATGGGGAGGCCATGACAGTCCCAGCCCGGTATGTAACTACAATGGGTGTATAGTCAGCTAAAGAGGTCCATATTGCCAGAAGATTCTTGTGAATGCAAGGCTGCCAGACTAGGTTAGTCCACATATTACGATGACACCTTGCACTTCGACACGAGTAGGGCATGGACAGAGGGATGAGGCTACTGAAGGCATCGCAGTCCTGTGGGTAGTAATGATGTCTTCGATTCCTTGCAGCCATGGTATAGACCGCCCTTGTTTGCATGCAGCGTCACGGACGACGGTGCAGTTCTGATAAGCCTGTGGTACATCCAGCTGGATGCATGAAGGGAGCCGGACCGACGTATTCAATCGTACGAGGACTTTGGTTTTCACCGAGCACGGGGAGCATTTATGCCGGAGGGCGACATGCTTCGACCGCAAAACAGACAACACTCACTGTACGCGATGGCCCAACAAGACATGATACCGGTTGATGATGTCTTTCAATATCTTGTTGAGTGCATGACCTAACATTCGTGAGGGTGTGCTTCCTGTCATACGCTTGAGTATCGCGTACCTATGTGTAGATCCCCATTGGCGTACGGAGGGCCATCATGCAGCACGAACAGCGGATTATCTGCTTGATTCCACTGAGCTATGTAAGCTGAGCACATCAGTCATTCCAGTCTGGGACACGGACCTGTTCCCTATACAGTTTGTCACACGTCCTCTCCCGCAGCCTCTCGTACGTAGATGGGTCGGGCCGATGAACGAACTTCGTTTGTGGTAGGAACAACGTATCCGCGTATGTATGGGCGTCACTGCTCTTGCCTCCGGACGACCAAGTAGACGTGCTCGAGAAGCATCGCCATGATGTCCGCTTCAGAAAGTGCCTACATGCCACGACGCCGTGGCCGAGCACTAATTTCATGCCCCTCTCGAGAAGAAGTCGCAGCGAACGCCAGCAGCCTTGGTGCAATGTGAGGTCAAGAGACTTCGACGCAAAACGGGCCAGCGTTAAACGTTAAGCGCTAAGCGCCCCGACGCGTCGTCGGGATCACGTGGCCAGCGCGTTCGTGAATGCGCGCTATTTATGAGTGTTTGGGCTGTGGCTCGAACTGAACAAAACAGCTGGTGTCGGCGCGTGCTACCTACCTCCTCGTACCGAAACCTACTCTTTCCACTTTAATCTATCCAGCCTGGTGCAGACCACATTCGCATGGCGTCCAACATACCAGTGAGTCTGAACAGCTCAGCGATAGCATCTGGCATACTGAAATCGTCCAGACCCGGCGTGTAACGCGGGCGACTCGTCTGACCGTCCACAAGGACGAGAACGCAGTCAACCGGCCCACACGCACTACTACTACTACCCGAGCGAAACCCCCATCGGCCACTGCGAATGCCCCGGAGAATGCAAAGCCAGTTGTCCTCACGCGGGTCACCGCGTCGACTGCCGCAACCCGCGCGAAAACAGCTGCACCCGCGTCGAAGGTAGACCCTGCAGCCCAGAACAAGCGGAAACGGGAGGCACTCGGTGAGGTCCCCAAACCTTCTGAAAACAAGGCTGCGAAGCCCGTGAACGGAGGCCCCGGTTTGACCGCGCTCAAGGGGAAGGAGAAGGTGAACCATCTGAAGGAGAAGTTCGAGGGAGTCGTCATTAAGAAGAGCACAACCACGACCACCACCGCGCGTGCGCCACTACGCGTCGTCCATGGAAGTGCGTCAACGGGCACGTCGACGGCGGCCACACGGCGGACACGAGCAACTCCAGCTCCACAACCCGCAGAGCAGCCACAGCCTCTACAGGTGTTGGAGGAGGTGAAGGAGGAGGTAGAGGAAGTGGAGGAGGTGCTTGAGGATGATGCGATGGCCGTTGACCCCATCCCTGAACCAAAACGATTCGTGGCCGCTCGCGCCTCTGCGGCAGCCGCACCATCTGTCATTCCTTCGCGGACGCCACGACGCTCATCCGGTCGGCCTGTCGTAAGACAAGAGCAGCTCGAAGAGGATGAGGAGGCGGAGCGCGCGTTCAAGAAGCGGAGAACATCGTCCGACCTACCAGAGGAAGCAGCTGTCGCGGAAGTAGAAGGTGTCGTCATCTACGACGACGTACCGGAGGCAGATCCGAATGGTGACCAGTGGGTTGACCTCGATGCCGAGGACACGGACGACCCACTGATGGTGAGCGAGTACGTCGTCGAAATCTTCGACTACCTGAAGAACGTCGAGCAAGTCACGATGCCGAACCCTCGGTACATGGAGAACCAGAAGGACTTGGCGTGGAAGATGCGGGGCATCCTGACGGACTGGCTCATCCAGGTTCACTCGCGCTTCAAGCTGCTGCCCGAGACGCTGTTCCTGTGCGTGAACATCATCGACCGATTCCTATCCGCACGCGTCGTGTCACTGGCGAAGCTGCAGCTTGTCGGGATCACGTGCATGTTCATCGCGGCGAAGGTGGAGGAGATTGTGGCGCCGAGCGCGACGAACTTCCTGTACTGCGCGCACTCGAGCTACAACGAGTCCGAGATCCTCCAGGCTGAGCGGTACGTGCTGAAGACGATTGACTGGAACCTGAGCTACCCGAATCCGATTCACTTCCTGCGGCGGGTGAGCAAGGCGGACGAGTACAACATCCAGGTACGCACAATCGCGAAGTACCTGCTCGAGATACAATGTCTCGAGTGGCGGTTGATCGCTGCCCCGCCGTCGCTGCTCGCTGCTGCGTCGATATGGCTAGCACGCATCATACTGGGCTTCTCGGACTGGGTACGTGTCGCTCAATAGTTGTTGAAGTGTGGCTGACGCTTGTCCTCAGACGCCGAACCTGGCGCACTACTCGTCATACCCTGAGAGCGCTCTCGTCCCGACGGCGAATCTGATGTTGAACTACGTGCTGAAGCCTGTGAGGCACGAGTCCTTCTTCAAGAAGTACGCGTCAAAGAAGTTCTTGAAGGTATGTCGCTTCCGCGCCTGTCCGGTGGGCACTGAGTGACGAGGTGTTGCACAGGCTAGCGTGTTCGTGCGCAACTGGGCTACGGAACGGTGGCCCGAGAACGGCGCGGTGTCTCTGCCGGATGAGCTGCCGGAGCTGAAGGCGGCGATCCGACATGCGCAAATGGCAGAAGAGGCACAGGCGGCCGAAGACGCGGTAGCGCAGGCACAAGCGGAGGCGATCGCTGCGGAAGAGGCGTTGGCGAAGGCACGGGCGCAAGCCAACGGTGGTGCATATTGGTCGAAGCCGTTGAACTTCGGCGCACGCCGCTAAGTGCGCACATTGACTCATACTCCCGACAACCTGGATACCTCCCTCCTACAGACCCCCTACAACCTAGCGCATCCCCACCTCTGCCGCCGCATCCGTCCTGGACCTCTGCATCGCACCGCACGTTTTGCATACCTCAATTTTTATTCTGTTCTCTGGTCTCTCCGCTTCTGTATTCTCACCGCGCTGGTGTGTTCTGCGCTCTCGCCCCCTCCGATGATCTGCCCCATCATCCCTAGTCCCAGTCCGTTCCACATCTCCCCGGCCTGCACACCTCGCAACGCAATGTTCATAACTCTCCTGTTTGCTTTGTACTACAATCCCATCTTACGGTGAATGACTTAGATGCATAGGATCGGACTCACTCCAGGACGGATACCGGACGTCGCATTCACCTGTAGCATCGAACCTATGGTACATGCATCATTATATGTCGCTCCCGGTATGAATACAAAATGTATCCCCAATATGTTCGCGTGCACAGTCTTGCACAGTGCGCCTCTGAGTCGCTCAGAGTCAGATTCTTGAGATCTAGCCGCGTAGGTCGAATTCACCCTGAACGATCGAGGATCGAGGCTCGAGGCGCGAGCGCCTTGCTCGCTAACGGGCTACCTTCGCCTCTACGACGACGTCGGCCGCTGCAGTCGTGTAAGTAGGTCGAGCTTTGGCTGCATGTTCGTCTCTCGACATGCGACACGACAATTGACACGAATAAGCAGACGGTTGATCCCTGCGCATCTGATAACATCCCAAAAACGCGTCGAGTCACTTCCTAAAGGCGCTGCACATCTTTGCTTTCACCATCGACCTCTCGCGACGGCGACCATGGCTTCAGTCGAAAGCATTACTCAGTCCTTGGCGGGCCTCTCGATCCAGCCGGCGGCGGCAGTCACTCATACTGCGACGGACGCGACGAGTTGGCGGGAGACATTGCAGGCCAGCTCGTCCGCCCCCGCTTCCTTCGAGACTCTGAAGACGATGGTGTACAAGCCCAAGACCGCCAAAGCAGCGACTCCGGTTCCCCTGGTTATCATCGCCCGCGAGAGCACGGATGTCAACTCTGCGGCCGTGGGCAAGAAGCTCAATCTGAAGGAAGTGCGGGTCGCGTCGGAGGACCTGCTGAACGAGTTCTTCGCGCTCGACAAAAACTCCCGTACGTGCTGCAGCACTCTTACTGACCGCTTGATTGACCATTGATGAGCAGTTTCTCCGCTCATGCTGACCGCGGAGACGTACCCGAAGGTCGCGACCGTCCTCGACGCCTCGATCGCCTCGTCCTCATCCCTCTTCGCCGTTCGCGCACGCTCCTCTACCACTACCCTCTTCTTGTCCGGTAAGGACATCCTCACATACCTCCGCACACTAGAGACGCAAGACGCCCCCTTGCAAGAAATCGATCTCGAGGCGCTGAAGGTTGACGCAGCCCCTGCGGGCCAGGTGAAGGCCACCCCCGTGAAGAAGGAGAAGGACGATGCGAAGATTGAGGGCGCCGTGCAGATCGCCATTGGTATCAAGAAGGAGGTCGACTTCGCGGCCTGGTACACAAATGTGCTCATCAAGGCCGACATGATGGACTACTATAACGTGAGCGGGTGCTACATCCTGCGCCCGTGGTCGTACAGTATCTGGGAGGTCATCCAAGGTGTGTTATCATGATTGGCACATATATTGTGGCTAACGTACCGAATAGATTGGTTCAATGTACGGATACGCGAAATGGGCGTGCAGAATGCGTATTTCCCGATGTTCGTGTCCGCGAAGGTGCTTGAGCGGGAGAAGGACCATATCGAGGGCTTCTCTCCCGAAGTCGCGTGGGTCACCCGAGCGTGAGTGGCACACTTAATGGTTGTGGATCTATCTGACCTGTGTGCAGGGGACAGTCCGAACTCGAGGAGCCCATTGCCGTCCGCCCGACGTCAGAGACAGTCATGTATCCTTGTAAGTGCATCGTGATATCGGGTTTGCATGAAGGGACATCAAGACCTCTCGCACAGACTACGCGAAATGGATCAAGAGCCACCGTGATCTGCCGCTGAAGCTCAACCAGTGGAACAACGTTGTCCGATGGGAATTCAAGAACCCTCGTAAGTGCGTATGTTACCTCTGTCGACGCGTCTGACCCATTCACAGAGCCGTTCCTGCGCACACGGGAGTTTCTCTGGCAAGAGGGCCATACCGCGTTCTTGACCAAGGAGGAGGCCGACAAGGAGGTGCGCGAGATCTTGGATCTCTACCGGCAGGTATACGAAGACCTGCTCGCGGTGCCGGTCATTCGGGGTGTCAAGTCGGAGAAGGAGAAGTTCGCGGGTGGTCTGTACACGACAACTGTGGAGGGCTTCGTTCCGGCGACCGGCCGTGGCATCCAGGCGGGCACGTCGCACTGTCTCGGGCAGAACTTCTCTCGCCCGGAGATGTTCAACATCTTCGTCGAGGATCCGAACGATCCCACAAACCAGACAAAGGCTTACGTCTGGCAGAACTCGTGGGGTCTGTCGACCCGTACTATCGGTGTGATGGTCATGATCCACGGCGACAACCAAGGCTTGGTCCTGCCGCCCCGCGTGGCGTCCATCCAAGTTGTCATCGTCCCGTGTGGTATCACGGCGAAGACGAGTGACGAGCAGAGGAAATCGATCAACTATAGGTGCGAGGAGCTCGCCAGCGTGCTGAAGAGCGTCGGCGTGAAGGCGAAGGCGGACCTCCGTGAAGGTTACACTCCTGGCTTCAAGTTCAACGACTGGGAACAGAAGGTAGGAGTTTGTCGCTTGTCCCATTTTATCCAGGACTCACGGCGCCATCAACGCAGGGTGTGCCTCTCCGTCTCGAGATTGGTCCTGCAGACCTCAAGAAGAGCCAGACCCTCACCGTCCGCCGAGACACTGGAGTAAAAGCGCCGCTCCCTCTCGCAGAAGTCACCTCCGCCGTGCCGAAGCTCCTCGAGACCATCCAGGCCGACATGTTCAAGCGTGCGCAGGACACGTACTTCTCTCGTCTCAAGGAGGTGACGCGCTGGGAGGACGTCGTGCCGACGCTCGACGACAAGTGCGTCGTCGTCATGCCGTGGTGCGAGGAGGAGGCGTGCGAAGACGATATCAAGGAGCGCAGCGCGCGGTCGTGAGTAGCTCACTCTTGTGCAGTCTGACTTTGCTGATACCGTCTTCGTGCGTTAGGGATGAACCGCAGGACGAGCGTGCCCCCTCAGCAGGTGCGAAGTCTCTCTGCATCCCCTTCGATCAATCGCGGTGGCCGCCCATCGAACCGGGCAAAACGAAGTGTGCTGCGTGCGGCAAAGACGCGAAACGGTGGACCATGTTTGGGCGTTCTTATTGAGGGGTCTGCATTTGCGCGTTGCTCGTTGATAATACTTTCGAATGTACTGTATCATAGACCCATTATCGCTCAACTGCTTTGTGGCACCACCAGTTCTTAGGCGTTTGCAGCTCAGCATGCGGCAGGCCAAGGTTGAACGTAGTCTCCGTTGCAGACCATACAAGCTGGCAAGTACGTTTGAACGTCAAAGCTCGCAGCCTCAAATGCGAAAAAGAAATACAAACGTAAAAACCTCCCTGGCGGGGAGTCGAACCCCGCTTTCGCGCGCACAGCACTGGAACCCAACCACATGACAGGCGCGTGTACTAACCGATATACTACCAGGGACTACATGTTTTCCCAAAAGCTAATTTATAGAGCCACAATAGATTGTTACGTTTGCTTCTGGTGCCATCACTTGCCCTCCACCGGCACCATCGACGATAGACTCGGACTTCATGCAGAATTCATCTGACTCCGAGGACGACCCCGACTACATACCGCCAGCGGACGATGGTAGGCAGATTTCCGTCCAAATGTCCTTTTCTGTGACACGCTCCTTCAGACCCGCACTCGTCTGATGACGAGCCGGACGCGAAGCGTGCCCGTGTTAGCAGTCCAACGGAGGAGGATCAATATGAGGACAAGAGGTGAGCTGCATTATCTCCGGTTATCTCGATGTCATAACATTATGGGCAGAAAACGAGATGCGATATGGGCAGAGTTTCAGGCCTCTTTGACGACGCCACAGCCCAAGACATCCGACTCCTCGGCACCTTCGCCAATGGTGAAGATCGAGAAGCGGTATCGGTTTGCGGGAGAGGATGTTGTGTGAGTGTTACGACCTTGGTGTCTGCCTCGTTGTCTCGTTTGATGTGTTCGAGTGCTTCACTCTCAGGGAGGTGACGGAGGTACCCGAGGACTCCGACGAGGCGAGGAAGTGGCCGCGATGGCAGCCCCCACCAGAGCAGAGCGGCCTCAGCGGGCCCAGCACTGCAGTCCTCCCCAAAGCAAAAGCAGAAGCATCGCAGGAGACTGCGGCGTCAGGCTCTGCACCACCGACGCCGTCAGCTTCTACCACATCCAAGCCACCAGCAAAACGGCCAGGGCCTCGAAAGCCCAAGACGACACTAGCACCGCTACCTGGTGCGCAGAAGGCAAAGAAGCTCACTACGCTCGACAAATCTGCGATGGACTGGCGTACTCATGTGCAGACGGAAGGTCGGTCTGAGCTCAAGGACGAACTTGAGGCTAACCGTCGCGGGGGTGGTTACCTCGAGAAAGTGGAGTTCCTGCAGCGAGTCGAGGAGCGAAAGGCGGACGCGTTGGGTGCCAGCACGTTCAAGCGACGTAGAGGTTGACCTACTATGCATTGGCGGAGCTCCTTCACAGTCATACCTTGGCTACTCACTACGCCTCTGGTTTGGTAGCTTGTTATTCATGATTGTATTCTACTGCGTACTGAGTTACTGGGCTTGTAGTGCTTGCGACATAACGATGATCTACTTCTCTGAGATTCAGTTCGGGCACCTGTGCTCGTCGAGGAGCAATCATTGCAATGGTAATGAATTTGGACAGTATCAGAGTACGTCTCCATGTTAGTACACAGCGAAGAAGCCGTGAAGGATGCGAGGTATCAATAAAGTCCGGATGGGTAAAAGTTCGTACAACGATACATGGCTAGCTGGAAGCCAGAGAGCAAAGCGAAACGTACAGATACAGTGTTACATGAGCACGAGTTACTGAGTTCTTTGTCGTATTTGATCAATCAGAACCTTTGCAGGTGCGCTTGTGGTCGGACCAGTGCAGCTTCTGGCATCCGGAATCGCAGTACCTGCAGCGCAGTTGGGAAAGGCCACAGGCGCAGTCAGTTATATCGACGCACCTCATCTTCCCGCAACCTCCGCACTTCTTGAGAATGGCGCTGGGGTTGCCACAGTACGAGCACCGGTAGAGCTCCACCGCAGTGGGCATGATCTTGGGGTGTGCGCGATGCCCACCTTCTTCAGGGGCGTCCTCGACGTTCATGTTCTCGAGCCACGTCGCGAGGTCGTCTTCTGCCTTGGCGGGCGTAGGCAGGCGGTGCGCTGACTCTGATGTCAGGTCCATCTTGTCGACGCGCGCGATCACTTCGCCCCAGGACTTGACCGCCATGGGCCACTGCTTCACGATGAGCTCCCGCGTGAGACGGATCTGCGTGTTCTTCGGCGGCAGCCCGATGAAGGTCTGCATCTTGTCCGCGAGCGCGATCTTCTTGAACGCATCCTGCACGCGCCCACAATCAGTCCGCGCCTTGCAGCACTGCGGAGACTGCACTCACATTGAGCTCCCGCAGATCAGGGCTGAGCTCGGGACCGCGCGTGGCGATCGAGCAGATGACGTACCAGTTCAGTATCGCGCTCATGTTCCGTGTGTCTGGCGGCGCCTCAGCTATGAACCTCTTCGCATCCTCACACGAAGACATCAGGAAGGCCATGCCCTCGTTGTAGTCCCTGTCGCCCGCGGTCGCCTCCTGCAATCGGCTCACCCCCAGATTCCCGGCATGCTCGACCGCGCGCCATAACATGTAGTTCCGCACGAAGGGCGTGATCTGCTTCGCCTTCAGACCCTTCTTCACTGCCCGCAGCCCGTTCTCGCTGTCCGACCCTAAGCCGATAGCGTAGTATGCGTAGGCCAGCTGCGGGTTTCGTTCCAGCGCCTTGTTCGCCACCTTGATCGCGTCTGGGATGCGTTGCTTGATGATGTACCACTTGATCTCCAGGACGTCCGCGTCGTCCAGGTCGCTCTTGTCGCCCTTCGCCCGGACAGCCCGTGCGCAATGCGACAAGGAATCCGCCCACATCTTGAAGGGCAGGCCGACGTCGACCACCTCGAGCTGGCCCGTGCGTTCGTTGACAGCCTGGTACATCCCGTTGACGATGGCGAACTCCGTGCGCACGATGAGCTCCGCTGTCTTCTTTCCGAGCTTGTACAGGTCCTTGTCGTGTAAGCACGCCTGCATCGCCTTTTGGAATTCGTTGCTCGAGCGCAGAGTGAGGGTGGTATCGCAGCGCTCGAAGCCATATTCCACCATCACGTCGACGAGCTCTTGTGGGAATCGCCGCTGGACCGCCTCCATCAACAGGCGCGGGTCATAGTAACGCATGTCTGGCTCGGATTCGGCCAAGTTGAGGCGGAGGATGCCCGCGAGGACGTTGCACCGTGTAGTGATCTCTTCACTGCGCATACAGGCCACGAGGAACGACGACACTGGCGGCAACGCCTTGCACTCCTTGTAGCAGTGCAGCGTCGAGCCCGTCAGCAGGCCCAGCCCGTGGCTCATGAGGAATGCAGAAGCGTTCGGCTTGCGGAAGTTATCGATGGTCATCTTGAGGACCGTGCGCATGTCGAGTGTCTCGAGGAGCTTGGGATCGGGTACCTCGTCCGATATATCGACGACAGCGCCGATGGCATGGCACATTACCACAATCGCCAGTTCTGCAATCTTGTCGTCGTCAGGGAATTCTTCCATGAGGCGCAAAAGCACCGGAGTTTGTTTGGCTATCTCCTGCCTGGCTGCTACCCCGCCATGGTGGGTGACGGTGGAGAGTGCCTGCAGACCAATATGCCTGGTGGACGGTATATCAAGTAGGGGCATCATTTTTGAAACGAGTCCTGGTAGCGCAGTTTAGCATAGTTGCATCTCTCTGTTGGAACTGCCAGAAGCGTCGAGCAGGTAACAGAAAACCGAAGGGGAGGGTGCAGGACAGCTTTTTACATACCAGCTTTGAACAACTTGTCCCGGAGGAGTGCATCTGCGGACATTTTCGCCCAGATACCCACAATGCCTCCCATAATCTTTTCATTGTCATTGCCCTTCGTATATGCGGCATCGAGCTTCTTGGATATCTCATTGAAGCGCGCATGCGCCTTTTTCAGCCCACTGCGCGTAGTTAAATCTGGCAATGGTACAACAGACATCAACGACTTTGCACGAGGTCTTCACAGACTGCACTGGTGAAACGCACCTGGGAGGTCGAAGAAGTCGCAGAGGAACTCTACTATCGCGTTCCAGCCCTCTGCATTCTCGATGTCGTGCGCGAAGGTGGCTGGGATTTTGTACTGCGTATTCGTACTGCGACGTTGCTTCGTGTGTTTTGGCGGCATGTCGGACGAGGCAACCGACGTATAAAAACAGGCTAGGGGGTCAAAGGAACGGTACTTCGCGATAAAAGAGAGCTTGGAGCTCGAGGTGGGTAACTTGGTAGATCTACATCGCACGCGTGCATACGCGCATCACGTGGCCCGTGGTGTTACGGACTGACGCGTCTCGTCTCGTCTCGAGCTCGACAATTTACCGTGAAACAGTCGGGAGCCGTCGACTCCCAACTTAGTTGAGCCATTATAAATGCACCGAAATCACCGATGCACGTCCTTCACTGAATTCTTCATGCGCTTATATGAGATCTTGCCGGATGGATGTCAATGAATCCGAAACTACAAGTACGGTACGTATGACTTGATACTTGGGGCACTGCTCGAGCACTTGAGACGTGGAATTTGCTCCCTCGCTTCAGACATTGTCACATACAGCGCTGTCTCGCGACCCAAAGCCGCCAGCTCAGGTTTTGATATGCTCCGGGAACCACTGAAAAAACATCAGTCAACAGCAACGCGTCGCAGCATGCTCATAAGTGACATCACCTTGCTCAGAAAAAGAGCAGACTCTTTCGGGTACCTCTTCTGGGTGGCATAGTCAACGTACGTCACACCAAACCGGGCCTCGTATCCGTCCGCCCTGCGGTGAGTATTCATCAGATGATTCAAGCACTGAACGGCCGCTTTATGAACCCACCATTCAAAATTGTCAAGTAGACCTGTAGGCGCGTGAGGATGATGAAAAGCAGCCTTGTTAAATGGAAGATACTCACTCCAGCCAAAGTATCCATGAACAGGAACATCATCCTCCGTCACTGCCTGAAGCATCGCATTCGCGTACCCTTCGAAATACTCGATGCGGTCTTGATCGCGAAGCGCTTCTGCGAGGGACATCTGGTGTTCGTTCTTGACAGCAAAACCGTTCTCCGTCACGCTGGAATCATGAGTCATGTCATCGCCGTAACTTGAGATGGTGTACTGGCACACTCACTAGATGGGTTTTTGGTATGTCTGAGCGTGAGCGAGTGGTCGAAGTCTTCGAGGTGAGTACACTCCTGAATCAATGGCACGATAGGCACGATACCTTCCAGAGGTAATTGAGTAGCTATCAAGGTGAATGGATCAACCATTAAACACGTCACATATGATTGAGGGACACACAGATCGGAACCCGGGAGGATCTGGATGAACGATCGGTTAGCGTTCACAAAGCCGGAAAGACGGGATGTCTTACAGGTCTGTAGCCAAGTGCAATGCGCTACGTGAGATCAAATACGGTATTTAAGAAGACGTGCGATGCTGACCACGCATATGTTCTTCGCACCTATGGTCCCTAGCTGCGTTCCGTCGGGACGTGTGTGGCCAACCGTTGTGTAGCCGTTCGTCTCATCAGTTCCGCCTTCCCCTTTAGCGTTCACTTTGCGTTGAGCATAATTTCCACATACATGAGCCATGCGACACTCACTGACGAGCTGCGAGGTGTATGTGTTGAGCCCGAAGAAGTCCGAGGAACCTTTGACGACGGCAATCTCTTCCTCTGTGAACACTGGAAGGCGATCACCAATGATCTGCTTCACTCGCTCGGGGTAATAGCCTTTATAGATGGGGTCCTAGCGGCGCATACAGTATATGCGTCACAAGGTCGACCAGGTTTCGAGACCGACTGATGCTTACCGCAAACCTGCCTGTATGTGTACGAGTTGACACGAGACTAGCGAACATGCGATGGAATTTTACCCAGTTTGAAGTCAATTCCTCTCTTGGCCGCTTCAATGTCTGTATCCGCAATCAACGAGATGGGCATGCGGGAAGTATGAGATGCGCGTACTCTCCGGGGAATCGTCGTAGGGCATCTGCCAGTGACAATCTAGAGTAATGCCGATCTGCCCACCCTGGATAGGCTTGAACTGTTCACGATATAGCTTCACAGCATATGCGTGGGCTAAGATCGCATTGTGAGCGACACTGCGAAGTGCTGTTCGGTGTCTGACGGGCATTCATAGGGCTGGTATAAATGCTCACATCCACGGCTCAGTGTTGCTCTTGTGACCAGGGGCGAATATGCCTTTCTGATAACCGAGGCAAGAGATGACCCAAGGCTCGTTGTGCGTGATCCTGCACCACGCATGTGGGACGGGGTTGAATGCCCAAGTATCGGACCCACGCACCAGTTCTTTACAAGATCGCCGAAAGAGTCGAAACAAAGCTGGTAGACCGACCGCTCAGATAGCAGACAACTCCAAGTAACCGGTATGCGCACCTTGGCGTAGTTGACATAGTCCTTGACGATCTCCTCCTTATTGAGCCAGCCACCATAGCGGTCGTGCAGTCCCTGCGGTAGATCCCAATGGTACAAAGTCTGCCACCAGCAATGAGCACGTTCCAGATACCGCCACTTCAACGTACTGACGACGTAAGGCGTGATACCATTCGTCAACAGCTCCTTGATGAGCGACCTATAGAACGCGATACCCTCCGGGTTGACCGGGTCGTCTCTTCCACCCAGCGGGATGAGCCTCGACCAAGAGATCGAGAACCTGTAGGCATTGACGTTGTACGACTTCAGTAGAGCGACGTCTTCCTTCCAAAGTCGGTAAGAGTCGGTAGCGACTTCGCCGCTGGAACCGTCTCGAATCTTGCCCGGGAGCTGGCAGAACGTATCCCATATGGACGGGCCACGCCCACCCGTCGAGGCCGAGCCTTCGATCTGGTAGCTGGCTGAAGGCAATGCATCAACGAAAACCTGCGACTGTGCTTGGATTGTTCTGAATGGAGTACGCACCGGTTGCAAACCCCCATGCAAAGTCCTGCGGAAACTGTGCCATGATGTTTATCACGCCGGGGTGTGTGAGGGAGACGGGGAGGGTAGTATGCACGTTCCCGATAGGCCGTATAAACCGCAGCAGCTGCACGTCGACGTCAGGTATAGTCGCGAGACAGGAGTAGACACGGGATGCGGTCATACAAGCACTGAGCCCGAGCTTTTCCCGAGAGCGCGGAGGCAGACGAGCCACGCGATCACGTAGTGAGAGATTCGAATCACAGAACGTTGAATATCTCGGTGTATTGAGACCCTGACGCCCACGCCCGACAGTCTGAGTGTTGGCTTGTGCTAGCCGGCAACTATCGCTCATCATTGAGAGGATGTGTGCAGCTGCGAATTTGTGTTCTATCGATACATATCGTGCCTACTGCGGGGCCGTGCGTCGCAGGAGTCAGTTTTTTTCTAGAAGGACAATACGGGTAGAGACGTACATTCAGTCTATTGCTACTATGGATTGTGGTACAGTTGCTTCAGTTGGGCTTCACCTGCCATACCTTCACTATTCCATCGTCACCCGCTGTCGAAAACATGTCCTCGTATCCTTCTCTTGGGCACCATACGATGCTATTGACATCCGCGACATCGTGTGCAGAGGGCAGACGTGCAATTGTTTTTTCCGAGAGCGTACTCTTTCCACCACCTTGGGCAGGAGATGCAACCTACAACCAAAATGTTAGGATGTTATATGGGTAAGCAGTTCGCCCACTTACGCTCAACTCCCATACGAGAATAAGCCCATCGCCGCCCGTGCTCGCCAGCCAGCCAAGCGAACCATCGCCAGTGCCTTTGCCCTTTCCCCAGCTGACGGAGTAAACACTGCGCTCATGCCCCTCTAGCACCTTGACGCACTCCCACTTGTGCTCCTGCACACACTCCCAGATGCGCACCGTCAAGTCCTCCGAGCTCGATGCAAGGAACCGGCCGTCGGGTGAGAACGCGAGCGACCACACGGTAGATTCGTGTCCGCTGAGCGTCGCGAAGCAATACCAGTCCTCCGAAGGGTCATCTAGGTAGAGCTTTATGGTGTCGTCGTAAGACGCCGATGCGAGAATCTGCGCTGGTGGGACGCGCTTGGTGAGCGGGAGCACTGGTCGAGAATTTTGTCCGATGACTGACCTCCTCTGTGGGATGCCAGGCGATGCATTTCACGTCTTGGGAATGCTCCATCAGGACGCCCATGCATTCGAAATCATAGTCTGGGTGTACTGCGTACACGAAAATTCGTCAATCGCGATGTGACTATCGCAGATAGATTGCTTACCTTCCCAGACCCATACTGTCTTGTCTCTGCTACAACTCGCCAACAAGTTCCCTCCCGCCGAATATGCGATACTCTTGCATTCTGTCTCATGGCCCTCCAACAGGCTCATGCATTCCCATTCAGCGTCCCCTCCTGTGGTATCACCTGCATTTTCATCTTCGTCCTGTGCCCATATTCCGATGTTCGAGTCGAAGGACGCCGTAGCAAGCGTCTTCCCTGACGGCGACCACGCGATCGCGCGGACTGTCTTCGCGTGACCCGTCGGAATGGTGGTGCTGTGCGCAAACACCAGTTCACTGCCCCCTTCTTCTGTTGTTGATTTCGAGTGGTAGTGATACATCCGTACTGTCTTGTCCGCCGAACATGATGCTAGTATTGGTCGCTTGGGATTCCACGCAACATGCCAAGCGCGATCATCATGACCTGCGACGCGCTCAGTGTGTAGATTCCAAGTTATGTGAATGTTATTCCAAACCTTCCAGCTGATCAACCAGCTGTATAGCAGCAGAATGGGGTTCCCCCATCATGGATAATATTCAGGAGAATATGGTCGACAATGAACAGCGCTGACTCGCACCGGGCAGTCGATCCGTATCACGTGGTTCAGAGCGTCCCGTCAAGATCGCATCTTGCGTTGTGTACAACTGTTAGGCGCCCGCAACATAATGCCCTGTCCAATCCCCGTCCCAGCCTGGCTGGCACGGTGGCCAACTTGTGTAACAGAGGTACGAGAATTTTCACTGTCTGTCTATGCTGTGCATGTGCACACTGCTTCTGCTCACTTCCATTATGACCGCTGTAAGAAGTTGGCTGTGAGGTATGGAATGTAACCGCGTCACGGTCCCGGGCCATCCAAGGGCCGACTCGGACCTCCGAGTTCGAGCATCCACGAAGAGCGCGAGGTACTGATTGGAAGCAAGGCAACCATACGGTTGTGCCTATAACACATTTCACATCTTCTGATTGACATGTACTGGAAGTCGCAAGAATTGAACGTTTGAACGTTGAACTACTGCGACCAATTCGTGTCATCCAGATCCCGCCGGCGGCAGCAACTCTCGCGGATTCGTAATTCTACAATTCAATTGGTCAGTGTTCGTACGATGCCTGTATTACATGTCATGAGGTCGTGTTAATGTCACTCAAAGCCGGTAGATAAGTACGGTGGAAGATAGCTTGCTACAAGGTACCTCTAACAGATAGTTCGGGGCTATAAGTTAGCTATCACAATACAGTAGTAGTGAGAAGTTCGTGAGGCGGTATAATGACACAAAACATACTGCCATGTCCAGTTGGAAGTCCGTTCGTCCTGCCGATCACGGAGGTTCTATGGTTTAGATTCGCTCGTACATGCAGATATACGCCTTTGCCTTGAGAACTTCCTCAATCGTCGTTAGCCTCACCACGGTGTCGCTAATGTAGGCCCACTGGCGCGGCGGAGATTGCTGGTGCTTCGTCCCGTGCCCGTGATCGGAAGTACTTGAGCTGGACACAGATGCCGATGCCAACGTTGATGAGTCTGCGGCAGGCGTGCTCGGGGGACTGGTCGCAGAATGCGACGGCGGCAACGCAGTATAAGCAATGTAGTGACCACCCAGCTAGCATATTTTAGCGACATGCTTCCAAAGAAGACCAACGAACCCTATTGCTCACCATATTGCCAATATGAACGACCACTGCGTACAGGCTGTACATGCACCGACGCTGTTCCTTGTCCGCATGCTTGATCTTGACCTTCCCATCCTCGTCAAGTCCGTAATCTTCTCTGCGCGGTGCAAGGAACGGCCCGATGTCGAGAGATTCTGGGAAGGATACATACTCGTCTAGCTTTTTGACGCCGCTGGCGCCAGAGAACGACATGCTGTACGTCTTGGACGTCTGCTGGAACCGCTTCAAATGGACAACCAGGATAGGCGGTGCGTCTGCGATTAGGTAACGCTTGTACATCCGCCGGAGAACCACTTGCTTCGACTTTGATACCTTTGGCGATGACGGGTCAGCCTGTGCAGGTTCCCGCGACATCTCGGGAGGTCTTGCTGTCGGCAGGTCATCCGTGGAGGCGCGTGGGGAGACGGCAGGCGAAAGCGACACAGACGGCGCGGTAGCAGCGTCTGAGTACGCTGACGTGCTCGCAGAGACATCAGTGTCGGACTCATAGCTACTGGCCGACGAATCGCTTTCAGCATCGAACCCGTCCGGCGTCTTGGAGCGACGTCTGCCCCTCGGCGTCAGTAGGTCATCGTCTGATGGAGAGACCTCAACAAGTTTCGCTGGAGGTCTGCGAGGTGTGCCACCACCATCTGGCGCTGCATCGTCCGCTGAGGGGACGGAGCGCGAGGGGGACGACTCGGGTGCAGTCGTCGAGATCGACGGGATGGGCAAACCGCCGTAGGTGATGGGTTTCGTACGCCCGACAAGGCCTATCGCATGTAGCCTCTCCAGCCTCTCCTCATCGCCTGTGGCGAGGGACAGACTTGTCGAGACGGTCGTTGGCGCAGATACAACCGACGTGTTGTCAGACGGCGCATCCGACAGCGAGCTGGCACTCTGCGTATTGGGGAGCGCGGACGTCGACGCAGACGACACGCGACCATCGCCTGACAAATCTGGCGAAGAGAAAAACGTGTCAGCAGAAGCAGACGCGGCACCTTTCTGCGCTGCCACAGAGTCCAAGTCGCCGTGCTTGTCAGAGGAACCACTGTTCCCGCTGTCCTCATCCTCGCCTTCGTTGTCGCTTGCAGCTTCGTCCTCGTCCTCGTCTTCGCCCCTGTCCTTTGCATCGTCTTTCCTAGGCTTGTAGAGGCCGTGTGCAATTTTCCAACAACGATGGCAGCCGACCATGTTCTCACCGTCGAGTATTTCGACAGCCGTGAACATCCGTAGACAGTCCTCAATGCTGGGCAGGTGTCCCAACTTCGTCCACGCGGCCTGTGCGGTAGCAGTAGTGGTCTGACCAGTCGCAATGGCTTGCTGAAGTGCCGTGAAAGGATTATTAGATGCAACGTGCACATCCGACAAAAGCTGCCGCAGATACGCCTGTTCTTCCCGTGACGGTTTAGGAGGACGTAGACTCTTCTTGCGTTTGCCCTTGAGCCCCGTGAGACGCCGAATATTGTGCGAACGGGGGTTCGGGGAGGCGGCCGTGATCGGCGGATTGGACAGAGGCGATGGCGTAGGGGATGCGGAGCCGAGCCGCATTTGAGCAGCATCAGACTGGTCACCGGCATCTGACCCACTGTCGTACGCACTGCCCACACTAGCAGCGGACGTGCGAATGGCTTCCGCCTCGGCGACACGCGCCGGTGTCCTATCGGCCTCCCTGTCCTTCTCCTTCTCCTTTTCTTTGTCTTTGTGCCGGACCTTCCGGCCACGCTCGACAGATCGACTGGGACTACCCGGGTCCAGCGCCTTCATACTCATCCTCACCGACACGCTCAGCCGCCTGCCGAGTCGGCCCCAGTGATCCCCCTTGTCCTTCTTGCCCTCCTCGCCCTTCAAGTCGGACTCCTGATCGTCCTTCTCGTCGCTGGCCTCCGCGCCCGTTTCCGCCTCGTCTACGGCGGCTGACGGCGGCGACCCGCCCACCTGCACCAGCTCCTTCACCTCGTCCCGCGCCTCCTCCCGCTCCTCCTGCTCCACTTCTTCGCCCGTCGTGTGGTCAAAGCTCTTCCGTCTAGGGCCCTCGTTCGTCGGCGGCTCCTCTTCGTGTGTAGGCGTCTCTATGCTGCGCCGCAGTCGATCGGTCGGTGGCACCGAGGACGAGCGCGCGCCCGGCTGCCGGAACGGTCCCCTGAGCTTCCGCGCGAACTGCTTGAAGCGGTCGCGCTTCCGGTCCTTGGTGTAGTCCTCTGGCTTGATGCTCAGGCTGAGGTCGTTGAACTCCTCGTACGTCAGCGAGACCTTCTTGCACTTCTCGCATACGAGGATGCTCGCGAGATGTCCGCCGAACAGCATGTCAACAAAGGACTGCAGTTTCTCCTCTTCGACAGAGCCGGGGTCCGGCGGCGGCGCTGGCGGTAATGTACGTTTGCGGCGGGCACGCTTGCGGGAACCCTTTGGTGGAGGCTGTCTCTGCTTAATGATCTGCGGACCATTATACCTAAAGCGCGTAGAAATATGATTACTGTACTCACGTCCAGCTCCTCCATGCGCATCGCATCGAGCATATGCCTGAGAAATTCATGCGCGTCCTGCTGCCGGAAGTCCAAATATTGATCGTACTTCTTCCCGATGGTGAAGAGCACTTCCCTAGACATATAACCGTCAGTCTCCATTGAAGATCAAGTCGGTGTACGCACTTCGGACTCATGTTTTGTCGTGTACGACCCTCTTGTATATCCCAAGCTTTCCTCATGACATCGGAGAATACATCCCCCAGCGGCATACCCTCCACCCACGGGTGCTCGTACTCGCCCCCCAGCCCATGGCCATTCGTCAGTTGTGGCGATCGCTTCGCAACAATAGACGACCCAAATGTGCTTTGCAAGGTCGGCGTGAGCGGCTGGAACTTCACGAGATTGTGCAGCGGTTCCGTCGCTAGTAACTGTCACCGGAAACGTCTTAGCGGTCAATGCACCGTACAAGAGACAGCGACGGCAGTGACGACAAACGACGATGATGCTCACCCCTTGCAAAGTCGAGTTCATGAAACAGGTATTGCCGTGATTGATAAATCCTGGTGGAAGCCTCGCATCCTTCTCTTGTTCCTCCCGCTGCTTCCGCGCGCGGTAGAGATCTTGGGCGGTTGGTTGATGCTTCTTCTTCATCATGGTGAATGTAGACAACGAGGAGTTAGAGTTCTCAAAGCCTTTGACTGGGGACTGCCAGGATCCAGGAGCTGGAGGGCGTCGTCGAGATGATATAGGGGAAAGGTTGCTGGCTAAGCCTACAAGCTGAACCGCGGACGCCGCCTGTCCAGAAGCAGCTGCTCGGAGTGACCCTTAATCGAGTGCGGGTCCCTAGTGGCACTTGCGGCAGCTCAACTAATTCGCGCTTTTATGGACCCCCGCTGCTGCGATGCTGGCGGCGGTGAGGAAGCAAAGGGAGGCGATGTATGCAACTGCGCTCGCAGGTCGCTGAGGATACTCGGGGAATGCACGGTCATGCATTGGGGAACGGGCGCCAAACGGGCGCTGTGTCGAGTTGTACACGTGGTATTCAAACAGGTACTGAGCCGGTAACAACGGCGAGTAAGAAACGTAAGTAAGATACTTACTCCAGCTAGTGTATCATAGTACGTACTGTATACAAGTCTATCTGATGGAAGTGATCCGAAGAAATGCAGAACTGAAAATCTTATCTAATCTCTCCGTGTCCCAAGCACAGGTCTGTTCCTCGAGTCATGATCAGTGACTACGAGCAGAGCTTTAGCAGCGAGCTAGCAACCGCTGTTCGCTCTCATCCACCATATTCCACGGACAAGCAAGGCGGATAGACCGACAAGGCCTCCACGATGACTATCCTCGGTCTGGCACCATCGCTCTATCCCAAGGCGCCCGCGCACTTCGACATCGAGCAGGTCATCCGACCAAATATCCTTTCGCTGCAACCATATCGTTGCGCACGAGATGACTACTCGGAGGGCATCCTCCTGGACGCCAACGAGAATGCTCTGGGGCACTCGATTCTGCAGGCCAACGGCGATGCACACCCAGACGTCCCCGACCTTGAGCCCGAGTTGCAGCCGACGCTCTCGCTCGACCTGCACCGCTACCCGTCACCGCGGAATGACCCCATCAGGGAACGTCTCGCGTCCATGCGAGGGTTACCAGGGCCAGAGTACGTCTTCCTTGGCGTAGGCTCGGACGAGGTCATCGATCTGCTCATGCGGGTATGCGTCGCGCCCGGACGAGAAAAGATACTCACTACACCGCCGACCTACGGCATGTACGCCGTCTGCGCGCAAGTGAATGATGTCGGGGTCGTCAAGGTTCCCCTAGAGCTGAGTGGCGAATTTGGCGAGGGCGCGGAGCGCGGGCGGTTTTCGCTCAAAGTCGATGAGGTGTGAGACGCCTCGAGGCGATGCCGCCTGTCTGTGAATTGTGAACTGATAGCCCACGCAGATCAAGAAAGCGGTCGATGCGGATCCGTCCATCAAGCTCATCATGTTGTGCTCGCCTGGCAACCCGACCGGCACGCTAATATCCCTCACGGCCCTGCGGGAATTGCTAGACTACGAAAAGTTCAAGGGCGTCGTCGTCGTAGACGAAGCCTACATTGACTTCGCCGGCGAAGGCAGCGCGGTCCCTCTGCTGCACGAGTACGCGAATCTCTGTGTCATGCAAACGCTCAGCAAGAGCTTTGGGCTCGCCGCTATTCGGTTCGTTGACATCTGTCTGTACCTCGAGCCGCACTGACGCTCTCGCAGATTGGGCATGGCCTTTGCCCATCCTTCGCTTGTGCAAATTCTCATGAACACGAAGGCGCCATACAACATCTCCGCACCCACTGCGGCCCTAGCGCTTTCTGCCCTGTCGCCTTCTGCCGTGTCGGCGATGAGCGCGAAGGTCGCGACCCTTGTGGAACAGCGCGCTGTCCTCCTCAAGGGACTTGCCGAACTTGCGCCCCTGGGCTTGGGCGCCGCGATTGGCGGAAATCATGCGAACTTCGTCATGGTTCCTGTGCTGGAGAAAAGCGGCTCGGGCCAGCCTGACAGCACGCGGGCACAGCGAATATACAAGACGCTGGCGGAGTCTGAGGGCGTCGTCGTCCGATACCGGGGTGGCGAGCCTGGGTGTGCAGGCTGCCTCCGCATTACTGTGGGCAGCAAGGAGGAAAACGCGGTAGTACTACGCAAGCTCCGGGAGATGCTAGAGAAGCTGTAAAGAATGTGTGGTCCTGTACATGAGTTCGCCTGATCGGCCTAGACTTATTCTAAGTTATTGACATGCATTCAATGATAGTGTCAACAAACTGCTCGAGCACATGCTCGCGGTGACCACCGTACAGGCCATGCATCAGTATGGGCGCCAGGCGCTCAACGGAGCTGGATAGATTTGCCGGTTCATCGGAGAGAACCAAGACTGAACCAAGGACAGAATTGTAACCGAAAGCTTATTCGGCGCAAAGCACACGTATATTGAGTGTCTCCGTGTAGCCAAGAAAAAAGCACATGGATTTGCATGTCGATTGTGAGGCCAACTTGAAGCTTAGTTTCGTGGACCATGTGGCTTCCTGGTGAGGTCATTATTTCTTCCGAGCCTCAGTGCGTTTCACTTTATGCCGCGAGAAGATCCTAGAGGGGAAACATGTTGTACGCCATGTCAGGAACAGCGGGAGGTGAAGCAGCGTACATTCAAGGTGTATTTCTTCAACCAGTAAATCAGGGGTGAGTACTAGTAGTGTTTGAACTCATCCTCATGACTCGATGAAATATGCACGATCATGATCGGTGATCGAGATATCGTTTTGAGGGTGCTTGTAGAATCCTCGTGGGTCCAGCCGGAGGCACACATACATTGTTGCACGCGATTCAGTACGTATCTACTATTTGACATTGACGTGGGACGCAATAGAGGTTCAGCCGGCTACAGTCCGATCTCCGCAACGCCAGACTCGGATCGACATTGAGTAAGGCTGATAAAGCAAAAGATGCGCACGACTCGGACACTCGTCACGGTAGGTTGACAAAAAACAGCTAAAGGCTATGGCTACATGCACTGAAGCAACGGGAATGAGATCTAAGAAGACGCGTGCTAGACTGTCTAGCGTGGGTACAGGGATACGCAAGAAGCAAGATAAATGGAGGAAGGGGACAGAACCCCATTTACAAGGAGAAAACGGGGATTTGGTGAGTGTTGGACATCCGCGGCACTTCAGTACGCAATGATGAAATTAGAAAGCCCTACAGTCCAAGTTCGCAGTGCTCGCGTTGATGGCGAAGCAAAGCATCGTTCCTAGCAAACATCCCTCCGCAACGAGAGCATTGCTTTCTCGTGGTTCCCAGGTGAACCTGCGCCACATGCTTCCCCATGCTCTCGAAGTTCATCTCGTCTCTACGGCAGCCAGTGCCCCAGCGGCAAAGTCCGCGGGCCCTCGGCTGCCAATCATCGCCGAAATGGTGGCTTTTCAGATGCCGCGAAATACCCGCTGGCGAAAGATCGTCTAATGCGACGCCGCAAGAACCGCCGTCCCAGTTGCACTGCGTGAGAATCGCCGGGTGTAGGAGAGTTGATGTGTGGTGGGATACTGGGGACTTGAAGGGTTGCCGTGGACGTGATTCGTCGTGCTCTGCGAAGGTTGACCATGTTGGTGTCCGTGATAAGAGCGACTATTTCACATTTCTCTATCAGCTTCCGACACGTGCAGATCGTATCCATGGACGTACCTCTGGTCAATTGATACCGGAACATAAGATTCTGGGTGGTACCAACCCGTGCCATACATCCCATGCGGGGATGTCGGAGAATGCCTGGCGCGCCCGTCCATGAAGATCTACTCCGACCAAAAGTAGTATGGCGACTCACTGTGGGATCATCGCGTCGTAGGAGATAGGCCCAAATTCATACGCTTGGAAAAAGGGTCCGTTGTCACCAGTAGCTGAAACGTTTGGTTGATGCGGAGCATTACTGGGAACAGATGTGAGCCCAGTGGTCATGATTATCAGGCGATGAAAACCTACGAATAGCCATTCGCCGTGGATTGTGGAGTCAAGTATTGTGGTGCAATAGGCTGCGCCCTTGGCACGTATCCAGGCCCGCTGCCATAGGGGTTGGGATTGACCGGAGGTATGTTCCCATCGTCGTAGGCGTTGGGATCGACCGGAGGGATGTTTCCGTTGTTATACGGATGCATGTTGAGTTCGATGGAACTTGGGATGGAATGAGCTCTCTCCCACAGCAGTTTTATACACCTCTCACCATCGTGGTCTATCTAAAGCAACTCTTGTTCGCGAACTCGGCCCCAAAGTTGATTGCGATCAGCCGTTTCAATAGGTATTCCGAATTGCGGAACTGACAGCGGAATGTCGGGCCTATAGAGGAGCTAGCACTGCTGAGTCTGGAGCAGTTCTGACGCCAACGAAGTGGGACGGCGCATGGAAGCGCTGTCACCATCGATCTTTGAAGTTTTTACCGCCTCATATTCCGACAGTCTGCAACGCCGGCAGCTCTTTCGTCGCATATTGTCAATTGACCGGCTTCCTGTAGTTCCAACGCGAATGCCGTACGCATATGAGCGCAAACGCAGTCCGTGAAGCTTGTGAACATCATCGATCCGGATCGATTGACAGCAGATCGGAGCCAATTAATGGCAGTTTGCCATTTACGTAGATCCGGGGCCAAGAATGTGACATGGCTGTGTGACTTACGCAAGGGCGGTGTAGATGCATGAGCGCGCCATGACCTCAGTGCGACAGTAGCGGGAGGCATGCATATGCTGTTGGAGTGCTGAACTTGAAGCAGACACCTGCCAAGCACCGTAGCGACTGGGTGAGAACTATGAGGCAATGACCAGACCATGTGAGACTTCGATGGCTTACAGAATAGCGCGCATATTTGTCGTACGTATAGCCCTGTGGCCGTGATTTACGTAGCAGTCCCGTACAATTGAGTTTCAGTGTTGTTCAAGAGGGCCCTCGCTGGTATGATACCTGATGATGTCAATACCGAGAACTCGCGGAGAGCGGCAGATGAGCGGCAAAGTCTCTTTTGGATATTGGGTGTTCAACTCATACCTAGTATTTTCAGGCCACATTGACGTGCCCTTTTTTTCTTCATACCAACTACTGGTATCCGAGAGCAGACCCATTCAATACTCGAAGGCATGCTACTGCAGGTACAATGCTAAGCTCGTGTGTCTCACGTTGAGGCCCAGGCTGCCGTCTCGGCGTGCATTCGTGCAGCGATCGATCTGTGAGGAGAGAGATCGGTAACGTGGACTCTTCATTGCACGAGCATTTGCGATAGAATACTGTGATTGTGTGTAAACGACACTGTCCTCCGATATCATATTATGGACACTCACAATCTTCCCTCGTACAGCGATACTCGCAAGCAGTTCATGTCGCACGGCGAGGCCTGTTTGAGATGTACCGGCGTATTTTCCGCTTCGTTGCAGCGATCATCTCAAGTCGCGCAACAACGTAGGCCGGCGCATGAAGAAGACTCACCCCAGTCCTCCGAAGCTAGGCACAGAACGGCTATGATGTATTGATTAACGGATCATGCCTGAAAAGGCCGGAATGACCGACTGACGTCAGCGGTACCGCGAACACATGATCAGTCGAGCTGATAGATGCTTGAGGGAGGAACCATCGACGGAGGCAATGGTAGTGCGCTACCTTCGACCGGCTACCATTGACGAATGCTGAGCAGCATGCATGTTTTCCGGCCATATCCGCGGAGAATGTAGCAAGGGGGGAGAGGGGCCGTATGTCTGAGACAAAGAAAAACGAGCGAGCCGCTGACAAGCCTGTTCCGCCTTCGCGGAAGGCGAACCGCTGGAGGTCGCGCTGGGCCCCGTGCTCCGTCATGTGACAGAAAGACAATGAGTAGGTTAGGTCGGCAATCCGGAAATATCGGTTCGCTGGCCTCCACAGCACTGGTGTCTGAGCGTAGGTGCACGCAATAGTTGAAATGGTAGCCAGAGTACTCCGGTGGTGGAATACGCTCAACTTACCCGGAGCAATAACATGGACTCACTACTGAATTTGCGGTATTTCGCGAATCCGAGTCCGCGTTTGGAGGTTGGTATCAATGTTCATCTCCGCCCATACTGTCAGCATGCCGGCACCGACTACGGAGGATCAGAGATGTAAAGCACGAGGACATTGGAGCGCAGCGACAGTACGCACTTGCCACCAATTCATGTGCCGTTTACAAGCCCGTCTAACGCAGCTCAGTGCCGCTTCAAGTTGGACATTTCTGTCAAGCATACGTTCGACATCGCCTGGGGGTACAAGACGGATGCGCAGCCTGCAGATTTCGAAGTGCATGCGTGTCAGCGTTACATGGTGACGGCGGGCGAACCTGAACATTCCTGACCACTAATGCCGAGTTACAATTCTTGTACTGGGTCCGCCAGCTCGGGAAATGACACAGCTCGAGGACGTCATAGAGCACTGTCCAGATGATCGGAGCGCCATTCGTGTCGGTGGGGAATCACTGCGTAGCACCGTGCCTGTACAGTGCACTGCCATGCCGGCAAGTACCTGCCAGCGCCAAATCGCGATGTGGCGGTGGAGGTGAGATCGAGATCTTTCTGCACGAGGGCTCGGGGAGGAGGAGCAAGGCCGACTCCCCGGGATGGAGCCGGTTTTCCAGCAAAATCACAACACCCGCATACTGTGGAGACACAGAGTTAAGGATAGGGCGACGAGGGGTAGACGGTCACACCACGGAGGGATACGGTTGGCGTGCGAGACGACTCGGACACCGACGCCAACTTTCACTGTTCATGATCTCGCTCTCTGATACTACTCACACTCGGCCCGAACTTATATCCCGCACGGCTATTCTACGCGATGAAATCAGGAGGATAAGACGGCGTAGATCCAGTGTATGTAGTGTCTTCATGGGGCTCCGCCCTCAGCGACATGAAATAGAATAAGCAAACAACGACCAAACAAGATCGAGATCATCCTCGCGGCAAGTGAGTGGCGACTGTGGCGCACCCTCGCTCCCAACGTGACGGCACCCCGACCCCGGGTGCCCCTGGGCGCACCACTAGTAGGAGCACGCTGGTCCGGGGCCACGGCCCAGCACTGTAAGCCCTGAGTCGGCTACCTACAGCATGCCTTTCGTTCGCACGCCATATACCGCCGGACATACTTTGACATTCACTAGGACGTATCTGGCAATCATCAAGGATATTGAAGCCACATCGATATAGGCATCCATACGTGGCACTGGCAGGCTTCAAATCACTCTTAGTAGCGTCGTATCTGTAAGGTAGGTCCGCGACAAAACCGACATGTGCTACGTCTCGTGCTTATACGACATGCACACATCCCGATACAATCAAATTCCCTCATAAACGCGCGGTATGGGTATAATGCAACACGCATCGACCGCAAGACCCCCGAGAACTCGCCAGACATACACAGAAAGGCACAGGACGTACAACACGAGCAACTAAAAGTACAGCAGCAGTCCACGAACCCTTCAGGGGAAAACCTGTAGAAGGCGTGTCAGTGCCATGTGTCACGTCGTTGATGACGCCGTGGACGCACCGGTCGGCGAGAACGCCCTCATTTCTTCTCGCAGCGGCCGCTGCGACTGCAGTAATTCTTGATGTGCCGCTCTAGCGAATCCGCCCTCCCCAGATCTGGAAGCAGTGCGGGCAGGCCTTGGCGGTGCTCTGGAGGTGCACCGCCGCGACATGCTTCCCGAAGCTGGCGTAGTTCAGGTCCTTGTTGCACTGACCGTCTGCCTCCCACCACTCGCAGTGACCACGGTTCTTGGGGTGCCATGGCTTCGCCGGGTCGCGGAAATGGTGCTCCTTCAGGTGACGTGAGACCCCTGCTGGAGTGAGGTCGTCAAGAGGGACACTGCATTGACTTCCCCAGGCACACGGCGTGTAGTAGCTGGAGGCAAGGGGGCGGTTCATCCCTACGGAAAGTCAGGACCGATAGAGTTCGAAATGGACGAAGGTACGTACTCGAATGGACTGCTCTCGGCGGGATGAATGACGGCTGCAGGTACATGCTATTAAAGGCAGCCTCTGCGTCATCCGGCGGCGGCCATGAGTACGATTGTGGTTCGACGCAGGCAGGGCCTGCGTAGCGTGCATGGCGATTGCTCGATTGGTGATCCGGTGGTTGTGCATAGTGGTGAGTTGAGCCAGGCTCTGAAGGAAGGTAGATGCTAACACGATCATGAGCTCTGGGCAAAGACAGTAACTGACAATGGACACGTACGGGTCAGCGATGGGTTCGGGGAGCACATAACTACTGGACCCCAACCTGAACCACGGGTCGGGAACGGGAGGTAGTAGGTGGCGACTATCGTATTCCTCGTTCGGTGACCATGACGCACTGAATGGGTCAACGTAGGCTCAGCTCAATCGCTTCAAGATACTCACGGGATCAGCTCTCCAGTGAAGTCGCCGTCGTGGACGTGCATCCCGAAGTTCGAGTCACCGAAGGTATCTGAACGGCCTTCAACCATGGTGGGATAGCCGTGTGTCGAATCCGTCTGCTTCTGCGGAAGTGTCTGGATGCAGCCGTGATCAAAGACTATACGCTTGGCGATGTGTCTGATCTTCGAGGTGCCACAGGGAGACGCAGGGGGAAGAGACGAGAGTTAGCGCGATATATGAACGACGTCGTTATAAAGTTCCGCAGGCTGCAGCTTTCCTCGCGCCCCGGGCATGCAGCAAGCATGGAATGTGACGCCACGCTGTCCTGGAAGCGGCAGGAATATATGAACGCGAGGGTGGACAGTCACCCGTAAGTATTAGGGTCGTGACAATCAAGTGACAACTTCGAACTTGAATACAATCGCGGTCCATCTTTGGCGGGTAATCCGAGGACGCCGGTCCTTATGCGAATAGATGGCTGGCAGATAAAAGAGCTCTGCGGAACAGTGCGCCCAATACAGGCAGGATCTGGACCATGCGTGCACTGAATTCGAACGTGCCATCGGTTGGCGGGGAAGACGCCTTTGCCGCCCACTTAGACCAAACATGCAATCCCCAGCCAACGCCGAGCACCCTAGCCGAGGGTTCATTCCACCCTCGCGACACGGAATAGAGGACTTCGGTTTTCCTGAAGGTTAGGACGTAGAAGGGGTTCCAGCAGCGTGACTCTGGAGACTAACTGGAGACTACTACGTCCGCGCGCGCCTCGCCCGATGTCAATTTCCCGATTCTCCATCACAACTTCTCACATGTGGTTTGCGACTCAACCACATACTCCTCATCGATAACTCAAGTATCGGCATGATAGTAGCTTTACTACTTGAGGCGCAGCGATGGTGGAAAGCGAAGTGAGAGATCTCATCATGTCTGAGTCCCACTCGGAGGCAGCCCCAGCAGCCCTAGACCCGGGCCATTCTATTCCGTAAATAAGTAAACAATCTCACCGTCAAAAATATAATCTACATTCCCGCCGTGGATTGGTACACGCTGGAGCGCGGGCGAAGTTGACTGCGGGTGGGCCAACGGCACCTGGCCGCGGGCATTGCTAGTAGAACGCACCTGACTAGCACAGCGAGGTGGGACCGACGGATATTACTGCCGTCAGGGTCATGCCGTGTAACGTACTAATGAAGGCGCTGTTGCCGGTGTTATCTTCTTCTCAAGCCACTGAGCAAACCGAAGACGTGCGCATTTGGTTATGCGGAGGGGTGTGGTTTCAGAGGGCAGCCGCGGCCGCCAGGGTGAGGTGGATGAAGTCCGCCATCGATGCATCCTGGGTTTGAAGAGTGCGCCGGAACAGGGCCACGGTGGTGAGCGTCCCCAGGCCGCGTCGTAAAAAGTGACGCACCACCGCCAGCCGTCAGGCACTATCGTGCCGGGGAGCTAGTGAACCTGCTGGTGGTGAAGTCCATACGACAGCATGGAAGGCTCATGATCGTCCTACCATCCTGGAGGATCGTCGTGCGTCTTCATCAGTCCAGTGTCCGCGACATCGTGATCGCAACGTAAAAAATGGAGTAATAAACGCGGAAGAACCACCAGACAAAGAGGGCGTAGTGTTGTACAACAATTTCCTGGTAGCCGAGCTGCTTGATGCCTCCCGCGCTGTCTCCAAGAAAGGGGAATCATCCAGTGCATCGCGGAATATTGTTGTGAAATGGAGAGGAGAGGAGCATCGCACACTAAGCGGCGCCTCTCTGCTGGCAACGGTCAATCTTCCCTGTTGGCCTACGCGCACAACAAAGGCTCACCTGTAACGCAGTCGCTCGCGTACCTATCATTAGCCAGGGGGGCGTCCATGGCAGAAGCGTTTAGCGTGACGATCGAGAGTATCTCCGCGCGCCAGGATTTGCCCACACATCTCGCACTTGCTCGCCGTTGATCGAATGTGGACAGACGCGATGTGCTTCCCAAAGCCGAAGTAGAACTGCAGCTTCTTGTTGCACGGGCTTCCCTCCCATTCGCAGTAGCCGCGCATCCGGTCGTCCCAAGGCTGCACATGGCACTCCTTCAGGTGACGATTGATCCCGGAGGCGGTGAGGTCTGTTATTATCGTCTGACATTGGCCGCCCCACCGACAACGCTCGCCTACGGGCCCGCCGCTCATAGGACCTCCTGACGGCCGCACGTCAGTCGGAGGCGCCGTGCTGGAACGCGGGAGAAGGTCGCCGCCAGCGTGTGGTTGATACATTGACGGTATTGGTCGAAACGGTGGCGGGTCGCCATGTCCGTAGCTCAGCGAACGGCGGACGTTGGCTGGCGCCCAGCCCGGACCAGTGAAGGTATCGAATAATTGGTCCGAGTCGTGTGGCATGCCGTGTCTTCGTCTTGGTCAGAAAGTGCCCGGCTAACTGTAAGGACAGCCTACCTTATCCCGAAGTCATCGATTGTCTGGCCGTAGTCCGCTCGCATGGAAGGTTGCATTGGTATAACGGTGGAGCCTGTCCGACCCATGTCTGCACTGCCAAATATTAACTACGTCAGCATATACTCCGAAGCGGCCAACAGAATACATACCCGCTCGACACGTAGTCAGCAAGCCCATGATTAAGGTTCGAGGTGGACGCGAAGTCAGCGCTCGGCATGTGCGGGTCCATCCAAGTCCCCGAAGAGCCTGGCATGCCCAGTGCAGTGGGCACAGTGGGCGCGGTGAACAGTCCACCGTATTCATTAGCCCGACGAGCCGGGGCAAATGAATTCATCGAGCTCGCGTCTATTGCACCGGGATACTCTCCGTAGCCCGGGAAGCTGAGTGACTGCGGGCCCGGGATAGAGGTTGCCTGCGGTTGGTCAGTGAATATGGACGCGTTGTTGGGGGGAGCCGTCCGTGAGATACTCAACGCCCGACGGTTGGCGTCTTCCGGGGCGGTCCAGCCCTGAATTGGGCAGCCGCCATCGTAAGGTTGTGCGCCGCTGTCGCTGCACATGACAGGGTGGGGCGTCGCGGGGATTTGCCAGAGTTACGAGAATCCGTCCACCACGGTCGGGCCTGTTTAAATGCACCACTGTGCGCCACATCACCGCTGCGCGAGCGTAAATCCCGTCGCAGTTCTTGTTTGCAAGTCAGCACCGGCCAATGAACTGAGCCCCGGGCACAGTCGCTAACGAGAACTCAACATTGAATCGCAGTAGGACCACAGATCTGATGTGGCCCGCGCACTGGAGTGGGACCGGGTTTCCCCAGCAAGGTCTCCACGGAGGGAATGAATCTGGTGAAAGCGATGTATCTGTATCTTGCGGACGCTTCTCTGATCCTCGACGCGCGCGACGAGCGAGACGACAAGTGCTTGCCAGTGGAGGTACCGGCTCGCGTGCGTGAAACAAGGCCGGGTTCGTCAGGCCAATCTGAGCAGGCTCACACTGACAGGGAGCGAGGCGGAGACATTTGAAATCAAAAGGATTGATGCAAGCTCGCTCGCGTCGCCAGTCCGTGGTTGACGGGCGCGGACAACCCTCCTCCTCCTCCGGTAAGCACCGGTGTATCATGGGCGTCACTCCGCGCGTGAGAGGCCGAAAGCGGCTCTTGGGGAGCATTCTCCTGGTCCATGCGGCGCGCGACTTGAAGCAGGCGGCGACTGCGGTATGTTAGGTGGATGTGACTGAGACAGGCGACGAGGACGAGGAGGACGAGGACGAGGACGAGAGCCAGCGGGCACGAGCCACGGCATCGGCTTCCCGATTAAGGTACGTACGATCAATAGTGTGTGGCCGCGCCGACGCGTGCGTGCATCCCGCTCTCGTGGAACAAATGACTGAGGCGGATCGGCGGTGTACATCGCCCGAGGGAGATCTCGAGTCTAGGCAACTTAAGGATCGCCAGCTGCAGGCGACAATGCTCCTGAGAGCGCGGAGCAGTGGCGGTGCACCGTATCTTCTCGTTCGCCACTAACTAAATATTGCATTGCACAGGTCCAGACGAGTTTGAGAGACGTGATCAGATCAGAATTACATGGCTACAATGATCACCGTCCGGCGTTGCAAAGCGTCCAGGACCAGATAACAGAAACCTCGGCATCTCATGACCCTCATGCACAACCCAACCTAGTGAAGAAGCGATGATACGTGCAGCCTCGAGTGAGATCACTCAGCCATATGAAGCACGACGAACTCTTGGAGGTCCGTGGAGGGCGGGCCTTGAGCCGAGTTTCGCTAGGCAGTAGGCGGGAGGGTTGAATCAGGGTAATGGTCCGGACGGAAGGGGTCCTCGAGGTATAACAGGTATATCGGATTGGCGTCATGTCACCCGCTCCGAGTAGTCATGATGAGAAAGCGGTTGAGTGGGATGGCTGTCGATGATTACAGAGGTTACAAGATAGCGAGGAATAGAGATGCGTTGACGAGTAGCATAGCGAGGAGTAGTGCGCGCGAGAATCCAGGGAGTAGTACTGCATAGCGAGGATGGGGAGCGAGGCGGGTGGGGAGAAGAATCGTAAGCGAAGGCCTGCAGCCATTCCGATCCCGGGAATGAGGTACTGGGGACAGATGGATGCAGACCATGTCGCGTACGGAGCGGGGCGAGTATAAGGCGGGGAGGCGCGGGGTCGACAAGACACCTGGCGACGTACCAAGTCAGCATAATCTAATACTAGCGGTCACATGGAAGGGGATGGAACACACCGAACGTCGGGAAAGCAGTCAACAAGGGTCGCCTACTTGCAGCGCAAACGGCAGTAGAGCTTCATATGGCGATCAAGCGTGTCCGCACGCGCGAAGGTCTCCCCACACTTTTCGCACGGTCGCGCAGTCGCCCCGAGATGCACTGAGGCGATGTGCTTCCCAAAGGAAGCGTAGAACATCGTGGTGTTGGTGCACGGGCTGCCGTGCCATTCGCAGCGCCCTCGGGACCGGTTGTCCCAGACGTGCACGTGATATTCCTTCAGGTGCCGCGCGATCCCTGCCGCAGTCAGGTCGTCCAAGGTGGCGCCACACTTCTGGCCCCATTGGCAGATAACAGCTCGTGAATTCGACGAGCTCTCCGACGATGCAGCATACGGGGATTCATCTACAGACACGGGTGACATCTGCATATTCGACGGTGGCGATGGCTCAAAGGTCTCAAACCCCCACGGTTCTGGTAGCGTACTACTCAGAATATTAGACGGGTAGACAGACTCTGGAAGAAAGGAGCGTACGAGTTGGAATGCTGAGGCGTGGGGTTGAAGGTAGGGTCGAACTGGAGCGCTGACCAGTCGTCGTTATTGTACGGTGGATAGCATGGTCTGTTGACCGAGTGTCAGACCGACTAATGCATGACTGACGACAACGACGTACTGCAGGCCGCCGAAGTAATCGGTCGGTCCATAGTTGACTGGGTGGAGGTAAATTGGAGAGCCGCCCTGTGCGACGAGGCACTGGAGGTCCCCGCTAGTGCTGGGTCGACCGATAGACGCGTATGTGGCGTCTGCGTAGGCATCCCGTTGACGTCCACGGGGGAGTAAGGGAACGCGTGGGGCGTAAGAAAGGAACCTGAGGGATGCGACAGGGCTGAACCCAAGGCCGGGCTATCGTTAAAGTCGTTCATATGCATGTAGCCGAAGGTGCGCGGCACTATATCTGCACGCGTATTACTATCCTGGCCGGCAGGGGTCGGGTGGTGGCCGTAGGGGGGGTGCTCGTGGGGGCGGGAAGTCGTGGGTAGCGCGCAGCTGAAGAGGGCGGATTCATGGCTTGGGCTGAGGATGGCGGGGAGGGAAGGCAGAAGGAGGGTCTTGCGCGCAGACGCTGCTCCGTGACTGAGTCGATTGGTATATGTAGACAGATCCGGATCTGTGAGCGCGCACCCAGCCATTCGGCCATGTGATAGGACGCCGCCTGATCTCAGATGGGCCACTCAGTTATGGCTGTCAGCTCCAGGCACCGTTTGCTTCCGCCGCGTACGACGCGATCCAACGCGATCCAACGGATGTGGGACAATCCCAGGGACCAGCACTTCCGCCACCCCGCTTCAGCGCTGCGAGCGGTTGGGATTTGCGCTGTGCGGTACGAACGTAAAGATTCATCAGCCAGATTCCGCCCACACTACGCCCCTGCTCAAGAGTCAAGCGCCTCCATGAAGCTCCGAAGACCCAGGAGCACCGCCACACAAGGTCGGCTAGCCGTAGCCACGCTAGTAAACTAATGGCACAGCCATCAAGTCGAGGACACGACCCAAGAAGACGGGAGGAGGCTCAGTATTCAATGGTGCATAGCCCACCGGCTCCCCGGCAGACATAGAACTCAATCTATGGATACACGCGGGATACACGATACAAGTGCTACGATCAGATGTGGATCGCGTCTGTGGGTTCCGCAACCTCCCTCGGAATCCGAGGCGACACAACAGGCGGAACACGACTTTCGCATTGATTGCCATTTGAAGCGACGAGGATGAGTCCCAGGTCGCAGATCTGCGATTCAGGCGTACACTTGAGTGGCCCTGATGTACTACGAGTACACGTAGTGATGTGTGGGAACGAAGGCAGTGCTGAACAGTTTCTGTCCTTCTACGTATATGCACCGAGTCGAGACACCTGAGGCATTTCTGCTCGAGGACAGCAGCTCTCCATGACGGTGTTGTCATGCACCTCCTTTGCAAAACAGATGCCATGCCGGCAGGGGGTTGGCATGGAACAATTGATGCTGTTCGCGATCCCAGTCGTGTTCCAACCTATCTGTCTCACCCCGTACCATGCCATAATGCTTAAGTCACGACGATGATTTGCAAATCACCTACATCTCAGGCTGTCCGCGCTTGCCCGACTTGAGGTGTTACCTTGTTTCTGAATTCGGTATTCGCGTCAGGCAGATGTCGACAACACTGATGTTGCCAAGTCAGATGCTCGTAGACAGGCTAGCCACTCTTCTTACAGGAGTTTGAGCTTCGACAACACGCTCTAGCCTGATGATGCAGGGTCGCGCATTTGAGGGTACGAAGTCCCGGAACGGCTTGCGTCAACGTGGTCCGTTTGGTCGCGAAGTCCGAGCGGGATCGGAGACAACAAGAACGAGCCAGAACGACGTGGAAGAGCAGCCTTGCTCTTTCGGGACTAATGACCAGAGCACGAAGCTACCGATGCTTCGAAAAGCCTGTCATGCATTCGCGACTTACAGCCAGAGACTCACGGTCCGGTGTTTAAACGTCCAAGTTCGACGTCCAACGTCAAACGGTACGTTCAGGCTTTGGGCATGATCGGGGAATTGAATCGGAGCAACGGTCCGAGGCGACTAAGGCTATCCGGCGGAAGAATTCGTACGATCAGCATTGACAATGACGGCAGCGTAAAATACGCACAGAGAAGGACATGTCGGCGACGGCGAGCCAGACCGTTCCACTATCGAAGGCGTACACACGCCAGCGAGGCGATGGTTCTTGGGATCCCGAGTCGGAAATTAAAGGGAAGATCGTTCCCATGGTCCGAGTCAGCTGGCTCTGCGCTCTGCGCACTGTGCCCGAGTGGCGTATGTAGCCCACCGAGCGACGCACCGCCAAAAGAGCCCAGAGAGAAGGGCTGCTCATGATGCACGAGTGTATGTTGATTGCATGCTTAGGCAGGGTGGCTTCCCCTTCGCCACTCCGAGAGTCGGCGCGCACACGTGGAAGCAAGAGCCCGAGGGAAGCATGAGCAGCACAGGCTACGAGTCGCCGACTGTTGCGAGTGTAGAAATGATGAGCCAGCCTGTGACTGCAATGATAGATGGGCATCCAACTATCGACGCATTGTGCGCTTCTACAAAAACAAAGTTGCGCGTCGTTTGAACTTTGGCTTGTGTAAGTAATGTCAATGATGTCGATGAGATATGATGCCGAGCGTCTGCTCAGCCCGATCACGGAGTGGCCTTGCATGGAGTGCGATCCTGTTCTCGTCTTCGCCAAACGAGTAGACAACGTTGACGGACGCCCGGACCGTCTGAGGTAGATTGACATCGAAGCCTATGTCGCTTGAGCGCTGTACATCCACGCAGCTATGTTCATGTTCCAGCCGGTTGACGCCTCGAGTATCAGTCAGAATAACCTAAGTACATCGACAAGAGGCTCACCTGGTGACTGTCATGTATGTCAGGACGACAGCAACGCATACAAAACCATCTAAGCCACAGCCCGAGAAGGCGAAGTCAGGGTCTAGAGACCGGTGTTCAGCACATGCACAAAACTTTGTTATGACGCGGATGCTCTATCGGCCACTAAGCGGCCATACATACGGACCGAGCCACAGATGACACTGTGAAATGCGACGCATGAGGCCTTGAGGAAATAAGATAGCCACAAGTCGTGAATCTTGCACGTCATTTGCCGCTTGTGTGGGATCTTACCTGAGATTCCAATCCAGCTCTGGAACGAGCTCTCCCGAAGTGGTCCAACCGATGTTCGAGAGAGCTGAGGTAATGACGAAACCACCGATTTGACGCCACCGTGTATTCCTGCGAGAAAGATACTACTGGGGGCGCGCGCGTACTGGCACAGACTCTCGAGAATCTGCAATGAGTCCACATGGATGTCTTGCTTGCTGTGTACAACACTTAGTCGTATCTCCGAGGCACCCAGCCCATTGGGTACGTACCTGTTTCGTGCCTCTGCGGCGGAGTTGACATCAGGCCAACATACCTGAACAAAGTTAAGAGTCAGACTGGCAATTGCGCGCACTAAGTGTGCTCCGTTCTCCACTGTCCAGCCCCTTGCGCCTCACGTCAACTTGAAGCAACGATCGTCGCAAGCGGTATTCCATCATGATTCTGCTGCTACCGGAACTTGGAAACACAACCCCCGAGCGTTTGTTTTTTTGACAGGGCGTTGCTTGTGCTGACCATATGCGCCACTGCGGAGGATGTGGCTCGAGGACCCTAGCTAAGACCCTGAAGGGTTGCCGCTAACGAACGCCAAAGACCCTGAGGCTCATGTGGTGCTCAGTGTTGCAGTACACAGGTAACTACCCATTTGTACGGACGGATCAACGGGCTATGGCTCTGCCAAAGTGGTAGGCTCGAGCAGCATGGCGATACCACCTTCAAGTTAGTCGTCCACTTGAAGCGCTCATACCTCATGGAATTGGCGTGCATAAGTCGCATTCGCCCAAAGACGCCTCGGGTTGTACAGGAGGCAATTCTCGGAAATATTCTGAGACAAAAACGAAATTTTGGGAGTGGGTACGGTGGTAGTCACGTCGAAGAGGGACACTCTAGGGCGCGGAGACTTGTTGAAGCTGTATATTCGTGAAATTCCCACGCCACCGAGGGCAATGTCAGGCTGCACTGTGCACGCACCGACAAGCGACGCCGACTGTATGCAGCTGTATGCGCGCTGTCTACCGCAACCTCCAACGTCCAGGACGTCTTGTCTGTGAACGGTGCATCTAGAGAGGGGAGTCATGTCGGACGGTATTCAGATAACGATTCCTGGTATGTATTGCGCTCAGTGGACACTTCAAAGCACTGACCTTGCGCAGACTTCGACGAGGATGACTACAGCTCAACTCCCATCTTCGGACGGACGCAAGGTAACAGCCTCTGGGGAAACGCGAGCTCAGGGCAAGACTCGCCTACCATCCTGACTCCTTTGGCTCTTCCCGAACGTGCCGAGAAGTCCTATTTCCATTCTCGAGGCGACTCCACTACCTCAGAGGACTCGGTACACTCGGTGCAGAACAGCAGTCGGAAAGTCAAGTCGCCGTTCGCGCATTCCACACAGGTCTCCTTCACTACCTCCAACACCAGCGGTGGTGGATCATCCTTCGCGAAGAAGACATCCTTTGCGTCACTCCGGAATGCATTCAGCAAGAAGTCTACGGACCCTGCTCCTCCCGTGCCAGTGCTGGATCACCAGGCCTATCCTGTTTGAAAAACCCGTTCAATCGTTCTACTTCTTCTCTTGGACACCTACCGCCGGTGCCTCATCGGCACCAGCCGTCGCACGCTAGCCCGCCGCAGTTCCGTCCTTCTACGCCAGCTTCCACAGAGTCAAGGACCCGCGGTGCGCCGTCCAAGGCTCGGGACCACGCATATGCCCGCTCGCAGCATTCACATCCGGCTCTATATTCCACTATTCAGATGCTGGCAGCGATCTTGGACATGGTTTCGCGCCCTCCACGCCTCCTCCGGTACCTCGCAAACCGAACGTCTTTGGTGGAATATCCCCGCTGGAGGTGTCACGATCTATCTTCGACATAGAGGATAAGATCAATATGGATCCACGAACACCGTCGGACTACGCTTTGCACGCCATCTTCATCCGATTCGCTGCCTCAGGCGAACAACACATAGAAGAGTTCCTGCGACAGCCGGTGGTATGTGCGTTCACTATATGCGTTAATTTTTTTCATATATGCGCGTAGGATCGCGACGCTCTGTTGACGGAGTTCATGGGACCAGGCGTGGATACGAAATTGGACGAGCTCTTAACTTCGCTGGGGAAGATCGCCCATAAGCACGCGAAACCAGTAGTCGAGTCCGTCATGCGCTGGCGGAAGTCGCAAAACGATGGCGTGGACGAGAGGCTTGTACACCATCATCTTTCGCAACCATCCGGCAGCGCGCGAGTCGCACGAGTGCAAGACATCTCGTCGGTGCTCATGGAGCGAAAGGCACTCGCCTCGATTTACATCATGTGTCGTGCCTTACTAGCTGCAACTCTTTCAATGGCTAAAGACGGGCTCGGTGAAGCTGTCGGACAGAGCCTGGAGGAGCTGACTTTCGAGCAATTCAAGAGACCGGATGTTAAGATGCTCACTCAGTCTGCGAATCACCGAATAAATGCAGAGCTTTATGCGAGGCTGTTGGGCCAGATTGCCAATGTCCGGTAAGCGACTAGCATTCTATTGCGTGTACTTTGTCTGACCTTTTCCAACTGCAATTCAGCTTTGAAAGCGTCACAGATCGCTTCTTGATCGAGCTTAAGCCGGTGGCAGCAGGTCTGGTTCCCAAAGACGCGGACTTCAAATTTGAAAACCTGGTGCAGGGTCTCAAGCATGTGCAAATCAAGGTATGAGAACCGCACAATACGTTGATTCTTGTTGGAGCGTGTCTAACTCTGCGTGGGTAGGTGTGGCCACCTGAGGCTTTCGAAGAAGGCGCAGACTTCATGGCTTCGCTGTCTAAGTCGTTTGAAAACGCGCACGGCAATCGCCTCAAGACGTCCTTCGCAGAAACCCTCGTTTATATGCTCCATCCAATAGCTAAGGTGAGCCTCTAATGCGTGCTTGGGTGTGGCTTCCGCTGACATAAGCCTTTGAAGACCGCTCAGGCGGAGGTCAATCACCCGGAGTGGGCGAAGGCGATGGAAGCCATCTATCCAAGAGCAAGGGACATGATGAGCAAGCCTAGATATTGGCATGTCGCGTATCCATTGGCAGTGACTACGCTATGCGTTGCCCCGCAGGACTTCTTCTCCAAGAACTGGAGCGCATGCCTTGAGGCTGGCCTCGGCAAGCTTAAGGTAAAGAGCTACGCCGCTGGGGTGAAAATGCACACCTGACATTGATAACAGGAAAGGATGTACCGCACACAAGTGTTGAACGCAGTCCTTCGCCTCCTGTGGACATACCTATATCGGTGTAACGAGCCTGCATCCACGACAACCTCGAAAGTGGAATCAATCCTCAGGTATTTCTTCCCCGCAAACCGGCTCAACATCACTCCTCAGGAAGAGCACCTGGATCCTTTCGTTTACATGATACACTTCGTACTATCTCGGCACTTCGAATCCGGAAGCGAGATGTGTCTCGAGCTCCTGCAGGAACGCAACGTCACAGCTCAATCAGCCAGTCTCTCCAGCTCACTGGCACCAGAGCGGATAGCCATCGGCACGCGGGCCGTCTTGCTCTCACTTCACGTTATGGAGAGAGAGGAACCAACCCCTTCTTGGCCGAGTTCCACCGATTTCACGCAGTTGCCCAGCCAGGAGGACTACCCACTGTCTGCGGAACCCTTGCCCTCGTCGCTAATGTTGAAGACAAGCTGGGCCGACTTCCTCGATCGCTGCAGCCTATGTCTGAAGTTCTTCGCCCTGAGCTGCTTCCAGGCCGTCGGTAAAATGTCCGCCCTAGATGAGCAATGGTCGGCGACACGCCTCAGTCCGACATACGAGGATGCCCACAGCTTCACTATACGGCGACATCCCGAAGGATCCGTTGCATACCCGAATCAATTGGTTGCTCATATCAGCATTCTGCAGTCGGTGTACCAGTCGTGGCCGCGCTGTCTGCACTCCTCTCTTGCCGTCGAGGATGCTTATGACATGCTGATACGAGGTATCATCCACGTCGAACCAGCAGTGGGCGAGGCCGCCACTCAGGCTCTGCAGCGGTTCATGAACGACCCTGCGCAAGCCTCTGCCTTGCTGTCCCGCTTCTCCGCCTTCTTGTTCGATCCGACGCTCATGTGTAGCGAAGGACCTGGGCTCAAGTTGAACGTCGAGAGCTCGCGGCTGGTGACCCTTTGGATCACTTTTGTCGATCAGTGGATCTACAGGATCAAGCAGACCCCCAAAGAGGAGCTCACGGATGAGGACCTGGAAGCCATAATTTCCCGTGTGGATGAGATCGAAGCGGGGGCGTTGTTCCTACTGGCACATTACCGGCGCGCCGTTTACCTCAACGGTGTCAGGGCTGTCCGTCTTCTCCACATCCTACAAGTACATCTCCAGTCGACACTGGTGTCGCGTTATGACGGTCGCACGCCGACATCTTTTCACATCCTCACGGCGCTTCACGACGAACTTGGTCCAGCTGCATATCTAGATGCATATGAAGACATGATGGACACAACCGAAACGACACGTCTGGAGCAGTTGAAGAAGGCGCCCCGAGGGGAGATAGCGTTGCGATTGGCCGAGAGTGACTCGGAGCAGGACCGGAAAATATGGGTGCACGTATTCCCTGCCTTGCTCAGACCTTGCATGGAGGGCATGCCACGCGTCCTCGTTACATTCCGAGAACAGATCGTTGCGGCGACAAGCCGATACCATCAAAATGTCGTACAGCTAGCAGGGGTACAGAGTAAGATGCCGATGAACCTGCCGCCGAGGTCCGGTTCACACGGCGACAAGGATACGTCCAAATCGCTCAGTGACCACGGGCGGGTCATTCTGCAGTGGCACGCTTGGATCAAGATACTGTCCGCGACTGCTCAGGTGTCTGACGTCAGGCCAACTGTGAACTATCCAATGCGCGATCACTCGCGCGCCAGGTCTGAGGCGAACTTCGAACGTGACCAGATGGTGACCACTCGCGACATGTTCAAGTATCTCAGCCAGTTCCTCGATTCGGAACTTTCCACTTTCCGCAACATCGCCGTGTCATGTATCAGTTCTTTCCCCGCACGAGCGTACTCCCAATTACTCGAGGATCTCAATATACTTGCTTCCCGGCAATTCTACGACGAGCGACCTAAGACCACTGCGGCACCCGCGGGAGGGGCCCGTGCACGTCGTCAAGAAGGGTTCCACACGGCTGTGGCAGGCATCTACCACTTGACTGCTCATCTCTTGCAAGAACAACGGTCGTCTGGCAAACAAACCGCTTTGGCACACGTGCTGAAGTACATCCGGAATATGCAATCGTTCTTAGCTGCTCCCGAGCATCGCGACGTCTTTTCTCTCCAAAGATTACGACGCTATTTCTGTGGCACCGTCGAAAGATTATTTGACGGACTCGCGACGCTCAACGATTCAGATCGCTTCATCCCTGCTCACATGCATCTATCTCTGTACCGACTTTGCGAAGAATGGTGTCAGTTGGGGAAACAGTCGGAGACAGTGACCAGACGAATCGTGCTCATGCAGACCGCCGCTGCCAAATTCCACATGGACCCTACCGACCAAGCAGAGAGTATCCGGAGCTTCCAGCTAGAAACACGAGCGTTGTCCAATGCTGCCGTAGGTGCCATGGCGGCTTTGTGTGTGAGTGAACCCCGTTCTTCCGGCGATGCATGCAATTAACGTCTACTCTATAGCACAAAGCCTTCTATCCCCCTGATCATACATCTATGTCCCCAATGGATAAGTCCGTGTCGGACGATGATTTGAAGCCGCTGCACCCATCTGCAACTCTCGATCGCCTGACTGCGATTCTAGCTTCCTTCCATGAGCCTAATCAGGAGGCTGGCAAGTGAGTTTCGTGTAGCGTTCCTCCTTGGCTGAATGCTGATGCACAATACAGGAAGGCTCTTCGGTCGCTCTTGGTACACACACCGCCTGACAAGCGCTTAATGGACGAGGTGCTCGTCAGAGCATTCGTGACTACGCGACAACTGGGCACCAGTAACGAACGCTTCTTCGCCGTCGTAGCGGATGTCATCAGCGACCCTGCAATTGTGCATGGTTTCAGCTTCAGTCAAGCTGTATGCCTGGGTCTCTCTAACTTGTGTCACCCGCTTCTGGAGATCCGCCGTCGTTCGTTCGCCATACTGGAAGGGATTCACCAGCAATACTCCGGCCTTCTCCCTTTGATGCGATTCGAGGCAGCAGTTTGTAGTGCTTCGCCCAGCGCCTACCTCCATGCTCATCGATCGATTTCCGACGTTCTTGCAGGAGAGCATCCTGAACAGGCGCCTCACATACTTGCTCAATTCTCTGAGTGGATCCCGCGTGTTTTGGACGGTAACGCCCAAGGCAGTCCGCTCATTTTGTTGCAGACGCTGGAGCACTGGTTTTCGGGTATCGAACTCATCGATGATTCCGAGGAATCTGGGTTGTCGCGAACTGGCCGTTCAGTGGTATTCCACATGATGAAGCTCACCTCCCAATACGTCGAGCATTACGCCGAACAGATCTTGGTATTGTGGTCACGACTAGTGGACGATCCTCACTGGCATAACGGCCTAGCTGTCGTGAAGTATCTGCTGGACCTGTCACCCAAGGTCGGGAATGCACCGTTCATCAATTGCTCGGCGAAGGTCATCGCGTGCTTAGTGCAAAGCGCGATTGGCAAAGATATCTTCATCAATATCGCCGGTTGTATACACCCGACGCGGATGATTCCTGTCTATGATCACAAAGTCAAGCAGCTCGACGCCCAAGAGATCGAAGAGTGGTCCGACTTCGACATCTTGTTCTCCGGTCAGCCGAGACTCAACCTGACGCAGTCACAATTCGCCCTTCTCTTCCTTTCGGATGCAACGTTGGATCGTCACTGGGATCTGGAGCAGCACATTTGCTCATTGCTTCATGCGTTGTTTGTGCATATCGATGACGTACAGCCCTTGTTGCAGCGACGATGTCGACACATGCTCGTTCAGCTCCTCCGTTGCTGCATTTCGGGCTTCGACGAGGTTGCTGACCGTTCCTTATACCGGACACATTCCGATCTCAAGGCTGCCCTGCGTCGAATCGAACAGGAGCTTGACATGGAGCTGCGACCAGATCGACAAACGTCGACGGAGGCGGACGCCAGGCTCGAACGATTATCGAGCGCCGTTCTGGATCTCATTGAACCACTGTACCCACGAATACGCATCGATTGGGGGGCTTGGGCGGTGACCTGGGGTACGGCTTCCGTGAAGCGCGAGATAGCCCACCGATCCTTGCAGTTGTATCGTGCCCTCTCTCCACCCGTCAGCCCAGCGGATCTCGCAGCTTTCTTAGGACGCCTCGGTAGCTCCATCGCAGAAGCAGAGCCTGGCATTAGCAAGTTCAATGTCGAGATGATCAGCACGTTGAAGGCTATGGTGTCGTGGGGCACGCTTGATCCCTCATTGATCCCTGTGCTATTCTGGTGCGCCGTCGCTTGCCTATCGACGACGGTGGAAGATGAATTCCTTCATGCACTCAAGCTACTGGACGCCTTGTTGGGTAGGTTGGACTTGGACGACCCGGAAATCATGCAGGCTCTTTTGGACCATAAGCCAGAAAAATGGCAGGGCCCCTCGTCTTTGCAGCCGTGTCTACTCACTGGATTGCGCGCTTCCAGTACAGCAGCTCCAACATTCAAGTTGCTGGAACGCCTCGCGAAGGTCAACGATGCCAGGTTCATAGATCCGTCCGAGGGCCGCGTCCGCGATCTCTATGTCGTCGCACTACCCTGCTGTCTACAAGCTATGATCGATGGCAAGCAGGATGCAGACCTTCAAGAATTCGCCTTGAGCATCGGTCGACTAGCGGAGAAAGAGGCACGCCCCAGTATTGACCGTATCATGACCTCCTTTGCCAAGAGTCGGTTCCGTACAAAGGAAGACTTCCTGCGGGAGTCCGTCGCCAGCCTTCGCGAACACTATGGCTCGGGTCACTGGACAAACGTGATTACACTCCTCATGGGCCTCGTCTTGAACAAGGAACAATGGTTGCGCATAAGCACTATGCAGATCTTGAAGGTCTTGTTTCAGCAGCGGGAAACGCGGCGCCCAGTGGACCTACTTGGCTCGGAACTCCTGATGCCTTTGCTGCGCTTGCTCGAGACGGACCTCGCATCCCAGGCGTTGGACGTTCTTGATGAGCCAATGCAGATATCTGGAGGACCAGCGGCGAAGCACGTCCTGCGAATGAGTTTATATACGCATTTGCGTGCCGATGCCAAGGAGGTCGAATCTGTCGCAGAAATCTTCGGAATCCCGCAAGAGTCTGGCTGGTGCGTCCCGCACTGTGACGCTCTCCGCAAGACGTGCAAGCAGAACCTCTACGCCCTCCGGCTTGTCGTGCATCCGTATGATCCAGACTTGCCGCTCTCGCAGACCGAGTACCCCGAGATAACCTCGCCGTACGACGAGCAACTCCACCCTGAAGACGACCTTGGGGAGATGGTGCAGAACCTCCATGAGCTTAGTGCCTTCTTCAAGGAGGAGCGGCCTGCTGTCCCTGATGCCAACAGGCAGCTGGAAGCTCGTGTCGCTGCTATCTTGGCCAAATCATCCGACGCTACCGGCGACGTCCCACAGACACCCTTCGCTGATGTTTTCGACGTCGATGCCATCGAGCCGGCGTCTCCATACGAAGATTCGGATGACTCTGACGACGATACTGGCTCTGACCTATTCGAGTTCGATTCCCCTTCAATCCCTCATTTCACGTCGAATACCACACATCACTATTGACCCTAGACCTGTTCGTTCGTTTGCCATTGCTTTGTTGATGTTCGCTGGTTTGTCGTGCACTGTACTCTACCCCGTTCATAACGTATCCTTATGTCTATATGTCGCACCGGGACTTTCAGGATGGCACATGTACAATTCGAATTCTTCGTCGCTCATGTCGCGTTAATCACATCCTCACTTACGTAGCTCGCAATTGTGACTGTTCCAATCGATGATATAAGGGGTCCTCGTTTCTTTCGTCTACAGCATTATAAGAGTATATGATGGGCGAGAAAGATTGTGCATGCTGTACGTGTACGGAAATGTACGTCCTAGGTGGCAAGGCAAAGGGGACCAAGATGAATTAAGTATACCATTATAAGTCATTGCCAGGAAGGATGTATACGAAGCCTTTTTGCTGTGATGAATGCAAGCAACGGAGTCGGTGCTGATGGTGATACATTACTAGTATGAGACAGCCTAATCCTTCCAATGAGACGTGCGACCGGAAGATGCTATGAGCGACTCGTGAAGTTCGCCGCCCAGCCTCCAGGGATGCCGCTGCGTCTCTTCACGGTCCCACTCTTGAACCCAGGCATGCCCAACGCCTGCCACCCATATCCCTCATCGTCTTCGTCGTCCGTCGGGCTCCGCATCGCCCGCCCCACCGCGCCAAGCGTCTCGCCGTCTTCGTCCCAGGGGTTTTCGCGCTCGCGCAGGTTACTCCGGCTTTGGCTCTGATGCAGATGTTTCCGCAGGCTCTGAATTGAGTACTGCCGCTTTGGCGGGACGAGCAGCCGCGCCAACGTGAGCTCCCCTTCGTCGTCGTCGTCGTCGTCCTCTCCGCCCGAGTACATCTCGTCGTCGCCGTCGTCGCTAGGGCTCGCCACCGTGATTGGTACGCGATGGCCATTCACCCAATGTGTACTCCACGCGTCGTTCTCGACGCACGTACTCGCGAGTAGGGGTACGCCGTCGCTCTTACTCGGCCGGCTCGACGAGAAGCTGTAGGCTTCACTTCGCGCGCCGACCGGCGCCTTCCGTGTGCCAGACCGTGCATTGTCGCCAACGCGCGAAGACGAGCGGGACGCAGGTGCAGACCGGCACATCACCTGCGCCGTGCTGACTGTGCTCGGGGCCACTTCCGCGCGCGCGAGGCATGATGTGAGGCCCGGCGGCGCGCCCGACGCACTCCGGGTCTGGCGGTTCGTCTGGTCGGCCAGCATGAACTTGCCCCCCCTTTCTCTGGCACGCGGAGCGCGTGAGGACGTCCGACTGAGCCTGCGGGAGGGCTGCGGGCCCCCGACATGTGCTTCGGGATCGCCCGCTCCTGCGACCGCTCTCGTGACGGACTCAAGCCAGCGTGGTGGGAGCGAGGGCTGTCCACGGTCCACGGCGTAGACGGAATGGCGGTCCACGGACATCTCACGCGTCGAAGGGCGGCGCTTGGGCATGTTCGGCGCGGAGGCCATATGTCTAAGGTAGCCCTGCGCGGCTGAGACCTGCGCATAGGTGCGGAGGTTGCTTGAAGCGGAGGTCTTTGGCCGGAGCAGCTGTGGCTGAGCGGGAATGTGCGCTTGTGCGTGTTTAGCGTAGTGTCTATAGTTGACGGTGCGCCCGTCCGAGCTGTCGGTGGAGGACGCAATCGTGGTAGTCGATGCGGTTGGGGACGCGGAGAGCGGACTCCGTGGTCGCCCGTTCTCATCCGGGAGCTTGTGCTTATGAGCAAGGGGCGAGGGAGGAAGGGACCAGTGTAGCCTGGGTTCGTGCGGGGGCGTGGTGCTCATGGCATGGGAGGCGCCTTCCGTTCTGCCTGACCCCGGTACCCAGCTCGTGAGGTAGCCTACCACCGAGTCTACGCCTCCACGCAGACTGCCTTTACGACTCTCTGCATCTCGGGCCTCCTTTCGCTCCGACTCAGGTGTGAACACGCGCGTCTCTTTGTATCCCGCTTCCCGTAGCAAGTCTTCTAGCCGCTCGTATGTCTTTGACGTCCCCCGCCTGTGCAATGGAACACGTCCAGTGTCGCCACGGGTGAGCGATGCAGGGTAACGTGATGATTGTCGACCGCGCGGTGGCGTGGATGGTGGCGTGTCGAATGCGCCGCCGGACAACGTCGGAGGCATAGCGAAGGACAGTTGCACTGTTCGAGGCGCATGGCTCGTGAGTTCGCAGGCATCGGCCTCGACCGCCGGAGCGAACGTACCTTCTTTCTCGCCGCGACAATCCCGTGAAGACTATTCGCCCTGTTGCTCTTTGGAGCAGCCGAATGGCCAATCTGGCCTTGTCCGCGTAGTTAACCAGGAACCGAGATGTCCTAGGTCGTTTGGAGCGCTAAAGGAGCCCCGCCAGACCGTTGGTTCTGTTCATGCGTCGTCGCGAGCAATCTGTGGCGAATGTCGGCAGCCGCAGAACAAAGGGAACGCCGTCGTCGTTGCCGACAGCGAGAGAGGCGGTGCAGGCAGGAGGATGGAGGCCGAAAGCAAGATGAGGATGAAAGATGCGGATGTCGACGTCTTGCACTTGGTAGGGTCTCCATATATGGCAGTCGTTGAAACGCATCAATGTCACTTGTCATGTGATTCTTCATAACGCGCTTGTGGCGGCGCGTCTTCAGCGCTTCAGCCACAACCTCACCAGCCGCCTCCCACTTTGTTGCTGAATCTCTTGGAGGGTCTTTCTGTCAGACTTCGTTCCAAGTATTCACGTCCATGCGAAGTGATAAAAATTGAGATTCACACGTAAACTCACCACTCCATGTGATTTGTTATCACTGGCGATGGCTACACAACCGTCGCCCTCCGAACCAGGTCCGCAACCGATACGCAAGCTTGAACAATCGGTCATCAACCGTATTGCTGCCGGAGAAGTGCGTACAAGTATCTTAACGTAGTCAAACATGTTGACTCTTGTGAAGATTATACACAGACCAGCATCTGCGTTGAAAGAGCTCATTGAGAACAGTCTAGATGCGGGCTCTACTTCCATACGTGTCACAATCAAGGATGGCGGCATGAAACTGCTGCAAATCCAGGACAACGGGTCAGGAATTCGTGTACGTAAAGCGCTGAGATACTTCTGCTGCTGCTGATACCCGTGAGGAGGTAGCACGACGATCTTCCAATCCTTGCACAACGTTTTACGACGTCCAAACTAGCTACATTCTCTGATCTATCGCGCCTGACGACGTATGGCTTCCGTGGTGAAGCGCTTGCTTCTGTCTCCTACGTGGCGCATATGACAGTGGTCACAAAGACAAGGGCAGACTCTTGCGCGTGGAAGTAAGCAGTCGATAGCGCATATATGCGCGTCTCTGATTGATCGTCTGAATGGCATCTGTGCTGACAGAGCATGCTATGCGGACGGCGCATTGACCCTAGCAAAAGCGGGCACTTCTGCAGACCCTAAGCCTTGTGCTGGCAACGATGGCACCACCATAACTGTGCGCTCGTCGGATGAGAAGCACATCGACGCCTATTAACCCTACAAATATAGGTCGAAAATCTCTTTTACAACACGCCAACACGGCTGTCTGCATTGAGGAGCTCATCGGAAGAGTACGCTCGTATCCTCGATGTCGTCACCAAATATGCCATCCACAATCCCCATGTATCCTTCACGTGCAGAAAGGTGACACCCTTGTCTTAGCCTTCCTCGTTCGCATTCGCTGAGTATAGCCATGCTAGGCAGGATCACCGACGCCAGACGTATCCACGCCTTCGTCGTCAACAACCACCCAGGCGATCCGCTTGCTCTACGGACAGTCCATCGCCAAGGAGCTGCTGCACACGACAGTCTCATCCAAAACTCCCTCTGAAGAGGATGCCGACGAGGAAGTACCAGAGGAAAGCTCCTGGGACGCAGAGGCGTACTTCACCAGTGCGAATTACCAAGCGAAGAAGTTAGTGTTTTTGCTCTTCATCAATCGTGAGTATCCTAGGTCCTCTGCCGGTTTGTTGCGACTTATACGCCGTCAGATCGATTGGTGGAATCTGCCAAAATTAGGAAAGCAGTCGAGGCGGTCTACACTGGCGTCTTGCCCAAAGGCGCCTCGCCTTACGTCTACTTCAGGTACTGTCTAATCAACATCCATCCTGTATAGCTGCTAAAAGCCGAGCTAGCTTGAACATCGACCCACGCTCCGTGGACGTCAACGTCCACCCGACGAAGCGCGAGGTGCACTTCCTTAATGACGACGAGATCGTCGAGCGCATATGCGATGCCCTGCAGGAAAAGCTGGTCGGGCAGAGCCAGAGCCGTGTGTTCGAGTATCAAGTCAGTGCAATGTCTCTGGGTTTAATGGTCGAAGTGAATCATCGTCTCCGGTAGACTCTGCTCACGGGCGGTATCGCCGAGACGCCAACACAGGACAACGGAAAGGGGAAGAAGCGTGCGCGGGACGAGGACGAGATGGACGTCGATGAAGCTGAGCCCCCGCGTACGCGCCCAGACTGTTATCGTTTCACCTAGGTTGACTCTGTCGATGCTCAGCGACCTCTCAAGCAGCGAGGCCCAAGAAGATGCTTTCTCAACACAAAGTACGAACGTCTCTGCAGGACCGCACGCTCGACTCGATGTTCCCCGTCTTCAGTCCCTCGCAACAGCGGAGTGGCAACGGCTCGGGGGGCGGCTCGCCCAACACGGGTACGGGCACGGGGACGCCTCCCCAGAACGCACCGAGAGTGAGAGAGATCAAGGAGTCGCAATGTTATCTGTCGTCAGTGAAGCAGCTGCGGGCAGCAGTGGTCAAGGGGAAGCATAATAGTACGTTTGCGTTGCAACTGTAGTTGATGCTGAGGGGTGGCTGACTGGAGCTTAGATCTCACGGAGATACTGCAGAAGCACACATTCGTGTGTATTGTGGACGTGAACAAGTGTCTATCGCTCGTTCAGCATTCGACGAAGCTGTACCTCATCAACCACGGAGCCCTCGCGTGAGCCTCGTTATTTCTTATCGAGCGGTCAGCGGGATGTCTGATCTTTGATAGTGAGGAGCTGTTCTACCAGCTCGGTCTCCGACAATTCGGTGACATGAGCAGACTGCGGCTAGACCCTGCACCACCGCTGCGTACGCTGGTGACCCTCGCAGTCGACGTGGAAGAGGGTGTCGAGCGGAGTAAGATGACGCGGCCACAGATCGTAGACGTGCGTGCATTCGCGTACGCATATGGATTACACTGATTGGTGCTGTTGGTAGTGCATCGTCGATACTCTGATATCACGGCGGGAGATGCTAGAGGAGTACTTCTCGCTGGGCATTAGCGCGGACGGCAAAGTCGAGACACTCCCTATGTTGCTCAGGGACTGCACCCCAAATCTGGACAAGCTTCCCCTCTTTCTCATGCGTCTCGGCCCCCAGGTACGTCCCCTAGCTACGCGTCCTACAATCGTGAAACATGCATTTACGCGGACCCGCCTTGGTAGGTTGACTGGACGGCCGAGAAAGAGTGCTTCGAGTGCTTCCTCCGCGAGCTAGCTTTCTTCTACGTCCCAGAGCCGGTAATCCAGATATCCCTGGAGGACATGTCTGAGCAAGAGAAAGCGGAGGATAAGGCGGTGCAGTGGCAGATCCAGCACGTCTTGTTCCCGGCGGCGGCTCGATACCTCGCTGCGCCGAAGTCGCTCTTGGACCGGGATGTCGTTCAAGTCGCGAACTTGCCGGATCTGTACCGTGTATTTGAGAGATGCTGAATACTATGTACGGTTCTGAGGAGCTTCTCCAAATTCCCTACCCTTTGAGTCCTCACTGCGGCAGTCCAATGCATGCCATTGCCAGTGTCGAACGGGCATGGTCACATGTGTCGAATTTGATGCTTAATTTGATGAAATAGTTGTAATATCGGCGCGCCCATTATGGCAGGTGCTCGGAAATCCTGACGAAATTGGACGCGACGCGTACGCGTTCAGCCACCCGACCTTCGAGTCTTACCTCACTCCTCTCACTTTGCCATCCACCACCCATTTGACGATGCCTGAACCAACTATTGCAATCCCGGTTACTTCTGAGGACCCGAAGAAGAAGAAGGAGGAGAAGGAGGGTGAGGAGAAAGCTGATGGTAAGCTGAAGGAGGATGAGAAGGCGGGAGAGGATCTGGTAAGTACCACTGTATCTATATTGTTCGCGCCGACTGACTCGCCATGCGCTCATCGTTCAGTCGGAGGAGGACCTTCAGCTCAAGAATGAGCTAGAAATGCTGGTTGAACGACTCAAGGTACGCGACTCTCGCTGGCTCTACGTTGGCGCACCGCGTTCGCGTCACTGACAATGGACATGTTAAGGAACCTAACACGGATCTGTACCGACCTGCTCTGGAGACACTTCGGACACTGATCAGAACTTCCACGTCCTCTATGACATCTGTTCCGAAACCTCTGAAGTTCCTGCATCCGCACTATCCCGAGCTGCAGTCATTGTACGAGACATGGGCGCCCTCAGAGAACAAGGTGAGCTAGCCTTGCTCTCCACGCTATGCATTCGCAACTGAATCCCTGCAGAGCTTGTTCGCAGATATTTTGTCTGTGCTCGCTATGACGTACTCGGACACCGAGCCGCGAGGCACTCTCCGCTACCGCTTGCTCTCCGCGTCCCTCAAGCCCGCAGGCTCGCAAATCTCGGAACCGGGCTCATGGGGACATGAGTACGTCCGTCACCTAGCTGCAGAGCTAGGAGAGGAGTACAGTGCACGCATACTTGGCGAGTCGGACACCACCGCTGCTCTGGAGAAAGACTCGGAAGCCGCACAGGAAGCGATGAAGGCTCCGCAGGTCATTGGGAACATCGACGACCTCCAAGATCTGGCCATGGTGTGCGCGGCATTCTTGCTCCACCACAACGCAGAACCAGATGCTGTCGACCTCTTGGAGGAGTTGGAGATTGTTGACCGGATATCGGAGCTCGTGGACGAGAATACGTATGAGCGGATATGCCAGTACATGATTCGGTGAGTCCCACTCTGTGCCTTCGGTGCCCACCGCTGACGCGTTTCATGCAGCTGCGTAAATCTGCTACCCCCACCAGACGACCGCGCATTCCTCCGGACAGCACACAATATCTACGGCCAGCAACACAAATTCCCCCAAGCACTCGCACTCTCAATACGTCTCGGCGACCCTGAGCTGATTCGCAAGGACTTTAACGCCCCAGCAAACCCTTTGATGAAGCGTCAGCTCGCATTCATGCTCGCCCGCGCCCAAATCCCACGAGAATGGATCGACCCGCAAATGTCAGAGGATGGTGTAGACGAGGGCGAGTCAGAGTTGCCAGAGGACGTCGTGGAGTGCTTGAGCAATACACACTTGAGTGAGCACTTCCGGGACTTTGGCAAGGAGCTGGGTGTTCTGGAGCCGAAGAGCTTGGAGGATGTGTACAAGTCACATCTTGAAAACACAAGTGCGTCTTCCCTCTCACTTGACAAAGTAATACTGATGTTCTGCATAGGAACGTCTGCGGCTGCGAATGTCGACTCGGCGCGGGGTAACTTGGCTGGCACATTCGTCAATGCCTTCGTCAACGCTGGCTTCGGCAACGACAAGCTCATGGTCGAGGCCGAGGAGGGCAACAGCTGGATCTACAAGAACAAGGACCATGGTATGTTGAGTGCCGCAGCAAGTCTTGGTCTCAGTCTTCTGTGGGACACGGACGTCGGTCTCAGCCATGTCGACAAATACACCTACGTCCCGGAAGAGTACATCAAGGTCGGTTCCGCATACCTCTCACTTATGCTGATTTGTGAGACTCATGCTTGTTCCAGGCGGGCGCGCTCCTCGCGACAGGTATTCTCAACTGCGGTGTACGAACAGAAGCCGACGCGGCCCTAGCCCTGCTCGGCGAATACGTCGAGAACAAAGCTGCCTCGCTGAAGATCAGCGCCATTGTTGGTCTTGGTCTCGCCTACGTTGGCTCGCACAGGGAAGATCTCCTGCAGATGCTCATTCCGACCGTCAGCGACGATGGCATCTCGATGGAGATCGCGTCTCTGACTGCACTATCACTCGGCTTCATCTTCGTTGGCAGCGGGAATGGCGAAATCGCCAGTACGATCCTGCAGACGCTGATGGAACGCGAGGACAAGCAGCTTGAGGAAAAGTGGACGAGGTTCATGTTGCTTGGTCTGGCGCTTCTCTACCTCGGTATGTCGCTCGTAGCACTCTTGAGATGACTTATCGGCTGACGTTTTGCAGGCTTGCAGGACGGCTCTGACGCGACCATCGAGACCCTCAAGGCGATCGAGCACCCGATCTCGAAGCAGGCGGTCATCCTCGTACAAACGTGCTCGTACGCGGGCACGGGTGATGTCCTCAAGATCCAGGAGATGCTTCACCATTGCGACGAGCATATCGTAAAGCCATCGAAGGACGAGAAGAAGGACGGTGAGAAGAAGGATGAGAAGGATGCCGCGCCGGAGGAGCCCCCCAAAGACGACACCTTCCAGTCCTTTGCTGTTCTGGGTATTGCGTTGGTCTCGATGGGCGAGGAGGTCGGCTCAGAGATGTCCATGCGGACACTGAACCACCTCGTGAGTCTTACGCTTGCCTGGAATATGGTTTGAATTACAATGTCTTGCCCGCAGATGCACTATGGAGAGCCTGTCATCCGGAAAACGGTCCCTCTAGCCCTCGGCCTCCTCAGCGCATCAAATCCTCAGCTTCCCGTACTCGACACCCTCTCGAAGTACAGCCACGACAACGACCTCGCCGTCGCACTCAACGCGATCTTCGCCATGGGTTTGGTCGGTGCTGGATCCAACAACGCCCGGCTCGCACAGATGCTCCGACAACTAGCGGGCTACTACTACAAGGAGCCTGATTGCTTGTTCATGGTCCGCATCGCGCAGGGACTCGTACATATGGGCAAGGGGACGCTCACTATCAATCCGTTCTTCTCGGACCGCAACATCATGAGCAGAACAGGTGTGGCGGGTTTGTTGGCTACGCTGCTCGCGTTTACAGACGCGAAAGGCTGTGAGTCGACTCGTGAAGTATGAATGTGTCACTGGTGTTGATATTTTGCTTCCCAGTCGTGCTCGACAAGTACCACTGGATGTTGTACTTCCTCGTGACGGCGATGTATCCGAGGTTCCTCATTACCCTCAACGAGGAACTCAAGAGCTTCCCGGTCACCGTCCGCGTTGGTCAGGTGTGTAGTCATACTGTTTATTGCTCGACCCCGGCTCACCCAATTATGTGCAGGCCGTCGACGTCGTCGGCCAAGCCGGCAAGCCAAGAACGATCTCCGGCTTCCAAACGCACTCGACACCAGTACGGTTGGGCACGACGGAGCGGGCCGAGCTCGCGACGGAGGAGTTCATCCCCTTCGCGCATGTGCTGGAGGGCTTCGTCATCCTGCAGAAAAACCCGGGGTACGAGAAGGAGGACCAGATGGAGCTGTAGTTGCTATCAGTATAATTGTAATTCGTCGCATGAATCTAGCTTTCTCGCACCTTCGCATGGGCCCTCAGTAGTGTTCGGTCGTTCAGCAGCGTAATAGGTCCACTCCCAATACTGCTGCTGTTTTGATACTCGAGGTTGGGATTCGTGGATGCTTGAAGCTTCGGCCTTTGCCGTGGTGCCAAAGTGGGCCGCTCAAGATCCTCCCGTGGTGAAACTGCCCATTGCACGAGCACAATATGGTGCCATTCGACTTCGACTTGCACGACGCTGTTCTTGCTTCTACACTTCCACTTGGCTAGCTTGAGCCTGTAGTTACTGATAACCTTCAGCATCCACGATGGCTACAGTCTCGACAGCAAGTGCGTCTCAACCTAACGGAGTTGTTCTGCCTCAGGGAGACAAATATCGGGGAGCGGTTGTGGAGGTACGTCGACTCAGAACACCTCTGGTCATGAAAGGAGGTAACCACCTTCAACATGCAGGACCTCCAACTCCCGCCCGCCTTTGCGCTGCCGTCCGATGAAGCCATCTCACGAGCGATCGAGTCGGCTTATGAGCGAGACTTCTCGTACATCCCGTAAGTCACCTCTAATCTGCATTGCATCAGAACAGCATGCCTGAATGATACGCACACAGGGTACTCGACCGACACCGCAAACCTCTTGGCTACCTCGACGTTGCCGCCTTGAAGGAGAAGTGGGAAGCCGGGCAGGCTGCCCCTGTACGTCTATGTCTATGTCTCAAGCCCTTCTTCATGGCGTATCCTAACGCGCTGACGTTCCTTCCTTGCTAGGACGACAGGGTGATCACACACTTGACCAAATTCAATCGGTCGTCGTCGCATCCCTATACAATCATTACGCCGTCAACGCCGCTGCCAGAATTGGAGGAGTTCCTGCGGCACAATGTCTTTGCGATCGGTACGTTTCATCCTGAGAAGGAAGGCTGATTGTCAATGATGGATCTGTTGCACTCGTCAGTGACAGACTACAGTCGCAAGTTCGTGCTTGGGGTCGCAACAAAACAGGATCTCGACGTAAGCCGCCATATCCATGTCTTCCGATACGTTTGCGAGCTCAGCCCACTCGCTCTCACAGAACTTCGTGTCTCGTCGCGGTTGATTGAGCCGTTCTTTCGGATAGTGTGTTTCTTGTGCTCTACAGACTTCGCCACCTTTCTTGCGCTGTTCAACGAATTCAACGAGTAAATGCAATAGATGCTGCATAGAAATCTCCACAGCCCAGAGGAGTGATTGCAATCAACACAAGTACAAGTACATTGGAGCGAGGGTATGCATAGAGATTACGCAGCTGGGATATAGGCTCTTGGTGGAGCCCGCAAGCAAACGTGTGTAGACAGCATTATGGACCCTAGGATACGGCCTATTGGATAGCACAAGCAGCAAGTAACGACTGACTATGAATACGACTGACTACGAATACAGATGACGCACTGCCGACCGAAGGAACGATGGTGACACTCTGGAGTCGACTTCGAGATCTACTTAAATACCCAAAGAACCGTCAGTGGATGAGCGACATGAGCCGCCGCCACGGGAGCACGCCGAACGCTATTGTCGGCGCCCATGCAAAGAGCAGGAAGGCGACGTGCTGCGAGCCGAAAGGCGTGGGCGGACCGCGCCCGGAGAAGACATCGCTCAGCGAGGTGATTGCGCCGGCTATCTGGGCGAACGACAGGAAAGTCTCGAAGAAGAGTGTCCGCCACACGTCTGCACTGCGCCACGCGGGCGTTGACACCGCCACGTCCGAAGACGACGGCCGCTTGGGGTCTGTACGTCAAGTGAGACAGCGCGGGGGTCTCATCAGCCATGCGCGCGATACCGAGATGGCCAAACGGGGACCTACAGGTGTACATCGTCGGGCCTTCCCCTGCGCCGGGACCCCGCGCGAACTCGAGCTCCGGCGACTTCGTCGAGTCGGACGCGACGGACGGGCGGGCCCAGCGCATCGACCCGCTCGTCGTCTCGTCGTCGTCGTCCTCGCCGTCGTACACGAACGCGCCCGTCTCCTCGTCCCAGAACACGCCGCCGTCCGAATGGCCGTTCACGGAGTCGTCGCCGAGGTTCGTCAGGAAGGTCGGCGACGACGGCTGGCCGTACATGAGCGTCGGGCACACGTGCATGTTCTCCGGGCTCGTCCGCGCACTGCTCGACGACATGTGCGGCAGGAAGGACATCGGCGAGGGCGACTTCGTTGACCTGCTCGGGCGTGCATCTGCGGACGTCTGCCCCAGCGAAAGGTTCGACCCCGAGCCCGATTTCCAGGAGAACGGCAGGTGGTAGTGTCGGCTGTGGCGCGCTACGATAGGGCTGATGGGCGCGCGGCCGACGCTCGTCCGTCCATGGTCGGACGGTGTCCGGGACGGCACAATGTATATCATGTGTTCTGCCGTCGGGGTGGTCGACGTGGTCCTCGGGATCTCGTGCACGTCTGGGTCGAAGACGGCCGTAGCGGGAGTCCGGAGCTCGGGCTCAATGGGGGTGTCTCGCTCGGAGGACCGCGTCGAGATCCGCTTCGCTGACTGCAAGCGGCGCACAGGGACTGCGGTGAAGGCGTCGGCCTGGGAGGTTTGGTAACTGGTTGGGGGATGAGTAGATTGTTGTCGACTAGACAGTAGCAGGACGACAGAGGCACAAGCAAGCACTAGGGAGGGTATTGCAAACAGAAGGGGTATACCGGCATAACCCAGAAGACGGACCCTAGGGGGCAGTCAGCCATCCAAGATTTCGAAGGTCGATCACGCAGTGATATACGTACCATTCGTGGTGAGCGACATCACACTGTAAGCCGTCGGCCCCCTCGATTGCGTGGAGCTTGAGCGAGACAACAAGGCATAAAGTAAAGAATATCGCCAAGCAACCGACCATCACAGGCATAGACACAGGGTGCCACTCCAGGGAACGTTGGCTGCGTGCTCATGAGCACGCCGTGAATAAGTGGGCCAGTATGCCACTCACAAGTCTGCCACGCTTAGCTTTCCTCGGGAACGCACGATCGACAATGACGTAGAGACTGTCATGATGGCGCACAGGCCGGTCATAGCGAACCATGAGAGGGTCACAAGTGCGGCCTGCACTGTGTGAGGGTACATGGTGGTCAGTACGTATTATTCAGGCAGGAAAGTAATGAAGCTCACGTCTACAGAACCCAGACGGCATTGCGTACGGATTCATCTTCCATATCATGCCTGTATAGATTCAGCTGGTGGTCTATATGTTGGCGGATGCATGACATACCCAAGCAGAATACTACCTGCATCGCCGTATTGGCGATGGCGTACGTGACGGGTATCCAGTGTCCCCCCAGAGCGACGACAGAGTAACGTAGGACCACCAAACTAGTAAGAAGACCTGGGAGGGCATGAGTTCTCATGCCACGGAGCGACCACTGCCAGAAAGGAGACTGCTACGCACCCGAGAGAGAAAGAGCGAACCATGCAGCCTTCAACGCGTACGAGATCATGCCAGAGGTAGATGTGCGCTCACCGGGAGGCACGGTGAGGCATACCGGTCTCGACGAGGGTACGGAAGAAAGGACACGATAGGGGACAACGGGGGACAATGACAAGCGACCTGGGAAATTGCGAGCTTTCGGGACGAGTCCGGTGTAGCGGGCCCACGAAGACCGTCACGGTGGCGATCGCGCATCGGCTGCAGGCCAGAGCGCTTCCCCAATCACAGGATCACAGCGCGAATCTGGTTCTATAAGTTCTAACCTGCCTTGCTTCCGGCCTGCGCACAGCCCGGGGCGTTCAGTAAAGGGAACCCGCTGACCGCCGAGTCTATTGGCCGCGACGTGCCAAGATACACATATGGGCTAGCTTGGGGCATCCCATGCCAATCTGACGGGCCTCCAGATGTCTCCGGAGCTGGTAATGCAAGGAAAGGTATAGTCGAGTTTGCCGCATCACATCAACTTCGAAGCTCACAGAGATTGGGCAGCGCGTGCGACCATCGTCCTCAGCTTGCCGACCGACGCCGTCCGTATGTATCACCCCAATGACGCCTGCTCAGTATCGATACCAGGCCGAGACGTCGACGGGACGTGCCTCCACGACACTTATCGAGAAGCAGTCAGAATCACCTGAACGAGCCTGAACGGCCCAAAAGTCGTAAGTACCTTTTCTCCGCTGGCTTCCTCCTTCTTCGATGAGTCCGTTCCGAAGCATCTGAGCATAACTGCCGATGCTTCCGGATTGTGGGAATGTCTTGAACGTACCTATTAATTATACTCTGGCAGTTGCTGGCAGGGCAGCAGAAAGAGATTTGGAAAATCATCGGATGACGCCAGGAGAGTACGTGCCAGTGTCAATGCAACAAAAGTACCGTGTGCTTCAGCCACCTTTCGTCCCCCTTCCCCATGTCTGTTCTGTCTATTCGGCCCAGCCTCATTCTCCTTCGGAGATGAAGCCGGCAGTAGCATGAGCCTGGGTTGGAGTTCTCATAGTGTCTCTTCTTACTCTCAGGCTTTGTACTCAAGCGGAACCAACACAAGCCGCTGTCTTCGGGCCGACGTCGCTGGGCGTGCGCGGTGAGTAGAGTGATTCAGTCGACGGCCACCAACTCCGCTGACATTGTATACTATCTGTCTGACTGCCAACATCCTCGTGCACCTTAGGCAGTGTGAGCCCGTTGACCGGATCGGAAGCCAGGTGGGTTCTCCTGACTTCGAACTTCGAGTGAGCTTATGTGACAAGGTTTGACCGCACAAACCCCGGCCGCATTAACGAGCTGTGCTTGTCGGCCTTCCTGCCACCGTATTGACATACGTATCGGATCCAGCAGCCCCTCGTTCCGACTCTTCATCGGTATGGAAAATTATTGAGTGTACGTAGATTTCCACAGTCGGTGATATGATCTAGTCCTCCGCCGCTTGCTTGGTGTCCACTACGCCCGCAATGGGGTCGCTCGCAGCCAGCAACGACGAAGCTAGCACCGCAGGCTCTCCACGTCCCTGGCGGGACGCCAGGCTGCCCTCGCGTGACGGCGGATCGAGCACGTCTGCCTTTTCAGGCACCCAATCCATCGAAACTGTCACGTCGATGATGTTGGCCCCTATTCCGACGGGAAAGTCGAGTTCCTTCCGCGTCAGGACCAGCGTTGAGCTCTGGCCGATCGGAGTACGGGGATGTGGCATGTGGAAGGTGGGGATGAACCAGAACCAGCCCAGGAAGACCTGACGCGGATTAGTTGATGTTGTTTCCTGTGACAGAGAGCGCAGCTGACATACCTGACCCATGTAGACCTTGACGCGCACCTCCCGATCAGCATTTAGCACGACGCCTTGATCGTCTTTCAACGTCTGGGTAACGTCGCTGATGGACGTGCTCTCTGACTCGACATGTACATCGGTCACTCCATCCGATAGCGCTTTCTCGTCTTGCTCTTGCACTTCCTTTTCCGCATGCTGTCTTATCGTCTCCTTGAGTTTGCCCCACTTGTCATCTGTCAAAGGCTTGAGGACCCGCGTCACCACTTTTCCATCCTGGTATAGTTTCGGCATCAGCGCTCATCCATCAACGACGCCACTATGTCAGTAAGTAGGCGCAACGAGGCTCTGGCTCACCGTCTGAGTGTCCTCCTTCCGGTAGTCTTCCTCCCGCACCACCCCCAGGCGCGCGAACGGCCTGACCATCTTGCCCTTGTCCCATATGTCATCCTCGAAGACGCCCGAGAGCGCCTCGTCCCCCACTCTCTCGCTTCCCGGCTTGCGTCGCCCCATGTTCCCGCCGTCGTCGCGTGTCTGCCGCTCCCACCGTTCCAGCGTCTCAGTTAGGTCATCGTCGTACCGCGCGAGCGACACCCATATGCGCCCGCCTGCCCGCGACGCTGTCGCAATTTCGCCCTTGGGCGCTTTGGCATAGCTAGTCCGTTCGAGGAGCGCGTTGGCAGCGCGCATCAGGTTCACCTTCACACCAGACAGCTCGCGCATACGGATCGCGACCTGTGTGAGGCGGATTTTCGGCGGGGGGCGCTTCAGGACTCCAGACTCCTTTGACCAGAAGCCTGGCGGAGCTTGATGTGAGATGACAAGAGACCAGTAGTATAGCCACCTGCGCTGGCTCGGGATGCTGACACCTTGTTTCGTCTGCTGGGAGGGCGAAGTGGGGCGCCTCATCCGTTTCGATGTGTGCAGTTCAAGGACTCGTGTGAGATTCTCGGCGTGGTCGCCTTGAGAACCTTGCTGCTGCATGGCATTCATCCCTTCATCGTCGGTCATGTCGGGAGGTACGGGCGTTCCAGGCTCGGTCTGAGGAGGGACATCTTGTGAGTTATCATCCGAAGGCATTGAGTTCATAATTTGCTGTGCGCGTGCGGTCGCTTCATCCTTCGCTGTCTGACTTCGCTTGACCGTTTGGGGACTGGGTGCTTGGTCGGATGTGAGGAGGTACGCGCACGCCATGGTACCTGATCGTCCCTTGCCAGCTTATTGAAGAGCGGTTCACTCAGCTTCCAGCAGAGATATGTGTGATGAGGACCTCACCTTTGCAGTGCAGGACCGCGACTCGCTCTTTGGAAGGCTCTAACCATGCTCGTATCTCGCGGGCGACTAATGGAAGGATCGCCAGCGGTGGAGCGCTGCGCCGACCTGTTTTGAATTATCCATTGAGAGATCAAGAACTGCACGTACTGGTGGTCAGGAAACGGGTATCTGCTAACTCTGCCATCAAAAATACTGGCAGGGTAGCAGTTCTCTGCCACTGGGCAGAAATTGAACACCCAGAAGTTCTTGCCGTGACGATGCTCCAGGAAACGTTTGGCATCCTCGCGTCGGTTGCGATACAACGCTTCCAACCCGGATGCAGGGTACCCCATCACAATCACTTGCTCGGTGATGTAGACAAGGTCTGAGAGGTTCACGGTGTTTAGCCCGACATGGTTGCAACCCCAATAACCTGAAATCGACTCACCGAGGTCAATGTCCAGTTCATCGTCCTTATATCTAGCCTTGTCGAGGGAGACAAGACGACGAATGAAGTCTGTCATGGCCGTGAGTGTGAGAGGGTGTACAGGGACTCTTTAGGGTCATGCACATGGAGGAACGGAGGTATCCATTGTCTGCCAAGGCCACTGTTCAAGCTGGCACTGATGGCGCTGCTGTCACCAACGCCATGGCCGCTGGCGGAGACCGTGTGATGAAGTCATAGTGCGATGCCAAATAAGGCAGACGTAGTAATCGTCGGCAATGCCCGGTCGGTCTCCTTGAGTCCCATCTCCATGACCTGCAGCTGATTGTTAGTGCACATACGACTCTGTTGTAGGAGGACTTCTACCAGAGTAGGATCACAGATCCTGAGTCCTGACGCCCGCCGACAACGTCGTCAACAAGGTGAGTCACATCCCGGGCCAATACAATAGCCATCGATAATGATTACACACGCCCAAGGCTGGAAGGGGAACACAGGACCTTCATCTCGTATTCACCACAAGGTCGCTCGGATGGCGACGACTTTCGTACCTCTGTCTGAATTGTCGTTGTTCCCTGCGACACCCGATCAGGTGCTCGAATCGCGCAGACGTCATGCTCCCCAATGGTGCAGAAAACTCAGCATCGAGGAGTACCTCCTCCGGGATCAACTAATGGACGGGCACGAGCATGCCTCGGACAATAAGTTCATTACATGGTAAGTCATATTGCCTTCGATTGCGCAGGCGTTAATGTGTTGACGACCTCACAGGGTGCTGGCTCCCAGGGCAAATCCCACCACGCTGGACTTCATGTGCTCATGTGAGACGTAAGTCATTCCATAAGGGGCTGAAACTGAATTTGAATGAGATAGGTCGCAGCTTTCGCAGAACAGCGGTCGTGGCGCATCCTTCAGATCCATCCGGCGCGAAGCAAGTGACTGCCTACGCCATAGCGTCTGTGTTCACTCCACCAGAGAAACGCAAGAAGGGCTACGCTCAGTACATGATGCGCCTTCTCCACTGGGTCGTGGCTCCTCGCTCAGCTCTTCCCGTGTTTCCTGACGGCTGGGGTTCCCCGACAGAGGTCCCTGAGGGACTGGGTCTGCAGAGCGCGCAGTTCTCCGTGTTATACAGCGACGTCGGGAAGGAATTTTACCAATCTTGCGGTCCGATTGCTGAGCCAGGAGGCGGATGGCTAGCGAGCGGCGCTGTGGAGACGTCCTGGTACGCAGACAAAGCACCCAGCGGTACGACAACGGGACCTACTTCGCCTCACATATGGCTCTCTGAAGACGATGCGAAGCACGTATGGTCACTGGACGTGCCATTCATGAGAGCGGATATATCGGAAACGGCCAAATCCTCAGGCCACACTGCGTTCTCGTTCTTACCGAACAAAGGCGTCGGCGCTTTCGTTGTACAACGCACCATGAGCTTCACGGCGGATGATGCACCTGTGCTCCCTTTGGACACGTGGGGCGTACTCTTGCTGCCGAGCGCAGTCGTTGGCGTCGATGAAGTCTTCGCGGATCTGGACAAACAGCCCACATACGCTACGTGGACGCTGGACACCTCAAGTGAATCGTCACGCGTCCTGGTCACGACGCGAGTGCGCGCCTCGAGGGAGACCTTGCCTGGCTTGCTCGAGGTGCTTGTGCACTTCGCGCGGAAGGAGAACATCCAGAAGATCGAAATCTGGGGACTGCCCGAAACGTTGCAGGCAGCCGCGAGCGAGTCGGACTGGGAGACATCGGCAAGGACAGATCATCTCTCTGCGTTCAAGTGGTACGGGAAGGAGGGCGAGAACGAGGTGGAGTGGGCGTTTAACGAGAAGTACGTGCTCACTTTTATGGCCTCGATATCACAGAATCTGAGATAGTAGCGAGATAGGTTCTGCTGGTGCTGAATCTGTATCACACGTTGTACACGTCACGAAGGATGAGGTATAGCATTGTGTAGGCGTATAATCGTGAGGATGCCGCATGCAAGGCGATCAGGCAGGAGCAAACTGGGTGATGACGCTCACAGGTTCCTTGTACTGGGCGATGGGCTTGAAGGCAAGGTCATGCAAGCTGTTGAACGTGGCAATATGAGGTCGATACACACACGTCAAGTGATCTTATGTAGTACATACCCGAATGCAGCCGGACCGCCGCATGCCAGGCCTTCTGGGGTAGTGGTCCACTTAGGATCGGCCGCCATGGCGATGACGGTCACCCTCAAGCCATACCTTGCTCTGTCGTTCAGCAGTGGTTGTTAACTTCCAGCACTACAACGACTCACCGGTAATCAGGAGTGCCAAGAGCTGTTCCGTTCTGCGAGTCCAGGACAGTGATGAGGTCCGGCACAGTAGCCAACATCTACAGGGGATAAGGCTCAGAGACACGGACATGCTGAGTTCAGGATGCGTACCTTCTGCTGTCCGTCTGGGGTCGCCAAGTACGCATACAGGTTCTCATTCTGGAACGGTATGATGAGGCGGTCATCCGGGCCATACGCAGGCGCGGGCGCGTTTATGGAGCCATCATCTTCTTCCTCGTCCTCCACCAAGGGCACGATAGTGACTTGACCCCAGGTGAAACCCTTGCGTACTTCCTGCTCATCAGCATCAGTATCTCCCATAATCTGATTCGAAGAAGGAGAAACATACTCTTTGCACGTCCACAATCTTACCAACGAACAGGCAAGCGCCGTTCTGCAATTCTAGGATTGCGGCGGGTATAGCCTTCAAGTCGTTTCTCCTTCTGCAAAGAGCGACTGCACGACCAATGTGCCACGCTTGCGAGACACTGCGCGTAACACCTTTCGCACCAGAGTCAGTGTCATGAGTGACGTTCGAGCGACGCATCGAGTACCATATTTTTGGCAATTTAAACGGCTCAGAGGAGCCATGCTAACACCGCTTCTAGAGCCCATTTCTGTTGTTGCACTACGAAGGACAGTCTCAATCATCTTGGGCGTGCTTGCCGAGGGCATGACCTGTGAAGTGAGGTGAGATAATCTAGTTGCCGGATGCCTTATTACCTACTCACCACCGTGTTCCCAACGCCGTCAGATATTGCACAAGGCCAAAGCCCACCGGGGATATTGAATGCACCAGGCAGCGATTGATACATCTGGAAACATCGTTGAGTCAGCTACAGGACTCTCAAGGAGAATGAATCGTAGCCTCGGCGTACATTGGGATAGGCGCGGCCCATGAGATCAGCGTCTAGAACTGTCTTACCCATTTCCGCGGCGACAAGCATAGGCTGTATGCCGTTTCCTCCTCCAATCTCATCGGATATAACGCCTGCGAAGTCTTGCAGGTTCATATACGTCATCAATCTACGAATAGACGTGGGTATTTCGTTTCCTCCTTGTACACGCTCGATCTTAACATTCGACGCCCCGTCAATGCCTTCCGAGATGATGACAACTATCTGACCGCACCGAGACGCTAGGAGATCCCTAAAGCACATCGTCAAGGCGGTACTGCTCAATGACATGACAGCACTCACCATAAACATGCAGCGCAGAAAGATCGTATCTTCAGCGACGTCATCCGGATCGACGACCTGATCAACGGTCAATACTACTTGTCCGTTTTGAGACGGCTATACTAACAATGATCTCTTTCCCGTCGCGCAGGAGTTGGCGAGCCATGAGGTACGGTGGGTATGTTGTGCCTCCCCCGCCTGTGCCCAATATTCCGCAGCCGTCTGCGATCCACTCTGAAGAAGAAGATCATTAGCTCGTAAAGCGATAGAGAAAGACAGGGCAACGCACTGAGGTCCAACTCAGATACACTCCAAGAGCGATCTTGTCGAACTTCAGGCGTATAAGTTTCAATGTCTATAGTTGCATCCTCCCCAATACTATCGGTGAGGACCGTCTTGTCGTTCTCTTCTATGTTGGCCACGTCCTGATCGTTTATCTGTATATCAAACGCGGACATGGAGGCCACCGCTTCGGGTGCCAGGTCACCCGCAGCTTTGACGATGATCCTTGTTGCTTGGTTCGTCACGTATTGCACAGGGAGGTTAGCGACCTCGACGATCTTGACAGTCGCTGTGTGGCAACAGGTCAACACAGTGCGCCATACTGATGGTTTCATCTATCTCACCTGGGTCGGCACCGCCTTTGATGGCCTTCTCGATCGCTTGAGCCTTGATACCTTCGATGACTTCGTGTATATCGCGACCTTGCAGTATCTCTATGGTGTCTATTTCTCCGGCGACTACAACGGCATGACATGTTCAGTCAGCGCGCTGTCCGCAGCATTCATTAAACTAGAACTCGCCCTTGGCCATTGCCGCACCGACAGCGTTCGCAACTCCAAAGTAAGGTGGGCGTACGATTTCCCCGACTCCAAACAGTTGCTCTGGCGCGATGATACTGCCACCACCAACTAAGAGAACAGTTATGTCTTCGGGAGATGTTTTCATTCTTGACGGTTGTGATGAGTAGCGTAACACGACATGCACATGATCACATACTTATCGATAATTCCCTCCAGCTGTTTCTTCATTGCCTTGCTGGCCTTCTCGACGGTGTCTGGGTCAATACCGGTAACGTTGTTTTTTTCTCCCAGTTGTGCACGGCCACTTGCGACAACGACATCAGTGGTAGTCAATACGTCTCCCCCGAACACCTTCGCGTCCCTTGTAATATAGTGTCCCACGGAATCGGGACCGACAGTCACGCTGCGCCCCTGAGCCGTCTCAGACACCTTCACACGGGAGCCGCCACCCAGGCCAATGGACTGGACATCCGCCATGGCGAAGTTCGTACGCACCCCGCCAACTTCGATGAAAGACGCTGCCTGTCGCGGGAAGCCGGATGGCAGAAGCACGCCCACATCTGTGGTTGTCCCACCAATGTCAGCAACAATGATCGACTTGCGTTGCTGTCCCGTCTGCTTCTCGTCAAGACCGGCTAGAAAAGCGGCGCCTCGCATTGAGTTCGTAGGTCCCGACGCGAACGTGCGGATAGGTAGTCGTGCAGCGGACGCCGCAGTCGTGAGAGTGCCGTCATTCTGAGTGAGGAACAGGGGGCACGCGAGATTGAGGGCCTTCATGGCTGCCTGGAAACCTCGAATGGTTCTTTGAGCGAAGGTGAGGATTGAAGCGTTCAAGATGGACGCGTTCTCGCGCTCGAGGAAGCCGACTTGTCCAACTAGTAGGAAGTATGAATCTGTCAACAATACTGCTGTCGCGGAGAAGGAAGCACTGACCGTTACGCGAACAGACAACGTTAACTCCGTCTCCTAATGCGCGTTGAACGATCTCGGCAGCGGTTTGCTCTTGCTTTCCATCGTTATCCAGGGGTGAAAATACGCCGCATATGACAATCTGACAAATTCTAGCTTGCCTGGGAGTTTGTGACAGAGGTCAAAGAACCCTCACATTCTTGAGGCCTTGTGCCCTAATAATCTTGCACTGCTCTATCACCTGATCTTCATCCAAGGGCAGGACTTCGCGACCATCAACTGTTGCCCGAGGTGAGAATATGACACGTCAAGTGAAGGAGGACCTGGTACGAACTCTGTAGACCGCCGTCAACATATCCAACATACCCTTCTGTTAGAGCACGCAGACGTGGCGGGAAGTCGACGAATGGCGGACACTGCTTCGTATACGGTCCACACAGGCGAATGACAGCAACCTTCGCTAGTCGTCGTGCATCCGCTTCGAGCACAGCGTTGATGAAAGCAGTAGTGCCGATGCTAAGAGACGAGACCGACGTCACTGCTGTGTCTGCACGCTCCAATATTTCTCGGACAGCATTCTCGATTCCTTGAGAGACTTCTGGAGTCGTAGGTGCCTTGAAATGCGCGAGAACCCCGCGGTTTGGTTCGTGTAGGCGTGTCAAATCGATGAGCACGCCATCCGTATTTGTACCTTTCAGAATTTGGAACTTGGTGGTCAGAAGCATTTACAAAAGCGGGCAAGATCAGCATGAGAAGTACTAGTGTAGGCGTCACGATTCAGGCTCCCGTGCGTGCGTGAGTAGACGGATACACAGACTCAACTGCTACGCCGCCGCATGCTCCGAGTGCCACTGTCAAGTTTGCAGTCTCGCTGATGGATCAATGTCCACCGGTGATACAGAGGCTTGCGTAGCAGCTGAGTTCTCCATCCTAAAATGGGCCAGAAATCTCCGTAGACTTTTGCTTGCCGAAGACAAGGACAAGTGGTCGTGCTGCTGAAGCGCTAGATGTGCACGGCTTCCATTTTTGGATATAACGCATGTGGCCCGAGATCCGATCGGTACTCACCGCCAACGTCGACCCCGATGCGCAACATGACGGAGATTTTGAGCTTGTCGACGAACGGATAGCAGGTGGTGCTCAACCTCGATATAAGAGAAACCTTATCACTAGAATGAACTGACGAGGAGTCAGGAGTCAGGACATCGATGCGGTTCCCCAGATAAGCGTTTCGCAGGACTGCCGCGATAATCCAAGCAAGCCCAAAAACGAGAGTATCTCTTTTTGGTCAGTAACGGATACTAAAGCAAGCCATTGGTAAATTCGTCTCGCTTGCGCAATCATTTCGTATAAAACATTTGATAAGGCAGCGCTTTACAGTACATACACCGTTTCAATACGTCTTTTAACACCCTGCACGGAACACCCTGCATGTAGTATAACTTTCATTTTACCGGAGTACTGCCAGTGGACGGAAGCCCTTGGGGGGCATGCACAGCCCCGTATTTTCGTCGCACAGAGCTAGTCTGAGTCGAAGTGTGGTTCCAAATCACGCGAACTCAGAGATGACGCTCTGAGGTGGTTTGTACTTTGCGATCGGCGTGAACTGCACTTGGTGCAAACTGCGTACGCGAGGAGTCAGTGGGGTGGTCGCCATTAACTATCGAAGGAAGAGCGTACCCAAACGCGGAAGGACCACCAGTGGTCAAGCCTTCTGTTGTACTCGTCCATTTAGGGCTCGCCGCCATAGCTATCACAGTGACGCGCAGACCGTAGCTGGTACAACAACTTGAGAATGTGACTCAGAACCGATTGCACGACAATCGACTCACCGATAGTCAGGCGTTCCGAGTGCTGCACCATTCTGTGAGTCAAGCACAGTGATCAAGTCGGGTACGGTCACGAGAATCTACCACAGATATGTCAGCCGCGTGTTGATAGCCCTGGTACGTAGTAGAAATACCTGACTGCTGCCATCTGCCTTCTCCAGGCACGCGTACAGGTTCTCATTCTGGAAGGGTATGACGAGGCGGTCGTCTGGACCATACGGAGCAGGAGCACTCCCAGAAGCAGAATTATTTTCTTCTTCCTCTTCCATGAGGGGCGCTATCGTGACCGAGCCCCAGGTGAAGCCTTTGCGGACTTCCTGAACGTCCAAGAGGCATAAGCGCCAGGAAGCTTGAGATCATGCAAGCGATGATACTCACCCTGGACACATCCACGACCTTGCCGACGAACAGACATGCACCATTCTGAATCTCAAGGATCTTGGTAGGGATACCCTTCAAGTCATTGTTCTTCCTACAGAGTGCGACGGCACGTCCTAGGCGCCATGCTTGAGACACACTATGGGTGATACCTGAAGCAAGCGCAAGGCGCATCTTAACAATTGTGTCATTTTGAAGCAAGCGACAACTTACCGAAGTCCTGACAGGTGACGCGCTTGAGAGGCGGCATGGTCAAACCGCTTGAAGATCCCAACTCGGTAGTGATTGTACGCAAAATTGTCTCGACAGACATTCTATTGCTGGCACTTGGCAGAACCTGGCGAAGGATCAAGTATTACTATGTCGTCAGCGGCAGAGACCGGTAAGCTTACAACGGTGTTGCCAATAGCATCTGAGATAGCGCATGGCCACAGCCCACCTGGGAGGTTATAGGCGCCGGGAAGACTGTTAGACATTATCAGTCGCCAGTCATCACGCAGAAGATATGTGCCTAGCTTACGTCTGGTACAGCTGCGACGTCAAAACGGTGAGCGTCATCATGCAGGTTCACTTTGCGAAGGTAACATACGTTAGGGTACGCCCGACCCATGAGATCGGCATCTAATACGGTCTTGCCCATGGTTGCTGCAACGATCATGGGTTCAAGCCCGTTTCCGCCACCAATTTCATCAGAGATCACGCCGAAGACGTCGTCGTCTAGTTTGAGGCCCATGTAGGTTGTCAAGGCACGTACTGCAGCCGGGAGCTCAGTTCCGCCTTGCAGCCGCTCGGACTGCATGGACATGAGCAACGATCACAGATGTGCGTGGCAAAGACGGTATACGCACTGAGACACTAGGTGATCCCTACGAAAGCTGTCAGGAAAGTCGTTTCTCAACGCGCATCGAATGTGATCTCACCATAAACATGCAGCGTAGGAACCACGCGTCCTCCGGGATGTCCTCGGGATCTACGACCTGCCAATCCGTCTGATGGATGCCACAGCGAAGAGACAAATTGACCTACGATGATCTCCTTGCCATCGCGCATCTTCTGGCGGGCCATGAGGAAGGGCGGGTAGGTCGAGCCTCCGCCGCCGGTGCCCATTACGCCGCATCCCTCCGCAATCCATTCTGCATTACACAGCTTGTGAGTACAGCAACACGAACGCAACGTATATAAAACCTCACCGAGATCGAGCTCAGACAAGACCCACGATCTGTCCGCTCTGATAGTCGGCTTATATGTCTCGATGTCGATGCTTTCTGCCTCAGCGACGTCCCCAGACGCTGTCTTGTCGCCTTCCTTGTAGTCGTCTTCACCAAGGTCTTCCAGAGAGTCGTCAAGTGTGCTGACAGACGCGACTGCCTCAGGAGCCAGGTCACCGGCCGCCTTGACGATGATACGGGTCGCTTGGTTAGTCACATACTGCGCAGACTATCAGCAACCTTGTATATCGTGTTGACGGAAACACATACTTGCACCGGCAGGTTGGTTACTTCGACGATCTTGACGGTGGCTGATACAACATTGGAATAAATCGGTTGACGACGCAAGTTAGAACCTACCAGGATCGGCGCCAGCTCTGATCGCTTTGTCGATAGCCTGAGCCTTGATGTTGTCTATGACGTCATGTATGCTTCTGCCCTGCAGAAGCTCGATCGTGTCGATCTCGCCAGCGACTGCAGAGTGTCATTCAGCGAAGGAGTGGAGAAATAAAGGAGGTCGCCTACCTTTCGCCATAGCCGCGCCAACGGCATTTGCCACGCTGTAGTGCGGGGGACGTAGAATCTCACCTACCCCCACGAGATGATCCGGGGCGATGATACTGCCACCGCCCACGAGCAGTACAGTCACATCCTCAGGAGAGGTCTTCATCCTGTAACGCAACGCGTCAATACATACAAGACATTCCGCCATATTGCCACATACTTGTCAATGATGCCCTCTAGCTGCTTCTTCATGTTTGCCACGGCCTTCTCAACGATGTCCGCGCTGATACCAGCTACCGCGTCTTTCGTCCCCACTTCCGCACGACCACTAGCAACGACGATGTCCGTGGTCGTCAGAACGTCACCGCCGAACACCTTCGCATCTCGAGTGAGGTAATGCCCGACCGATTCCGGGCCGACAGCAACGTGGAGGCCCTGCGGTGTCTCATACGACTTGACGAGCGAGCCTCCGCCGAGGGCGATGGACTGCACATCCGCCATAGCGAAGTTCGTGCGCACGCCGCCCACCTCGATGAACGACGCCGCCTGGCGCGGGAAGCCAGACGGCAGGAGGACACCGACGTCCGTCGTCGTCCCTCCGATGTCCGCGACAATGGTCGACTTACGCTGCGCGCCTGCGCGGGGCTCGTCCAGGCCCGCGAGGAACGCCGCGCCGCGCATGGAGTTCGTCGGCCCCGAGGCGAAGGTGCGGATCGGGAGGCGCGCCGCGGAGACCGCGGTGGTCAGCGTACCGTCGTTCTGCGTGAGGAAGAGCGGGCAGGAGAGATTGAGCGCTTTCATGGCCGCTTGGAAGCCGCGGATCGTGCGTTGAGCGAAAGTCAGAATAGAAGCGTTCAGGATAGTAGCGTTCTCTCGCTCGAGGAAGCCAACTTGACCAACTGGAAGAGAGAAAAGTCAGCGTCGCGGTGCGAGGGCGTCATGAAGACAGAATACCTACCATCGCGTGAGCAGACTATGTTCACCGTCGGACCCAATTCGCGCTGCATGATCTTCGCCGCCTGGATCTCATGTTTGCCCTCACTGTCCAAGGCAGTGTAGACTCCGCAGAGCACCACCTGCAAGTTGGCCTCAGCGTCAGATTCGCAACAATTTGGCTGGAACACTCACGTTCTTCAGTCCCTTCTCTTTGATCAGCTTGCACTGTTCGATGAGTTGTTCCTCCTTGAGTGGTCTGATCTCGCGTCCATCGACTAGTCTTATCAGTATGAGAAACCGGGGGCACAGCAGCAATAAGACTCACTCTCCAACCCGCCATCAACGTAACCGACATATCCCTCGGTCAAAGCGCGCAATGGCGGCGGAAAGTCGATGAACGGGGGACACTGCCTCGTATACGGACCGGAGATACGGACGACGGCGACTTTCGCAAGCCGCCTCGCATCCGCCTCGAGTACAGCGTTGATGAACGCAGTGGTCCCGATGCTCACACAGGAGACCTTCTCGGGAGGAACGGACGCGATCGTGAGGACCTGGCGCACGGCGTTCTCAATGCCGTCCGATACGTTCGGGGTAGTAGGCGCCTTGAAGTGAGCGAGTACCCCGCGAGTGGGCTCGTGCAGACGAGTCACATCGATGAGGACACCGTCGGTGTTCGTTCCTGCGTATTCGTCAGTCAGCTTGCATCACGGTTGAAATACACATATGGAAGAGAACATTCGCTATACGAAATGTCACTCACCTCCAACGTCGACGCCAATACGCAACATGGTCAGGGATAGACTCGACTGTTGATTCTTGAGTGTCCGGATGCTCGCGATCAAGCTGATGGAGCCGCTCTTTCGTAGCAGCTATAAATCCCTCGGTCTTATCGGCACGATAAGTGCAAGGCCGGTCTACATAGGAGCCCATGGTGATAAGCTGGGTTTCGCGCTCGTAAACCGCTTAGGCCACGCTGTCCTCCGACCAAAATCCCTCCGAGGATAAGCAACCTCCTCGGTGACTCAGACTCGGCCCTTCGTCTGCTTATAATTAACGGTGAGTATTTGAATAGAAAAAGCCTCAGTAGTACACTTTGCTCACATCGTGGAGGTATACCGCTACACTCCGCGGGGAGCAGTATTTCCTCGGAACTTTCTGACCAATGAGTCTGATCCTCGCACTGCATCGCAGATGACCGACTCATTAAATGGCAATTGTGTTTGCCAATATCTTTGCTCGAAGTGATCGGTTTATTGTGCCTCAGTGCGGGGGGCCGGGAACGTATGTAGAACTTGGCAGGCACGACGATCTGGCCACCGTCCAAGTTTGGTCCAAGTAAGTTACAATCCCAATACGCCATGTGGCGCGGTATAATGGCACAGATATTCCAAGGAGGAGGAAGAGGAGGAGGAGGACACTGGAGACAGACCGGCTTGTGCGGAGTCGTAACGTTGTAAGTTACCGTCGTAAAACCGTGTAAATTAGGTAGATAATTGAACATAAGTAATTATTTTCTCGTCCCTAACATCGAAAGCCAGCCAATCAGAGGCCACCCCTTTCGATGTTAGGCTGCCTTCCATATGTCATTTTTGGTATTCCGCTTAATCTGCACGGTTTTACGGCGGTAACAATGTTAGGGTTCCGCACAAGCCGGTTTGTCCCCAGTGGGGTATATGGGTGACGATTTCGTGGAAAAATACTTACTTTCGCACGACTTGTTGCAATTGGCGCCCGGCGGACGTGCTCGAGGCGGCCTTGCCAAATCGGGATGAACATCGCATTTGGCAGGTCCGCTGTGCCAGGAGGTTTTCCACCTTATTCTCTATGATGAAAAGTCTTTCTTTTAAGTCTAATACACTTCTATTACATGTGTTACAATATCTGCTCCTTTCGGTACCATGAGACCCGCAGGAGGCTCATTGCGCGTAGACAGAGTTACCATAATTGGCTAATGATTCCACATTAGGCAATTGTCCAGCCACCGAAGCCGCGGGATCAGGTCAACAAACTACTTGCTCCTGCTATGTAAGTTACAGTGTTAGCACAGATTAGCACGTCTCACAACCTGATGTGCCCGCTGTGCTACATATATGATTGCAACGCGATGGAGTAAGGTGCGCGATGCTCAAGGTTCCACATGTACTTAGAGTACGGAGGGTCAAGGAGCTTAAAACAAATAAAATAAGTGCTAAGCAATGCTTACTTAATGCGTCACAGTTGTGGCTGAGAATGTCACGCCGGATGAGGTAAGAGCTCGTCACTATGTGACACCGGTCAGTCAGCGACTCGCGCCGCCACCGCGGCCGGTCGAGAGCAAAGCCTTGTCGGACACCTTCACCAGTGTTCCTCTCTTCGGACCTCTTCCACTCCTTTGCGCACAGCTTGCTAGCGGATAGACCCCTTGAGCTTCATACAACCTCAAGAACCTCATACCTGAAACATGGCTTCAGCATATTACGAGTTTTACCGCGGGTCTTCGTATGTACCACCAGCTCTGTCTGCAGGTTCTGGGGCTGACAGTGCAACTTCTGTATCCAGGATCGGAATGGCATTGACGGACTCCCTCGATGAGCTGATTACGAGCGGCGCCATCACACCACAGTTAGCCATGAAGGTCTTGCAGCAGGTCCTGTGGCGTACCCACTCATACCATGCCCATGACTGACAAGTACGCGGTCTTCAGTTCGATAAGTCTCTCGCGGATACCATGGTCAAATCGGTCAAGAACAAGACTACTCTGAAGGTTCGTTGCTTCCAATTGCCTCTCCGTACTGTGTGGCTTATGGCGTCGGTGCACGCAGGGCCACCTCCACACATACCGCCTCTGCGACGATGTATGGACGTTCATCGTGAAGAACCCGACGTTCAAGATGGAGCAGAACGAGCTGGTGTCCGCGCCCAAGATCAAGATTGTCGCATGTAAGAACGGTGACGCCATAGAGGCTGGCAAGAAGTGATGGCCACCCGCGCTCGGCGTTTCTCCCTTCGTCGCATCGTTCCGTGTTTGCATGAGGCCATACCGTATGTACTGCTGTGCGCATTAGTGAGCTTATGTATTTGCATGTATCATAGGTCGTGTCCTAGACGGAAGACTGTATGGACTATATCTGGCACGTCAGGATGGCATGGCGCCTGCGTGTTTGATCGACAGCCAACTCGCTTTTCTCGGTGCTTCCATCCTCCGGTAAATTGAGAACTCAACTCCATCGCGCGCCACAGAAGGAATGTCGTTGGGAATGGCACTGTTTGACCGGCGGAGCGCCGCTTTTTGCGACCATGCGCTCGGTATTCGGCTGGTCTTCATACTTACGTCGTGCATGCTGTGGCACAATGTGTCGGAGTGAGGCTGCCAGGCAGAGACGCCTTCTTGGATGGTAATGCCGTCTCTGCATACGTCGATTATGAAGACGTGCGAATATATGGAAACCGAAAGGTGTGTCTTTATCGTCTCCTTGCCCTGGCAGTCAGCCATACGACTTCTCAGACACCCCCGACACACACAGGTGAGTACAGCCGTGGCCAACCAGAGACGAACAATGTCAGCGGCGCTTCCTGTGCAATTGACAAGGTCACCTTGAGGTCACCATACAATGCCCGTTTTCGGGAAACCGGCGTCTTCGGACACACGGGCTCTGCAGTCACCTGTGCCCCACGCATCTCAGTGACATCGCGTCCGACCGCCACAGCTCGCCTCTCGAGGATCCACACACACCGACGCCATTCCTTGCCCGGTCACGAAAACGTCGCAACTACGGCATTCATGCAGAAGTCCATGCGCGAAGACATGCTGTTTCGGTGTCTCGGTGTCTCGGAGCGGTGTTTGCGAGTGCGGCGTGACTTCGTTTGAGGGAATGGAACAACTCTGGGCCGGGTATCAGTGTCAGGTCTGACGCATGACGTTGGAATGGTCGACACTTATAGCATGCGAACTCAATGCAAACCTATTCAGCTGTACCGAAGGAGGTCGGCTCGTCTTGAAAGGAGAGGCAATACTTCTAAGAAACATGCCCTCGTATGCCTAAATGCAACCCATGAGTATGTGAGTGGCACATGCGACAAGTCGATGCTTGCGCTGATCCACCGTCAGTGTGTAGATTGTCACCGTCCGAATGCGTATTTGAATGAAGCCACGAGGGGACATGAGCGAATGAGGTTGCATCTCCGAAGGCTCGTCAAGCTTACTGAATTCAACTGCTAGCAGCGCACATCGCGGTGTCTTCTAGAGATTCTGACTGGTCCTCGATGCAATTGTAGGTGTTTTGAACTACAGCAAATACAGAAAGGATTTGACTCCGAGTCCACTATCGCTACTTGCTCAGACATATGTGTTATTTAATCGAACATGTCCTCGTTGGCGCGCCGCATCGTTGCAGACAGGCAGGGCAAGTTCTATGATAGCCAAGCAATTATGTCTAAGTGGAGACCAATACCGGGCCCACGTCATGTTGAACGGACAGGTTAGAATAGCTCAGGATGGCATTTTGTACGTCCCATAGATTGCGCTGAGGGGCGTAACAGCGACTACAGCCGCAACATGAGCGAGCTAGCCTCTCGAGCCAGATGTACGTTTCAAATACTACGTAGACAGTTCCTTCAACCTTCGTGCCTCAGGATATCCTGGTCACGACTCAGCGAGCTAGAGATGAACCTTCTGAATTTTTGAGCGACTCGGTCCCAGCGGATCCCGACAAACTTCACCGCTGGTATATCACATTTAGGTTTCATTTTATCCAGGCATCATGCTGAAGTACGAATCGGAATCCTGACCAACAGCGAGACGCAGGTGGAACGGGTATCATTACCTTATTAGGACACAGTGACTCGTCGCGTACACAGAGGCAAATAACGCGGTGTGTGGGAACGCGTCTCGTCACGCTCCCCTTACGCGACCGCGCCCGGATCCGCGTCTTTCTTCCTGAATGCCACCTTTGATTTGACCCACTTGACTATCTGCTCAAACCCATGCAAGCACTATTCATGTCTTCACCACCGTCGACGCCATCGAGGCCGACGCGGGTGCGCCAGTACGGCACGCTGGGCCACCAGCCACTCAATTCATCACCGCTCGCGTCCTCGGACGGGTCCTCGCCAGCCTCCTCGCCCGGGGTACCTTCATATGCGCGGCGACGGGCGCAGTACAAGTCCACTGAGCACCACTCCGTCAGCTCTCCGTCAGCTTCACGAAGACACTCGCAGCGGCGGCACGTCAAGCTCGGCGGGGACCTCTTCCAGCCAATGACCGTTCAGGCGTCCACCTCCACCTCGGCCGTTCCGACGGAGGAGGCCCCGCGGAAAGCATTCCTGCGGGAGCGGTTCAAGGCGCGGTGCGTGGAGCGGGCGCAGCGGGATCGTGAGCGGAAGATCAAGGGGAGACGGAACGCTATGAGCGAAGCGAGCGACGAGGATGATATGATGGACGACGAGGGAGAGGAGGAGATGATCAACGATGAAGTGCGTGAGGATGTGCATGAGTCGACTGTTATGTAGATGGGAGCTGATGCACGATTGGCGTGCAGTTATTCCGCAGGCTGGTCGCGAGCGGGAAGCGGAAAGAGCAGCATGCGTACCGCGTCTCGTACCAGCGTGACGTTGGCTCGTCTTTTGATCCTGTCCTGGAAGAAACGGCTGAATGGGAGTACGAGGTTGATGGTTAGCTGCATTCAGGGGCTCCGCGAGCTTGATTAATGCTGATTCTTAATTTCTGCCGTAGACCCGCAAGATTCCTCTAACCCGTACGACCTGGAGGATGAAGAGCTCGCAGCATACGCGGAGGAGTACGATCTGCATCTCGAAGACCTCAATCCGGATGACCTCTTCACCTACAGTGATCTTGATGATTATCCTTTTCCAGAAGAGGACATGACTGCAGCTGCACCAAATCAGGGCAGCGAGCAAGCAGAGGCCGCAGATTCTGCTCAGGATGTCGACGTCGAGATGATGATGTAACTTGTATCATATTCGCTGGAGGTTTCCCGCTGCTTTGTTCTGATCGCAAGTGTATTTGTACCCAGGATAACGTGTCATTGCTATCGTAGAGTCCATGCTGTATCCTGATGCTATTACTGGAACGAAGAAGCCCAGGCTGTCGATGCGTTTGGCCGCCAGATCAAGGCCTTGGTTCTCGCTCACCAAACCCGGGATCTGAGGCCTGAGCGCCGAGCGATTGCCTGATTACATCCGGACGGACGCAGCTGACAGCGCTCTTCCTACTTGAATTGAATCGTTCTAGAGTGAGTCCTACGTTCTACTCTCGTCTTAGCTCCCGCTCATTTGAACCAGAATCACTCGTAACTCGCGGCCCACTTCAGACCAATGCCCGATAGTGCGCCAGGGTTGAGATATGCGTTCACGCGCATTCCGGGCGTGTCAGGCTACTATTTCTGTCATACAGTCTCCCTTCGTACTTTTAATGCCTATGTGAGTTGCTCTGCGTGCTCACGCGCTCACCGCTCTTAACATAGGCACTCTGCGTCTGCACTAAGTCCAGACAGAACTAGCGAGCATTCTGGTCAACACCGGCCACCAAACCTTGCCTAGTAGCCGTGCGATGTGAGCCCGAGAATGTAAGCTTCCTTTTGCGTTTGTATTGTATGGACATGCAGCTGAGCAATTTGAAGAATAGGGCAGCCTAACGGGCCCAATCGGCCACTCAGTCTCCGAAGCCAGTCCAAACCTGTACTACCGGATTACATGCCGGATCTCTGACCTAACGTCTATTACCCGAAGCTGATCCGACGGATTAGATGCGACTGTCCTGTCACTCCTTATACTCGAACGCAATTCGAACGCCTGACCACCGGCAGCCCATTCGCCATGTTCGTCCCATATTCAATCAAATGGTGGTATCAGAGGGCTCCGGACTCAACCTCGGAGTCGTGATCCTCGTTCGCATCGAACGGCATAAATGGCTTCCTCCGGGTTTGGACCGTGGCGGTTTCCAAGGCCTCGCCGTCAGTGGCTGAGCATCGCTGCAAATCTGCTCCCACAACTCGGCAGCCGGGAACGGTTCGAAGCCAGGATATTCCGTGCGTTACGCACAGCTTCTGAGAAATAGAACGGGCTGATTCACGTTAGTCGTGCAGTTAGGAATCGCCTCGGTCGGTAGCACACCCGGTATACAGCCCGTCCGGCGGCCCTGTCCCCTCTTGACGGGATCTCGGAGCAGGGTCGTCTGAGTTCCATTGAACAGAGTGCGAAATTCTCGGACGGAAGACGCAGGCGCTGGATGGCACTGGTATGGTGATTCTTTCCCTTTTATCTCAACTGCCCTCCATCTTTCGCTGGCGTTGATTGTGCCTCATGGCCGCACCCTTGCTCAGGCCAGAGCTTGCTGTGTGAACACGGCCTGTGGCTGACACGCCCACACGCCCCTTGCCAGAAGCACCCGCTCCAGGCAACTGGCTGACCTTCTCTCGCGCTATTCTTCTTGCGGTACCGGGCGACTCGGCGTGGCCGCTATCTTCTGACGCTCGATGGTCAGCCATCCCAGTGTACGTAACACTGTTGGCTCTTGTTGGGCAACTCGCTAGCTCGCAGCGGCTAGCACTTTCCGTAGCGGCTATTGCCGCCGTCGCCTCATCCTGTGGCGGTCCGCGGACGTCGTGGTCCCGTTCAATACGACTCGGCCCATCAGCAGCGCCTACAAGACACTGGCAGCCGCCATGCAGCGATGACGAATGTCATACAAGATACCGGCTTGGCCGCCCACGCGTGACGAAGTATTAAACCCGCTCTTCTCCAGAATCGCCGTAGCCCTTTCCTGTCCACCACAATGTTCGCGTCCCGGCGCCATCACGCAGACTGGTGAGCGCTTCTGCGTCCGTAGACGAATATGACCTGTGCTGAATGACCAATGCGGTGGATGTGCACATACTAATAGCGCACGGAAGCAGCAGGAACTCCTGCACAAGCGCAGCACGCTTCCTCCGATCTACTCGGAACCACTCACAGACGGTGACCAAAAGATACTCTCGCTCTCGCTTTCGCAAGTCGTCTCTGAATGCAATGCGTATACCATCTCCCCTGAGGCGGTCTTGCACGCGTACGGAAAACGCGCTCTCCTCGCGCAGGACGCGACAAACTGCCTTGCTGACGTCATGATCGACGAGGCAGACCGCGACATACTCCTGCAGAAACCACTGTCCGGAGTTGTCATCAGCATCAAGGATTGTATCAATGTTGCGGGCCACGACACAACGCTTGGGTTTTCCTCCAGAACCGGCAGACCTGTAGAGACGTCTGCACCTTTGGTGAGGCTCCTACATGATGCTGGTGCACTGCTCCACGTGAAGACGACCGTACCCACCGGACTGCTCTCCTTTGAGACCGAGTCCGACGTCTTCGGCGCCACACTCAATCCCTACAACCCCGCGTTCTCCCCAGGCGGGTCGACGGGCGGCGGAGCTGCTCTCGTGGCGTACCAAGGCTCCATTATCGAGGTCGGGACAGACGTCGGCGGGAGCACACGGTTCCCTGCGGCCTACTGTGGTGTCTACTCCATGAAGAGCTCTGTTGGGCGTTTCCCGGCTGACGGGTGCGTACCATGCATGTCGGGCCAAGAAGCTTCTCCAACAGTGACATCGCCCGTCGCCCGGACGCTCGACGATTTGCGCGAGTTCTGGAAGCGAGTAGTGGAGATGCAGCCGTGGCTGTACGATCACACTGTACGTGCGTTTCTTGCCTCGTCACATGCACCCCGCGACCGGTGTTAGTAGTCGGAGCGAACTCGCTGACAAGTTTGTCTTTTCCCTTCCGCGTATCTCACGACGCACAGTGTGTCCCCCTCCCATGGCGCCCGGTCGATTTCATACTCAGTGGTCGAAAGCCGAAATGGGGCGTGATCTGGTCCGATGGTGGGCGTTGCGTTCCTGATTGACACCGACTTCACCCTCATCAGGTTCGTCTTGTTCAGGCATTATCCCTCCCTCGCCTGCGTGCCGGCGCGCGCTACAGGAGACTGTAGATTCACTCAAGCGAGTAGGGCATGAGGTCGTTGACTTGTACGTGGTTCATCTGTACTCCCGCATTCGGCAGTGACGTACCAGTCCGCCTAGCTCTCCTCCGCCCACGCTGGAAGGTCTCATAGCCGGTTACCAACTTCTCTTCGGCGATGGGGGTGAGTAATCGGCAGGTCGGTCTTCGGGGCAAGAGCTGCGATTTACGTTAGGACAGGTGTTGCGCTGCATGCTTCACGCCGCTCCGGGGAGACGATGAACGGTGCGCAACGCACCGTGCAGATGCTGCTCTCCCTTCCGCTCTGGGTCAAGAGATTCCTCGCATCCATGTACCGCCTCCTTTCGCGTCCGGAGGGTCGGAACGACGCCTGGGCGTCCCTCCTCGAAAGCTTCCACCCGAGGACCATCGCGGAGGAGCGCGAGCAGGTGGTCGCGCGGGAGGCATTCAAGGCAGCCTGGCACGAAGCATGGCAAGATCAGGGTGTCGACTTCGTTTTGATAGTCCCACACGCCATCCCCCCTGTGCCAAGAGGCGGCACCGGTACGGCAACGCTGGTGTCTGCGAGTTACTGTTTCTTGTTCAACATTGTAAGTGGCCATTCCAGAATCCAGGCGTTACTCATAGTCCACTAATACCCCGGAACGCAGCTTGACTACTGCGCCGGGGTCGTTCCGGTTACGTACGTCGACCAAACTCTGGACCGATTACCTGCAAACTTCAAACAGGGCAATGAGTATCAGAACATGAACGATATCGCACGCGGCGTGTACTCGCTCTACGACGCAAGCGCTATGCACGGACTGCCCGTCGCCGTTCAAGTTGTTGGGCAGAGACTCGAAGAGGAGAAGGTGCTCGCAGGGATGGCAGAGGTCGAGCGTGCACTTTGGGACGCAGGGCGCGGCTTTGTAGCCAGGAAATTCTGACAGTCGAGAGTGGTTTCCGGTGCGCTCCGATGAGTGGGTGGTATCTATTCTTGGCCGTGGTCTCCATGTTGGTGGAAGACGGTCGCTGGAGAAGTTATCTTATTACGTGTGCATTATAGTAGATCGGTCACAATTCCGGACAGTCACAGCGGATCCTTTTTCAGAACGCATTGCTCATGGTTTCGTCTGATTTTCTTGGTTATACTTACTACGATTGTTCAACTGGGTCCTCTTGTCATCTATAGCGTCTGTCCTAAGTATGTACAACGTCGCAGTTTTGTCAGACCGTGCTTTCTCTGCACTGTCTATATAAGATCAGTCTTCCCGTCTTTGAACAAATAATTAGCGTGCCGTTCGTGGAGAATTTTGCAAATAAGTCGATACTGTGTGTCTGGCGGGAGCGTTTGTCCCAACTAGACACCAGGCTAAAAATATAGCGATATACAAAACTGGCACGTACGGAACGTCCCACTATACAACCACTGTGCCCGATAGATACCACAAACCAAAATCAAGCCAAGGAACCAAAATAGAGTAGCGCTAGAATACAGTCCGCTGAACCAGTATTTGGTATCGTTATTCCACGAACCATGACGCCCACGTCTTCGGTGTGCTACGTCCCAACCGTTGAGTGACCACACAAACGCATGACGCGTGACAAAAAACCTATACTGCTCACCCCTCGAACGCGGGCTCCGTGCACAAAACCACCTCGATCCTGCTCTTCAGCCACTTGAGTACGTCCGGCCCAAGGGTCGCGCAGTCATGCAGCTCTAAATGGCGCAGGCGCGCGGGGCCAAGCCCAAGACCCGCCGCGGTGGCATTAGCCTGCATGTCGGGGTTGCGCGCCTCGACCATCTGCACGAGTTTGTGCACGCCGTCCGTGTGAGCGTGGCAACCGCGCAGCGCGAGCGTGGTCAAATTCGGGCAGACCCAGTGCTCCGCCTGCGCCTGCATGTGCGAGGGCACTTGTGCATCGTCGTCGGTGGCGCCGAGCGCAGTGAGCAGCGGCTCGAACGGCGCCCCGCCGACTTGGAGCGTGCGCAGGTGGTCGAGCTCGCTCAGGAAGTGCCACGTCGCGACGCCCGCACCGCCGCCGTAGTAAAACGAGCTCGACCCCGAGCAGAGCGTGTAGCTCAGGGAGAGTCGTGTGAGCGGCGGGTTGTTCGAGCGCGCGAGCAGCGCCGAGACGGTATCCTCGATCGGCTCGCGTGCGTCAATGTCCAGGACGAGCGCTTCTAGTGACGGCAGGACGAGGGCATCCGCGAGGCTCGACAGGAGATAGTGTCCACCGAGCGTCAGTGACTTGAGATCGCGTAGTACAGTCGGCGTGAGCGGGAGCACGGGCGGGTTTGGCGAGCTGAAGTGCAGCGAGAGCGACTCCAGCTGTGGATTTGCTGTGACCATGAACATCACGCGATCCAGAGCGGGGTGCATCGTCGGCAGCGTGCGGATAGAGAGCGAGCGCAAATTTCGCAGCATCGGCGACGACCACTTGAACGGGACGTTGTTCAGAGTCAGTGATGTGAGGTTGCCGATATCGACAGCCATGCTGGACGGCGCCGAGGGCAGCCACTTCCAGTCGCCGTAGAATGCTGGCTCTGCCGCTGACACTTCGAACTCCTCCAGCAGAGGCGCGTCACCTGCAACCTTGTCCATGAGCTACATCCGTTCGCCTGATACGTGCGACACTCGCCTTCGATAGCCCTGAGCGCGGCGACGGACGTGAACTGCTTCTCAAAGCGGAACACAAATCGCTGCCAGCGGTGCATCTGCTCGACCAGGTAGAAAAACGCGATGTGGCCCCAGTGCATGTTCTTCTTGTTCCGCTGGTGGTTCGACAGTTTCTCTCGCTCGCTCGAACCCGAGGCCGCTGCGGGCACAAGCGGAGGCATGCCCCAGAGATCGTCGTGTGCGTGTACCGTCGCTCCGCCGTGTCCATGCTGCACTATAGGGGCCGTGGCACCTAATGTTGGAGGCGGCTGGAAGAGTGTAATATTTGGTGGAGGTTGGATGATGTACGTCGCCGCACCGCCCAGCCCGCCTTGAGTTGGGGTAGGCGGTGGCGGTATCCAGCCCCAGTCCGACACAGAGTGCGCCGGAGGCGAGATGCGGCGCCGGGGTGGAGTTTCGCCCGGAGAAGAGGGGTGCGAACGGAGAAGTATCTCAATGTCCAGTGGGACTGTAGAGCCCGAGCGTTCCAGCCACAGCCGTACAGTATCCGCGGATGTTGACTGTGTTGTAACAAGACGGATCTGGCAACGGAGACTGTCAGTTGCGCTAGATCCAAATAGGTTGAAGATAGGAGGTATAACGAGCATGGGCGCCATTCCCTTCGACTCGGCTTTTCCGTGTTCGATTCGCTCGACAAGTGATTTCGTCGGCCGTGGAGAGCTCTCGTCGTGTGTCATAGAAGATATAAGAGGAAAGGCGCAGCCGTGATTTCTCGGCACACACGAATGTCATGCCTGGCGCTATTCGAGCGAGGACGCTAAGTTTACAACCCCTGCATGGGTGGTACGCCTCGCTCACTCGAACAGAACGCGATTTTGAGTAGCAAATCCAGACAAGAGCAGGATGTGCGTCCAAACATCTGCTATTATCCGGATATGCAAGCCTTCCGGACAGAGACAGCGTTGATAACAACCCCCAGAGTTGCGCCCGCGTTTGCACTTGGCAATTGAAGGGCCACTTCTCCCGGATTGCCTGGTGACGCCTGTATATTGGCAAGACCAGCTCCCAGGACCCGACGAGCTGACCCGTCTCGAGATCTCTCCTCTCTACATGTCGTCAGGGTCCCTTTCATGGGCCAGGAAGACCGGATGTCAACACTGAAATCGAGCATCTCTTCCCGCGCTAGCGGGCATGTCATACAAGAGAATTCGCTCACCTTGGACCACATCATCGGCATGGACAGCACCTGCCTCCGCCACAGCACGGATACCGCGGACAGGACCCATGCGCAGCACGGGTACTCGTCGAAGTTCAGCAGGAAGATGTACCGCAGCAGTTCGTGCGGCAGACGGCGGATCGGAGCCACATACGCGAGCGTGTGTGCAACGTGCTCCTGAAGCTCGTCGCGCTCCTTCTCCAGCTCACGGATCGCGCTCTGCGCAATCGCAACTGTGCGCGCGAGCTCTTCCTCGGCTGCGCAGATTCGGTCGGACAGCGCCTGGACAGACTGCTGCTGCGCCGTGAGCTCACGGCGAGCCTCAGCGAGGCTTGCCCGCGTCGGCGGCTCAGGGTGAGGTGAACTAGCAAAGTAGGGTGCCATGGGATGGTGAGAGGGGAGGACAAGATGAGTTCAGGCTCTGGACCTTCGCGTGGACCGAGCGCTGAGGCACATGATGAGCGATCTCAGATTCAATTCTGCGACAACGCCCGTCCTTAACGCCGTACGTTGTGGTTTGATGTTGGTTTCATACGTAAGGGACGTACTGGGTTTGCGCTCCGGCTGTGCTGAGGCTGTCATAGCCAATACAAACGGACTGCGGCCAGCCTCGCGAGTCGCTACACAGACAGGGGTAAGTACATGATAGTGTGGTGACTGACGAGAACGGAAGGGAAATTGAGCCTGTCTGACAACCCCGGAACGCCTCATCGGAATGAATATTGGAATGAGTTGCGTCGTGCTTATGTATGGGAAAGCTAACGTACCACACACGAATAGCGACACTGAGAGCCCAGGGCCGATTCTCCCGAGGGCCGCTGCGGCTAGCTTACTCAGCACTGGATACCATGAGATCATTGATTCTACGAGCACTCATGATCTATATGAATCGTTACAACTCGTAGGCAAGTCATACGTGAACAAATTGCACGATTGATGCTCCCAAGTCCGAGTCAACCACTGGCCACCACGTATTACTGTTTATATACATACATCGCTTCGGCATTTGCCGTGACGACCGTCGAACCCACGTGCTCCTGTGCAGTAACCAAGAACTTCTGTAACTCGAAGTCCTTCAAGTTGCGATTGTTCATATGTTACATCTAACCCACATTACCACTGACGATGCTGGACCTTGATTCCACGAGCATTTCTCAAAGACGCTACCCAGCATTCACTAGTAGTACGCTTTAAGTCACCGATGTTTTCGGAATATTCCCTCACAGCTGCCTTTATGTAACTGCGCTTTCGATGCTCAAAGGGACTATTGCGGACAGCTTCTGACTGAGAATGATGTCGACATTCCTTGCCATTAGCTGCGGTCCGGCGCGGGCCCGAGTAAGTACAGGCAGTGCCCGGGTCACTTGGTAGTAGATGCAGTGAGAAGGCTCTGACAGGGTCTTTTCCAAAAATTGCGCTACAGTACGGTGCATGGCATTTGAATCCTGGATATGTCACGCACTGGCAGGGGAGTGTCAGACGACAGATCCACATAACATCCCTGAGCCCTCGGGCTTCGTAACAAGCAGAAAATCACATCTGTGAGACCCTCTCGTGGGGCCCATAGCCCAACCTCCTGTAGTAGAGGGACGAGCAGAAGATGTCGCACATCGTTGAGCGGCCAATCGTAGTATTGACAGTGAATTATTCCACTTTTCGGTTGTTGCTCACGCGCGGCACTGAAGTGGTGGCGCTCTGGTCGCATTACACGGAGAAGACACGACACCGGGAGATTAAGCCGCGGGGATGGGCTTGATCAAATATTTGAGTGAGAATTTGAGCGACAACGGCTCCGGGTCACCTGTCAAGCCGAAATGGTGGTACTCGATGGACAATCCTGTCTTGTAAGCATGTCATCACTCTCCAAGGGCCGTGTCTGTCTCCTGACGATATACGCGCAGTGAGTAGCATGTTGCGGGCGTGGAGGTACCGCGACTAGCAACCACTTATTGGTTGAGGCATGGACTTCCCCAGTGCTCCTGCAGCTCATTCTCAACTTGTCTTCATCGCTGCCGTGCTTTCGAGTCGAGTCTGTATTTGTGTCCTACAATTGAGTCGTTGACCATCGAAAACCACGCACTAGGGAGCACTGCAACTGAATGACACTGTCTAATCTCTATGTCCAAGCTCGTCAATATCTCGCAGCTGGCGCACGCACGGAGGAGTTGCCACTACAAGTGTAACAAGCAAAATCAAAAGTTATCGAGAACACCAACGAGAGCGGGTAGAACGAGAGGCGACGGTATGCGGACCCGGCGGCATTCCACCTCGGAGGTCACCAGTGCCATATCATCATTGCATAACTGAATCTACATCGTCAAGTACCAGGTCGTGGCCACCAACATTACAGACGAGAGTTTCTGTCACATCTCGCAACTGTCCCAAATGCGTCCGCAGATTTGGTGGTTCCTCCGGAAATAGGAGTGCGAGATGCTCCAGGCATTTCTCCAAGGCGGCTTGGCGGTTACATAGGGTAGTCACAATGTCCTTGATGACCGCTTTCGATTTGTTGAGCGCCTCCTGCTCCTGTGCAGTATACTCGAACTTGATCCGCTTGAGCATTGGCCATGGCATTGGCTCGTTGAATTTCCTCAGGTGTGCGCTTGATAGACCAATTTCGGACAGAAGATCAATGAAGAAGTCCGGAGTCGGTCCACTGGCGTGAAGTTCTTCGAGATACGGAAATGCATCGCAGTACAAGTTCTCCCAACTATCCCAGAGTGGAATATAATCTTGTCCCGTGTCGTAATAAGTTGAAATAACCATCTCCTTCAACACGCACGTGCAGCACGGTCAGCGACCGAGGGAAAACTGTGCCCAGCTCAGACATGATTTGTCTTCGAGCAGATCTGAGGTTTAAGAGATCTGACGAATTACAAGAAAAGGTGATAGTCGTGTTGCCGGCCCTACAAGGGTTTTCCAGCGTGGACGCCTTTACACGCAAGGAGCAGTAGCAGATCTCAAGGCAGACGGCTTGTACCGCAGAGAATGCCGGCGACATTGTATTGTCCTTCGGAACGATGTCTGCGATGAGGATTCCGTGATGCATGTCTGCATCCTCGTCTTCTTCTCCCGGGGCGTCCAAGTACGTGTCAAACTTGATTTCTGCTATGCGCGGAAGGGCCAGATGGGCCAGAAGGAATGACATACTAGCATGTCTGCCGTAGTGAAGGAACGCAAAGCTCTTGAGGTGTTGAAATTCGATGGTAGGCCTGATCCGGGTATTGGTAGGGATCACCATGGAGTCGATGTCGAGGGAATCAATGGTGAGACGCTCTAGAGCGGAACAGCTCCTGAGTAACGTGAACAGCTCGTCCCACGTGTCGCACGGCAAGTTGTCCAACGTCAGCGATGTCAGGGAACGCACATCAATGATGCTCGCCTTGGAGCTGAGCTCGGAGTCGCAGAGAGCCAGGGAACGCAGCGACGGGAAGTCGTCGCCACGTATGATAATAGTGGAGGGGTGATGGCGTACGCAATAGTCGTCATGAAGGGTAAGAAACGACAATCGTTCCATGCGATGCTTGATGTACGGCTGGAAGCCGTATGTCTTCAGATGTGTGACTCGATCGAGGTGGGGGGAGAGCATGTTCAGGAGGGCGTCCTGAAAATCCTCGGGGCATTTCGCCCGCGTGTCAAGGGAAAGACCAGCCCTGCGTGATCGGCGCAAGTACGTCTCGACGAGTGGAAGTGTCATGCCCCGCGCAATCTTCGTCCACAAGCGTGGAGAAGAGACTGCGACATGATACCAATGTCGGCAGATCAGCAGTACAGTGACGAACGACCAGTTGAGAGGACAGTCGATTCGCAAGAATTGCAGGATCTCCGTGAACAACTCAGGCGGTAACCGGTTGATCGGCACGGTTGAGTTAACGAGAACGCTGATTTTTACCAGCCAGTTCCGCATGGCCGAAGGGTCTTGAGGGGGTAGGCGCACAAGTACATCAGCAGGAAGGGGCGAGGGCGTGCGCAATCGATCCAACTCGCGACCGGATGCCATTGTAATTTGTGATGGCACTTCCTGCGAAACATGTATGAGTTGTGTTCCCGCGATGGCTGACTGCTCGTCACCCACAAGCTAGCGTTCGACGGTTCCACTTGCTATTTGGCGCCAATAGCAAGGCTGCGTCCTAAGTTGGTTGAGATTGAACGTCACGGTGCGGAACCTGAATGACTGCTGGACGGTACCAATAAAGACCGTGAGCTAATTCTGTATGTGCCCTGAGATCGCGATCCCTATACGTACGCCAAACTTCAAGTTGTCAGTGCGGCTACAACGGTACTTGGTACGTTGACAAGAGCGGTCAATAATTTGGAGGCGGGTCTGCGACGGTCGCCGCCCCGCGGTCTGGGCCCATGGGCAGGCGCCTTCATGGATCATCACGTGGTCCATCCATTCCTATTGATGGAATCTCAGATCTCAGATCTTAGTGTTACAACGCAAGTACATAAGTACTATGTAGCCAGTCGGAGTGATTAATGATTCGCCTTCGCGAACTCTTGTTGACGTGCTTTCCAGGTTTATCTCGCAACTAATAGCTTGCTGGCGTAAAGATTCACTACGTATGCAACCAAGAAATAGTGTCTAGGTAAGTACAGGATTCGTCAGCAATACACTGGCATTCGCCAAACTACAGAACAGTGAATGCATGCGTACGGAGGCATTATCATACACGCGCGACGGACAAGACTATAAGTTATCGAGAGCGCATCTGAGCGAACAGGACCCGACCATGTCCAAGAGAAATCGTAAAATAATCGTAAAATATGCACAGGTTCACAAAGGATGTGGTACGCGCACCACATGAATACTTCGTTCACTGCCGGAGGGGCACCTTCACATCCTCGTACCCCTCGCCTGTCCACCGCCGTTCGAGACCTACGCGGCCGGTGCCGTCACCACTGACGTGCAGCCATGCCTCCAGTCGCCGGCCAAGCTCACCCCCGCGCCCGCCGCAGAAGTCGCCCGTCTCCTTGAGCAGCTTCTCCTTCTCCTTCTCGCATTGCACCACCTTCTTCGCCATCGGCACCTTCACCGCGCCCTTCCCGCCCGCCTTCCCGGTTGCGCTCGTCTCGACCTTCGCGCTGCCCTCCGCCTTGCGCTCCCCGTCGCTCGACGCCGCGTCCACCAGCGTCGGGCTCCCGCTGTCGTCGCTCCCTCCCTCCGCCTCCCCTTCCCCGTATACCTCCACGGGTACCGCCTCAGGCGTGTGCACCCCACTCTGCCCGCACTCCCAGCTCTTGAACCACTCCTCCTCTTCCTCCTCCGGGCCCAGGATGCTGTCCACCAGGCCCTCCTCCCACCCATCCCACTCGATGCACCGGTGCGCCATCCGCAGCCGCGCACCCGTCGCCTCATGGTGCAGCCACTCCTCCGCCGCGTGCACGATATCGACAGGCGTCGGATGCCCATCTGCGAACGACGGAATGACAATCGGGAGCGCGGACGATGCAGGACGCGAGGCGAGACGCTCGACCATCGCGCGGAAGAGCTTGGACGTGAACGGCGAGGACTGTAGGAACGTCGGCACGTGTGCGCACGCCCAGAGCGGCCGCGTCGTCGTCGACTCCCAGTCGATGATGCACGTCTACAATAGCGGTTAGCAACAAGACATCCGACGACAGGCGGGTACGTACGATCTTGGCGTGATCACGCTCGTCCACGAAGACGTTCTCCAGACTCAGATCATGGCAGTCCAGACCGAACTCCTCTACGCCGCCGCCGCCGCCACCGCCGTCGCCCTCCTGCTTCTCACTCCCGGGCACAGGCACCCTCAGCCTCTCCATCATCCGCACCACCCGCTCCATCTCCCTTCTCACCTTCTCCTCCCGTTCCTTCAGATGCGCGACCAAGAACGTCGACCTCTGCATCCTCCTGTAATCCCGATACATACTGTCCCCCGGGCCCTCCCACTCGTCCTCGCTCTCGTCCCAGTCCCATTCTTCGCTCGTGTCGCTCTCATCTCCAGGCAACGCCTCGACGTGGTGGTGCCGGCTCGCGTCCACCTCGCCAGGGTCGAGATGCAGCCGGTGCGGCGCCGCCTTGCCATCGTTCTCGCGCCGTACACCCACGACCTCGCGCGCCGCACACGCCTTCAAGTACGAGTCCGTCGTCGCCCACGGTCCGCGGTCCATTTCGGACGGGTGTGCGAGCTCGCCCCGGTGCGAGCCGAAGAATGGCCAGGAGACGATCGGCCCAACGTGGAACTGCGAGCGCGTCGACGTCGATGCATCCGATGGCGTCGCGGTCGCGGTAGACCCGGCGGTCGACAGCGGCGCCCGCGTGATGGCAGGCTGGTAGAACGCCACTGTCGGCGTCGGCGCGGCGGACGAGAAGCACGTTGGGACGGCCGTGGCAGGGCCAGCGTCGGGGTCAGGTCCGGAGTACAGCGAGCCGATTCCGGGGAAGCGGTGAGCGAAGAGTGGGATGATGAGGGCGACGACGTTCTCCATCAACACCACGAGCTGTTCGTGCGATAGAGAATGAAACACCTTGGACAATGGGACGCCGGGTGCCTGCGAGGCATTCAGCTGCATGGTCATGAGAGTGCAGAGCTTGAGCGCACCTTAGACATAATGATGTACTCGCCTCCAAGGCGATTGTATGGATTTGCGTCGTAGTGGTAGACATCCGGTACCGGCACGCTCGTGCGCTCACGCAAGTATTGCATTGTCGCAATTTCCGACTCGGTCTTGAGCCGCGGCATGAAGCGGCGGGCGACGCGCGCGATGACCTCCTTTCCGCTCGCAAGTGTAATCGAGTACGCCTACGGATACAACATGTTGGTAAGCTTGCATCCAACAGTGCACTTCGGTTTACAGGGAAGGAAAGATATGGAAGGCTCCCCTGCAATAAATGAGGAAGCCGGACAGGGTTTGGCAGTCGCGGACTGTCTTAGACGATCTCGTCCACGCAACACAACATGAAGGCATAGTGAGAACATTGGATGCCACAGCCGCCTTCAAAGCGTCGCATCCCTGACCTGGAATCGCACATAGTCCTTGCTTTCATGACGTATCAATCTACCTCGGACTACACCCTGCCGGTTCGAGGGTATGCAGAATGAGCTATGTGGCAGAGGTCAAACAGCAATCCACCAAGGTAGATGTTGACAGGCCTGACCCATGCCGAGGAATTCTGGAGACCACGATGTGTGCGCAACCAGGACTCGGCCTCTGTATCCTGGTGAAGCTCATAGCAGCCATCGCTGCCGGCAGAGACCGAAGGAAAGGTCATAGAAACATGCAGTCCATACTATTGTCCACTACGATCGACTCGCTGGTGCATTCAGTAGCCAGTGAAGATACACCGTGCGGTCGTGAGTCAAGGGACGGCGGCCGTGGCAATCACTCCGTTCGCCTCCCCGTCCCCAGCAATGGCATCGTTCCCACAACCATCTCGGCACCGCTCACGTCTATTCCAGAGTGAGAGTGATTTAGAGACGCAGTGGGCACGCGCATATGATAGGCACGGGAACGCCAAAGTGTCACGATAAATATGCATTACACTCTCCACTCCGGTCCCGGACGTGCGCAGCTCTCCGAAGATACCCTTCCGCCGTCCCGTCCTCATGCGGCATCGACATGAGGCCAAGCATCCACCGTCTGCCACCTGCCCGTACCACCTCGATAACGACTTGAGCACAGCCACTTACCTTGTGGAAAGTGCCCGCGCCAAGGAACTTGATCCTCACGACATTCTCACCCATCTTCTCGTGAACAATGTCCTTCAAGAGCTTGCGGTCGACCTGGAATGGCGGGGCCCCATGCACTGCGGCGTCGGCTCTCGCCTCCGCTTTGCGGTCGGCGTGCTCGATGTCCCAGTCCCATACGAAAGGCGGTCTGGCGCAGAGGTCGTCAGCCATCCTGCGGTGGGTGGCTGCGGAGATATCTGGGGATAGCGAGGCGAGCTCGCTGTGTAACATGGTGGTGAACGCTGTCTCTAATGTCGGACTAGGTGCCTCTGGAGTCGTAGATGCTGATATGGATGCGCTGGACAGTCTAGGAGACGAAACGGAGCTGAAGCTCGCACACGAGCTGGACGTCGAGGATGAACCGGCTGAAGAGGTGGGTGAACAGCGCGAAAGAAGGTCGTAGAGCCTGAGGAAAAGGCGCAGCAATGAGAATATAAGCCAAGCGACGCGGTTCAGGGTTGATGAGATGGGCGTACGAAAGCTTCCTTGGCCGTTGGCTGCCGTTCGCGTTGCAAGCGAACGCGAGCGGGTGGCTGAAGACGCCGCCACCCTTGCCACATTCGTCATGTGATACCGATACTTCCGCCATTGCGAACGTGCGATGTTGGAGGAACTTGCGGCGATGTTGTGGCGTGCAGTACGCGGCCGCGTATCTTACTCTCATATATACCTCCGTACTTCTACTGTTCGAGACTCAGTAAGTACGACAGCTCGACTCGCCCGCATTGTCGCCGCACCGCGCTCGCCATTCTGTTGTCGGCCGAATCAAGCTTAGGCGCCTGGCAAAGAAGCCATCAGATCTTATCCCAAGATCCGGATCTTGATCGCGGAGCGCCCATTCCCCCGTTTGCATTGCGCGCATCCGTATTGGGTAGTTCCCGCCACAACGCCCTCGCTTGGTTGGCTTGGACATCACAGCGGGCGGCGCGAGCCAACTCCAGTCAAACATCCCCGCGCTGCCCCGCAGCGACTGGGTAGAGCTCGGCCAGCCTAGGGCAGTGGGGAAGCTGTAGCTGACGCTCTAGCGGACGTGATAGGCCGATAAGCACGCCATTTCGAGTTCATTTCCAACGTTCTGAGTGACCCCAGGTGAGATCCGGCCGTTTTCCGTCTTGCACACTAATCCTGTTCGCGACCCGTTCAGTCGTCCTGCTGATCATCGTCGCATTCTCGACGTGGTAGGTGAAGCGGTCAATGTACCGCAGATCGCTTAAATGAACGACGCGCGGAGACAGAACACTGAGCAGCCTTCCGAACACCCGACGACTCGGAGAGCGATGTGTTCAAATCAACTCTATTTGTAGCGGCAGTATGTTGATTGTCAATGTCCGTAAGTTCGCCGAGTTTCTTGGAAGACTTTGACGCGTGCCAGCTCCCACCGCTTCTTCGACAGTTGCGCCACGATATAGGTCTTCAGAATACTCCTACAGATCCGGTAGCTATGCATGCCGGATATAAAGCGGATTCACTCATGCTTCGTTATTACGGTGCCTTATAACCGCACCGCTCCGTGCTTCCGTCGCGGTGATAGCTGTGTACGAGGCCTTTCGGGTCGTACATTGATTAAAGGCGTAGTCCCCGCCTTCTCCTCCGCATTGTCATTGAAATTTGACACGATTATCTAACAGGACGCTTGACTGACCCGGGGTCATGTCATGGGGCACCACCTATGTGTTGTTGCTAAGCAGACGTTCGCGAGCTTCTCGGAGCAGCTCCCGAGGGATTGCCCGAGAGTGAAATTTATACGGGTCTGTCCACAGGTGCCAAAGTGTCCTCTCGTCATTGACAATCAGAAACTAGATCTATTCGCAGGCTTCGTGAAAATACAGCTCATCGATCGCTATGCTCCGAGCATGCACAGTGGCCTGTAAACCAGAGAAGAAAGTCCTGCGCCGATGTGTGCGGGAACAACAAGGCTCCATTCAACAGAGTCGAAGGCCGTTCACGCGACTATGCTGCTGAGTCGATGTTATTTTACCCCGTACTCCTTATCATTTTAGCGCTTTGCAGACATGTTTCAATCCTTGCGATGACGACGCGGGCTCTACTATGTTACACGTTGGCGCGAGCTCATCCGAGTTCTCAACCTACTTGACGCGAAATGACGAGACTTTCCATCGCCCAGACTGGAGCTTAGGCTGTCTGTAAGGTACCATATTGAGTGAGGACCGAACAGCAAAATCTCAGAGCCCCCTCACTTGCCCAGGCACTGCCTGTAACTGGGCCTGCGCCGGACCATACAGTTTTGATTGTTGCTCGTTGCCCCACTGATTGCTGTAGAGAGTTAAGGGGGGCGTTACGAGCGGAGCTCCAGCTTCAGGCTGTGACGTTGGACTCTCATCGGGTCGTACATTGCAGATAAGTACATTACTGGTCCACCGTCCTTCACAGGACCGACAATGTGAGCATTACTGAAGATGTCAACGAGTTCAATCACTCATGTGCTCTTCTCGCTCGTACCTCTGCTATAGTACTAGCTGTCTCCATACAGAGAGACACGTGCCAGTGGCCACTTGGACAAAGCCTCAGGTCTCGACGCTGGTAAGCAACCTTGTCGTCGGGCTAAAGACTACACGGCTCTGAGCTACCAGAAATTGCCAAGCACTAGAAGACATTCCATTGACAGGCGGCGAAGACGAAGTCAAAGCGTAGCCACTGACCCAAAGCAATATCCAAACAAAGACGACGTTTGAAAGGCAACCGGCGCCTATGCGGTGGCAACCGTCGCTAGTGTTCATCCAATAAATAGAACGTAGGTGGTTCAAGTTCAAGTGCCACCCCGACCTCTCCCAAGCTCCTAACAGAAGTGCTGCTTACCATTGTGGTCGCACCGACAACCCGAAGTTTGATTTTACGGTATGTGCACAACGCCCATTTTTAGTACCAGTCAGTCATGCTCACAGCCTTCATCCGATCATGTAGTATAGCAGCAGTCGATTGTGGTTCAGAGCACACGCAGCCTCAATAACGCAAGTGGCTCAAAGCAGACTGGAATCGTAAGTCAGCAGTCAGCTATGGCATGCACTGAGCGACTCACATACATCTTCATAGGAGGTGCGATGACATCTGAGTCGGATAGACTACGGACGCCCTCTCCCCTTCCTGCTGATGTAATTGTGCGCCTCCACCCTCAAGACCCTTCGGATATGCGGAAATGGCTGGTCAAAATCAGTGTTTTCGTCAACTCGACCGTACCCGTCAACCGGTTGCCGCCTGAATTGCTCACGGAGATCCTGCAAATCTTACGACCCGACTGTCCTCGCGACTGGTCGTTCGTCACCGTACTGCTGATCTGCCGACATTGGTATCATGTCGCAGTCTCCTCTCCACGCCTGTGGACGAAGATTGCGCTCGGCATGCCACTTCCACTCGTCGAGACGTACTTGCGCCGATCACGCAGGGCTGGTCTTTCACTTGACACGCGGGCGAAATGCCCCGAGGATTCTCAGGACGCCCTGCTGAACATGCTCTCCCCCCATTTCGATCGAGTCACCCATTTGGAGACATACAGCTCCCAGCCATACATCAAGCATCACATGAAGCGACTGTCATTTCTCTCCCTTCATCACGACTTTTCCGTGCACCAATCCTCCTCGACTATCATCGTACATGGCGACGATTTTCCATCGCTTGGGTCCCTGTCTCTCGGCGACTTCGAACTGAAGGCGAACATTGTCGATGTGCATTGCTTGACATCGCTCACGTTGGACAACATGTTGTGTGACACCTGGGACGAACTGTTCAACTTACTCAGGAGCTCTCCAGCTCTAGAGCATCTCACGTTTGGTGGCCTTGACATTGACGCCATGACGTTTCCTACCGACACCAGGATTCGGCCTATCCTCAAATTTCAACACCTCAAGAGCTTTAAATTTCTTCACTATGGTGGACATGCGGCTATGTCGTTTCTTCTGGCACATCTGGCCCTTCCGCGCACTGCAAAAATCAAGATTGATACATATCTGGACGCCAGGGGCCAAGCTGTCCATGAAGACGAGAATGCAGACTTGCATCACGGGATCCTCGTCGCAGACATCGTTCCGAAGGACAACATACCGTTTCCGGCACTCTCTGCGGTACAAGCCTTACGCGTTGAGTTCGGCTACTACTCCTTCGATATAAAGGCTTTGACGCTGGAAGACTCCGAGCCTTGTAGAGCCGATACCACGACTATCACCTTTTCATGTTATTTGGCGGATCTGTTCAACCTTAGATCTATTCAAAGACAGATCATGCCTGAGTTGGGCAAAGTATTCCCTCAGTCGCTGACCGCCCTGCACGTGTATGTTGAAGAAGGATGTTGTTACGACACACGACAACATTCTATTGAACTCTATGAGAGTTGGGAAAGCTTGTACTACGAAGCATTTCCGTACCTCGAAGAATTCCACGCAAGTGGACCGACTCCGGACTTCTTCACCGACTTTCTGTTCGACATTGGTCCATCAAGCGCGCAACTGAGGGAGTTCGATTCACTGCCATGGCCGATGCTCAAGCGGATCAAGTTCGAGTATATTGCAAAGGAGCAGGAGGAGCTCGACAAATCGGAAGCGGTCATCAAGGACATTGTGACCTCCATATGTAACCGCCAAGCCGCCTTGGAGGAACGCCTGGAGCATCTCGCCCTCATATTTCCGGAGGAACCGCCAAATCTGCGGGCGCATTTGGGGCAGTTGCGAGGTGTAACAAAAACCCTCGTCTGTAACGTTGGCGGCCACGACCTGGCACTTGACGAGGGAGAATCAGTTACACAGTGAAGGCCTCCGAGATACTAGTAGAACGCTGCCGTGTCCGCATACCGTCGCCTCTCGTTCCACTCGTACTCATTGGAGTTCTCAATAACTTTTGATTCTGCTTGTTAAACTTGTATTACAACTCCTCCGTACGCATGCATCACTGCTTTGTAGTTTGGCGTATGCCAGTGTAATATTGACGAACTTGTACGTAGAGTTTAGACCCCATTGCTTGGTTGAAGTCCTCCCTGAGCCCTGGTGCGGTTTCGATGAACGGCAACTCAATAATCATGAGGCACAATGACAGACTCGCCTCGAAAGCACGGCAGCGACGAAGACAAGTTGAACATGAGTGGTACGGGCACTGGGGAAGTCCATGCCTCGACTAACAACTGGTTGCTAGTCGTGGTACCTCCACGCCCGCAACATACTACTCACTGTGCGTAGATCGTCAGAAGACAGATACAGGGGAGAGTGATGACACGCCTACAAGACAGGATTGTCCATCGAGTACCACCATTTCGGCTTGACAGGTGACCCGGGGCCATCGTTGCTCAAATTTTCACTCAACTACTTGATCAGTTGCTTCAAACCCACCGCTGCCTGCCGCTTAATCTCCCGGCGTCGCGTCTTCTCCGTGTAATTCGACCAGAGCGCCACCACTTCATTGTTGCTTTGTGAGACAACGGGTACCTCCTCCAGGTCGATCTTGTACCGCGTCTGGAGCTGTTGGGGGAAGTCAAACCACGACCAAGATCGCAGGACCTTCTTGTAGTTGGCATCCTGAAGTTGCTCGTCTGTTACATCGCCGTAACGAAACCATTCCTGGCCGCCTATGAACTCGCGATTATACTCCGGGACCCACGCGACGGTTTGTGTTCGCCGTAAATAGTTCAGCGGCGTGTCGAGACCGCTCTCCCAGCCAAAGTATAGCTTGAATGGTCTGCGATATGGTCCTGGTACCAGGGTCTCTGGAAGCTTCTTCATCGGCCGATATCTATCGACTATACGCTGCACTCTCTTCACGGAAATTCGGGTAACGATTAATATTATACTGAAGCTGCAGAAACCATTCACTCACTGCCGACGGCACGAGGCCCGAGTGTTCTACCTGCATTTCTGCAGGGTGCTCTGGCTCACTTGCATCCAACTGCAGCTCGGTCATAGCTGAGGCAATGCCAGTAACGTTGTTGTCGTCCGAGTCGAGTTCGACACTGTTTAGTGTGCTGTTCATGATTGCCGCCATGGCTTGTCGTCAACTTTGTAAATCGTGATAGATGCCGGGCGAGTACGTGTTATATTTCAGAATATTAGTAGGAGTGAGGTATACGTAGCTCACGGTGAGTATTTGAGTAGCCTGAGGACAATATTCCGGGCCACTGCCGCGCTGGCTGACCTTAAGCGCCCGCCGTAGATGCGCTGGCGCAGATCCACCGTGACACTGGCGCCCGCGCGTGAACTCTGTCGTGCAACTACAGTATAGTGTCTGATCCACGACATCTACAAACCTGTGCAGTTAGAGTGCGGTATGTATCAGCGTACCATCAAAAAATTCTAACCATGACAAGTAATCGTTGGTGTGCCAGATTTACTCAGCTCCTCCGAGTCCTGTCAAATTAGGTGAATGTAATGAATTGGGCACGCAAACCGGATGGCTTACGCTAAACCCCACACAGCTCTTGTTACACGGTGACAATACGATGGCTCCGAGACAGAATGGTCCGCATACCGTCGCCTCTTCCCAACGATGTCACGTTGCGACACATCCCCAATCATGACTCCATGGCTCTGCAAAGATGGTTCATGAAGGTCAATTTCTTCGCGAACCAGTCTGTTCCGATTAACAGGCTGCCTACTGAATTGCTGGCCGAGATATTGCGCCTTGTGCGCATTAGCTCGTGCCCTCCCGACTGGTCGTTCGCCACCGTGTTGTTGACCTGCCGCCACTGGTACTGCACCGCGGTCTCCTCGTCAACATTATGGACCCGTCTGTCGCACAAAATGTCGCTCCCACTTGTCAAGACATACTTGCGTCGATCGCGCGGGGCTACCCTGTCGCTTTCCACGCGGTTCCCGACCAGCGCTGTTCTTGGGGCAGCCTTCCTTGAGTGCTCTCTCCGCATCTCAACCGAGTCACACGCATGTCTACGACCAGCTCTCAGACCTATATCGAACATCGCATGGAACTGTTGTCTTCGCTGATCATCGATGACCGCTCCCCCCTGCCGCAAAACCATGCGACTCCGCCGTCACATAACATTGTCACCATACACTGCGATCATTTCCCAAAGCTGAACTTCCTGACGCTCCGCGACATCGGACCCGTAGCAAGGATAGTCAACGGTCATTCCTTGACGTCGCTCAAGTTGCAAGCCCTGTTACACGATACGTGGGATGAACTATTCGACTTACTCAGGAGCTGTCCAGCTCTGGAGTATCTCAAACTGGCCTCCCTCGAAGCAGAATCAACTGCTATAGATGATGGTGCTAGCCATCATATCGTGGAAATGCGGCACCTCCGAACCCTCACACTCAAAGACTTTTGCGAACCTAGGGGCATGTTAAGTCTCCTCGCATACTTCGCCCTTCCTCGCACTGCTAGGATCAACGTTTCCACATACATGAACGCAGGAGACATCGACGACGAGCCTGGCGGTTCAGGGGAAACAGTGTTCGCGCACATGTTTCCCGAGGACAAGACATCCTCGTCCGTTTTCTCTGACATCCGGAGTATGCAAATTGTACTCAGCCATAAGTGCCTAGACCTAGGGGCATCGACGTCGAAAGTGCCTTCGGCTGACACCTATTCGATCACCGCATCGTGTAACCTAGTGGGAAGCCAGTTCAACCCAAAATCTATTCAGAAACAAATCATGCTCGAGCTGTGCACAGCGTTGTCCACGTCGCTGAAAACGCTGCACATCCATGTGGAGGCTCATGATGACTACGGTGGGGGCTCAGCGACCGAGAGCTGGAAGAGCTTATACACCGCATTCCCTCGACTTGAATACCTCTACGCTGGCGGTCCATCCATCAGCTTTTTCGCCGACTTCCTACGCGACTTGGGCCCCGATCTACCAGTGCAGCCTTCCCCGCTGCCGTGGCCGAAGCTGAAGCTGATCAAATTCGCGAACACATCGACGAAAGAGGATCCAGTGGAGTCGGAGGTCCTTATACAATCCATCACTACCTCGTTATGCAATCGCCGAGATGCTGCCTCAGGGAAATGCTTGCGTCGTCTCACCCTGGTGTTTCCAGAGGCGCCGCCGCGTCTAGAGACGTACCTGGGACAGTTGCGGCGCGTAACAGCAAAGCTCGTATACACCGTTCGCGGAGAGCGAATAGTGTTGGATAACGGTGTACCAATTGCCGGGTAGGACCAGGCGTCGCAGACGCTCCGTAGATGGACGAGCCAGGCGACCCAGAACTGGCGAAGTGAGTTGTTGGCCACATGGTGGACATTGCCCTCTGAGTCCGAGTCTCTGGGTACGTGGCAGGAGAGAGACAACACGGTCGATGATTAGTACTCATAAACTAAGGACATTAGAAGTACGATTTGGCACCACTTTACATATCGCCTTTCGTGTCGATACGTTACGACAGGCGGACTTTTGCTGTCGTCGTAAACAGTGACCACTTCGCTGCTCGATTGAGAAAGACCCACGTTAACTTACACCGGTTGGCGTTCAGTTAAAGCGCATGACACCTGTGTAGTACTGTCAGTGTCAGTGTCACTCCAGCGAAAGAGGACCTGATGTCGCACACAACGGAAACCCTCCAGCGAACACATCTCCTTTTCCGCTCTGATGGTACTTCGGTTTCATTTGACAATTCACGGGTCAGTTCTTCTACTCTTACAGTCCATGCGATTCTATTTCTACGAAAGACGCACGTGCAGTCCAAGATTGCTCAAGCGTCGTCTTCCCAATCATCAGGGACATCCGCCGTAGGCTGAGTGACCGTTGCGGGGACGGAGGGCGTCGGCGACGCTCTCGGTGGTGTCGCAGGCATCGACGGGCGCGAAGGCGGCCGCGACGTACTGCTCGTGGGTGAACCCCACGCAGTCGCAGGTCGGCGCTGCTGCGAACTTTGACCCGCGACAACTGCTCTCCACCCTCCCGCAGAAGCGCTGCCTGCACCTGCCGTCCAGGCCGGGGCCGGCGTTGATGCAGGAGTAGGAACGGCCTTTGGTCTATTTAGAGGCTGCAGGCCCGAACCGGGGTTGCGTAGATCGGCAAGCTTGCCTAGGTTGTGCGCAGGCGTGGTAGCCGAGGTTGGAGCAGCAACCGCACCCGACAGTAGAGGCGTCGGGATACGAGAATCGATCCTCCGAATAATCTGCACGCTACGGTTCGGTTCCTGGTCGACGACCTGACTGTCCATACGGTACATGCCCGCGAGCGCCTGCACGAACTTTCGCCTCGGCTCCGGCATGTGAGCCAACACCTGACTCTTCTTCTCCGAGCTGAGGAATTCCGCAAAGCTCCTCTCAACCATCTGGCAGAACTTGGGCTCGCGCCGCGCGATGGCGAGCAGCTCGTCACCGTATACGACTTCCTTCGCGGGACCCGTCTTGTCGGGATTGATCCCTAATGCCTCGGCTAACCGTGCATTACGCTTCGCTACAAGACACTCGGGGGAGCACTTGAGCAACTGCGAGCCCTCCCGCCCGCCCGGATTGCTCGTGCTCCTTCCACAGGCGACGGGCTGGCGAATACGGCCACATGGACAAGAGATGTGAACAATAGAGCGACAGGGATCGCTCTCGTCGCAGGCGGCGGGTGCGTGGCATGGATGGGTACACGGATGCAACGCAGGCAAACAGAGTTTCCTAGGCTTCCCACACGTCGAATTGCACGGTCCGCACTCGTCGCCGTGGCAGAGCCGCTCGCAGTGGTGGAACCCGCACGACAACAACTTTCCGCAGGGCGTACCGCACGACACCTTCTCCTGCGAGCATCGGACGTTGTCTACTGTCTTCTTGCCGCAGGCACAAAGCTTACTAGCGAGGAACGGACATGGTGGACACGGCGTCGGGTCTTCGTGGCATGCGTGCTGGGCCTTCGGGTGTCCGCAGGGCAGCGGCGGGCGGGCGCACGGATAGTAACAGTTAATCCGTGTCCCGCACGGGATGGGAGGCTCGAGGACCGTACGACCACAATTGCAAGTCATCTCTTCAAACGAGCTCCGCAGACAGGACGGACACGCGCCACGATGGTCTCGTAGCTCGCAATGGTGATTCCCACACGCGAGTAACTTTCCGCAGGGAAGATCGCATTCGTGCCAGCCAGCCTCGTCAAGAATCTGCATGTCCCCGTGTTTCTTCGCTTTCCCCTTTCCCTTCGCCGCGCCTGCCACACTCGCCAACGGACAACATAAGCGGTTGCACTGATGCCGTCCACAGGCACGCAGAGCGCCACATGGCTTGCTGCAGAGGATTTCTGTCCCGCCATTTCGGATGAACGAGCTTCAAGCAGGGGATGTCTCGTGTGGTCGAGCCACAGCGACAAGGCCGGACGCGCATGATCTTACACGGCGGACAAGGCCCAGTGTGACATCGCACCGCGCATGCATGCTCACACCCTTCGAGCGGCTTCATGCATATCGACTCGCAGGTCGGTATCAGGTCCGTGCACGCCGTGCGGGGCAGCCTCGTTCTAGGCGGGAAGTGGATCGCTGAGGACGGATCGAGCGAGTGCTTGCCGCACGGGCATTGCGTAACGACAGCAGGAGAGCGGGGGCATGGTGCAGGAGTCGGCGAGGGCGGGTGACATGGTTAGAGCAGCGGTGGATACCGCAGTCAAACGGTCGGTCGCAGGGATGGCTGCATTGGTATCGACCGACCCATCTGGTCTCTTGCTCTCCTGCAGCGAGGACACACTGCTTTTCCTCGCCGTCACCACAAGGGACCTCCTTCTCCTCGCGTCCGCAGTAGCATCGGACCAGGTCGCGCACCTTGCACGCTTCGCATGGCCCGGGGTGACAGACGTCCTCGCATTCATGGTTACCGCACTTCAGCTTGCGTCCACACCGTTTTCCGCACGACAGCTCAGCAGACGCCCTGTTCGACGCCCTACTCGGTGCCAGACTGGAGCACCGGAACAACATTGTCTCCTTCTCGCAGTGGCAGGGGAGCGACGTCGTGACCTGGCAGGGCGGGCAAGGGCCAGGATGACAGAAGAGGGGGCAGCGTGGCCGCAAACGCGGGGTCGTGAGCATGGGTTCGAGCACGAATGCGGAGTCGCCAGACGTGACGGCTTGGGCTCTGGCATCGATCCGCAGAAGCACCTGCATAAGCGTATAAGCATATATGCGCGCATACAAGCGTGTCTGCACGCACCAGTAACTGCTCGGCACCGGCACCCTCTTGGACTGGCAGCCTGGGCATCGCCAGTTACCCTCCCGCTCCTCTCCTCGAGCCCGCCACGCCTCGACGACGTCTTTGACGCTCTTTGCCGCCCATGACCGGATGCACTTCAGATGGAACGTCGTCCAGCAACACTGCGCGGTCTCCCCTGCGCGTCGGGTCTCGGAGGCGCTCGCGTCATCGTCTGGAACTGTCGAAATGGGATTGGACGGCGAGCACGACCATGTCGGCTGTGCAGGGTGGATGGGAGCGAAGCAAATGAGACAGTCGGGGAAGGGCGGAGTAGAGAGTTCGTAGATCATCCTCGACGTCAGGTCGTCGCCTTGCGGAACGGCGAGACGATACTTCTCGGAAGGTTTGGCATCTGAAGCAGACTTGACTGCACTGCTAGACGTAGCCTCGGAGAGGGAGCCCTTGAATTTGGCCCCGCGATGATTCGGCTTCTTCCCTGAAGAGGCCCCTGATGGCTTGTCGGAGATGATGCCAGACGAGGGGGTAGCGGTTTCCGCTACGCGCGGTGTTCCAGGCTGCCCGTTGTGCCCGTCTTTGTTAGGTCGACGACGACGTCGTGGCGGACGACCTCCGGGTTAGAGTGTGCAGGACTGTCTGCACCGCCATGTGAACGTTTATGCCCTCACCACGGACAGACCCAGCTTGCTGCGCCGCTCCATCTCCGTTCTCTCCAGCGGGCCGCCTCTGTCTCCTAGGACGCTCCCCGATGGATGGGCCAGCATCAGCCGCACTACCGGATGCTTCTCCTCGAGGTTGTCCTCTGGGCTTCCGATTCCGGGACGGCGAGGCAGTGGGCTAGTAGTAGGGCAGGCGACGACACAGCGGCGGACATGTGCGGACCAGAGGGAAATGTTCACGAGCTTGTAGGCCGTACCAGACCAGTCCGTGGTGACCGTCCCAGTGAGTGTTTTCTGCGACTCGTTGACCAAGATGATTGATGCAGACGTACTGAGTCAGATCGAAGTCGCGAGGAATGGCACCGCTCTCGCCCGCCCCAGCTCGACTCAACGGACAGTGAATATGGAGCAGGTAGGTCAAGAATTAGCTATAAAGTGGTTGTTAATGTTGGTTATATAGAGGTTCAGACGGTAGTGATTGGGAGGGAGCAAGAGTTAATGTGGGAAGGCCCGAGCTTGGGGAGCGGTAGGAAAGAGCGGTATGAGGGCACGTGAGGGCGCAGTCTTTCCAAATATGTCAATTCCCGACGCAAGGAGGAGGATCTGCTCAGTACAGACGCTGAACAAGTAATGCAAACGTCCGAATCTCTTGTTGCGCGTACCATTGCTACGCACAGAAAATCTTGCATGATGTCGCTGCATCCCGCCTTACTATCATGCTTCCAGACGCACTCAGAAGAGCTACTTACCTGCTCTGCACTTCAGGAATATCGTAAGATGGGTTTCAGCGGGCTAAACCAGTGGCTCATTTGCAAGCGTACAGACAGCATGACCTCGCCCTCCATACGGTCTTGCAATACCCAAGGGCGTGCTCAAGATGTATGAAATTGAGTCTAGCGGGCTGAATTTGGCTATGTTCTCGTGTTGCGGGTGTAGGACAGTGTGCAAACTTGTCTGCATTACCAGTTCAAGTTCAACGTTCAGCGCTCAGCGTTGTCAGTAAGAGGAACGGTGTTCTTCTTCCTTCGACATACAGGGCACGCACTCCAAAACTGGCAAAAGGGGTCCGATTTGCCATGTTACGCGTGTGCAAGACAATGTAATACCGACAGCTGGCCAGAGGTAGTTGCCCGCAGAGTACCTTAATAACGGTACCGGCGTAAGTGCTTAGTGCTACATGTGACATAAACGCTGCCGTACCTTCGTCTCATCGCTGTCCCAACACTACAATTTACCAGTCCGGACTGCGTGTGAGCAGATCTGTTACCCTCTGCAATGTTCTCGTACGTTTGTACAGGTTCCGATCCTGCATCCTCGGGAATTCTAGGTGGAGATGTTGCAAGCGTTCCACCGAGCCAGCAGCTGCAGCATCCCGACGATTGTGCATCGAGATGATAATGGAGTCAATGATATTGTTCGACTCGTCTGGTTCCGCCTCCGTTGCAGTGTTCTCGAATGTAATCCGCTGCAGTTTTGGCCACGGCAGCGGCGTGTTCGGATTTGGGCCAAGGTCGGGAAGGAAATCGTCGAAGAAGCTGGAGGATGGCCCCCCCGCGTAGAAATCTACGATGTGCGGGAACTTGGTATAGAGGCTTTTCCAATTCTCCGTGGTCACGAAACAATCATAATTTTCATGACCCTTCACCTGGATGTGCAACCCCGTCATTGACAGCGATGGAGAAAACACCATGCTCATGTCGCGCATGATCTCTTTGTGAATGTGCTTTGTGTTTATCATGTTTCCCAAGGCACAGGAATAGGTGACCGACGGCGTGCCAGACCCACGCTCTTTCTGCGTAAATGCCAGTACTGTCAGGCGATCGTCATTGATCGTAGTCTTGACTGTTTGTATCGCAGAGAACACGGGTAAGAACGTCTTGTCTTCGGGAATGGCATCCGCGAATGATGTGTCCCATAAATCGACGTCTTCCATCAATTCCTCGCGGTCTGCTTCATCCAAGTTAACGACGATAGCAATCTCAGCCGTGAACGGCAGGGCGAGATGTGCAAGCAGATATGCTATGCCCGCACGTTCGATGCAGTCCCTGAAGCTGAGTGCTCGAAGACGCCGCATCTCGATGATACGGTTGCGACGGACGTCATCCGTTACAGCGACAGCCGTTGATCCGGCTTCGAGGGAGACCATAGTCAGGTACTCCAGAACCGGACAGCCCTTGAGTAGATTGAGAACTTCGCTCCACGTCTCGTGCCACAGACTGTCTAAGGTCAGCGACGTCAAACAGTGTGCGTCGACGATGTTCGCTACGGGTTCGATCTCGCGTAGTGTCAGGGATTCCAGTTTTGGGAAACGATCGCCACGTATAGCGATCACGGTAGCCCCCTCCTCCTCAGGCCCAGGGGTGAAGTGCGGTGGCAGCGCGTCATCAATGGTGAGAGAAGACAGCTGTTCCATGCGATGCTCGATGTATGGCTGAGAGCTGAATGTGTGCAACTCCGTGACTCGATCGAAATGCGGAGAGAGTACGCTGAGGAGGGCGTCCTGGGATACCGTGTGCGTAGCTCGCGTAGAAAGCGAAAGGCCCGCCCGCGTGATCGGCGCAAGTATGTGTGCAGGAGAGGAAGCGACATGCCAATCGTGATGTCGGACCATAGGCATGCAGAGGGTACCGCGATGTAGTACCAATGGCGGCAGATCAGCAGCACGGTGCTGAAAGACCAGTCGGAAGGACGGTCAAATCGCACGATTTGCAGGATCTCCGCGAGCAATTCATCAGGCAATCTGTTGATTGGTACAGCCAGATTGACGAAGAAATGAACCTTGACTAGCCACTTCTGCAGAGCCATGGGGCCATCAGTGGGAATGTGCCGCCAGACATCATCGGGAAGGGGTGACGGTATGCGGATCGTATCCATCTCGGAGGCTACCGACGCTCGCGCCTCCTGTAGCTGAGCCTGTATGTCGTAAGTTGGTACAATTCGTGTTTGATGATACACCAAAAGGCCGTACCAATATCGTTGTATTTTCGCGGTAGTCGGCGGGACTTGAACAATGCAATCAAGGGTACTGGTTGTGAACTCTCGCTGGTACTTTGACGCAAGTCATAAGCCATTTTCGAAATCCGCATAGCAGATAGATACCACACCTAGTCTGGCTATATGTAGATTTTTTGCGTTGATCAGGTTCCCAGTGGTGGCAGAGGAACCTAAGTACCGCGTACCACGACGCAACCACGTAGCAAGGCCGAACCGCATACGTTCCCACACTCAAAGGTCGGTTTGACTCAATTGGTGTCAATTGATCGATCGAGATGCGGTCGGACAATCACATGCGCTAACCTTCATTGCTACAACTATTAATGTGTCTGAGCACATCCTCTTCCTCCTCCTCCTCATCGTCCTAGTAATTCACTGCGAGTCTGTACACTCAACTACACATTCTTGCGGCCACTTCGCCCAGATGTCGATGAAGAACCGCCTCGTCGACGCGAAGGGGTTCCCACGCCCAGGCTTGCTTCTGCTCATCTCCTTACTTCTGCTCCGTTCTCGCCTGCTTACTGGCCCAAGAGCTGCATTGCGCAGTCTGACAGCAGCCACATTAAAACAGAAGGTCAGCGAGGAGGACCTGACGCGGGCATTGCAGCAAGTGTACACGAAGGATGCCGATGGGACGACGCGACTTCTCGTACCTCACGAAGGTCGCATCAAGCAGGTCCGTTGGTCTTCCACTCTAACCTAGACTGCCGACCTAGCGCAGCGTTGGTCATGCTTTCTCACAGATACCCATCCGCTCTACAACCGAATCCGTCATTGCTGCGAATGCCAGAAGGTTTCGCCCCATTTCCGCCTCACACAAGCCAGGGCTGGACAAGTCCTTCCTGCGACAACTGCTCGCCATCCTCCGTGTCGCCTTCCCAACCTACCATTCGAAGGAGGCTATCATTCTCTTCGCACACACCTTCTTCCTCGTCTTCCGCACCGTGCTCAGCGTCGCAGTCGCGCGCCTCGATGGCCGGATAGTGCGTGACCTGGTCAGCGCAGACGGAAAGGGCTTCTTGAAGGGGCTCGGGCTGTGGTTCGCGCTTGCAGTGCCGAGCACATACACGAATGTCATGGTAGGTGGTACCCTGAAACGAGAACAAACGCGAAGCTGACGCGCGCCTTCCAGATTCGCCACCTCCAAGCGAAGCTTTCATTGGGATTGAGGACTCGGTTGACGCGGTACACCGACGACGTGTACCTGTCATCCTCGCCAGACCTGCGATACTATCGCACCGCGCTCGAAGGCGGGCTAGACGATGTCGACCAATACATCACGTCTGACATTGCAGCGTTCTGCGATTCTCTCACCGGGATTTAGTGCGTCTGTCGCCGCTCGCGCACACCTTCCGACTGACATCGGATAGCGGGAATGTCTTGAAGCCTTCTCTAGACCTCATCCTCTTCACCTCGCAGCTCTCGCGGACGCTCGGCTTCCGCGGGACGTTCCTCCTGGGATTGAACTACTACGTTACGGCCAGGATTCTGCGCGCAGCGACGCCTGCTTTTGGACGACTGGCTGCGGTCGAGGCGCAGCTCGAGGGAGAGTATCGCGCAGGCATGGGCCGCGTCGACAGGGAGAGTGAGGAGATCGCGTGCGTGTCTACGCTCCGTGCTAGTCCACAAGACTAACTGCTGGACAGCTTCTACGGCGGTGGGCTCCGAGAACGGAGTATACTGTGGCGAGCGTATTTGAGACTAATTCGCCATGTCAACTCCATATACAAGGTTCGTGGTGGTCCATGCATATTGCTCGCTATCTGAATAAACCATGTTGTACATAGATCCGCATTGCATACGAATGGACGGAGGACTTCGTGATCAAGTACCTCTGGAGTGCCGCTGGGTACTGCCTGATTTCGATCCCCGTGTTCCTCACGCGGCGTCGACACGTCGGCGTGCAAGCAGGCGTGCCGACGGTCTCCAGGCCCAATGACGAGGTCGCGAATCGCACCGAGACCTACATCTCCTCGCGTCGTCTGCTTCTCTCCCTCGCTGACGCGGGAGGGCGCGTCATGTACGCCTACAAAGACCTTCTCGAACTCGCTGGGCTCACAACGCGGCTGTACTCACTCCTCTCGACGCTGCACAACTTGCCCCCGCTCCCGCCCACGTCCGACGCTGCGCACCAGGACTTCATCGAGCTCACGAACGTTGACGTCGGCGTGCCGACTGTTTCGCCCGCCGTCATCGCCGGGGTGCCAGAGAAGACGGGGTCGTCCTGGATCCTCGTGAAGGACCTGTCGCTAGTGCTGCATCAGGGAGAGCATTTGATGATTACTGGGAGCAATGGCGTGGGCAAGACTGCCGTGGCACGGGTGCTCGCCGGTCTGTGGGCTGCCCAGAACGATGGAGAAGTGAAGCGGCCGGCGGGGAAGCAGGGCGTGTTCATCGTACCGCAGAGAGCTTACATGGTGACTGGATCGCTGCTTGACCAGTGCGTCGGTATCACTCTGCAGTGGTCGACACATTGCTGATGTCTGAGACAGAATCATCTATCCGCACTCATATGCTGAGTACTTGGAGTCGGGGAAGACGGAGCAGGACTTGATGGACATCTTGGCTGCGGCGAACCTGGCGTACCTGCCCGCCCGGGAGGGCGGCTGGTTCACAAGGAAGGAGTGGCGCGATGTGTTGAGCGGCGGCGAGAAGCAACGGGTGAGTTCGCGTTCAACGCTCTTAGTTTGGTTCTCATCCGGCGAATACTCCCAGATGGGTCTCGCGCGAGTCTTCTATCACATGCCCAAGTTCGCTGTCCTCGATGGTACGTGACATGCTACGTCCTGACGCTGCGTCTCGTTGACTCCATCCCGCCCGCAGAATGCACGAGCGCCGTCTCCAGCGACGTCGAAGGCCGGATGTACGAGCATGCAAAGTCGCTCGGCATCACGCTCATCACCATATCCCTGCGCCCGTCGCTCATGCGGTACCACACCCATCTGCTCACGCTCGCGGGCGACGGCACAGGCAAATGGCAGCTGACGCGCATAGGCACGGCGGAGGAGCGCATGGGCATCGACCGCGAGGTGATCACGCTCGAGGGCAAGATCGCGGAGGTCGAGAAGTGGGAGGCGCGCGTGAAAGAGCTGAACCAGATGCTTTCTGCGCAAGAACAATGATCATGGCCGTACTGGGTGGATGATCTCCGTTGAATCCGAGTCCGTTGATGTATGTATAGGTTCGACACGAACCCACACTAGCGCTGCGTGGAGGGTCTTTAGATGTATGTAGTTATATACTGCTGTAGGGTATGATCTCTGGGCATGGGCGCTTTCCCCTCGGTCGAGATTCTGAGGAAGTTTTCAAGCTCTGCTCAAAATGACTTACAAGAGAACATTAAGTAGAGCTATACGCTTCAGTTGACGTCAGGAGGATATGCAAAACAAGAGTCGAACCAAGGGATCTGCTCAGACTGGGACAACGGAAGCCAAACGGAAGCTCACAAGAGATGGGCGCTTGTTCTGTACACGTTAATGGCACATGCCAGTATGTACCGCTGCTGGGTCGCTCTCGACCAGCAGACAGTCCGACATCCTCTGCCTCCTTTGCTCGCTCTCTCAGCCAAGGTTTCGCCGGCCAATCGCCGGGATTTCGCAAGGTACAGATGGCGAATATCTTTACGGGGCAGCCGAAGCTGCGTGCGGTGACGTGATCGCGACTCAGTTGAGCCCGAGCCACTGCCAGTAGTATTTGAGTCAGCAAGGCTCTAGTATAAAGCCTTTCTACTCAGTCAACACGGCCAAGTGCTCGTCTGGCCTCCTATGACCAACTTCCTGAGAGCTTCTCCCAGACTCGCACAGATCTCTCGCTTTCTCTCAACCTCCGCAGGTCGCAAGATGTCCTTCCCATCGCAAATCAAGGCCGTTGGTATCCACAAGACGGGCGACTTCGACGTAATCGAGGACCTCACGTTGCCATTTCCGGAGAATGCACCCGGTAATGTGCTCGTAAAGGTACGTCTTTCTCCCAGCTCGTGTCCGTAGCCGAGTCTGATCTCGATCGCTGTGGGTGCATGTAGGTGCACTATGGCGGTGTCAACTTCATTGATACGTATTTCAGGTTAGTGCGTAATCCGCCTGCCGGTGTGCACATGGCGTGCTCCCAGCTCTGTCGAAGGAGATTGAGATCGCTCAACGATCGAACAGGAAGGGGCTGTACAAGATCGATCGCTTTCCGTACGTGCAGGGCACAGAGGGCGCAGGCACCATCGCGGCGCTGCCATCAGATCCCAGCGTCGTGAATGACGAGGAGTTCAAGAAACGAGGATTCAAGGTCGGAGGGAAAGTAGCCGTTGTGAGCGTAGCATCGTCAGAATCTGAGCGGGCCGTTAACGTCAGACGCAGTACGCTGGGCCCGTCGGTACCTTCACCGAATATGCCACGATTCCTTGGGCCAAGGTCTATCCCGTCCCGGAGTCTGTCTCTCTCAGAACGGCAGCGGGTCTATTCGTCCAAGGTCTGACTGCGCTGACGTTCATCACGGAAGCGTACAACGTCCAGCGGGGGGACTACATACTTGTCCACACCATCGCAGGCGGACTGGGCCTGCAGTTCGCGCAGCTGTTGAAGGACCGCGGCGCCATCGTGATCGGGACGACGTCAACCAAGGAGAAGGCGGAGCTCGCGAAGAGCTATGGCGCTGACCATGTCATCCTTTATCGGGACGAGAATGTGGTGGAACGCGTCTTGGAGATCACTAAGGGCGAGGGCGTGCATGCTGTCTTCGACGGGGTAGGGAAGGATACGTGAGTCTTCATCGCTTTCTCTTGGGAACGGATCTGACGCGCAACTCGGACTCCGTAGCTTCGAAGACAACTTCAAGCTACTCCGCCGGAAGGGGACCCTCGTCTCTGTCGGGAACGCGTCGGGTGCCGTCCCGCCGTTCCCGCCCCTGAAGCTCGTCGAGAAGAACCTCAAGCTTCTCCGACCCACGTGCGTCCCCTTGTTCCTACGCCCACCGCGCCACTAACTCGCCGCGCAGTATGGGCAATTACATCTTCACGCCAGAAGAGGGACGCCTGTACAGCTCGGAGCTCTTCCGCTTCGCCGCTGAGGGCAAGCTCAAATTGCAGATCCACAAGGAGTACCCACTTACCGGCGAGGGCGTGCAGCAGGCGCAGAAGGACCTCACTGGCGGGCAGACGGTTGGTAAGCTGCTCGTCAGGGTTTCTGATGAGGAGAGATAGGGCCACTCCGAGATACAGAAATGCGATGGGTGGTACGAGGTCGGCGAGATATGGAGTGCCTGGAGAATATTGGTATTTCTCTGGTGGTCTTGCTCAGCGTAAGGACGACCCTTCGTCGCATGTCTGGCGAGCTGTTCACTCTATCGAGATCTGTCCCACCGTGACTCCGCCACGTTATCCACTCTAGACCCGTTCACTGGTCGCTCTTGACGGGCCATGGAAAGCACGTAGATTTTGCTATGGTCCGCAGCGGCGGCCTCAGCTCGGGCTGTGTGTGCACTGTTCGCGAACCGTCTATGGACTGCACTGCTTTCTATTGGACAGCTCAGAAGCATGCATCTGACCACAGGCGCCGTCGAGCTGTGGCTTCTGTGGCCCGGGCGCTGTGGCACGGCCGCGCCTGGACTAGTAGCATGGTCGGAAGCTGAGAAATAGTAGGTCGGTGTGCCAGATGCCCGGATCGCTTTGTGGGGCATTTTGCTGACTCTGTTTGTTGCTTTCAATTCAGATCTGCAGGTGACTGTTCGTATCAAATTTCCGAAGTCACGGTGATGAGGACGATGGTCCATCTCTGCTGTATCACACGAGTACGCACTACTAGCCACAATGTCCCCGAAAATGGCTGAACCCTGAGAACCACGAGTCATCGGCACTGTCCCGCGGCCTCGGGGCGTGGCCGTCATACCTCGTCCCACCACCCTCAGGCTCCCTGGCAACCTAGTCTCAGCAACGAGCTTTGAGCGAGGCTGGTCTGGTCGGTGTGGTGCACAGAGCGCATCGTTATGCGCGGTGGGCTTGAAGGCGTCCACATCGTGGGAGCTCGTCAACCTATGAACCTTGTTACTTGACTCCGATTGTAAAGGATTCGTGTCACAAAATTGCAACTCCGAAGGAGGACCATGGTTCGCCGCTGGGAGCCATCATCATAGCAGAGATTTGGCACTGTGCCGGCCTCGCATAATGGGTGAAGAAGAGATCGTCGTGGACCTCGGGGTCTAGATGCTGCGCTTCGAAGCGCATCTACTCAGTTCCAACTCTCCTGAGCCCCCACGGCTGGCTGCAAGGTGGGCTATCGAGCTGTTCCCCTTGCACACTAGAACTAAATCGGGCACGACAACAGCCACACTAGACACGGGCTTGTCCGTAGCTGGTATGTCGCTAGCTGCAATAAGAGATCAGTTGCGGTGAGGTGATATTGTTGCCGTCCATGTGGCTGCCCAGCGTCACATCTCAGGCATTGACTCTGAGGGTGCGCTACCTGTCGGAGGATTGACGTGGGCGGGCGCAGTTGACATCATGATCATGTCAGGACGGATGGTCTGAAGACACGCCTGTTCCGTTCTCAACCAGTAGCTCAAGCGCTCACCCGCTCGCCGAATCTAATTTCAACGTGGCTTTCGTGTGCCCCTTTCCACTGGGTACAGAGGCTGCCTATATAGCGGGGTGATTTTCCGGCCGGTACAGGTAGACAAGTCAATCGTTCTATTCTTCTGCCACTCTTTATTTGCACCTATTATACGACACTCATGTCCTTCAACCTCTATTCGATGTCACAGATCCCCCAGGTCCCCGTCGATCATGCCCTCACTTCGCTCCCATACAGAGTTTCGGAGCCAAGCGCCCGACTCGTGTCCTCCTACACGCCGCTTCAAAATCATGCATGGCCGACGAATTTATATGGATAGTAAGTCGGGAAATCGGCATTCATATGACTATCATTGACATTGAAAGCCGTAGCACCGAGCCTCTGTCAGGCTACGGCAACGTAATACCAAGGCAGCCCCTACCGCCTTCCAGTTATGATCACGACTATTCATGGGGATTGGTCTGTCGAATTGACTTTTGCTATCAGAGCATGACCTATTGACCCGTGTTCACTAGACGATGCAAGCTGATCGGAAAAACCCCGCGATAACTGTCCCAACTAGCGCACGGTACGTCGGCGGCCTTCGAAGGCTTAACGCTGTCTCATTCGAGTCATGGTCTGAATTCCTGTGCTATAGCTCGCACGTTGAGATCAGCGGATCAGGGGTGGTCGCGCAGACCCACGACGTAGCTTCATCATCCCAGCGCGATGCAACTCGCCGTCCCTGCCTCTGGGGTCAATGCAGAATCATGCTTGACGACCACAGCAACGGGGGGATAGCGCGTCATTTGCTGGAGTACCACACGGACATCCTATCCGGAGGCGCGGTCAACGCTGGTAGACAGTTTAACCGCGAATGCGCTTCGATCTGTCAGTGGAACTTGAAGGACGGTCAACCTTGTCGCAGCGAGCACGTCTATCGTACGGTCCGCACGCTTGCACGGCACATATCGTCTCACCACATGGGAGCCGGGCGAGTGACGTGCGAGGTTTGCGGGGTGGAGTTCAGTAGGAAGGATGCTCTGAAGCGCCACCAAAATGTGACCTGTCGCGGTCCATCTGTTGCCAATGGTCAGGGTAGCGGCCCGGGCCCTCTGCGCCGAACAAGACGGTATGCTAGCTCCATGCTGTATAAAATTATTATAAAGCACTGACAGCATCGTAGGCAGCGCAGCGCGGCAGTATCGAGTCGTACTGCCTAAGGGCTGATCTGAACACGGACCTCTGGCTGAAGCTGTAGAATCAGCGAACTTGAAACAAGCCTTCTGAACCTACTGGCTCGCTTACGATTTATGACATTCCTGTCCCGCCGTCCTCTCTTTCTTAATTTATGCTTATAATGTTCCTCGATAGTATAGACTCCTTCGTGGTGGTGATACGTCCTTTAGGGTACGATCGTATGGGCTATCGCGCAATGGATCGACCTGTAGCTTCCGTAGCCTAATGCGGCGCACGTGTACACTGTCATTGCACCTACTAGTAATGATAGCGTTTGTATGGCTAGTATGCGACTCGAGGTTGATTTGAGCATCATTCATGCAGTGAGTAGCATTTACACCCAGAAGACTTCGGAAAACTGGTGCTAGTAAGTTAAGTAGATTACGATAAGTAGGAGCGAGCCTACGGAGATTGCCGAGTCAACGATGGGGTTGTGGCTGTCAGTCATTCTTATGGGCGCTGGCTCGCTTTCTACCGTGACAGTGCGCTCGAAGTATGCTGGACCTGAAAATCTACAACGTTCGGCCTGGCCTGGTTCCTCTACCTTATATGCACCCCGCCAGAATCTTGAAGTACAACGTCGAAGGACTCAGCCCGAACAGCCTTATTACCGGAAGGCGCTGGGGCAGTACAGCACCAAGCTACAGTCACATCCGGGTCTTATTCAACTAAGTACGTCCACTGGGCCACTCAATCTCTGCGCTGAGAAACGACCATGAAAAACCCCGACTCCGAGCTTCCTATGTGAACTCATGCATCGCTCTGACCGCCCGTATCAAGTCGGTAGATGTACTGTCCGGAAAGCACTGCACGTCATGACATTGCACCGCCCTTCAAGTTTCATGTCTCGCGGAATCTTCGTAGGCAGCGTTCTCCGCAGAAGGGGTCAGGCAAGTCATATTCGTACTATTCGCTGTGGTGCCGGACGCGGTTTCGAACTAGGACAGGGGTAAGCATCGATTCATCGGGTGTTGCATTCTGAGCGCCGGAAGGAATGAAAGCCTTGCCATGTAAAGGGGGACACGAGGCGGCGAACGTGTCTGCCTCGAGTTATGCGCGTTGTGGCCTTTCGACTACTGCTCTCCGCCACAGTGGCACCCAACTGCCATGCTTCTTCGACATAATTAACATGATCGACACAATCTGTTCAATAGACGACTCTGGATGGAAATCTCCGCCTTCACCGGACCACGCTTCAAGGACACTGCTGTAGAATGTCTCCGAGCCCTAACGGAGAAACCTTTCTCTTTGGTTCCGAACCACCGCATTACCCTGTGCTTAATATTGCACTCGGATTGGGCTTGCATTGCGTATTGGCAATGTGCTTCCGTGTCCAACCTAGTTCTGACCACAGAAACTAGCTGAGCTCGAAGAGAGAGGAAGGCTAGTAAATCCTCTGCACGACTAGGTAATGGGAGTCACCAAAATGGGTGATGGTGTGTCCGCTGCTCACATCGTCGCGGCCATCAAAACCGTTGGCAGTGGTGATAGCGATAAACCCCTGGTCCGCTCGCACACTGTTTGTGGCATGTGCGACGGAGTCAAGAAGACGACACAAATAGTTCCAACTATACACACAAGCTCACAGAGTGTGCACCATTTCATTACCTCAGCGTGCTTCCGGTGCGCATGCTGACACAGAGTCTTCGTTGAACTTTACTCAACATGATGTATATATCATGTGGTCCATGTGCGTACTCTCCGCTACTTATCGATTCTTTCCTTTCTTCTAGCCTTGTACCTTCTCTCCCCCGTCACTCGCAAAATTATTTTCCAATCCGACACTCATTCAATGTCGCGGCAGAGCCGTGTGGCTCGTACGGGAAAGCCGTACCCGCTTGCTCGGTCTGGACACCTGCCAACGATGGCGGGCACAATCAGTAGTGAGCGTCAAGATGCCCTGCGAGTCAGATCCTGTGGAATGTAAGTCCCTGGCATGTAGGCGGGCCAAGTCTGTTCTAGTCTCACAGCACCGACCCCTCTAGACACGAATCACTGCAAATCGGAGCTTACGACGGTCATTGGGCGACGAGGGCGGTTGTACAACCCCGGCCTTCTGGTCATCTTCATATTCAAAGACCGGTGAGTCGGTCGTATACGTGCTGTCTTCGGGCGCTCAAGCGCGGTCTATGTGTCTAGTCGGCAATAACGACACAGTATGATGCCGCAGAGGCTGATTCAACCGCTACAACTCTGTCAGTCTTCCGCTGCCGAAACTAATTCTTGCGACTTGTCTGACAGGGCAATGGCCTAACGTCGAATTCGCGCACCTGTGCAGGACTGGTGTGGCCGAGGTTGACGTCGCTCATTCCCTCCCTCGCTGCCAACAGTGCCGCTGGGAGCAATGCCCAATCATGCTTGATGACCACAGCGCCGGAGGTATCAGGCGCCACTTCCTAGAATATCACACAGACGCGATGGTGTCTCAGAGCGGCCGCAATCAAAACCGCCCTGAGGGAGCAAGTGGTAGCCTCGGAACCACGGTGATCTGCCACTGGACTTCGGAGGACGGTCATACGACCTGCGGTCTTGAGTACAAGACTGTTGTCACACTGACCCGGCACATCTCGTCGTGCCATTTGAAGCATGGGAGGAAGACCTGTCGTTGGTGTAACAAGGAATTCAGTAGAGGAGACGCCCTGACGCGGCATGAACAAAGTAGCTGCCGCGGCGATGCGTAACCTGCGCAGGAGTGAAGGAGGAATGGTATTCGGCGAACGGGCTTCCCCTCCTACACACAGCATCGGAGATGCTGTGCAGGACATCGGAGGACACCTGGCGCTCAGTGCGATGAAGGTGTCTTTTGTTTGGACATGGAATGCGAATCGGACAGTGCTTATCCGTGACTCTCCTCTGTTTCGTTCATTTACCTTATGTAACTCGTTTTGTCGTTCAATGACTACTTATATGCAGGCACTGAAATACAGTTTTTGTCAGGTTCCTATGTACTCTGCAAGAATGGACTTCGTTTCCCTGAGTGGCAGTGGCAGTGAGACGCATAGCGATGCGCTTCTGTCCGGGATTCTGTCAGCAATTCTACGAAATTTGGCTGGAATATTCGAATGACACTGCACCGGGAACAATACTTCGGAATTGGTTGTCGAACATGCAATGAACAACGCTCCTGGTTGGAGAACCGTTTCGGAGTATGTTTGAAGTCCGAAGGTATGCCGAAAATACGAAGGATATTCGACGAACATCGCCACAATTACCAAACAAGGAAATTCGTCGACCGAAAATATAACATCTTCGTCAATCTTTTGGATCCCAAATGTGCTCCGAAACGGTTCTCCACAAGGAGTGGTTTCCGTTGCATGTTCGACAGTCGACTCGGAAGTGCTGTTCCCGGTGCTGGAAGCCTGGGACATGGACTAAGCCCATTCTCAGATTAGATCTGATGTAAGATCATGATTTTGATGGGATTGGGCGCCTCTGGCTCAGCTCCAGTTTGCTTCCAGCATTCACGTTGTCCAGGACCACATTTCCCCCATCCACGCCCCGGGCCTGGACTCCCCTTCGCCATGGTCAACGACGAACGCCGACGCACGAAGTCCATAGTTAGACTATGATCCACGCTGTCATCGTGGGAGACAGAAGATTGAAGCAGCACTCGATCACAGCGTGCGCAGTGCTCGTGCCGGTGAGCTCGTCCGACTGGAAGTTAACTGCGTACGTGCTTTCGTGCGGAAGTTGGTACTCTCTAGGTGGACAGAGAGAGGTCCGACGCTTGCGTGGTCATAGCTAGCATTGCAAACAACCTCCGAGTTTCAAGCCGTTGGCAGTCGCCTGCAGTCGCCCCAAGCCACGTGTCAAACGTACGCCCGTGGACACAATTGCGCCGCTATGAAGGCATCCCACTTGTTTCACAACCTCAAGCAGCAAGTGCCATGGCGAGGGTTGCCTCCATCTAAGCAGTGTGCTGCGTCTATCGAGGAGGGAAGGGTGCGGTAGAAGTATGTGTGTTCAGGCTAATGTGGCATGTTTTAGCTTGTACGATTCCGCTACGCCTCACTTGCGCGTGCCTTCAAGCTCTACAGCCTGGGTCCTGATATGCGTAGTCTACGTACAGTCCTCATGAAAAGTCACGGCGCTGGTTCGTGCTACGCTCTCCATCTCGACTGCAAACGGTTTTGACATATTCGATAACAGGCGGCGATCCTGGGCACGGAAAGTCGTTGGGCCTCCATCTCAGTTCGCGAAGCTCACTCGAGTCTCAAAGATTGGACCGGAGGTTGCTTGCAGTATGGTTTATCGTGTATGGCCGCCAGTGATACTGATTGCTGCGCCTTTGGGATCGTACCCATGTGTCGTCATACCCTCGGCGCACTGTAGGTCGCCAGGACCGCTCATGCAGCAGATATATGTGCGATGGATACGCCTCGTCGGCAGGTCCTCTTCACGATCTCAAAGAAAAAGGCCCCTCCGCGGCGCTCTCACATGCGGTATTGAAACATCGGCGCATGGGAAAGTTATCGACATCATGTGTCCCCAGATGCGGCTTAACTAGCCTTCGCTGTCATTGCCTTCTGCTCCCATGTCAGAGGTCCTCCTATCTCGGCCACGATAACGTCAAATCGTAGCTGCAGCCGCGGAATATTAGTCTTCATCGAGCGCGGATCGCTGCGGAAATTAGCCTTCTATGTCCGAGCTGCCAATTGCGCAATTCTGGACCTGGATATGTCTGCCGAGTCGTTTGCGAAGACGGACCGAAGCAGGCACCCGGACTCAAAGTCGCTTCATATCTTCTGTTGACGGTCAACGTTCTCATCGGTGATCCACGCTCCGTCGCAGTGACGGCAGACCCTCGGGCGGTTTGTCGAATATAGTATCCCATGTGGGCTTCGTGCCTTCGAGCCGCGGAGTCAATACCATAGTAAATCGGAATATGACGTTGTGCTTTCCCGTCACAGACGTACGACCGGTTCGCTGTGCAGGCTAGTATTCTGACCACTTCTCTAGGTCCATCTGCGCACTCATGTGCTCCTCCACGAGGTAATTGATATTGTGTGGCCGTAAGATCAGATATGCTGACTACGTTATCGTCTGAGCAGCGTAGGTTTTAAAATTTTACGATGGCGCGCGAGGACCACAGACCACCCACCCCGTGATGCTCGAAGATGCATATATAGCGGGCGCATCTTTGCTCTAGAGCCCAACCCCTCCTCCCTTTCGTTGTACGAGGGACTTCCCGTCGTTTTCCCCCTTGTTCTCTTTCGTTTCTCTTCACCCTATACTTTATATTAGACCTTTAATTCACCTTTCCGTCTTCATCTCTCTCTCCGGCACCGCGCTCAGCTCCGACCAGTTCAATGTCTGCGTATAACTTCCAACAGTACGGATATTACAACTAGTACGTATCCTGCATTCGCGGGGTCGTTGCGGCACGTCTGACCGACATCACAGTGGAGTGGCAGGAGATGCCAACGGTGGCCCGAGCTATCCCTATCAGGGGTATCAACCCGCTGCGCCGGTAGCTCCTCCGCCCCTCGTCTTCTGCAGATGGGGACAGTGCAATGTCCCGCTCGACGACGTCAGCGGCCCGGGCATCAAACGTCACCTTCAGCAGTACCACGCCGCCGACATGCCGCCGAGGAGCGCCTCTGGGCAGCCACTGGGGAGCTCAGAGTGTCGGTGGAACGAGGGTCACGGTGCGGGCACCTGCCAGACAGAGTGCCGGAGTGCCGTCGCACACGGGAGACACATCTCGACGGTGCACCTCGGGCACGGCAGGAAGATCTGCCAGTACTGCCGCAAGAACTTCAGTCGGAAGGACGCGTTGAAGCGGCACCAAGAGCAGTACTGCCCTGTTTTGCAGGGGTACGTGGCTTGAGGTTGCTTGGCCGCTTCATGCCTATGTGAGTAGTCTTTCGAGCAGACGTGGGTGGCATTCGCTGAACTCCAATAGACACCCTCCTAGCACCGGATGCTAGCGCGCAAGTTCGTCCAGGAGACGGCTGCTGCGCAAGGGAGCCCTCGATGATCACTCTCGCATGCTCATAGACCACGCAAACGGCCGTGGCTCGGCACGCACTTCCATACATTAAATTATTCCTATCTCACATCGCTTGATGACCTATCCTACCCTCCACATCGTACACCCAACATTCATTTCACAATACCCACTTTTTAATCGTCGACAATTTGCTGTATACCTCTATGAACCCTATGTAGCCTTGCATCTGTACATTATGACACTTTTTACTGTACGTTCCCAACATTTATCCCCGACAGATCGGGAGTTTGTTCTATTGCCATGCTGGTGTGTCGCGCGCGAAAGGCTGCAGGTCGTCCACATCTCACAGCTTGAGATGTCATAGTCTTCCTTGGACCACTGGTATGTCGTTCGTTCCGGGACATGTACTGCGAACCCCAGTGCCAGTGGACATCGCACCTGTCCGGGTCGCCGTGTAGTATGCTGTGCTGTCTGTATTGCATTGCCTTCAGTGCCTTCACCTTCGCAGCATCTCGAGACGGGAAGAATGGTTTCCTCGGAGGGCTGTGCAATGAATAGGTGGTGTCTTCAGCGGTCACTGAGCGTGCTGCTGGCAGTACGAAAGCAGGGCAGTGCTAGTACGGATCATACATATTCATATATTCGTCGAGGAGTCGTTCAATACAAGCACATCAAGATCGTGACTGAATATGGGTTATATCGTTTCCAAACATCGATATCCATGAGAACGGGATTAAGGAGGGCGCGTCTACGCGCGTGAAGCACAGCTCCACCGTTACGAAACAAGAAATGCCAGTTCCAAGCTGTTCAACATGCTGGGTCGTCAGACCCGCTGGCGACCGCGACGGAAAGGCTAATTGTCGAGGCATGATTAGCACAGGATAGCCATACTCTCGTATATCGTGCTCACTTCATTTGGAGAAGGGGCGGGGGCGACATCCGATTTACACTGGGAGATTGGCCACGCGGCACGACGCCTGGATGTGCCTGTTCAGCGCATCCTTCCGGCTCATATGCATCCCGCAGTGCGGGCAGTTCTCCGCAGACGACTTGAGATGAACCGTGGCGATGTGCCTGGTAAGCGTGACCTCATTGGCGTAATGCTTTTGGCAGGGAGTCCCGTCTTCGGCCATCCACTTGCATACGCACGGCATTCCCTTTTTCATGTCGCCTTCATGGAACCCGTGAAGATGTCGCTTCATGCCGCCTGCGGAACCGTCGTCGAGGGAAATACCGCAGTGGCCCCAGCGGCAAGGGACGGTGAACACGCCGGGCGGAGGTTTCAAATTCGGAGCTGTCGCAGGGTGACAGGGATCTGGCGCGTTATGACCGCTGCGAAAGCTGGTAAGCGGGTCTACCTGGGCAGAGCGGCTGGAAGGATTGTAGTTGCGTTGGGAATGAGGCCTACGTCTCATCAATACCATAACCGTGGACCGTCTGGACAGGATCACTCACGATCCATCGTCGCTGGCAGAAACTAAAGTGGAACGATCGTTGATCACGGCACCCCCGTAGACAGGTGCACTGATATTTTGAATTAGACGACATCGACTATGAGATCGCACCGCCGGACACGTACTGTGATGCCAAGGCTTGTACACTTCGCTGAGCATAACGAGGGTCGCCCCTTCGTTGGACGGTTCTCGTATCACCGCCAGGACGAGAGGGTGAAAAGCAGGCGTTGGCGCGATCTTGAGGCATAATGAACGTGAGCTAGGACGACAGGAGTGTGACCGACCGGGGAAAGGGAAGGACGAACGACATCTGGTGGCGCATGGGTATATATCCAGACTACCATGAGGCCATGTCACAATGCGCATATTCTGTATCAATTTGGGGTGAAACCCATGTCACCCCATTCAGTAGGACCCTTCCGTGGGTTTGACTCGCCCAGTAGCGTATGGCCTCGTTGGGCGCGACTGCCCAGTGAGAATAGAAGGCGCGGCGGGCGCGCACTTCTTTGGTCCCAGTGGCTGTCCTTAACTTGCATGTTAGTCCGCAGCATTGAGCGTGACGCGGGCCAGGAAACTGGACAGACTTCACTAACGAATGCCCGCGAAGAGAGAATATTCGCACAGCCGACGGATGCCAGCTGGAAGCTGGGAGCACCGCCATTCGACCTGAATAGTTGTCTTGCATACCTTGCATAGGCCAGCGTAGAGACTCGAAGACCGCAGGCTAGCGGAGGTCGGTACTTGACTCGGGACATGTAAACGAAGCGCCTTCGCAGGTTCCCCGGCACGACATGACGTCCGCGGGCTTCCCATTCATGTATAGCCACTGCACTACACACGATATCGGAGCCAGAACGTTCGATATCAATCTCAATCGTTCTAAGCTTCCGCTTGCGGAAGCCGCATCGGGAGAACCGAGCCATTCGAGACTTAATGTCGCCGTGGCTCCCAATGAAGCAGCGTTTGACTGTGAGACGTGACGCGTGAACGCTTGAACGCGTGAACGCTTGAACGCGTGAACGTTTGGAACATAGCCGTCCAGGCGTCTGCGCATTGTCCGCCCATATTGCAGTATGCTTTCCTGGTTGAGGAAAACACAGTTGAGTCTTGGAGCGTACAGGTACAGTCCATTTGCTTCAGGCGAAACTTACAGCTTTAAAAGATCGCCATACTCGACTCCTTCGCCATCAGATTGAAGAGACAATTGTACATTTTTCACGAGTATCTGAGAAGATTTGGCGAGCTCGTGCGATTCCTTCGACAGTATCTTGGGCAAGTAGATGGGGAGGCCAGCGTTGCTCAAACAATCCTGCATCATCCTGTCGTGGCAGCAGCAGGGACTAGCTACATAGTATAGGCCGACTGGGACCCAGATTGGGAGGTTTTGCGGGGAGACCGGCTATTGCCGAATCTAGATAAGCGCCTGAGTACTGCTAACGTTCGTCGTTTGCTGTCGTTCTCATCTGCCTACTTATCATGATTTTGCTACTCATTCTTGCATCTGAGCTGTTGGTCGTCCTCTAAGTCAGCAACCCGAAGGTCGATAGATGTGATGCGGTCGAGGACCCGCGCGCAAGATCACATCATGATGCATGACCTACGAGGGCCATTTGTCAACCACCTCCACTTCAGCCTCAACCGACTCGAGCAGCGTTCAAGCATTCTTTTCTTCTCTCAAATGATGAGTGTAATCTTATACAGGCCTGAATGTTCTTTCCATGTATACAACCTTCAGACGTGGCGTCTTGCTCATCTTCACCCATCAAACGACCACCCCGACAACATCGTATCGACGACATACTTCCGGACTCTGTTTGTGATGATCCGGTCTTGTCGCAGTCAAACATAAAACGCTTGTGAAGTGATTACTGTCTGTTTCAAGCCCAGGACGCACCTTTCGTTCAAGAGCGGCATCGCTTCTAGGTTCCCAGGCTGCAGGCCACGGCAGGGTGACATCAGAATTGTTGATCAAGAGCTAGGTACTTACTCCAAGGCTGGAGGACCACTTACACACTTTAAAGCTGCCTCGTAAGCTGCGGCGTAAGCTCGTATCACAGGCTGTGATACGAGCTTACAGGCAGGCTTACTCTAATTTTGAGCTCCCCTACTAGTAGTAAGTGTTGTCTCGTCAATCCATCATCTGTATCCGGCGCCACCACAACGATCTGCAGATAAACTACTAGCCAAGTTCACTCTGAACAATGAAACAAGCATACGGCCGCGCCGACTGGTAACTGTGCTCCGTTCAGGCCAGCGATAGTTGTATTTTCTCGAGGAGTGAGTCCAGAGTGAGGCGTGAGGCTTAGGACGACACAGCCTAGGTTGTCGGGTAAGTAACCCACAAAGCGTTGTCCTCGGTTTAACGCTGATCATCACATCCCTAAAGTCATACAATCAGAGCGCAGCCAATGCACAGGCAAGTTGATTCGCCATGTCTCTGAACGTCGTCAATACTGTGTCTAGATCTTCTGTCAAGGTAGACTGCCGGCCTTGACAGTCATCGACGCCGCAGCAGATTGGCGCAACGACGAGCCGGCGAATCGCGTCGTGCAGACTGACGCTGCTCACTCATACGGATGCTTCCTTACCCCTACAGTCAATGTGATCCTTCTACTTTAGTAGATAATCCCAGCTCGATACAGGGGACAGAGAACATGGTTGGAATGACGGGTACAGTGTTTTGCCCGTTACTTTCATTTTTCTCCACATACTGAACCCTGCGACTGGATATGGCAGAGTCAATGCACTATTCATCGAAGAAGTGCCACAGCTACATACCAATCAAATCACGTCGTGCGGTTCTTGAGCGCTGTACGGGAACCGAATTATATTGGTCATCGACATACTCTCTAGTAAGTGATCTCATTCCTTATATTCACTGCTGAGAACTAATGCAATCGCGAGTGTTTTGGGAGCTGTGGGGCAATGTGCTAGCGTGGTCAAGCATCGATCTGTCGTGTTGCTACCTTGCTAAGCCTCAAGCCGTTATCATTATGCAGTATCAGGCTGCTGCGACTCGGTCTCAACGTTTCCGCCTCCATATCCATCCATGGGTAAGGTTGGATGGATAAACACCAATATGTTTATACCAGCCGACCAGCTCTCTTGATGACCGCGCCAGGAAGGCGAACGGTGGGCTTTGTCCCGATTTTAGGGGGAACATAACCACAGCAGCAGCTAGGTCATTGGCGCAATTCTTTCGATGCGCATAGGCACAATGCTAGCTGAGCGCCGGAGAAGCGTAGCTGTCGCATGAGGTGTTGACAGTGCGGTTCTGTCCCTACATCTTTGTCTTGTGCCAGTGGAGGGAGTCGCCACTCTACTTCGTCGCACCTGTCGCATCCCTTGTTCCATCGTACCTCTGCCAGTCTGCGTGCGCCCCTGTCTATTTTCGCTCGTGTGGTCATTTGCATTTTACACTGATTCGCACCAAAAGATCGTCAGGTAGCCGTTGAAATACACAGTCTTACTCCAAGGCGGATTTCCTATTCTTCGACGACGAGATCCAGACCTGCTCCAAGTAGAACTGTCGCAGCCACCCCGGCTGTCATAATGCAGTCAACTCGGTGCGTCTCGCTCAGTGATAGTGCGACCGAGGTGAGGGACGCATTTCTACCGGATAGATCACTCACTGTCAGGGACGACTCACTGTCAGGGACGGTAGGACGAAGCCGCCGACCTGAGATGCATCGGATGAGGATGTCGGCGATACGCTCACGATAGGTGCACTGCACACAAACGCCCACCACAAAGGAAGATGCGGATACAATGCACAGGACGCCTACACTGGAAAGTCTGCTGTCGAAAAGCAGCATTCGAAAGCATATACAACTTGATCCAAGCAGGCGAGCGTCTTCGGGTCCTACTTATATATGTTGGCCCTCCCGAGCAGCCTATTCACGCAGCGCCAAAACGCGAAGAAGTTCGCATTCCATTCACCAGTCCACTCTGCGGCATAATCAACCCACCGTTATTCCTCATGGACACTCGGGACCGAGACGGTCGAAGTGCGGACACCTCCCGTCCTTTCACGTCTGATCCTACCGATGCGACAGCCCGTCGCTTTGTCGCTACCGAGTACGGAGAAATGAGACACCCTGTGTCATACAGTGCACCGCAAGTTCCATGCATGAGTCCCTACTTGCCAGGGTAAGCGCGGGTCAACATATATCTGGACGTGGTCTAAGTCTAAGTGGTTTCTGCCTTTGTCTTCAGAAGCCCACCAACTGCGCCACTGGCGCCCGTTGCGGCATATCTGCCGGCGACAGACTCGTAAGTCTTGTCCAAAGGTTTTCGGCGACGTACCCATCTAACCTGTCCCGCATAGTCATAACTTAACGCAATACGGAGAGATCACGGCATACGATGACTCATTCTACGGACAGTAAGTCCATACATTTCGCTGGCTCATGTCACCTTATACTCGAGTAGAGCTCTGTGGTTGACTCTTGTCATTTTTAGCGACCAGTGCTCCACAACTCAAGTAGACGATCTCGAATGGAATTACACAGAGCTCAGGTAACACTCCGTGACCTACTACAGTTCGGCCTAAACTCATCACGCGCTATTCAGATATCATGAGCATTACGCTCCCTCTCTGGACATGACGTTGTCGTCAGATAGCCTGCTATGCGTAGCAGGGCATGCATACGGAGAAGCCGGCGTCATGTATGATCAATTTCCACACGGGTCAACAAGTTGGGACACTGGTGCCACCAATGTTGACGGCCGCATGCCCATCTTAGCTGGAGCGCCTATGGACCACCAAACTCCTTGGGGCAGCTCGACTACTTGGTGCTACTGTGCCACCTGTCGCAACTTCGAGGAGACATCGATCCACCCAAGTGTCGGTGTGCCAAACTACCACTACTATTCCGCGGATCAGAACAACTATGTCGACTCAGAGCCACCAACGCCGCCTCCCGCTGGCTCGGAACTCCGGATTCCACCCATCTGCCGGTGGGAGGGATGCAACGTCCTGCTGGACGACTCCAGTCCGTCCGGGGTGAAGCGTCACCTGTACGATTGCCACGACATCACCCGCGCTGACTGCGCGAGTGGCGCGCGAGGACACTGCAAGTGGGAGATCGACGGCGCCGAACGGTGCGGGCGCGCGCTGGACCTGAGCAGCTTTGCGAAACACGTCGCGTCCGTGCACCTCAAGAGTACGCAGAGGAGATGCGAGGACTGTCGGTGCATGATCGGGCGCGCGGATTCGCTCACTCGCCATCAGCGCGACCACTGCGCTGCGAGGCGCGATTGGCAACTTGAAGGCTGGGTCTGACGCACCTGTGTATATGGGTGTCTGTGTTCTGTACCAGTGGAAATGATCTAGGGGGCTTATTCCGAATTGTGGTATCAGGGAGCTATGCACGCGCTACAAAAATCTGTACAGCACAAGGTTGGTACAAGGCGAGGATACCCTATGTACGCATTGACAGTTGGGGTGAACGATGGTATCATGATACAACTCTCATGGCGACTGTCAATCGAGGGCCATACTGCTACACAATCTTTCGTCCGTCCGAGTACGTATGACACAGATAGACCGTCCGACAACCACAACCTGATTTCAATGACCGGGGCCGCACGAAACTGATCATCGCCGTCTACGCCGAACTGACTGTCATGTCAGGATTCCGCCTATCCGAGTCTTGCATAGCCTTCAGACAGCGAAAGACCACATGGACACCTTCGCGCACTACCGCCTGATCCTCGTCAATGACCCTCGACAACAAATTGGAAATCTTGTCGGGGTGCCATCGCAGCAAAGACGCGCGGATGCGCTCGCGCTTCGTAACTGTGTTCTTCCTCACTCGCAATGGTCCGAGCAGAAATTCCTCTATCGCGGCGGGAGCCAGCTCGTCCACGGCCTTGGGGAAAACAGGCAGAGGCCAAGGGATATGCGTGAACGTAACGGGGTCGGTGGTCGCGAGGAGGGCGCGCCATCGCGTCTCGTAGCTGTCCCACAACTTCGTAAGTCGTGTGTCTTCGTCCAAGATTCGGACCTCCTCGCGTAGTTGCTCCGTGCGCACCTTGTCGAGGCGCCCATTCGCATCACGCAGAGAACCGCCGCTGCGCACCCAGTCCATCTCGCCGATGAGGGCCTCGGCGCGTTCCTGCGCCCGACGCTTTTCGCGTTGTTGGGCATCCCGCCGGAGTTTTTCCTGCCAGGCCTCTTCCTTCAGACGCTCCTGCCGCTCAGCCTCGACTGCGCGCGCAGCTCGTTCTTCGCGCTCATGCGCTGTTTGTGGGTCCTCGTTGACCGTGAAGGTGAAGACGACGCGTCCATCTGGAGTTACGGTAGGCGGGAACGCGAAGTAGCCCTTTGTCCGAGGGACAGACGACCTTGCCGCCGTCGTTTTCGAGAGGTCATTAGTGTCGACAGCGTGATTATGGTTCATAGACATAGAGGCAAGAAGTAAAGGTGTGGTGGTTGGATGCCCGGCGCGCGTCACTTGCTGTGGCGCGCATTTCTTGATCTGAACTCCGAGTCGGATTTGTATGTCTTCTGATACTGTACGTATGAGCTGGAGTTTAGCTTGGGGCTTTGTCCATCGCTATTAGCGCTGTATTGAAAGTATTGGCATTTATCTACACTATTATGAACACCAAGATGGAGCCCGATATTCCTCAGTGGTAGCAACGTTTGAATTGCCATACTTAAGCGGTACCGGTACTTAACGTTCACGCAGCGTGTAAACAATCTCGGCTTCTTTGTAATGGGGTGTATACGGCTATTGTATGATCAGGACATACTACAGAACCCTCTGTAACATGTTAAACTTAACTTCTTCGTCACTTGCACTTGCAAAAAGTGCCCCAGGCAGTTCGGTTAGCGTCTCCTTCCTCTTTAGGTAGCATTGTGGCTCGAACAGGTATTACATAATAGTTCAACTCCTCTCAATTTTGAGTCGACATGTGTCAATCTAAAGCACTCAGAGCAGTCGTGAATTGGGATGGCTATATAAGACGCAATCCCTCCTAACCACCCGGATTCCCACCTTGATCTCAACCTCCATCTCGCCGAGGAACACCCATTTTCTCCTTCTCTCTCTGAGTCTCTTTACAGACTCTTGTTTAGGAAGCGCGGTCCCAGATGAGCTTATGTAATCCCCTGCGCATGCAACTGCGAGTCTGGGATTGAGCGGAGACGCTGGAAGGCTCGCAGTTTTCCGACTCCGCCAGGAAGTGCTTGTTCACAGTCGTCGACTCGGTGCGAGTGGAAGGCCATGGCGTCGGGTCAGTCGTCTGGCCATATGAGCGCGTCCTACTATCGCGAGCAGACTGACTTCTTTTCAAGCGTTCACCACACCAATGTCGTGCAATCCAAGGACGAAACCGATGTCGCTTCGCAAGGCAGCGCACTGTCGCACCCAGTCGGCCCGCCACGGTATTGTACCGTGAAGGGATGCACGGTCATTCTCTTGTCAGATTACTTGCACAAGATGTGCGAAGCCTGTCGGGGTCGCCATCGCATCTACGCCATGACGAAACGCGCGAAACGCAAGATGGAGAAGGCCGCCTTGGGCTCGCAGGGCGCACAGCCTGTCGTATGGATGCCTCCGGACGACGCGGACGACGGCGAAGAGGATGGACGAGACGCTCCGCAAACAGCACACTCAGAGGAGGCTGAAAAGCGCACCGACGTGAGCGATACCGTGTACCCTAATCCGCGATCTCTAAACGCATTCTCGTGTCCAGGCTACCGAGCCCTACCGCTTTCCTCCCGAATCTTGGGACCACACCGCCATTGACCCGGCATTGTTTTCGCAGGAGTCTGCGCTTGCTGGCGCGCTCACACTCCCTGGTTCATCCGATCCACCCATGCGGGCCCCGACCAACGTTCGACAGCAAGGCTCTCCATCCCTATCGGATGGGTCCCCAAGCTCTGCTCCCTTCTCACATCATCTGTCTCCGATGAACCTTCAGACTGGCATGCAGATCCCCCTAGCGACGTTGAGTACCGCGATATTCGATCATCCATCTGATGGGCAGGATGAGTCGACTCCTCCTCGACTCTGTTCAATCAAAGGCTGCAAGGCCCTCGTGGCTGGCAGCTCATTCTTCAAGATGTGCGAGCCATGCAGGGACCGCTACCGCAACTACGGGATCACCAAACGCGCCAAATGGAAGCACGAGAAGCGGATAGCCGTCGCTGAACTGCAACAAGTGCGCGACGATGAGGACCAACACAGAGCCCAGGTAGGGCTACCTGTCAGTCGCACATTTCCACACATGATCTGGCGTCCGTGTGCTCATTTCTGTCTACACAGCCGCTGCCGGATCTGACCGAGTCTGAATGGCACGAATGGCAAGCTGACGGGACGACCCGCATGCAGACGCCCCAGGGCGCAGATATCGATGACGACGCGGGTCCGAGTGCGCCCCGCCCTGCCCGGATGTGCACCGTCTCGCATTGCCGCGAGATACTACCCAGTGACTACCAGTATCTCCGGTGCGATCGGCACCGTCTGCAGAACAGGCATCACAGCAAGCTCAAGCGCGTGCGTGATAAGGAGGTCAAGGCCGCCGCCTTCAATCACTGGATGGTCTCCGTCGGTCACAACGAAAACGAAGCGTCGCCAGAGTCTGTGCTCGATGGCGGGTCGGAACTAGACGAGGAGCCTGGCGCTTCGTATGATAATGAGGGCACACCCGGGACTGGCTTCCCGCCTGCTGCGCGAGGAATGCGACGGACGAACCATGTTTGCTCTATCAAAGCTTGTTTCAATCTACTGGCGCCGACGAACCCATGGCGGATGTGTGATGTCTGTCGGGCGAGGGACCGGGCGCATCGCCGGGAAAAGGCTCTGAGAGATAGCGGGGTGATCACCACTCCGCCGCCGCGGGCGCCCCGGAAGTCGAAGGATGCTGGGGAATCTTCAGCTGATGGAGCCGGTCAAGAGCCAGTTGGAGGCGATGGGCAGACGACCGGCGGGACAGGCGGCGACCCACCGAAGAAGCCCAAGAAGAAGAAGAAAAAGAAGAAGGTGGCTGAACCAGTCGCTGTTCAGCCTGAATCCGGTGGAACTGGTGCTGCATCCGAGGTGGAGCAACAAGCAAGTGATGTAAACTTGTCACCGGGCGAATCGCAGGCCGCAGGATTGGTGTTCATGGCGCCGTTGCTGCCACCTAAGGTATGTTCTGAGATGAACGGGATAGAGTGGTCTCTCACTGTCATGATGCCATCTGGTTACGAAGTCCCCACCTCCGTCAATCGTCCAACAAGCTCCGCCATCAGAGTCATCCGCGGACCCTCTGCCGCTCGCCGATGTGCTGCCTACAGAGGTCGTGCCTCCCGCTGCGAGCCCTCTTCCAGCGGCTGTTGCATCCACGCGCCCTTTTCAGATCGTCTCAGCTGAGGAGATAGCTTCAAAATCTGCTCAGGTTGAGAGCACCGCTGCGGCTCCCCGGAAGAAGCGGAAGGTCCAGAACAGTACAGCTAGCACGTCCAATGCTCCTGTGCAAATCAACGCTGAGGCATCGACTAGTACCGCTGGCGTTCTGGCTTCTGCGCCTTCTGCCCCGGTGCTTCCACCGCCAATTCAACCTGCACCTCCAGCCATACATGAAGTGCATCCGCTCCCACCATATCCTATCGATGCACCTCCGCCTGCCGCTCCGTACCCTCCATACTATGTGCCCCCGTACGGCATGCAACCATACGGCGGTCAACCCCCGTACCCGTATAGCCATTATGGTCCGCATTACCAGTATCCTCCGCCGCCCTATGGATATCAGCCGCCGTACGCACCCTACTCACAGCCTTACGCATATCCGCCCCTGCCACCGTACGCCCAACCACCGTACGGACCTCCACCATATCCTACGAATGCCTCGCCGCCACCCCCAGTGCAAGGAACGTATTCCGTCTCCGCGGATTTCGTCTCTCGCACAGACTATGCAGCAGAGTCACAGAACGTACGGCAACAGGGCGCCACATCGAATGGGGGTCCGCCCGCACCGCACTATGCGACGTTCTCCGCGAAGACCGGCGAGCCGCACAATCGAGCATCGTCTATACCGTCGGCCTTGCGGCGCAAGCGTCCCCTGGAGGGCGAGGGCATGTTCTTTGCAGGCAAGCAGCCGGCCCCGAGTACTAGCAGCTCGGTTGATCAGCCAACTTCGCCGCCGGTGCGGAGTCCGGCGGTTCCACCTGCCGACGGTGAGGTTGCTGCTGACGTGTCGAACAAATCGAGTGGTCTGCATGATATCGATGCAGCAGTCCAAGCGGTGCGTCCCAGACGAACGCGAACTAGACATCATCACTAATTGGGGGTCGTCCAGCAGATGTGTAGCAACCAGAAGTGTCACCGACCGCTATCTGCCAACCACAATGGCAGCCTTTGCATACGGTGCAAGGAGCGTCTAAGGAAACGCTCTGAGAAGGCGAAGCAGCGCTTCAAGCTTGAGCCGCGCAAGCTTGCTGGCAAAGCCTCCGATCGACGCAGTCTTGAGAAGGGTGGAGTCGGGCATACGCTTGACGTTGAAGGTGGCATGTTAGGTACGTGATGTAGCAAGCGCAACGACAATGATCCAGTAATACGATCAGCCAGAGGAACATCACAAGTAGCGCGTTGCGTACTTCGCTAGTTACGGGCCTATCTCTTAAGATTAATGTTGTCCAGCCGCAAACCTCAAACGGCTGCACTCGATATCATCATCGCCGCTGTGAACCAGGCAGTTGTGGCCTGGGGATTGAAATTTTGAGGTCGTCATGCCTCTCCGCACGCAGAAGGTCGGCCTATCATTCATGTGTAGGATTGGCTCATTGAGCACGTCGCTGGCGACCTGGTCTCTCGATTAGTTTATATATGCATCTGATGTCGTTCAAATATTCTTTCCGCTCCGCTGGGCATACCCACACGTGCCCTTCAAAGTACTTCGCATCACCTCAAGTGCGAAATGTCACATCTTTTCAACATGTGGGACTCCCACCAGGTCGTGTGCGTAGGCATCACACAGGTGTAGTACCAATACCGCTGCTCATGGTCATCGAGCTTTGACAGCTAACGTGTTTTCAGCCTAGCTCTAAATGGGCATTGTTATATTCGCTCAAGCTAAGCACAACAACGCGATGGGTCAAGACATATCAATGCCATACATCCCATATTCCGGCATCTAGCCTTAGTTATCTCCAATCGGGGTGTTACATACCGGATGTGAGTGTTCTGTTTATACGGCCGGCATTTTGACGAACTGTTCTTCGGACTTGCTGCCGCAACGCAGGTTTTTGACTCGGAGAGTCCGGTTCATCATCTGCCGCGGGGGTGTTCTCTGAACGAGCCTTATATGGAGAGCCTTCTGTTGTGGAGGGTGTCGTGAGGGCCGTTAGGCCCTTGCGTTGGGGTGTTTGCCCGGTAGCTCCTGGTACCGCCAAAGATCCCCTCATCGCAGCTGCAGCTTCATCCATGTGCAGTGTGAGGCTTTTTTTGAGCATGTCACGGATGTACTCGATCTCCTGAAAGAGGACGACATATCATTGATATCATGTTGCAACAAGCGGGGTCTGGCTCTTACCTCGGGTGACGGTTCCCGAACCTGGGCATTCTCACCACTGTCAAACCAACTCGGCTGCTGAACCATTTCCAGGCCAAGCTCGGTTCCCAAGGTCTTCATCGGTTCATAGATTGCATGCAGAAATTCTTTGCTGAGTGTAAGATCATCACCGAGGGCATCGTTACTGAACTTCAAGTTAACCGCACAAGCATTTAGCTGCTTGACGTCAGGCAAGGAGATCCGTACTTCATCACGAGCACGTTGGATAGCTTCGCTGGCCTGATTGAAAGCGAGATTTTCATCCAACAACCTCACTCCAGAAGGCCCTGCCGGTGTCACAGGAAGGACGGCATCCGTGTTACCGGGATGGGGAGTGGTAGGAGGGCGCGACTGTACCGCCGGCGGGCGTTTGAACTCAAAAGCTGAGAAGTATATACCACATATAAGCAAATAAGGTATCTTGCTGATATGGGGATATTGATCTAGGATAGCAATTGCTGTTTCGTGCAATTGAGGAAGATATGTCTTGATGTTCATGTAAGCTTGTGTTTGAGCGTCTTTATCCCACCAGTTGACGCCTTGCTCGAGAGCCAGACGCTTCAACTCCCAACAGTCAACAGGATATTCTGTCCTAGTGACATCTTGAACGGCGGCGTCGGAACTGGGACCGACTTGAAGATTGTCGTTCGTGCCGAACAAGAGCGTGCGGGCGAAGTCAGGTATCCGGTGTTCCCTGCCTATCCCACTACCGGTCCTTGATTGACCCGAGCCAGGAGCACTTCCTGTGCCGCCAAAGAGGGCCTGAGGAGTTACAATGATTGGATGTCCAGGATACTTGATAGTTGCTGTTGAAGTCGAAATGATACTGCCGTATAGGCCGTACAATGGAGATTCCTGGACGGGCTCTTTCAAAATGTGCCTTATAATGATGGACATATCCTTATTGAATGAATCCTCCTCGGTGACAATATGCTGGTTGAATTCATAACATGATCAGTTCAGCAGTGATGTCACGGGAGACGATAGTAACGAGATGCCTGTGGAAACGGCATTGTCACAGATAATAGAACAATGCCCAAGCCCTCGTCAGACGCTGAAACTCGAAGGCGTGTTACTTAACAGCCCAGGTCACAGTGCAATGACTCAACCGTGAGGTCAGACGATACTACTAAGATAGTAGCAGCCGGGCTCGACAGAAGACTCCAATGATGGATCATAGTACCGCTGCATACACTGAGCCATTCCGAGTCAGGAGTCACAGTGTCTACGGCACATTCAACGGCAAGATAATGGTGACTCACTCGTTTGGAGTTCCAAAGCACAGCAGGCTCCTGCTGACGAGACTGAGAGTCGGTCATAATAGTGAAGATGACGGTAATATTTTCGGATCGGATGTGTATCGATGTTGAGAAGGCCCGTGGATGTGAGAGGTCGTTGGACTGGCACGGCTACCAGAACCTCATTTTATACCCAAGACCTGTTGTCTTAGATTAGCATAAAACACACCGTGGATTACGCAAGAGAGTGGCAAAATTCTGCCCGAAAACCAGAGATTGTGGCACTACGTCACGGTGCACAACAGACTGATCGGAACAACTCTGCCAGGGACATGTGGCAATTGTTTCTAGTTTGCTGATATAACGAGCGACAATAGGTGAGCTTCTGAGACACAATTATATCCCGCGATGCTGCACACACTCAACATCAAGCAGTTGTGCAGGTCTTGTCACTGATGGCACGGCACCGCCACCTTCAACTCTGGTACCCACACGGCCTGTCTACTAGTCAACTACTTAAAAGCTTCGTAAGCATCCAGGCCTTCCACCGACTGGGCCCCTCATCTAAACGTTAATTGTATACAGACATCTCGGAGGTTTGAGCTATCATCATCATAGGTGGTGTACTACAGTGGCACTGAGAATATCTCTTTTGTGTCAATAACGGAGACCAGCTGCAGACGGAGACTATGTGGCGCTACTGTTCGCGCCACACTGGTGTCGTAGATCTTAGATCTCACACGCCCGCTATATATCATACGCGCAGTTGAGATGTTGAGGGTGCAAACTATCAACGACTCGTCCGCTCTCCAAGCACCACTCCTGTCGCATATCTCGTCCACATATCATCGCCCCATTCGACTACGTTCAAGTGTCATCGTACATCCCCTGACATACACACACTTGCTACCTGCTTGCTTCATCGTTGTTGCGTCAATATCATGTCGCGCAGCCTCTCTCAAGACGACCTCGTGGGCGAAGACATCTGTCGTGACATGCAGGAACTCCAAATTGCGGATTCCGAGTCGGACCCGACGCCCTTGAACCTTGTAAATAAATTTCGAGCTGCCATTGGCACATCTCTGACGTGTCTATCGTAGCACGAGGAAGAACAAGAACAAGATGCAATGTCGTTGATCGTCATGCCGACTGAAACAAAGCTCATGTCCTCCCGTCAAAAGTATTACGGTTGGGCGTTTGGCCTTCATACCCCGTTGCAGTATCTGCGGAAAACGGATGCGATCCTTAACCTCTCGACCATGCCCTGGCAAGCCCTTCGTACATATTTCGAGGGTCGGGAGAAAATCCATTACCGCGATCTGAAGGACGAAGATGTGCAGCAACAATGCGAATGGCTGGACCGATGTGCCTACAACGATATCGAGCTTTACCTCCAACAGCGTTACTGTTGTCTATTGAGCATTTTCGTCCCAGACTCAAACGAATACCCTTTTGCTATGGCAATACGAGCCATTGGCCCACAGGAGGGGTCTGATGTACACGAAAGCTTGTCCAGAATGGTCGACGAAGTGGGCAGTGCTTTGGAAGGTTTGAAAGCCAGTCAAGCAGAGTGGTGGAACGCGATCGTCTAGCGAGAAGGCTTAGGTGGGTCAGTCCTGTCACCGCGTACAGTATCTTCGCTGACTTGCGCTGTTGGTCATTTCACTGTTGACAGCTGTGTATTTCGAACTACAATGTTTTGGGCGAGCGTGTCATTGTTACGCAGTCTACCTCGACGTGGACTTGATTGATATGTTTTCCTTTCGGTTTCTTCGAGGCTTGTTCTGCTCAGGCCGTACTCGCAGTCTCTCCAGTCATGGATGGATGCTGAAGCGATCTCATCGTGTGTCATACTACAGTTGATGTTGAAAACAAAGACAAGGCGCACAAAGAGCGCTGCGTTGATCCGACCGTTGGATACTTCGAAGCACTGGCAGCCAACGGCCCATTCCGCCAGCCAAGCCGGGGACGTAGGTGCTCGAACAATACGTTCGACGCAAACCTCTGTCGGACGTCGTGAGGCTCTTCACATCAGGCTTAGTGCTAAAGCAGAGTCGACGCTTACTTAAAACTATCGTCTGAGAGGTCAACAGATCGACGAAGTAGCTAATTCGGACCGTCAGGCGACAAACAAGTGTTACCGTCTAGTCGTGTACAGAATATACTAACGAGCTCAACTCCTTAGCAAAGCCATCGGAGGACACTGTGGTCCCTCCCACGCGCAGAGTGATGAAGAGGAGCTTTTGTCATCACCAAAATAACTTGCAGGACTATCCGGTATATAAACAGCCAGTTGGACCTCGATGGGTTCATCTCGGCTCCACCTGTTGCTTCCGCTCATGCAGCTTGGACCAGAGCAACGCTCGTCATCCATCGTCGATTGTCGAGTCACAATGACTATTGAGTCAAGGGAGCAGGGACTTTTCGTTCTAGACTCTGGTCGGGGTGCCAGGCCCGGCTGCGTAGAGGCTTTCTCTAGGGCATCTGGACAATTGAACTGCAGGCTTGTGAGCGCTGTTTGCCTCATTGGGTCCTCCGGTACATCTCTGCGATCCATTGCACGAGCGGTGAGAAGCAATGAAGGGATAGCCTAGATGACGGTCACCGCATGTCCCATGATAGATTCGGGTACCTTCTTACCTGCATTTGTCCGAGCAAGGGCAGTATTGCGGCTTGCATAGATGTGTCGATGGCGACGGCGACGATCGTGATGATAGCCACTGCTGCATAGAACGCGGCCGACTCGAGAATGGTGCTGATCACAAAGGAGTAAATCCCTCGAGAGTCTCTTGTTCTCCAAATGCCCCGTAAGTTCCACGAGAATCTGAACACGCGGGCGATCATGACGGTGGGCAGCAGGACGTTGAAACAGAGTGTCACAGCGATGTAGACCAGGCCTGGCGTGGGTAATGTGCCCGTCCAGGTCATGACCAACCCTGTGAGATCATGCACAAAGTAGGATCCAGTGACTGTCATATAATGGTGAGTCGTGGATGAAGGCAGTAGTAGCGGCTGCTCAACTTGCCGATGAGACCGACGAGGATCGCACTACAGGGTACCCAGACCAGAGGTGAATGCTCGTAGATCGCACTACATCTCCAGAGCTATTGTTGCTCATCAATTCAATATTCTAGTCAAACTGCGATGACTGATGGTACCAACCAATATGGCGTCGGAAGACCAATGAAGAATGAGATAACTAAGCAAGTACCGTCAGCACCGTTACAAATGATCAGATCAAACGACTTACGCCAGCGTCACAGCAAGACTGAGGTTGTTCGCTGGAGTGTATGTTGTGAATAATCCGCCGACGTTGAGACCGCCGCTATCTCCGAAGAAGATCTTGACATCGCAAACGAGTTGCAAGATTATACTGAGAGTCGCCAATACAAACAGGAGACACGTGCATGCAAAGAATTTGCCGTGTAGGCGAGATGAGAGCGGTCGTAGAAAGTGCCTCAGAATATTAGAGAAAAAGGCTGCATGGGCGCCTGAGACACTTGACGTCAGTAAAAACTGCAGTGCGAGTACCACGACGACGGACCGTATGCCAACATTGACAAAGCCATTCCTAACATATTTGCTTCCTGGACTCGAGATGATGTGGGGGTTACGCAGGCGATGGTCATGAGGGACTAGCAGCGGTGTACCTTCGGTTAGCCCGCACACATTTGTGGCTCGACTAAATACTCCCTCAGGTTTGGACGCATACCTGAACCGTGTGCTATCATAGTACAGCAACTACTGTGAACGGGACCAGTTGATTCGCGCAGGCTGCTTTCCTGATGGTACGGTATTAGGTTTCCGGGGATCATGGGCTCCGTGTACAGGCGTCATACAAGTTACGGGGTTTCCGATTTCATGGGCGTTTCAGTGGCACTGTCATTGGCGACGCTGTGCATGTCAGTGCTTTCGAATTCGAAATGGACGGGTTAGCAGAGGCGCACTATAACGGAGCATACGAAGACTTTCGCGATATGCTGGCGCCAAAGCCATATTCAGACGAGTACATCCAAAGTACATCGACCTATTGCTGCTGTATATCTTCGACCGAGCTACGTACACGGTCCAGCCACATATCCAATATCGCCAACTGCATACCAGAATCATGGCCATGTCCATCAGCTGTTGCACTATCTGGAGACCGCTGCTTTAGGATCAGAGCTGCCACGGTAGGATATCAGCACCTCACCGTCAGCCCATCGGCTCAACTGGGCCTTCAGGGGATCCACCAGCGTGCGCACGGCATTTCGCAAGTTGTCCTTGTCTCGGATCCCAGTCTGCACGCGACGATACGTGTCAATCGGTCATTTACTAGAGCAACACCACACATACCCGATTTCGGACGTCTCTCAAGAGAAGAACGTAGTATAAGGATAAACATTCGACTAGCCTCAAGGGTTCTTTGGTGTCGAGGAACTCATCTGGCTCCAATGTATTCCCAGGTGTGAACAAATCGGGTGGGTCTGGACGCAAGATGATAGGTCCAAAGGCTTTCAGGAACGCTGGTGACGCGAACATGTTCCTCTGAGTCTCGGCGGATCCTGGTGGTGTTGCGAGCGCTTCGAGCAGCGCTTCCTTCACCAGACCGATGGCAGCTATGCGCATTTGTGGCGACGAGTCTGAGTCTGTCAGAAGGCCTTGCAGGAGTTGTACCCGGACGGCAGAAGTCGAAAGTGCGAGTGCAGCGGAAAGGACGCGGAACGTGTAGTGGCGTATACCGGGATCCGGGTGGACGCTAGCTAGAGGGGGCAGGACGTGCGCAAGTGGGACAATAAGGTCCGGAGGGAATTCGTAACGCGGAGCTTGCGAGACAAGAGGGACAATGGCGTTGATGAGCACTGACAGCACCTCGTCTAGAGCCATGTTCGCCTGAAGGGACATGAGGATTACAGGGAAGAACGAAGTCAGGACTTGCGTGTTGAATGTGTAGTTTGGCGAGTGCGCTAGGAGCATTAAGGTTCCCAGTGAGGGCTGGGTGATGCAGTTCTGAACTGTCAATCCGACGGTTGTCATGGCTGCCTGTTGCTGGAATGAAGTCAAACTCTCTCGTGCTATAATCTCATACGCACCCAGATGGCACCTATGATATCTTCCTCTACCGTCGCATCCTTGTCGCGTGAGGGGATCACTAATCGCGGATATTGCAGCTCGAAGGCGTGTTGCGCAAGAGAGCCATTCGTGCTGTTCGAGCACAACTCGAGGGTCGAGATGACAAACGGAAGTAAGACATCCTAGACGGTGACATCAGCGGGGCAATCCCGCGTAGTGGAGAGAAGCCCGCGTACTGCAATATCCTTTCGCTCTTCCGCGTCAATCCTGACGTCGAGGTTGACCCATCGCGTGATCTCCTCCATGAATTGACGTGTCGAGTCGAGGACCTTACGGCCTATGGAGCCGCCAGCGCTATGCATAGATCCAGACATTACTGACTGAAGCTCGGCTAGCAGAGGCTGGATTTGCTGCGCCGGTGACTTCTTTCGCCTAGGCAAACGTGGTATGGCTGCCCCAGTTGAGACATCTGAGGTAAGTGAATCGAGTGGAGCACCAACCTAGTGAGTATACGGCCAAGACCCGAACAAGTTGACGAACTAGCCACAGCTCGTCGTCAGCAGCTTCATCCGACTCTTGGTCCATCTCCAAGTGTTCCAAGATTTCTTGCGTAGCCATGATAGCTTCTTTGGCACTGCACTCTCGGCTAATAAGTCGTATGAACTCATCGGCACCGTTCTCCGGACAAGGAATAAGAAGCGGAAGCATGGTTAGAGGTTCCTATCTTGCTTGCATTAGTGAGGTGAACAATAGGGACGTATGCGACGCACCAGTGAAGCTGCGAGATCGGATTTCTGGATCGCTTGAACCAGCTGTTCAAGCGTAGGATGCGCATTCCCTTCGCGAACAGCGGAGGTTACCAAGATTGTGAGGGCAACGCTGGGATCCTGTGTCCTGCTGTTATGAGCAAATGCCGGAGCGCGGTGTCCATTGGTCTCTACCTCGTCCAGCGGTTCACCCCCGAGATCCAGTTCTTGCTGCAATTTGGCTATTGCAGACTCGGAGTTCGCCATGATGTACTGCCACTGCTTCAAGTTCTGCACGACAGTGCGATCTCAGTGCCAGTGCACTACTCGTTCAAATACTTGTGGATTGATATGCGTTCTAGAACGAGGGCAACGAGGTGAGGATCAGGCAAGAGCAAACCACTTGTTGAGGGACACTGTTTGTCGGATGGTGCGTTGAGTCGAGGACGAGGAGGAGGCGATCAATGGTCTATTAGATGTGCTTGTATTGAACTGTTACATCGAACATAAGCACGTGTATCATGAACGTATGCCGGCGTTTGTGGGATCACTGATGAATGTAAGCAAGGATAAGTATCGTCACTGATCAACTGTTCACACGCCAACGTCGCGGCATGTAAGTACAGTATCGCCACTTACTCTCGCCTTCAGCGTATACCCTCGCCGACTCACTCTTGTTGCACCCTACCTTGAGCAATTATGGCTGCTGCAGCTGTTCACCCTATTCAGCGTCCGCTGAAGGGCTCGCGGATCTCGTCGTTTTACCCTGTGAAGGACATTCCACCAATTTCGGCGCTCGACAGCGCGTTCCAGCTGCAGGAGTACATCTCGTTGCTCATTCGAAAAGACGTGCATGACGTCGACTCCATCGTGTCAATACCAGGAAAAGGCAAGCAGCGGGAGGGAAGCGACAGCGAGGGCGCGAAGGGCGACGATGCAGAGAACGCAGAGAGCAAGGAAGTGACGGTGGACGAGGCGTGCTGGATCTACGAACAGCTGCGGTATGGCTTCGAGCCCTCTTTTGCACGCGTGTAGACTCACGACAACATGGCAGGCGACTTGCGCAGGATCTCTCTCACCCGCTCATCACGATGCTGCAGCAGGAATGCACGCGTCAGACGTGTCCCGAGATGAAGGCTGGAGAGTGGTTGTACCTCTGCGTTGCTCACGGCACTGAAGGCGCAATGGAGGTAAGGGACAATTCTTGACAACAGCCAAAAACTAATATCAAGGGTATAGCAATGCTGCGCCATCGACTATATCTTGCACACGCTCGACAGCGCGACCTCGCTCCTCAACTCCCCGCGTAACTTCCCGTCCCGCCTCTCTATCCCCGCACCTTCGCACCGGCACTTCTCGTCTCTCGCCCGCCGACTCGGACGAATCTTCGCGCACGCGTACTTCCATCACCGCGCCGCCTTCGCGCAGGCCGAGGCAGAGAGCGCGCTCTATGCGCGCTTCCTCGCGCTCACTTCGCGTTTCGACCTCGTCCCAGCCGAGTTCCTCGTCATCCCGCCCGGTATCGTCGGCTATGAGGAGCACGACGGCCCAGACGAGTACCCGCGCAGCATGCTCGGTGCCGCGCTTGACCCGCGCCGTGAGCGGGAGCGCGGCCGTGAGGACGAGCCGCGCGGCGTGCTGCACGTAGACGCGCTCGGGGAGTCGTTGTCTGGAGGCGACGAGCGGCGCGAGCCAAGCCCGCGGAAGATGGGTAGGAGCAGGACGGACACGATGGTGCACAGCGAGATGGCCAGTGTCGTGGAGGAGCTTGGGCGCGCCGCCGCTGCCGAAGGTGAGGCAGAGGGATCCAGAGAACGCGTGCCTACGATCCGCGCGAGTGACGTGCAAAAGAAGGCAGAGGAGCAACCGGAGACTCAGACGGCGGAAGAGTCGGAACCCGCGATCGAGACGGACCCTCCTGTTGAGACGGAAGATACTGCTGAAGAAGATACCCAAGCCCAATCGAGCGACATTGCTGAACAGGTTGAGGTAGGTCTTCGATCAGTTCATGTGTAGGGGCTTTGTCTGATTTGTGATTCAGGTCGAACCCGAGACAGCCTCAGAAGATATTGCGCAGCCGGCTGAAGAAGTCCCTCCCACAGAGGAAGCTGATATCGCGTCAGCTGAAACTGCTCCCACCGACGAGTCTGATATTGCGTCGACCGAAACTGCTCCCGCCGACGAGTCTGCCGAGCAGCACGAGGAAACGCCCTCAGAAACACAGCCCGAGCCAACTTCGGAGGCGGAGCAGGTCGCGCAAGAGGCGACCGAGACCGAGGAGGAGACGACGGCGAACGCAGAAGAGCTAGTTGCAGACGTCGTCGCTGAACCCGAGGCCGCTGCTGAAACAAGGGGCGACGAAGAGCTAGAGCCCCTGCTGGCGGACGAGGAGGCCCAGCACGAGCCACCTGTCGAAGCGTCTGAGGCGGCGCCCGCTGAGGAGGCGTCTGCTGAGGAGGCGGCTGAGGTAGAACAGGTGCAGGCCGACCTTGTGGAAGAGGTGCCGTCGGAGGCTTCCCAGGAGACGACGGAGACCGAAGAAGACGCGGTCACTGTTGCGGGAGAAGAGGTGACCGATGTGCATCCCACGACGGACACCGCGGATAGCGAGGAGGCTTGACGGCCCCTCCCGTATGTTGCTACTTCGGACTGATTATTCGAGACGCGTTTATTGAGCCTCTGCTTGACAAGGTTCTCCTGAACGTCAAAGACCTCTACCAGTACGAGGCATTGTGAAGAATTACAATGCGTCATTCAAGACTGCAAGGTGGGATTTCGAGTATGGTACTAGGCCACGATAAAGCATCGCGGGCCGCTGACCATCTCCCGGGAAAGCGACGAAGATGGCGACATGTCGAGTTCCGATCTTCTTCACCACTCCTGCCTAAGAGGGTCCAAGCACTCAGCCTAAAGAGGATGACCATTGCCAACACGACCGAAGAAACGTGAGAGCGCTATGAGATCGCTGAATATTGGTACCGAATGAAGTGGAGCACATTGAATCCCGAAGGTGCTGTCCTCATGTAGCGCCGCGCCGAGCTAACACATAGTTGGATTGACCGCCAGATGTCCGGCATACGCCCGCCCTACTTATGCATGCGTCGCACCAGGGTTTCACTCAGAGCAATCCGAGTCAGTTCAGAGCACGCATGGGCAGGTGCCAGGCGTGCAGAGCGCGTGGGTACGCTCGAATGTGGGACATACATACGTTAACTTTCGTCCTCCTCGCCGATGGTTCAACTTCTCACCCTTTGAACGTCTGCCGAGAACCGAGAAAACCTCTCCGCTTCCGAAGTTGGTGAGAGTGGGAGCGCATATCGCGGTGATTCCCAGGTCAAGTTGCGAAGGTGAGTCCTGGGTGAGTCTCTGCCTCAGTGAGGATCCGGAGTTCATGCACATTATCGGGTTGTGATCCCAACCCTGTACCTGTTGGCACTCGCGTCTAAATGGGCAAATCAATTTAGTCCTCATTAGACTCCGGTCACACTCGGCGGTACCTAGTAATCACTGATCAGCGTGCTATATTAGCTTCCGCATGCAAAGCGTACACATGCACACAGCATACGCACAATCGTGGCCAGGGTGGACCTGGGTGCCCGGGTGGACTGGTTCACGTATGCGTGGAAAAGAACGCATCTACGTGGACCATCCTACACTGTTGCCAGGGTAGACACGCGCTTCAGATATTACGCTGTTAGTTAGGCCGCAACGAACGCAATTGGACGAACTTACGACCAATTAAAAATATTGCCGGCGGGTAGTACATGCAGTCCAGGCTAAGCGCGACGCCAGCCGTTTACGGCAGCATTGCATATCTCTAGCGCTTGTCGTCATGTCATTTTCGGGGAATTTACCACTCTTCGCTCGTACTTTCACCTCGCAGCGAGCCCTCTCTGCGTCGGGCGCGACGACGGTCCTGAGAAGATAGGGGGAGACCGATGGCCTATGTTGACAAGATTTCGGGCATCATGACGCCCCGGACCCGTTGGATGTGTTGCTCAAACCACCTGAAGACGAGAGCGATGAAGACCGCAGAGCACGGCTGTCTGCGGAGGAGGAGGCAAAGAGGTTGTCGGATATGATCGACGAGGAGCTCAGGGCACAGGAAAGGGCGGAGAAGAAGGGCCCGAAGCCCATCAAGATCCTGCTTCTCGGTGAGTTTCGTAGTCGATCATTTGTCGGGGGTCGCTGAGCCGTCGGGTATGCAGGTCAAAGTGAATCAGGCAAGTGTCGTCGTTCGTGTCCAACTGAACTATCCAACATCTGACATGATGGCGGCGTGAAGGGAAATCGACTACGTTGAAGAGTAAGTGCGGTGGCTGGGCTCTTGTGTGCGCCGCGCTGATCAGGATCGACAGACTTCCAGCTCATGAATTCGCCGAAAGTACGTGTCGAAATCTACCTATCCCAGATCATGTACGCTGAGGGAGCTCGCAGGCCTTTCGCGCGGAACGGGCATCGTGGCGCGCAGTGATCCACCTCAACGTCGTCCGTTCGATCCGCATCATCCTCGATGTCATGACAGAAGCGCAATCAGCCCAAGCGCAGCCACACTCCCCCAACGGCGCGCGCCCCTCCAGCAGCCGCTCTCCGTCTGAGTCGAGCACCCGCATATACCCGCCGCTCACTGCGGACCACCTGAAGCTCAAGATGCGGCTCTCACCACTGCTCCAGGTTGAAAAGGCACTCATCCGGAAGCTCACGCCACCCGGCTCCGCCGAGTTCGAGGCGACCCACCTCGCGCAGGCCTCGAACGTGAGCTACATGGAGCGCCTGCGCCAGAAGGAGGTCGCCATAAACTCCCTATTCGCGTGGAAGGGCGTCTTTGGCAGGCTGATGCTGGATGGCCGCGATAGCGTAGAGAGTCGAGAAGGTATCGACTGGGACGACCCGGAGGTGAGCGATGGATCGTTCCTTCGTGTTATCATGAGACTGGAGCTGCGAATGATAGGATCCTGGCGGATAATCCACGCTTGCGGTGAGGATATGATCCGTCTATGGAACGACGACACCATTCGTGCGCTGCTCCAAGTGCAAGGTGTCAGGTTAGAGGACCAACCTGGATTGTGGGTGTCCCGAGTACGACCACGTAAAGCGTATCACTCATCGATGTGCAGCTTCCTCGATTCGCTAGAACGAGTTACTTCTCCCCGATACGTCCCAACAGATGGTACGTGAGCAGCCGACGGAACTGAGCTACAGAGACTATGTATGCTTTAGAGGACATTCTCCGTGCCCGACTTAAGACGCTAGGTGTGACGGAATACCGATTCGCGATCAAAGAAGGTATGTGGCCTCCGTGTGAACCACTGTAGGCTTCTCAGCTAATCGTTGCAGGTACAATAGGCGGGATTACGCGGGATTGGAGGGTGTTTGATGTCGGCGGACACAGATCACTAGTGAGCGTAGCGCTACCATCACTCAGTGGCTATACTCACCTGTACTATAGCGAGGTTTGGTCTTCTTTAACTTCGTGATAACACTGCCTGAAGCCCCATGACAGCGGCATGGGCGCCCTACTTTGACGACATGAAGTATGTCATGATTTTCATATGCTGCATCAGTGCTGACCATGCCACCAGTGCAATCCTCTTCCTCGCACCCATCAGCTGCTTCGACCAAATGCTCGAAGAAGATTCAACCGTGAACAGACTTGTGCGCGCCTCTCTGACCTGCCATGCCTAATCGCCCTGAACTTATTACTGCGTGGATGCAGGAAGACTCGGTGCTCCTCTGGAAGACGATCGTCTCGAACCCGCTGCTTGCGAAGACGAGCATCGTGCTGTTTCTGAACAAGGTCGACATCTTCAAGGCGAAGCTCGAGGCGGGCATCAAACTGAGCAAGTTCATCCTCTCGTACGGGGACCGGTCAAACGACTATGAGAGCACGTCGACATGTGAGTTATTACTCCTGTGTTCCTCCCCGCTATGAGTCGGAGAGTCGCTTCGAATGCTGACGGATTGCCTGCAGATTTGAAGCGGAAGTTCGCACAGATCCATAAGGATCGAAGCCCGGAGCCGAGGATGTTCTACTGCCATTTCACGACAGTGACCGTAAGCAGATCTCTCCTATCTTTCAGCCATCTCGTCTCACCGTGTCGTTATTTTCAGGATACCAAGTCCACGCAGCACATACTTACAGACGGTAAGTCTGCTAACGCTATTGCACTTGTCTCGCCGGTGGCATGAAGGCTGACTCACAAATGCAGTCCAAGACACTGTCGTTGTACAAAGCTTGAAAGAGAGCAGTTTGATTTCATAATATGATTTATGCTTCGAGCGGCGGACCTTCTTATAATCGGATCTGTTGTACAGTAGTACTTAGTGGGGGATAGATGATACCTGATCTGTGAGGAATATATGCTCTTTGTGTTCGGATACCCTATCTCGTTCTCAGAGGGCTTGAGACTGGTCGTGACAGGAATCATTAGTGTTGAATAGAATGCTGTAAGTGCTTAGTGGGACTGTACATGAATGAGGTAATAAGTATTCAGCGGGCTGGACGTCGCTGTTACCTGTACGTTCAAGTTCCGGTTTCGGTAGAAAACCTTCCGCTTCGGGTATGTTAAAAACTAATTCGTCATAGGACGTATGGACTTCGCAATGCGGGGGAATACTTGCAGACTTGATTAACATATGTCGCCTCTCTTTCGCGCTGTGTGCGCAACGTGCAATACACTGTAGACATCGACAAATCTTGGACAAGTGTCTCCGGCGCTCGGTCCGCGCGCCCGTAGATACACGTCCACGTGACGGTCCGGTCCCTAAGAGGCACGGAGAGACGCCCGTCTGGGCCCATTCGCACCGTTATAAGACCCACCACGGTGTCCTCCTGATGTCCCGCCTCTTCTCTCGCGACGGCAGGCTCAATCTACAGGGAGACTGGGGAAGACCATAGACGATGCTCGCGGCGAGGACGTTTCGATCGTTCTCGAGCAGCGTACGGCGAGCAACACGCGGAGTTTCGTCTCGCGTCCGTCCGCAGGTTGCAGCCTCCGGACAGCCATGGACCGCTGGTATAATCACTGCAGGCGTGGTAATCGGGTCATATGTGAGTTTCAGCTCCTGGTATTATGCTTGACAATCATTTGGATGCAATGGACGACTTCGCGCCTGGCACCAGGACCCCTGGTTATTTATGCGGGGAGGCCTGATTCGTAACTTTCAGAAGTTGGCCAGTTCGTCGCGTGAAATGTTCGGACAAAATCTGGCTTGTACGAAGAGTTGCACGATTCGTCCGCACCTTTCCGCAGGGCTCTACCGACGGACATGTCATTTCCACAGAGCTCTGCCCCTCCGAGTAGTGATTATTGCACCGACGCTGTGCACGAGAGCATCTGAGCTATCCATGTCCGGATGCTCCTCACTCCTCGGGCGACCACAGTGCGCTATGTCCGGACAGCCCCTTAGTCCTGTTCAGCGACAATGGTGGATAAGTCCGGACAATATCAGCCATACCCCACTTCGAAACCCCCAATTTTGTCCGGATTCGACGAAGGCCTTCTCCCCATGATCATGGGTCCTCTAGCCGCGCCGCAGTGTGTTCTCTATGGCTGGCCCGGCACTGAGGAATTCCGCGGCCGTACATGGACGTGGCGCAGGAGGAGGTGAAGCTTGAAGCTGTCCGTCTCCCACCCGTGTATCCCCCTAGGCGCCCCATCCCCGTAGCCGGGTCAAGGCAGTAAGCCCGCGAAGCGCAGCGAGCGCGCGCGAGGCGATGGGCGTATCCGGCCTGGGCGCGTCACTGGCGTGTCTGGGTGCGAGGGCTACCCCGCCTGTACTCCCTCTGTGAACCAGAGGCTTTGATGGTAGTCGCCTAAAGCGACTCTGGAGGAGCAGACGGTCGGGGTAGCGGCGGGCTTCCTCAGTGCCTTGGCGACGGGCCAATCACATAATGTCCAGTAGGACGCAGGTCACTGACATGATTGCAAAGTGACGTAAAGCCTGATCAGGGTTCTGCTCTATTTAGCACAATGTTCGCTCCAGATGCAGCGGCACAGCTGATTCTGTTCGGTCATCTGAACCTGGCTATAATGTACCTCAAACGAGGGAACGAAGAAGTCAGCAGCTGCGGTGTCTCTTGTGTATTGCTATTGCTCATATCTGTCTCCTCCGTTGTTCTATCCCATCCCTAACAATCTATTGCAGGCTGGGTATACAATACTGAACCCTGTGAGGCTTGATGCCCCCGATAGAAAGGCTCCGAAGCCTAGCGAAGCAGCCCCTCGACACATACCGTACGAGGAGGTGCAGAAGCACAATACGCGGGAGAGCTGCTGGGTCATCATCGACGGTCAGGTCTACGACGCAACCTCCGTGCTCGAATGGCATCCAGGAGGCGCTGCAGTCATCTTGAGGAATGCTGGAAAGGATGCAACGTATGTCTTTGTGTCCTCCATGACACAACTATCAAGCTGACTAGTCGACCGCAGCAAAGCTTTCGTTCCCATCCACCCTCCGAACACGCTGCAACACCTCCCCATGGAGGCTCACATCGGACCTGTCGACCCCGCCACGATACCCGAGGACGCGAATAAACCTACGGAGGACGAGATCCGCGTAGCGGAAGCCAGGCAGAACCTCCCTCCTCCGTCTGCTGCCATTAACCTGCATGATATCGAGGTTCAGTGGTGTTCATTAGCGCGCCAACGATGTACTAATTGAACCCCATAGATCTTGGCGGAGAAGGTCCTCACACGCACAGCTTGGGCCTACTACCGTTCGACCGCGGACGATGAAGCGAGTGAGTGTTGATCCGCTTTGCCTCACCCATGCTGTACGGACCTTCCTGCCAGCGTACTTTGAGAACAGCAACGCGTTCAAACGGTTCTGGTTCCGGCCCAGAGTGTAGGTAAAGCAGGTTCTTACATGCTTATCGAACTTAGCGAAGTCCTTCAGTATGAACAAGGTATCCCAGATCTCGACAGCGACCACGCTCTTCGGTATTCCCAGCTCTCTCCCGATCTTCATCTGCCCCGCCGCGCTCTATCGGCTGGGTCATCCCGACGGCGAAATGAACGCGGTGCGCGCTGCCGGCCAAGAAGGGATCATCCAGGGTGTAAGCCGGTCCACAGCACCCACTCAGCAACCAATTGATCACGGCGCACAATTGTAGATCTCGAACAACGCGAGCTGCTCGACGGAGGAGTGCGTGTCCGCCAAGCTGCCGGGGCAGGGACTCGTCTTCCAGCTGTACCTGAACAAGGACCGGAGGGCATCAGAGGCGCTCGTGAAGAAGATCGAGGCGCAGGGGTTCAAGGCGATAATGCTCACGGTGGACTCGGCCGTGCCTGGGAAGCGCGAGCTTGACCAGAGGGCGAAGGGCGAGGATTTCAACGTAGGAGTTAGTTTTTTGGGTGAGTGCAGGAGGCTGACGCGTGTTCAGGATGGGCCGTCAACGTTCGGGAAGTCAGAGAGTAGCGGCCTGGGCGTGGCGCATGTACGTGTATTGTGTGGCTGGCTCTGTACGGCTTTCAGTGACATTTCTTCTAGGCGATCTCTGGATACCAGGATCCCGACATTCTCTGTAAGTTTCAGACATCGCCGAAGTTGAGGTTGTATCATTTACCAAAGTATGTAAGGGGACGACATTCCATGGCTACGTCGTATCACCAAACTGCCGATCATCATCAAGGGTGTCCAATGCGTTGAGGTGAGGGCGTTGCTTGACATAGCTGCGAGATCATAACGCTCAAGTTCTGTGCCCTAGGATGCAGAGAAGGCCTTCGAGGAGTACGGTGTGAAGGCCATCATCCTATCGAATCACGGCGGACGAGAGCTGGATTACTCTCCTGCTCCCATGACTATCCTGTACGAGCTCTACCAACGACGCCCGGACCTCCTGAAGAAGAACGAAGTCTACATCGACGGCGGCGTGCGCCGCGGGACGGACGTGCTCAAGGCGCTCTGCCTCGGCGCGCGGGGGTCGGCCTCGGGCGGCCGTTCCTGTATGCCAATGGCGTGTGGGGCGAGGATGGCTGTCGGCGTGTGGTTCAGAGTGAGCGCTTTTGCTGTTGGTTCGTTCGCCCTGGGGAAGGCTGACGAACTGTTGCAGTCATGCGCGAGGAGATCGAGACGGGGATGCGGTTGTTGGGCGTGACGAGTCTTGACCAGCTTAGACCGGAGTTGCTGAGCTATATGGATAAGAGGCTCGGACAGCCCGAGCGACGGTCGAATAGATCATAACATTACGTGTCACGGAGATCCTAGAGTTGTTGCTTCATATATTCTGTTCATACGAAGTACTCACCACTGCCACGGGAAAGGCTCGTCATCACAAACAGAAATGTGAAGTGGCGGCTAGGGAGCTCGTTGTATACTCAAACCTGGTTATCGCCCTCGTACTGCGCCTCCGTTGCATACCCCGTGTACGAAAGTGAGGAGTTTTTTTGATATGTCGCGCTGTAGTGTCGGCATAATCGTGAACATTAACGGCGCGCGGAAATTGGGATATTGGTCCTCTGTATTGGAAATGAGTACCCGCTTCCTGTCATCGTCCCATTGGCAACCCTACAACCTACTATCTACGTACTGCAGGGTTCTACGCACCATGACGACGACCCGATAATAAACCGATTGTATGTGAACAGGGAGATTACACTGTCAGTGCCAAGAATATTCAGGCACTTTCAATGGCCAACAAGCCGACTGGTCTGATCACTCAGCTACTTACGCAGCTTCGGGGCTGTGCTGATCGTACGCGCATGTAGACTTGAGATGATACTTACACATTACAGTGCCGATTCTCAGGTGAGTCCAGGCTCAACGGCTTGAGCACGATAGCTACGACATGACAGATTGAGAAAGGACATTGCGGACAGATGAACTTAGGGCCGAGATGCAGACTACGGACAACAAGCAAACGAAGACAGCAATCCGATTGACAGACGGCAAGTGCAAGCGGGCGGCAGTCCTACTACACCCGGACACGGGCTATGAGCGGGGTATTGATTCCCTTCTGGATCCTCGTATCCACCCAGAAGCGGAACGCGTCCTCCGTGCGGACCGCGCGCTCACAGTCGCCCGCCGAGCCTACCGCGTACGAGAGCGCGACGGGGAACCCGACTTTCGCCTCCACGCGGCGGATCAGCCGCTCGAGCGTGACGCCCTCCGCGACCTTGAACTTCCAGATGTCGTCCATGCACGGCACGGACACTTTGATGACGATCTTGCCGTCCTTGGGCGCCCACCGCGTCGCCACGAACGATTCGGAGGCGATGATGACGTTGGCGGCGTGTGTGCGGCTGACGGCGAGCGCGCGAGATGCGGATGTGGTGTTCTCCTTTCCGCGACGGACGCTCCGGGAGCGGAGTTGCCCGCTGCTCTTGACCCTCTTGGGCAGGTTGTGGATCGCGTGGAGGACGGTCTTGGGAGTTGCGGTGGTGTTGGCGGGCATCTCGGGCAGTGCGATAGCGGCGGAGAGAGCAGGAAATGAAAGCAACGAAGACGGAAGGCGAGACCGAGGACAAGGTCGCTAGCTGTGTGAGAGAACTACGCACCTGCGCGCGTTCGCCGAGGACTCACGGAAGGCTGACAAGTGATGGCGCAAGTCCGTCTGGACCTAAACTTGGCGCGACAGTCATCCAATCCAATGCACGAGTCGAAACAGCTTTGAGAGATGACTCTTGGATATAGAGCACGAGTCCAACATTCAGTCATTCGCGGGCAAGATGGGATATCGGAGGACCCCCGAATATATATACCCTCAGGAGGCTAGGTCGGCGACAGTCCATGTCCGGACAGGTGGAACCGATATGTCCTGGAATCGATCTACCCTCCCCGCCCAAGGGAGACGGCTTTTGTTCGGACAGCTAAGACTAGGGCACGCATGTTCATGATCCTAGCCACATGTCCGGACGGCCTCGCCATTCCTGGCCGTGCCATGTCCGGACGTTGTGAGTAGCATTTCCTATGCTGCAACCTCGTTTGTCCGGATTCTGACCAACCCTCAACGGCCGAAGAGGATGCGTCGTGTCCGGATTCCGACCTAGCCTCCTGAGGGTATATTCGGGGGCCTTGATGTTCGGCGGCCCATGGTCTATGAAGGTTGCAAGAGTGATCTATAGGGACTGTGCCCTAAAGATGATGTCGCGTTAGCAGAGTAAATGAAAATGACCCAGATAGAAGGAGCGTGTCAGATTTCCGTTCTTGATCTACATCTCAACGCGGTTTCTTCTCAGCTTCCCGCTGAGTAGTATACCAGCGCGAGACGTAGACCTTGGGTGTCACCAGGGCAGTGACCCTTCCACGTTTGTGAAGCTCGCATCACTCAAAAACGGAACAGCTGGAGACAGACCCACCTGGCAAAAGCTTTGCTCGTGCAATGCTTGATGATTTATGATTCCATGAAGTCGTTCGAGTATAGGCGACGTCCTGCTTGGCATCATTCCAACGAAACCAAGCCTTGTGGATGTTATAGACAATCAAGCAGACAGTAACTCATGTCGGCTGACCAGAGTAAGTGCAATTCTAACGAGGGAGCATGGAAAATCGGATGGACAGTGCCTTGCCAATGGATGACCTGTACTACGTACTACGTCGTGAGGAGGTGGCCGAGAGAGAAGTACGTGTGACAGCGTGGGAGACTGTGACCGAGGCTCGTACGTACGGGCGTGACCCGATCAGACATGCGCTAAGTAGCGCCCATACCTTCCTTCACCCGTTCGTCCTTCCTTTCAATCCTCAACTATGTACTCCGTCTCATTCATGCGCATGGTCGACAGATAGAACGGTAAACCTTCTGTTAAATTGAATGCGATAAACCGTGAGCAGCTATATTTCGATGTAACATGCTCGCCTCATCAGGTCGTGGCTTACCAGTGCAAACTATAGATCTGCTCTAAGCGTTGATCCCACATTGTTCATTGCGGATCAGGAGCTCCTGATTGATGGTTCGCAGCCTCTTTTTCATCATTTCTGGAGTAAGGCTACTGGACTACGTCTTTGGGACGAGGAAGAACGGCCTTTTCGGGGCTACGAGTTGTCAATAGGTAATAAGGGCGCTACCCGCCTCCCAGTCCGCACAAGAACCGTAACTTCTCGTCCAGGATTGGTTCCGAAGTGTCTCATTTCCTCTTATCTGTTTGCCGAATTAACAGCTCCTGCTTAATAGAGGTGCCCATGGCGACAGTCATCCTCACAGGGTTTGATATCTTGACAGTCAGTGTGATTGTGATGAATGTGCGAATGCCCAAAGAACCCAGGGTCCGTGCCTCGTAAGTACCCGTGATGACAGCGAGCGTGTCCGCCATCCTTTCCAGCCTTTGTTCCCGTTCGCCGCTCACGACTGGACTTCTCGTGCTCCGGCCAGTCTTGTTCTGTTTTTCACGCAGGGCGTGTGCTGGTTAGGCTTCCTATGGTTTCTCCGATTTCAGACATCGATGCTTCCGCTTTGACCGTGATTTACGGGGCTGCTGAGACGGCGGGAATACGGGTGAGCTCCAGTCCGGTGTGCTTCTTCGCCAGATCTGACTTCGCCCCACCCGCTAGAGCCTGGTGGCTGCCGGTGCGCTGTCCGGGATTGCAGTGTTCGTGTTGTGTGTGGTGAGTGGTTTCTCCTTGTGTCGTTTACCGGCGGAGCATGATTGATAGTCTGTTCCAGGTCATGACCCTGCGACCACCGTGTTACCGCAATACGCACGTCATCCCGATCTTTGTCTCTCTTCTTTGTGCGAACTACCTCCAGGCGATCGCGTCCATGATGGACATCCAGTGGATCATGGATGGCGCCGTAGAGGGCGGGAGTTTCTGCGGCGTCCAGGGCGCGCTGAAGAACGCCGGCAATGTTGCGGCCGCATTTTGGTCGGTTGCACTATCGGTGCACGTTTTCATGCTTCTTTTCTTGAGGAAAAACATGAGCCATGCCACTTGCACGGCTTTGGTGGTTGGCGGCTGGTCGTTCGTCATTTTCGTCCCTGTCATCGGTGTGACTGCGATTCAAACCACCGCGAGAGGCCCGTACTTTGGTCCGTCAGGTTATTGGTGAGACAAACTTTCTCATGTTATGTGCCATATTGAAGTCACGCAGGTGTTGGATCACGCATAACTACTATGGGGAGCAGACATTCTTAGAATACTTCTTTGTACGTTCCCCTACTTGCGTGCATCTGTCGGGTACTGATACGCTCACTCTTTGACAGGAATTCGTCTCGGCAACATGTTCGATCGTGCTCTATACGGTCATTGTGCTTCGCGTGCGGGGAAACTTGACGAAGATGGATGGTAAATGGTGCCTACGGTTCGTGCCCCGAGGCGAACGCTGGCTGTTGGCCATCTCCCGCGATTTCACCGATACGGCGATGATGAGCGTCGCCGCTCGGATGGTCTGGTAAGACATCTCCGTTTCCAAACCCGTATCGAAAAGGTGTTAATGAACCTCGGTTTCACCAGGCATCCCGTACGCGCTCAGTATGAATTTGCATGATGAGACCCTGATAGAGTTCTCTGTGCGGTAGGTTGCGTACACTGTGTGCCTCCTCCCGGTAACCATAGCACGCTTTATCTCCTTTGGCGGCCACGAAGTGCCCTTCTGGGCGACAGTATTGGCAGATTTTATCTTCAACCTTCAGGGTGAGTCGACTCCTCCACGACGCTGACATGTCGATGTCTTCGCTGGCGTCCCGACGCTCATCGGATCCTCGCCCAGGTCTGGTGAACGTCATCCTCGTCTTGTGCACCCGCCACCTCATCCCGAACACGGCCTGCCTCCCGATGTTCATGCCCCGGAAATGCATCAACCACGATTCCCCTGAGGCTTGCGGTATCTCGCCCTTCGTGATGTCACAGCCGGAGCCCAAGGCGAAGGAGATCGTCGAGAAGAGCCTGCCTCCAATCCCCGAGGACCCATTCACGCCCGGGATGAGGGCCCTTGCCAGTCCGGTGGTCGCCCCGTGGACAATCACAGTACATAGCCCAGCTGTCAGCCTCCAGCGTTCGGATTCCATAGCGAGTATCTCGACCGTCAGCTCCGCGGACTCTCAGACCCCAATGATTCGCAACTAGCGCCACATCACCTTCCCCGTCGGCCACCCTTAGAATTTGCTCTGTTTGTGAGTGCCCGCGTTCATGTGTCCTCACCCATTTTGTTTGTTGACGTCACTCCAGAGGTTTTGGTGTACAATTGGCTTGTTTCCTCCACACTCCTTGGAATTGACACTCATTGAATGATGCTGTTGTAGTATTAGGGTCCACTCATGCTGGGCATTAGATGTATATCGAGTCGGGGCTAGCCCTCAGATACCCAGTGATTGCAGCCGAGAAGCTTGTTATAGACTAGGCCTGGGGACGTGGATCTCACGTGCATGTTTGTAGCCTGTATGGGGTGAGTGGTCTCAGTGACTCCAGAAAGTCAGCGGCTTGATGACAATCTCCCGCAGACGTTTGTTTGATGTATGGTTCATAACACCGTTCTTCCTGAATGCACCCGAGTTCGGACAACACTGTTCGCCTTGTCTTTCCAAGACACCGACAGAAAGTACGGCCCCAGGAAGTCAGATGCACCGGCGGCATGTTAGAACGACCATCGTTCTAGATGCTACGGACGGGCAGTGGTACTGCACAGCGGAGTGAGGATAAGGTTCTTTCGTATTGACATGTCGAAGAGACCCTTGAACGCATGACACCAGTTCTTCGACCTTCCCGTCGGCGAAGGTGAGAACACGTTCGTTCCGCATTGGTTGAGCCGCACTGAATCGTCCCTTCCATGTCTTGGACACAGTGGTCCGTAAGACACGTCGATAGACGATCCCTCATAATTGAGACACCACCCATCGTTCGTCCTTCCTGGCGGATCCCGTGAGTAGGTCACGACAGCCGGAGCTGCCATAGCTGTGCTTCTCAGTTCAGCCACCCCTTCTATACCATTGTCAACGTCCAAGTTGCTCAGCACCACTGCGCCATGTATTTGCTCCGCGCCGAATCCGGTTATGTCACCATGTTCCGCGCGCCTGGGACGGAACATAGCACCATAGCCCAAGACCGCGCGATGAGGGCTCCGCGGTTCATATAAATACAGGTCGTACTATCTAATGTCGACACAGCTCAGCACAGCATTCGCAGTCCATAGCATGGCATCTCAACGCCCCACTCGCGCTGGTCACGTCAACTACACTGACCCTTTCTCCGTCTATGGCAGAGCTATCATCCACAGATACCACGCCGAAATCCGAGCCAAGTATCAAGGGGTTCCTATGCAACTCCCGCCCGCTTTTCCGGACGTCATATCGATGACGCTCAATGAAGGCGGAGACCTTGGTCGTCTTGGCCGTCACGGGCAGCCGGTCTTGATACCGTGCCCTCGCGACACCGACTCCGCCAAAGTAGGCATCATCGGGGCCGGCGTCGGAGGCCTGTACGCCGCGATGATGCTGGAATCTCTTGAGATTGATTACGACATCTTGGAAGCCTCCGATCGCATTGGAGGCAGGCTTTACACCTACAAGTTCTCGGAGAAAGAACACGACTACTTCGTACGCACTCTCTGAGGTCCTGTCCAAGTGCGGTCGGCTCATTGTGCTTCATTTATTCAGGATGTAGGCGCGATGCGTTTCCCAGACACGCCGATGATGAAGCGAACGTTCCATCTCTTCGACAAGCTCACACAGGATGCCGGCCTATCGCAGATTCCCTATATATTCGAGAGTCCGAACACCACGCTCATGTATAACGGTGTGCTGATGAAGCGGAGTTCATCGACTGAAGACCCAGCCGCCTGGGACATCGACATTCCTTCGCAATTCGAGCAACACGGTTGGTCCGCCCTACTCGACAATGCGGTGGATCCCTTCGTCAAAGAGCTGGCTGCAGACTTCGCTAGGGACGACAAAAAGGGCTGGCGGCTCATGATGGACTACGATCAGTACTCGACCCGCGCGTACATGTCCGCCAATCGCAGCGACATCCGACAGGAGCTCGATGGACTCGGACTCATGCCGTACCCGACACCTGTGGTTGACTGGATCGAGACGTTCGACAACTCGAGTGCAGCGTACGATCGAGCACTGTCGGAGGACGTCCTGGATAGTCTGGCATTCGCCTTTCCCCAGGAGACGCCGGTTGAATGGTGGTGTGTCGAGTGAGTGCTTCGCTCCCGTCGTGCCCCTCAGCGCTGAACCATTTATGACCAGTGGCGGTTCACAAGTCATCGCAGAGAAAATGGCGGGTTTGCTGACGCAGGCGCCTGTCCAGAATTGCCGAGTGACCGCCATTGCCCTGAAGGACTTTGACCCTTCAGCGCAGCAGGACTGGGACCAAGCGAAGGTTGAGTTGACCTTCGCCGATCCCCTGGTCGAACCACGGTCGTATGGGCACGTCATCAGCACCGTCACTCTTCCGTGCCTCCGAACCATGGACCTCAGCCGGGCATCGCTCACATCGGCTCAAAGCACTGCCATCCGCACGCTGCGCTATGGGCCTGCCATTAAGATCGGTGTCAAGTTCAAGACCTCTTGGTGGACCGACGCCACTGTGATGGCGAAGTACCAGCAACCGGATTATCCATACGGGGCCATCGTTGGAGGGCAATCCTCGAACGATCGCATGGTGCGCACCGTTGTCTATCCCTCCTATGGCGAGAACGGGGGCGAGAAGTCCACCGTCCTCATCGTCAGCTACTGTTGGACGGAGGACGCGAACAGTTGGACCGCTCTGTTCGGAGATAGCTCGAAGGAAGAAGTGAAGGACATCGTATTGCGGGACCTTGTGGCCGTTCACGGGTTCCGGCAGGCTGACGGCCATAAGTTCTTGGAAAGCCAGTGGGTGGACAGTTACCAATGGAGTTGGGCAGCTCAGCCGGATTACATGGGTGGGTTGTTCTCCGGCGAATCATGCCATGACTTTGAATCCTTGCTGATCCATGATTTCGCAGGTGCATTCGGTTACTTCGGTCCTGGTCAATTCTCCTATACGTACACAAACATGACGCAGCCAGCTGCCGTTGGACGCCTCCATTTCGCTGGCGAGGCTTTGAGTCCTCGGCACGCGTGAGTAGAGTCAGTGTTTTTACTGTGCAACAGAGCACTGACAGCAGATGTGTCGCAGTTGGGTCGTTGGCGCTCTCGATGCCTCGTGGCGCGCTGTCTACGAAATTCTCCAGACAAGCTACCCTGGCCAAGTGGATAAGTTCAAACGATTGTGGGGCTCAGACGAGGAGTGGACTGATGAAGTCCTCGACCGCCACGTGTGTTACTCTCTTATCGCCCAGGGGCTGAGGGATGTAAACTTGAAGCAGAGAGCTTAGGACGGGGCGTTTGATACCACTGCTAGCAATTTGTACGAGTATGCAGGCGCTTTCTTGATATCTGATTGTAAGTACTACACAACGCTTGCGAATCTTGGGTTGGTATGCATTCAATACGAGGGTCAACTCACAATATGTCAACCTCGAATTGATGGTGGCGTTGCCAGTGGCTGGGCGGTGCCAGCACTTAGCGGGCCATCTGCCAGCCTGAGTACTATACTTCTCTTGTCAAAAGTCACAGCCTATCCAAAGTCATACCGCAGTATGAGTTGGAGCCGTTGAACCGGTAGAAAGAGAGATGCAGTAAGTAGTGAAGCTAGTTAAGTTCTTTTTACTGGCGCCGGCGGTCACGTAGCCGCGTGCGCCACTCGAGTCGGATCCCGGGCCGGAGACCAAGTCAACGCCGACCCCAAGCACCGCCTGCCAGTGCCAGTACTTCAGCTTCACTGAAACGAAAATGTACCAGTCACAAGCTGGTACAGGCTGTTGAGTATGTGATATCGACATTCGATAGGCTCAGGTCGGGGCGATCATCATTGAGAGTTCTTTGCGTCTGTTTAAGTTTGTATCGTACCGTCCGTACAGACTGGCAGGGGCCATCAAAGAATGCATTATACGGTGATGTGCCAAAAGCAAGCGCTACAATTCAAGTTCGAGTTCTTCTATGCTACAGATAAGGGTACGATGTCATCCGTCTCTGCAGTGTTACACTTCCACCAGGGAAGCGACCGATTCATGTAAGTCCATTAGGAGAAGGTACGTGTGATACCAACGATAGTCTAGGTTGGTGCGTCTGGGGTTTCGACGCTGCTCACGGGCTGAAGTCCGAGGGCATAAAGTTCCAGGAAACGGTGATGGTGCCTTCGTCGAGAGAGGCACCGAGCGCCTGGAACAGCGAAGGGCTCAAGTCTGCGTGGGCCAGGGTTAGACACAAGACGCGACGTAGACTCAGGGACTTGGACGTACCGATGGCCTCCGAGTCGCAGCCCATGCATTTGTCGCGAGTCTGGCCGTACGCGACGACGCCGGTTGCAGTGTTCTCGATGCGCATGTACTGACGGACACATGTCTCAGGACCGTGCATTCGACTACATCGACGAAGCGAGACGCACCTGGTTGCAGTTACCACTGTTGTAGATGTCTTGTGAGATCGCAACGATGTAGTCGCTGTCCGAGTCGGTGAACCCGCAAGCACCCAGGCCGACTTCGTAGTAGGTGCCCTGCAGAATAGTGAGTACTGAACATTCTGGAACAGATGTTGGAACTTACCCTGCCGGTGTGGGTGGTGCGCGCTTCAAGGGTGGTGCTGTTCGTGGTCACGGGCGAGGCGGCGACGAACGCGAAGAGCGCGCAGAGCGCAAGAACGATGGTAGCGAAGCGAGACATTATTGTGCAGAATGTCAGAAAGACCGATGGGTTCGAAGGAATGACGTCGCGAGGATGCGAAGGGACCGGCAGGTTCAGCTTCGAGGTCGATGGAACGGTGCGAGTGAACTCGTTGAGACACAAAGAGTCGTTGCATGACGGTCCTTTATACCGAGACAAAAACGAGGGTACCCGACCGAGTGCGCCTCAAAGTCTGAGGGCGACCCCTCGAAAATGACCTCGCAGCCACGGACGCTCTAGACTCACCCCGTCAAGGGCGTTGTATGTCTCATACCCTATTTCTTCGGCCCAAGGGCTAGAGCCACGCCGACGTTTAGCCCAAACAGGGGCGTCGGAGCCCCTCCAGCCAATCGGCCTGCACGGAAAAAGCGGCCCGGGGCGCATCCCCGCCCCCCGCCGCAGTCATTTATGGCAACTGCGAACGAAAGCGGCAGAAACGTTGTTTCGTGAGGTTGACACATTTCAACGATCATCAAAACGGGCAAGACTTTACCGTCGCTGGGTGAGTATTGAGTGAGAGCCGTGCGCCTACCATAATTCGAGGCCGGGCCGGAGAATCGTCGTCGTGCATCCGAGCTTGTCTTGAGATCTTGAGATCTTGAGTCTCCATGTATTCATGGGCAAGTAGAAGGTGATTGTTTATGCCGGGGCGCCGCAGTGGATTTGTGGCTATACACCTAAAATGAACAGAAAATTTGCACGGCCTGGATGGGGTTGCAGTGACGGTGGTACAGTGATGCGCACTCTTCTCGGAATATACCTCCAATTCCGCGCATGACGTCAGGGGACCTTGAACAAAAATCTCGGAAAGGGCTCTCAGCGTGAGTCAATGCACATGACGTCCTGTTCAGAGTCGCAGAGTCGCACGACGCACCAGCGCTGGAGAACATCACAGCAACCCGAGTAAATGAGATCAACAGGCAGGCAGCTACATACGCTGATAGTATGGCTTAACAACTAAAGGGAGTTGGCTACCCTGGTCAACCTTGTCCCGTACGTACGGGCGCTGCACGATGGCGTTCTTCTTGATGATGTCCTCGACCGGAAGCGCCAGCTCGAAGACGAATGCGCGCACGAGAACGAAGAGTAGGGCTTTCATCCTGGACGGTGTGATTAAAGTTGTCAGACGCCGAGCAATTCAGTAGATCAGCGCACGAACTCACTCTGCGAGCGCGAAACGATATCCAATGCATGCATGTGGACCGCCAAAGAACGTCAACATATTTCCCCAGACGCCGGGGATACCTTGGATTGCTTCCGGTGGCTTTTCCCATCTCTCGGGCCTGGTCGAGGTGCTTAGGCTCATCACGACTGGCAGGGAAGTGGAAGTTGGGAGCTCACTTGAACTCGGCAGCGTCATCGCCCCACAAAGCCTTGGACATGTTGATGCCCAGTATAGAGATCGTGATATCCGTACCTTCATCGATCCTGTATCGCAGTGAGCTGTCAGCAGTGTCTCGAGCTCTTGAAGCGGCAGAATCGACTGTACTCTATATATTCGTGGACCCGTCCATTCTGGTCGATCACAGGTTCACTGAGGGGCAGTATGTCGTCCTTCGTAGCCGTTCTTCCGGTAGCACGAACGGGCGCATGCACACGGAGGGTCTCGCGCACGACCGCATCGAGGTATGGAAGGAGTTGAGTTCGTCCATGGTAGGCCTGTCGGTTTCAACGTCAAGGAGCTCATCGCGGAGCTTCTGTTGGACATCTTGCGCCCGAGCGAGCGCCCACAAGCACCATGCAGTACCAAAGCTCGTGGTCTCATGCCCAGCGATGAAGAATCTGGCAGGCGGACAGTGAGTGTCGTATCCGTGATGTCTCTGCTTTCACCTACGTTGGTACCTCTGCGCGTATCGTCAGCGGACAGGTTCAACGATAGGGCGATGTACTCACGCGCCAGCACGTCATCGTCAGAGAGCCTGCGGTCCTCCGGGATGTCCGTGCTCATGTTGGCCTTGATGAGCACGTGAGGAGGTCGCGGCTGCGCAAGCGTCGCCAGAGTGTTCGCCGGCCGACGCCGCTCGCAGCACCTCCGCTTTCTTCTCCTGGATGAGCTTCATCCCGACGCGCTGCGCGACCGCCTGAGCGGCAGCTGTCTCGCGGCCGAAGCTGTCGGGCTGCAAGCGATGAACGGCGCGAAAAGCGAAGTTTGCGGGGGCCACTCACGAAGATGCGCAGAACGGGTATCGCGTACTTGAGCATCAGGAGCCAGTTGATAGATGACGAGCCGACGAGCATCTGGAACATCGACGTGAACGCCTGGTTGAGTTCATTCGGCTTGCCGTCTGGGTCGAGTGCGTTGAACGGGTAGTTGAAGCCTGTGCACAAGTCAGTTGCGACAGGAGCGTCGATGTATACGACGCTGAAACCGACCTGCGAGGCCGATGACATCCAAAGTCGCCTTGCTCAACCCTGTGTCACTTCGACGGCTGTATCAGATTTTGCGATTTGGTCATTCCAGTAGTCTCGGAGCTGAACCATGCGCCGGACGTGAGCAGGTGGCGCGCGAGCAATCAGCGAGACATGCCTCTTGCGCCTTATCCACAAAGATCTCTGTAACTCTCGGACTTGAGCGGGCCAAACGCAGGGTTCTGATGCAGTTGAGTGTTTCCATGTGGCTCAAACTACTAGCATACCATGATGCGCCGCTGAGAACGGGGTCTCAGTCAATAGTGCCCATGACATAGCGTAGACCCACACTTACCTGATGCCGATGCTGTTCACCTGGAGTAGAATAGTCAAGTGTTGTAAGAATGACATTGGACACATCGTCCCTACTCACCCTCCACAGTAAGCAGTCCTGTACAACGACATCAGCGTACTCACCTCGACGAACCAGAAATGCTCACCATGCCCGAAAATCTTACCCAAAAAGAACGTGTCTGCTTGTCCCTTTGCGTAGATGTCGAATGGTTCAGCATATGAGTGATGGCCTTCGCGTCTTCCGTGTACAGCGTATGTGCCTACCATGACGGTCAGTCACGGAACAGCGAACCGAGTGCGCCACATACGTTCAGCCACTCCTGGTACTTGAAGGTTTGCCCGTATTGTTTGCGCCAGACTTCGAACACCAAGTTGTTATTGCTCTCGTCCATATCGCGAACACTCCCAAGAATCCAGCTGGCACTGGGCGGGCCGGGGAGGTTGCGAACACTCGATCGGTACGGCGCGACGAGGATCTTCGCCACCTTCCATATAGCGTATGCAAGGGCGGCGGTGGCAAGAGAGGCGAGCACTTTGCCAGTCGTTGCGAAGTCGGAAGACATTCTAAAGAAGGGAGGATAAGCGTAAGTATCGTGAGTCTTCAAGGAGTGTTCCTGACCGCTACCTTTAAAGCATTTGGCGAGGCGGTGATCTGTCAGTCGGATGACAGCCGTAAGCCAAACCTGTGTGGTATCTAGTCGCCGCAGGTCGACTGTGCTGCCACAGGGGTATAAGAACCCGCGTGTCTGCCCATACGATTGAATCGGGAAAGGCGCTCGCAGGAGCAAGCCTGGCCCACGAAAGTCGTCAATCACTTGCTGATAGGCTGTCGAGATCGACATTTGCGCCGGGGCGATGTCATGAGCACACTCATAAAGTTGCTGCGCAAATGCGAGTCCGTGACATCCCTCTTCACATCGAAGGCAGGTGAGTCACGATAGACAGGTCGTAACACTGACCGCCAAAGGACTGGAACGACGAGTATAAGTAGCCGGGGGCGAAGTGAGCTATCTCGACTGCAGCACTCACATACTTACTGTGCATACGCGCGTACAGCGGTGCCGGATAATATTGTCATGTCATTTGCATAAGTATCGTGGATGGCATCGGCGCAGCCCGCCGCAGCGGCATCGTCGACAGCCTACAGGAGACGCCCACTCTGACAATGATGCCGCAATCACGGGCTCAAGTCTGCTCGAGTGCAGTGTTAGTACTGCGAGAAACTGCGCCCTGGCGCAACAGTGAGCGTCCTTCGCGATAGTCACTACAAGGAAATCATTGTTTCCTCCACTTACAAGGGCCGCCGTGAAATGGACGCCTTTGACATAGCCTCGCGGGCAGGTAAGTGGACCACAGAGCGTGATTCTCGACCTAGGACAGGCTTGAAGTCTTTTGTCCGCTGGGAAAGACACTGCAAAGAAACCATAGTTTCTTCCGCGGATAAGAGGCGCGGCGAAATGAATGCTCATTCACATACTCTCGCGGGCAGGGAAAGTGGACCAAAGGTCACCATTCTCGGCCTAGGAAAAGTTTCAAAGGCTTTTGTCCGCCGGGAAAGGCGTCCTTCGCCGTCTTTCCAAGATGGATCTATGTCGTGGGACAACCATGAGGAAACCTTTTCACTTTTGAAGCCTTTTCTGCCCGACGATATCTTTGCAGTGAGACGTCCTTGCACGTCTTTCTAAGATGCCTCCACGTCGTGGGAGAGTCATAAGACAGGCTTTTCACTCTTGAGGTCTTTTCTACCAGAGGAAATGATGCTACCTTTGTAGTGAGCTATCTGCGAGAGACTTCAGATAGAGACGCACAGTGAATGAACTCGGCACACTGTGACAGCTCACGGCGAACAATACATAGATTGTACTCGCCAGCATCAATTGACCTTCTGGAGAGTTCAACATAAGCTGCTGTATTTCAAACCAAATCTGGGGGATTACTTACTGCGGAGAAAAGACGAGTCATGGCACTATTAGTATTAGGGAACGAGTTTTGAGAACTGTGACATGTGACTCTGGAGTCTGAGGACCGCGGCATAAGTATGCCGAGCCTTCGTCTTCACGTGCGCCGTCTGGGACTGTTCAGATGAATTGATGGCAATGTTCAACTTTGGTTCCAACGCAGTTGTGTACATCACTTCAGACTGGATATGCTGCTGTTCTGCAATGTGTAGCCGCGTTTGTCCTCAGTACCTCAACCCCTGCGGTCCAACCTGCTCTCCAGCAGCAACAGCAAGACTATGCGCGAGAGCCTGGGCCATCGCACCACTGTCAGAAGTAACATTGATCTGTCGTGCCGTATAAGATGTGAGTCCAGTATAACGAAAACAGCAGAAAAAAATATGCCGCACCATGTCGAAACCTTCCTCCGCACGCTTTGCCGATTGCGAGCCGGATGTGCAGTAGATGGCGCTGGAAAGCAACGTAAGTATCCCTTACTATATTGTCGAGAGGTTTGCTTTCGCATGGACATACCACTTCTTTCCCTTCGCGTGCGATTTGCGCAGGATGTCTTGGATGATTATTTCCATGTCAGGGTGCGGATCCGGCGATGGCGGCGGGTAGCCGTGCGCGAGGGACAGGTCGTACGGCCCGATGAACACGCCATCTATCTTCCCTTAGCTAGTGTCTGCAGTATCTCCACGAATAAGCTCACCGAGACCGTCCACAGAGAGTATTTCATCCAGGTTCTTCACCGCGTCGACCGTTTCGACTTGAGTCATGACTATGACACCGTCGTTCGCGGTGGCAAGGTAGTCCGCAACGGATATGCCCCACGCCGTCTGTGTGAAGGGGCTCCCGAAGCCGCGGATACCCTTGGGTGGGAAACGAGCGGCGGCGACCACAGACTTCGCCTGCGCCGCTGTAGATACCTGACCAGCACTCAATATCCAGCCACCTTCGGACGACCCTCTACCCGACGCACCATTGGCACCAAAACACCCCTCGCGCCCGCATCCAGCACATACTTGACCTGCCACCCCGCACTTCCATCCGCACACGCACCCGTCGCAGGGATGCGCACTATAGTGCTCGGCGCGTCCTTTCCCAACCCGGATATCGCGACGATGCTCTCAGCTGCGCCGGGCTGGAGCGAGGTCATCCCATGCTCGCAATCGATGAGCAGCCAGGAGAGGTGAGGCGACGCGGTCGCGGCGACCCGCGCGTTGAACGCCCCGGGCAGTGTGAGCCATGCGCCGAAGGCGGGCTTGGAGGTGCGGAAGGCTTCGAGGAGGCGGTGAGTGGCCATTGTCGTCGTCGTAGATCGTCAGTTAGTACTCACTGATCAGTATATAGGGCAGGGACGTGGAGAAGGGGAAGCGATGAGCATGGGATGAGCAGCGATACCACCTGACCCTCGAAGGCTCTCCGCGTCCGTTGTGTCCTCCGAATGGTTCATTGGTTTGCCGCAGACGGGCAACGTCGAAGACCGCCCCGGCCGCCCGGCCCGCTTCCCGGACGGAACGGCCCGCGGACCTTGAACACGTCGCGGTCACGTGCATTGCAGTCGTCGTCACATCGCTGTGCTCGTCCTTATGGCGGCAGTGCCGACTGCTTTCTCTCTACTCAGCTTTCACCTTCGCGTCCCAACGTTGCAACAAGTGTGGCGGACCAATTCTCAACGTACGCGTTGAAAGGTTTCTGCTAAGTATACATGTCTTTCTCAGTTGCAGGTTCTTATGACTGGACTATGTCTATCTATGTCTCAGGCTGGCAATGTTGCCGAGTGCATGCATTTGTGCGAGTCATGGTTTACCCGGCCCTGTAATGCTGCCATGGTAAGCCGTGGATCGTTTGCTGGCCCACAATCTGAGTGTTCTTGCTTTTCAGGTAGAACTATGCGTTAGGTGATAGCGTTCCTCGGACCACTGAATGTCGGCATCTCAGAGACTGCGCTGTTCTTGCCGATGACTTGCAGACTGAAGCACCACATGCATATGATAATCACGACTAATCTTGAAGCTTCAAGTTCTGTGCCAGTCTCTGGCGATTTGAGAGTCACGACATGTCAGTCCCTCTACTGAGTGTCATGCGATCATTCGCTACTGACGACATCTCAGTGCAATTTAGCCCAACCGTGCACCACGACATTCGCTATGTTATCGGCCCATGTACTCGCCGATGTGTTTTCCATTACAATCTTGACGAGACACGTTCTCGGGTTGATGCGCGCACTGCAACTCGGACGAGTGCGTGCTAACTGTTATTAAGTCTGACATATCAAGCTTGAAGGGCCGCGCCACGACGCCACGACTCGGGTTGGACAATGTTGAGTCTCGTCTCTTGTGGTAGCCATGTATAGACACAACATGATGCAAAACTTAGCTTGCACATGTCCTCCCTTCCTCGTCGCTACTGCTAACTGTTATAACTCGTGTCCTAGGCCTCGCTCCACTTACCCTGGAGACACTCTCTCCGCGCGGGATTTCATGCTCGACGCTAGTAAAAGCATTGGCCTTGCCATCCTCTTCGCTGCGGCGCTCCTTGCGTTGGTGTTCGCATGGTATACTGCATATATTTGCCTCACGCCGCGTAACTGTGACGTAGACTGGGTGGCCGATCTCGAAAATGCAAGGCTCGGCCCAGCCTGGAGACGCGGATTGGCGTGTCCTGACGCAGCCGTCAAGTGTCGAAGCTAGCCCAACGCTCACCAGCAAGCCCTCGAGGTGCGCGCTTCCGCATGCATAATTCACAGTCTGACGTCAACCCCGCTTCCTCCTTGCCAGACCGACTGGGTCGCCTACCAGCCCACAGTCCCATACGCCCCTTCGGCCCCACTACTCTCCTTTCCGGACTTCCCGCCTCTCACCGTCCAACACTCTCGTTCTCAGGTAAAGCTTCCCTATGTCCCAGCGAGGACATCGCCTGCTCCACTCAAATGCTCTCCCTCATCCGCGCTGTACTTGAAGTCGACTCACGGCCGCAGCCACACTCCGAACTCAGTGTGCTGCAACCCGGCGACGTACTCAGAGCAGGACCTCGTGATGGCGCGCTACCGGCTGGACGCCGCCTTTGCGGACCTGCAGGCGCGCTTTGGATCGAGCTGCGAGTCGCTCACGATGACCAATGGCATCCGTTCCCTCAGCCCGAATGTTATCTCGAACTCGAAGGTCGGACGCTCGCCGGGAAAAATGTCGTGGCTGTTCCTCAACCTGTTGTCACCGGCTTCTTTGATCGCGTCTGAGTCGTTGACCGGTCTTGTACGGTGTAGGTCATATTACACTCGGTGAGTACGCTTTTATAATGTATGAATAGATGCCTGAACAATTTTAGTTTCTCATAATGGTCCATCTATCACCTCTTTTATTACTTCGACCGTTGCACTCTGCCTAATCCCGCGCTCCGCTCTCTTCGCCTTCTCGTTGGATATCGCTCCTGGACGTTTTCACCTTCCTCCGCCTCGGCGTATCGCCCCCGCTTATTCGCGCTACCTTCACTTTGTGTAATCACCTTACCGTTGCGCGCTGCCTGTTCCTCTCCGACAACCTTGCGTGATATCCGGCCCGCGCTCGACATCGTTCGAGGAATTGTGCTCCCTGTCAGTCCTCTCTGTTCGGATTGCTGCTCGATGTGTGCTACACCATGTTTGTTATGAAGACCAGTCGTTCGTCGCATCCTCGCAAATGGACAGTGAACTTTTGGATCGATGGACCAGGATGTGATGCGACTGTGGTTCGTAAGTTGTACTCGTAGCATGCATACGTGATTCGCGGGGTGGGATGACGTTAGCCCGGGATGTCGGTATTTCAGCTGGCGCACTCAGCGGGTCATCTTCCGGTACGTCACATCTCTGGAAAGGTTACAGTCAGTCCAAAGTTCAAACGTCAGCCTGTGTTTTGAACTTACAGCGACAGCCTTATCGCAGTATGAGCTGGAACCGCCGGGCCGGTAGAAGGATAGATGCAGTGAGTCAAGCAGTGACGCTGGCACCGCCATACCTACTAATTAGTCTCCCCTAGGCAGACCCTCTTCAACCTCCTTTGTAAGTTATAAGTGACATGCAGACGCTTTGCACAAAGTGTTTTGTCACGGTCAGAGTGTTTTGTCCTAAGATAGCCGCGTGCGCCACCCGACTCAGAGGTCGGAGAACGTTGGGAGAACGGTGCCACCGTGACCATCAATTCGAGGTTGACATACTGTGAGTTGAACCTCGTATCGAGTACACTGCAACACTTTTGTTTCAACATGCGATGTGTGCGCCTGAGTGTATGCGGTACTTCGCCCGATGTGATGTACCATTGCCGTGTCCTACTTAAGTACATGCCATGTATCCGAGACCAGGTCAAGTTCGACAACAGCTAGCTTGAAGGCATCCCACCACTCCTATTTGCTGGTGCGTCCTCCTTCTCTACTATGCACCAATGGGAAAGTCACTTAGATACAAAGCGATCTCCTGGTCTCTATTGTGGGGAGCGACGTCACTGACCACATCTCACCCAGGAGTACCACATCCCACCCAGAGGTGCCTCCCGACGCCCTTCATACTCCCTAGAAATATGGCTTCGGCCGTTACGACGTCGCAACTACTTCTGTACCTTCCCGCGGCCGCGCTCGCATATGTGATGTGGAAGATAGCCGTCATATTGACAATACCGTACAGATCGAGCATCCGGCACCTACGAGGTCCGGCCGCAACAAGTTGGCTGTCTGGCAACATCCATCGATGGCAGGTAGACGATGCTGCCTGGATTGCCACGTACGGCCCGACATTTAAGTTCAAAGGCTGGTTCTGTGTGCGTAATTCTCGTTATTAGACTCGACTTGCCTTCACCAACTCTCTTTGACGACAGGCAGACGCGCTCTACACACTGGACGCCAAGGCTCTGAACCACGTACTTACCCATTCGAGCAACTATCCGAAGCCCGGTACGGTCGCGTTCATGTTAGGCAAATTTTTGGTCATGGTATGTTGTAGTCGCGAGGATCCGTTTTACAGGTCATTCATGCCCTTCGCAGGTCTGCTCATCGTGGAGGGTAAGCATATAAGCGACTACTTTCATTTTGCAACACTGACTCGTTCAACAAGGGTTGTTTGCTTGTTGCGGTTAATAAATCCTGAGTTCATCATCATCATCATCGTTCAACAAGGGGACCAGCACCGTCAACAGGTAAGCCATGACAGTTGACAGTGTGTTTGCTCGAGCTGACGTATGGCATTGCACCAGAGGCGTATCATGGTGAGAGCGTCCGTATGTGCGTTTCAGGAGCTTCCTTATGTCCCTTTCCACAGAATCCTGCATTCTGGCCTGCACAAATACGGGAACTGGAAAGCATATTTGTGGAGAAAGCGCACGAAGTGAGTTCAATGATCATGATCACAGACTGTGACATCCCAGCTAAATACACCTCGATCCTCTAGCTCAAGAACGTCTGGAAGGCCCGGACACTAATGTCACAAGACGCCGTCACTATAGATGTGGCATCCGACATGAGCAAGACGGCTCTCGATATGATCGGGCTCGCAGGTTCGTACGACGTAGCCCCGAAGCGTCTCGTCGCTGACCGGTCACCGCTCATAGGCTTCAACTACCCGCTCAACTCGCTTGACGAGAGCGGCAAACCCAACGAGCTCAATGCTGCCTTCACTTCGGTGTTCGGAGCCCTCACAGGAGGAGGACGCGGCACCGTTTACACCTTGCTGCTCCATCATATGGTACCGCTGTCGCGATATTTGGTACGTTCGTCAATCCTCCATGTGTTCAGGATCTAACAATCCTTGGTGCCATGTCGTAGCCTGGCGAATTCTCACGGCTTAGGGACGCTTCTCAGGAAGTGACGCGGCGGGTCGGGATGCAACTCATCCGAGAGAAGAAGGCAGATGTCGTGAAGGCAATGTCGAGCGGAAAGGAGTGGAGCGAAGTGCTAGGCAGTCGCGACCTGCTCACCTTGCTGATCAAGGCGAACATGAACAGCAACATCCCAGAGCATCAAAGGTTGTCGGACGAAGACGTACTTGCCCGTGAGTGTAGTGCCATCGGCTGCTAGCAGCTTGAACACTGACTCGCATCGCTCAGAGGTGCCTACGTAGGTCGTTACGATTCGTCATCGCTCAGGGATTTTGATGTGGCGCAGATTCCTGATCGCAGGTCACGAAACGACGAGCTACGGAATGACATGGTGTCTATTTGCGCTCGCCCAGGTCCCAGAGGTGCAGCAGAAGCTCCGCGAGGAACTGCTCGCCGTCGAAACGGAGGCGCCGTCCATGGACGAACTCAACGCGCTGCCGTACCTCGACGCGGTAGTGCGCGAGACGCTCCGCGTGCACCCGCCTGTGCGCCACACAGTGCGGGTGGCGCTCAAGGACGACGTGATCCCGTTCGGCACGCCCTTCTACGACCGCCATGGGCGGGTACAAGACTGCGTTAGGCAGGTGTCATGGGTTAATCTTGCATGGTCGTTGCTTGACAATGGATCGGTGTCCCAGGATGCGGAAGGACATGCAGGTGATCATTCCTATCCAGACTATCAACACGTCCGAAGCTATCTGGGGAGAAGACACGTCCGAATTCAGGTGAGTTCGAGATACATGACATTCCTCATCGCTCTGAGCTGACTACTTGCTTAGGCCCGAGAGATGGGAGATGCGGCCAGATGCGGCCCAGTCTGTCCCGGGGGTGTGGGGCAACCTCATGACGTTCTTGGGCGGACCACACGCGTGCATCGGGTACCGATTCGCACTCATGGAGTGACTTATCAGCGACCGTGTCACATATACATCATCCATTGACAATATTATCCCAGGATGAAGACGCTGCTTTTCGTCCTCGTGCGATCCTTCACCTTCGGACTGGCGCTCCCCGCAGAAGATATCATCAAGAAATCCGCCATCGTACAGCGGCCATACATCCGTAATGCGTTGGAGAAGGGCAGCCAACTCCCGTTGCGTGTTACGTTGTACAAGCCAACCTAGTGGACGCTGCCACCGCAGCTGCCTGTATTGCGGACTATCGGTGCATCCTATTCTTATGGTGAAGTCCTGTCGGGAACATGTGCCTGGACGACTGTTGTATTCTGGGTACTACCATGTAGTACCCACCACAAAAATTCACGGAACGCGCCTACCACTACGAATTCGAACAGGACTTCCATGTCCGTTCCCTTGCTTCATATCCCTGAAGTCCTGAGAGATGAGCGAGATGCGCACATGGCGCTCGACGAGCTCGTCGGTCCAATCCCCGTTTCAAAACACGCGTATGCCTCGGTATCCGTACAAAAATGTTCTTCATTGTTGCGTAGCAAACGAAGGGTAATAGGCAAAGCATGTATACCTTATTGAGGTGCCAGCCGAGTCGCCCAGTGATCGAGACTGACGCAGAGGCTGACCAGGAGGCTGACGCGCAATGTCCTCAGTCACGAACGCAACAACCTGAGGCTGGGGATATAAAAGCTCTGCCGGACGCGCTCTTTCCTCCCATCCTTCTCTGACTGCTTCTCCCACCTTCTCCTCCTATCTCTAGGCCTCTCTCATCTGATGCGAAGGTAAGCTCGGCCCCACTTCAACCTCAAGTCAAGACCGTCGGCCATCAAGACGACCGATGCGGATATCTCGTCGACGCTAGAGCCACTGCCACGGAGGAGCAACTCAGTGACCCACCGAGGGTAAGTCAACGCACGCAATCATAGCGATCGGTACAATGTATGCTTACCATCCATGTTCGCCATCGCCAGCTAAGCACGGTGGGCAGCCACGTACGTCCTCGCACGCCCATACGACAGTCAAAGCCCCTGCGGTGATCGGCAAGCTACCACTGGCCCAGTACGGCCGCAGGGGCGCGGAACCGCACGGCGTGCGGTGACAGAAGTCACCCGCGCGAACCGGGCGTCCGGGCTGTCGGCCTCGTCGCGCTCCAGCGAGCCCATGGAGGACGCACCGCCGGCAATGCACCGGCGGGGAGCGCGACACAGTGCGAGTGTACGGCGTGGTGTGGCGGTCGTGGCAATATGGACGCGTGAGTCGTCTGAAATGATACCTGGGATGGTGGGCGAGGCTGACGTGGTTGGTCGGCAGCGCATAGTGGGCGGCGACCATCGTGGTTTCGGGCGTCCGAGTAGGTACGTATTTCCTCTTTTCCCGGGGTAGGGGTCGGGCCCCGACCGCCAGTGGGGCGAGCTGGGGACCCGATCCTGGCATGGACCTTGTCGTTGGTCCCCGGGCTGAGTACCTTGGTCCTCGTCGCCGCAGCGAAGGGGGCCTGGGGAAACTAGCGCATGCCGAATTTCTTCACACCGCTGAGATAGATTGTTTTCTGCAATTCTGTACAAGAACCAGATACAGTCTGAGGCCTATCAAGCATCCTTGTAGCAGTCGGCGAATGCAATATAAGTTGCCAAATCCGAATCGACTTGAATAGACACTTAAGACAGTATGTGGGAAGAATCGGCCAGCGAGACCTGACCTTGGCCTTGACGTCGGCTGCCCAAGCTCAAGCCATCCGCATGATAGTGAGCATATGCGGGAGTCGACTTGCGCACACAGGAGGAGTGAAGACGAGACCAAGTCACGGTGGCTGGCAAGGAGGAAGTCATGCTTACGTACATTGTATATCGCTCAGACGCCCACTCTGTGTTTTCGTCCAGTCATTCATCGTGATCCAGAGACGACGGCGATGCGCAACACACCAGCACTTGTATGCGGGAGCTCGTCTTTCTCTTTCCTCGCCACAGGGAGCTTGCCTTGATCGATTCACTATCGAGGTAAGCCGTAAGCACTGTTGTTACTATGCTCAGCAGCTCACGAGGTGGTCAGCGTGGTCCTATCCAGCCCTGAGCCCGTCACGTCAACCCCGTTCCGATGTCGTCTGCGTCGCGTTCACAGCAGTCTGAAACCCAGCGGCCTCGCTGCTTGAGCTCCCGGTCAGGAATGCAAGTACGTCGACATCCAGCCTCCCTTCCCACCCTCTTCACCCGAACCACTCTCCGCATACGCACCGCTGGAGCACCCGGTTCTCCTTCAAGCACAAACATCCAGCATCAAGCACTATGGCGCCCATCACCCTCCCCTTCCATCCTGGCCATGCCTACGCGACTCCTCCCGCCACCTCTTCGGCCGCAGCTGCAACCGAAGATGCTGCATTCATACTCACACCGGGAAAGTCAAGCTACCCGCTCATCGATATGGGTATCGCGGCTTGGATCGTCGTCTGCGTGGTCGTCATTTGCATCTGGATCGAGCGTGCGAAGCATGGACGGGCAGGACAGGACTTGGAAGACGATGGTGAGAAGGGTCCGGGACGAGTGCAGCTGTCTTCATTCATGAAGTCCGTCTTGCGCCGCGACGGCAAAGGGAGCTATGGTGAGTTCCGTTTGCCGCTGTATGCGCGCAGTTACGTGACGAATTCCATTTGCTAGATCGTGGACGCCCCACATCTGGTCTGAAGTTGGACGGCGCCATGTTTGCCAAGCCTCAATACGCTCCCCCGCTGACGCCAAAGCCAGCCTACACCCCCCTTCCTTGTCTCCTGCACCTCTCCCCTCCTCCCGCTCCCACAGCAGCCCTCTCTACCCCATTCGCCACGCCCTCCTTCAGTGGCCACGGCAATGCTTGCGCAGCGGGTGCACACTTCTGGGCGCCCTCATGGGCACTGAAGGCGGCGGAGGCCAACGCGAAAGCGCGCGCACAGACGGAGGCTCCCCGCTTGCCGTCGCTCTCTCCGACTATGGGATCGTTCTCTGTTTCGGGCATGTTCTCCCCCGCTAGCGCGTACGCGCAACGCTCGCCTTCGCTCCGCTCTCCTTCGCCGTCCCCCTCGTCTAACAGACGGACAACGCCTTCGACTAGGAAATGGACGACGCCGAACTCGTGCGCAATTGACTTCCCGGAGGTGCCTGCGTCGATTGTCGCGAGGATCCGACGGGAGCCCCTCCCCATGCTCGTCTGAACCCCAAGTTTAGGCGGGCAGCAGTTTGGACTTGATCTGAGACGCAGCCCTGGGCGCCGCCGCTGAGGCGCTCAGCGCGACGGAGCCGGGGTCCAAGTAGGGCGCGAGAGTGTGAACGGCTGGTGAGTGGCTTCGCTTGTGTGCGTGACCAGCGACTGCTGGGGCTGACGCGGACCTTTCGGGCTCTGTAGATTCTACATCGTGCTTGTCGGACGTCGCGGGGATGCGCTGTTCTGCGGTTCTCAAACATCGTACGACGAGCCTGGCCGCTGGTGCTCTCGGTCTCGTTCTCGGTCTCTCTCCCTTGCCTTCGATTCGCCTTGTCTTGTTTGTTCTCTTCGTTATGTTGGTCCTGCGGTCTTACGCGATTCTCTTGGCTTCCTGGACTCAAGTATGCGACTCATCGTGGCGACTCCCCGCTTGGCACCTTGCCGAAGCCCTTGCTCTGCACGCTGTCAACACTGCGCTAGGCTACTCCATGTGCGTCAACATCTCCCGGTCGGCCGTCAAGTAGGTTACGTGATGTGCTTCGTTGTGATGACCTCTATGGGATGTGCTCGAGTGCTGCACTTCATGGCAGCTCTGCTAGCTTCGGGACGTGGAGCATGATAACAAGTACTCCGATCCTGACGAATGAATGTATCGCCTTTCTACTACACAGTGCGTGGCAAGTATCCGCTTTCCGTGCATCAGTACTGCATGCAGCCACATAGATCAAATCTTCGAGAAATCAGCCAATGCTACCTCGACTGGGACCCAATTTCATCCCGACCCTCTGTCTGTGTCTCCTTGAGCAGTCCCTTGCACTGTGGCCGTGCTGGATCCTCTAGGGATGCTCCAGTCCCAGTCCCATAGGCCCTGCCAGTCATGTCGTGTACTGTGAAGGGCAGTCAGTCTCCTTTGGCAATCCCGTCCTAGAGCGCCACGTACGTCAATATACCCCGCCTGTCCGACTTTGGCATCTTCCTTCTGACGACGTCTTCCCACCGATCCTGCCACTCCTTGCGCGTTGAATGCGTTTGCGATTCGTGTTCGTTAGGGGCGGTTATATGGTCGACGATGCACAGACAGATTCCGCACGGTACAACAGCAGAAAAGCGCGTCTCCTGCAGAATATTGTCTAGCCGTGTCAGCACGTCACCCTCCTCCAGTCCCGTCAAGACTCCGTCCCCTTCTTCATCGCGGGCATCTCGAGGCCAGAATGCAACGCATAATCCTCTCAAACGCGTCGAAGTAACGCGCGCCAGCATAGATGAGACGCAAGTTGCGCCGTGATGGTCAGGCCACAAGTCCATGCGCAATAGCTGTAGGTTTATGTGGCGTGATAAGTTGTAGTGCTGCCCTACATGCGCTCACCAGTTAATCAGGGGCTTTCGGGTTCATCAGTGTGACTTGCCTATCACGGCATCGACGAGGTCCTTGTTCAGGGAAGGCGCGACATTGATAAAGACCTGGATCCATTGCAAGGACGCGGCGCTTGTGTCCAGCAGAGTCTGACTTCTGCTGGCGCCCGAGGATTGGCGTGACTCGTCGTCAACCGCGATAGTAAGATCACGGACTCGACAAGCCTCGCCGATCCGCACGAACATGTCTTCGACTGCTGGTGCGACCCATCGCACGCTAAGGCTCTCTAATCTAGAGCAGTTCAGGGGGAAAGTGGCTGGGGAGACCGGCTTGTCCTGCAAGCAGTCGACCTTTTTGCACCATAGACGTCTTAGCCCCGGCAACACGGACACCAGATGGGCGAGCTGCGCGACGCTCGACAAGGTGACGTTGTCGATGTACAGAGTGTGGACGGAGGGGTATGCGGCCAGGCATCGTATGCCTTTGATGGGCACGGAACCGACGGTCCATAGAGCGTATTTGATGGCGAAGATCGACGCGTTCGGAAGCTTCCCCGCGAACATGGCTGCAAATGTCCCTAGGTGCTGAACCGGCCGGCGTTCAGCAAGTGAGGCACCAGATATCGCGACGTGTCGGACGCCCTTGCGGAAGTGTGGCCTTTCCTGGAGCGTTTTGTAGAGCGCCACGAGCTGCTTCCGGCCGCGGAGTTGGATATCTTGGAAGAGATGGTACAGGGTGAGATAGTACCAGTCTCGGCATACGAGTGCGCAAGATCTCAAGGTAGACCAATTTGGGTCTCGTTTGATGTTCACGTAGTCTGGACCCAACGTCATAGCTATGAAGTCTATGACCCTCTCCCAGACCTCCACGGGGAACCGTGAATTCGAGGCGGATAGGTCTCCATTGGTGTCGGTTCCGCTGAAGATCTCACTTCCATGAGCCCTGCCTCCCGTGATCCAATGTCCGCACTCACCTCGCTTCAACAGCTTCCATCGTGCGGGTATGCCAGGTACCACGAAACAGCAGCGTGGGCGACTGATGTCAGTGGACGACTCGGAGCCCGAGTCGCGATTTCGCGCAAGAGTGCGTCGGATCCCGTTTGCTAGCTCTCCAATAGTCTCCCGTAGGCAGACCCTAAACACGACCTTATTGAGTGGGGGAGGGCGGTCGTATAGACTACCGTATAGCCTTGGTATAGCCCTCGAATCGATCGACTGGTATGTGCGGGCTTAGATCGCTATTAGGAAACCTCAGAGAGATCGGACCTGAATGGAAGAAGCAAGCCGGACTCACGCCTGGTACTACGTTGTCTGCGTATAGTGAAGTGGTTTTTGTTGCAGTGCCAGCAGTGCCAGTAGCTGCAATCGACTCGGGTTTGTCGTCAGATTCGGCGCAGCTCAACCTGCAGTGATCAGGCAGGCTGAGTGAATCTTGGGATTATCGACTAAAGAATGAAAGGACTGCGCATGTACTTGCTTTGAAGGGTATTCTCTTGGTTTCTTGAGCCAGATTTCAAGGGGCTAGCCCTCGACTAATAACCAGGGTCGACAGACTAGTTGAGGGTGTAGACGCGAGTCCACGATAACACACCTATCATGCAGCGCAGAATAGGTGACGAATCGGATGCTGTATAGCGCGCCCGTCCACACATGATTGCAAGCGATGGAAGCATAGTAATGACAGAAGCGGTACACACTGTAGTATAGCGCCGAGCGGATGCACCGAGCGTTGCCAGCCAGCTGGTACCTGTGTACATGAACGTTTTCAATTCCATTGGGGCTACTTGCCGAAGACGGTGAATGCAAGGCGAAACACGTGCCAACAGTACCGAGGCAGTACTAGTGCGTGCCTATGGAGAGCTTTGGACGAATGCTGGTCCCCGTTCATACACCGACCGTGACTGAAGTCACAGTGTTCCGAAAAGTGCGACTCGAGACAATGAACCTCAAGTCTGAAAACTGCTAGTAAGTACAAGATGGATTGATGACTCTACACTGACCAATATAATCGTGATGATGGGCACACAAAGTAGTGTCCATGTGACAGCCCAAGCCGAGTGATGAAAGAGATGCAGATGCTACAAGACGAGAGAAGGTTCACTTGAACGATACATGATCTGCCAGCCAGATGTGATATGTTGCGAACAAAGGTACTAGCCGAGTCCATGCTGCTAAGAGACATAAGTCGTACAAATCAAGGCTCGAAATTCGAGAAACGAGGTGATACTATCCGAGTGAGTGCTGCCGTACTAGTACAACAATCGGCGAGAGAGATGATGAGGAGAAAAAAAAAGCGGATCAAGACTGAAGTATGCCCCCAACAGTCCTGACCCGCGATGAACGGCATGCCACGAACTCGTAGGGCATTACGAATTCACGACATGTCGAACATCAAGAAATGGGTGATGATACAGTACGAAGGTAACACGGAATAGATAGACGTATAATGATAGGGTGTGTCGAGTCGATGGATCTCCGCGGTGAGTGGAGAACGTATTGTGCGTCTACTGCACGGAATCTACAGATGCACGCTACGAGGCCGTCAGCAACGGAGACTAACAACCACAAGGCCAGCACAGCTCACCTCCAACCGTCCACCAGCGGCCCACATGGATCTTAGGTTCTGCTGCAGGATCTTCCGTCCCTCCTGTGCGTGCCGAAGGGCAGTGTCCTCACCCATCTCGTCGCGAAGCGCGCGCAGCTCGGCGTGGCGGTGGACCCGGCGCTTCCAGAGGCCAAACAGCTCAAGGCCAGGCTGTTGGCGGCGCAAGAGGCGCTTTGCGTATCTCATCGTGGTCGCAGGCACGTCCTGCCAGAGCATCTTCAGAATCAACGACGCGAAGCGAAAACAGAAGGATGCTCACCTCCTCTATGATAGACGTCATCGTAAGAGGTCCACTACCCGAAGGGGCTGCCTGGCGGGCCTCCATGAACGTCATCGCGCTGAACGTGCGCGAACGAGTGGCTGAGCGAGGGATAGCGACAGGTATAGGGACTGGACCGTCCCGGAAGACGACGAGCAAAGGCCGAAGAGCTAGACGTGGAGCCGGGGTGTAGTTCGCGAGGTCGTATGCAATGAGCGGACGAGGACCGCTGATGAGCGCGTGGTCCTGGCTAGCGGCCCTGCGAAGCTGACGAACGGTCTGCCGAGTGAGATCGGCCATGCGCTGGACGTGATCGTCTGCCGGCATTCCCTTGAGCGAGGCCATAAAAAGCTAGAGGGCTCGGGTTAGTTGAGTGTCATTAATGAAAGAAGGACCAACTTACCATCGACGAATATAGGCTACGCATGACGAATCCAAAGATGGCAGGCAACCCGAGGTGACCCACGAGTGAGGTCCGCCACGCCGTCCTAACAGGTTCGAGAGTAGCGACGGCGACATACGCGATGACCACGGTGTAGAACAGGACAAGCGCGTGAGCTGCCCGACGAGAACCGGCGTGGTGACGATCCTGGAAGCCTTCGACGACCGTACGCGCGATCTTGACGGCGTACGGTGTCTCAGATGTGGAAGCAGAGCTGCTGTCTTCGATCTCGGGTGGTGATGTGTTTCTCCGCGGTCGCTCGGCCCAGAGACAGGTCCGCAAGGTTTGCGGGACCCAAACGATGATGTCTCCGGGAGGCCGCACGATCAAATCCGTTGTCCAATCCGCGAGATCGAAGATAGGTGGTACGATGATGTCCGTCGTTGTGCTCCACTTGCGCACGTCTTCCTGGAAGCCGGTCAACAGGGCCGCATACGGGTCTCCTGGGTCGTCGACGAAGGCGTCAGGGAGGAGAGGAACCGGGTCGGCGTCTGCAGTGGTGACTGGGATGAACCGCCGACTGCACCGAAGGACCATGATCAGCACCTGAATTTGGGACAACGAACGGGGGCGACGCACCTGGTGTCATACATGAACCAGGCCGCATCGGAGGCCATGTCACCTATGCCCCCGAAGACGCCCGTAAACGCCTCTCCAACCCCTCCATGTATGCTGTCGGAGACCATGTTGCCCATGCCTGCGAACGCATCTCCGACGATGCCTGTGAATCTGTCTCCGGCCCCACTGTGCATATCGTCAGTGACAGGCTAGTCATCGTCGTCGACAACGATCACGTACCTGAGCGAGCCGGATACATGGTCGAAGAAGGACTCGACCCTGTCGACCATGAGCGGGCAGGCAGTGCCGAGGCCAGATATCGGTTGTGCAGCGAGGCCCCCACCTCCGCCAAGTCGACAGTAGATGTACGACTTGGGGTTGAGGGCCAGTGCACCGGCGGTGACGAGGATCGCGCCGAGGTTGATGAACATGTTGATGTTGCTATGAGTGAGAATGCGAGTAGCTCGAGGGGCGAGGACGCTGAGAGGGACGCCGGGGCTGGATGGGGAGACATAGCGGTGCGGCCAGGTGTATTTATATGTTTTCGGGGAGGGTGTTGGGCGTTGTTTGTCGCATTAAACGGACTGTGTGCGTGACCGCGTCAGGACGCGTCCCGACGGGCGACGCGACCGACGCTTTCCTAATTCGGATGGCAGGGTCGGTTCGTTTTTTGTCAGGACGCTCCTTGTCCCCATACCACACCCTTCCTGCACGGCCGTGCCTCTCTCGCCGCTCATCTGCCTCGCCGCGAAAGTCCCGTCGTCGTGCAACGATCTCTCGACCGCAGGAGAAGTATACGAGGGATGCTACACGCAAAAAGGGTCGCCAACTCACCTACAGAGCGCATATATGCACCGATCTGTCGGGAAACACTCATGCCACCTCGCTGGCTGCCTTAGAGAGGCATCCATGGGCCGTCGAAGCTAAGTTACTAGGGCATCCCCGGCTGGAAAGGCGTTTCTACACTGTTTAGTAGTAAGAAAACCACACCCAACGCGATCATGATGCACACGCTCACCAGTATCGAACGCTCGATACCTCGGACTCGGGTTCGGCACTACTGCAAGTGGGACAGTGGAGTCGAGTGTGCCAGACTGCCAGTGGTGCCTCAGGCTCTGTGTCCAATGGTAGTCCTTCCCTATACTTCGGGGGCTATCATCCATGCTTCAGCTTTTAGTAGGGGCATGAACGTACACAAGACGTTGGATCCGAGAGAGAGGTGAGTGTTCCAGTCCTTCAACCGAAGCTTGACAAGCGCCAACGATGAGTAGAGATGTGATCTCAAGCGCCTCGCGGATGCAAAACGACCTCCGCCTTATCTCCGAGTAACCGACCACGTTGCCCTGGCTCCTCCTCCCTCCTCTTCGTCCTTGTTTGCCCTGGCCCAGGTTTCGCCCAAGTCCATCTGAATCGCAGCCCTTGTCATACCTCATCTCATGTGCATCCTACCGTCGTCGTCACGAGGCCTGCGCTGTGTTTGGTCGACAGTGGAGAAGACTCCACCCTGTTGCGTCTGTGTTTCTGTCCGCCCGACACCGTACTTCTCCGTGATGCGTAAGTCGGCCAAACCACAGAGCCTTTGAGTGTGTATGGCTTACTTACTGACCCTACTTATTACGCAGTGGCGCTGAGGTAGACGTAACTCTTGAAGTCAAAACGGTTTTCTATCCCACTTCCTGTCTGGCGCCTGGACCACGAGTTGTAGCCCGTCATAGCGACTGGCCGGACTCAAAGCGAAAGCGAAAGTTCGTCTAACGATTACCGTTTATGTGGGCGATTTACAGTCTGTAAAGCGGGAAGGGGGTGGAAGGTCAGGCATCATGGATCCGGGCCGTCGAGACGGTTAGCATCAGCTTTCCGGTAGCAACCGTGAATCGGCGTACCGCGCTTTTCTCCCATTCTAGGACTTAGGGCTGCGCGCTTCACGAACGTAGTGCCGAATAGCAAGATAGATGCTCAGAAGATCAGGATGTACGCGCGCGACAGGCAGTCAGGGCAGTTCTCAAATGTGCTTAGATGGGCAAGGCCGTCTGGTACCTGATTCTCATATCATGGCGAGGCCATCTGACGGCACGAATCAGTACAAATATTCCTTGTAACTGTATTGTGGTGAGCACCGCTTTTTCGTGTTGCCCCTGACCGACAGTGACATCGATGGGTTTGTCAGGGAAGCTGGCCTGCTGTGCCATTCCTGACGTGCTCGACACACATCGGTGCGGGACTGTTCCGTGACGCCTGCAGTACAAGAGCAGAACGACCCTGTGGCAGATCTGTCGACGCACAAAAGACAGACACGTACGTTGTCATGGAACAACACCATCGATCGTGAAGCACGTCATGCGGAATGCTTAGCACATTGAAGTCGACCCAGTATGCAGATGACCGTGTTCATATCGCATCCTGAAACGCTCCATGAGAAATTGACCGGACTCTCTACTAGGTGTCCTGTCAGACAATTGAGAATTCAATCGCGTTGTGGCCCATCTGCGACGGGGCGGAACATGATGAATTGCTCTCTCCAGGCCTTATCTGTGAGTTCTTCGTTCCTCACATTGATTTCAAACCCATTTACTTCAAGCAAGCGCCACTGAACGGAGCATTGGTGGCGTAACTCCGTTTCGTGGCGTGTCTTCTGTGCCAATTATTACATTCCTTATTGGATGACCTTCCACCGGTTTTGCGAATAAGCGGAGGTATCATGGTTGCACATCAACCGTCAACTACTTGGAAACGGCGCGTAGGTGATATACATGCGACACTAAAAATACAAAGACTTCCATGCAGGGACGGCTGCTGTACGCCTTGGTGGTCGGATCTCACGCGAGCATCCTACAAGCTCCAATGTACGTATGATCTGATCGTCAGGCACTCAGGTCTCCACTGGCACAGTTGTGACACCCCCAGCCCACTGGATACTAAATGTCCCGATCTCGAAAACAGCGCCGATACCCACGTGGGGAAAACCGGCGATGAGCTAGAACGATACATAGCGTGAATGGCTTCGGAGCGACGGAATATATCCGGGTCGGGCTGGTGAGAATATATATCTTCTTCTGCTACGCCAGAATGGTAGCTGATTTATTCGCTAATCAGTATAATTGAATATAAAACGAACTCGAAATGAAAGGGCGCAGCTCAGGCCGTCCACATTCAGTATCATGAGCTGGCCGAACCAGGCACCCACTACGGCGCATAATTTCCGCGCGCAATTCCCGGTGCCACAGATAACCACCGCCCATGAAACACTCTTAGTACCTCTTGGAGTCCATTCATAATTTTGGACACAAAAGCGTGTCCAAATGGGGATGACTGAGGCTATGGACTTCCTGTGCTCCTTCGTTTTGACTTCGCAGCAGGAGAACGTGGTACGCACGTGTCCGAAGCCGCCGATCGTATAATCCGAATCTAGTTGGCAGAACGCAATCACCTCCCGTACGTCTCCTTCCCATGGGTTTGTGGCTGAATGAAGAGCACTGTTAGGACTTTGTAGGTCATTCCAAGGTCCTTCAGCTGAACATCGAGATACACCGTGACCTCAAGCGTCCAAAGGGAATTACAGAGAAGCAGTGCCTTGGTGGGATTCTTCGCTGAGACCTGTGTTGTGGCTGTGGAGGCACGTAATATGTGGGTGGAATACATCGTTGGAAGGTCTGTCTAGCCTCCCGACTGCTGACTGCTGCTAATCAAACCCTGGTGACCCTAAGATTCTCATTGAGCTCGCCGTGACTCCGGCGCGCTGTCGTATTAGACGCACACTGACATGCCGCCCTTCAGTAGACAACGGTCACCATATGCGGGAACGAGCCTGAGTACCACTGGTTGGCATGCTTCAATGCATCCCTGGGCGTCATGAGGTTCCTAGTAGGATTCTCGACATCGTTTTGCTGCTCTTTCAACTGATGATCGCCAAGATATGAACTGATACGACCCGAAACAACTTCCATTTTGTGGGTATCCGCGTCGGGAAACAGCGATGCCTCTTTGCGGAACACGGGAAGGCGATGCAGAGTCCACCATTGTTGTGGGCCCGCGTCTTCTTGATGATGCATGCTGTAGGGCGGTGAGCGACATGCGCCTCTAAGCACGGTGGCATCAACTCGCCCGGTGGACTTGAGCTTACCTTCAGCTGACCTTGCGATATCGAGAACTGCCGAGTTGCTTGGGTATGCGAATCCTCATAAACCTCGACATCCACCAGGTTTTCCACCTGTCTCCCCCTTGCCTCCCACAGGGCACATCACTAGGACCACTCTCAAGGAAGGCAAAGCTTCAAACCCTACTCGTTCCGTATCTGCCATTCGCAAATGAGTTCCCAGCGGGATTACCACCAGCATCCGGATGCGAATCGTGCCGGCATGGCTCACCCACCGACCGCTGGACGATGGTCTACACCACCGTCGACGCTGTACGTCATCAAACACCCGACACTTCCCGTCTTTCAGCACTGACAACTGCTCTTCTCCAGCAATTCAGTGCCTACGTGCACGCGAGGCGCCAACGATTATACCCGTCACTTACCACCGTAAGTCCATGTGTCATTGCGTGTGCGTCGAGAACTCATGAACCTACTGTTAGTGCTCTCGCACTATCAACGGGCGGCGAGGCTGCCTCGTATTCTCGTCCTTTTACTCAGTGAGTGACTCTCGTCGGATCTTACTGCCCCTCCAGTTCATAACTCACGGATGGATCTAGAGGCAGTGAAGCGACGCAAAATTCGTACGGATTCCCAGCTGCGTATGGCAATACGTATGACTCTCGGTGAGTCGCGATACTGGATGAAGTGGACATGCGCCTGACCACCGCCGCTGACGAAGGTATCCGCGTGCCGAGGCTGCGCACACGTTGTATTCGACTGCTGCATCGCATATTCCGGGGGCAATTGCGTACGTCACAGTGGATACTCTGGTACTCGCAGCACTGCCTAACGACTGTCTTCCAGGCGAGCGCCTCCGTCGTACTGGTCAGACGCCGGGGCCACAAACATCAATCATAACACTGCCTACACACCGACCACATATGCCGATCAATACCGGGACATGTCCCTGCCCTTTCAAAGCCCGCATTATGCAACCTCGCCCGGGTCCCCTGCGTCCTCATCGTCTTCGAGCTATCATTCCATTTCTCCGTACCAACTTACCGGTATGCCCTCGGTCCCGGAGTCCATCCCCTTCCCACCAGCGGATCCCGTTCCTCGCATCCCATGTCGTTGGATTGGCTGTAACGTTCTCCTGGATGACATTTCCACTGCTGGGATCAAGCGCCACCTCCGCGATTGGCACGGCGATCTATCCGGGACGTCTCACAAGGACCGCAGGACATGCATGTGGGACGACGGTCCTGCGAATGTATGTGGCCGCGAGCTCGACGCCGCGAGCTTTGCCAAGCATATCGCGTCGGTGCACCTGAAGAGCACCGCACAGGAGTGCGAATACTGCCACAACGTGATCGGTCGGGCAGACTCGCTTGCCCGGCACAAACGGGACCATTGCCCTCAGCGTCCTAACAAGTAAAGTTGAGGTTGTTTCGTTCTCCCCGGCTTGGAGGGTGGTGGGCCAGGTCCATCGGTCTTCCTCGATGTTCTTGCACTGCCGTGTGCATTGGCATCCCGCCTTCCATGCCATCTTCGTGGCGCAGGCGCTACCAACAGTATACCCCCTAAATGTCCAAAAAGTATCACCGCCTCTCTTCCATTCGAATTGGTTATGACTCACCTAGGCCCTCTGTATCGCTACTTTCCGCTAAATGTATCATTGTATGCCTTATTCGCAGTCTTGGTACTATCGGTTAATTTTCTCTGAGGTATTGTTAGGTAGAAGTCCTGCTGTCTCGAGCGCCCTCTGTCTCCCATACTGTATCAGCTGCATCAATGCTCCTCTTGATATGTACTAGTACATGGACAGTGTCTCTGGTAGCACGCTAAGCCTGCGTAATTGATCATACGTTCATTGACTGGTGTCATACGCTTGCACCGCAAACATACTCTGCGAGCCTGAGTGGCCATACAACGGTAGGCACATTCTTTCCCCACACTTCATCGCCCTCGACTACAGTCAACTATGGTAGGCCGGGACGCAGACTAACAGATGCTCACTGGCCGGTCATATCCTAGGCTGGATTTGTCTGGTATCTGTTATAATATCGTTCAGATCCGGAGGACGGGGCCCGGGAGAGAAGAGACCGAATGAGCACCGAGCAGCTTTCCCGGCAGACTAGTATTAGCCAATGCACAGATGGCCGATGTCAGCAATAAAAGACGCAGCCCCATGCATGAAGGCGTCCTTGAATGTTCATTGTTGCCCTGCCTGTATACAGGCAATCAATGACTGCGCTGCCTCCCAGGTAGTGGACATGGGTGCTTGCTCGGCCGAGTCGATTCCAATGATCGAATCCGAAGAAGCTTGCTCAATTTTTTCCGCGACAAAGTTGCGTTTCAAGAGGCAGTAGAGTGAAAGAAGGTGAAGCTCGAAAGCTGAGGTCCTGGGGAATGCTCACTGGAGGAGCGGGAGGAAGGTATTAGCCGACGGCAAGGTGGTCTCGGCGATAAGGCGGACGAAGGTCGGATTTTGCGTCCGCGAAGCGCCTGAGATCGCATCTTTACCGTACATCCGAGGCGTGCAGGTCTGCTTCCACGATGTACTTGAACACTCACTGCCTCCCCGTAGGACACCGACCCAGTACCTAACCCGAAGAATGAGCGAATTCCTGAGGCTGTTATCAGGATATGCCATGTTACAGAGCTCACAGTGCTCGGGCAGGATGACGTACGAGACAGTGCACAGGGCCCGCGACGCCGTTTTGGGAGTCCAAGTCCAGATGTTATGCGGCTCAAGTCCAGAAGGGCCGGGCGGAGAGTGTTGGTGAGTACCCAGAAGTTCATAGCTCCGTATCTTTGTGCTATACCATCTACTCGCAGATACGCGAGCAGGCACGCATATGACGAGTCTTGGTGCCGATGTGGTGAGGAATACGCCGTGGGGGTCATGCGCTTGACCATATGCGTTCTTCAAGCCAGGTTGGCGACTTCGAATAAGTGGGGCATATAGAAAATACACCTCCCATATGCCTCCTGCTGTCGGAAGGCCGTTGCACGACGATGGGATTCTCGGGGCCAGGCAGACGAGCGGGGGGAGAGGCACGACCGTGCAGGGTGGGTGCGGTAGGGAGACAAGGAGCGTCCTGACAAAAAACGAACTGACCCTGCCATCCGAATTAGGAAAGCGTCGGTCGCGTCGCGCGTCGCGACGCGTCCCGAGGCGGTCACGCACACAGTCCGTTTAATGCGACAAACAACGCCCAACACCCTCCCCGCGAACATATAAATACGGCTGGCCGCACCGCTATGTCTCCCCATTCTTCCCCCAGGCGTCCCTCGCCCTTCGAGCTACTCGCATTCTTACTCATAGCAACATCAACATGTTCATCAACCTCGGCGCGATCCTCGTCACCGCCGGTGCACTGGCCCTCAACCCCAAGTCGTACATCTACTGTCGACTTGGCGGAGGTGGGGGCCTCGCTGCACAACCGATATCTGGCCTCGGCACTGCCTGCCCGCTCATGGTCGACAGGGTCGAGTCCTTCTTCGACCATGTATCCGGCTCGCTCAGGTACGTGATCGTTGTCGACGACGATGACTAGCCTGTCACTGACGATATGCACAGTGGGGCCGGAGACAGATTCACAGGCATCGTCGGAGATGCGTTCGCAGGCATGGGCAACATGGTCTCCGACAGCATACATGGAGGGGTTGGAGAGGCGTTTACGGGCGTCTTCGGGGGCATAGGTGACATGGCCTCCGATGCGGCCTGGTTCATGTATGACACCAGGTGCGTCGCCCCCGTTCGTTGTCCCAAATTCAGGTGCTGATCATGGTCCTTCGGTGCAGTCGGCGGTTCATCCCAGTCACCACAGACACCGACCCGGTTCCTCTCCTCCCTGACGCCTTCGTCGACGACCCAGGAGACCCGTATGCGGCCCTGTTGACCGGCTTCCAGGAAGACGTGCGCAAGTGGAGCACAACGACGGACATCATCGTGCCACCTATCTTCGATCTCGCGGATTGGACAACGGATTTGATCGTGCGGCCTCCCGGAGACATCATCGTTTGGGTCCCGCACACCTTGAGGACCTGTCTCTGGGCTGAGCGACCGCGGAGAAATCCAGCACCATCCGAGATCGAAGATAGCAGCTCTGTTTCCACATCTGGGACACCGTACGCCGTCAACATCGCGCGTTCGGTCGTCGAAGGCTTCCAGGATCGCCATCACGCCGGTTCTCGTCGGACAGCGCACGCGCTTGTCCTGTTCTACACCATGGTCATCGCGTACGTCGCCGTCGCTACTCTCGAGCCTGTTAGGACGGCGTGGCGGACTTCGCTCGTGGGTCACCTCGGGTTGCCTGCCATGTTCGGGTTCGTCATGCGTAGCCTATATTCGTCGATGGTGAGTTGGTTCTCCCCTCTTCACAGCACTTGGCTGACATAGGTCTTCAACAGCTCTTTATGGCTTCACTCAAGGGAATGCCGGCTGACGATCACGTCCAGCGCATGGCCGGCCTCACTCGGAAGACCATTCGGCAGCTTCGCAGGGCCAGCAGCCAGGACCACGCGCTCATCGGCGGTCCTCGTCCGCTCATTGCATACGACCTCGCGAACTACACCCCCGCTCCACGTCTGGCTCTTCGGCCTTTGCTCGTCGTCTTCTGGGACGGTCCAGTCCCCACGCCTGTCGCCATTCCTCGCTCGGCCACCCGTTCGCGCACGTTCAGCGCGATGACGTTCATGGAGGCACGCCGCGCCGCTCCTAAGTCGAGCGGACCTTTAAACATGGTGTCTCTCATTGAAGAGGTCAGTCGCCTTTTCCTTCTGCCGTTGTCGATGCTGACGCTGCTTTTTATTAGGACGTGCCTGCTACGACGATGGGATACGCGAAGCGCCTCCTGCGACGCCAGCAGCCGGGCCTTCAGCTACTCGGCCTCTCGAAGCGCCGCCTCCACCGTCCCGCCGTCAAGCCAGTGCCCACCGAGGCGGACGTCGATCCTATCGAGGCTCCCATTCAGGAGACTGTTCGTGAGCCTTGCAAGGCGGCTACCCAGGATCACGCGTTGATGGGTGGCCCTCGCCCGATGATCGCATACGACCTCGCGAACTTCACCCCGATGCCGCGCTTGGCTCTTCCTCCTCTTCTGCTCATCCTGCCGGACGGGCCCCTCGCTCTAGTTCGCTCGGCCACTCGCCCTCGTACGTTCAGTGCGATGACGGGGATGGAGGCCCGCCCCGGTCCGTCGAGTGGACCTCTCACGATGGCGTCTATCATTGAGGAGGTGAGCATCCTTCTGTTTTCGCTCCACGTTTTCATACTGAATCTGCTCTTCCAGGACGTTCCTGAGACCACGATGAGATACGCGAAGCGCCTCTTGCGCCGCCAACAGCCTGGCCTACAGATGTTCGGTCTCTGGAAGCGCCGGGTCCACCGCCACGCCGAGCTGCGCGCGCTTCGCGACAAGATGGGTGAAGACGCTGCCCTTCGACACGCACAGGAGGGACGGAAGATCCTGCAGCAGAACCTTCGTGCAATGTGGGCTGAGGGCGGACGGTTGGAGGTGAGCTGTCTTGGCTCTTTTGATGTTTCTCGTTGCTGACGGCCTCGCAGCGGCCATCTGCAGAGCCCGAGAACTAGACGCACGCCGCGTTCTCCCTCCACCAACGGCGAATCATCTACGCCACACACCCTATCATTATTCGTCTATCTATTCGTATCGGTCTTAAGTTCTTTTTGTATCACCACTTCTTTCTTGATGTCCGACATGTCGCGAACCCGTAATGCCCTGCGGGTTCGTGGCATGCCGTTCATCGCGCGGGTCAGGACTGTTGGGGGCATCCTTCAGGCCTGGCTCGCATTTCCCTTTTCCTCCTTTTCTATCTTTTCCTCTCTCGCAAAGTAATGTACTGCAACCGAACACTGGCATGGACTCAGAAAGGACCCTTGGATTTTGATTTGTATGACATGGTTCGTCTTGTGTCATGGTCTCGGCTCGTGTACCCTTTTCTCTTATTCACGGCCTTCTTCATCTCCTCTGGTATCGTTCGTCTTGTAACCTTGTATCATCGGTCCAGAGAACGTGGTTTCGACAGCGGGATATTACCCATGTATCAAAGTCAATCACAGTGATGTATCGCTCCCCCTTATATCATCCTCCGATCCGAGCACAAATCTGACTCTGTTCACATCTTTCGAATTGCGCACAGCATTTCACTGCATGCACTTACAGTACATGACCAGGACCGAACACCGGTCCGCCAATAAAATGTGAGGATCCCTTACTGCCCACGATGGTTCAATAGAGCGCCAACAGTGCTATTGACGCACGCAAGGCTCCTTATATGCGCACAAGATCATACAAGACGATTGATCCTATTCAAAAGCATGACGCTAAACACGCAGGACATCATTCGCCCACAGCTATACAGTGCTACTATGAACTGCAGCACTCGAGCGCACTCCATAGAGGTCACCAGAACGAAGCGCATCACGTTCGGCAAGCCCAGATATTTTCCGCGCGTAGGGTAGATTCAGCATGTTGAGGACCGCTATAGTACGGGACCGCTTGCCAATGCGCGGAGTGAAGTTTTCACTGTGTGTTGACGACAGAGCGGGAGATGTTGACGCAGATAGAGCAGCCTGTAGAAGCAGTGTCGACAGCGTGCAGAACAAGGGCTCCGGCAAGGTGCGGAGCGGAGACTTGCATGCTTGAGTCTAGGAGGCCAAGAGAATCGCCAAACACCGCAGAACCAACACGACGAAGAGAGCAACCAAGACAAGGGGAGTCGAGAGCAAGGGGGAGAACAGAAACGATAGCGAGAGCGAGGGTGAGAGCACCAGCAGCCAGTCCCACCGTACGGTGTTTGAGAACCGCAAAACAGCGCATCCCGGCGACGCCCGACAAGCACTACGCAAAACAGATAGAGCCCTAAAGATCCGCGTCAGCCTCACCAATCGCCAGTCGCGCACACAAGCACGCCCACCCACCAGCCGCTCAAACCCTCGCGCCCTACTTGAACCCCCGCACAGCCCTTATTGCGCTGGGAGCTCCCGCAGCAGGGCCGCATTTAGGGAGTCCAAACTGTTATCCGACTGTGCTCAAAGTTCAGACGTTCATGGGGAAGGGCTCTCGTCGGATCCGCGCAGCGATCGACGCCGGCACCTCGGGGAAGTCGATCGCGTGTGAGGTCGACGGCGTCGTCCACATCTTAGTCGAAGGCGTTGTCCGTCCGTTAGTCGAGAGTGACCGCGAAGAAGAACAGAGCGAAGGCGAGTACACGCTGGAGAGGGAGAACATCCCTGAAGGAGAGAACGACCCCGCAGTCGGAGAGTGCAACGCCAGGCGGCGAGCTTTCGTCTGTGCGTTGGCCTCCGCCGCCTTCAGTGCCCATGAGGGCGCCCAGAAGTGTGCACCAGCTGCGCATGCGTTGCCGTGGCCGCTGAAGGAGGGCGTGGCGACCGGGGTGGAGAGGGCTGCTGTGGGCGTGGGAGAAGGGGAGAAGCGCACGAGACGAGGAAGAGAGTTGTACGCTGGCTTTGGCCTCAGCGGGAGAGCGTATTGGGGCTTGGCAAACATGGCGCTGTCCGACTTCAGACTGGATGTGGGACGTCCACGATCTAGCAGACGGGGTTTGTCACGTAACTTCGCGTATACCGAAATGGGACTCACCATCGTCCCCTTTGCCACTGCGGCGCAAGGCGAGCTTCAGGGATGAAGATAGCTGCACCCGTCCCAAAGCCTTCTCACCATCGTCTTCCCAGTTTTGTCCTGCCCGTCCACGCTTCGCACGCTCGATCCAGATGCAGACGACGACGACGCAGACGACGACCCAAGCCGCGACACCCATACCGACGAGCGAGTAGCTTGACTTTCCCGGCGTGAGAATGAATGCGGCGTCTTCGGTTGCAGCTGTGGCAGAAGAGGTGGCGAAAGGAGCGGCGTATGCATGGCCAGGATGGAAGGGGAGGGTGATGGGCGCCATAGTGCTTGAAGGAGAACCGGGTGCTTCAGCGGTGCGAGGGCGCTATGCGGGTGGTGATTGTAGTGAAGGGAGAGAAGGAAGTGAGGCTGGATGTCGACGTACTTGCATTCCTGACCGAGAGCCCAAGTAAGGAGGGAAGCGGGTTTCAGACTGCTGTGAACGCGATGCAGACAATATCGGAATGGCCAGGGATGACGTGACGTGGTCATGGCTGGATAGGACCGCCTTGATCACCTCTTGAGCTGCTGAACACAGTAGTAAAAGTGCTGACAGCGTACCTCGACAGTGGAGGGCGATACTACCCAAGACGTATGAAGACGTATAAAGTTGAAGGCAGAGGTCGCCCATCCATGGCGGCGATGAGGCGTAATCCACGCGTGTTGGATTCCTCTTCGTCTTCGGGGGAGGAGGATCAAGGCAAGCTTCGTGTCCCAAGGAGAGGGAACATGAAGAGTTCTCGCATGATAATTCTGGTGTCTTGCGCGTCGCCGCCGTCTCTTGATCACGACCGTGACGCGTGATGAACGACTGGACGACAGAGGCGGCGGGCGTCTGAGCGATGTAGAATGTACGTAAGCACCACCGAAACGGGCTTGCCAGCCACCAGTGCCATGACTAGGCCAGCTTCAACTTGAAGGTGGTCTCGTCTTCACTCCTCCTGGGACCTGTACAAGTCGACTCCTGCATATAATCGATATCATGCGGATAGCCTGATGATGTGCAGCTGGCGTCAAGGTCAAGGTCGAGTCTAGCTCACCAACTCTTCCTAACTGCTGTCTTTCGCGTCGAGTGCGATTGACTTGGTAACTGAGATTGCATGCGTCGACTGCTACAAGGATGCTCGATAGGCCTCACGCTGTATCTGATATTGTACAGAATTGCAACAAACGATCTATCTCAGCGATGTGAAGAAATTCGGCATGCGCTAGTTTCCCCCAGCTCCCTTCGCTGCGGCGAGGAGGACCAAGGTACTCAGCCCGGGGACCAACGACAAGGTCCATGCCAGGATCGGGTCTCCAACTCGCCCCACTGGCGACCGAGGGCCCGACCCCTACCCCGGGAAAAGAGGGAAATACGTACCTACTCGGACGCCCGAAACCACGATGGTCGCCGCCCACTACGCGCTGCCGACCCAACCATGTCAGCCTCGCTCACTACCCAAGGCATCATTGCAGACGACTCACGCGTCCATATTGCCACGACCGCCACACCACGCCGTACACTCGCACTGTGTCGCGCTCCCCGCCAGTGCATTGCCGGCGGTGCGTCCTCCCTGGGCTCGCTGGAGCGCGACGAGGCCGACAGCCCGGACGCCCGGTTCGCGCGAGTGACTTCTGTCACCGCACGCCGTGCAGCTCCGCGCCCCTGCGGCCGTACTGGGCCAGTGGTAGCTTGCCGATCACCGCAGGGGCTTTGACTGTCGTAGGGCATGCGAGGACGTGCGTGGCTGCCCACCGTGCTTAGCTGGCGATGGCGAACATGGATGGTAAGCATACATTGTACCGATCGCTATGATTGCGTGCGTTGACTTACCCTCGGTGGGTCACTGAGTTGCTCCTCCGTGGCGGTGGCTCTAGCGTCGGCGAGATATCCGCATCGGTCATCTTGATAGCCGATGGTCTTGACTCTGGTCCAGGGGTCTTGAGGTTGAAGTGGGGCCGAGCTTACCTTCGCATCAGATGAGAGAGACCTAGAGATAATCATAGGAGGAGATGGGAGAAGCAGACAAAGAAGGATGGGAGGAAAGAACGCGTCAGGCAGAGTTTTTATATCCCCAGCCTCAGGCTGTTGCGTTCGTGACTGAGGACATTACGCGTCAGCCTCCCGGTCAGCCTCTGCGGCGGTCTCGACCACTGAGTGACTCGCAGGCTGGCACCTCCCCCGCCAACGACCTTCGTTTGCCACGTAACGAGACGGGGGCCATCGTAACGATGGACGTGAACATTTCCGCGAGGATATCGAGGCAAACTATTGGGCCTGCTGTGCAGACACTACCGTGACGGGATTGCCTCCGCGACGCGGTCACGTGTTCCATAACATATCCACACCCGACACGCTCGACCTACTGACCCCATATCGGCCCTTCAGATGAACTGCGATTGTCAATTTCGAGAGAATGATTACATTGTACGCTGTCTCAGTGGTGGCGAGGGCATGTTCCCCTTCCCTGCCTGATTCGCTATGCATTGTTGCAGCAGTGGCACCGGCCGTCTTCGGCGGCGAACAAAGGATGGCTGAGGTATAAGTACTGTGCATCTGGACGCAATACTTCAGCCCCCTCATATCCTGCCCAGTCCTCGCCCGAAACTCCTAGTGTACGCGGACTCGCTTCCACCCTCACCGACGAGCCGAATAACTCGCATGCACGTACTAGGTAAATCGCTCATTCGGGCACGGCAGAGCTGGGAGGTAGCAGGAGCGCAAGAACATTGCATCCCGTCGCAGGCGCACCGTTTCATACAAACCGCACACATACGTGCAAGTGGCCACCCGCAGGCGAAGGGGGCCACTTGCGCGCGGTCCCGTGACGCGACGCGAGGCACGAAGCAAGGTGGCCCACATATCTCCAGCCACAACGGAACGCGCCACATTCTTCCCCCACACTTCATCGGTCTCAGCATACGCTGCCAAAGCGCACAAGCCCCTATACAACTGATCGCCACCATGCCTCGATCGATCGCCGCAGGACAAAGCTTCGACATCAAAGCGACAACCGCCAAGGTCGTCAAACTCCAGGAAGCCGCCTTACTGCTCAACTTTCACCGCGCAGCGAAGGCAGAGAAACTGGCATCGTCGTCGCCCAGTAGAAACTACGAACTAGGACCTCGAGACGTCGCCGTCAACGGTGTTCGGTCAACCGACGACGGACGGGATGTTAGATTGACGGGACACCGTCTCGACACATGTTCTCAAGCAAACAGTAGCGAAGAGGATCAGCACGTCGCACGAAGGTCAAGAGTCAATCAATCTGCAGGCACAGAGACTGCCCATGCCGCGACCGCCGAATACGTCTCGCCGCCACAGACACGGATGCCTCGAGTTAGTGAGACGGCGTCCGGACCACGGCGAAGCGCCAGAATCCGTGCAAAAGTTGCTCGAGATTGTGACAACAAAGCTGACGTCGCAGCAACATGCGAGACAGGTACGAGAAACGACCATGTCGTCGCCACAAAGTACACTGACCGTGACGCTGGGCCACACACAGATCCTGTTCGCGCGAAGAATGAGCAAAACACCCAAAATAGTTTGGAGTCTAAACTCAGGTGAGTGCAAACGCCGCTCACGGGGAACGCGCATTGCATCCTTGACGTCGCGGATCCCCTACGCGCTGAACGCGAACACATAGCGTCGAGTCGCGACACATGACCTTCGCATCGTCGCGGCGGTGACTTGTGTCCGTCATCACCATGTCTATAAGCTGATGTACGCATTGATTCTAGGGTCCACCATGCCCCAGCGAAGGCCACCCGGACGACCCAAAAAAGAAAAAGGGAATCGCCAGAAAACGCGCAAGGACAGCCCCGGGTCAAGCAGTCGCGCACATCGAAATCGTGCAAGCACAAACATGAGTGTGAAATCGAAGAACCGACACTGAAGGGGGTAGATTCACAACGCAAAGGTTCTGTGCGTCAGAGAAGAACACCGGTTCAAAGGCCTCGATAATCTCTGGCCGTATCGCAAACCAGAAGACGCGCATTGCGAGAACACACCGCAGGAAAGACCTGGTCGACGGGTTTGCCCACATATCGTGGATGAATGGAGGGTGCCAACACAAGAAAGGGGGCGGGCCAGGAAGGGAAACACTCACGCACAAGGAAACACGAACAACCGCGTCAGAAGCAGGCCTGCCTTTCCAAATACAACATCTCCCAGGCAGAGGGTGTACGGCGCGCAGCACACAGAAAGGTGTCGTCAAAAAGCCTGTAAACGTCGCCTTTACTGCCCTTCAGGCTGTCTGTAGATGTATAAATGTTAGTGGTGACCGCGTTCCAAGACGTAGAATCGACGCGCACCATCTGACTTATTGGCCTATTCCTGACTGTCTGTCTTGATTCCCGTCCTGGTCTGTGTCCAAGTCATGGTCCAGAACACATCTGAGGCTTAAAGCTTCAAGCTTAAAGGGTCGCAGGACAGTGTGCGGGGTGACAGAACAGATTAGCCGCCGACAACGTCGGTGATAACGGCGGAGGCGAATTTGCATCCGCGAGGCGCCTGAGATCACATCTTTACTGTACGCCTGTACGCGTGCAACTCGCTGAATACTCACCGTCGACCGTCGACCGCCTTCCAGAACCTGTGCCGATAAGGCGACGACATTCTGAATGTGGAATTAGGACGGTGCACCAAGGAATGTGCGGGCGACGTACACAACACACCGCGTCATTGCAGTGCCTTCATCCTCTGGTCAATGCGACAGCTCTCCAGGCCGACGAGTTGGAGGAAGGGCATGGGTGAGTGCGCAGATGTGCCCCCTATCATTTGCTGATCCATTATCTTCCCGATTAGATGTCGCACTGTGAGCGATAGGCTTTGGTCGTGGCTCACTCTTGGTGTATTCGCGTTCAAGTTGAGAGGCACCGACTCAGGCTCGGAATGCGAGCGACCCAAATGACTGGGTGCATGTATGCGCTCCGTTTTGCTTTTGGGGGCACGACATTGGCATCGCCATAATGTGCGTACTATATCCTCTCTTTGCGCATCTTGATGTTGGAAGACCTTTTCAAGTCGCGGGGATCGTGGGGGCGGAGAAGACGAGCACATGAGCTCGGTGAGGCTCCGCGGATAAGCGTGGTGTGAAGACAAGGGACGTCCTGACAGGAAACGAACTGACCCTGTCATCCGAATTAGGAAAGCGTCGGTCGCGTCGCGCGTCGCGACGCGTCCTGACGCGGTCACGCACACAGTCCGTTTAATGCGACAAACAACGCCCAACACCCTCCCCGCAAACATATAAATACGGCTGGACGCACCGCCATGTCTCCCCATCCCGCCCCCAGGCGTCCCTCTCAGCGACCTCCTCTCTCGAGCTATTCGCATTCTCACTCGCAGCAACATCAACATGTTCATCAACCTCGGCGCGCTCCTCGTCACCGCGGGCGCCCTCGCCCTCAACCCCAAGTCATACATATATTGTCGTCGACTTGGCGGCCAGGCGGGCCTCGCAGCTCATCCTATGTCTGGCCTAGGCACCGCCTGCCCCATCTTCATCGACAGGGTCGAGTCCTTCTTCGACCATGTATCCGGCTCGCTCAGGTACGTCATCGCTGTATGTTACGGTGATTGACCTCCCTCTGACAACATGCACAGTGGGGTCGGAGACAGGTTCACAGGCATCGTCGGAGACGCGTTCGCAGGCATAGGCAACATGGTCTCCGACAGCATGCATAGTGGGGTCGGAGACACGTTCACAGGCGTCTTCGGGGGTATTGGTGACATGGCCTCCGACACGGCATGGTTTATGTATGACACCAGGTGCGCCCCCTCCGCCCGTTGTCCCCAAGTCAGGCGCTGATCATGGTCCTTCGGTGCAGTCGGCGGTTCATCCCAGTCACCACAGACACCGACCCGGTCCCCCTCCTCTCTGACGCCTTCGTCGACGACCCAGGAGACCCGTATGCGGCCCTGTTGACCGGCTTCCAGGAAGACGTGCGCAAGTGGAGCACAACGACGGACATCATCGTGCCACCTATCTTCGATCTCGCGGATTGGACAACGGATTTGATCGTGCGGCCTCCCGGAGACATCATCGTTTGGGTCCCGCAAACCTTGCGGACCTGTCTCTGGGCCGAGCGACCGCGGAGAAATCCATCTCCACCCGAGATCGAAGACAGCAGCTCTGCTTCCACATCTGAGACACCGTACGCCGTCAAGATCGCGCGTATGGTCGTCGAAGGCTTCCAGGATCGTCACCACGCCGGTTCTCGTCGGACAGCACACGCGCTTGTCCTGTTCTACACCATGGTCATCGCGTATGTCGCCGTCGCTACTCTCGAGCCTGTTAGGACGGCGTGGCGGACTTCTCTCGTGGGTCACCTCGGGTCGTCAACTATCCTGGGCTTTGTGATGCGCAGCCTATATTCGTCGATGGTGTGTTGGTTCTCCTCTCTTCACAACACTTGGCTGACATAGGTCTTCCACAGCTGTTTATGGCCTCACTCAAGGGAATGCCGGCGGACGATCACGTCCAGCGCATGGCCGGCCTCACTCGGAAGACCATTCGGCAGCTTCGCAGGGCCAGCAGCCAGGACCACGCGCTCATCGGCGGTCCTCGTCCGCTCATTGCATACGACCTCGCGAACTACACCCCGGCTCCACGTCTGGCTCTTCGGCCTTTGCTCGTCGTCTTCTGGGACGGTCCAGTCCCCACGCCTGTCGCCATTCCTCGCTCGGCCACCCGTTCGCGCACGTTCAGCGCGATGACGTTCATGGAGGCACGCCGCGCTGCTCCTAAGTCGAGTGGACCTCTTAACATGGTGTCTCTTATTGAGGAGGTACGTCGCCTTTTCCTCCTGCTGTTGTCGATACTGACGCTGCTTTCTAGGATGTGCCTGCTACGACGATGGGATACGCGAAGCGCCTCCTGCGCCGCCAGCAGCCCGGCCTTCAGCTACTCGGCCTCTCGAAGGGCCGCCTCCACCGCCCCGCCGTCAAGACAGTGCCCACCGAGGCGAACATCGAGCCCGTCGAGCCCGTCGAGTTTCCCATTCTGGAGACAGTTCGGGAGCCTTGCAAGGCGGCTACCCAGGATCACGCGTTAATGGGTGGTCCTCGCCCGATCGTTGCTTACGACCTGGCGAACTTTACCCCGATGCCGCGCTTGGCTCTTCGTCCTCTTCTGCTCATCCTGCCGGACGGGCCTCTCGCTCTCGTTCGCTCGACCACCCGTCCTCGCACGTTCAGCGCGATGACGGGGATGGAGGCCCGCCCCGGTCCTTCGAGTGGACCTCTCACGATGGCGTCTATCATCGAGGAGGTGAGCACCGTTCTGTCTTCGCTTCGCGCTGTGGATACTGAATTGGCTGTTCCAGGACGTTCCTGAGACCACGATGAGATACGCGAAGCGCCTCTTGCGCCGCCAACAGCCTGGCCTTCAGCTGTTTGGTCTTTGGAAGCGCCGCGTTCAGCGCCACGCCGAGCTACGCGCGCTTCGCGACGAGATGGGCGAGGACGCCGCCATCCGCTACGCACAGGAGGGACGGAAGATCCTGCAGCAGAACCTTCGGTCGATGTGGGGTATCGGAGAGCAGGTGAGTAATATCTGTGCGTTCAGAACGACGCAGCTGCTGACTTCGTTCTCTCAGCCTGAGCACTAGGCGATTGGCAGGCTCTCCACCCAATATGACCCCCGCGCACTATCATTATCGCTATATATTCCTCCTTCTTCTTGAATTACTGTTTGAAAATCTCTTCTTGATGTTCGACACGTCGTGAACTCGTAATGCCCTGCGGATTCATGGCGTGCCGTTCATCGCGCGGGTCAGGACTGTTGGGGGCATCCTTCAGTCTTGACCTGCTTTTTCTTTTCCTTTTTCTCGTGCATTAGTTTCCAACTCTCGACTCGGATCAACATGGACTCCTCGGATAGCAAGGCATTCGTCTCGGCACATGGACTTCTCTAGTTTTGTATGAACATGTCTCGCGCAAGGATTCAGTTCGGATCTTCCTCTACATCTCGCCTGGTTCCTCCCCAATCATCTCTCTTCTGTATCAGCCGCATGATTTCTCGTCACTATATAGGGTTTCTTGACATCGTTCGTCGCGTAGACATCATACGTATCATTCTAACAAATGTTGTATGTCACTTTTGTACTAGCCGCCGGAAGTTATCTCTCGTTTCTCTCCTTGTTTCATTTCGCGACTGTCATTATCGTACAAATCTAGCCTTGGTCAAGTTGGGCGACACGAGTCAATAATCCTGCCATATCCACACCATCTAAACGGACTCTTGCGGACATCACATACGACGCGACCACGTGATCACAGGACGCGACGGTCTCCACGCGTCACAGGCTAATGCAGCTGTGTTACCGTGGCCACAGTTCAGAGTAGTACAATTCGTTCACGACCAATATCTACAGGATTTGTCTGCTTTGCACACATGCATTGTCTCATCTACGAATGTCCCCCTTCGTGTATACGGTGACACGAGGGGTCTACCTCGGGCTCCAGTGCTAGACTTACGCATCGCAGGATCAATGTAAGCTACGAAAGTACAGTCGATCCGTGTCGCAGCAACATGCAAGTTCGCATATATTTGCAGGAAGGACATCAGAGCTGTCCTGCGAACGTTACGCATAGGTCAGTGCTGCGTTGAGGATCAGACTACGCGTCCCTTCGATCAGGTTGAACTGCAACAAGAGGCTGGCAAGGCTGAACTCTAACGCACCACCCTACCTGCCGGCTTGCGAGTGTTCAGGTCTTCGGTGCTTCCTCCTCGACTATCGCATACCTCCGTTGCGCCGTCTCAACCAAATCGTGCACAACCGAAGCAAGCGGCGCTGAAGCAAGTCGAGATGGCTCCCATCCCGGCTTCTGCTGAAGTGCCTCAATCCACCGCTAACGTCTCCTCAAGCCTCCCGATAGCCTTCCAAGGCAACAAGCAGCTCCTGGTCTACGTTGTCTCGGTACTCGTAGCCGTCCTCCTCTTCTTGTCAGCTGGGGTCTACCTCCTGCACCTCCGAGTCCGCCGCCGACGTCGGAACCAAATTGAGGCTACAGACGAAGCTGCCTGCCAACAGCCTTCCCAAGTCCTTGTTGCGGAGGTCTACCGACCGGCACTGAATCGAGGGTGCTCGTCTAGCACAACCCTCAACGACAACACAGCGAAGGAGAACGTCAACGCTCAAGCGCCTGACCAGGTTCTGGACAAAGCAATGACACAGGAATTGTACGAGGCCGAGCCTACGACGCCGGTGAGTCCACAGCTCGCCACGCCCCGCCTCATCGGCATCGGCTGACACGCTCTGTGAAAGCGTTCTGTCGGGGGCACCAACTGGCCTGCTGCAGCATCGGAGTGTAGAACCCAAGACGAACCGAGCGGACCTTCCTTCGTCTTCATCGCCAATGACGAGGGACCTGACAGTGGCATGTCCGCCGTGTCTGGCACACCTGTTCTGAACACGAAACGGGTGAGTACATCAGAACCGCAGCATCCGCACACAACTGACACCAGCCTTCACAGACCAACGACACCTTCATTGCGGTTAAATCCGCGGAGATACTCTGTCCGTCAGTACCCAGAACGAATGTCCAACACGGAGGTCGCCAGAACACCACGAGTCTAGGGCCAGGCAAGAAGTCGTCCCACAAAGGCCCCAGGGCTGATCGCGGAGAGAGCCTGCTTGACCGCCTCGACGCCATTCTCGCACAAGAGCCCACCTTTGTAACCCCTGAGGACCCAACGCCGTTCCCTTTTATCGCAGCAGATCCCACACGGCGCAGCAGGGTGATGAGCATGCTCGACGACATCATCGTGCAGGGGCCTCCGCCGCTCAGCCCAGCCTCGGAGTACGACTCGGATGCGTCGAGCACCGACAGCCCGCTCCCGGCGACGCCTCCGACCATGATCGTCGCAGACCACGGCTTCCTGCCGCCACTCGATCTCGCCTCGCTCCTGCGTCTGTCTTCGCCTGATCAGCAACGCCGAGTCGTCCTGCTCCCGGAGTCTTCGCCTCCGCGCATGCAGGAGTACCTGGTCTGGCCCGTCAAGAAGACCTTGTCGAAGATAACTGGCCGCGGCGCTGTTCCTCCGCTGTCGCCCCCGGCCATCATCCTCGAGGACACCGACGTAGGCGAACTCCCATTGCAGACACCGGACTGCTCCTCGCTCTTCCCATCCGAGGTGTCCCCGGAGGTGGACTACCTGCAGCCGCCTCCGCCTTCGTGGAACGCGCCGGTTGAGGAGACGGTGCAGCCTGTTGTCTGCGTGCCGAGAAGGATCGTGAGGCCGACCTGCGTTCGCGGGCCCACGCCGTTCCTGAAGCCGAGACGCTCTCAGCTTCGTGGCCAGCCCATCCGACCGGCGGCTGGAGAACGCACATCGCTGACTGGTCCTGGCATTGGACTCGGTCTCTCTGTTCCTCGGAACCCTGCATCCTTAGCCCCGTCGGTGATCAACGAGGAAGATGCGCACCTATCTGTCCCTCCTCGGGCGATTGCTGCGGCCAGACCTGCTCATAGGGCGGCGTCACTGTACCCAGATTACTTTTAGTTCCTGCATTCAGTCTGCATTCCTGTCTATTCGCTCCGTTTCCCGTTGATACTCTTCATTTTGTCCTCCCATGTCCTTCATACATCTAGCCTTTTGCATGTTGTCTCGTCTCTGCTTTTCTTCATCCACTCCCCTGTCCATGTCTGTACCGCAGTATTTCTTGCAATAGCGTGCCAATGCCCCTTGTCAATCCGGTGGGAGTGAGTGTAGTGGACACAAACCATACATCCTCTTCTAATCAGCACGACACATTCCGTGGCTTCCGTTCGGTTTCCGTGATGTGTCCAATCCGCTGTGGTGCACTAACGAGTCCAGAAAATTGACAAGCATTGAAGGCCACCAGCGTCGAGCGGCCAGCTGAGCGTACTGGGCGGGATGCCTAGTTAGGTTCTGATTATCTAGGTGCCGCATGCCAGTGGACAGAGGGTAGGAAGAGGTCGTTGCATTTCATTGCAAGCATCGTTTGTGTGATGGTTAGTCGGTGCAGAGGCGGACAGACGCCCACGCTCACCATGCCGGGTGGCGCGACCTGCCGCTATTCGTCCATCCGACCCATTGCCGGAATGCCATCCAAAGTATTCAAGCATTCCTTCGACCTCACGAAAGCCCGACTACGATCCCAAGTACTGGATGCAACCGCTCGGTTTGACGGACCAATGAAATGCTTGGTGCAGACATGGCAGAAGGTGGGCTTGCGAGGTCTGTACAGGGTGTGTCTGCTCTTCCCCAGTGGAGGCGAAGGATAGCTTAACAGTTTTTGGCAGGGCCTACGAGCGCCCATAGTCGGAGCGATGCGGCCAAGAACACATTTCTGGACATACACAGAGTTGACACAGAGTTCCAAAACACCATTCGGTGATGTGAGAAGCAGCCGGCGACACACCAACTATCGCTCGGCCAACTCGCTCTCGCAGGTTCCGGCGCAGGTTGTGTAACGAGTTTCGTCCTGTGAGTACCATCTCTATGTCGTCGCCCGGCGCCCTTCCAATGCTTCCGTAGTACCCCCATAGAGCTCGTGAAGTGCAAGATGCAAGTGCAGATGCTCATGGCACCCGGTGTCTCCCCAGTCCAAGCAGCGGCAGCCCTATCCTCGGTTGCACCGGCCGCAGCCCTACCCACAGGTCTCTCTGGCTCTCCTTTCCGCAAACTTCCCGGTCCCATCTCCGTCCTCACATCCGTCATTCGTACCACCGGCTTCCGCGGGCTCTGGCTCGGCCAGACCGCGATGCTCATCCGGGAGACCGGCGGCGGCGCCGCATGGTTCGCGCCTAAGGAGGCTGTCGCGACTCTCCTACTGAAGCGCCGCCACGTTCCGTCCAAAGACAAGAAGGAGCTCCGGCCCTGGGAGTCAGCGGTTTCTGGCGCCGCGGCGGGCATTGCCTACAACGTCGCGCTCTTCCCGGCGGACACCGTGAAGAGCACGATACAGACGGAGGCAGAGCTGCGTCCGAGAGCGCCTGGAGAGCCCGGCCCTACGTTCCTTGGCACGTTCAGGGCGATGGATGCAGCGCAAGAGATCAAAGGCTTGTACGCAGGGTGTGGTATTACTGTGGCGAGGGCGATACCTAGTAGTGACCTCATCTTTTTATGACGGCTTGAGCAAGAGGTACGGCTCGTAGTGACCGTTATAGAATGACCCGCTTCTCGATCAACCTTCAAACTGGACGGGTAACGAATGAGATACGCTGTTTCTGATGCACGACTTCCCCAGATCGTTCATTCATCATTGTTCGTTGTACGACAAACATGTAACCCGTCTGGCGACCTATCTGTACGAACTAGGTGACGACATAACATTTCAATATTCAATCTTGAGTGGAGTCAAACATGGTATCATACAGAGAGGAGAGTGAAGGGGAGCAAGTTCGCGTTGAGCTACGGGGAGAACCTAGCTACATGGAGAGATATTCGTATCCGCGCCAGAACCCTCTGGACGAAGTAATTGGCCGAGTGCGTACATCTGTTGTTCGACTGCGAGCATGGTACTGATGATGCGGAACTCCTGAGCCGGATTCGCGTCCAAAGGCATGGACACCGCGTAGTCGAACATAGGGCACCGCCTAAATCGCCAGACGTGCCGCCCTTGTGCATCCCGTTCGAGTTTGGGGTGATGAGCGCAGATGATGAACCTCCACTCGTTGTAGTATACGCTGTACGCGCAGAGCGCGTCGTCCAACTGCACTGCAGCATCCGCGTCGCTCAATTGGCGGTCTAGATCCCAGCCTTGCTGGCGATAATGATGGACGACGCATGTCGTGAGCGTCCAGTGTAGGGCGCCCAGTGTCTCCGCTTCGGCAGACTTGACGTCTTCATCTGAGTCGGTCTCACCACGTACGACGACGACAAGTGGTGTGACTGGCAGATACGGACGCGGATATCTAGCAACGTAACATTGGTGAGACACATCCGTAACTCTGAGTGACTGTCTTTCCACTAGCTCACCTCCAAGTAGGAATGAAAACCCACGACGTTGACGACCGGCCAAACAATCGCAGTATGAACTCGCCGATAGGGTCATACGGGTCCAGTTCCTGTGTCAGCTGAGAGGAGGAAGTGGACGAGGCAGTAAGCGCCATTATGCTTGCCTTCTGCTCCAGTGTGGCATCGGGTCGCATATATAGGTCGGGCACGAAGTTCTCGCGCGGCTTCTGGTCATCCCAATCAATCCATTTACACTCTGCTAATTGATTCAGGTGATGGAGACGCAGGGCAGCGAAGTGCATTGTTTGCTCGGCCATTGTTCGTGCACGATCCTCGATCATTCGATCCACCTGGGAAACACACCTGTGTGAGCATAGCATGGAATTTCGCGAGTGATCAGGTACCTGGTACACGGCCGGCACGGGTATACTCCCGTGTTGGTCCAAGTACATATTCGATTTCATGTATGCCGACTTGATCATGCACACACGTATCATTAATTCCCACCAGCACTGTGACTGCCGCATTCGATCCCAGAGTACTTCTCCGTCGAGCCATGTCCACCCGTGCGCCGATGGATCGCGGCGCACAGTTTGGCCCGAATATCTGGGACTCGAAAATTCAGCATCTGTGACACTCCAATCCTTGGGTAGACGAGTCTTGGCGACGTACCCTGCCGAAGTCAAAGCAGACAGATCAGGGCCTGACAACAGTCCCAAGTGCATCAGCACGTCTTGAGGGACATAGTGGCGACCAGCAACAGTTACGGTACCAGTGAATGCTTCGGGTGCTGTGACTGGCCTTCGAACAATGGGTTAGCAACACCGCCGAGCCTACAGAGCATAAGGTCCATTTACCTCGTAACTATGTCGTGCTGTATTGTCATATCTAGATATGTGCGCAGACACTCCATTGGTTTCAGAGTGGTGCCATACGATATGGTGGTTGGCGGTATCGCAGCCCGCACTTCAATGCGGCGATCTCTGGTCCGAAGCCGTGAAGCGCGTCCCGCCTGCTTGCGCAACCATTGATCAACGAGCTTGATAGACTGATCAATTTCACGATCGCTGGGACCGGGGTCACAGTCTACAACCTGGGGACCAAGGAAGGCCACAGTGAACGGGTCCATGACAGGTGGACGCAATGAATATTGCGGAATGTTTGGATGCTCTGCTGAATCAGGGTTGGAAGATGAGGATGCGTCGGATCCATCGAAGCCTTGCAGCTGGCGTGAAAAGCTACTGTTCTCCGAGACGTCGCGCCATTGGATCTCGTCCCATATACTAGTCAGACGGAAGATGTGGTGCTGAAGAGATAGGAGGGCCAAGCCAACGCGGTACCGACTCCGCAGGAAGTCCGACGCGTCTCCTTCGTCATTTCGCACACAGGGAAAAGGCAGCGTATCAAACAAGAGAGACAGAAACCGATAGTGCCCAGTCGAGTCAGATGGCACATAGGGGATGTGTGCAATGATGTGTATGGCTTCGGAGTCGTATACCAATCCCAAGGTCATTGCCCAACGTGGAAGTACCCTTGCTCCACTGCTAATATTGCGAGGCCTGGCGCCACGCACGCGTTCGGCAATGGATGCCCGTGCAGTGCATGCCTGTACCATAGATAGAAGGCTGACAGTAGCATTGTCAGCAAGGTGGCGCAGTACAGTCTGCATATCCACTGCTGGCACACCGGCTGTGTCCCAAGAAGAAGGGCCCTGGGCGACAAGCATGAGAGCAGGATTGAACATGTTGATGGGAAGACGATCCAACCATCCTAAAGACGGTGCATCCGAGTCCGGCTCAGCGTAGTAAGCTGCTTGGGTATACAGCACCGCGCAGTCGATGGATCCTGTACCTCGAGAGCGACGACCATCATGCTGTATCAGGGACAAGTCTTGCCTTCGGGAGGAAAGCGGGTGCCAGATTTCAAACAGATTGTCAGTTACTACTACCCACGATCTAGGGGCATTTACGACATACCTTCTCACCACTGTCGCAGGGATTCCATCGAGCGCAGTCATGATTGCATGTCTCGCCTCGAACTCGCCATTTCTATATCGAAGGACTGCATAGATTTGGTGCAGAGTCATTTGGGTCGCTCGTATGTGATGATTGTGGATGTTGTGCATCGAGACCTGCCAGCTTGAGGGGTCGTGGCAACGTTTTATGGTCAGAGTGAAGCTCGGAGAGAGGCTGTGAGGGGATCGACCCTTCATTTCTGCATCGGACAGGAATCGCATAATGCACTTTCCCTCATCACATATATGATGCAGGCTGGAGCGGACCAAGTCTGCATGAGGCTCCCATTCCCCGCGACAGCGACGGCGACCAACTGCTTTCAGATCCTAAGTAGTGCGGATACAATATACAGGCATGTCAGTGTGCCTGGTACTATGTGTTAGCGACATGTTACAAGTGACGTACCATCCATGATTGAGGTGCTACCAAGTGTTGCCATGTGAGCTTCAGCTCCTGTAGATACCGGATCTGTCTTGAGCAGAGCAGTGCGATATCCGAGCTTGGGTCCATAGACTCAAGGGTGCGAAACTCCCAAGCATGATTGTGGCGAGTCATCTCCGGAGTCGTTGAATGTATTGGCGATTCAGGGGTCACCGCGTGGCAGTCGCACTCAAACACACGACTAGATGCCAGGGCCCAACACCCCGAGTACTGAACACTTGCCAGATGGTGACGGCTTCTAGTAGGACCTCAGTGAGCGAGTGACGAGCAGTTAAGCTGCAGCAGACGCCGGAGCCACAAGTTTGTAACTGCAGATGCGTCACCGGTTCACCCTCCGGTGCCCTCCATTGCGTATTGTGCATTGCCAGTGACTCATTCCCATTTCACGTTGAAGTACTGAGTGCTCAGTAAGTACTCAGTCCGCAAACATTCTCTGACATTCTTGTAGAAAAAATTATTGTGATTGCATTCGCATCCTAACCGTAACACCTAGTACTGGGATGGAAGGTGGGGTAATTGGACCGTACGACACCTATCTCCTTCACATTATTTAGTGTGTCTAACACGTTACCAACGTTAAACCCGGAGTGAGATTCGGTCGTTTCGAACGTTGACCCGGAGGCCGACCGGAGCAAGCAGTCGGTCGATGTAAGCGTTCCGGCCGGTGTTGCCGTGGAATGCTGCGAACGTGGCGGCCGCCCAGGATGCATGATTCCACAGACACGTCTGGGTAGGTGCGGCCGTACCCTAGCATATCTCAAATAAAATCCGGGTGTGCTATGCCCAGTCTTTTGAACGTTCCGGCCGGCCATTTATGCAGCCCTGCGGCCGTACCCAGGGCTCGCTGCGTGTGCTCGGCCCGACGTTACAGACGCTCCGGCCGGCCATCCAGATACCTCTGCGGCCGTACCCAGGGCTCGCTGCGTGTGCTCGGCCCGACGTTACAGACGCTCCGGCCGGCCATCCAGATACCTCTGCGGCCGTACCCAGGGCTCGCTGCGTGTGCCCGGCCCGACGTTACAAACGCTCCGGCCGGCCATCCAGATACCTCTGCGGCCGTACCCAGGGCTCGCTGAGTGTGCTCGGCCCGACGTTACAAACGCTCCGGCCGGCCATCCAGATACCTCTGCGGCCGTACCCAGGGCTCGCTGCGTGTGCCCGGCCCGACGTTACAAACGCTCCGGCCGGCCATCCAGATACCTCTGCGGCCCCCCCGCGGTGCCGCCCGCTACAACGCTCCGGCCGCCATCCAGATACCTCTGCGGCCGTACCCAGGGCTCGCTGCGTGTGCTCGGCCCGACGTTACAGACACTCCGGCCGGCCATCCAGATACCTCTGCGGCCGTACCCAGGGCTCGCTGCGTGTGCTCGGCCCGACGTTAC